CCTAGTTCTATTATACCCCGCACACCTAGTTCTATTATACCCCGCACACCTAGTTCTATTATACCCCGCACACCTAGTTCTATTATACCCCGCACACCTAGTTCTATTATACCCCGCACACCTAGTTCTATTATACCCCGCACACCTAGTTCTATTATACCCCGCACACCTAGTTTACTCCTCCCACCTAATCTAACCTACTCCTCCCACCTAATCTAACCTACTCCTCCCGCCCACCTAATCTAACCTACTACTCCTCCCACCTAATCTAACCTACTCCTCCCACCTAATACCCCGCACACCTAGTTCTATACCCCGCACACCTAGGGCTCAACTCGATTGCAATTCCACTCAACTCCCTCTCGATATCGCAACATCTGGACCTATTTCACAGAAGGATAAATACGGCTAAGCATAATAGTTCAGTGTCGCCGACACAAACAGCAAAAAGATTTTGAGCATTATGCTATAGCTTTTCCATTTGACAAAAATTTTTAAAGACTTGCTGTAATAAGTTTTAGCTGAAAAGAAGATTCAAAAAATTAGATAGATCTATTCATTATTTAGTATAGATAATATTTGTTGTTCAAAGAAATATCAACTCAAAGTTTAGCTTTTGATTTCCTGACAGCAACACATTCGAGTTCAAGCAAAACTCTTGCATCAGGAAACGTAACACTGACGCAAGATCTTGCAGGTTTTGTTTTCATATACTTTGCATAAATCGTGTTGATTTTTTCACGATCTTCAGGATTCTTGATAAAAAGTAAAACTTTTAATACACAATCAAGAGAGGAACCAGCAGCTTCTAAAACCTTCTCTAACTCTTTGATGGCCAATTCTGTTTGTCTTAGAACACAAGTGGAATATGAACCATCAGCTTCAACGCCAACTCGACCTGAAGTGAACACCAAGTCGTTATGCATATAAGCAGCTGACAAGACAGGATGCTCCTTCTTACCTAGTAAGTCCCAGGATAATTTTTCAACCATTGCTAAGAGATTTGAGTAGTTTTTTTACAGAAGGGAGTAGTTGAGAGGTGTAAAGGCAATAAAATAAACCCATTATGACAAAGAGAGAAGCCTTAATACCTTATATATACTCTTTTTTTATCTTGTAGTTGGTTATCCTCTAAACACTTCCTTCAGATAGTGAGTCGCTCAAATTACCTTTTAGAGGTTGAAATAGAATCTGTCCCGAAATTTTTAGCCAACGGCAGCAGCGTCGGCAGAATTCCTTAATTGAGATTAACCAGATGAAGTTTCATGGACTAGAAGGTTTAGGAAAAAGTATAAAATTTGCATAATTCAATAACTGTAACTACTCTGCTGAAAAATGGTAAGTTTGCATGGCCACAAATAGTATACAAGAATTTGTGTGCTGTGACTGGTTCGAATTGTCAGAAGCTTGCGAGCTATGTCTTTGTAAAGATTCAATAATTCAAATTAGTAAACAAGAGGAAGGATCTTCAAGTTTTGAGTATGTCGGCAGCATGGACATTTGATGCAAGAGGAAAGTAAATAACTGGCTTATACATCGATTTTCAATTATGATACTGGTCAAGTTTCGCAGAATAACCTCAATGCATTCGGAAAAGGTGTTGATTTTGCAACTAGAACGAAATCTCGATCAGTAGAGGGGTACAAATAAATAATTCTCCTCATAATTTTTTATTGCGACTATCTGATTCGTTACTGCAGTAAAATAATATGCCGTCGGCTGACTGCAATAGTTGGTGTATGCTTTCCAAAGTTGCTGTTGTTTATTCCCCATTTAAACCATCACTTAAACTACTTCAATTTTTGTATTTGATTAAAATGTACCGTTGCTATCAGCTTTGACTGCTCTTTCCACTTTCACAAATTCTATTCTATCTTAATTAAGAAAATCGAGTTTTTCATCAGCTAGCAGAGTTCATTGTTCTTTTTGCTTAATTTAGGACTTACAATTAAGAAAAAGGATAAACAATTTATCCTGGATTATCTTATTACAGTAATTCATAACTACAATCCTAAATGTTGTTTTTTAGCCCTAAGAAGTTCATTTACCTAAAACGACCAAGCTGCTTATCAACTAGGTATTAACTTTGGCAGAAGAGGCTTGAGATGGGAATAGATTTCGAAAGGTAAATAATATAAAAAATGTCGACATTCATCCGAAACCTGAAAGCTGACACCTTTGCATTATTATAGAGAAGAGTCCTGTGTCTCTTTTCGGAGGGCCTATAAAGGAAGCTTTGCTTGTTCTGCTGCAATTGTGCCAGAGAGTGTGTGGCTGTGGATTAGGATGCGCGGTTGTTAGGTATAAGGTGTAGTCTCTGTCTTTGTTCGGTGTACATTGCAAACCAAACTGAAAAACAGTTAGCACCAAGCGCAGCTTCTAACCTACTATTCAGAAACCATGTCAAATTGATCCCTTTGGCATATCAACTGGATTAACTTTGGCAGAAGGAGCTTGGGATGGCATTAGATTCTAAAAGGTAAATACAATGAAACAATGTTGACATCCATATAAAACCTGAAAACGGACACCTTTGCATTAAAATACTATAATCATATTTGAGTATATAATTTCGCCTTATAAAAACTCCTAGTCCTTCTTTTCACTTTCTTGTTTCAAAGCAGCATTGAATAGTTTGAAACCTTCCTTAGTGTCCTCGCCAATGAGCATGAATATCGGAGAAGATAGCATTCCTGTGAAATTTTCTGATTGAATCACTTCTGTAGATCCATTTTCAAGCTGCTTGAAAGTGAAAGAATGTTCACCAGAGAAAATATAGTTAGAAAGTAAGGTACCACACCATTTGAAACAACTTTCTGAGTTTTCTAATACCGTTGGCGTAAAGATGCTTTCTTTCTTCGATTTTGGAAGACAAACTTTAACTTTCAATTCGTCCCCAACGGAAACAGTATCTTGGGTTTTTCCTGGTGTAGTAACTTCTATTGTTTGTATGAAAGCAGTCCAGCTGGAGTAATTTATAAAATTTTGGAATGTTTTTCTAACTTTTTGAACATCGCAGTCGATCTCGATTGTTTCGGAAATAAGTGGCATTTTGTTGCTAGTATTATACGACTAATAAACTACTCTGTGCTGACTTCAGAAGACAGAACTGCGGCACAGTGGCGATATTACTGTTCGGAACGCCTGCCTCTCTTATAATGTTTTGCTATGAGAAGGCAATCGGAATTAGCATTCGAGCTAAATCCGCACGGCTACTTTTTTTTATTAAGGTTAGAGGCTTAAAATGAACTCTGACGAAGCTTTTGATATGACATTGGGTTCTTTATTTGCAGCAGCACTAATTTTAAACAATTCAATATGCTAGAAAAGTCACCACTAAAATTCTATGCTGTCCACAACCGTCATCTGGCCTCTTCTAACTCAACAGACTTTTATATATAAGGTTTTCTACTCTCAAAACTAATACAATCTTCCTGAAAAAGATTATCAAAGAACGACCTAGGTTTTGTCTTTATTGATATGGTACGTAATACATATTAACTTAGGTTTGTCTAAAAAGTTCGGCTGTAAAGAATATACTGCCGTGCAACGTAGATTGAAGTTTCTTTGCATGAACTTCATGCGCTGACGTGAATTGTTTTTGCTGATCAGGTTTTAACAGCAAACTGAAGCACTGGAATTATGCTGCGCAAGAATTGATAATACTATAAAAATACTTCTTATATTGTCGATCTCTCGTAGTCATATCGGAGCTGGTTAGAAATTGTGTACCAAGTAATAATATCATGGTTAACCTTACGGGCGTATGCGGGAAAAATATCGTTGAAATATTAACAGTTCGTGCATTTGAGAGCTCCATCTGAAGTCTGAATGATTGAATTTCATATATAAGTTTACAGCACTAATTTTTGTAATTTCAACTTACTCAAGTCATAGCTCATAAAGGGCGTTACCCTTCTCTTTCTAAGTAAATCATCCTGCCTTGAAACTTTTACTGCCACTTATACACACAATCCTGCATTGCAGCATTGTAGGGGGGGAGGGGGTGGGGGGTTTGCTTGAGATCACAGATAGAAAAGTTGGCTAACAATTCTATGCGGTATTCTTTCCCACAAATTGAAATGAGCTCAAAGATTTATCGCAGTGTTCTAAGTATTTACCACCCAAATCACTAGGAACGCCTTTTAACGCCAATAGTGCACAAACTCCACCAGGAACTTCAGGTTTTAGCAATTGACCTTTTTCATGAAACTCGATAAACTTCTTATGGGCATCAGATTTCATACCTCTTCCCAAGTTTTCTCTGATGTTAACTTGCATACCGGTGTCGACGACACCCGGGTCAATGCTTATACCTCTAATAAGACCGTCTTCTTCGGCATCAAGATCCATTGCCAAATGATTAACAGCTGCCTTGCTTGCACCGTATGCTAGCCATCCGTCATAACGAACCTCGCTTGCACTTGAAGAAACATAGACACATGTTGCTGGAACACCATCTTGCTTGGCTGTTATTCTCAAAATTGGAAGCAACTTTTGAGTCAATTCAACCAATGAAAAGAAATTGACATCAAATAGTTTCTTCATTTGGGATATATCAATTTTTTCGATATGTGCAATTGGTTCTAATATACCTGCATTAAAAATGACTGAGTTTATTTTACCAAATTTAGCAACGCTTTCATCAACCAATTTATCTAACGTTCTTGAATCAGTCAAATCGCCAGCAACAAAATGCACACGTTTTTTATCCTCTTCAGCCAAAGAGTCAACGAACTCCTGCAATTTGTCTCCTGAACGTGCAACTAGAACAAGTTTGCAGTTGTCTGACGATTTGAGCAAAATTTCCGCCATTGACTTGCCCATCCCGCGGGATGCGCCTGTAATTACTATAACTTTAACAGGACTGCTAGACATGATTGATTTGAGTTGTTGTGTCGCTTTAATAGCAAAAGGATCTGGACACTTTGGTCCAAGCGCCAAGGAAGAAGAATTAAATCAATTTGTGCTTAAGCTTTTTATAGCAAAAGTCAGTAGTATTCCTGATGCCTATTACTACTAGCCCATGTATGTGTGGCTGTAGCATTTTGCGTGGGATGAAATAATTTTGAAGGCGACGTCAAACAAGCTGAAATAGAGCCAGTGCGGACTACAGAGACAGACTCTATATCACGATCAATCCTGAAGTTCCAAAAAAGTGAATTTTTGCTGACTGCTGGATTTCGGTAAACCATGCGAAACTCGACTCAAAAAGTTGTTTGCAAAGGCACTTTCTATTCTGGACTCTATGCAAAGATTCTTCGGTGAAAAATTCTGCACGTTATGACGGTTGTTCTGCATTTTTCAGCTTAGTTTGAACCGAGTGACAAAATCATGAGTCGTTCAAAACAAAAGGTAGTCTCAATAATACTGAAGATTGAGATCTTCGGTGACCAACTAACTTTCCTAACTGATACCATCTGTATGATGGTGGTTATTGTACCTGATACATTCCACAGATATAGCAGAAGCATGTAATCAACTTGCAATGTTTTCAAATGACATACCATCCACTTTGGGCTACTTGGTGTTGCCCCAGAGTCTTGTGGCTTGGACCATGAACATCCCGTACTCTGTAACCTTGGCTAAAAGACGGATTACCGAAAAGGCCGCCAGTTGCATCAAAGTGGTGCATTTACATAAAAGTAGTTCTGCCAGTTAAAAATACACCTGGACATACACAGCCGCTCGATACCCAAGTGTATTCCGGGATACGTTTCCCGGAATAGAGCCCTGGCAAACAAACTTTCTGTCAGATCTTCGAACCCATAGGAGATAAGAACCTATCTGAACGGCGGCTGGCCCTAATGTCTACAAGGGAAACTTTTCCGAAAAGCGCGCCCTACCAGAAGTGCGACCCTCGTGTGTTAGCCAGTTGTCAATTTTTCCCGTAGACCCTTTTCTTTGGGGAAGAAGAGGGTATTACGGGGAGCCGAAAGAGGAGCTTTTGCCGACGCGAGTGGTTGAGGTCTCTGTGGAATGGTAATGTTTGGAGAAGAACCCAGGAAACCCATAGCCTAAAAGTGCTAAGGTAGCTTTAGCGTAGTATTTCACACTGCCTTGCAGATTCCATGTTTAACCCCATGGTAGCAGAAATATGCTTACCGTACATGGTACCTGGCGAGCAACGAGGACACGCCGATACCCGTACAATAGAAATGATATGGATGACGCAACGGAACAAAATCGCCTTTCCGAATTTGGAATAAGCGCTAGGGCGAGAAGATTAGATAAGAGACGGATAAGGTTTACCGAGACTTTATCCAGGGCAGCCTTCTTTCAATCCTCGGGAATCGTCTTATCGGGAAAGAGGAGTGGGTTAGGTGTCACCCATACCTTCAAATCTTTTGGGTTTTATGCGCCTTGGTATTTTCTTTGGTGAGGCAGATAGTGATAGCGTATACTCACTTCTTTTTATCATCTTTGGCCATTATGAATTTAGCACCATCCCTTATCGTTATCAAGTGGAAGCCCTATCATCTTACATATCTTTCATTTAAATCAAGAAATTCCTCTGGATTCCTCATTTAGTATTTAGAGGAAAGGTCCGAAGCATCAAAGTTGATAGGATCTGGTCCGAATTCATTAAAACTGCTTGCTCAACTCAAAGGCAACACAACAAACAAACAAAGCACTCTCAATGATTACTAAAGAAATCACTGATCTGGAATCCAAGTCGGGCGACAATTCGATTGAGAAGCAGGCAATCGATGTCACCGTCGAGTCACTGGGAAACGAAGTTGAAGATGATGCTGAGATTCATGACAAGGCCTTTTCTATCTTAAAAGGCCACATCGAGGAGGCTGTCACTGAAGAAGAAAATAAAAGAGTCAGAAGAAAAATTGATTTGAGAATTTTACCATTGATCACTTTAGTCTACGGTATGAATTATGTTGATAAGGCAGCTTTATCCTGGGCTGTCATGTTCAACCTGAAGAAAGATATACACATCGACGGTAACCAGTATTCATGGATATCGGCTATATTCTATTTTGGGTACCTAGGTGCAGAATATCCCGCCAACTATATTATTCACAAATTCTCTGTTTCAAAGATCATCTGCATTGTTTGTTTGGTCTGGGGAGTTTTACTTTTTGGTCACGTAGGAGTTAAAAATTATGGTGGGATGTTGGTCATTCGGTTTCTCCTCGGAGTATCAGAAGCACCAATATCTGCTGCTTGCATCAACTATGTGGGGGAATGGTATACCAAGTCCGAGCAACCTTTCAGATTCCTATGTTTTGCTTCAGGCCAAGGTGGTCTTTACATCATTTTTTCGCTGGTAGCTTACGGTTTGGGCCACACCGACGCAGAGTTAAAGCCATGGACTTACATCTACCTAACCCTTGCATGCCTTTCGATTATTTTGGGCACGTACATGTGGTTCTTCTTGCCTACTTTGCCAAATGAAGCATACTTTTTGAATGACAGAGAAAAGATCATTGCTTCCAAAAGAGTTGCAAATAACATGACAGGAATCAAAGATCTCAAGTGGAGAAATTATCAAATTTGGGACGCTATCAAAGATCCGAAAACATATTTTCTTGTGTTATATATGTTTTTCAGTATGATTCCAAATGGTGGACTAACAAACTTTAACACTTTGGTGCTTAGTTCTTTCAACTTTGACAAGTACACCACGATATTAGTTAATTTACCTTGGTCCTTCTTTTCTGCAGGTCAGATGTGGATTTGGGCCGTCTTCGGTATTTACTTCAAAAACTTGAGAATTTTAGGTCTAACTATCCCTATGATTATTGCTGTCATTGGATTGTCAATTGTTTACGCTACTGAAGATGGAGGGGCTTCCAAATGGGGTAGAGTATTTGCTTACTGGATGATTAATTCTTGTAGCGCTGCTTTCCCTTATGCGATGAACTTGACAGGTCAGTTGGTCAGTGGCCATACAAAACAATCATTCACGAATAGCGCAGTTTTAATTGCATTTGCTGTTGGAAATCTTGTCGGATCTTTCTGTTTCAACGCAAGTGATGCTCCGAGATATACTCATGCTCTTGCAACAATTATGGGTTGTTTTGCAGCTTGTATTGTCATTGGTGCCGGTTTAGGTATCTACATTTTTTACGAAAACAGAAGAAGGGACAAACTTTACGGCAATCCAGATGAGGATGAAACTTTGAGGCTAGAAGGTATTATCGATGGTTTGAAGGATAAAACGGATTCTGAAAACAAGAATTTTAGATTTGTGTACTAATCTTTTGTTAACTTCTATTTTTTGTGTGTTTTTTATGACTGTATAGTTAAGCTATTTTTGAATTACTGAATGATTTTGAATTAAATTTTACTCATTGTCGAAATTCGCAGGAAGTGTGTAAAGACCGAACTACCACATAGCTGTCACTACGCTGCTATGAAAAAGTCAGTAGTCATTATTTTCCCAAATCATAATGAAGCACCAGATAAGAGCATGATAAGCACCAGATAAGAGCGTGAAGTTTTACAAATATTTTTCGGGAACAGGATGGTATTTTCCGCCGTGTTATTGAAAATAGGAGTGATAACGCATGGACTCTAAAAGAGGGTTAAGCGATACTTATTTTGGCAACATTGCCTTCGGAAGTCCATTCCCTTGATTTACTTGCAGGAAGGGAAGAGCGAAAAAAAAGATAAGATTGTGAGGCCGAAGTCGTCGCTTATTCCATTTTAGGAAATCGAAACGGTAATCTTGCTTGATAGTAATTTCAATTTACCTTAAATCTAAGCGGTTTCCTGACTTCAAGTTAGATTTTGATGTAGCTTAATGATCCATACAAAATTCTAGATTCTATTCCTGACAGCAAAAACAATTTGATCAAATTCATTATGCCAGACGTCGTGTTTGATATCGTTGGTACTTGTATCTCTTATGAAAAATGTATTGAAGCCATTGAATCCAGACTTGGAGAAAGGTTCAAAAAATCAGGCATTGATCCAAGACTATTTTTTTTCTTCTGGTTAGCTGGTTGTGAAAGAGACTACTCTTATTTGTCGCAATGCAAACAATACCAGACTTTTGGGGACATCTTCAAATACACGTTTTACAGATCTTTGTTTTTTGCGGGAATCAAAGAACCAAGAGAATATGCAACTGATGACGACTTACAGTATGTTTACGACGAATGGCTTAAGCTTGAAGGTAGACCAGAATTGAAAGAAATGTTCAAGCGTTTGAGAGATTATGGCTTCACTATTTGGTGTTTGACAGATGCTTCACACGATAGAGTAGCTGGCTACTTCAAAAGATCTGACGTCTTCATGCCAGACGAAAACTTGATTTCTTGTGACTCACTCGGTATCGGAAAACCAGAAGCAGGAGTTTACAAATTTATTGCCGACAAGATTCCATCTTCGGGTAACGATGCATTTTTTGCAGCTTCTCATATGTGGGATTCGGCCGCTGCTAAGCAGGGTGGTTTCATCACAGCATGGTCTAATGTTCATGAGAAGGAGCCTTGTCTCGAAATTTTTGGCTCTCCTGATATTCTTGCTGAAGGTTTAGTTGACATGGCTGACAAAATCATTGCAAAACATAAAGAGCTATCTGGTAAATAATGCTGATTTAGTTACTGTAAGCGATATAGAATGCAATACTAAAATTAAAAGTAAATTTTGGAATGTTTTGATATTAAAGACAAGACTCATGCCAGAGATAAGGCCCAACCAAACTTCGTTGAAATTTCAAACCAGTAAACGCACTTGAGACCTTCCTTATTAATTTTCCAGGTGTGTTCTATAATAACCAAAATTCTTTGAAAGTTTTTCACAGGAAAAGAGTTTGACATCTGCAACACTTTTTCCGCGATAAAGGAACGGTCACATTTTGAAATACATGACATACCAGCCACAAGCAATGGAAAACAAAGTGAGGCTTGAACTTTAGATCCAAGGATAATACTAATACAAGGAAGCAACTCAACAACCAAAATCTGAATTTCTGGAGAGGCAGGTGGAATTTTTTTAACCAAAGTTTTGAGATAAATCAAAGCACTCAATCTAAATGCTTCAAACAACGTAAGATGATGTTCAAGGTCCTTATCACTTTTCAAGTAACAAAGAGACATTGCATGTGGTTTGGTGTTTTTCAGAAGCGTTTGCAAACTTTCATACTTTTTTTCCAATTGGCTGTACACTTTGTTTCTTGCTTTCGAAAATTCTTCATATTTGTACGCTTCCTCCAATTCCTTTAATCGTTTTTCTGCATTCTTCAATTTGACGAATGTATTCGTAATTTCTCCAATTAACAAAAATACCGGTCGCACACAACCCTGTAATGGGTCACAGACTAGGTCATTATCGATCACTGCAGGTCCAATTTCATTAGCATTGTTTTTAACGAAATAATTTTCGGAAACCGTACTATCCATACTTCCATACACTTTGTCTGATCCAGACTGAGTAGCTGACAATTCAAAACTTTTAACAGGTTCCGGGTCTGACATGGTTATATCCAGTATTTGACAATACTCAGCCATTGTGAAGCATGTTCCTTCAATATGGCTTATACTTGCAAGAACATCATGATATAAAAAATTTGATACAAGCCACTTTGTTTCTTTAAAATCACCCATACAATTTTTAATTTCCTTCAAATCTCCGTTTGACTGGTCCAACAAGAACTTATGCAAAGTTTTGAAGTATTTGTACCATTCTCTAACGTCTCCTGCACATATCAGTACTGCACACAAAATGGTATATAATGAAAAAATTGCCAGCTTTTCACTTTTAGTTGGCTCTTTACCTAATTCTTGTTTGGATAATATTACTGATTTCTTGATGTAGTCTAAAGGTATATGTTGATTTGACTCATCATTTAAAAAGACACCTGCCCACCCTATCAATGCATACAGGATTGACTTGTTGTTTTCTGCAAGCGGTAGATATAGACTCAAGAAAAAATTCGACTCTTTTGGTAATATCGATATTGTTTGAGATACACAAGTCCTGTAGTAATCCAAATACACAACCTCAGTGTCTTTTAACCCAAAAAGTAGCTTTTGCGAAGGAAACGTGTTCAAAGTGATTTCAAAAAAGGGTGTAGTGTAGTGTCTCTTACCGAGTTCCTGTTTCAAAGATTCCAGAAGGAATGAGTTTTTTTGCTTTTCCCTATCACTTTGTTCAATAATATTGCGCATATTTAAAGTGCTTTCCGTTATTTGTTCCTCCATAGCATTTTCACAACTATTAAGTAAAAATGATTTCTCCAAAGTTCGAATTTCAGCAGTTGAATCTAAATCTTCGAAATAAATGTCCGCTTTTCCTGAAAGCTTTGAATTTGGGTCAATTGTCATGCAGTCACCATCAGATGATTCACTCACAGTTTTTACAAGTTGCAGCTGATTTGGTTCTTGCTGTTTATTCCTACTCTTTTGGGGTTCTTGTTTGAATTCGGGCCATACGCATGGAATCCCTGTTTTCAAACAACGTCCACATGACGGCTTGATCTCATCACATCTTCTCTTTCTTCTTTTACACTCTTTGCAACCTTTTCTCGATCTTGAGTTTATACCCAGCCGCTTGTTCTCTGCATTCTTTGAGTTCCGAAAAAAAACATTGTGATTCTTCTTTCCTTTATCCGTCACTTTGCATGATATATCACTTTTGTCTAAAATAGACATGTTACTGTCTAGATCTAAAGTCGCAAACATTCTTTGAGCGTAAGAGAAAACGTTCTTGTTGCTTAAGCACTGGCTTTGTAGACCGATTAAAGCTTGAGTCATTAGCATACAGTTCCAGTTGAAGAAGGGTGACACTGGTTTATCTTTATGCGAACATGTGTATACATGAGTACGCGCCCTGATGACAAAATTCAAAAGATAAGGAACTTTCGAGGGCGGGTGAATAAACCCGAAAATATGGTCCGCACCTGGACAATCGGGAAATGGCACAGTAGTTTTCTTCCTAGAGATATTGACTACTCTGCTCACCATGCTGTTCTTCCTTCTTTTTGCCACTATTGGTTACAAAGCAACCTAATATAGCAGTATTTGTGTTTATCGTTGTTAGACAAATAGTTGTTCTATCCAAACCCTAGTTCTTGCCGCATTTGATAAAAAAGGAATTGTTAAGGCAGTACTAAAAAATACAGCTACCAGCCCTGTGGGCCACTCTATTCAAAAATTCATCCAGGAGATAACCAAAAGCTCAAGGAATAGTATGGATATAGAAGTACTAGGATCTATTGTTAGCAACCGCAGAAGCTTAGCCTACTCTAATTAGACAACCTTAGCGAACAACTGATATGCTCGGAGTTACGCGTGTACGTAAACAGGTGAATACCAGCTGCTAAATTCCAGAGACGATGTCATGTAATATTATTTTGATATCGCATGGCAAAATGTGATGATAATCGATTTTTGGTTATCTCATTGATTTATAGCACAGGCTCATTTTAGAGACACATGTTGAGATAAGAAGCCGAAGTCAATAAGTATCATTAAATTAGAGAAAGAGGCTTATAAAGACAAGGCATTAGAGAAGAGCCTTGTAATGACAATGCATCCGACAAGAGGCTTAGAATGACAAGGCATCAAGTAATCTAACACTGGAAAGATTAGCCGGCGTCATGAGTGTATAAATAGGAGAGGTTTTGTCTCCTAGCTGTGTTCAGAATTATTAGTTATTAAAAGTTGTATGTGTTGTTTTTAACTAAGCAACAAGAATAATATAAAGTGAACAATATCCATTGTATATTGTTCACTTTATATTATACTTATTGCTTATTAATATATAACTAATATAACTAATATAACTAACCTACAAACTAATACTCTCAAACATAAAAACAAGGGACAAACCTCTTGTATTTATACACTTATACCTTCGGTTAAACCTTCCATGATACATTCATCACTGCGGCTAGACTTTACATTATACATGTATCACGGCGGCTAACTTTCCAGTTTTAGATTACTAAGATGCCTTATCATGGTAAGATTCTTATCTCTTATCCCTCGATCTTTATTGGCTTCGGCATCTTATCTCAACAGGTTCTAGCGCATTTATGTAGCCAAAAAGAAGAAAAGAACTGTTTTTTTACTATATCAAGGGCTCAAGTGAGGATGCAGAAATGCTTATCTTTTACAAGGAAAGCATAAGTGGCCGAGCGGTCTAAGGCGACAGACTCAAGTTCTGTTACTGGTAACAGTGCGCAGGTTCGAATCCTGTCTTATGCACCCTTTCTTTCTAGCGGCCTTAGCTCAGTGGGAGAGCGCCAGACTGAAGATCTGGAGGCCCTGTGTTCGATCCACAGAGGTCGCATCTATTTTTTTCAAATTTTTGATCTGTGAATTATCAAGCTACATATACCGTTGGCAGTTATATTCCAACGTCAGTTTGTTTACGATATTTTCAGTAGGGGGCATTTTATTTCGATACATTGAACTAATAAAAGAAGTTTTTGAGGGTGAAATAAATAAATAATAAATAGTAATAAATATCGTTAAAAAAATGGCCAATCAAATAAAGTATTTAATCTGACAAGACATCAAGCCTATTTACCACCTTCGATTTTCTTAACTAATTCAATGTACTTCTTGGTAGAGAAGGACTTTGGTCTCTCGATAGCCATACCGATACCTCTGTCGACAATTAATTGAGGCAAGACACCGAAAGCTCTTGCAACACCAAACAAAACAGTGTAGTAAGATTGTTGGGTCAAACCGTAGTATTGTAACAAGATACCAGAGTGGGAGTCGACATTAGGCCATGGGTTCTTGGTCTTACCTTGCTTTTCCAAGACCTTTGGAGCAATTTCGTAAATGTTAGAGACTAATCTGAACATGTCGTAGTCTGGCATGTGCTTCAGTGCGAATTCTCTTTGAGCAGTATATCTTGGGTCAGTCTTTCTCAAGACAGCGTGACCGTAACCTGGGATGACTCTACCAGAGTTCAAGGTGGACCAGAGGTATTCTTCGATCTTCTTCTTGTCGTCGATTTCACCATTGATGGCCTTCTTCATGCTCATCAACCATTCCAAAACTTCTTGGTTAGCTCTACCATGCAATGGACCAGCCAAACCGTTCAAACCAGCAGCAAGGGAAAGGTATGGGGAGGATAAAGCGGAACCGACCAAGTGGGTGGTGTGGGCAGAAACGTTACCACCTTCGTGGTCGGAGTGAATGGAGAGGTACAATCTCATCAATTCGATGAATTCCTTGTTGTCACCGAAACCAAGCATGTTAGCAAAGTTGTGGGAGTAGTCCAAGGTTGGGTCGACAGCTGCAACCTTACCGTCCTTGAAGGAGTTTCTGTAGATCTTAGCAGCGACGTTTGGCAACTTAGCCAATAAGTCGATGGCGTCTTCGTAGGTGTACTTCCAGTATTCCTTCTTGTTGACACCGTCAGCGTAGGCCTTGGCGAACTTGGACTCGGATTCCAAAGCGTTGACGGCGATGGAGAACTGGGCCATTGGGTGCAAGTCGGTTGGACAGGTATCTAAGAGATCAACAACGTGCTTTGGCAAGGCGGATCTGGAGGCCAATTCGGCAGAGAAGGCCTTGGTTTGAGCAGCAGATGGGACCTCACCAGTCAACAACAACCAGAAAAGAGCTTCTGGCAAAGGCTCGGAGGAGCCCTCGGCCTTTGGCAAAGCCTTTTGGATGTCTGGAATGGTCATACCTCTGAATCTGATACCTTCCAGAGGGTCAAGAACGGAACCTTCCCAGACCAAACCCTTGATACCTCTCATACCACCGTAGGCTTGTTCGAGCAAGACTTCACCAATGACAGTCTTACCGTGCTTGGACTTCAACTCCTTGACTTCTGCTTGCCACCCTGGAAGGAGTTCGGCGAATCTTTCCTTCAAGGTTGGTTCGGCAGTCGAGTAGGCTCTGGTAGCGGACTTTGCGAAGTTTCTGAGAGACATGTTTGTTGTTTGCGAAATATAGAGTTGAAACGGATGGATCAAAACCTGCAGAAGGAGAAGGAGAAGGAGAAGGAAAAGAAAAAGAAGATACAGGGAAACAGAAAAAACACCCCAAAACCAATCCCAAACCAAAAACACAGGCAACAAACACCCTCCAACCACAGCACAACTTCGGACGGACGACCCGCTTTCAACAACAGGAAAGAATGGTTATATATGGGTTCCTGGTGTCGACGAGCTTCCCCGATGCGTGCTCCCGCCCGCTGCGGGTCGCCACCTGGACTCGCAAAAAGGTCATCAATTGCCTGCTCGCGTACGTAATCGCGCTTGCGTTCCACCGGCCGGGTCCCCTTTTTCGGCACCGAGACTGGGCACGAACGGTTGCGGGTCCGTTCTGAGCCTGCCGGGGCCGCCCGCGTGCCGGGGCAGCCGGCTGCCGGGAGCGAGCAACTCCGCGCATTAAACGCAGAGGCGGTGCCGGGGGGCGCCGGCAGAAGGGAAAGAAGGGAAAGCAGGGAAAGTGCGGGAGAGCTGTGGCGCAGGGGTGAGGAGTATCACGTGGAAAAAGGAAGGTACATCTGTGCACCAACAATGAAGGAGCTGACGTAAGCAAGCGAGAGGAACCACGATAGTTGCCAGGGATGAAGGCATACTCCAGAAGAAGGCCCTGCCACGCCTTGATGTGATCAGATGAGCATGGCTATCGTGGGCTCCGTCCTGGCACCAGTCCACAGCAGCCATGTCGAAGGTCCCCCGTAATTTCAAGCTACTGGAGGAGTTGGAAAAGGGCGAGAAGGGTCTAGGACCGGACTCGTGTTCGTACGGGCTCGCCGACCCCAATGACATCTCCATGACGAACTGGAACGCCACCATCCTTGGCCCGCCCAACTCGAACCACGAAAACAGAATCTACTCCTTGCGAATCACCTGCGGCAAGGACTACCCGGACCAGCCGCCCGTGGTGAAGTTCATCTCGAAAATCAACCTTCCGTGCGTGGACAAGACGAACGGCAGCGTGCTCCCAGACAGCTTCAGAACCTTGTCCAACTGGTCCCGGTCGTACTCGATCGAGATCGTCTTGTTGGACCTCCGCAAGTCGATGGCGGACCCGCACAACAAAAAGCTGCCCCAGCCAAAGGAGGGTGAGACCTTCTGAGCCTCTCGTGTGCCATACCCCGCCATATATCTTCGTTACACGCCCGTGTGTACATGTCTAGTCGTCTCTTTCTAAGTACTTCTATTCTACATACCCGCCGGCCTGGCCTTGCCCGCTCAGGTCACCCCATCTTGCCGTAGTACTGCTGTATCTTCTCCCTCAGAATCCGGTCCGCCCTCAGAAACTCCTTCACCCCGTCGTCGTACGCATACCGGTTGTCTTCCTCGCAGGTGATCTCGATGTTCCGATGCACCTTGGTGCCTTTACTGCCGTCTATGTCGAACCGACTCGTCGTGCTCCTGTGTAGCGGCGTCAACTTATACCCAATCACCTCCTTCTCCTTGTTTTCCAGACATCGGAGAAACATCCTCTTGAACGGTAGACAGTAAACTTTGTTCCCGTCGTAAGTGCACTGGTTCTGCAGCAGCTCATAGAGCTCGCAACCGCTGGGAATCTCTCCTCTCTTCATCGCCCCGCCACTGCTATCACTCCTATCGCCGCCGTTCAGTTTGGGGTACATGTTCTCGATCTCTTCTCGTGTGTATACGGGTAGTGCAGGAGCCATCCTTGTCTTAATGCTGTGCTCTGTCTCCCCTTTTAGAGCAAAAGCTGAAATGGCGGGAAGAAGATCCTGTTCTGCATACCACGCATTCCTAATGTAACATTTTCGTTTTCGTCATGTTGAAGTATCCCCCACACATGTTCGGATCACCCTCGTTTACACTTTTTTATAAAGAAACATGACCTTCCCGTTGGGGCTGTAGCTCTTGTTTTTCTATCCCCATGTGGGTCCCTTCGGGCCATTTCTTCTCCGTTCTGCTCCATTTGATCAAGGCCCTGCATTATACACCACAAATAATGTCTGCCTTTCCGTCCCAAGCATTGGAATCCGTTTTCAACAAATTCCCGCCCCCTCAAAACCCAAATTTCAGCTATGGGACAGCAGGTTTCAGATTAGGCGCTTCAAAGCTTGATTCTATAATGGTTGCAGTTGCATCACTTGCAATCGTCCGTTCACTCTCTTGTTTGGACGAGACGAGCACCCCGCAGACAATTGGTATCATGATCACGGCTTCCCACAACCCCCCACAAGATAATGGTGTGAAAATAGTCGATCCTTTGGGTGATATGCTTCCTCAGGACTGGGAACCACTGGCAACAAAATTAGCCAATTGTGCAACGTTCAAGGAATTTGAGAAGATCATAAAGCCCTTATGGACTAAATATAGCTCAGCGGCTTCAAGCAAACCAGCCAAATTGGTCATCGGAAGAGATACACGAGAGAGCGGACCAAGGTTACTAAGGATATGTACTGAGCTGTTCGATTCCTTCTCCGACAAGCTAGTAATTTACCGCAACTTCGAGGAATTGAGTACCCCCGAACTACACTATATAACCCGGTCATTTAATGACGTTTCTTTTGGCGTACCATCCGAATCAGGCTATTATGACAAACTATCGAACTCGTTCTTGCGTATCCTCAAACTATATGATATTTCACCTGACGTATTGGTTAGCACAACAGTTGATTGTGCAAATGGAGTTGGTGCAGATAAGCTTAAGGCGTTTTTAGAAACCAGCCCATCATTGTCCTCCAAGTTCGCAATTGTCAACTCCGACACGGCTGATCCATTGCAGCTAAATGTCCAATGCGGTGCCGACTTCGTGAAAACAAATCAAAAGTTGCCTAACGGTATTGATTCAGATTTAGCTTCTAAAGATTTAAGTCTATGTGCATCTTTTGATGGTGATGCTGATAGATTAGTATGCTACTTTTGTGACAAACCATCCAAAAAGTTTATTTTACTAGACGGTGATAAAATCGCAATTCTTTTGTCTAGACTTATTTCTACCTTGATTACTCAACTTCCAGAGAACAATTTGGAGATTGGTATCGTGCAAACAGCTTACGCAAATGGAGCGTCAACCAGCTATATTGTCAATAAATTGAAATTGCCATCAGTGTGTGCTAAGACAGGTGTGAAACATCTACACCACGAAGCTATGAAATTCGATATCGGAATTTACTTTGAAGCAAACGGTCATGGAACAGTTTTGTTTTCCGAGAAATTTACTGCCGAATTGAAGAAATTCGAAGGACATTCAAAAGCTGCCGAAGTTTTACTTTTGCTGAAAGAACTTATCAATCAAACAGTTGGCGATGCATTAAGCGACCTATTGGCCGTGGTTGCGTCGTTGGCAATACTCAAAGTAGATGCTGCAGAATGGGCAAATACCTATCATGATCTTCCGAACAAGTTATCTAAGGTGGTTGTGAAAGATCGTAATCTATTCGTGACTACTGATGCCGAGAGAAGGTTAGTTAAACCTCCAATTCAAAGTAAGATTGACGATTTTGTTTTGCAAACCAAACAAGGCAGGTCTTTCGTAAGACCAAGTGGTACGGAGGATGCTGTCCGGGTATACGCAGAGGCGGAGACAGAGGAAGAATGCCTGAGATTGGCTGAACAGGTTGTTCACCTTGTTGAAAACTACTCGTAGAAAATTAAAAAAAGATAAATTCCCCGAACACGTAGACAGTTCTATAATTTTCGACGCGTTATTTTTTCTTTTTCATCGTCATGGTTTTGTACTAAAGCTATATAGAAGCGGCATGCAACTTAGCTATCGTTATTATTCGAAGTTTCTACTCGGGAAATCTCACTATTTTCAACCAAACGAACAGATTTTTTGCTTCAAAGTACAATCGCTATACCAAACCATACTCATAGATCCAACAATGTTTGGGAATCTCTTGACAAAAAATGATGATCTAACTGCACCGGATAATAACTTAGATAGTCATGGTACGTTATTGAAGCCTTTTTATGTTTGCCAGCTATATGACTACATGACATATTTCAAATACTAACTATTTGCAAAACTCTTACTAATCCCACTCAAAAATTAAAACAGACCCTCCTATACCACTAGCCTCACAAAATCAGGCCTCTCCTGAGGCTAAAGCCACATCTCCGTTACATTTTCAAAATATGCCAAATGATAATGCAGTAAAAAACTCCGTACGACCAAAAGTTACAGAAAACGAAGATAACATATCAAAAGAGAACTTTTCATATTTATCTTCTAGAATGTCGCCTATGCCAGGTGCATGGACCGTTCCCGAAAACACGACTGTACAATTTAAGCAGCAAGATTTTGATCATTTCCTTGAATCTGAAAATGAAGATCTAGCTAACGGCCCAGTATTTGGACTGTATAAGGAGGATAAGTATTCCGGTAGCATGAATATCCGTGAGGTCCAGGGAATACTGAAAGAAGGAAGAAAAGCATCTGATAGTGATAGATCGATAATTCCAAGTTCATCTTCTGAATTTACTGAAGATGATTTTGAAAGCGTCGAAAGTTTTCCACTAGAAAATATGGGCAACGCTTTTTCTGGAAGCGTTTCTCCTACAGAAGGCTTACAATTCCATTCGATTAAAGACGTAGACCAGAACTCTACTTCTAGTGATATCTCCAACACCACATCTTCAATGCTAGATTCTTCGGTGCCAACCCAAGATCTCAAAAATATGATTTTGGAAAATAGCTTGAACGATCCACCAATCTTAGCTGCAGATAATGGATTTGATGATTCTACCCCTATTGTCGCACAAGATGGATTTGGAGGTAGCGATAAAACCCCTACTGCTTCATTTAAAGATGAAGAATTTGACAATGAAGACCTGAAACTTTCATCTGAAGTTATCAACGAGATATTCGATGATGGTAACGATAGTCCACCACCAGAAGAAAGTGCCAGAATACAAAGTGTTTCTTCAAGTGTTTACTCTGATTTCCCAGCAAATGTATTAAATGGCGCTAATTCACAGCGGCTAGCAAGTATTAGCTCTAGTGTCTATTCTCAGGTACCGGGACGTAAATCAGCGGGAGCCAATGAAGGACTAAGAAACTTTAGAATATCCTCTTTCAAACCAACTTTACATAAACATTTGAGTCGGCCACTACCGAATGAATCCATTAACGAAGCAAAATCACCTGGTTTGACAATAGATAAGGAAGATGATCTGCAGATACCTCCGAGGAGCAATAGAGCTTACAAAAATTCCACGTATGTGAACAAATATGAATTGGTATCCGAGAATGAAGCATTGGATTTCACAAACGGACATCAAAAAGATATTGAAAAGACTGACAACAGAGAAATGAAAATCATTAAAGACGATAATTTCAACGTTTCCAAAAATAGTGTTCAACCAAAAACTAGAGTTTCTGTTTTGAACCAGTCCATCTATCAAAGTCACTATGATTCTAAAACGGGTACCCCTTCGCAGACAACCATGCCTTTATCATCACTAGTATCTTCAAAAAATGCTCAAAACATACTTGCCACCCCTTCTACATCAAGCTATTCCCCAGACTTGTCTTTTACTTCATCATACAATGAAAGACATTCAGTCATGACTGATAATTCAGAAGACGAGGACGATGCATCTGCACTCTTTGTGACATCACTATACGCTTTCAGCTCTGATGCGTTGGAGTCTGAAAATGATTCTTCGATATGCTTGTCGTTCGACCAAGATGAAATTGCATTCACATATAATCTCGATGATTCTGGCTGGGGCGAAGTTACCTTGCTTTCTTCTCTCAAACGTGGTTGGGTACCGATGAATTATTTTAGGTCAACTGTTGCTACAGATATAACAAAAGATGATATTAAAAGTATGTCATGTAAGGAGCTGACCCAGACACGTACTCCTTTAAGACTGCTTTTGAAGTATGCTGGTACTTTTTTGTTGAACCCACAATCGAAACCAGTCTATATTGGCGGCGAACTCAGAGGCTATACTTTTGATGTGGAGTGTTTTAATGGCATAACTGACGGCTTGAGAAAGTTGCTGATTGACACAAACTGTATTTCAAGATCTAATTCGTTTGTTCAAACGAAACCTGTTGTCAGAAAAATGAGAAAGAAACTACTACGTGGTTGGGCAGATTTGATTGGAAAAATTAAGGACTACATGGGGACAATTGCTACGCCTAAAATTGAATATCTACAGCTATTAACATTTCATTTACTACAAAAAGCAATAACATTTCTAGACATATGGGGTCTAGAACAAGATAGAATAGACGAAGGATTAGAGTATCAAAAGGCAAACAGTTTGTCATTAACTGATAATAACACCAAATTAGCTTGGAACTCCCTTGAATTAGTCAGTCTCGATATTGTTTATCTAGATAGGCCTCCGATTGCTTCATACCGGGTAAATGAAATTTACAATCAACTTTTGACTTATTTATGTCTTATTGCTGGAAGAATAGATTTGGTTGAGCACAATCCAAAGAGTTTTACGGTAGTTGGAATAGTCATTGGGCATATAAATCTATTGGTTAATGAATTTTTCTTTATCATTAAACTACTCAAGAATACCTTGAATGAATCTGAGAATGAAGAGCAACGAATAAAAAATGTGAGCAAATACGGCAAACTAGGATCGCAAATGAATTTGAAGAGTCAAATTGGAGTTTTAGATTCTCAAACGGAAAAACTAAGACAATTGGTCGAAGAGCTAAATACATACATGAAGATCATTCATGATACTTCTTTCAAAAGTGTCCATAATCATAATGAAGGTTTTAACACCCCTACTAGCATCTCTAAACAAGATCAAGGTGATGTTTTATATTTTTATTCCAAAGAAGGAGGTGCTGTTGTGGTATGTGCTTGCAAAATGATTGAATTTTCGTCCAATGCATATAAGATCTTGAAAAACATGGTAAACATAACTGATGATCTTGTTTTACCAAACAACAGAAAATATCCAAATTATTTGGAAATGAACATCAAACCTGAGCATTTCATCAAAGAGTGTTCCACCGCTTTGGCAAACGACTCCAATATTCAAAAGCAGGTCAAAAGTTTCAAAAAATTGTCAATGACAGCAGGACAGAACGGAAATAAAATGATATCAAATAGGTCTAGTAATAGATACTCAGTCTTTAAAGCGGGAAAGTCAACAGATGTTCAATTAAGTTCAAGTGGCCTGGACTTCCTTTCTCACTTTGAGTCAGAAAGTTTACAAAACTCTCCATTTTTGAATGGCCAAGAGTTTGAAGACAATGTTAAAGATATTTCTGATTATGAGTTTAATGCCGAACAAGAAATATTAAGAGCCGAGAAAAGTAACAATATCATAGGTGCCTCATTCAAGGCGCTTGTATTCTTGTTAACTGATGAAAATAACCCCCCTGACTACTTTTTTACTTCGACCTTCTTTTTAACATTTAGAATTTTTGCCGATGGTACACAACTATTGGATGCATTGATTAAAAGATTTGATGTCAATGATGACTATAAAAATCATGCCTCAAATTATAATAGCTCTGTTTCAGAATCGAAAATAAGAAGCAGGAGAAAACTGGTTGTCAAGTCGTTTCAGTTCTGGTTAGAGAGTTATTGGAAATGTAAGTCCGATTATGTATTACTTGCCCCAATCATGAATTTTTTCAACGAAGGCATGAAATCTTTCTTACCTATTGAAACTTACCAGCTACTTGTGACTGCTTCGAAACTTATAGGCCATCCACCAATTGAAAACATTAACGATAAGCTGAATTATTATAACAACATCTCAAATAATCAACAGCTACTACCAAGAAAAATTTCCTCAAAGCTACATAAAAAGACACTTTCTAGGCTGTCTCTTGGGGCTGAAACTAACGGCTTACTAGGAGAAATTGAAGCATATAATTCCTTTTTAGATGACATTGACACTTATGAATTGAAGGAGGTTGAGAACCAAAAGGCTGAAAGTAATATTCGTGCCTCTTTGAATCTAAACTTGGATATAGAATTGAAGAACTCTAATTCTAACTCCATATTACTGACAAAACAGCAAATATCTATGATTAGGATGGTGGTTATGTCGTATAGGAGGATGTTGGGTACGCACTGGAATTTGAAACACAAAGAAAATCAATTCGAGCCTATGGACACTCAAACTTTAGTTGAAAGTTGGTGGGGTGCTTCTCAAGAAAGCTGGAAAATCTTGAATGATGATTTAACCCTTTTGAATTTTAATGGCTTGGAAATTGCTAAACAACTAACACTGATTGAAAACAAGATGTTTTGTTCAATTCAGGCTGGTGAATTGTTGAACCAAAATTTCACAACTAAGAAGTTACACTTGAACTTATCTCCCAATATTCAAAAATCGATTCTTTTCACCAACTTATTGAGCGACTATGTGATTGAAAGTATACTCAAACCTGGACTACAAATGAGACAGAGAATTCACGCTATCAAATGCTGGCTAAAAATTGCAATATCCTGTTTATATTTGAGGAATTTCAACTCTTTAGCATCGATAATGACATCCTTGCAAAGTTTTTTGATAACACGGATTACCAAAATTTGGGAAGGGCTGTCGGATAAATACGAAGAGCTATTTCAGTACCTTGCATCTATTATTCATCCAAACAGAAACTATAACACTTATCGTGAGAAATTGAGAGACTTTTTAGCTACAAACCTGCAAGAAAAAATAGATATACCAACTGTTCCTTACTTATCATTGTTTTTGCAAGACCTTACCTTTGTTGTGGATGGTAATCCGAACTATAGAACTAATACAAAATCTTTCTTGGATGAGAAATTGATAAATATTGATAAATACTTCAAAATTACAGAGATCATCTCCGATATTCAAACACTTCAAGTATCCTACAAAGATGTTGGGGAACTCGGTTCCATCTATAATGATAAGAATACTGATATAGTGAGATCCGAGACTATCAAAAACTTGAGGAGTCAGTTTGATCAAAGCCAAGATGTTTCATTTGCAGATATGTTTGATATTACTGGGGTGCCTGTACTTCAGGAATTAATTTTGTTGGAGATATGGAAAGTTAAACAAACAAATGCAAGGGACGATGATAGGAGTTGGAAATTGAGCTGTGCTATACAGCCACGTGAAAAAAACTAAATAAAACTTTTCACTTCTCATAAAGTTCGAAGTGATACCTAAATGTACCTTTATATACAATGAATAATAATATTTAAAACTTTAATTAAATCTAAAGAGCTCTATTTCTTAGATTCACCAATGAAGTTGATAGCTGAACCCGCTTTAAAGAATGCCACTTGGTCAAGAGACATTGTGTGCTTACAGTCAATGACAAAAGTTTCTCCATTTTTCTTTGTTACCTGCATCTTGATAATACCACCATTATCACCATTCTTCTCAACCATATCTTTTAAGTTCAAAGTTTTCAAAATATCTCCAGTACTCAGTTTATCGTAATCAGCCTCATTTGCGAAGGTTAGTGGCAACATTCCCTGCTTCTTTAAGTTGGTTTCATGGATACGAGCAAATGATTTGGTGAGGATTATTTGACCACCAAGGAATCTAGGTTGTAAAGCTGCATGCTCTCTTGCCGATCCCTCACCGTAGTTATGCTCTGCAACAACAATCCATGGCCTACTTTCTTCTTTCCATTTCATCATGAGGTCCGGGATGGAGAATTTGGTACCATCTAGATCATAAATAGTATTCACTTCACCTGTTTCTTTGTTAACTGCACCAATCAAGGTGTTGTTAGAAATGTTGGACAAATGACCCTTATACTTCAACCACACACCAGCTGCTGAAATGTGATCGGTGGTACATTTACCTTCGACTTTCAATATAACAGTGGTCGTTAGTTCTTCACCATTCCATGGCTTGAATGGTTCCAAAAGTTCCAAACGGTCAGACTCGGAACTGACATTAATCTCTACTTCCGGCTTTGGCTTTGGTTCGAGTTCAGGATAAAACTCCTCTCTTCCTCTAATGAAACCACTTGAAGGTAAGTCTTCACCATTAGGTGGGTTGAATTTGAAACTCTTACCATTTCCGATATCAATGGAATCTTTTAGTGGATTGAAGTTCATTTCACCAGAATAGATCATTGCGGTAACGATATCAGGAGATGTAAGGAAGTTCATGGTTTTTCTGTTACCGTCATTTCTAGCTTTGAAGTTTCTGTTGAAAGAGGTGAAAATGACGTTATCATCCTTTGGAGCATTTGCACCACGATCCCATTGACCGATGCAGGGACCACAAGCATTTGCAAGAACAATAGCATCATTCTTTTCAAAAACTTCAATAAGACCATCTCTTTCCATGGTTGCCCTGATTTGTTCAGAACCAGGAGTAACAAAAAATGGAATTTTAGGTTTCAACCCTGCAGCTTCTGCTTGCTGCATAATAGACACAGCTCTGGTCATGTCTTGGTAGGAAGAATTTGTACAAGAACCGATCAAACCTGCAGAAATTTGTTCGGGCCAATTATTTTTCTTGGTAGTATCTTTAAGGTCGGATATTTTGGTCGAAAGATCTGGAGTGAATGGTCCATTGACACTTGGTTCCAACGTGTTCAAATCAACTTCGATGACCTCGTCATATTTAGCACCTTCATCAGCTTTGAGGAAACCAAAGTTATTATTAACCGATTTAGCTAATTCTCCAATTGGGCCTCTGTTGGTTGCAGCTAGATATTGGTAATGTGCCTCCTGCATTGGGAAAGTCGAAGTGGTAGCACCAATTTCTGCTCCCATATTACAAATGGTGGCCATACCGGTACAGCTTAAGGTTTCCACCCCTTCACCGAAGTATTCAACTATGTATCCAGTACCACCCCTAACAGTTAACTTACCTGTCAAATGTGTGATGACGTCCTTTGGAGAAGTCCAGCCAGACATTTTCCCAGTCAACTTGACTCCAAGAATTTTTGGGGCTTTAAGTTCCCATGGAGTACCGGTTAAGGCGTCGACAGCATCAGCACCACCGACACCGATTGCAATCGCACCTAAACCACCAGCGTTAGGAGTGTGAGAGTCTGTACCTAGCATCATCAAACCTGGGACCGAAAAATTCTCAAGGACAATCTGATGGATAATACCAGAGCCCGGACCCCAGAACTGGATGCCAAATTTCTCACCACATGATCTGAGAAATTCAAAGACTTCTTTGTTGGTTGCAATGGAACTGGTCAAATCTTCTTCTGCACCATTCTTACCAACAATCAAATGATCGCAGTGGATAGAAGCAGGAACAGCAGTCGATGCCATACCGCATGTGATGAACTGCAATAGTGCCATCTGTGCAGATGCATCTTGCATAGCGACCCTGTCTGGGTTAAGTTTCAAGTACTGAACACCTCTGATATCTTTGATGTTCGATGCGAGTTCATCTGGGTTGACCAAGTGTGAATACAAGATTTTCTCAGCATAAGTTAATGGCTGGTTGTTTAGAACACGCTTAACTTGGCTCAAGTTCTTCAAAAGCTTTGCATAAGGTGGAGTTCTAGCCTCATATCCTTGTGGAGATTTGATCGATTCTAGGTTTAATGCTGTTGCAAAAGAACGGGACGTAGACAACGCCCTTGCTCTGGTACCGTTACTAGCGTATGCCAACATTGTTTTGGTTGAGACGAGGATAGGGCTCAAAGAATGGTACTGTATGGCGTTCTACACCCCCTGTTCCAGCAGCAAGTTTGGGTCGGCCATGTCGAGCAATGGGTGAATTTTTCAGATAACAGGCCCCCCACCATGCGTGTTGCCGGTACAGGCTGAGTCACCTACCGCTTTCCCTCCTCGACGGAGAGAAAAATTTGTTTTCCGCAATATCTTCTGCCAATCATCGCCGCTGGGAGATAAACTGCCCAAAGAGGAAACGCGCTAAAGAGAAAGAACCGGATTTTTGTCTTTCATACATTACACATCTATAGAGATCTGTTTAAAGAGCAGTGGTGGAGCTTATGTGAAGCAAGTCAAAGGTGTCCAAGGGGTGGAGGTCAAAGCGCCTCGGGTAGTTGTTTTGTGCACGCGTATATTCCTTTTGGGCCATTGCCCGCACAAGCCCAAGCAAGTCGAGGGCCACCTTCTCCCTCGAAAGACTGTAGAAGGTGTTGGCAGGATGCTTCTTGTTGTAGTCATCGCCGTCCATGTACCTGCATGCCTTGGAACGAGATCCGTTTGAAAAATACTTCGAGGCATAGAACTCGATGCATGAGTTTCTGTCGGTCTCATATCTGTCGCTGATTCTTCCTTCAACGATGCCAAGGTCGCCTGCGAGGTCTTCATCAATATATGAATCGGCGTCATCACTGAATTTACCTGCCTTCGTGAAGTAGTCCAAGTCCATTTGATACTGAATATTGTTGAGTTGTTCCAAATTCGACTCATGCTCGGTCACATTGGTAGTGTCCTCGTCATTGATCGCCGTAACGTTTGTCAAACCCACGTTTGACAAGTCGAAATTGTATGAAAACATTTGTAGCTGCATCAGAGATTTCCTCAAATCCATGGCTGAAAGTTCATTCAAAACTTTGCTGTCTATATTCAAATTTCTAGAAAGCGCAAGCATATTCAAATACTGGTAGATCTCGTTTTTTGGAATTTTGTCAAACCTGTAGACAGTGGATTCATCGACAATGTGTGTGGGTATTTTTTTCAAATCACTGGTGATGAATACGACTGGCCTATAAGAGTAACTTAGCAAGTCGGTAGCGCCCGACCAGAAATCTTTATCGTCATCATCGATAAGATCGACATCATCGAACAAAATCACGGTTTTGTCATTATTGTAGGATTTTGATCTTTGCACCATAGAAGTTGTGCCGATCTGTTTCAAATGGAAATCTATTTCCTTTCTTGCTCTCGATTGACTGGAGTTAAATTCGAAAACAAAACCATCCAACTCGTCGTCAACTATGGAGTGGATCATGCTTGTTTTGCCACACCCCAAAGGGCCTTCGATTATAAGGGAGGGCACTGTTGTAGAGAAATCATCCAATTCATGATCCGTTTCTTCGTGGTCTGAGAAAACAATGAATGAATCAAGTTCTTTGGTCGAGGAAGACTTCTTTTTCGTCAACTTTTCTTTCCTTTTGACCTGATTGACCTTTTTCAGGTTGCTGAAGGCTGTAGTCAACCAGTTGAACACATCATTTGCAATGTATTGCTTTTGCAGAGATCGTGAGTGCTCATGTGGGCGATATAAATCACACCATTGATTTACTGTATCTTGAGCAAGCGATTGGCAATATTGGGGATCGAAAAACTTGTTGTATCTTTCGTCGAACTGGAGATGCCGGTAACTGTTTGTTATAGTCTGCATATTCAAGTTTGGTTCTGTATCTATTGTGACGACATAGCCTTTATGTATGGACTCACGACTTGAAGATATATCTTTGTATAATGAATAAAACAGCAGAAAGTCAATTCCGCTGAAACTCAGATCTGGAATGATTATCTTTGTTTTCAAAGGTAAACCTAGATGCAGGCAATGATCGTATAATGATTTTAGTTGTAGCATTTCTGGCGGCGAGAGATTTCGAACCTTGAAAGAAGACCTGTCTGGCTTCGGTAAAGTGTACGACCTCTGTGCTATGGATGCTGGCTGGTCCCTCTCATCTCCATTGTGGAAAACTTTCATATCTGATTTCGTTTTCAGTCGCTGGAAAACTTCTTTGAAAAAAGGGTGTGGTGAGGAATTAGCATGCACTTTGGGTTTGGAAACGGCGTTCTTCAGTAGACCGGAGTCTTTAAATTTGAGGGTGACTATATGTGCTTGTTTCGGGGGGACCTTGAGCTTGACCATGAATGTTTTCGGTTTGTTCTTGTTGTTTTTGTTCCCTGTCAATAGTTCTGACAAGTTGACGCCCTTCTGAGAAGGAGAAGATTTTAGCCTTTCTGAGTCCGGAGATGGCACGGCATGTGGTGGGCCCAGGATCTGTTCCCTCGATTCTTCCACCGTCTTCTCATTTGTGTCTTTATCGGATGTTTTCTTTGCGTTTATAGAAAGCAGTATCTGGGCTGGGGTATACGATTTGGGCGGCATCTTGGGGGGAGCGTCAGTATCCACACACACCATGATATCTGTGTGGGCAAGACAAGTTGTTTTCGGGACGCAAGAGGAAGTGTGACGGGGTTTGGAGTCCAGAATGACGATTGAAACATCAACAGAAAAGCGACACCAAAAGCCTGATGATAGGAAGATGAAGAGAGCACGCGTGTAGGGAGTCCTCCGGAAAACGCGGATTACATAAGCATAGAAAATAACAACAAACTTTTCAGTTGTGCTACGACAGACTTTGGAGTGATACACGGAGTTTAACGTCGAGCCAGGCCTCGGTGTTTGGGCAGGCGACGACAGTGGCAGGCGGGGGGAGCAGGCGGGTTGTTGGTACAGGCGGAAGGCCATGTGTGTCTTTCTACACGGTACGAAAAAAGAGGCAGACAGGGGGCAACAGAAGCGCCAAGGATGCTGGCCCGGCGTGGAATAAGGCAGTTGTTCTTGGGAACCACACGTGGGATTGCCGGCATGAGCAACAAACGCACGATCAAGATCGACTCAGTGGAGCCAAGGAAGTACGTGAAGAAAGACGGCGGCTCCGGGCAGCCGGACTCGATCGACAAGCTGTCGAACGTGACGCTGTCGGACGAGCAGGTGCAGGTGAAGGACGACATCATCCGGTTTGTGAAGGAGAGCATCCGCAACCACCGCGAGGGGGACCTGCCGCGTGTGTACGTCATCAAGGGCGGCGCCGGCACGGGCAAGTCTGTGGTGCTGAACAACCTGTTTAACGAGATCCAGAAGCTGAACCGCAAGGTCGGCGACGAGGACCTCAAGGGCACGCGCAACTACCTGGTGGTGAACCACCCGGAGATGATCCGGCTCTACCACCGCATCGCGAGGTCGTTCGCGTACCTAAGCAAGCGGGACATCGAGCGGCCCACCAGCTACATCAACCAGTTCGCCAAGGACCGCCAGAAGAACAAGCGCCTGCTCAACGACCTCGTCATAGTCGACGAGGCGCATCTTCTCGCCACGTGCAAGAACGCCTACAAGAAGTTCTACGGCGAGAACCACCTCACGGAGATCATGAAGACCTGCAAGGTCGCCGTCGTGGTGTACGACGAGCGCCAGACCTTGCGCACCGACCAGTTCTGGGCCGAGCACAGCGCCCACGGCTGTTCGCTGGAAGACGTGCTGCGCCAGCACAGTCGTGAGCACCGCGAGTACGAGCTGCAGCAGCAGTTCCGCATGAACCTCAGCAACGCAAACGAGGACAACACGGACGTGCTGCAGTGGGTGCAGCGGGTGTGCTTCCAGCGACACGTCCAGCCCGTGCCCCGCGAGCGGCTCGGCGGCCACTTTGAGTTCAAGGTGTTTGACGACTGCCAGCAGATGTACGAGCGCGTGCGCAGCAAGAACGCGCAGTACGGCCAGTGCCGGATTCTCAGCACCTACGACTACCCGTACCGCATCAGCGGAGACCGCGACTGGTATGTGACGGGCCGCGGCGGGTTCCGGCTGCGGTGGGACAAGTTCACGCCGGGACACACGGTGCCCTGGAGCGAACGCGACTACACGATCGACGAGGTGGGCAGCGTGTACACGATCCAGGGCTTCGACCTCAACTACGTGGGTGTGATCATCGGGCCCAGCGTGGACATCGACTGGGCTGCCGACACCGTGAGTGTGAACGCTGCGGCGTACGAGGACCGGGCGGGCACGGTGCGGCGCGCGGGGCTCGACCGCGACAAGGCCGTAGAGACGATTGTGCTGAACTCGCTGTACGTGCTGCTGACGCGGGGGGTGCGCGGGCTGTACGTGTACGTGCACTCCGAGGGTGCTGAGCCGCGGGCGGGCGAGAGGGGCGAGGGAAACGTTTAGAGCATTCATCTTATATATAGACAAGCGACAGACGCAGTAACAGACGCACTGCTTATAGTGTTGTTGATGACGAGGCCAATAGGCGTGTAAATACAAGAGGTTTGATGTGGTTGGGGGTATTAGTGTGTAAGTGAGATATCAGTTCTATACCATGAGCGGTAGAGACGACCTGCATCTCGCCGCCAGGGAGAAACGCGTTGGAAGATTGCCAGACGTACGTACAGCAGGCTGAAACGGTCGGACCTGGTGCGGCACTCGTCGTCCCGACCTCGAGCAAAAGAAGGCGCTCCGCTGACGTCAGCGGTGCGCCGACGTCAGCGCCCGTCGCCACTTGCCCGCTGACGTAAGCACCTCCCCCGCCAACGGTCCTTCTGTTTCCGCCCCCCCGTTGCCCCCCCCCCCCGTGCCAGCCAATCGCCGCCACGCCTATTTAGACTAAAATAGACTTCTCTCGGGCGCCCCGCCGCGTCGTCGATATCGGCGATACCGGAGACCCCGCCGCGCACCACCTGCGTACGCCCCGCATCCTGCTTTTCACGCTCTCCTATTTGTCTTTGCGGCCCGTCCAGGGGCGGCCAGCCTGCCCTGGGCATGTCTGCAGCCGCCGCAACAACTTGTAGGCCCGAGCAGGGCAGGTGGGTTGTCCGGCTCCAATTTGAGCGCTGCCCTCCCTAGGTAGGTTTTGTCTGCCTGCGACGGGCCCATAGCTTGCGGCCGGCACCGTTGGCAGTCGGCGCGGACACTATCCCCCCCCGGGTGCTGTCAGCAGCGGGCAGCGGTGGGCCCGGAAGCTGGCGCTGGCGACGTATCGGGATGCATGCAGGCAGCATGCAGGTAATGCAGGCCGGTGGGTTTTTCAGCAGCAAGAGACGCAGAGTAGAGACAGAGATGATATATATATTCCGGAGACATTCCCTGCTGGCGGTGATGTTGGGGGATCAGCAACGGCAACGGCAACAGCAACAGAAGCAGCCTCTTCGTTTTCCATCCTCCGAGTACAACCGCTGTCCACGCCACCATGAAGTTCGCCAGCTCGTTGCTTTCGTTGGCCTCTCTCTCCAGCCTGGTCCTGGCCGAGACCCACCACTTCCAGTGGAACGCTACCTACTTGACGGAGAACCCGGACGGGCTCGCAGAGGTGAGCGACATTGTCGGGTGCAACGGCGCATACCCGTGGCCAACCATCAACGTCACGAAGGGTGACCGGGTGGTGATCGACCTGTACAACGGCCTGGGCGTGGCCAACACGTCGATCCACTTCCACGGTCTCTTCCAGCACCACAACAACAAGATGGACGGTGTGCCGGGCTTGACGCAGTGTGAAATTCCTCCCGGCGAGTCGTTCACCTACAACTTCACCGTGCCCGACCAGGTCGGCACCTTCTGGTACCACTCGCACAGTAAGGGCCAGTACATGGACGGTATGAGGGGTGCGTTCATCATCAGTGACCCGGAGAACCCCTACGCAGAAAAGTACGACGAGGAAAGAGTTATTCAGTTGTCCGAATGGTACCACGACAACATCACCACCTTGACCAAGTCGTTCCTCAACGTGTTCAACCCCACCGGCGCAGAGCCAATCCCACAGACCCTCTTGATGAACGGCTACATGAACAGCACGCTTGACGTCGAGCCAGACAAGACCTACCTCCTCAGAATCATCAACGTCGGAGGTTTTGTCTCCCAGTACTTCTCTGTCGAAGACCACAACCTCACGATTGTCGCCGTCGACGGTGTTTATGTAGAGCCGAACGAGACGGAGGTTGTCTACATTACTGTCGCCCAGAGATACGACGTCTTGCTTAAGACCAAGAAGGACACGTCCAAGAACTATGCCATGATGCAGTTGACCGACATGACCATGCTTGACACCCCAACTATCATTACCGCCAACGTCACCAACAATCTTCAGTACGACGCCTCGAACGGGTGGCCTGAAGAAATCGAGGTCGACATTGAGGAGTTCTTCGACGATTTCTGGTTGACCCCTGTCCACGACTACGAAACCTACGATGACTATGATCACCAAATCACCATCGACGTCGTCATGGACAACTTGAACAACGGTATCAACTACGCCTTCTTCAACAACATCACCTACGTCGCTCCTAAAGTTCCAGCCCTTGGTACCGTTCTTTCTGCACCAAACGACACCGTCTCCTTGCAACAGGCCATCTATGGTTCCAACACACACTCCTTCGTCTTGCAAAAGGACGAGATTGTCGAGATTGTCTTGAACAACAACGATACTGGTAAGCATCCTTTCCATTTGCACGGTCACGTCTTCCAGGTTGTCGAGCGTGGTCCAAACTACAAGACCGCTTCTGACCCTGTCAACTACAACGAATCTGCGCCTTACACTCCAAGAGATAAGCCAATGGTCAGAGACACTCTTTACGCTAACCCTCAGTCCTACTTTGTCATCAGATTCAAGGCCGACAACCCTGGTGTTTGGTTCTTCCATTGCCATATTGAATGGCATTTGCTTCAAGGTTTGGCAATTGTCCTGGTGGAAGACCCAGCCGGAATCAGAGCCAACGAAACCGCTTTGCCAGAAGACTGGAAAGACGTTTGCAACTCTTGCGGTGGTCACGTTGGTAACGCCGCCAACAACAGTGTCGACTTCTTCAACTTGGCTGGTGAAAACGTCCAAGTTGTTAACTTGCCAGCAGGTTTCACCACCAAGGGTATCGTCGCTCTCGTTTTCTCATGTATCTCCGGTGTCCTTGGTTGCGCCGCAATTGGTATCTACGGTATGGCTGATATTCCAAACATGGAAGAGAAGGTTATCCAAGATCTGGATATTGATGAAAGAAAACTGCTTGAAGAAATGGACGAACAAGATAACTTGGAAGAATCAAACTCTTCAAGTGGTAGATACTCAGATGATGGCGCTAACGGTAAAAGATTCTCCGATGATGTTAATACTACATCAAAGAGATATTCTGATGATACCACCCCTATCCAGGAATATCACGAACTAGAAGACGTTGACAAGAAGAGTTAGTATCACTATCGCTTGTTTGATGTTTTCTATCTTTTCTTTCTTTTTCCCCCATCTACTACGTTTACAAGGTCTTTAAGTGATCTATAATCTGTCTCTTTTCCCTTTCTCTGTTTAGTTTAGTTTAGTTTTCCTCTTTTACCTTTTTTTTCATCGTTATAAAAATTAATTTTAATATCCTAAATTTTTCATAAAAAGAACTATATTATGGTACAGCTCGGTTTGTTCCTTTCTAAGCCAATGCCTCCTCATCGTATTTTAGTTGAGGGTTCAGGTATACTGATTGTACTTGATCGAGGATAACAATAACAAGTACCGTACCAATACACCCAACAGCAAACCATCTATCAAACCAATCGTTCATGAACTTAGCATTTATATCGGAAACAATAGTAGCAGATTTCCTAGCGTCCCATTCATTCTGATTTATCGACAACTGTGATAAATGAATCGGCATATTGGCGGAGTTCAACAATAAAGCTGTGGAGACAACATATATACCAGTAATCTCGCAAACTAACAAATATGTCAATTCATTGAAAATGTTGAACTTTAAGAGATTCCCGTCTTTATTCATGAATTTAAGTGTCTCCTGTGTTTGTGTTAAACGTACAAAATTGTCCCGTAGTTTGTTGAAAACTTCAAATTCCGATAATCCAACTAATTTCCTACTAAGCGTCTTGAAATTCTTGAAGGTTAGCACAACATTTTGAAAGGAAAAGCTAAAGAAAACGAGAGAAATCACGAAATTGACGATCATCGTTATTCGTCCTAAAGTCTCCTCATTATTTTCAACAATGTCATCAAATGATAAAAGTGATCTTGTTTTCCTGTCATTTAAAAAATAAACTAATAGTATTTTTGCAATCATACTAGATAAGAAGTCTCCACTACCGTTGCCGAATTTTTCTGAATCAGTGGTGACACCATCAGATTTGTCGATTGCTCGATGTATATCACCCAAAGTGAAAAAGACCATTGTCACTGCTAGTACAATCCCACTCAATGCCTTGTAAATACAGTAGGTCCAAAACATGAATTTGGTACAAAGTTGGATACCATGACAGTTTTGCTTGATTAGGCTGACGTCTCTTGCAAGGGAATCAATTTTGAATAACTGATCCCGAATCATATCATTGACTTTACTTTCATTGGATTTTGCAAGCAGAGCATCTAAATTCCTCAACTCATATGACAATTCAAGCTCTGTTTTCTGTAGTTTAAGCTCTTCTTTGCCGAGATACCAGTCCAGTGAGTCAGAACACCCCATTATGCAACCCATACCATTCAATATGGATAGACAACAGACCCCAAATAACGACAACAGATAAAGCGACAATTGGGAAAAGTTCCCATTCACTTCTTTCGTAACGGTGACAAAGTATAACATACATATGAACGAACCCCATATTATGAAAACTCCGATAAAGCCAATGATGTTTTGAAGTAATTGGTTTCGAGTAATGTACTTGTTCCTGTTATTCGAAAATATCCACGTGTACAGTATGCAGCTTGGTATCAAATACGTCAAAGAAAAGGTCAAAATAGATAGCGTAACATACCAGTCAAAATGACGAAATTCAAAGTCTGTCACATCCAATATATCAATCAAGAATAGTTCAATCAGCTGCAGTGAGAAGGACATCAGCAAGTCGAAGGAGACATTTGAGATCTTCGAATAATACTGAAGATCCGGAGATTTGGACGTTTCTTTGCTCTTCGAGCCGAGAGGCTTTAAACTTTCAATCTTATTGAGGGATATTTGTTGGTCCAAAGTGAACTCTTTCAAGTATGAATTAATGGAATGCACCAGTCTCACCTCATTTGTTGTGAAGAGTAGCGGTAATAGGGTCGGACGGAAGAAATTACTGCATAGGTGAAAATTGATAACATGAAGCCCCAGTAGAAGAATACCACTGTAGCAACGATACACAATTGATGCCATTGGTTAGTGTTTTGGAATTCAGACGACTGTTGCTCGAGATCAAGCCCAAGCCTTTTCCAACAATAGTTGGCAGCATACAGATCTCATCTATAGCAATCAATGAAACTCTGGCTTCACGGAAAACTTCAAGGTGACGCGGTTTATGCAAAAGAGCTCTCCGCCTCGGAGGGAAGCTTGATGCGTTTTATACTTTAATATTTTCGTACTTTTGCGAACACATGAATCATGATAATACATGTAATCAGTTGTACCTACTTAAGACGTATTCTACACTGAAAGCTATGAAAGGGGTAAAGATGCTCAAATCAGTTCACGATCTTTTCATACATCCAATCAACAATCATACTCCACTTATCTTTGAAGATATTACCCTGTGCAAAATCAACGTTTCCTTCGAGTTGTTGGAACTCAAACTTCCCATCTTTTGTAGCCAAATCTAAATTATCGTTATCTTCTTCACCACCATCCTTACCGGCAAGATCAACTTTACTTAGCCCACGTAGTTTCAACTGGTAGATTTTACTGACTTCAGCCTCTAGCATTTCTTTGATTTTGGAGCTTTTCTTACTTGTAAACAAATCGTTCTTGTTGGCGAAAACAAGAATATCGACACCGTTAGGTTTTCCTTCTGTGATATTCATAAGCTCTAAAAGATCTTCGGCAGCTTGATGACAGCTTTTGGTGTCAAAATTACTTGAGTCAATAATGTAAATTATCCCCTGAACTGAATTGAGGTTAGCATGAAGGTGTGGTGTTAAATATAGTGTTTTAAGCTTTGGATTGGCAGGAAAGTCAAGTATCTCTATGTCTTGGAACGTTTTTTGATTGCTGTATTCTTCGCTTAGCTTGAGTTCACCCTTTCCAGGCTCTAACGTACTCACTGTTAAAACAGGTAATTTGCCTTTTGTCAAAAGATGAAATAGATTGGTTTTACCGCTACCTTGAAGACCGCATATAACAAAAGATCTTTTGTTTGAGGATATCAAAGAGTGTCTTTTCATCAAAAAGCCACCAATAAGGATTAACAGCAAAGTCACTAATATTGGTAAAATCAAGGATGAGGTTGGTGTAGTTTCGACCAGCGTCTCCACATTTGACTCTATCGCATATGCTTCGGCCTTAATCTCCTCCTTCAAAGCCTCCATTGTACCAATGTATTATACCAAGTTTTTTGATATTCTACCAAACAGTTAACTACAGGTAACCAGAATTGCACCGTACAACATCATGAGCGTTGGATAGATTATGATCAGTTCCTTCACGCCATTCGAGAAAATTGAATTTTTCATTTTTTCGAATTAGTCTCGAGCATTTATCACAATTAGCTACTTGAACTTCCCATTGTACCATATCATATACAGCGAAAAAAGGTCTATCTTATATTCTCTGTTAACTCAAAATTTTGTTGACATTCTGACTCCCTACTGTTTGAAGGATAATGGGAAAACAGTGAGTAGGCGAATTTTTTTGACTCTAAATAGGTGGAGAAGTTTATAAAGAGGGATAAGTAAGATTCAAAATAATAACAAAGCAGAAATGAAAGCAAGAAAAGAATTCGACAATAAAAACTTAAGGTAATGAATGAAATGAAATTTGGTCAGAAAAAGAGGAAGTACCGGACTATTCGAAAAGTTTTTCATCCGTGGCTTCTTCCTCAACAACCTGGGATGGAGCGTAATTACTGTTTTTAGCCCCAGAGGAGGATGTAGATTGCGATTCGGATTCTTCGTCTTCGTCAATGTTAGCGACAGGTCCCTTATACCATTTTCTGGCATCTGCAACGTACCAGCCACCAGCAGCAAAAAACACAAAGCCGAGGATGACGACGGTGTAGTTCATGTTGGTCTTGGTGACAGGCATGTAGTTAGGGAAGACAAAGACGATGGAGACAAAGACTGTCCACAGGCAACCATAGAACATGACGGGCTTGGAAAACTTGCCCATGTGGAAAGGCCCTCTAGCAACGCCCATTTTTTCTCTGTTCAAGGCAAATGCGGCGATGACGATGATGTACGACCAGTCGGTACAGATTGCGCAGGCGGAGAAGATGGCGTTCATAGCGATGGTGGAGCCCAAGTTGATCAATGTCAAACATGAGTTGATCACGCAGATCAACCAGACACAGCGGATTGGGGCTTCGGTACGTGGGTCGAGGTAGTACCAGAACTTGTAATAAGGCAAACCTCTGTCTCTGGAGAAGGACCATAGGGATCTGGCAGTGTAGCACGTTGCGACGGCACCACAGAACCATAGGACGACAAAGGCCAAGGACAAGAAAGCAGTGGCGCCTGTCTTGCCCATGGCAATATTGTAGATCTCGACAATAGGCTGACCGGTGGTGGTTTGCAAGATTAGGTCCATGTCGTCGCCCATGCATAGGGTGATGACGATGACAAGAACCCAGCCCAAGAGAGCGGTGGTGACCAAGGCGGAGCCAATGGCCAAAGGCGTGAGGTATGCTGCGTTGTGGACCTCTTCGGACATTCTAGATGTGGCATCGTAGCAGGTCATGACCCAGGAAACCTGCAAGAAACCGAAAAGGAAGGCCCATCCGTCGGCATCCCATCCCGTAGAATTGATAACTTTTCCAAAAGTATATTCTCTGGTATTGAAGCTAGGACATTTAGCAAGGAGAGTGACGATCAAGGCGATGGTGGAGCAGATGTTGACGATGCAGTAGTACTTTGTGATGCTGGAGAGCACAGATCCTGGGAGCGAGTTGATCATGCCGTGGGTCATGATAATTAAGATAGCAACGGCAGTGATGTGGCCACGGGTAGGGGTGTACGTGTAGTCGGAGTTCAATTGCACAATGTTTAGAAGCAAGGTGGCGGCACCAAAGTCCGTAGAACAGGTTCCGGTGAGCGCTCCTGTGAAGTATAGCCAAGCGTCGATCCAGCACATGAGCGGGACGTACTTCTTCGGAACCACGTGCGTGATGACATAGTACATTCCGCCCGAGGTGGGGAAGCAGGAGGTGATTTCAGCAACAGACCAAGCGATACAAAGACAACCAATGGCGCCGACAAACCAGCACCACACACAGGCGGCGGGCCCGCCCGACCAGAGCGGGTAGAGGAAGGTGATGGAGATGGTACCCATCAAACCAGAGATAGACAAGGCAAAAGAGTAAGCTGATAAGAACCCATAACTTCTACTGAACTCTTGTTTGTAGCCCAAGTTGGCCAATCCGTTAGAATCAGCGTTCTGTTCGCCGGCAGCCTCTTCTAGACTTTTTGTTGGCCTAATTTTTTTCAGCAGGGAAGACATTCTGTTAGCAATACTCTTTTATTTCAGGAACTAATACGATGATTTGTGGAACTTGTGTTGTAGTAGAGAAGAAGATTTGATGCAATCTTACTTACTCAAAGAGAATTGGTTTTCGAGAAAGAAACTATGAACAAAACGTAATTTCGACAATCTTCGGTGTGAACACTACGGGAAAAAAGGAGAGACAGAAAAACTGCCGGCAATAAACATCACAAGACTTCTTCGGATTAAGCAACAGGTGGTATCCTTTTCAACGGGCCCGCAATCTGTGCGGTGGAAAAGATCCGGCTCCCCGATGGAGCAGCCAATCAAAAGAGAGCATCTGTGCCAGTTTCACATGCAACGAAGCTTCTCGACATTCGACGTTCCACTATGGACCCGCTTACGTAACACGCAGTCACAAACTACTGTATGGGTCCAATGAAGGTGAGAAGAGGGTTAGGGCTGCCATGGAGAGGGTTTTACAGCGACAAAAGAGTAGGTGCTACCTGATGCAGCAGTAAGCTACGGAGAGGAGTCTGGGAGAAGATCTACTCTATTTATACATTATTTATGTTGCCTCTGTGCGCTACTCTGTTTGCATAATACAAGTAGCCAGCTTCAGCAATAGGGTAATGTGGAATAGGGCCAGCACAGGCGTATAGTGGAGACATGAATTTAGTTGCCTGATTCGTGCAAGTAATTCCGCACTCAGCGGTGTGATCGCACGGCTTGTCTGGAGGGGGCACGCAAAGAAAGTGAAACTACCTGCCTAATTGGGCATGTAGATTCGCTTAAGGCGTTTTTTTTGCCCTATCGGTAGAACCAAACGTCTTCTCAGCTAAGGAGAAACCGTTGATGAGAACACAACTCCGAAGGGAAGATAAGCATACGCAGAGATAAGCACAAAGAGAGATATGCGGATCGGGAGTGGAAGAAACTGACTATATTGGAAATGAAAAAAAAAGGACAGGAAGGGAAGGAAAAAATAGCTCTACAGGAAAGGGTTATAGAAAGAGAAGAAAGAATATATGGATGAGTTTGAGTGGCTCCTCATTCAGAGTCATTGTGTGCAACAGCGACTTGAATCTTGGCGTCGTGTTTGACGGCACCGCTACCATTGGATCCCTCGTAACCAGCGCTCGCACTTTTGATTTCGATATCGTATCCCTCCTCCATCGACCTTTCGTCTTCGTCGATGTTAGCGACAGGTCCCTTGTACCACTTTCTGGCATCTGCGACGTACCAGCCACCGGCAGCAATAAACACAAAGCCGAGGATGACGACGGTGTAGTTCATGTTGGTCTTGGTGACAGGCATGTAGTTAGGGAAGACAAAGACGATGGAGACAAAGACTGTCCACAGGCATGCGTAGAACATGATGGGCTTGGAGAATTTGCCCATGTGGAAAGGACCTCTGGCAACGCCCATTTTTTCTCTGTTTAAGGCAAATGCGGCGATGACGATGATGTACGACCAGTCGGTACAGATTGCGCAGGCGGAGAAGATGGCGTTCATAGCGATGGTGGAGCCTAAGTTGATCAATGTCAAACATGAGTTGATCACGCAGATCAACCAGACACAGCGGATTGGGGCTTCGGTACGTGGGTCGAGGTAGTACCAGAACTTGTAGTACGGTAAACCTCTGTCTCTGGAGAAGGACCATAGGGATCTGGCAGTGTAGCACGTTGCGACGGCACCACAGAACCATAGGACGACAAAGGCCAAGGACAAGAAAGCAGTGGCGCCTGTCTTGCCCATGGCAATATTGTAGATCTCGACAATAGGCTGGCCGGTGGTGGTTTGCAAGATTAGGTCCATGTCGTCGCCCATGCATAGGGTGATGACGATGACAAGAACCCAGCCCAAGAGAGCGGTGGTGACCAAGGCGGAGCCAATGGCCAAAGGCGTGAGGTATGCTGCGTTGTGGACCTCTTCGGACATTCTAGATGTGGCATCGTAGCAGGTCATGACCCAGGAAACCTGCAAGAAACCGAAAAGGAAGGCCCATCCGTCGGCATCCCATCCCGTGGAGTTGATGACTTTTTTGAACGTGTACTCTCTGGTGTTGAAGCTGGGACATTTGGCAAGAAGGGTGACGATCAAGGCGATGGTGGAGCAGATGTTGACGATGCAGTAGTACTTTGTGATGCTGGAGAGCACAGACCCCGGGAGCGAGTTGATCATGCCGTGGGTGATGATGATCAAGATAGCGACCGCGGTGATGTGGCCGCGCGTAGGGGTGTACGTGTAGTCGGAGGTCAACTGCACGATGTTGAGAAGCAGCGTGGCGGCCCCGAAATCCGTGGAACACGCTCCGGTGAGCGCTCCTGTGAAGTAGAGCCAAGCGTCGATCCAGCACATGAGCGGCACGTACTTCTTCGGGACCACGTGCGTGATGACATAGTACATTCCGCCCGAGGTGGGGAAGCAGGAGGTGATTTCAGCAACAGACCAAGCGATGCAAAGACAGCCAATGGCGCCGACAAACCAGCACCACACACACGCGGCGGGCCCGCCCGACCAGAGCGGGTAGAGAAACGTGATGGAGATGGTGCCCATCAACCCGGAGATGGACAACGCGAACGAGTACGTCGACAGAAACCCGTAGTTTCTGCTGAACTCCTGCTTGTAGCCGAGGTTCGCCAACTCCTGCGAGTCCTCCTTGTTCTGGGCGGGCGACGCGTCGTTGGACAGCACCGAGCGGATCGTGAGCGTGTTCTGGGTCTTCAACTCGGCAGACATGGTGTGCGGTGGCAGCTGGAAACCACCAACAACTGCCGAACCCTAACGTGCACAGAAAACCGGCATCCGGCTGCTCCTGGGACACACCCACCTATATACGCCCCCTCGAGGCCCCGGATAAACCCACGAGGAACCGCTGCTGGCAGACAAGCCCTGCGAAGCCCTACCCGCTGCTGCTGCTGCACGCCTGCCCGATGAGATAAGGTTGGCGCTGCACCGAGGCGATAAGAATCCGCCTGCCGCTTCGGGCGCCGGCCGATAAGCCGGAAAAGACTAGCCGGAAAGAGTAAAGCTAGTCGGCGGCGGCTGACGTAAGCACCGGCGCGCCGACTGCTTACGTCACCCCGACGCCATCGCCGTTGCGCGCGCTGACGTAAGCAACACCCCCCTTCTCCGCGCCGGCGGCAGCCGGCCAATCGCAGCGCGCGCCGGCGCTTATCGTGCGCGCTTAGCTAAGCAGCGCCGTCGCTGGCTTATCGCCCCGCAGCCCTCTCACTCGCCGGAGGGGGTTACTGCTGCTGCTGCTGCTGCTGCAGCGGGGCTCGAGCGATAGCGAGATAGCAGGTTTAGCAGGTTTCTGCCCGGTCCGGTAGAGATAGGCTGGGCGGTTCAGGGTTCTGCTGCGCAGCGTACTAGTGCTCTGTTTGTCCGTGGTGGTTGTGCGTGGACTGGGGTGGAGAGCACACAAGACAACACACAGAGCACCAGAAGCAGGCCGGACACGTCTGCTGCCCCGACCGCCGTGTTGTATGCTTCCCCCGGCCGCCACAGCATGATCTCGCATTCCGGCGCTGTACTGACAGCAGGAAACAGCAGTGGGTCGTCCAGCTCGCCGAAGTCGACTGCGGCCGCCAACAACAGCACGAACGCCGCCGCCAAGCCGCTGACACCGGCTGCGGCCCTGCTGGACGCCGCAGCGGCAGACAACCCGCCGTCCTACAAGTCCAGCACAGACGGCACGGTGCCGTCGTCGTCGCCGCCGTCCGCCCTCACAAACAGCTCCAGGCGCTTCTCCTTCAACAAACGGCCCATCTTCAAAAACGGAAAGCTGCAGCGCAAGTCGTCGCAGATCTCCATCATCCACAACTACCCACCGCAGCGCTGCGACTCCGTCAACCACGACACAGACCACTCCAAGTTCTACCTCAAGTACAAGGGCATCATGAAGGACAAGGACGAGCTCCCCGACAACGCCATCAACGACTTGAGCTTCGAGTACAACTACGACGACAAGATCAGGGCCCCGCGCATGTCTGCCGCCTCCCTCATCTCCTCCAGAGACACCAACCACACCCTCCCGACCCATGTGCAGCAGCAGCAGCAGCAACGACATCTCACCAACAAAATGGCTCGCCAGACTTCTGCTCCCGCCCTCCTCAAGCGCTCCTCAAACACCTCGTCCAACCACACCCTCGACAGCTTGGCCGAGGAAACTAGCAACGCCAAAGAGGCGCTCCCCTCGTACAAACCCGCCGCGTACGACCTCACAAAGCAGCTCCGAAGGTTCTCCATTTCCAACGATGACCTGAAGTCAAACGAGCCTTCAACGGCAGCCACAGCAACAACAACAGCAACGGCAAGCGGGAACATTTTCAACGACAGCACGGGAAACTACACCTACAAAATACAGCCCAGAAAAAAGTCCGTAGTCTCGAACTCCTCCTCCAACATCTCCCCAACGAAGGAGAAAACCATCAAACTCGATGACGACCTAAAACCCGTCAAACAGATCGACGAACCCATGAAACTGTTAGACAACTACGTTCCTCCAGTCTTGAGGCCAACCCAAAACTCAAGCATGCACCTCCCCAGAGTGGCTTCACGGAGCGACACAAAAAATTCAAGCATAGCAGATTCCCAGTCTTCAACAGCATCAAATGCTTCGTCTGCAGCAGCAAAGAAACTCAAAGATTCTTCCATCTCTACGACCCCGCCATCTGCAGGTGGTTCAACAACGGCAGCCGCCGCCCTGCTCCTTTCCAAAAATAACGGAGCCGCCTCTCAGAAAGGCACCTCTCTCGGCAAGATCCACAACCAGCTCTTGAGCCAACTAATACCTTCCACTTCCAACGTGAGCATAACAACCTCCAACTCCAACCTCGAGACTTCGTTGCATTCGCTCTCATCAGATCCAACACCTCCAACATCCTCTAACTCATCTTCGGAACCAAACGTTGTTGTGAAAAATAACAGTAAAAGCATTGAACCGTCTCATTCTCACTGGAGACCAAACTCGTCAACAAATTCTTGTGAAAACTGTCTTGACAATTTCAACGTCATCAAAAGAAAGCATCATTGCAGGCATTGCGGCAAAATTTTTTGCTCCAAGTGCCTACAGCATTACTCAAACTTGAATTTGCTTGCCCATTTTGAAAGACCAGATGACTGTCCAATACCTTCTATTCACAATCATCTCATCAGCTCGTTGGCACCCATAAAATCAACAGAGACAACAGGAACTTGCACCACAGTCAACTCAAACAACACTATCAACTCTTCTACCACTAATAATACCCATAACACCAGCCAAAGTAACTTCAAAAATTCCGGCTACTCGAAATTTTGTAAGGTTTGCCCTTCATGCTATACCCAGTGGCTCAAATTCTTAGCTTCTGATGAAGACTATGAAGGTAAAAATTCTCATATTAACGAGATGACAAATAGTAACTTAGACTCGCAAGAAGCAAGAAAGGAAAGCATAACGGGTGTTCCAACAGACTGGAATTGGAGTTCCTTCTGAAAAAGAAAAATGGGGAGAACGTTTTTGAATTTATATATTTTACATCAGAGCCTTTCTTTAAGTTTAGCATTCTCTCATTAAAGAGTTTTTCTAATTTGTAGAAGAAAAATAAACAAAAGCAAAGTAGAAAAAATCAGTTTTGTAGTTTTGTAGTTTCGTCATCGTCAAAATTGCCATCCTCAACTGACATCAGCCTCTCCTCTATTACTCTGTAGAGGCCCCTTTCCCTCAAGAAAATTGGGAGCAAAAAAATTTACACTTTAATTTTATTATTTACACATATTTACTAATCGCAGAATATAAAATTGACAACTAATATATTTACTTAAATCTATTTCATCTATTTTCTTTATCCACTATCAAGCACTAACGTTGACAACCAATTTCGCTAAATGTGTAAAGAACGTACGTAGTGAAACATCTTCAGTGTGAACAACGGTTCCAGCATCACCACCGAAGTTACCCATTTGTCCGCCACCCGAAATTTTACCATCATTTTCTGAAGGATTCAACTTGGAGTATAGGAAACGAGCTTGAGATTTACCTTCATCACAAGTAACGTATCTTGGCAATGGGAATCTATCAGCTATGAGTGCAGCTGCTTCTTCCTTGGCACCATCAATCATCTCATAAACTCCAGGATATTCGTCTCTTGGATAGTTTGCATCTCTCCATTCAGCTGCAACGTGTCCGAAGTAGATGACCGTGTAGAAAAACGCATCTAGTAAAAGAACGGAATCAGGAGTTAATGAAGCTGAGTCCAAAAGAACAGGTTCAGGTTCAGAACCATCAGCTTGGAAACGTACTAATGTTGGTTGGATCATCACTAGAGAATCTCTAACATCCACTCTAAGTAGTGTATGATGGTAGAATGCAGTCTCATCAGGTGAGCAGTTGAAGACCTGTAAAAATTGTGATCTCCTCAAATGGTAGATAAACTGTGGTAACAATGAGAACTTATGGGATAATCTAAAACTTGATGCATCATTCTTGGTGTAGTCACCAAAGGCGGAACATAACTTAACTAGTGATTTGTCAATCCATCTCAATAAGTCAGAATATTCGCCACCATTCTCAAGCTTGTGAACTACCAATCTTGCGTACAAGACAGCAGCAGCTTCTTGGTCAAAGGAACTGGTCAACTCGCCCCTGTTAGAAGTTAGTCTGTTCAATGTAGTGACTCTAGTTCTAAACGTACCATCGGTATGTCTATAGGTGGTTTGGAATTGAATGTAAACTTCAGGCACAAAAGAGTTTCTTTGTTCACTTGATCCAACCGTTTGAATATCAAAGAAAACTGCATATGTATGTTTTGGAGATATAGAGCACATCTTCCACTGATTTGTTTGACCATCTCCAACTTGGATATCTGAAACATTATCGGCATCTTTCTTCAAAGATTGACAATGACCAATAACACCGGCGACTTTCAATTTAGGAGATGTGAAAACCTCCATTTTACCATCAAAGTACGTTAATGGGTAACCTTCCTCATCCTTATTGAAGGTGGCCAAGAAAGAATTCTTGAAAATTGACGTTTGAAAGGAATCAGTGACAACCAAAACACCACCTGTTTTATTACTCAGTGGTCTCATCTCATAGATACCAACTTGATCGTAACAACCTGCAAAGATATCGACACTAAAGGTTGTAGTTGATGAATTATCGAAGAATTTGTCATTGCTATCTCTATTGATACCAATGGCCTTGGTTGACAATTTTTTGTACAGCTTGGCGGCCTCTTTGTAATGCTTTGCAGAACCTTTTTCTATATCGCTATGAGATCTCAATGGTTCCTTTAGTTCCGTGCCAACTATCTGACCAGGCCCAAAAGTGCAAGCACCAGCTGAAAACAAGGCAATTTTAGCTGCACATTGAACATATGCACCTTCTACAAGACATGAAGCAATGTTCAGAGCTGAACCAGTAACTCTCAAAGCTCTGTGTCCTGGCTTGATTGTCCATTTAGAAACATCTAACGATTGAATTATTTTGATGATTTGATCTTTCGAGTCTGGGTTTGCTAAAGGCAATAAGAATCTGTTGACTGTGTTGTTTATTGAGTTCGATTGTAGTTGTTGACTCCAAGGTCTTGAGGCGTTACCTTTTATACCCAACTGCTCCTGAACGTCCAGTGATTTCAACTCTTTCTTACCGGAAAAAACGTATTTCTTTGAACAGTTCGTGAAGCTCAGCTCATGAACATTAACAACAGAGTCAAACGTAATCAAACCGAAGAAGCATCCAGGTGGATGCAGATCTAACGAACTGATCAAAGTCTCTTTCAAGCTTTTCAAATCATCAGCATCTTGACACAAGTCAATAACATAAATGAACGTTGGTGGAGGTGGAGGTTGGGATCTATTCAAAATGTACTCCATCGAAGAAGCCTGTGGAACCAGTTCAATTGGAACATTTTCAGCAGAGATGTTTTGATATTGAGGAGGCAATTGATTCCTATTCATGCAGATTGGACAGTTCCATACCCTATTGTTCATATCTATCTGTGAAAATACATTCAAGATCGATCTACACTTTCTACAAACCTGTGGGTCGTAGTTGGCAACTGGAAGATCATCTCTGGCAAGAAGTGGGGTATACAAACAACCAACTGGTGATGCCATGTTCTCAGACTCTTGACGAGTTACTGGAAATGTGTTCCAATTGAAACGCACCCCATCAATGTCCTCTATCTCATATATATCTGCCATTGAAAGTCAAAGCTCACTTTTCAAAGTGGTACACCTGATGTTGTTGAGGTCAGTGTTTAGCTTCAAACCAACACAAATCACGGTTTCTACAGGCCTCTTCATCCTGAGAGACATTGCTTTGTTATTTCTTCCAACATACTTTCTCACTTTCCGAATCGTGGCAAAAACGAGAAAAACAAAACTTCGCTTGATCCGGCCAAAATTCGTCGATCGTCGTCCCAGCCTTTTTTCCAGCTTTTGCCATTTTTTTCGCAGATCGCCATCAAATCTATATTAAATACAGGGAGGTAAACACACCTTATAGATGAATGTAGGTAAGAGCAAAAAAAAGAAAAGAAAAGAAAAGAAAAGAATCGAAAAAGAAAAAAAGGAGAAGTACTGAATGATTTGCAAAGATAATCATGAGTAGAGATTATAAGAATAATTGTGGTAGTAAATTGATTAGAAAAGAAGCAAATCACTGAACTTCACCAGAAACCGTTCAGGAAAGTATTGGCTTCTGAGTTGATAGCCGCTCGTTTGATAGCCAGCTCCCGTTCTCTCTCCTTTTGTTTCTGCTTTTCGCACGTAGCTTGATGTAGCAGTTTCCCCACGTCACCACCATCAACCACTACTCCAGACTCACTGCATTTGGCTTTCGACTTCAACTCGTCACATAAGTTATCGATATCCAGATCCGTGAACCTTGGATGCGTAGTTATTCTCTCCCAAATTTGTGAACATTGCATGAGATTCTGATTGGTGTCTGGGACCTCTTCATTTTCGTCAGTCACTAAATCGGTGACAGCTTCCCGGTTATTAACACCAGACGCATTCCCGCTTTTGTTATCACCTTGCTTGTGATCAAGCTCACTCAATTGATTATTAAAGTTGAGATCATCATACGGTAATTTCAATAAATCATCAAAAACGTCATCATTGTCAAAATCAACGTCGGCGTCAAAATCTGGCGTAAGATTGTCGTTGAACAAAGATGAGTTGGCATCAAGTTGAAAAGCTTCAGGATGACTTTGGATTAAAGTGTTCGTGTCATGGCTTACTTTCTTTCCATCGTCAAATAAGAAGTCCATTTCGTTATTCTTGTTGCTATCCAAAAAGGCATACGAATCTAGGCCTTTACCGATATTCCAGATAGAGTTGTTGTTGCCTTTGATATCCTCATTACCATTGGCATTAATCTCATCTTTGCCTATCTCAGCAAGGATATCCTGATCACCATTAACACTCCCATCAAAGAGAGAACTCGTAAATGGACTCTTGGTGTTATTAGATCTAGAGCTCGAATCAACAGAAGGAGTTGTCATGGTGGACGCAGACTGGTAAGCAATATTGCTGCTACTACCACTAGTATTATTGCCGTTACTAGTCATGCTCATAGTGCTGCCATATTTCTGATTGTTGCCGACTATTGTACCGGGGCTGGTAGAAGAAGAATACGCCTTCTTGTCCTTTGGAAATGGACACGATTTCGAACCACAAACTTCACCCAGTTCCTTGCAAAAAATCTGTTCATCATAATGGTCTTTGAAAGACTTGTTATTTAGTTTGTTGGACAAGTTCAAATTGTAGTCCGTAGTTGGGTTCCTAGACGCAGTATCAGGTAAAGGTTTCGTAAAATTGTATCCTTCTTCAGCAAAAGATACCGGAGTTGCTGACGAAACACTAGAGTTCGACGAGGTGTTGTTGGTACTCTTCTCATCTGAGGAAGAGTCTCTTCGTACCGACGAACTATCCTCCCTTTCAAGCTCCTCTGGGTATGTTTCACTCCTCATGCCAGTGCCTTGAATATGACCCGTAGTGCCATTTCTGCCCAGTTGACCCATGAGCTGCTTCACCTGAATACGTAACAACTCCGACTCATTAGCTATTTGCATCTTCTCCTGTTCAAGAGCACGCACCTTATCCTCTAGTTCCAACATTCGTTTCTCCTTACGCTCCCTGAACGCCCTCTGTGCAGCTCTGTTCTGTGCAGTCCTCTTGTTCTTTGGCTCACTTGTCAGGGGTTTACGGCCTGGTTTGGTGTGTGGCTTCTCTACCGCCGCATGATCTTGTGTCTTTGTATTAGCCATTGCTGCTGGTACTCGTGTTCAGTGTGAATCCAAACAAAAGAGTGCCTTTGTTGATGGAACGGGATTACTAGGTAACAAAGAAATACAGGAGAAGAAAAAGGGAAAACAAAGGCCACCCCTCTGCTACTTCCGATAAGAACCAGGCAGGCCTTGGTTTCCGGGGTCACAAATGATTACTAATGTATCTCTGAAGGAGAGAAAAAAAAAGAGAAAAGCAGAAGAAGCAAGCGCCACGACAATTTAACTGTCGCGGGCACCGCTACTACTCCGAGAACGCAGAACTGTTACAATACATTACTACATTTACATCACACAAGATAAACAGAATAAACCTGAATGTGGGGGTCATCTAGTCAGAAAACTGCTGTCTCCTCTTCTTGCCACCATACCAAACAGCCATTGTTTCCACTGTTGAATGAAAGTTTTGCCGCCACTGCTCGAGGATCTTGCCAGATTCATTCCAAACTGCCTTTGCAGATAGATCTCCACCACTTTCTTGAATAGGCTGAAGAAGAGCACAGCAATAACGGACACAACGAATTTGGGCGCTAGCGAGTCGATAGATATGCTCATATGCATCTTATCTCTTAGGTACTTCACTAATGCCACCATCTTCCAATAAACCCATCTCAATATGTCATCTGTGTCCTTCGAATTCCCACTGTGTCGGCTCTCTGGAGTTCTGCTGAGTTCTGCAAGCGTGTACCCATCGACGAGGATACTTCTATTTGTCAAATCGTAGGATCTTAATTTGTAGTTCTGCAGCTCAGACTGAACTGAAACCGTAGTGGAACCGGATATTGATCGATGGCCCGCATCGTGAATAGAAGGAGTTGTGTTGTGCTTTAAGTTAGACAGCTCAGTCGAGATCTTCAATAGCGTATTATTAATTTCACCTTGCCATCTGATGAAATCTAGTGTATTAATAGTTCCACCAATACGATGATCACCATTGTTTTCATTTTTGCCAACACTCTTGTTGACGTTCGTGTTGACATTGTTGACATTGTTGACATTGCTGAGACTGTTGCCGCCATTTGCGACGGTGTTACCGCTGGGTCCACTCACAGTATATCCGGGTACAAAAGGGGAGGCCACATTCAATGGAGGACTCGTCATTGGATTAGAGGGGCCACTAAAACTATTCTGTCGGGATTTACTAAACGATTGATTTCTGGAAGGTGGCCTAATCATATTGGAGTTGATGCCTGATGATGCAATCCTGTACAAAGAAGCAGCAGGAGAACGTGATCGTGGAGTGTTGATTGGCGCTTGTGTCAAACGAGTAGGAACGGACGACGAAGTAGGCGGTTGAATGGACGGAGGATTATACTCCTTGTTGATATTTTGGTTCAAAGTTATGCTCAAGTTCAAATTCTCTAATCGGTTCCAGGAATCTTGAAGATTGGTCTTCAAGATACCGATTTCAGGATATGTTGTTATAGAGTAGCCATTTTCTAGTATACTCAACAAGTATTTAATATACTTTTCACGGGCTTGAGATTTGGAAAGCCCTTTGAACTTAAGCCATGCATTGTGCTTCTTCAGTTCTGTAGGATTGTTCAAAGCATTCGGGTCTGCATAAACGTTTCCAACAGAGGAGACGTCCCCTCGGGTGGCTTGGTTGTATAGTCCATAAAGGTTCAACCTATCAGTGATCGTCGGACGAGGTAATCCTGTTGTTTTTGATAGGTCGGTCAACGACTTGATGGTAGCAACAGCTTGAACAAAAACCTTGTCGGTATTAATATCCATGCTCGTAGTGCTCATAGAGGTGTGGATGTGGAGAACAACTGGTTTCTTGTCGAAAAGAACAACAAGCAGGAGCAGGAACCGATCGCCAATGTATAGATCATGCTCTCACGTTCAGAAGTGTAAACAAACACAGGTTGCAGAGAGAAAAAAAAAGAGACAGACTCATAAGGGAAAACAAGTCTGATTGTTAGAATTACGTAACAATTAGTCACGTGACATCAAGAGGGGAGTTTGAAGAATGGATAAGATCCCATTCAATTACTTTCGCAGGTCAGAACGACATCTTTTACATTTAAAAGATTACTGAAGGCTAAAGGGTAAGCTACAATGTTACGAGATTACAAGACTACAGGATTTCAAAGTGTATGCCAGTGAAATGGACCATCAGATTCATGGAGTAATCGACAGAGGTTTTGACAGAGGCCGCCAGATCCAAAGATCTCCTGACCGAAGCCAGAGTACTGTCTGTCACTAACAGTCGATGCCAAATTCTATCGTGCTGTACGAATACAACAAGGAATAAGACGGTGAGTAATTGACAAGTTTATCTCGTTTGCATTAAAAATTGATGCCAAGTATGGTGTGGAACTTGGAAACAGAGTGTTGGCAAACTGGTGGTAACTGATTTTCTTTTTCTGAAAAAGAAAAAAAGCTGCACTAGGGTTGAGGAAAAAGTGTTGTATTTATGAGTTTTGTACATAGAAAAAGCAAAGTTGTCTTTTATAATTATTATAATTAACTTAGTTTTCTGGCACTGTAGGAAAAAAGAGGGAGTGAAATTGAGGTTGGGGAAAATGTTAGTAATGGGATCAGAGGGGATAGAATGAATAAAATGCTCTTTGAAAAGCATCAAGTAAAAGTGATAATAGTGATAATACATACCGTCAATTGCACCAGCATCGATAGCTTCAATGATAGCGTGTGGTGGCTTACCGTCAACTCTACAGCCGACAGATTGAGCAGTACCCAAAATTTCCTTGGTAACAGAAGCTAAGTTCTTACCGAAGGACTTTTCTCTCATGGTTCTAGCAATTTCAAAGATTTCGTCAAGTGGAACGTTACCAGAGTGCTTGACGTTCTTCTCCTTCTTTCTGTCTCTTGGAGCTTCCTTCAAAGCAGTGATGACCAAAGATGAAGCAGAAGGAACAACGGAACAGGTAGCTTGTCTGTTTTGAATCTTCAATTGGACAGTAACCTTAATACCCTTGAAGTCCTTGGTAGCCTTAGCAATGTCTTCACCGACCTTCTTTGGAGATAAACCAAGAGGACCGATCTTTGGAGCCAAAGCAGATGAAGCACCGACTTCACCACCAACGGCTCTTAAGTAAAGGTACTTAACCTCATTAGGATCAAACTTTGGAGGCATGTTGTATTAATATGTTTTAGTAGGTATGCTTGGAGAAGAGCTGAAAAGAGTCTTTTTTTCCCTAAAGCTAAGTACAGTAGGGTCTCTTCTTCATCAAAGTAAAGTTTTTCAACATATACCACAGACGGCCAGACCCTCGCAGAGCGTAAGTGAGAGCGAGGGAAAGAGCGTAACAGTGAGAGAGAAGGTCGCACACTCTCGCGCAGTGTAGCATTTTTTTCCCTTCTCCTTTTGCTCTTTTCACAGTCACAAAAACGCTCGCCATCACGTGCATGTAGAGAGGGTTTGCAGGGTTTGGACTAGTAAAGGTGCTACAACATGTCCTCTACAGTTCGGAGGATGAAAGTGAACAAGATATATATGAGTGAACAACACGTCAAAAGTTGAATTCATAAAATTGGTAAGTCTCAACAACTTTCTTAGCGGATGCAACAGGTGCCACCGTCCAATTATGAATGAACTTTCTCATTTGTAACGCATAACGATCTTTCATTCCTTTCATTCCTTGATTTTCAATTTCTTGAATCTGTTGTATTCTATTTTGCAAGACCCATCTATCTAATATACAAAAAACTCTAATTTTTCTTGTTTCTGCTGTTGAATCATTTTGTCGTGATGAGATTCAATTCTTTTTGCTTAGTTTCACTCCCGGGAAACAACTGTACCTTCCCAGTCGCACAATGTTGACCACGTAATCCTTAGTTACAGTATCCTTGCCTTTTAATTTGACAAACTCTAATAGTTCTGTAGTATCTAGCTTGGATTTGGCCAACTCCTCTAGCAATTTGTCAAATTTTAATGCCTTAACATCTTTCAATTCTTCAAACCACCTCATTTTCCCAACCAATGCATTGCACAAATTGGCCGATTTAGTGAATTCATTCACCAGTCCGTTCATTTCTTGCTTCAGAATAGGCACAAAGGTGCTAACATCTGAGATCAGAGTTACACTCTGATGTAATCTATCCTGGAATTCCTTGAAGTTAAGCATTTCTGGATCTGTGATATTATGGAATTGCTTCCATTGTAGTTTGTAAAGCAGTTCAGGATTAATCATTGGAGTCTGAATAAGATTAGGGGGTAAGGTATTGAAACCTAGAAATGATAACATCTCGAACTGTTTAGCTTTCAGAATTGACAATTGGTAAATCAAGTTATTCTCGTTTTTAAGAAAACTCAAGTAAAGTACACTGTCGTTGTTTTTGTTTGTATTTGCCATAAGAATCAAGTCGCTGATTTGTTGGTTGAGTTGAGAGGAGATCAAAATCAACTGATAGTAGACGGACACATACTCTCTAACGTCTTTAAACAAGCTCAACTCAATGCTCTTCAAAATAACCTCAGAAATAGCTTTCAATTTGAAATAAATGATGATGAAGGTCAACGGATAAACTTTTTCGTTTGCTTTATAGAAGTTCAAGTTTATGAAATAATCTTCAAGAGAACCAGTCTCAGATTGTCTCATATTCCAATATTTCAGCTCCTTGCATTTGAATTGTCGTTGTCTCGATGGATTCAAAGTAGGTAACATGACAGACTCTTTCCAAAATAACGAAATTGCATCCAGGTAGTAGTCCACTTGCTCCAAAACCGCCACATTCTTATTCCTCTTATTAGAACTCATTTCTTTGTCGATTTTTGAATTTTTTAACGCAAAATCCTTCATGTAAGTCCAGAAAAGATCTTTGAATGTCAAATTCTTGATGTTGAAAATCGGATTAGAATCAGGGGTTTGATTACTGTTAATCAACGAGTAAAATACAATTCTGGCAATGATATGCAGACCATTTATCTCATTCGAGTCTGTGTTGTTCCTTTTGCTTTCCAGGTGTTTTAACCATTCGACAAATTCTATGATGTTTTTGGATTTCAATATATTCATGACGTCAATCAGGTCATTAAAAAGCTGGGTCAAATTCAATGTACAGTCATTCCAGGATGATTGAAGTATTTGTAGTTCTTTTGGTGGGGATTGATTATCAAAATCTATCTGTGCATTGGAATTGAAAGATCCAACTGGTGGTTGAATCGAATCCATATCGAGCAGGTCAATCCCATCGAGTTTTTCGACAATCTTTTCCATTTGAACCAGCTTGTTGTTAAACTTGACTAGAAAATCTTTATGGGACTGATTGACATTGAACAATGGTATCTCCCATTGGAACATTGAATCCAAACTCGATAGTGTCTGCAGTATTTGAAAAGCATTTTTGATAAAGTCAAAATATTTTGCATCTTCTGCTGTTGATAGTTGCGATTTCAAGGAAGTCCAAGTCTTATTCGAAACTAGCGTCAGCTTAAAGATATCGTTGTTCGAAAGCTCGAAAAACCAGTTCAGGTTCATGGTGTTTGTGTTGATATCTTCATCCTCGTATATTTGCGATTTCAAGGCTAGATTGAGAATGAATTTGGCCGTTGAGATCATTAAGATGGAAAATTTGAAAACAACAGTCCTCCAACTGTCATCACGCAGTGGTATGCTTTCAAAGTTTCCACATTTTGTATAGCTTTCTAGTATTCGGGAAATATATTCTGATGAGAGCAGACTGTTTGGCACTCCGACATTTTGCCCTAGCCAGCAGGTTAAACATTTTAATTGGGCTGAAATAATCGAAGTTGCCTCCGTAAGATCTAAGTCCTTGGCAATGGAGTACTCTGCTTTTTGCAGCAAAAATGTATCCAGCCGTGTATTCAACAGTTCTAATGCGTGTGTTCCATGTAAGAGAGAGAAGTTGTTTGACTTTACTATTTTGGAATACTCTATACTGGAGGTCACTTTGAAAAATTCGTCTGTAACATCTCTCAGTTTCTGATTTGAAATTTGAAACGACTCCAACGAGGGAATTAGGTCTGCCATGTTATGGTGTGTGGGGGAAAAAACGAACCCTTCAGTGGTAAAGTTTTGTCAGCAGAACTGCAAACATGCTTGGATGGTACTGCAAGGTGCAGATGAGCAGGGGTGCACACCAGAAGAGAAGAAGGTAAGCTAACCTTAACTATGATCGCCGAGAGCTGGGGGAAAAAAAGCAGGCGGCCAGCCAACCCGCCATTTCAGCGAGGCGGGCCCATATGTAAGCTGAGCGCTGTGTTGGGCAAGGCCAGCACAGGGAATACATACAGACTTAACAAACAAACAAATGGGTGAATAAATAAATAGAGGTTATAAATATATAATATCATATAAGAGAAGTACAGAAGATCAGATATAGATATCGGAATAACGTAATAAATAATAGAACCAAAGGCATTTACTAACCTGTGTGCCTGAAATTCATGAGTTTAGGGATTTTATTGATCACTCTTGTTCGTTTCTGCTTTTGCAAGGGAATTTCGTAATTGGATAGTAGTATTTTTGGGGAGTGTTAGCGTGAGCGTGAGAGAAAAATCATTAGACAGATTCAGTCAAAACCTTGTTCAACTTGGTGACCTTGGCGGAAACGGACAAGTCGACACTGTTACCACCGACCTCGACAATCAAACCGCCCAAGATTTGAGGGTCGACCTCGTTGGCGATCTTTAAGGTCTTGCCGGAGCCGACGAACTTGGAGCCGGCGATGGCCTTGTGTAATCTGGAGATGGTCTTGGAGTCCAATGGCTTGGCAGAGACAACGGTGGCCTCGACGACACCGTTGTAGGCAGAGTTCAAGACGGAGAACTGCTTGGCGACGGCTGGGAAGAGCTCCAATCTGTGGTTGTCGGACAAGACTTCCAACAAGTTCTGGACAATCGGGTCGAGCTTCAAAGCGCCGTTGACGGTAGAGATGACCTGCTTTCTGGAGTTGAAGGATAACGAAGGGTTGGCCAAGATCGAGCCCAACTTAGGGTCTTCCTTGATGGCGGTGCTCAATTTTTCGACAGAGGCGTAGACCTTGTCGACAGACGAGTCCCGGACAGCAGCACTGAAAAGAGCGGTGGCGTAGGTACCGTCCAAACCGTAAAGTTGGACAGGTGGCTTGACGGCAGCAGAGGAAGCCGTGGCAAGGGATCTGATGAATTGACGGGAAGCCATTGTGCTAGGTGTGGAGAATGGGTAGTCTTGGAAGGCCAGGAGGGGTAATACACCACGGGTTAGCGTCCTACGTGTTTCCAGCTTCTTCAACTTCTCCTCTACCTTCAAGGCTCCAAACAAACGCTGTGTTGCCTCTTTCCCGCTCTCTCCCTCCCACGCCCGACCGCTTCACAGTGGGAGCTCCCTGCTTGCCAGCCTCACTACACGAACGGGGGGGAGACACTTGTCGCGGTGCACCGCTGGATTCGCTCCATTTTTTTCATTCGCTGTGCATAAGTGCCGCGGACACGGTAAGCGGGATAATGCTGCAGTGTGGCGGTGCAGTGTGGCGGGTAAAAAACCAAATTTGTGGTCGATCGACGATTTTTGAAAAACAAGAGGTGCACGGGTGGAAGGGAGAGTAGGTCCTACTTTTTTTCTCGACGCAAGAGGGAGGAGGGACGGACATGGGACAGCTGGAAAACATGAGAACCACCTGTGAAGAAATTCATCTGAAGAGTACGGTAGCTGAGCCTGTGTCAAGGAAGGAGCCAGCCACGCAGCAACGATGTTTAAGAACTATCTTAGTGGGTCGCTCCTGTTGAGAGCGTCTCCGTACGTTTCGAAGAGCGTGCAGTTCAAGCGTTTCGCCGTGACAACGTCGTCTGGCGCAGGTGTGAGCAGCGACTTGACCGAATTGGAGAAGCAGGACGTGTTGACCCGAAGACAGCTTGAATTGTCGAAGGAAAAGGTGGAGCTGAAGAAGGTGAAGCCGACGTCACCCGGTATCAGATGGTGGAGAAAGCCGATCTATCCTTATCTATGGAAGGGCAAGCCCCACAAGCCGCTCACGGTCACCAAAGTGGGCAAGTCCGGTAGAAACAATACCGGACGGGTTGTTGTGAGACACCAGGGTGGAGGTGTGCAGACGAGAATAAGAATCATGGACTACGAGAGAGTCAAGCCGGGCCCGCAGACGGTGGTGAGAATCGAGTACGATCCCAACAGAACCTCGCACATTGCGCTGATCAAACACAACGAGACCAAGGAGCTGTCCTACATAATTGCGTGCGAGGGCTTGAGACCGGGGGACGAGGTCGAGTCGTTCCGTGCGGGCATCCCAAAGAGATTCATCGAGGAGATGGGCGGTAAGATCGACCCGGCGCTTCTCTCTGTGAAGATCTCCAGAAAGGGCAACTGCTTGCCCATCTCCATGATCACCGTCGGTACCATTGTGCACAACATCGGCGAGCACGCCAAGGGCTCCGCCAAGTACTGCCGTGCAGCAGGCTCTTACGGCCGTATAGTCTCCAAGCTCCCAGAGGAAGGACGGGCCATTGTGCAGCTCCAGTCTGGCGAACAGAGGTACGTTGCGCTCGAGGCCTGCGCCACCTTGGGAATTACATCGAACTCCGCCCACCACAACGAGTCGTTGGGTAAGGCCGGGAGAAACAGACACAAGGGTATCAGACCCACCGTCAGAGGTGTGGCCATGAACACATGCGACCATCCATTGGGTGGTGGTAGAGGTAAGTCCAAGTGTAACAAGCCTTCCATGTCTCCATGGGGTGTCTTGGCTAAGGGTGGTTTCAAGACCAGAACAGGTAAGCACGTCAACAAGAACAAGTTCAAGGACAGACCTAGAGGCTCTGCCAGAAAGTAGTTTATATAATGAAATATCCTCTCTAAACCCTGTACATAATGCAAAATACATACACTAGCAATGGGACGCGACGACGCGACGCTGTCACCACCCCAGGCAGGCAAGAGCCGGAGTCAGCAGAAGTCAAATGTGTCATCCTGGGGGTGCAGCCGTTGCCCCACGGCGACTTCTCCCCTTCCCCTTTTTCACCGGTTGACTCCGGCAGTTCTTTTTCACATTCTTGACTCCGGATACCAGGATGTTAGATTATTCGATTATGCTATCTCCATCATCTTCACAGGTGTGGTTTCTGTGGTTCTCAATATAAAAGTAACGGTTCTCCAGTTTTTTGACAACCCCATATACCACAAACTGGTGTCCGGTGGCCGTATTTCTGTAGTCGATGATTCCAGTTTCTTGACTTCTGGCTAGTGTTTTGAGTCATACTAGCAACTAAACTTTATCTGAAAAAAAAAAAGTTTTTTTTTCCACGGAAAAATAACATAAAAGTCATTTTTTCCGAGAAAGTAAAACATATCTTACGGGAGCCTTTACTAAACATATATCGGTCATCTACTAGAGGACGCCCAGAAGATTAGCACACAAAACCGCCCATAATGCTCAGACTTCCTACTAGAAGGCTGAGTTTAAGCCTTTCGAGAAGTGTTGCTTCTAAACAGGTCTTGGCCGCTTCAAGAAACTTTAGCATATCCAATGCGCAACTCCAAGCCACTATCATTTCCGGAAAAGAGCTTGCTAAAAAGATCAGATCCGCTTCTTTTGATCATATTTCTGAACAAAAGTCGAAGTTTCCCGAATTTCAACCCAAGTTGTCAATCATACAGGTTGGAGAAAGACCGGACTCCTCTGTTTATGTTCGTATGAAACTGAAAGCGTCAAAAGAGTCTGGGATCGACTGCGACATTATCAAACTACCAGAAGACATTGACGAAATCTCACTGATAACACTTATTAACAAATTGAATGACGATGCGAAGGTGAACGGTATTCTAATTCAGTTGCCATTACCAAAACATCTCGATGAGGTGAAGATTACCAACGAGGTTCTTTCCATCAAAGACGTGGATGGATTTGATAGATTCAATGTTGGAGAACTTTCCAAGAGAAACGGAAAACCACACTTCCTACCATGTACTCCAAACGGTTGCATGAAACTGATCCAAGAAACTGGAGTTGACCTGAATGGTAAGAATGCAGTGGTCATCGGTCGTTCCGACATTGTTGGCACTCCTGTAGCAGCAATGCTCAGAAACGCAAACTGTACCGTTACTATCTGCCACTCTAAGACTAAGAATATACCCGAATTAGTAAAGAATGCTGACATCGTCATTGCTGCTCTGGGCAAACCAGCTTTTGTTAAGGGTGACTGGATAAAACCTGACGCAATCGTTATTGATGTTGGTATCAACTATGTTCCCGACTCAACAAAAAAGTCCGGCCAAAGATTAGTAGGCGATGTTGACTTTGAATCTGTCAAGGCGAAAGCTCAATACTTGACTCCTGTTCCAGGTGGTGTTGGCCCAATGACTGTTGCGATGCTTGTTGATAACGTCTACAAAGCTGCACTCAGTCAATTCGAAGAAGCTAACAAACCTTTGAACATCAAGCCTTTGAAGTTGGACTGCTTAGACCCTGTCCCATCTGACATTGACATTTCCAGGGCCCAAACCCCAAAGTTGATCACCGAAGTTGCTAATGAAATGAACATTGCACACAAAGATTTTGAAAATTACGGCCATTACAAGGGTAAGGTTTCCTTAGATGTTTATGAGGAGTTGAAAGATAAGCGTGAAAATGGTAACTATGTTTTGGTTGCTGGTATCACTCCAACACCATTGGGTGAAGGTAAATCTACCACCACTATGGGTTTGGTCCAAGCATTGGGTGCTCATCTGAAGATCCCATCTATTGCCAACGTCAGACAACCTTCCATGGGTCCTACTTTTGGAGTCAAAGGTGGTGCTGCAGGTGGTGGTTACGCACAAGTTATTCCAATGGATGAATTCAACTTGCATTTAACAGGTGATATTCATTCTATCAGTATTGCCAACAATTTACTTGCTGCTGCAATCGACACAAGAATGTTCCACGAATCAACTCAAAAGGATGAGACTTTTTACAAAAGATTGGTGCCAAAGAAGAAGGGCGTCAGAAAATTCACTCCTTCCATGTTGAAGAGATTACAGAAGCTTGGTATTAACAAGACTGATCCTGATTCCCTCACCCCTGAGGAAAGCAAGAAATTTGCAAAATTGAATATCAACCCTGATTCTATTACAATTAAAAGAGTTGTTGATGTGAATGACAGATTCTTGAGAGAGATCACTGTCGGCCAATCATCGACTGAAAAGGGTTTCACACGCCAAACAGGTTTTGATATCACTGTTGCATCAGAAATCATGGCCATTCTAGCTTTATCAAGAGATTTAAAAGACTTAAGAGAAAGAGTCGGTAAGATGGTTATTGGTTCCAACTTTGACGGTGAACCAATCACTACAGAGGATGTTGGATGTGCAGGTGCAATCACTGCTTTGTTGAAGGATACGATCAAACCTAATTTAATGCAAACGCTGGAAGGTACTCCAGTTTTCGTTCATGCCGGCCCATTTGCAAACATCTCGATTGGTGCTTCTTCTGTTATCGCTGATAAAGTTGCATTGAAAATAGTTGGTAAGCCAAAGAACACTGCAATTGCTGAAAATTTTGAAAAGGGTTTTGTCGTTACTGAAGCTGGTTTCGACTTCACAATGGGTGGTGAAAGATTCTACAACATAAAATGTCGTTCAAGTGGATTAAAACCAAACGTTGTTGTTTTGGTTGCTACCACTAGAGCCTTGAAATTGCATGGTGGTGCTCCCGACGTCAAGCCAGGCCAAACATTACCAGAAGCCTACGTTACTGAGAACGTCGAATTGGTAAGAAACGGTGCAAGCAGCAACTTGCGTAAACAGATTGAAAACGCAATCAGCTACGGAGCTCCTGTTGTCGTTGCAATTAACAAGTTTGCAACTGACAGTGATAAGGAAATTGAATGTATTAAAGAAGAAGCCATCAAAGCTGGAGCATTTGATGCAGTGGAATCTGACCACTGGGCCAAGGGTGGTGCAGGTGCCATTGATCTAGCCAAGTCCGTTGTACGTGCAACGAAGGAGGCACCAGTTGATGATAAAACACCACCAAATTTCTTGTACTCACTTGAAGGCTCTCTTGAAGATAGATTACGTACCATTGCAACCAAAATGTATGGTGCAAAGGACATTGAATTATCGGAATTGGCAAAGAAACAAATCGAAGACTATGAGAGACAAGGTTTTGGCAAACTACCAGTATGTATTGCCAAGACACAATATTCTCTTTCTCACGATCCAACGCTAAAGGGGGTTCCAACTGACTTTATTTTCCCAATCAGAGAAGTTAGAATCAGTGCCGGTGCAGGATACTTGTATGCGTTGGCAGCCAAAATCATGACTATTCCAGGTTTGAGCACTAACGCTGGTTTCATGAATGTCGAAGTAAACGACGAGGGCGAAATTGAAGGCTTATTTTAGATTTAAGAAATAATATTTTTTTGGTTTGACCTCAACTAAATTGATACAGCATATACTATATTCGTTTATAAATCTCAGTAAATATTAGCGACTTGCTTAGGCTGAATTGATTTTATCGGACAACTCTGCTTGCAATCTTAACTTTGAAGGAGCATCGAATTCGTCCAGCATCAATTCGATAACCCTGATTTTATCAGGAACATTGAATTTTTCATTTTTGAAAAGCTCGTCCAACTCTTCGTTAGTTGACACTTTCAAGTTCTCATATTCAACTTTGTCGGCAAACAAATTTAGGATTGCATCGTGTTTCCAAGGCTGGATATTGTTGTAAGATTCATGTGGTCCATGAATCAATTTCTCGATTGTGTAACCCTTGTTATTCAAAATAAAAATATAAGGTTTGATGTTCCATCTACAAGCATCAGAGATTGCTTGAACCGTAAGTTGTAAAGAACCATCCCCGATAAATAAAATGACTCTTCTTTCGGGATACGAGGAATTTAGTTTCTTAAAATCGTCAACTGCAAAGTTTGCACCAACAGCAGCAGGCAAAGAGAAACCGATAGAGCCCCACAAAACTTGGGAAATAGCTTTAACATGCTTTGGGAAAGTCGTTGTCAAGATACCAAAACTTGAAGTACCTGTCTCAGTAACAACGACATCACCCTCGTTCAAAAAGTAAGAAACTCTCTTCCACATGTATTCCTGGATAAGTGGGCCTTCTGGGCACGTTTTAGCTGTTTGGTATTCGTACTTGGACTTTGGTGGGCTCAATTTAGGTTGGTAACTTAAGCTTACCTTGGATAGCTTAGAAATAAGATTGTCAAGTGCTCCTTTCATTTGCAAGTCTTCGTAATTTGCTCTCTTGAATTTGCAGTAGTTTGAGTGGAATTCTACCACATTTGTTGTAGCATAAGAGTAAGAGAATGAACCAGTGTTGAAGTCTGATAATAACCCACCGATAGAGATGATACAGTCTGTGGACTCGACGATCTCCTTAACATCAGGAGCAGATAAAGCACCAATGTACATACCGTAATATTCGCTATTGTCTTCGTTGAAAGAGCCTTTACCCATTGGAGTGGTAAAAACTGGGAACTTTGTAAGTCTAGCAACTTCTTCAACTTGTTCAATGACAGCATGACGGGAAGCACAGGCATCAACCAAAATCACAGGGTTCTTAGCCTTCTCCATCAGCTGAATAACGTTTTCCACAAACTCATTTTCAGACTCTTCATTGTTTGGAGGCAAAGACAACTTAAGCTTGTACTTTGTCAAATCGGAGGCTGGTATCAATGCCTCTGAAAAGTTACTTGGGAAACCGAGATAAACCGGTCTCTTGGTGAGTATGGCTGTTTCAATCAAGTCGTTTATAACCTTTGGTGCATCGTCAAACTCAGTGATAACCTTGAGCTTGATGCTGATCTTCTGGGACATTGCGGTAAAATCATCGAACCTCGAATCACCTAACGTGTGGTGAAGTAGAAGCTTTTGCTTCTCGGCGGAGATGGAAGGCATACCGACCACGTGGATTAATGGAATGTGCTCTGCATACGCACCTGCAACGGCGTTGACAGCAGACAATTCGCCGACACCGAAGGTGGTAACCAGGCATGCAAAGCCGTTGACTCTGGAGTATCCATCAGCTTCATACCCGGCATTTAGTTCGTTAGCATTTCCAACCCACCTGATGCCTTCCACTTCCTTGACGTGGTCTAATAAAGCCAAGTTGAAATCACCTGGGACTCCGAAGATCGAGTGGACACCGGCTTCCTTGATTTTTTCAAAAAGATATCTACCCAGAGTTATTTGTTCAGGCATTGTGTTTGTTATTTTAACTGGTAAATGGTAATTGGCAGTGGACAATTTGGATGTGTATCTAGAGGGTGGCAAACTAATCTATTTCAGGGCAAGGAATGCTGCAGAAGGAAACAATCAGCAAACAAGGGAGTAGAAATAGTGCTCCAGCTACAGAAGAGAAGTACAGTCGGGAAAGGAAGAATAGTTGGCAAAACAAAAAACGCATCATCGATCATTTATCCGAACCACAGCGGGCCGTACAGTGTGCTGATGCCATGTGTATCACACCAGTTGACTGCTCGGAGCTGCCAAAAGAAGCCAGGAGATGAACAGCCTTCCGAGGGGGGACGAGAACCTTTCCTTCTCCGTGCGCGGGATAGGAAGGTGACCCGTGCGGGATGAAATAGTAGGACTGGACACTACGTGAGGCATGTCGTATTGCGACAGCAAAAGTAGTGGCAGGGGCATCATGTTTTTGTTTTCCTCTCTAGCTGTTTATCGATTGTTTCATATCAGAACGGGAAATGGGGTTGACGGAGACAGCTTTCACCAGCAAGCTTGCTTTCCCCTGTTTCTTCTCTTTATACGAGATTGCGTGACTGCAGTTTTGGGAAGCAATGGATTACACAGTACCGGGATTTGACCCCAACACCCTGCGAGTGGTTGACTTGAAACGAGTGCTCGGAGAGAACAACATATCATGGCCCTCACGACACCGGAAGTCAGACCTTGTGGAAATTTTCACATATGAGCTCATACCGAAGCTAAAGCGGCAGAAGCGAATGGAGGATAAACAGAGGCGCATAGAAAGTGCCCAGAAAAAACATGAGACTGGTCAGGGATTTGTCGAGGCAGAGGAGGTGGACAAGGAGAGGGTGAACAAGGAGAAGGTGACGAAAAGCAAAGACACAAAAGAAAAGGAAGCAACTGCTAAGAAGGCCGATATCGAAAAAAGCAAGCCAATTGACGTGCTGAGTGTGAAGAAACGCGATAGCAAGGCTGCCAATGGCACGGACAAAAAGAGAAAACACTCACAACTCGTGAACCAAAATGAGTTCCAGTCAGGCAACGATACAGCACTGTACGACGATTACTCGGAACTTTTACACAGAAAGGTCAAGAAGAAGCGTAATTTCTCTAGGCCTGTTGCAGGAGAAAAGAGGAAGAATGCTCAGCAAGATAAAGAAAGTAATAATAACAGAACACTCGTGTCACAAGGCGATGACTCCACCGTGAAGCCTGAAACTGAACCGGTAGAAAACGCAGAACAACCTAGCGGTGTCAATTTATTCAACAGGAGTGGAGAGATCAAATTTGCATTGCCTGCCGTGAGCAGTCCAAAGCTTGAAGAACACGAGAACATTAATCAAATGGCGAACAGTACTTTTAACAATCACTTAAATAGCAACATTTTTGATAACATTAGTGAAAGCAACGATGACGAAGACAACACAGTGCTAATCAAGAAAGAGCCACAGTCTAGTTTACTCACCCCGCCCCACGTGAAGGTTGAAAAGAATATTTTGTCAGGACCCACAAAAGACATTACGCTTCCTGCTACAGAAGAAGACCACGCTCACAAGAAGAAAGAGGTAGAAGAAGACATTAGAGTCAAACTAGAAAAAATAGAAACACTCCGAACAGAGATCCGGGACGAGCTGAAGGGTGCAGGAAAGGATGCAAGTCAAACACAAATTTCCTCCTCAAACGATCTTAAAATTTTGGACTCCCTACCCTCTCAGAACTCATCAACCAACTTCACATTTGACAGCGACTCCGAGCTACTTACACAGTTACAAAACGAATTTGAGTTAGAAAATTCGAGAATTGAAATTGAGTCAGAAAAAGTTCTTAATAGGATAAACTCCAGAGAAAAATTCAAATATTATAAGGCCCAATTCATCAAAATTATTGTAATTTGGCTAGCTTTGTTGCTATTTTCTTTCGTTTTGGCGATATATAGACAAGAACGGATACAAGTGGGGTTTTGTGGCTGTGGGACTGAAAGCAACATATCACTATTGTTCAAGTTGTTTAATATAAGGCTTAAATGTGTAGAGTGCCCAGACCATGGAGTGTGTTATCCTTATTCGCAGCTTTCATGTCTGCCGGAGTATATCATGTCACAGCCATTGTTTTGGTCTTTCTGGGGCCTTATACCAACTTACAACACATGTGTATTGGATTCGACGAAAGTCAAAAAGATCAATAAGATTGTTAAATCGGTTTTGGATTTACTTTCTAGAAGAAACGCCAATATAAAGTGTGGCGATGGATTGGATCGAGAGGCAGGGTTAAGTTGGAAACAAATTGTCGAGACCATAGATCAGAGACTTGCCAACGATTTCAACGACAAAAATTATGCCTACATCTGGGAGAAGGTGAAAATTATGTTAACCACCAGAACTGACTTAAAATTTGTACCAGATGATAAGGAAAAAAACAAAGTGATCATAAGATCTTTGTCCTTGTCCAGATTATCAATTAAATGCAGGCTTAAAAGATTGCTGATCACCCTTCTGGTCAAGTACAAAGTATATTTGCTTAGTGTAATGACCATTCTTCTTACGTTATCCTGGATTTTTTATCAGATCAATCAAGCACTCAGCCGAAATGAATACTACAGAAACATGGTAAAAGAAATTATCAACAAGTTGCAAAAGCAGGCCACCGATAATAGGCACAGCGGGGTTGCCAAGCCCTACATAGCGAAGATCCAGCTTCGGGACTACTACCTACCTCAGCTTCAGAAGCTCACAAAGAAGAATAGAGATTCTGTATGGAAACGAGTGGTAAAGAACATCGAGGCAAACAGCAACATCAAAACGGAGGACGTCGAGATCAACGGTGACATCATGCGAGTGTGGTCTTGGTGCTCTGATATTTGACCGGGCGTGCTCTTCAAAGAAACTCTCTCTAGATTGTGTATAATCTTTTGTAATTGTACCATAAAGACGTTAACTGACTGACTCATCGCTTTTTCAATAGCGTGGCGCACAGCCCTTTTTGTCCTTTTTCGAAAAGCCTGTGCGGTGCCGGGGAACGCTCATCTCTGACAGTTTGGAACCGATTTACGGCACCAGGCTAAAGTAGGGCTCAAGAGGCGGATTCCTTAATTATAGAATCTGCAAGAAAGACAAGCTTTTGTTGCTATAACATAGAGAAAGAGAAATGTCAACTTTCGGATCCATTTTTCGTGTCACCACATATGGCGAATCTCACTGTAAGTCAGTGGGATGCATTGTGGACGGTGTTCCACCAAACATGTCCTTAACAGAGGAAGACATTCAACCACAGCTGACCCGTCGTCGTCCTGGGCAGTCGAAGCTTACAACGCCACGTAATGAGAAAGATCAGGTTGAAATCCAAAGTGGTACCGAGTTCGGGAAGACTTTAGGTACTCCGATCGCCATGGTTGTGAAAAACAAGGATCAAAGACCTCATGATTACTCTGAAATGGACAAATACCCAAGACCTTCACATGCAGATTTCACTTACCAAACTAAATATGGTATAAAGGCCTCGAGTGGTGGTGGACGTGCCTCTGCGAGAGAAACTATCGGACGTGTTGCCGCCGGTGCTATTGCTGAGAAATTCTTGCAACAAATCAACGATGTTGAGATTGTTGCGTTTGTCTCTTCTGTCGGCGACTGCTCTATGGATAGATCATGCCTGAATCCTGACTTTATGGAGTTGCTACAGAATATCACCAGAGAGCAAGTCGATGCCGCAGGTCCCATCAGATGTCCTGATCCTGAAAAGGCTGAGAAGATGACCAAGATTGTCGAGCACTATAGAGATCAACACGACTCCATCGGTGGTGTCGTCACTTGTGTTGTTAGAAATGTACCTATCGGGTTAGGTGAACCTGCATTTGACAAACTGGAGGCTCTTCTTGCTCATGCGATGTTGTCGATCCCAGCATCTAAAGGTTTCGAAATAGGCTCTGGTTTCGAAGGTACGAAAATACCTGGCTCAAAGCATAATGATCCTTTTGTGCAAAAGGGTGATAAACTGGGAACTTCTACAAACAACTCCGGTGGTATCCAGGGTGGTATTTCGAATGGTGAAAACATCTATTTTTCTGTTCCCTTTAAATCACCTGCAACCATATGTCAAGAACAACAAACATCCACCTATGAAGGTTCTGATGGTGTGTTATCCTCAAAGGGTAGACACGACCCTAATGTGGTTCCAAGGGCTATTCCAATCATTGAAGCTATGACTGCATTAGTGCTAGCGGATGCATACTTGATTCAAAAATCAAGAGAGTCCACTTTCGGCGTAGTCTATTGAATTTTTTCGACAGTAACGCATCATTGCAAAAGAATACCATTTCTTTTTATTAATATACTCTTATATAAATTATTAGAAAGATCACACAAACATGTATATTTAAATACTCGTACTACAGAAACGACTCATCGTGGTATTCATCACTGATGACACGTTTTCGAACTTCATTGTCTTCGCCTTGTTCTTTGCTTGAGCTTGAACATCTTGACTTTTCTTCAATTTGCCGATCTTTGTTCAGACCTTTAGAAATATCAACAATGTCATTCTCATCCTTCAAGCTTTCCTCATCCTCATCGGGGTTGACAACACGGAGTTTGGAGCGTCTTTTGGAACCAACCAAAATTTGGACTTCCATGTTATCCAGTACATCATCTGCAATAGATCCCTGCTCATCGTAATCATTACTATTGTATGGAGGAGATACTCTGGTATTTTCTGTGTGTACCTGAGTTAAGTACGGATTGACAATCACGTTTGAAGACATGGTGGACGTAGATATCATTGATAGTGGTCGTCTTGCAGATTTTGAGTTGTAGGAGTAAACACTCGAGCTATTGGTCAAAGAAGAATCAATTGTTGGAGAAAAAATCTGCTGCATATAGTGATGTTGTGGCAATGAAACAAGGGAACTATTATATGCCTGTTTCATAGGTATAAACCCCAAAGTTTGTGAATGAAAAGTACTTACGGAGGCTTCTTCGGGAATGTGGTTCAGAGTTGAACTCGTCCTGTTTGGGAAGCTCACCAAAGTTGTGTGTTTCGGAATAGCTGGAGGTGGCGAAGGCAGGGTGGGTGATAGTGTTGACTCATCGGAATGAATAGTGTACAAGTCGTTTTCAAATGAATTCTTACGAGCAACATTACCATTAATATTGGCGTTATTATCGAATTCATACTTTGCATTGTTAATGTTATCATTCCCAATATCAAATTGATTGAGAGAACTTTTGGCGGTCACAAAAGTGGCAATAGATGACTGAGTCGAAGCACTTCTTTTCAAGGAATGGCTTATGAAATTTGAAGCAACCGATAACGATCTTCGAACTGAATTCGAGCTATAATCTGGCAGGTTATCAACTTTGGGCTTCACAATACTAAACAGGCTTTTTTGTCGTTGGAAATCTTGCCTTTTTCTTCTCCAGGAATTTAGTGATAGGTCGTCACTGTCATCGTAGTTATTGATGTTAATTTTCTCAAAATCATAATCACTACCACCATGGGATTTATAGTCTGAGTCGTAAGAGGAGAACGTGGTTTCGGAAAATTGTTTGTGTTGGTTTTCGTAAAAGTCAACAATCTCTCTGATTTCCTTTTCATTTCTTTCGTCCTCTTGTCTTTTTCTGTAACGTTTGTACAGCCAGACAACAAGACAAGTCAATATGATGATCACCAAAATTGGAATAATGACAGATAGTGCGATTGTCAAATTTTTGTTTGAGTGTGAGAAGGGTCTTACTGATGCGGCAGAAGCTGCGATCGTAGTGTAGTCAACCTCTGATAGGCGCTTTAGATTGGTGGCGTTGTATAATTGGATGGTCAACTCGAATTCAGAACTCAAAGATCGTTTGTTCATCGAGATAGAGTTGTTTGAGGCGGAGGATGAGGAGGGTGAAACAGAAATTGTTAACAAGGTGTCATAGATTATACCTGCTGCCAGAATGGAATCTAGTGAGAGCTTTACGCCTGTTTTCGCATTGCTGTTATCGGCAAGAATGAGATCGTTGCTGAGATCCTCCCACTCCCACACGTTTCTGGAGACATTCAGCGCTGCTATCTTCGGATACACGTCGGTATTGTTCACGCCAATACCGCCGATCATCAGGACGGAAGAAACCTCGAAGTCCGTTGATGTGTCATTGTAAGCAAATTGGTTAGTTTCCGAAAAGACGGGCAGGACTAGGGAGCCTGTTCTTGGCTGGACGTCCTGGGCGCTCGATATATTGCAGGGTCTTTCCGCCCAGCTGTTGTACTGCCAGACTGGTATCTCCATCATGCTTACCATCTGGTTGTCCGAGGAGACGCCGCCGAAGAGAGCGAGTGTGTTTGAGTTGATCTGGAGAGCAGTAGACTTGTAGAAGGGGGACGGCTGGACCTGCGAGGTGGCGTTCGAGGACTCCCACGTGGTTGTGTCGAGCCGGATCATCCTCGTGGAGAGAGACTGGCTGTCCGAGGACGGCGTTCCGGAGAAGATGTATATCCCTGTGCGGTCGGAGTCGGTGTACAGGTATGTGGCGTCGCTGAAGTACTCGATGTTTGACCTGAGCGTGACGTTTTTCCACGAGTCCGAGACGTGGTCGTACTTGCTGACGCCCAACAGGCCGTGCTGGGAGGGGCACAGGGAGTAGAGAACGGCGCTTGCGATGAGGACGTCGCAGGCCTGCTGCGGCGGAGCCGCGATGGTGCAGTTGAGGACGTCTCCGGAGGCGAGCCGTGTGTTGAACGGAATGCGGTAGATCTTGTTGAGGGAGCTGCCGTAGTGCGACACGTCGTCTGCGTCGTGGTTGTGCAGGTACAGGTAGAGCGTCCTGTTGTCGAAGTCGTAGAGGGTGTCCTGGGACACGAGGGCCGTGGCATGCTGCAGCAGCAGCAGCAGCAGGACCACGGGGAGCAGCGGCGTGTGTTGCAGCTGCATCTGGCGGTGTGGGGGTGAGCTTGTGCAGGCCGGGTGTGCTTCTGCGTCTGCTTCTTCCTGTGTGTCCGTGTGTCTCTAGCCCTTGCACGGGTGCCGTGCTCCTGCGCAGGTCCTCCGGGGCCGCTTCAAACCGCTTCGCACACACACACACCAACACAAACGTCTTCTGGCACAACGCTTCCCTGAGGCCACACTGCATCCCGGTCAACCCCAGCCCATTAGACAGCCCTTTCCGAACGGTTGGCACCACTAGATGCCAGTGGAAAACCCCGTGTTGATCTTTGTCCCGATCCGGCACCTGCCCGATCCGGCGCCGCCGCCCTCCCAGGTCGCGGTTCGACTCCCGCTCCCCGCTCCTGCCCTCCCGCCACCGCGTCCGCCAATCCCCGCCGGCCCGGCTCTTTCTTTTCCCGCCCCCACGTGTTCTGTGCCACCGCCTGGCCAGCCCGCCTTTTCTCGGCTCTTTGTCCAACGGGGCTGGCAAGACGCTGTGCCTCGTTCGCAGCCCCCGCCAGCGCAGCGCCCGCTGTCAGACGAGCAACGGGGGCTGAGGGCCTAGAACAATAGCGCGGCGAGAAGTGCAGTAGAAGTGTATTCTGGCGCCTCGGGGGCTATCTAGCGATGAAGGGGAAGGCAGAACGGTTCAGAAGGACACGACGAGGACGACAGGAGGGTGGTGGAGCGGTGGAAGAGGTCGGGGAACGAGTGAGCAGCAGAGGTGTGTAGCTTTCTTTGGTAGTGGAGTGTTGGTGTGGTTCTGGTTCTTGGTTATCTGGTGCGTAGAGGAGCTGGAGCAGGAGCTGGTAAGCACGACAAGTGGGCCTTCGAAGCACTGAAAAAAAAACGGAAACTAGCACTGCCAGTGGCACGATGAAAAGACTCATTATGATGAGAGGCGGACCAGGCCGGATGTACACGCTAGCGGTGTCGTTGTTGCTGCTGCTAGGCGGAGTGTACATGTTCTTGCGGGTGGCGGCGTCTGTGGGCGAGACGGAGAGCGGTGTTGGGCGGGGGTATGAGGCAGCCAACGGGGTTGTGGACCGGGACATCGACGTGCGCCGGAAGGGGGCAGCGGGGGCCGGAGCAGTGAAGGACGCCACGTTCTTCACGATCTGCCGCAACTCGGACCTGCGGGGGATGAAGAACAGCATCGAGTCGATGGAGAAGCGGTTCAACCAGCACCACCACTACCCGTGGGTGTTTGCGAACGACGAGCCGTTCACAGAGGAGTTCCGGGAAACGGTGGCGGGGCTCGTGAGCGGAGACGCCATCTTCACGACGATCCCGAAGGAGTACTGGGACGTGCCTGCGTCCGTGGACCAGACGGTGATGGAGCAGCAGCTGCGGCTGCTCGAGCTGGACGGCGTGCTGTACGGCGGCGACCTGTCGTACCGCAAGATGTGCCGCTTCAACTCGGGCTTCTTCTACAAGCTGCAGGCGCTGGCCCCGTACAACTGGTACTGGCGGGTGGAGCCGAACATCAAGTACAGCTGCGACGTGCCCGAGGACCCGTTCCGCACAATGGTCGACGGCGGCAAGGTGTACGGCTTTGCGTTGGCCATGACGGAGGACAAGCGCACGGTGCGCAAGCTCTGGAAGACCAGCAGGGACTACTTCGAGAAGCGGGCGTCGTGGAACGCCTCCGTCCCGGAGGGCGACAGCTACGACACGATCCAGCACACGTCGCTCGGCTTCATCGAACAGAACACCGACACCAACCTGCTCGTGCGGGGGGACTTCAACTACTGCCACTACTGGTCGAACTTCGAGATCGGCAGCCTCGCCTTCTTCCGTGGCCCGGACTACGACGGCTACTTCGAGGCCCTCGACCGCACAGGCAACTTCTTCTACGAGCGCTGGGGGGACGCCCCCGTGCACACCATCGCCGTCAGCTACTTGCTTCCGCCGGAGAAGATCCACTACTTCGACAACACGGGCTACTACCACGAGAAGATCGGCAACTGTCCGAGAGACCGCAAGGTCTTCAAAGCCCTGAACTGTGCCTGCTCCCGCTACCAGGACTTCAGCTGGAAGAAGTACTCGTGTGTCCCGCGGTGGTTCAAAGGCCTCCGTCTCGACTCCCCGCACGAGGCTCACCACTGAGAACGTGGCATATGTAGCTGACAGCCGCCTGCTCACCAGCCGGCTGTCATACCATGTACTTTATACCCCCACTGCGGACGAATAAACGAATAAATGTCTCACCCCGTCGGCGAGAGAGAAACTCCGGCGTGTCCGACGTTGGCAGAGGGAATTTCCACGCGAGCGAGAGAGGGAGGCCGCCTGGCCTGACCAGGAGGGAGACACGCAAGGAGCTGACTAAGAGAAAGGACAAGGGTGTCTGCACAGAGGTCTTTCTTCCAGTCAAGAGGGGGAGAAGGGGGAGCTTGCGGTTCGGAAAGCAATTGCACAGCACTGCACAACATAGCGCAGCACCATGGGACGTAACGGAAAAAGCCAGCAGGAACAGCGTCTCTTGGAGTTGCTGAATGCCCCTGTGAACAGAAACAAATGTGGTGAATGCAAATCGCATGACCCGACATGGGCGTCGTGGAATTTGGGCGTCTTCCTCTGCGGGCGGTGTGCCAGCGCCCACCGATCCTTGGGCGACCACATCTCTGTGGTGAAATCGTTGTCAATGGAAAACTGGTCCAGCCACGAGCTGTCCGTGCTCGGCAAAATTGGCAACAAGCGCAACAACGGCTTCTGGAACGAGAAGAAGATCCCCTTCCCGTTCGACCCGGACGACAAGGACTCTTTGGTCATGTGGTTGAGAGAGAAGTACACAGGCAAGTTTCGCTACGGCGCCGTCACCGACGCAGACTACAACTTGGACGACTCCTGGGCCGACCGCACCGACGACTACGGTTTCGACAACAACCGCTCCAGAAGCTCCAGCTCGGGCGGCATCATGGGCCGCCGGATCTCCTCCGCGTTGGGCTTGAACTACGTGGGGCCCACCCGCCGCAGACAGATGAGCGCCGCCAGCAGCAGCGCAGGCGGCTTATCCAATAACGACTACGGCTACGACGCCGACGACGCCGACTCGTCAACGCTGACCCGCTCGATGAGACGGGGTAGAGAGAAAAACGGTCTCCGCAGCGGCTACGACAACGATGACGACGACTACGGCAGCCACGGCAGCAGAAGCAGGTCCACCTACGACAGAGACCGGCCCCGGGGCTCAAGGTACACGTCTCCAGTCTCTCCGTCCAGACCGGCGAGACTCACGTTCAGGAGACCTACCGGCACCGAATTCCGCAAGTACGGCGACCAGAGCCGCAAAATGAAGTTCGACATGGGTTTTGAGGACGAAGACGTGAACGTCGAAGCGTTGGCTCTCGCCCATGGCAACATCAACCGAGCCATTGAAATCATCAAGCAAAGCGGGGTCAAGCCGGCAGACCACTCAACCGACGCCCCATCCTCCGCTTCCGCTTCCGCAAGGGGCACCTCCACGTCCACGCCTTCGCTACCCCAGCGGAAGGAGACCACGGGTGCCCTCTTCGACTCGTCTAAGGCCGGAGGGTTCAACTGGCTTGACGACTCGATGCCACCTGCAGCCACGGGTACGTTGACGGGCACCGCTCCTGCCTCTGCTGCCGCAGAAAACCAGATATTCCAGTACGTCGACCCAAACACAGGCGCAGTGTACTACATCGATGGCAACGGCCAGCAGTATGTTGATCCCTCGCTACAACAGCAACAGACCCAGCTTTTGCCGCAGCAACAGCAACAACAGACACTACAGACAAACCCATACCAGATGCAGCAGGCTCAATTCCAGCAGCAGCAAGCGCTCCAGCAGCAGCAGGCACTCCAACAGCAGCAGGCGCTCCAACAACAGCAGATGCTGCAGCAGCAACAAATGCTGATGCAACAGCAACAACAGCAGACCCAGCAGCCTAGCTACTTCGGCGGCTTCTGAAGACAGCTGAGACAATAAGGGGATTCTTCAATAACGCTATGTTTACGGTTCTATTTTCAGCACTACTCGCTGATGCTGAGTGCTATATATCTATCTCTGTATCTAAACCTCTAAGTTTTTCTGCATGTATGCGTGTGCGTAGACACGTATGGATCGATGCGTCTCACTCTGGCTCAGATCTCTCTGTAGATTTCTCTTTGCCAGAAGTACAGGCCGTCGAACCAGACCGTCCCCAAGGAGCCTAGCAAGTATGGGGTCTCGTTCCAGATGAACCCCCGATACGTCATCCCGTGCGGCGGGTCTGCCAGAAGGATGGACAACGCGTACGTCAGATTGGCAAGCACGGCAAACGTGAACAACAACGGTGACACGCCCTCAACCGACTTCCTCAGGTAGTTGTGGTAGAGCTGCGGAAGTCGGGACGAGCAGTAGAGGAGGGTGCACAACCACGCAAAGACCATCCCCACCGCCTCTCCATCGAATGCCGCAGACAGCGCCGACGCTTGCAGCGGCACAGCAGCCACCGGCGACGCAGACAACAACGCCGTTGCGGTAGTGACCACCTGCGTCTTAGTGAGCACGGGCACGTGCGATGCCACCGATGACGACGACACCGTCGACGTGTAGCCGTCATCGGCAAGCAGCTCCACGGACGACCCGGCGTCGGGCCGCCGACCGCGGTAGTAGTAGTACTGGAAGTCGAGAATCACGTCATTGAGAACAAAGTACGCCGAGAGGTACGTCTGGAACGGGAGTTGCTCCGTGAGCACACACCCTACGAGGTTGAACGAGTCGCCCAGAAGCCACAAGATCAACAAATACGGGGACAACCCGTCGACAGACTTTCTGCAGTAGTTGTGCCATTGCTGCGGCAGAAGCGCCACGATCCAGCACAGCGTCGACACCAGCGAGAGTAGGCGGCTGCTGTTTTCCATTCCCTATGTCTCCTCTGCTTCTTCCTTTTCTTTGTCTCCTTTGCTGGTCTGTTTTGTCCTCTTCTTTGCCTCCTCTTTCTCTTGCTTCCTTGCCGTCTTATCTGCCCGGCGCCCCTTATCGCCTCATCCCTCTGCCGCTTTCCTTATCGGGGCAACGGGACACGGCCACCGTAGCTGACGTAAACACCCCCGCGCCGGAAGGGTGACATCTTCTCCGGCTGCTGATAGCGAATTTGCCTGGCAGGATGACTCCTCAGGAGGTGAGACCAGGCTTTATTTTTTTGCCTCAGCGTGTCTTGTTTATCTGGAACCGGTGGCACTCCTTCTTTCCTCCTGAGCCCGGTTTGCCCGTGCATCAGCGGATAAGCGTATACATGTGTGTGTGCGTGCTGTTTAGAAGTGCATGGTGAACAGATGTCTTCAGGAGCAGCAGCAACTACTACAACAAGAATGAAGACGGGGGCCGGGCCGGGCGGCACGGCGGCGGCGGCGGCAAATCCGGTGTTGGCGGCAGGCTCGTCTGAGACAGGGAAGGTTGTCTCGCATTTCCGGATCGGAATAGAGATCGGACGAGGGTCGTTTGCCAACGTGTACAAGGGGGTGGACCTCGACAACAACAACAAGACGGTGGCGATTAAGTCGGTGTTCCGGAGCCGATTAAAGAACCAGAAGTTGGTGACGAATTTGGAGATCGAGATTAAGATTTTGCGCAACTTGAAGAACCCGCACATCGTGTCGCTCTTGGACTGCGTGAAGACAGACCACCACTTCCACTTGGTGATGGACTACTGCTCCTTGGGCGATTTGTCGTACTTCATCCGCAAGAAAACCCAGTTGTCCAATCACCACCCGATAATCAAAACCGTTTTGGAGAAGTACCCCTCGCCGGCAAACTCGAACGGGTTGAACGAGTTCTTGGTTGTCAACTTTGCCAAGCAGCTCTCGTCCGCGTTGAAGTTTCTCAGGTCGCAGAACTTGGTCCACAGAGACATCAAGCCGCAAAACCTCCTATTGTGCTCACCGGCACACTCGAAAGACGAGTTCGTGGAAAATCACTATGCTGGTTTCTGGGAGTTGCCGATTTTGAAAGTTGCAGATTTCGGGTTTGCCAGGTATTTGCCTTCGACCTCGATGGCCGAAACCTTGTGCGGCTCTCCTCTTTACATGGCTCCGGAAATCTTGAGGTATGAGAAATACAACGCCAAGGCAGACCTTTGGTCTGTCGGTACGGTCATCTACGAGATGGTTGTTGGCAAGCCTCCATTCAGAGCCTCCAATCATATCGAATTGTTAAAGAAAATAGAGAAGTCGAATGACCAGATCAACTTCCCCACTGATTTTGAAATTTCACAGGATCTGATCAGGTTGATCTGCAACCTTTTGAAGGCGAATCCCACGGATAGGATGGGTTTCAATGAGTTCTTCAGTGACCCTGTAATAAACTCGAACAACGACATTTACGAATCGATGGAGGAGTCACTCTCTTATTCGGTTGAAAACGAAGAAATGTACGTCAGCGAGTACCTAGTGGGCAAAGACCGCAACGAAAATAGCCTCCCAAAAACAGAAAAAAATGTCATAAATAAAAAACCATCAGCATTAGTAACAGCTTCTATCATAAAACAAAAAGCAAAAAAACAAATACTTCCAAACCAGTTTGAAAGGCAAATTCAAGAACCTTTGAACAAATTAGTCATCGAGGAGGGCAATGAAGACGAACTTGAAACTAACGGCAGCGACAAAAAAATCAAAGAAGACCCCGTAGCTAACAACTTGAAATCTAATGCCTCCAACGGCATCGTCACTAGGGAAAATATCGAAAACAGGATTAGGCCAAAATCTATGGAGAAATCCGTAGAAGAACTTTTGCAAGAGCAACAGAAGGCAATAAAGAGTGATCCTGACGCCAATGGTAATAACACCGCCACTGACCCTAATGTTACTGTCAATGTCAAGCTCAATGGCCGTGACCAGATGCTCAGCAGAAGAAAAAATAAAGCGGGAAACGACATCATTGTCGAAAAGGATTACGTTGTTGTTGAAAAGAGAAATGTCGAAGTCAACACATTTGCCGATGAAATCAGCAAAGCTTCAAAACCTTTAAAGAATCCTGAAAGACACTCTTTTTCAAAGCAAAGAAGATATTCGATGTCTGTTAGTCCAAGCGGAGCTTTGAAAGAAGTTCTCGATTATACCACAGAAAGATTGTTTGGTGCAACCAATACTACCGCTAATAATAATACTGGTTCCACCAATACTGAAGCTGTGAGTACTAGTGATAGGCATGATGATTACGGCCCTGAATCCACGCCAAGGAGCTCACAAGACAAGCCAACTGAAATAACTAAAATAGGATCGTCAGAGGATAAGGTTGATATCAACAAGATCATCCTAGGTCGAAACAGTAGTTTCAAGAACACCAGTCTCAACATGAGGGAGTCCAATGATAAAACCGACCAGATTGATGGAATCATAAATAAGATTGAAAGGTTTGCAATGATGGCCCATGCCATAAGTTTGTACGCAGAAATAAAGTTTGACCAAGTGATCCCATTACCCCCTTCGAGTAATAACAACGAGTCAAATCATTTTGTTGATGTGTTTGATTTGGATGACTACAACAGATACTCTGGTGCCATTGGATTGGAAAAGAACATGAATAATCCAGAAAAGAAAAACAACAGCACAAACAGTAATACACTACAATATAACTCAGTTTATAGAAAACTATGCCAAGAAGGGTTGGCTCTATATTTAAAGACACTTCTGTTTTTGGGTGAAGCTATCAAGGCTTCTAGTGAATGGTGGGCTAAAAACAAGTATAAGAGCAACATCACACCTATGATGGGCGAGTTGATCCAATGGATACGTAACCGCTTCAATGAGTCCTTGGAGAAGGCAGAATACTTAAAGCTACGGATGAACAGATTCGAAGAAGAAGAAAATTCAGCTGAGAACAACCCAGAGCCAAACTTCATTTGTGAGAAAATTATATTCGACAGGGCGATTGAAATCAGCAAGGATACAGCAATTCAGGAATTGGGACATGCTACTGATGTGAATGAACTAAAGAAGTGCGAGATTGCGTATTCACTATCTGTCTGGATGCTAGAGTCGCTACTTTATCAGCCAAAGGAAAGTGACGGAGGATGCCTAGAGAGAGGAGACCAAGACATCGTTGAAAATTTCATCAATAGTATAGGCACGCGGTTGTTAATTTTGAAGAGCAAGATTGACAACCAATCGAAAGGGACTCGGACTGACTAGGACGCAAGCAGTTTGAACCTGTTATTGTGCGGAAAATAATAAAACAGAAAAAAAAGGAAAAATTAATAAAAAAACAAGGGGTTCGAAAAGGATTCGTGCTCGAGTTTGGATTAGAATGGGTCGGACTGGAATATGATCGGAGTATCAATTATTGAATAGAATTTAAGAGGGCGGACTTTATCATGTTATTTATTGGATTTGGAGATTACGAAACTCGTTGAAAAAAGGTATAAAAAAGGTTAAAAAAGAGTGGTATTTTATAATTTAGGGTGATTTATTATTTATCGTAATGTGAATTAATGATGTTCGGCTATTTTCGTGTGCAGTGCTTCTCGCTTTCCCCGACACAAGTGGGTTGCTGCATGCTTCGAGCGCACATCTATTGGCAACACCTCCGCTTGTTTTCTAGCGGCACAATTGTGATTGTGCTTGTGCTTGTGCTTGTGCTTGTGCTTGTGCTAGCATCCCTACCCGTGTTGGATCGGCCCTGCAGCCCGCCGAGGACGGTGATGTGCACAAACGGTGCAGGGACTAAATTATTACAAAAGATCAGGCCGCGATTGGCGGGCACGTGTATCCGGGCTGCACGACAGCGGATGGACCCCGTTTTGGAAAGCAACGGAACACAAGCGGTACAGAGGCACGGTGGTGTTGCAACTTAGAACCAAAAAGAGGAGCAGGAGGAGTATTGTACCCCCACGTTGGGCAACGGTGGAGTGTTATGGCGGTGGTTAGCTTGGTTGCTCTCTGGACCGTCTCTTGTTTAAAAAGGATTTGTAGTCCCAACTCTGCTGTAGTGATAGCTGCGGCGGAAACAAGTAACTTCGGTCTCTTGAGTTCCTTCTTCTCCCAGCAAACACTCTCTAGACCACAATGAAGTACTCCACCGTCTCCCTCATTGCCTCCGCTCTTTTCACGTCTGCAAAGGCCGCCGAAACCACCAGAACTGAAAGAACTTTCAGCTCGTACCTTCCTTCACCATCCCAGGTCGCCAAGGATGCTGCCAACGCCAGCACCATCCAATGGACCTCCGACGTCAAGGGTAAGGCCTTCGACAGATTTGTTGTTATCTGGTTAGAAAACACCGATTTCGACCAGGCTGCCGAACAACCAGACATGGCTTGGGTTGCTTCCCAGGGTATCACCTTGACCAACTACTGGGCTCTCACTCACCCTTCGGAGCCAAACTACATGGCCTCTATTGGTGGTGACTACTTCTCCTTGGATGATGACAGATTTATCAGTTTGCCAAAGAACGTTTCCACGGTTGCTGAATTGTTGGATGACAAGGGAGTCTCCTTCGGTACCTACCAAGAACATCTTCCATACACCGGTTTCCTCGGTTTCAACTACTCCAACCAGGAAACCTTTGCCAATGACTACGTCAGAAAGCACAACCCATTTGCCTTGTACGACTCCTACACCTCTAACTCTACCAGATTGTCCGTCATGAAGAACTTCACCGGCTTCGAGAAGGACTTGGCTGACGAGAAGTTGCCACAATACGTCATCATCACTCCAAATATGACCAACGATGCTCACGACACTAACATCAAGGTTGCAGGTAAGTGGACCAGAGACTTCATCACCCCATTGTTGAAGAACGACTACTTCATGAACAACACCTTGGTGTTGATCACTTTCGATGAAAACGAGACCTACGGTGAACAAAACACCGTCTTCTCCATTTTGTTGGGTGGTGTTATCCCAGACGACTTAAAGGGTACTACCGACAACACCTTCTACAACCACTACACCCAAATCGCCTCTGCCGAAGCCAACTGGGACCTTTACCACTTGGGTAGAAACGACGTGACCGCCAACATCTGGAGCTCTTTGGCCGACGCTGTCGGTGTTACCAACAAGGAAGTTGACACCAGATTCTTGGTCAACAATGAAACATACCACGGTTACTTGTACGACAACAAAATCGCCCTTCCAGCACCAAACGTCTCTGCAACTAACATCGTCGGTAACAGCATCTTGCCAGCCATCTCCTCTGTGTGGGCTGACGAGTACTCCGCCCAAGTTAAGGCAAACTACTTCACCTCCACCACCACCTTAGTCACTGCTGGAACTTTGACCAACGCTGTCTCCCTCTACGAGGATGTCATGGCCTCCTCCACTGCCCAATCCGGTTCAGCTAAGAAGTCCGCTACCATCACCACCAAGTCCAGTGCTGCTACTTCTTCCTCCCACGCTGAATCTTCTAAGGCCGAAGCCGTTTCTGCCTCTGCTTCCAGCAGTGCCAAGGCCAGCCCATCTTCTGTGTCCTCCTCCTCCAAGGCAGGTGCAGTCGGCGTTGTTCCTGCAACTGGCGTTTCTGCTGTCGCAGCCTTAGTCTTTGCCCTTCTCATGTAATCACCTCACCACCTCTTTTTATTATTCCTTTGCTTTTACGGTTGCTATCCACTTGTACCATCTGGTGGTATCTTATTCATGCCTCCTAACCCCCTCCTCCCCCCCCCCCCTTTCTGTATAGCTTTCCCAAAAGAATCTTTTACTTCACTTTTATGGTCGATCTGGAACTCGACCCTTTCCTGCGGGACGCTTAATTGACGCGGTAGTCCAGACCGCAGTTGCCGGATTCGGCGGCACGGTCGTCAACGGCATCTTTCTCTGCAGTGCGTATATATAGCTCCAACAGGAACGAAGATATATTTGAAGACTGCACAGACGTCAAGCTGATATCTTTTGCTGGAGTTTGGGGAAGGCACAGGTGGGCTACTATCCGTCGGGCTGCTACTATGGCAAGGACAACAACGCGAATGTTCTCTTCCTCCTCCTCCTCCACCACCTCCTCTTCTTCCACGTCCGCCGTGTTCTCCTCGCAGAACCCGAGAGGAAAATCGGTTTCTGTCACATGCACAGAGGAAGGGATTCTTCGGAAAACTAAGAATGGGATGGGCGGTAGCTTGAAGTATAGACACAATCATGAGAAGCCTCACAGGAGCCTGGTGTCCTACCATGACTTGCCCCACTGGCAGAAAGACAACGACTTCATTATCTACGGTTATGTCAGTGAGACGAATAATTTGTGGCATTGTTTCGACACGCTTTTCTTCTTTAACAACGAGTCACTGAACATCTTCACTCACTTGCTTCCGGGAACGGTTTTTCCGATCTTAATGGCGGTCTTCATTCCTTATCTGATTGTCCACGAGAATTTCATTTCTTACGTACCTCCGTGGTTGGTGCACCTACCTGCGTACACTAACACCGACGCATCCGACTACGGGATATTTGCGCTTTTCTTTATTGGCTTCATGGTGTGTCTCTCCTGTTCAGCCACATTCCACATGCTGAAGGTCCACTCCCACGTGGTGGCCTCGATGGGCTCTCGTTTAGACTATGCTGGCATATTGCTCTTGATTGCTTCTTCATTGATCGGCATCGTCCACTACTCTTTTATTGATCAGCCTGCCCTGAGAAGCATTTTTGTCTCGATCACTTCTGTCATCGGGGTCGTCTCTCTTTTAGTCACATGGCATCCAGACTTTCGCACACCAAAATGGAGACCCATCAGAACCTCCACTTTCGTCACTTTCGCCTTCTCTGGATTGATTCCAATTTGTTACGGCTTCCTCATCATGGACTGGAAAGTTGCAGCAGACAGAGCAGGCCTGAAATACGTTGGCTACGAAGCACTTTCTTATCTTGCCGGGGCTACTATGTACGCTTTTAGAATACCAGAAAGATTGTCACCTGGCACTTTCGACATGGTCGGTAACAGTCACCAGATTTTCCATTGTTTGGTTGTTCTCGGAGCTTATTGTCATTTGCGTGCCTTGGTTCATGCTTACATCGTTGCTAAGTCTACCACTCTAGGTGGTCAGCTCTTATGAACTATCAAAGAAGCGCTAGCCGCATCTTTTCTCTTGACCTGGTCATACAAGTTAATGTACCGCTCATCATTTTTCACACTTTATTTCTTCGACTTACACTTTTACTTTTTCTTACACTTTTACAATTTTTTGCTTACTCCAATTACTGATTTATAGATTTGAATTTTTTATAGAAATTATGGTACTTTATTCAAAATATACAACCCGTGCTTATAAATATCCGACTATCTTGTTTTCTGACCCATTTAACCACTTTCAATCCATACGCCAGCATATCGCTTTCGGTGACTGTACCTTTTCCTATGATAAAGACCTCATATGTACCAAACTTACACCCAAAACCAAGAATCTTCTCTTCATTTATTTCGTCATACCAGTCTTCATAAATAACCGTGTTCGATCCTCCAGCGGCTTCTCCTCCATCGAGTACTATCTTCTCACTACCCTCACTAAAATCCAAACATGCAGTATCAGTCCAAACAACGTGTAATCGGTGACGTAAATATTTGTAAACATTAAGTAAATTTCGTCTGACCTTTTCATCATTTATATCAAAATAAACTGATTCTGGGAAAATACATTGTACTGATCTTTTGGACCTCACGGCAAAATGTAATATACCACTCCAGGGTTCAGTGCCGTCGGAAAGATTTTTCTGCTTTGGGGAATTTAGTGAAAGCTTGTTGATCAAAGATGAAAAGGCTGTGCTACCTTGCACGTTTTCTTTAAATTCGTTTCCCTTGTCGCCTATTATCTTATCGACCACAATTCTTCCGTTTCCGACTAAACTGCTCCATATATTCCTGTATATTTTATGATCAAAAAGAATGGTTTTAGCAATCTCATTCGATATCTTTCTCATCTCATTGAATGTGTCTTTATATGGAGACATCAATATAATACCTATCTTCGTACTGTCTTCGTCAAGATGTAGGTCATCTGTGTCTTTGATATCATGCAATTTGAATAGCCTTTCATCTTTCAACTGATGAAATTGTATTAGATTGTATAAATGGCCACTAGAGTTAAATTTAGGAAGACAAATCGGCACCCAAAACGTTTCCGAAGTGATAAATTTTAGTTGGCCTTTGTCATCACTCTTGGTTTTGAATGTGTTGGTATTGAATATCATCTCGAATAAAATCATCAAATCTGATGTGTGCAAAGTATGCCTTTTTGGCCTCATAATGCTTATCAACTTTTCATTTGGTCCGACTATTAATCCATACAATAAATTTTCAGACCTAAAATTCATTAGCTTTCTTTCTAACCTGCTTCTTATAGAGAGATGCATACGCAGACACTGCAACCCGCCCAGCACTTGTGAAACGTTTAAATTGTTAGCAAAACCCTCACAAATGGAGTCCAATGTTAAAACGTCGGTTTTCCCGAGTAGATTTCTTAAATCGAAATTTGCGTATTTACCAAAAAGCTTGTCGATGTAGGGTTTTGATAATGCTGAAAGGATGAAACTGTAAATGAAATCTAGTTGTTGTTCAAGTTCAATATATGTCGACTGATTGGATCGAACTATAGTCATCAAGATAATTGGAGACTTATCCAAGAAAACAAACTTAATTGGCTGTCCAGTCTTTTTATCCTTGCATTCAATAATTTTCACTGACTTGGAACCATTACTGGAATATTTGTAAAATGACACAATGGTTTGAATAACTCCTGAATACACAACAAAAATATCATACGAACCATGCATGCAGTAAATTGGCTTACCTGCTGAGGATAACATAAAGAAATGTTGTCTATTGCCAAAAAACTTGCTTATGTTGTCCGAATCATCGGAATATTCTAGACATTCATTGAGCACAAACGGAAAACCGGTTTCTTTGAAGTCACTATTTGCAGTTGGTTCATTCTCGACATCATCAGTAATATTAGCAGCGGTTATAATAGGCGATAGTATTGTAGATGCGGTGTCGTCGGCCTGGTTCACACTCAAAACATCGTCATTAGTGCTGTTCTCTGCTCCGTTCATGCGATTCAAACTCACGTTTTCTAGGCTTATACTGTTCATCGGTACTGTTCTCAACTCCTTAAACATAATCCCCGTATTTCCATTAGCCTGATTTCCCAAACTTATGATCGACGTTGTTTTTCGTAAAGCTTGTTGCTGATGGGGATCAATGAACCTGGCCTCGTCTGCAGAACTGTCCACGACGTCATCGCTTGAAAGATTAGTGGCAAAATAATCATCTTGGAATTCCAATGGACTTGTTGCCAGTTCGGATTCCATCGTATAGCTAGTATACAACCTCAACAAAGAAGTTGGAATTGTCTTGACCACAATAATGGTCCCAGAACTTATTAAAGATCTTTCCTGCTAACAATAACTGCTTTCCAGATACGATCGCTTATTATACATGTTACTACTCTCGCCCCGTAAACACGAGGATTTTTTCTTGAGATCATCATTATTATCAATGACTACTAAAAAATCGCATCTGAACTCCTTTCAGATAACACATCTCCAACTCTTTGATAAGAAACATTCATGAAGTAGTAATTCATATTTAGTAGCACTGGCACATTTACGTTCAGAATCCTTATCAAAGTGGCACCAATGTCTTTGAGAAACAAGAGGTCTTCTTCATCTCTTGCGCCCACATCACGTCAAAGTCTACTTACACAGGCCGATTATTCTTCGTCAGTCGGAGACAAGCAACCATCAATTGACCACAAGATAGAAAAGCAGATAAAACGAGTTTCGACACTATTTCATAGATCTAAGACCGAAGATGGGACGTTCACCTCAACAAATAGTGGCCATCAGAGTAACTCCTCAAACCTAGCAATGAGTTCTGATAGCCCAGAGATACCATTGCCCCAATCGCTAACCAGTAATAGTCTTTATTCTTTAAAGAATACATCAAGTGGAACATTAGTTAGTAGGCAACAGAGCTTGGATACTCATTTTAACAATGGCCATGGTATAAATAACGTGGAGTTCACCAATATACGGAATGGACCTGAGTTTTACGACGGTTCAGACTCAATCAACTCTCCTAGTTCTGCTAGTTTTGTGGATAAGACTAGGGACACTAAATTTGGGAGGTTTTTAACTAAAACAGGAAACAAAGTGAAAAAGTTTTCGGACATGAGCGGTGATCAACTTAATCTCGGTCTTGGTTTACACGGTCACGGGGGTTTGGGCCATAATCACAGTTACAGCTATAATCATAATCATAGCCATAACCATAGCCATGGGTTTCCGGAATTGAACCTTCAGGGCTCGTTTATGTCTGTTGGATCAAACAATAAGGATCTCAAATCTCCAATTACGCGTGGTTTCAAAGGTGATCAAAAATTATCTTTTGGGGAAAAATTGAAGCTTTTGAACTCGACAAAGTACAAAAACTACCATTACCACAATATACTAAGGAACAAGAAGGAATCGTTAAAAAATGGCATTAAGCTTGGATCTAAAAACAATGATCTCGCTCATGGACATGACCATAACAATATTATGGCTGGAACCTCATATGCGCTTTACGACATCAACTATATTGAAATTGAGAGGATGATTGCCAATGATGTGTTGAACTTCGAGCAGTGTGATCAATACTGTAAGTTCCTATACGACCGGCTTCAAAATCTATTAATGCCTTTGTTTAGGGGAGAGTCTTTGCAGTCTTCCTTGGAAGATATTACGAAATTGGTTAGCTTATATGTGAGACTTCGGAAAGCAGAGGAAGGAGGAGTAAGAGAAAGTGAAAAAGTTTATAAAAGTACAGACACTATGGCAGGAGTAATGAGCAGTGGTAACAACAGCACCAACAAAAATAATAAGAACATGAATTCGAGTTTTGGTATTGGACATTCTCAGTCACAGAACTCATTGAACTCTTTCAAAGAATCTGATGAGTATGATACCCCATTCATGAAACCCAGTGCCACATTTGCCAGTTCCCCAATGACGACTGAGTTGAATTCGCCAACTGCCTTTTCCCCGCTTATAAAGATGCAGTCCGCATCATTTATCGCGATTTCTAAGGTGTTAGAAGATGTGAATGAAATTATAAAGCATGGAATGGCTGTTATGATCAATCAGCTTTACTACGATGAGGCTAATGATACCGTAAGATTTATTAAGGGTAACAATCCCGTGTTACGCAAGCGAAAAAACACTATACAGTACGCCAATGACGAGGGTATGGATAACCTGCACTACACACCAACATCAAGCACTTTCAACAGTAACTCGATGGCTAGCAATGCACACATCTTCAATGGTAGTAACAATAACGACAATGACAATAGTAACGGAGTCAACAATGGCAATATGGGCAGATCCTCTAACTCTTTGTACGCCATGGATATGGGCATCAATTCTTCCACAAAAAGTGTGACAGAGTTCCCCGTTCTGACTCCAACCCACACGTTCAACTCGTATGATATCAGGCAAGGAGATCCGTGGGACAGCGTCAATGATCCTTACAACGGGTACGGGCACGATCTCAATGACGACAATGATATACTTAACCTCAGCTCCTTACCTATAGGCAAATTTGAGAAATGCACCGGCATACTATGGGACATGTTCCAAAGAAACATACTGTTTGATCTTACAAGCATCATGTTGCCCGTTGAACTTGAGTTTGCCAACGGCCATCGTGATATCAGCAAGATTCACAACAGAGCCAACTCGATCTTGTACAATCGTGGGGAACAAATGGTCAGCTTCACAAACACGATGGTGTACCCAAATATCAGCAACTTTGGAAAGGGAGAGAGTGGGGCTGGTAACAGCATCATCGGCAGTCTTGGCGAGTGGGGCGATATCAACATCCGCAACGTGCTTCTCGTCGGGTTCCGCGATTACGTCGTCATCCCGCTCTACGAGATGAACCGACAGTTCGAGGACGTGGAGGGTGTGGGTGTAGATATGGAGCAGCGGACCGTTCCTGGAGACAGGACAGGCCATGGTGCTAAGCCGGTCACGTCAGCCACTGCCACGGCCTCTAAGAACGACGTGAAGCTGAGTGTCAAATCGGCCAGTGGCAGCAGCAGCCTCATACAGGAGTACACCGATGCATGTGTGTTGCTGCAGTGCTTCAGGCTTGTCAGCAGCGTTGGCACAAACGATACGAATCAGAAACTTGTCGAGAACCTGCTTGTCCAGATGCGGGACAAGTGCCGCCGTTACGAGAGTGCAGTCTCCGAGGATTAGCCAGCCAGCTAGCCAATTCATGGAATCACGTGCGCAGCGCCTGGCCGATTTCGGCGGCGGCCGGTTTTTCTTCCAGAATTTTCCAGCGGCGGGGCGGATGGCGGGGAGCTTTCGCAGGCAGACGGCGGGTGATGATGGTCTGTGGAGAAGAGGGTGGAAATATTTATTGGAGTGTTCTGCCCTTTTCGCCTTTGTAGTTGCGGAGGCGTTGCGGTAGTTTTGTTGCACTTCTTTGAGTTCCTGCCATCGACTACACACAACCATGTTAAGATTTGCTTCTCCTGCTGTCAAACAATCTATCAAAGCACAGGCTTTGAAACAACAAGTCAGATCCGTCTCCTACAAGGAGTTAAAGTTCGGTGTCGAAGGTAGAGCGGCCTTGCTGAAGGGTGTCGAGACCTTGGCTGATGCTGTCTCTGTCACCTTAGGTCCTAAGGGTAGAAACGTTCTTATTGAACAGCCTTTTGGTGCTCCAAAGATCACCAAGGATGGTGTGACCGTTGCCAGATCCATTGTCTTGCAAGACAAGTTTGAAAACTTGGGTGCAAAGTTGCTACAAGACGTAGCCTCAAAAACCAACGAGAGTGCTGGTGATGGTACCACGTCTGCCACGGTTTTGGGAAGATCGATTTTCACCGAGTCCGTCAAGAACGTTGCTGCCGGCTGCAACCCAATGGACTTGAGAAGAGGTTCTCAAGCTGCCGTTGAAGCCGTCATCAAGTTTTTGTCTGAGCACAAGAAGGAGGTCACCACCTCTGCAGAAATCGCACAAGTTGCCACCATCTCCGCCAACGGTGACGCACACATCGGTGGTATGTTGGCCAACGCCATGGCCAAGGTCGGCAAGGAGGGAGTCATCACCATTAAAGAAGGTAAGACTTTGGAAGACGAGCTACAGGTCACCGAAGGTATGAGATTCGACAGGGGTTACATCTCTCCATACTTCATCACCGACGCCAAGTCCGGTAAGGTTGAATTCGAAAACCCGTTGTTGCTTTTGTCCGAAAAGAAGATCTCTTCCATCCAGGATATTCTACCATCCCTCGAGATCTCCAACAAGTTGAGAAGACCTTTGTTGGTTGTAGCTGAAGACATCGACGGTGAGGCTTTAGCTGCATGTATCTTGAACAAGTTGAGAGGTCAAGTCCAAGTCTGTTGTGTCAAGGCCCCAGGCTTCGGCGATAACAGAAAGAACATCTTGGGTGATGTCGCCATCCTTACAGGTGGTACCGTCTTCACTGAAGAATTAGACATCAAGCCAGAGAACGCTGCTCCAGAGTTGCTTGGTACTGCCGGGTCAATCACCATCACAAAGGAAGACACTGTTGTCTTGAACGGTGCTGGTCAAAAGGACACCATCTTGCAAAGATGCGAACAAATCAGAGGTGCCATCGAGGATGCTGCTACCTCCGACTACGAAAAGGAAAAGTTACACGAAAGATTGGCCAAGCTCTCTGGTGGTGTCGCCGTCATCAGAGTCGGTGGTGCTTCCGAAGTCGAGGTCGGTGAAAAGAAGGACAGATACGATGATGCTCTTTGCGCAACCAGAGCAGCTGTCCAAGAAGGTATCTTACCTGGTGGAGGTACCGCTTTGATCAAGGCAACCCAAGTATTAGACTCAGTTAAGACCGAAAACTTTGACCAAAAGTTAGGTGTCGACATTATCAAGGCTGCTATTTTGAAGCCAGCAAAGAAGATTGTCGAAAATGCTGGTGGTGAGGGCTCTGTTGTCGTTGGTAAATTACTAGACCAATACTCCGGTGATTTTAACGTCGGTTACGACTCCGCTAAGGGTGAATACGTCGACATGATCCAAACGGGTATCATTGATCCGTTCAAAGTCGTCAAGAACGGTCTTGTTGATGCCTCCGGTGTTGCTTCTCTTCTTGCAACTACTGAATGTGCAATTGTTGATGTTCCTGAGCCAAAGGGTGCACCAGCTGCTGCTCCAGGCGGTATGGGCGGTATGGGCGGTATGCCTGGTATGGGTTTCTAAGCCCACTGAGTGAGCATTCGATATGACGCCCATCTGTTTGTCTGTTTGTTTGTTTCCCTGTTTATACTAATTTAAAGGTTTGTAAATAAGTAACTGAAAGAAAAGATTAAAAATCATAATGAGGAGCAAAAAAATTCCGGCATCGTGATCGCTGCAGCGCCTCGCTATGTTTTGTGTTGCCTGTCTTGATTCCCCTTTTTCTTTTCTTATCTTTGGATCGTTGCATCTTAAGGTTAATACTTGTATCTATATCTATCCGTCGATGAGGCATCACGTAGAAAAAAGGATTAAACGCACAGATGTTACTGTCACGCACTTTCATCTCCTTCTTCATATTTGGTCTCATAAATAATGTTCTCTACGTCGTCATCCTCACAGCCGCCCACGACTTAGTTCCGCCAACAACTCCGAAATCTCTTGTTTTGCTTGCTGATATTTTGCCGGCTTTCCTACTTAAGTTGTGCTTACCGCTATTTGTCACTAAACTTGCTTCAACAAATGGTGCTGTTGATTCAAAGAGGCAAAGCGTCAGCTTGGGTATAAACTATCCTTTGAGATTGGCTATGATTGTGCTACTTTCGAGTGTTGGTATAATATTAACCTCCTTACCTGTTCCCCTATTTATTGTCCTTGGGGGAGTCGTACTAGCTTCGCTATCTTCTGGATTAGGAGAAACAACTTTCCTCCAATTGAGTCACTATTATAGCACTAACGGCTCGACAAAGGCGCTAAAATCAACGAATGTCGCCATCCACGGTTGGTCGAGTGGTACTGGTGGTGCAGGATTGGTAGGAGCTGGGTTGGTTCTAGTTTTTACTACCATTATCAAGGTGCCGATAGATTGGGTACTAAGATGTTGTGCATTGATGCCCTTTTTCCACCTATGGGTTTTCTATGGCTATCTTCCTGCACCAACACTTAATGTGTCTTCTTCGTGCTCGGTAAATGAAGATGTGGAAGACCTGATAGATGGCACCAATGGTTATAGCGATCATGCCCTAGTTGAAAATCCTGCTTTGGTTGACATCAATTGCGAGGCTGGTGAAAATCTCTCCAATTCTAAAAATGGGTTCTTTGCCATACTGCTGCCAAAGATAAGACAATACTTTTTCATATATATGCTACCCTTATCGGTGGTTTACTTTGCGGAGTATGTCATAAATCAAGGTGTTGCTCCAACTATGTTATTCCCATTGACTGAAACGCCATTTACGACATTCCGTGACTCGTATGTCGCATATGGGACAATCTACCAAGTCGGTGTTTTCATCTCGAGATCTTCAGGATCTGTGATTAGGTTGAAGAATTTGTACTTGTTGGGATTTTTACAGGTGATAAATCTTGCGGTCTGCATTTTACAAAGTATATTCATGTTTGTTCCTAACATTTGGATTGTTTTCATTATAATCTTATATGAAGGTTTGTTAGGTGGTGCTGGATATGTAAATACCTTTATGAGTGTTTCTGAAGAGGTTGAAAGTCATGAAAGAGAATTTGCTCTCGGCTGTGTTGGTATTAGTGACAGTTTCGGAATAGTCATGGCTGCAGGCATCAGTCTCTGGCTAGAGCCTACATTATGCCACTTCCAGGTGGATTCGGGTAGAGATTGGTGTACTCTGAAATAAAGTTATCTCCAAGTAGATTAATTAAACTAAAAATACACATAAGCTAAAACTTATAAACGCAGAGTAAAAAACTTGAATACAATCAGAGTACATTTATTTAGCCCATGGGCTGATTGAAGTACTGATTTATTTCATTGAGAATATTCACCATTCCTTCATCTTCAAAAACAGCTGATGCAATATCATCAAACTGTGAAGGTAGCATGGAACTGGTAGTGCTCAATGAATCTGGTGTCCAGTTGATATCGGCACTGGAATGCATTTGCTCACCCAATTTGGAAATAGTATTTGTACTCAGACTTAAATTAGAAAGGGAATCGGATTTAGGTTGTGCATTTTTTGAACCATCATCCCTTTCTCGCAACTCATCAATAACTTGATGAGTGGGGAGCAAGTGTAACAATCTTCCCTCCTGTAAATTTTTGGAAATAATTTTCTGAGTCATGGCTCTCAACTTTTCCAAGTTATTGTAAACAGTTTTGAAGGAATCACAATGTGTCTCAATGTAAGAGTACAAGAAATAAATTGTTAAGAAAAACAACTTGGTCATTACAAAAAATTTGTAATCAGAAAATAGTGCAGGGACATTTATTATTTTCTCGTAACAGTAGCTCATAAAAGATAGGATATTTTCAGGCTCGCATGTATCTTCGATTTGAAGCAAAAGCTGCGAATGTTTTTTTGCACTAAAGTTGTAAAGTGCATCTTCTAACTCTTTAATGTCAAACACACGTACTTCTGGTAGACTGAAATTCTTAGGCTCATCCATAGCAGGTACTATTTTTTTATTCTTCGCTCTGAGGCCGTCGGTTAAGATCATATCGATTAGTAATATCGATTCCGTTCCAATCCAAGTCGAAAATACTTCACGGTTGTAAAGCAAAAACTTGTAACTAAGGTTGCTCTCTGACATTTTTAAGAGGGCAGATATGCCAAGAAAATAAACAATCTTGCTCTTAATTCCACATTCTTTTTTCAGACTTTTTATGATCTCTTGATTTTTTTTATCATCTACGACGTCTTTTGAATAGTTTTCATAGAGATTCCCTTCATCTAGGAAGGCATGAATTTTGAACTGAAACATATAAATTAGTTTCAATATCTTAAACATTAAGTGAAACGATTGCCATTTCTCTTCGTTTTTTTCAAATGATTGGTAATCTGCAAAGGAACCAAGAGAGGACAATAGCTTTATAAGTTTAGAGTCATATTTGGCAATCATCCTTAAAGGGTAAGGCTTCTGGCTGAGTAACTCGTAGGAGATTTCTCTGATAAGATTCCAAATTGATTCTGTGCTTGTGCTCTCTCTGTTTGCTAACTTGTAAAAGCCGTGGCAAAATCGATCATTTATGAAAGGATGTGTGGATAAATCAATGTAGTATGTGATGTCTGTAACTAGTAAGTAGTTCCACAAGACCTTGAGAGACTCTGTCGGAATGTCTTTAGCAAAAAAAAGTTCATTGAAATGTTCATGCCCATTGCTCACATTAGGGGGGGGCTCAAAGTAAAGGATTTTATCGAGATTGGCGTGCAAGCCCATTTCTATAAAAATGCTTACAGCAGTCTGGAATAAAGGTTGTGTGTTTTGCATTGCTACTCCCCCACTCTGAGCATCACCATATACCATCAAAGAGAGTCTCAAGTTTAGGAGAGTATAGACCGCAAAAATCGTGCGCTTTCTTCTGTAATTTGAGGCATTTAATAACTTGACAGAAAGCTCATTGAACTCGTTGTTTTGTTGAGGTAACGGGAAATTAAAGCTGTAATCAGCATATCTGGTAAAGATGTTAGTCAATTCGACCAGGGAGGTAATCAATGCAATAAAAGAATACTCAAAATTTTTTCTGGGACGTCTGAACACAACACCTTCCTGCTTCATATTAAAATAGTAGTGAAAGATTAGCTGCACAACCCCCATTGGAATATACGAATTGAATAGTATTTTATTGAGTTCTGTTTGAAAATATCTCAATCTTTCGAGTATAGCGTAATAATTGTTGCAAATCATATCGTTCACCCATTGATTTAAAATCTGACATGCAGAACCGTCTTTAATGTCGATACCTCCATATTGCAACTCTATTAGTTGGAAATTCTTATTAAAATTCTTCGACTTCCATAACCTTCTTTCGTTGTTGAGAAGCTGCTTGAAAGACATTAAAAATTTGAAAGACAAAACGTGCTCTTCTCTCATATACGCACAATGGAAGATTGGCCTTAGCTGGGTGTTAGATGGTTTTCTGAAAACATTATACTCGTTTGGGTAACTGAACTCCACGTCCAAAATTGTCTTTTGATATGTCGTACCTGGACTTCCTTCCTCCCAATGGACGTCATCCGCAGAAACAACTTCCGTTTCTTTACTTTTTTCCTCGTTTTTTTCCTCAGTAGTTAAGGAGCTGTCCTTTTCCTTTTTAAAACTGTAATTATAGGTGCATGAGCTGATTAGCGACGATTTGATACAATTTGAACATGGTTGCTGGCGATTACACTTGATTTTTTTCTCTTTGCAATTGGAGCACACTAATGACACTCGATTTCTGCGTCTTTTCACCTTACTGATTTCTGACATAATTTCTTATACCTGGTCAACAAATCCCCGCAAAAGGAAATAGTTCAGGCTCAAAGCTAGGTTGTTCCAGAGTTGCGGCCGGAAAGGTCTGTTCTTAAATTCCCTTTGTGTCGGTCATAATTCACATTTTCTCGGTCCAATCGATTTTCGCTCTCGTATTTAGGAGATAAGCGGCATTAATACGAGCACGACTAAGATTTTTTATAAATAGTACTTTTTGCTGATCTACGTCGTTTTATCTAAGAGAGCTCTTCGCAAGCTGAGGCTGTTTCCTGACGTTTTACCTCAAGTTAAGGCTCAGGCAAGTGTAGTGTAAACCCTCTTCCTTACCTTGTCAGTTGCGTCGGTGCTCAATTGCTGGGAACCACTGTCGTCTGTGTATATGTGGCTATGATCTTGTGACCATCTGTTTTGTAGAAATTTCAGACCTTGAATGTTGAAACCTACATCTTTGGTAGTTTTCAGAATCATGGATCTGAGCTGGTCTTTCAGGCTTGTTATCTCTGTTTTGAAAACATCGTCACTCTGGCTGATCAATTCCATGTGGTTAGAGCGAACAATGAAAAATAACGTACGGCAGATAACATTTAACTTGGAGGTGTTTTTTTGCAAAAGATCACCCTCTTTAGTCCACTTGCTGATTGCCTTGAGAAGTATAACAGTATGACTGAAAGGTAAAATCAACAAACTGTCTTCTAACTGATTGGGCTTGATTTTACACAACGTGTCGAAAAGATGCTCACTTGGTGTGGTCTTCATGGCAAGTAGTAACGCGTTGTCTTCATCACCAAGCATATCCAAGGCTTCGATCAACTTTTCGCTTGCTTTGAGGTTCTCCATAGTCTTTGCTCTGACAGTCTCTGCTTCGTCGATGTCTTCCTCCGCTTCCTCACCATCACCGCCTATTTTTTTTCTTGGCGTTATATCGTCTCCTTCTAAAGAAGTAAGAAGCTCATTTTCGTAGAGTTCGTCCAATTCCTTTTCACGTTCTTCCTGAATAAAAACTTCATCATTATCCATATTCCATACCCTAATACTGAAGTCATGTGAAACACTTACAAAGAACTCGGAATCTGAACTTATTGATAAACCCCAAACTTCACCGGTGTGAGCAGCAAATTTCTGGATTTGATCAAACTTATCACCATCCCAATACTTTATATACTTGTCCTTTGAGCAAGTCAAAAAGTTATGTGATTGTGGGAAAAACTTGATGTTCATTATTGAGTCATCATGAGCAAAGATAGACTTGTGACAATCACCAAAATCTAGACCCCAAATTCTCACATTCTTATCTGCAGAACAGGTAATGATCATTTTGGAATCAAACGAGATATCAATTGACAACACCGGTAGCTTGTGACCGTACAAACTCAAATAGAACTTTAATGTATCGAAAAAGAAAACTTTTACTGTGTTGTCCATCAACGAGACTGATAAATATTTTGAGTCAGAAGACACCCTCACTGCAAGTACACTTTCATTTAATTCCAAAGTTTTACTATGAGACAAGTGAAGCTTATTCTCCAGGCTGTTAATTTTGATTTCCCAGTATTTTACCTTCTTATCAGAAGAACCGGTTATGATTGTTTTTCCGTCAGATGTTATTTCGATCGACCAGATAGAGTCGTCATGGGCGGCTTCAATGTGGTGGACGACTTCAGAAGTGGACAAATCGATTAGCTTGAGTTCTCCACTTTTCGTTCCAACGACTAATAGAGAGCCACCTGGAAGAAACTTTCCGCATAACACATTTCCTATCTTCTCTATCGACCTAATGCAGTTCAGTGTTTTCAAATTCCATATCTTAATCTGATTGTTGGAGCCTGTATATAGTAACGTATTATCATCGTTTATGTCTACTGATCTAATATCTCCTCTGTGGCCTGGTCTCTCTACCGAATACTTCAAGTTGGATATTTTATCATTTACGTTATTGTGCTTCTTGACATTTTCTGGTAATTTGATATTCCAGTAATTGAGCGTATTGTTAGCGTTGTTAATAAGTAGATTCAAATCTTTCGAACTGGAATCTGTTGGACAGAAATTGGTAATTTTAGAATCCGTGAAAATTATTGTAAATGGGGTAATTAGCATCGAAACTTTTGAATTTTCAAGTGATTCTTCAATCTCTTCCTGGGTCATACCCTTTTCAGACAACCTTTTAGTTCTCTTAGAAACTGCTTTTTGAATTTCTGTAGCTGATCTCAATCGGAATACTTCTGCCAACTTGTCAGAGTTGGCAATTAAAATTAAGTTATTGAAGGGGTCAAATTTAATGTCAACAGCTTTGTTCTTGCTTTGTTTTTGAAACGTCCCGAACTCGGTTATTTTGTGGCCATCGTCTTGATGCACATCCAAAGTCCAAAGTTTGCATTCTCCATTCAAACCTGAAGTTAATATCATATCTTTATTCTCGTGATTAAAAACGCACATCGACCATGATTCCCCATTATGAGCCAAATGGGTCTCGACGCACTGGTTGATTTTCAAGTCCCAGATCTTAATCATTCCATCTTTTGAAGTGGATATCAAATAGTTGTCGTTGTAGTAGTAAATTGAGGTAATTGCGTTTCTGTGCCCCTTGAACTTTATCAAACCAGATTCGGATATCAAATCCCAAATGATAATTGTAGAATCGTTCGAACCACTGATCAAACTGGTACCGTTGGTGTCAAATTCTAAGCAAGTGACTGCAGATTTGTGGCCTTGAAATTTTATTATCAAAGAGCTGGTTGAAATATCCCACACCTTGATATCGCCATTCGATGATCCGATAGCCAATAAATTCGCAAACGGCGAGTATGCAAGCCTTGTGATCTCTGGCGGTGGTAGCAGAGATGAAGCGTTCAAAGATCCTGGTGTAGGAGTATCGCAGATCACAGATATTTTCGTCTGTGTCTTGTAATTCCATTCAATGACCGAGTCTAATGCAGAAGCATAAACTGTGTTGGATTTGCTATTGTTGACCAAATTCGATTTCGTAGAGATCACACCGAAGACGGAGTCTTGGATGTATCTTGCGTAAGATTTAACCATTCTATTGCACTTTTCCTTGATTCAGATAGAAGGCAATCACACAGGTTATCTATTTCCCTTTATTTTCGCAATCTCTCTTCTGATACTAATCACAGGGTATACCTTATAAATACATATATACATCTATCAACGCTTTCAAGGGGTCTCCATAAAGAAGCATAAAAATTTTTTTCATGAAAAATTCCGATTTCCTCATTTTCTCATTTTTTTCATTTTTTTGGCTTTTTCCTCTTTATTCCTTATGTAAGCACTTAACTACCTATTCCCTCTGATAAAGAAAATCAACAAAATCATCCATAAGAACAGGCCAGGCGGCATCTTCAGATAGGTGCTCAAGTTCCGGGAGCGGAATGGAAAAGAATAGCCTAGACATATTCCACTCGTCCATGCTGATGCTTTCCTTACCGCTTTTCCCGCTAGCCACAAAGTCATTGATGAATATCGACATTGTGGACGGTTCCTGTATTTTTGCAAAATCGTCATTGTAGATTACCCTCCATAGAGCAACAGCATCCTCTACAGCAAGTTTTCTTTTCCCTTCTTCGAGAGCGTATTTAAAGGCAAATTTGTTCACTAAGTCCATTAGCTTGGAGTTGTGTTTTGCCTGGTGTAAATACCTCGACATGTCTTCAGCATTTGTTGCATTTACTTTGGCCCAGTTTTTAACAAAAGCGTCCCTTGTAAACACTCCTGTGGATGGTGATTCTAGAGTGTACGCAGCTATGATTGCCTCGACGTCTTTCTCAGGATCAATGCCAAGGTCCGTGAAGTACGCAATTGTGCCGTCTATATCCATCTGGTTGGGGTTGGCATGTTCTGCATACCTATCAAAAACTTTATTCAATTCTTCTACTGCCTGCCTTTGTGGTATTTGTTTCATAGATGTCCCGCTACTTGCTGCTGGATTTTCATGGTTATAATAGTTATCGATTGCCAGATCTAAAAAGCCTCCGCTTTTTCTAATGTATCTTCGGGCCAGATCTCGGTTCATACATCCGGTGATTTGCATGAACTGGTCAGTATTGCTCATTTTATCAGTAGTGTCGATTGTCTCTGGATGACTGTATACTGGGAAACCCTAAACGCCACAAATACCTTCCAAGAGCCGCAAACGCCGGTTTGGCATATCTGACAAGGTCTAACTATTATTTCTTGGCCACGCGAGATTCCTTTTTGGGAAAAGACAGTAAACATGTCTTTATATTTGACAAGCACTATAATGCTAGTTGATAAATGACTCCCCTTTATCAACTTTCGAATTAAAACTTTCAGTAAACAAACTTCCACCTTCAATGACTGCTGTTATGGATTCTACTGATATACAGGTATCTGATGATACAACAACACTTTTAGATTGGTTATCTTCGCAAATTTTCCCCATCTCCGGTCCGCAAGAACTCAACATACCTTTGAGAATACGAAATATAACACGAAACACGGCCGACAGCCATATTTACTTGCCAATATTTCAGAGACTATTGTATTCTCTTGCATCAAACTTAGAAAGTCAATATGATGGAAATGTCATGGCATTTTTCAAATGTCTGGAATCGTCAACAACTAATCTCAACTTAATCTATATTTTCTTTAAATTTAGTAATAACGACATAATATTACTCAAAAGATCCGAGTTCTCCATATACCAAGATTTTATCCAATCTATCTGGGATGACTTGATTTCACTTTTTTCCGAAAACCATAAATCTTCCGATCTTTATCTTGTTTCCAAGATCCTGATGAAAATTAACTTGTTTGACGAATTGGATAACTTTATCTTTCAGCTTTCGAAATGCAGAATTATTCACAAGATAAACAACATGTACGATGTTCAGCCTATATATGAGTCCCTCAAAACATGGATTATCAATGATTTATATTTGTCCTTCGAAAGCTTAGTCTCTTTCAAAAACTCAAAAGTGTTTAAAGATTGCTTACTTTTGATAGCCAAAAATCATTTGATATCTAAACGAACAAATCAGATATATGACCTTGTTGAAAACTTCCCTTTCACGACTGAAACATTGAAAGAATTCAATGTATGTCTCAACAAAACAAGCCAGAAAGATTTACTTGTTGAACAATTTATTTTAATGTTGAACAAAAATTTATTGCTACCCAGTATTAAAACTACTGATATCATTTTGTACTATATTAAAACCATTCATGCTCTTTTACTCATTGACCATAGAGGAGTTCTTTTGGATAAAGTAGCAAGGCCTATACGGTCATATTTGTGTATGAGAAATGATACGGTGGAAAAAATAGTAAATGGTTTGCTAAGTACAGACCGAGAACATAACAAATTGATCGAATTGAATGACGAACTCAATAAGAATTTATTCCATTCAACCAATTCTGGATCGAGTGTGGCATCTTCAAGCTTGCAGAAGAGAACTTTGAATTGGCAACCAGATCCAATCGACGCATTACCAGATTTTCAAGTGGGAAAAATAGATGATACCATTGACTCGCTAACATCAATTTTTAACGATAACAACCTATTCATCAACCAATTCGTCAACATATTTTCCGTAGACTTGCTAAATATCACGGACTACAACATTTCTAATATCCTCAAAAATTTGTCCTTGCTTAAATCCAAATTTTCGAACGATGATTTTAACAAAATTGACATAATGCTAAATGATATAGTGAAAAGCAAGTCTTTGGATCTGAAAATAAATCATGTTTTGCAAACAAATAATTCTATTCATGGAGTTTTTTTGAGTCATCTATACTGGCCAAATTTATCTTCCAACGTCGCTTTATTCAAGTTTCCTCCAGCTATTCAAAATGATCTAGCAGCATACGAGCTTCGCTACAAGAATTTACAAAATGGAAGAAGTTTGAAGCTTCACCCTCAGAACACAAAAGCTGATATTGATATTGAAGTAAATGGTGTAAAAAAAAGTTATTTGGTGACATTGGATAAATTAGCAGTGTTAAATTTTATAGACGAGTCTAATCTCGAACCTGTCAAACTGGGTATCATAGTCATGAATTTGGGCATGCCTCTTCAACTAGTAAAAACAAGCTTAGAATTCTGGGTTACCGAAAATATTCTGGTTGAATCAAACGGCGGTTGGAAAGTCAATGAATAAGTTTACCAGCTATATATTTGTCTGTACAGGTCTATAATTGTCTTCTTGAATACAGGTTATCACAAGCTTATCTTGATTAGTTCTTCAATTATTTTTAGCACATCTTGTCCTGCGTTGCTTCTAGGATCTTCTAAGCGGGCCCTTACCGTCTTGTCCAACAAAATTCTAAGCTTACCAATCAAAACTGCGTTTTTACACCATGTTCTAATTGGAAGCCAATTATCCATAATGATACCCTTTGATTTTGCAGACCCAGCAAAACTAGTAACATCATATGAAATACTTCCACCGAATAACAAAACAGATATTTTTGAGCTGGGTGTGACTCCATAAGCATAAAGCTTACTAGTCTCCTGCGAGTCATTAAATACTATGAACGAGGGGTTCACCCTAGACTTCTCATCGTTGATAAATAATGATGAAGATGGGTGCATGAATATTCTTGTTGCTGGATATATCCTTTCGGAACTTTTATTTTCAGATACTTCAAGTTCTCCTTTGTCAAACAATTTCCTATAGTATTCATTTCTCGTCCAGTATTTGATCTTCTTGAACTCGGGATCAAGTGCAATTGCACCTCCAATGCTTTGTGCATATTTGACATCAGGTAGCTCAACCATTGCAAGTTGAGGGTATAAGGAGGCTGTTAAGATGCTTTTGACAATGCTCATACTGTCATTGTTTCTATTGAATCTTAAAACCTCATCACTATTCCTGTCCTTCCCATAATCATAAGAGAACGGAATAAAACCAATCTCTCTCAGACTGTTCAAGTATTGTAATCTCGTAGCTTCAATATCATTCATTCTCAAAATAGACAAAAAGTTATCACTGCAAAACTTTCTACGCTCTTTCATAGAAGAATACGACTTGAAATCTTTATAAGCGTTTAAAATAGCAATCGAATCACCATTGTCTTTTCCAAACTTTTGTTGTACTTCCTTCATTGCAGATCTATCTTCATGCTTACAAGAGAAGGGTGAACCCGTTACTCCAATTGCAGCTAAAGTCAAACTGTTTTCAAGGCACCCAAAAATGCAGCCGTAAATCAAAACTTTTCCCGATTTCAAATCAGTAGGTAACATGGATAAATACTTTCCCAACGCTGTTAGCTCATCATTGTTGGGGCGTAGTGCCCCAATATCCTCAAGGGCTCTTTTAGCATTGTAAACGTTATTTTCATGAGGAGCATCAAGTCCACTCTGCAAAAATTCATAAACATTATTGACCCCGATTGCTTTAACAACCAAATAAACCGATTCAAGTTTAGTACGTTTAATTTCGGGAATAGGTTGGGGTATCATCTTTCGTTCCGTTTCTTTGGTGAACAGTTTGTAGCATAAGCCATTTCTAATACGACCAGCACGACCCCGACGTTGCTTTGCTTCCGCTCTCGATACCCAAATTTCTACTAGTTTGGTGTTGTTAGACTTCAAGTCATATTGCACACTTTTTACCCGACCCGTATCAATAACTGCCACAGCATCGGGTATAGTAATGGACGTTTCCGCAATATTGGTGGCTGCAATTATCTTGCGTTTACCATGAGGTGGATTTTGAAATATTTTTTTTTGCTCCTGCGAACTTAACGCAGAATGCAATGGTAATTTCCAGAAATGGTCATCTTCAATGTTGTTTAAACACTTTTTAATTTCCATAGCACCAGGTAAAAAAATTAGAATAGATCCCTTATCATTTTTGGAGTCCAAGTCTTCATTCACTCGATAGACTAGTTCTGCTATTAGTTCATAGTTGATGTTTCCTTGTTGAAAGTATTTGGACTCTGCAGAGGGAGCCACTATATTGAGGTCGTCATCATGATTGAAATAACTACTTGCCCTTCCTCTTGAGACCTTAAAATTGGTCATATTTAAAACGTCATCAAGATAGAAATCATCAATCGGGAACGTACGCCCTTCAATATGGACATGTGCTATCTCATTTGTCGTGATCTGGCCAAAATATCCATCGAAGATGCTTTTATCAATGGTAGCCGACATCAAAATGATCTTCAAATTTGGGAAGTTTTTGATCATTTTCTTCAAGATGATCAATAGAAAGTCACCATCAATGGATCTCTCGTGAACCTCATCGATAAAAATATAGCCTAAATTTTTGAAAAAAGAATCTTGTACTTCTTTCTCTCTGCCGAAAATAGATTGTATCATTCTAAGCATTACACCCGTCGTTACAAATGAGATCCGAGTTTCGTCAGATGTTTTGTTTTCACCACGTATGATGTAACCAGTTTCTTTGCCACACCTATCAGTCCTCTCTTCTGAAATACGATCAGCCAATGCTATGGCAGATATACGTCTAGGCTGGGTACAAATCATTGTAGTTTGATAATCCTTTTTCCTATTCAAGTCATCAAGCACGAACTGGACAATTTGTGTAGATTTACCGGAACCTGTCTCACCTGTCACTAAGCAAACACGATTGTCATTAATGATTTTGACAATGTCGCTTTGCTTCTTCCACGCAGGTAACTTGGATCTGCTAATGATGGACTTTTCAAAGCCTGAAGATTTAACTCTCTCCAAATAATGGTTTTCGATTTTGACAGTATCAAGTTTTCTCACTTTGATAGATTTTTTTTCCAAAGCAGGCTTGTCACCTGAACTCAAACTATTGCTATCTCTGCTATTCTTCAATTTTGTCAATTCATCAGGTGGTATGTAGAGAGGGCCAGGATTGTTTATGATTCTCATAATATTTTGTTCTAGCCAGTCTACACAAGTGTAAATATATGGCATTCCTAAAGCTCCTATCTCATAAAGGTATTCAACCAAGTAGGTAATAATTGAAAGCTTAATATAGTTTGGTAAGGAGTAAGATGGGTCATTGACCACTATGAACATTCCACAAATGTCGTATGGGTAGCTTTCAGATCTATAAACTTTCAAGGAGAGCAGTTTTGGCCTGAGACCTTCAACATTCAAAGAAATTCCAAAAACATCATCTTTCGGTGGGTCGTCTTCTATGATTTTTGATTCATAAATGATACTCAGACTATTTTTTTCTTCCACCCATTCTGTCAAAGAATCCGAAGTTTTAGACTTTTCTGTTGGTGGCTTGTCCTTGAACAGCGAATTCGTTAAAAAAACCGCTGATTTCGTTAGATCAAAATTGTTGTGCTGTAAGCTGGAAATAGCGTCATTTCTACTGTATCCTCCCTGGACCAACTTGGCTATCAAACGTTCTTGGTCCAAGTCTCTGGCAATCTTCAATTTGACATTGGAAACTGAATCGTCCTTGGCAAAACATGCTGGCAAGTCATCCTCTGGTAAGTGGAAAATCAACCACTCCAAGGAGTCGTTAAATGTGTATGTGTATTTTAGCGATTCATCGATGTGTGTTTTCCTGAATCCTATCTTCTCGAGTAGAGGGGCATAGGAATCATCCTTGTCCACAACCTCAACAGATTTCTGAGTCTCCTCAGACCACTCGATATGATTTCTGATGGCATCTTCGATGGAGATGGCAATATCGGAGTCCAAGTCAAAAAGAATACTGTTGTCCCACACTTTCCTGGGGAAGCTCACCTTGTTAACTTTACTCAAACGGTCATCGGCGTCAGCGGTAGAGAAGTTTTCAGATCTACTCTCTGCATAAGAGCTTTTCTCCCTCTTTGCAGTTACAGCAGAAGTTTTCGACGTAGTACTGGGGGAAGATCCGATGACGATAGCAGCCTTTTTCACCTTTTCTAAAGATGCCTGTTTAGCCTCACGGTCTTTTTTCTTTGCGTCATCTGTCTTTCTTTTCTCGAGAACAGCCGAAAAGGGGTCGTTTGCGTACTCTAGTCTGGCTCGTTTTTCATTATCTGCTGTAATCCGTTTCCGCTCTGCCTCCAAATCGCTCCACAAGTCTTTGTGATTCTTTGGTAAAACCATATGGAGGTTCTTGTTGAAAGCAATTCTGTGTAGCGCATATGTTGCAGCGTAGTGGCGTGCCTCGAGAGGCGTTTCCTGAGGCTTCACAATTTCCTTCGGCGGATGGAATTTGATGGTGATGAGCTCCTTTGTCTTAGGGTTTTCCCACGAGAGCTGCGGAATAGCGATAAACCCATCCGTCAACTTTTTCATATCGTACTCTACCTTGTTCCACTTCTGCTTCTGGCAATGCTCGTGTAGCAAAGAGCCCGGAAGCTTCCCTGTCCACGACGACGTCTGTGCAACAATTGCTCTTCCATTCTTCACCGGCGTGTTGCTCTTGCCGCTGCTCACTGGCTCTTCCTTGCCATTCTTGGAGCTCTTTGAACCTTTCTTTCCACCCTTCTTCGAATCGCTTGCAGGCTCTTCGACCGGAGTAGATTCCTTTTTCGACTTTTTCGCCATCTCAAAACACGCCTTTGCCTCACCTCTGTATCTGGCTGAGATCCACGCTTGTAAGAGTGCCTATTGCTGTCAAAATCTCCAGAGAAAGCAATCTTTATATTCCGGAAACCGGCAACTTTGGCTTCGAAAAATTGCAAATTCATGTTGGGTTCCCCAATCGGGAAATCGTTACTGCGCCAGACGCCGGCCGTTTTGCACCGATCGACCCAGGGCCCTTTTTCCCCAATCTCCTATCCCTTCTTTCGGGCCATGTGCAGAGCCCCCAGCGCAGCCGCGGCAACGGGGATAAAGACTGAGATAATAGTTGAGGTCATTTTCCCAGAGCGGAAGCAGTGAGGAGGTGAGAGGGAGGCGAGCCCTTGATTGCGTTTGGATAATATTTTATTATTTGTTGCCATTTTCACTTTGTTCAACTCCTCTGCAGCTGCGTCCCAGTTTGGATTGTTTCAGTACCACTTTTTTGCTAGGCTATTGTCAGAGCTACAGGTGTTTCCCCGCTAGACTCACTCTATTTCGACGCCAACTGTTGTACGAACCCACAAACTCGTTCGATCTCCAGTGCTCTTTTCTTTTCTTCCTATTCCTGACTGTTTTCATTTCGTTCAGGACCTTTTTGCATATTCACCGAAACTAGTCTTGTCGTGCATCTTATTCACAGCAGAGACTCAGTTGACTGCAATTCTCAGGAGATAACGTTGGATCATACTGTTCACTTTGCTACTTGTCAATTATCTTGAAAGAAAGTATTGTACCAACACAACTTCTTTTCCAAAATCTGGAATTCAGCCGTTGCGAATTTCTCACGTCACGCTATTCTTAAGATTGTTGTTTCTTAAGTTTGCTTTATCTGAAAACCAACTTATATTTTGCTACTCAAATTATCGTCATTTATGATTGATAGCTTCATATGGTTTGGTCTCAACTTGATGTCACTAAAGCACATGTGGCATATGCCGTAGTCGCTGTTTTCAGTACATGCTTCTCACTATGTTCCCTTTTCGTAAAGGAAAAATTGTACCTGGGTGAAGCCTCAGTTGCTACTATTTACGGCTTAATCGTCGGTCCCCACTGCTTGAATTGGTTCAATCCGTTGAGCTGGGGAAACTATTTTTACATCACACTAGAGATTTCGAGAGTCCTTCTCTGTATCGAAATTGTGGCAGTCTCTGTCGAATTGCCAAAGAAATATGTTTTGAAACATTGGTTTCCGTTGTTCCTATTATTGATTCCGTGTATGACTGCTGGTTGGTTAATCATCGGAGTTTTCATTTACCTTATTATTCCTGGCCTACACTTCAGTCATGGGCTATTGATATCGGCCTGCGTCACCGCAACAGATCCAATTTTGGCCCAAGCAGTCGTGGGTAAGGGTAAGTTCGCAAAAAGAGTTCCTGCTCATTTGAGAAATCTCCTTAGTGCGGAGTCGGCGTGTAACGATGGTGTCTCTGTTCCCTTCGTTTATCTCGCATTGAACATAATTCTACATGGTGGTCACTCAAGTGAGGTTGCAAAAGAGTGGATTTGTGTCACTGTTTTGTATGAATGTGGTTTTGGCTGCATTATGGGCAGTGTCATAGGATACACCGGTAGGAAAGCTTTAAAGTTTGCCGAAAACCACGATCTCATTGACCATGAATCGTTCCTTGCCTTTTATATCATGTTGGCATTACTATGTGCTGGTTTTGGTTCCATCCTTGGTGTGGATGATCTTTTGGCCTCTTTTTGTGCAGGTACAGCATTTGCCTGGGATGGATGGTTCACACATCGAACAGAAGAGTCAAATGTTTCCACAGTGATTGACATCTTATTGAACATGGCCTATTTTGTTTATTTTGGTTCGATCATTCCATGGCAAGAATTCAATGACACTGCATTAGGTCTCAATTGCTGGCGTTTAATCTGCATTGCTTTGGTGGTGTTATGCCTAAGAAGAATCCCTGCAGTTCTTTCCACGAAAATGATCAATCCGGATATCAAAAACTGGAAAGAGGCATTTTTCGTCGGTCACTTTGGTCCAATCGGGGTAGGTGCAGTTTTTGCCGCTATCATTGCTATTTCAGACTTGGAAGCGGATGTTTTGCATATTAGTCATGGTCCATCAACCAATTACCCTGTTGAATCAGAATATTATCAACTGATACGGATTGTGTGGCCAACTGTGTGTTTCTTGATAGTTACAAGTATTGTTGTACATGGTTCGTCCGTTGCGGTTTTGACGTTGGGCAAACAACTACAAAGTATGACCTTCACGATGACTTGGACAAAAGCTGATAGTAGTGGTGCTGAGAATGGCAATGTTAATTGGTTCAATAGATTGCCAAAGATTGAAAGATCGGGAACCTCCTTTTCACTTAAGAGAGTCGACACCATGGCACACCAAGATTATAATGGCGGCTCCATGTCTCCAAATACAAGCAACGAGGAATATTCAGATGAAAAGGTGAACGCCAAACTAAATGCAAACATTGGTATGAATAGATTCAGCACTTTAGAAAACATTCCAACTATTGAAACCAGTGGAACTCCAATACGACCTGCTGGTGGCGCAAATAGAAAAAAGAAGAGAAGATTACTGAAGCGCAAACAGACGAAAAAGAGAAAGATACCGCCTGTTTCTGAAACCTTAGATTTGAGAAATTCAAATAGACATCCTGCTCAAGAAGAGGAGAAGCCTCAAATTGAAGTGGATGGGCCAGAAGATGAAAGTATAAACTCAGATGAGCGTCATAGTGGTAGCGACCAAGACAAACTGAATGTACCACTACAGAAGATTGTCACTAATGCATCCCAAAACTCAATGGGATCTCGTCTTTCTTCCAATTCAATAATGTCAGGGCAAATGCGTGGTACAGTCCATGCTAGTACCGCAGCGTTGAAAAAAATTGCTTCAGACTATGAATTGAAGGAAGATGACTTACAACCTGTCTATGACGAAGACGGTGATTTGCGTGTTCCAACACACGCTTATAATTATCGGGATGGTCTTGTTATCGAGGATCAACATGGTGAAGTCCTGCGTACTGTCCGTAGTCGTGGGAATACGCTTGCTTCCAACTCCCCCCCTGCATCAATTAGATCAAGGGCAGGTACGGTCACTCGAAAAATAGCCTCATCAATGGGTTTAGTTTCACCAAGTCAGTCAAAGGAGGGATCCAGTAACGATAAAGAGTCAGAGGATGTTCCAAGCTCCTCTAATATTGAAGAAAGGTTGCATATAGAACCAGTCCCACTTGAAGAAGATAAAGAGAAAAGTTCCCCTGAGAGAGTTGTTAAGAGAAGTACTACGGGAGCATCGAAAAGTGCATTTGACAAGTTTGTAGATCTTGGTGATGGCATTTTGTTTAGAAATTCTGTTCCGAGGAAAACCAGGAAGTTGCATGGATATAGAATTAACGATGATATTATCATTGAGAATGAAGATGGTGAGGTTCTAGGCAGGTATAAGGTTAATGTAAAAAAACAGAAGGCGGAGGAACTGGCTAAAGGTATTAACGATCAACAATACAATAATAACTTGGTGGGTAAGACGTTGAAATATTTTGGCTTGAAGAAAGAAAGAGAAACTATAGATGAAGAAATGAATGAAATGGGAAATACAGACTTAATACCCGGTGGTGATGATATGCTAGACATGGGAATCGAAGAGAAAATAAAGCATTTCATCAATGCAGATCCTAAAAAAGCCGTTGTTGACTTGCCTAAGCACTTACCTCGTGCAATTCAAAATCCTGCACGTCGTGTGGATGAAAGAGCAGCAAGAAGTAAGTCTGAAAAGAATCGTTCTGAAAGACCTCGTTCTCCTGGGCGGAAACTTCCATCGGCTTTGATACATGACAGTGATAGCGATTATGATACTGATGAATCAAGCGAGGGGGATGACAGTGACGACTATGATGATGATGAGGATGAGGAAGATAATGATGATGATAATGATGATGATGATGATATAACATTGGATTCAAGAGGACATGCCCATGTGAGGAAAGTTTCTTCCAAAAATGAAAACCCAATCAGAAATAGGGGCAGATCTTCAATATATGATGAATCGAAATTTGAGAAAGCCAGAAGAAAAGCTGCGCTAAGCAAGTCTAATCGTGAGAGTGACGACGAAGAGGAGGATAAATAGAGATAGCCAGTATGATATATAATTAATTTGAATCTTCCCTCAATTAGGCCTATTTTGTATTAATTTTGAGCACACCACAGGAGGGAGGAATCAAGCAAACCCTGATTTTTTTATGAAAAATGTATGAATGTATTTCTATTTACATTTTTAGATAATAAATAAAGTACAAAATTGAAAACCATTAATAAAACCAGTACCGAAAATCGTTAACAAGCGGGAACTTTAAGCCCATCTACCTAATAATGCCATAAGACCTGCACCTACGCACATGACGATATAAGCCCAGATCATTTTTTTGAATCCACCGGGACCCTTGAACTCATCACTGAATAAGAATTCGTGGGCCATTAATTCTATGCAACCGGTATAGATTAAGATACCTGCGGAGACTGAGTCAAAAACTCCGTTTGTGATTAACGCACGTCTGCTTCCTGGAGGATAGGAATTTCTTACGCCTATTCCGATGGCGATGGCAATTGGGGTACAAAAAGTGTACCCCAAACAAAGTAGCCATGGGGTCCATCTTTTTGATGCCGGCCATTCGACGCAGGCCACTCTTGTTCCCAAACCAAGGCCCTCGAACATCTGGTGGAATACGACAACAATGTAGAGAGAAATGAACTCGTCTCCCGAACACGATAACGTCAAACCCACGAAAACCGAGTGGAAGACAATACCGAACTCGAGAACAAACACGTTGAGGATCTGAGCTGCATAGGCTGAGTCTAATTCTGAGGAGCCGGTTGACTGTTTTTCTATATCTTCTGATATTTCAGAGAACATCTCTTTTTTCTCCAGCAACTTGTCATCTGGGACAGCGGCGTCCGTTACATCTTCAAGTCTATCGTCTTCGGCAGAGCGATGGTGCTGGTGGCAAGCAGATGAAACGGAAATACTGTTGCTCGAGCTGTCTTCTTCATCTTCGACGACATCCTCAATGTTGTATTCGGCGTTGCTGTGGCCGTGGGTATGGCTGTGTTCGGTGTCGTGACCTTCGTCGTGCACATACATAGAAGTTTCGCCGAAGTGGGAGTGCGTGTGAGGTTCGTTGGAGTCAACGCTCTGATTGGAGAGCTTTGCCTCGATCCACCGGTACGCGATGAGTTCGAGGAAGAACATCAACATCAAGACAATCAACGTGATACCAAACGCCATCGGGTATATGTCGAAGGGGTAGCCCAAGCAGTCATTCGACAAGTTCTCGTTCGCCGGCTGTAGTAGATGAATGAACGCGGTGGCAATGATGACCCCGCTGCCGAAGAACTTGGCCACGAAGAAGCAGGCTGGCGGCAGTCGTAGGAAGGAGTGTTTGGACGACAGCACGGGGAAAAAGGAGCCGAACGCAGACGCTATCAGCACCACAAAAATCGCCGAAATCCGGGCCCCAAAGTGGTCTCCGTTGTAGCTGTTGTCTGCTGTGCATGTGTCTTCCTCCCTGATGAAAAGTTCCACAAAATTTCCCGGAGAAAGAAGTGTCGTAAGCGCAGACATTATTGTGTTCGATGTGGAGAACAAGAAACAATGTCGGCTCAAGTGTGTGTGTATGCCGCTGTCAGCAAAGAGGGTGTGTATTTCTGTATCGTTTTTGTTCTAGAAGCTTTGGTGTCTTCCTTATGCAACTTTGTCCCTACTGAACTTCCTCTAATTTTTCTTCTTTCTGTCTCTTTTTTCTTTTTCTTTCCACAATAGTACGGAAAACTCCGACAAGCACCTCCTGTTGTATGCTGTTCTATGCAGCTCAACTCCCTTCGCAGCTGCTGTTCCTGGGGCTGTAAACCGCACAACTAAGTCCTTCTAGTCACCCTCCAGGTCATCACATGCCGCAAGGGAGCCGTCTGCCAGGGCCATTCGTTCTCCAAGCCCTGTCTAGCCAGGAAAGGCCTCCATCAGAGGTTCGGAAGAGGACCGTGGTGGTTGCTGCACCATGATATAATGGAAAAAAAAAAGAGGGGCGGGCGGTAACCAGCAGGGTTTTCCGGCGGCAAAAAAAGTCACGTGGCGAGGGGGGGCTCTGACGACATGAATTGGACAGAGGCGTGTTGTGAGCCAAGAGGACGAAGAGTTGTCAGTCTCTCAAGGCCAAAAGGGCGTCTGGGACACGCAGGGACGACTATACAAGAAGGTTTTGATGGCAGAGACGGGAGCGAACCATAAGCGATATGTGCAGCAGCTCCAGAAGGAGCTGGAGAAGTTCCAGCAGGCGCCGAAGTACTCGCTGGACTCAGAAGAGGTGTTCTGCACATGTAGAAGACCGGACAATGGGGAGTTGATGGTGGCGTGCGACGGCTGCGACGAGTGGTTCCACTTTAAGTGCATGGGGCTTGACAAGCGGAACAAGGACTTGGTGCGTAACTTCTACTGCAAGTTCTGCGATGTGCTACAGCGCAAGGGCAAGTCGGTGTGGAAGAAGAAGTGCAAGGTGGCGGCGTGCTACAAGCCGATCGATGGCGAAAGCCAGTTTTGCTCGACGGAGCACGGGGAGCAGTACTGGCGGGAGTTTTTGGACAGGTTTGGTGCGTCTGCGGGGACGGGGGCGCCGCTGGGGATAGAGCACAACTCGACGGAGCTTCTCAGCAGGCAGCAGGCGGAAAACCTGATCCAGCTCTTGTCCACGCGGGAGGAGCTGCTTGCGGTTGGAAACACCCTGCCTGTGTTTGACAAGGGCCCGCTGCAATCCACGCCGAGCCAGGAGACGGAGATGGCCGCCAACAGGGCAGCAGTGGGCGCCCTGTCGGAGGAGAGTGAGAACTTGAAGTTCAAGCTCGGGTACCTGTTGAAGCTCAAGGACATTCTGGTCCACCTCAATGAGCTGCTCACGGTCTCGATGGATCCCGAAAACCAGGCCATGCTGGACACGGATGGGACGCTCGGGGAGGGCGAGGAGGTGGCCAAGCTAGGGGAAAAGAAGAAGAAGAAGTCTAGGACCAGCAAGAAGGTGAAGAAGTTCAGAATCGACATCTGTGGGTTTGACCAGAGGATACTCAACGACGAAAAGACGTGGGCCGAGTTCAAGAATAGCTCCGAATGCGAGGACATGATGAGATTTGAGAATTTCACTCCTGAGGAGAAGCGTCTAATCACCGAGCACTACGAGGCCTTGAAAGGCCCGGCAGCGTCCACAGCAAGCTGTGGTTCCACAATTCTAGCAAAAATATGCACAGCAGACAAGCGTAAATGTCACTTACATAATGGCTGGTACAGCATGATCAAAGACGGCCTCGAGTTGAAGATTGGGGAAAACTCGGCTGAGGTGGATAAAAAAGTACGGGATAACGAAAAGCTGGAAAAATTCATACAAATCAAGAACTGGAAACTGTACTGCAACGAAGAGTAACACCCTCTAATCTCTCCTTTCTTCTCCCTTCTCCCTTCTCCCTTCTCCCTTCTCCCTTCTCCCTTCTCCCTTCTCCCTTCTCCCTTCTCCCTTCTCCCTTCTCCCTTCTCCCTTCTCCCTTCTCCCTTCTCCCTTCCTATTCGTTCAGTTAATATTATTAATATACACAACACTATATAAATGACCAACAATCTCAATCAACGAGAAGTGTCTTTCTGTTCTAGTCGCTGGACTCCTTCTTGTCATCGCTCTTCGTGCCTCCTTCTTCCTTTTCCTCTTCATTCTCTTCCTCGATGTATTCATCGCCTAAATGAGCAGGTCTCCAGACCTCAAGTAATCCATCCTCAGCACAACTAACGATTAGGTTTTCCAACACAGGGTGCCAATCTACTTCACAGATCTTTCCCGTATGGCCGCCATGCATGAAAGCTAGGCACGGATCAACGTAATCGGCCTTCCTTTTGTCTGGCTCGCCCTCATCCAGTCTATTCAAATCCCAAATAAGGACTCTGTTATCCACCGATGAAGAGAGTAGATAATTCTCGTGAAATTTCAATCCTACTACTGGCGCAGTGTGGCCAGTTAGCCTGCGTAAGGGTATAGACGGGTTTCTCAAATCCCAAATCTGAATGGAATTATCGGACCCACCGGTAGCAAAAAGGGTTGGAACACTTTCACTGAATTCGACCGTATTGATTGGGAAGTTGAAATTGTTCTCGGAATCAGGATCATGATGTGCGTCCGTTATGTGAACAATTGGGCCGGTTGTCAGTCTCAGATCATGTATCTGGTAGGATGAATCGTCAGAAACAGACGCAAACACTGAGTCTATAGATCTGCTCCAAGAGATGTCATTGACGATATTCTCATGTGATGAGATGGTTCTAGTTGGCTTCATCTCCGGATGTAGTTTCTCATTGATATCCCAAAGCGCAATCTTGCAGTCCTCAGAGCTTGATAAAAGCAAGTTTTTCTTGGAAACATTTGGATTCCATTCCAACCCAAAACCCTCCTTAGAGTGGAACTTCAAGGTGGATTTATGGGTCTTGGAGTCACCATCCTTGAGGTCAAAAAGTAGGATATCACCACCGTTTGTTTGGGTAGCAAACAGCTTATTGAATTGGTTCACTCTTAACTTGTTGACTTCGCCAGGATGGTTCCATTCTCGGACGATGTTCAATTGGCGTGATTTGAGTAGGTTGTTTGGGATAGAAGGACTTGGGCCTGTATAGTCGTTGTACAATGTTGGCGGCACAGATACAGAAACCATCTTGACATGGTTCTGGAAATCCTTTGAGTGAGTTCCCATCAAAAACTGCGCACTTATAAATGATTCTGCGTTATCATTTTTCTCAATCGTGAATTCCTGCAACCAGTTAACAGAAAGTGCAGGCACTTCACATGAATAACTGCACAACAGGTCATATAGCAATGGAGAGGTTTTTTTCCAAATCTTGTACTCCTCGTTGATCAGCATTTCGTTCATTTGGTAGCTTTCGTTGACATCGTTGACTGCGAGAAAAATGTTAGTATCGTTGTCATCTTTGGCATATGAGGACGCACGTTTCAATCTCTTCCTGTTAAACATACTCTTCGCTCTAGGAGCTGGACTCATCTGAGTAGATACTGCAACTGCAGACATGGTTTGCTATGATCTGGTATGCTTTGCCTTTTGTGGTACTTTTTACGTCGCCGGATGAGGGATGAGATGAGCGGCGCAACATAGATGATGAACTCCACTATCTTCAAAACTTCATATCCTTCCCTCGATTCCCCCCTCCCTATTGAATCGGGAAATTCTTGTGAAGATAAAAAATCCTTTGCTCGCGTCGTCGACGTTTCGCCTTCTGTTCACATATTGGGCAAGCCGATATAGAAGAACAGCATGCTACATCGCGAAAGCAATGATGGTGAGATGTACACAAAGAAATAGAGAGAAACAGGTTGTTCTGATTGAGATTAGCCACCGCTTTCATCCCCATATACCAAACCCTAAGTATGGCAGGCAACAATTATTAAACTGGTGAACAAATAAAAACTGCACAGCCCGTGTATACTTACATCATCAGCGCATCTTTTTTTAATCTATACATGATCATTAGTTACTCATATCTTTGAGAATTGGAACATAGTATTTGTAGGCTTTTCTAGTTGAAATAACCTTCAAAGATAGCATTGGAAGAAACTGGGGAAAACGCAAATGGATGTTTTGCCTGAGATCAAGACAACACACTGGAGTTCGAAAAAATTGAAGATCAAATATATGAGAACATATCCATACTAGCTAGAGGCAGGAGCATCACCGTGTATCTTTTTTTTAAAGAACCTCTGTTAACCAGAAACTCTTAAGACTTAACTGCTTCAGGCTGGAACTGAATCAGGAAGGCCAGAGTGGAAAAGAACATCATCTCTCCTATTGCGAGAAACATATCTGGCAAGCGGCTTGTGAAGTAGCAAGCATAGATGTATGGAAATGCCATTTGGGATTATTAGTGGACGATGGTAGCTTCGTGTTCTTGCTTCAAGGACAATGAGAAGCAAAACGGCTCACAATTTGATGAAGTCTATCTATCCTAGATAACATATCGATAGTACATGGTTTCTGTTCCTTATGTTTGTTACTAAATCTTTGTACATATGTTGCATGAAACTTGCTGACAAACTCAATGTCTCAAATATAATACAAGGGGAAAGCTCTCTTGTACTCATTGACTATAGTGCTCTGATCGTTGTAGTGTAATATCATCTTATAATTCCTCATCAATTATGGCATTGTATCTCAATAATCTCTTACTTCTTATGTTCTTACTACTTGTAAATAGATCTCTTTAGCATGGCATTCTATCACGACACATTTCAAGAAACTAAAGCTGAACTAAAGAAACTAATTACGTAAGAGCTCAGCAATGGGCCAGTCCACCTAAATTACGTTATTTATAGCTTAACCTTTATTAAAATAAAAAAGTAAAAGAAAAGATGACCATTGTAACAAAATTTATTAACATTTATATTGAGAATATAAACTAGACAAAATCATGTCTATTTTGTCCTAGGAATGCCGTTCTAGTATAGTGGTGAGTACGCATCGTTGTGGCCGATGAGACCCAGGTTCGATTCCTGGGAGCGGCACTTATTTTTTTGTTTTTTCAGCAGAATCTGGTAGTTGATTTTTCCTTTTGAAAAAGAAACACTGAATGTTTATATTTCCGAGCCAAAGTCTAACTTGAGTTATTAAAATATAAAGGGACAAAATCTGAGGAAATTTATAAAACCAAAATGGCAAAAACACAGATAAAGAATTTCAACATAGATGAAAAAGAAATGTCTTTGTAATAAAAAGCAAAACCGAACCTAAAAGCAGAAAACAATTAAAATTGAAAACAGAATCAATCAGTAACCTGGTGATTGAAAAAGGTAAACAGAAAGTGAAAATAAAAAAAAGCGCCAAACCCAAAAGATAATGAAAATAGTAGACCTATTCATTATCGTGAAAACAAAAAAGAAAAATTAAAGGTATTTCTGGAAATGAGACTCGTCAAACCAACCCACTTTCTCAAAAGTTGCAAACAAACGACTAGCCTTGTTAACATCGATTTTGCAAGATTTCTGAGCATCCGTTCTTCTGAATGGGAGATTATATTTCATTCTCTTGACTTTTTCCTGGAAAATTCTTCTTTTCGAGTCCAAATAGACGGCACAAGGTAATCTCAAGATAGAAGCTAAAACGACTTCTGCGGGGTGAAGTTCATTGATAAGGGGGTCAGTAGACAAATCCATTGACTGTCCCTTCCAGTCGGTTTTGAGGCATTTGTTATTTGCAGGTAGAGTGTCTAATGAGGGACAAAAGTCTTCTATCTTTTTATAGTCGTAGTTGTATGCGATTGGAGTTGCAGTGCGCTGTCTCTTTGGGGTTGAAGGAGTTGAAGAGTTGGTTGGGAGTCTCTTTCTGACTGGAGTTGAAGGTCTCGAAACTGGAGCTGAATCGGAGTTTGTGTTGTCAACTAGCTCAAGGTCAAACTTGTTTTGACGAACAACACGGCGGGTTCTTGGCTTTTCCAAATCAGAGTCGGAGTTCGAGTTGTCGTTTATGGACTTGATAGTCTCGTAAGTTTGACGAACTGCAGATCTCGGTCTCTTGATATTTGAGTAAGAGTAAGACGTGGAGCTGTTGCCATAAGAAGATGAAGATGCGTGCGAGAAAGAGCTCAGATTTTTGAACTGATATTGGGAAAGGAAGTCCAGTTGGTTCTTTTTAAAACCTGGCTTGTTCAATTGCTTATAAGGATCGATATGAAGGACCGAGTTTCTTTTCGTTTTGTACGAAGATACGGGACGTTTTGAATCTGTTTCAGGTGCCTTTGGAGTCCCCGCTGCGGAGATGGGCACGCTTTCCTTGGCTTCAAAAACCTTTGGGGTGGAGACAATGGATGGAATCGATGAAACGGTGTTGATTCTGGAAGTGGCGATCGGTTTTGGAGCCGGAGAAGCAGAGGAGGATATCAGTTCCAAATACCTCAAGTCGCTGGTCAAGGGCTTTGAAGCCCGCGGGAAAAGCAGAGCAGGTATGCTGTCGTTATCGTCATAGCCGCTTCTAGTGTAAGGGGAGAGCGGAGGTGAAGGCATGTCAATGGACGCTGCAGTTTTCATGGAAAAATTGGCTGCGTTTGAGTTATTTAAACTCGACTGCTGGTCGTTTGTTGGAGTCATTGTGTCACGAACTATCAACGACATTGTTGTGTGAGCCTAATTGAGCCTAATTGAGTTGAATTGAGTCGATAGGATCTTTGGTGGAAGAGAAAGAGAAGGCCGACAGAGAAAACAGCAACCCAGTGGCGAAGAAGAGCAAGCGCAGGAGAATTTTGACTGGGGAGATAGTAAAATGCATTTATATCAGACAGCTACAGCTACAGCCAGAGTCATCAAAACAAAATAAAAAAGAAAAGATAAAGAAAATTTTTTTCTTTCTTTTTTTATTTTTTTATTTTTTTTTTCACTTTTTCATACTAATTTTTTTTAACTCTGGCAAATTTTTTTCTCGGGTAGGACGCAGTTAGATCGGGGTGTTCCGAGGCAACCCGGAGAAGGAGAGCAGAGACAGACTGGGGGTGAGGATGCACGGGGTCCGGTGTCGGCCGCAGCGGAGCAGCTCTGGGGCGTGCAAAATACTGCCCTAACACCAGCATCTCTGGTCAGCATACCATCAGCACATGTCGGAGTAGGGCGTAGCACGGAGGACTGCCCGTAGACAGACGATGCCAGATAAGAAGATAGACAGACACGCAGAGTCCAGGAAAGGCGTGTGCGTGTGACTCTGGTATGTTTATTTTTTTATTTTTTACTTTTTTATTTTTTCTCCTCAGACACTGCTGACTAAAAAAAAACGTTTTAGTGGAGAAGCCGTTATGGTGGCCCAAAGGGCAAAGAAGAGCAAGAAGGCCCTAAATTAGTGCGCGGGGCCGATCGGCCAGAAAAAGGGGTGTGCGGGAAATGAGGCCGGGTAACAGGGGTTGCAGCATGTTCGGGGACTGTCCGGGGCAGGATGGATAGAGACTGGAGGGCAGTAAGAGGGAGAAAGATAGATTGAAGAGCAGATGAAGCAGGGTAATGTATCGGAAGGGAACACATAGCGAGAGAAAAGTTACCGCTGATCCAGGAATGACCAAGGAGGAAAAACACAGCACGCTTTCGCAGCTATTGGACTCGAAGGATGACGATGCGATGGAGGACGTCGGGGAAGAAGGAGGGAAGGAGGAAGGGGCCATCCTGCTTGATGTCGGGGAGTTGAGTGCCGAGGACACGTGTGTGGACTGCCTGCGGATGCCGAAGGAACTGCACTGCAGAGGATGTGACGAGAATTTCTGCCGGGTGTGTTTCCAGTTTGTGCACCGTGGCGGGAAGCGGAAAGACCATGCGTTTGACGAGCTGGTCAAGCTCGAGGGTAGGGAGAAGAATGAGGGTGCGGAAGCTGGAGCAGAGATGGAGGAAGAGACGGTAGAGGAGGAGGGTGATGACGGATTAGACGAAGAGACGCTAAAGCAGCAGGACTCGACGCTGTCCAGTGACCATATAGCCGTGTTGAAGAAGATCAAGCGCAACATCAAGTTTGTTCCGATGCGGTTGACGTACGACGAGAGACAGCTGTTGAAACTCCTTGAGGCTGCTCTCTCTGTCTCCGAGTACACGGACAAGGTCGACATAATCTCGTACACGTCGAAGACGAAGAGAATCGTAACGCAGTTGAAGGAGATCTGCTCGATACTCGCGGGGTTGGTGGTTTCCTCGAATATGAAGGTCGGACAGCGGTTGATTGAGAACAGGAACTTTGTCGACAACGCTGACTGGTACAAGACTGTTTTCGAGATCGGCCGGAGATACAAGGTGATGAATCCGGAGAGAATGAGAGAAACCTATGGGAAGTTGTGTTACATTATCATGGACTCCCGCTTGAAACAGGTGAAGGAGCACATGGAGTTCGACCTCTTCAAGCCGATCCTCACCATTGAAAGGTATCTGCAGGAGCATTCCAATGCCGAGTCGAATGCGCTTTTCAACGACCCGCTCATTCTCGACGCCACGGCAGATATCAGGCCAGAGGGAAAGTCGAGAGCTTTGATAAACAAGTTGATCAAGCAGAAGGAGAGGGCCGTCGAATTGCTCGCCCGCAAGTATGCCTCCAGCGAAGGCTTGGACAGAGAGCAGATAAGAACCGTGTTGTACTCCATCGGTGACTTCAACTCATATACCAACAAGAACAGAATCCCTGTGCTAAACATGTCCCGGAAGCTAGAGGAGTTCTTTGCAGACTCCAGCAAGGACCCTAAGTTCTCGCTTGGAATCAGATACGGTCACAACGGGGCTCGGCTTACTCACAACCACGAGAAACAGTACCTCTATGTGAAGCAGGCGCTAGGCCTATGGAACCACGTGATGAGAGACTTGATTGAGTTGTGGTACCTTGCAGACGACGACCTCTTTGATGGGAACAGCTACAGGATGGCGGACACGGGCCAAGGGTTACAGAGAATCAAGACCTGTCCGAAGTTGTACAAGAAAATGTACTCCATTTTGAGCGAATGCCAATCGAAGTTTGACTATTGGGTCGGTATACCGGTGGTCCACTTGGGTGACGATGCAGTGCCCAACGCATTGTTTTTTTTGGATAAGTACATCCAGATTCCTACAATTTTGATTCCAATCGACAAATGCGTGGAGATGATCACATCGTTGGCGAGAGACGAGTACATCAGGGGCATGTTTGAAGAGCAGTTTGGCAGTGTCGAGGAGTTGCAGAAGGTCATTCTCTGTGACTACTTCAAGCATGGGTTTGACGGTTCAGGCGCAGACAACTACTACTTTGCCGGTTCATGTGTGGACGCAACATCGACCTCGAGTTGCGAATTCTGTAACAATATCAGCAAAAAGCCATACTACAAGGTGTTTCTCCTAAGCGGGTTCACAAACTTCAACGGGGAAGGGTATTAGAGCCCGGATCTGTACTTGTACGGCTTGTGCAGCATCTACAGGCTATATAGAGGGGTATACGGATAATATTTTCACCGAGGCTACACGCAGCTTCGCGTTCGCGCGAGGGAAGCGGGGGAAGTAAGGGTAGGGACGCTACGATTTTCTAGCTACTCCGGCATGACTAGGAATGGTTTGTAGTATAAATAGAGAGATGAGGGAACTCGACGAAAGGAGAAAGGGTACATAATGCTAACGAGCCTGTTAGAAATCTTACTCTGCGACAAAGTCAATTGAGAAAGAAGCTTGTTGATTAGAGAAGTATGGCACTGATGACGACGGCGACGGCGACGGCGACGGCGTTGACAATCGTGATCGGTCGTGAGACAATTGCGCAGGCAGCCATTGGCTGCCGTGCGAGAAGATACGCAACCGCCAAGAAGAAACCGAGCGTCAGCTATGATTCGGGTATTCTCAACTCTTTCAAGATCTGGTACCGGGAGATGAGCAACTACGACGACGGCGATGCGTTTGCGCAGGACCAGTTTTTGAGCTACGTGTTGCCGTACTACCGGCCGAAGGAGCTTGTCGAGGACAAGGACCGGGCAATGCGGGCGTTCAGCGTGAAGACGCCATTGAGGAAGCGGGAGGAGCCAGATCTCTCGGACTCGAACCAGTGGTACTTGAACGAGATCCGGGTTGAGAAGCGGGAGACGCGTGGGACTTCGGAGAAGCCCGCGGAGACGAAGCACTTGGTGATGTTGCACGGGTACGGTGCGTCGAGCGGATGGTTCTACAAAAACTACAAGGGCATCATAGAGGGGAGCAAGCGGGTGGGGAACCTCAGCATCCACGGGCTGGACATGATTGGGTTTGGGTTGAGCGGGCGGCCGAACGTGCGGTTTGCGCACGACGCAGACACCAAGCCGAGCTTGGAGATCGAGACGCAGGGCATCCGGTGGGGGAGGTACGCGGTGTGTCTGAAGTGCGGGGGCCACTTGGACGGGAAGCACAGCACGGGCGGGCACTGGTGCTCGTGTGCCGCGGAGGAGGAGGACCTGCGGCGGGGCGTGGCGGCGGGCGGGGGCGGGCCCGCCAGCGTGGTGGTGAAGAAGGAGGACGTGTACGAGTACGTGCAGAACCAGCGGGCGCTGGTTGCGGAGGCGGAGGACGTGTATGTGGAGAGCCTCGAGCGGTGGCGGGCGGCGAACGGGATCGAGCAGTTCGACCTCGTGGCGCACTCGCTGGGCGGGTACCTTGCGGTGTGCTACGTGCTGCGGTACCCGGGGCGGGTTGGCCGCGTGGTGCTTGCGAGCCCCGGCGGCGTGGAGAGGACGCCGTTTGCCGTCAGCAACCCGGACTACGCCCGGCTGGGGCCGCACGACCGGGGAACGCTGCGCATGCCTGTGTCGAACCGCGTGGACGAGTACGGCTTTCTGGGCCGCTACGGGCTCACAGGCAGCGTGTTCCGGCTTCTGTGGAGGATGCGGGTGTCTGTGTTCACGTTTCTGCGCTGGCTGGGGCCCCTGGGGCCGTCGGTGCTCATTGGCCGCAACGCCGCCAAGCTGGCCCGATCGGGCAATATCCAAGATAGCCGCGAGCTTGCCCTTTTTTTGCGCTACGTGTACAGCTGCTGCGTGCGCGCGTCCTTCAGCGAGACCAGCATCATGCGGATTTTCGACGCGACGGTTGTGGGCAAGGTGCCCGTGCTGGACAAGATCCGCGACATGGCGCCGGCGACGGCTGCCCACGTGTGTGCCAAGGACTTTCTGTGGATCTACGGCGAGCACGACTTCATGTACCGGGCGTGTGGCCGGGCGGCGATCGAGGAGCTGCGTCGCCGGGCGCACGCGGGACCCAGCACGCCTGGCGAGTACCGGTTCCGCACGGTGGCCAACGCAGGACACAACATGTACCTGGACAACGACGGAGCCTTTGACCGCGAGGTGATCGACTTTCTCAGGTACTGACTGCCGGAGCCGTGGCGCGTCCCGGCCCCCGTGGCCCGCGCGCCTGCGCCGCACACCAGCCACGGGGCGGGCTCCGCGGGCCAGACCCAAAGCGGACGCTGCTGCCCCGTGGCGGGCTGTGCGCGGCGGCCGGCTGTGCGGCCGGCGCCAGGAGCGGGCGTCAGGAGCAGAACAGGCACGCAGCGCGCGCAGCGAACGAAAGAAGAGAAAAAACAGACGCGCCGGCGACGCAGAGCGCGTTTTTGGATGGCGCTGTTCTGCAGCCGGCACGTTGAGCCTGCTGGGGGCGGGCATTGTGTGCTGTTAGGTTGCGGTGGGGATCGCCGCGGCAGCAACGCAGGGCCTGGCGGCGGTGCTGGTTGGCGACGTGAGGCAGCGCAGCGTTGTCGGGTGTTTTGCACGGCCAGCATCGTGTCTTGGAAATTTTGTTTTCGTTTGGTGGCAACTTGCACGTCTCGTCGTCGAGTGGTGGTGTTTATATATATCTGAGGTGTAGCACCTGTTTGTGTTGTTGTGTTGTGTGGGCGGTTCTGGTTGGGTTGGCTGCTGCGGTGGTTTCTTTTCTTCTGCTCTGGTCTCTTCTTCCTTCTTGTGCTCTTGTGTTTTTTCTCCTGCTCTTTCTTTGACCAGAATCTCACAGATTTCCCCCCTACCAGCGCCCAGCACAACAGAACGCTTTCCCTTTGGAATTTCTTCTGTTTCCCTAGATACCTGCATTCGCTTCGCACACAAACACAAACACACACACAATGAAAGGATTAATTCTTGTCGGTGGTTACGGTACCAGATTGAGACCGCTCACGTTGTCGTACCCAAAGCCGTTGGTTGAGTTTGCCAACAGACCGATGATCTTGCACCAAATCGAGGCGTTGGCCAACGCCGGGTGCACAGACATCGTTCTTGCCGTCAACTACAAGCCAGAGGTGATGGTTGGCGCGTTGAAGAAGTACGAGGAGATCTACGGGGTGTCGATCACCTTCTCCGTCGAGGAAGAGCCTTTGGGCACCGCAGGCCCGCTCAAGTTGGCCGAAAAGATCCTCCAGAAGGACAACACCCCGATCTTCGTGTTGAACTCCGACGTCATCTGCGAGTACCCGTTGAAGGACTTGCTCGACTTCCACAACGCCCACGACGGTGAGGCCACCATTGTCGCCACCAAGGTCGACGAGCCTTCCAAGTACGGTGTCATTGTCCACGACAGAGACGTGGCCAACAGAATCGACAGATTCGTCGAAAAGCCCGTCGAGTTTGTCGGCAACAGAATCAACGCCGGTATCTACGTCCTCAACCCCTCCGTCATCGACCTCATCGAGATGAGACCAACCTCCATCGAGAGCGAGACCTTCCCGCTCTTGGTTGAGCAGAAGAAGCTCTACTCCTACGACTTGCAGGGCTACTGGATGGACGTCGGCCAGCCAAAGGACTTCTTGACCGGTATGTGTCTCTACCTCTCCGCCCAGACAAAGAAGAACAACCCAAACTTGTCCCAAGCAGACTTTATCACTGGTGGTAACGTCTTGATCGACCCTTCTGCCAAAATCGGCAAGGGCTGTTCCATCGGCCCCAACGTCGTCATCGGCCCTAACGTCGTCATCGGCGACGGTGTCAGAATCGTCAGATCCACCATCTTGAAGAACTCCCAGATCAAGGACCACGCCCTCGTCAAGTCCACCATTGTCGGCTGGAACTCCACCGTCGGTAAGTGGGCCAGATTGGAAGGTGTCACTGTTTTGGGTGAGGACGTCACCGTCAAGGACGAGATCTACGTCAACGGTGGTAAGGTCTTACCTCACAAATCCATCAAGGACAACGTCGAAACTCCTCAAATTATCATGTAAAGAAGAAGGATCCATCCACAAGTGCAACTCTACTTTTCTCCTTTTTCCTCTCCACTTCTCCTCTTGCCATCTTTCTTTCTTGTTTTGTATAGGGAATCTCAATATAATATCTTATATACCACTTATCCATACATCCCGACGCGTCGCAAACGGAAACTTCCCTTTCTGCAGCACCCCTCCGTGCACCGCCCGAAATACCTCTGATGGCATTTCTGTATTTTCGCATTTTCGCATTTTTGCGTATTTTCTATATTTTTATTTTTCCTCCATCCCTACGTTCGTTGCTTGAACATTGCAAAAGTGTCCAACGGACTCATCACATCACATACACACACACGGAGCCCACACGCTATCAAAAAAAGCTTCCACTCAGCAATCCACCCAGCCATGGCCCACACAGAACTAGACAAGTTGGTGTCAGAAGTAAGTCTTTTCCTCCATTGTCTCTCTTCGCCCGTCTCACCCCTCCGAACCCGATACTAACCCTGCACTATTTGTGCTATGCTACAGGACTTGGGGTTTCAAGCTGAACACCCAATTGATCTCTTCGACCCGGTCGACGCCGCAGAACTGGGTCCACTTCTTGAAAACCTGACCATCAACTTTCTGGAGGTCTCCAACGCAAATAAGACTATCTTTGCATATTACAATGGCCAGCTCAAGTTGATCTCAACATCCGCCTTGTCTACCGTTTTGGAATCCGACGGTGACGACACCGCCAGCAGTACTTTGGCACAGCACAGCTACAGTATACCCGCTGAGGTCTCCCAGATTAAACTCAACGCTGATGAATCCTCATTGTATCTCATATCCACAAAAAACTCTGAGACTTCCGTGTCTTCAATCGACATACCGATCCTATTGCGTGGCAATTACAACGAAATAGCAATTGCAACATATCCAAAGGGAAGCAAGGTTCTCAGTTTCTATCCGTCACCGTCATCTCCAACGCTGGCGGTGTCCCTACTCGATTCCGGAGAAATTTATCTCATAGATTCTTCCAACAACTCTTCCACACAAATAGCTTCGAACGCTTCCGCAGTTAACTGGTTTAACAACCTCGTAATATTCAGCTCCAACGACAGCACTGTGGTACATTTTTTCGATATATCGACCAAGTCCAATACCTCGTCTTTCGAGATCAGTGACACTCCTCCAGATGACAAAGTCTATTACCTCCAACAATTGGATGAATCAACATTGCTTACTATCACTGGGGATTCAATTGGGGCCGAAGACTCACAAGAGTACACCTCTTTTTTTGTAACGCTAGATCCTGCAAAATTGTCCCTTCTAAAACTAGAATCCACAACCTCATTATTTTGCTCATATGGTGCTATCCCAAGAATGGCCTCTTTTTATACACTCATTTTGAAAAATTGGTCTCCGAAATACCCAGAACTATTTGTATCGGTCGGTTCAAAATCAATTGATATAGATTTTTTCCTAAAAAATCAAACGGTGGAGCTTCTCAATGACTCAGATAGAGCAACCATGCCAATGGACGATGATTCAGGCGATGACGACACTCCTCTTGGTGCTGTGCTCGATTTTACCTCCAGCGTCAAGGTACAGCCCTCAAAAAATGTGGACGAATTAGGCCCTTGGCCCAGATTGGCAATTCTTACGAACAGGGGACAATTAGTCTGCTGGAATTTGTGGGCCAAAACTGACGCATCTTTATACAATCCTACCGATCTATCCAAAGCTACCAGTAAGCCAACGAATGCAACAATTCAACACAGCTTCCCAACAAGTACCAAGACCACTTCACACTCTGTCCCCACATTTGGAGCGACCCCAGGCGCAGACGTCTCCAACCCCTTTGGCTCAACCAATTCTTCCATATTTGCTCAAAATTCTTCTTTCAAGACAAATTCTAATACAACTACTTCTTCAATCTTCGGCAAGAGTTCATTTACTGATAAATCCTCGAATCCTTTCGGTCAATCACCATTCATGAATGCTAGCAATAGCAATAAAACAAAATCAACAACAGATGCAAAACAAACGAGCTCTTTCGGATTTGGCAGCTTTGCTTCAGCCTTGCCAAAACCAGATGCAAACACGACAGGCAAACCTGCCGCAACCACCACAGCAAACACTACGGCTCCAGCTGCTGCACCATTTGGCTCTACTTCTTTTGGTTCATCATTTGGCAAATCAACATTTGGTGTGAACAACTTCAAAATGGGCGGAGAATCGACCACCACAGCAGCAACTCCAGCCACTTCTACCACCACCAATACTATGACTTCAAAAGCATTTTCCGGTGCGAGTGGTGGATTTGCAGCGTTCTCATCTACCAGCTCCAACACTACTAGCAGCCCATTTGGACAGTTCAGCAAGGGTACGAGTAGTACTGGAGGTCTGTTTAATGACATGGGAAAGCAAAATTCTTCTACCTCCTCACCATTTTCTCAGCTATCTTCTGATAAAGCGGGTGGACTATTCTCGGGATCTACAAACACACCATCAGGTCTTTTTGGCTCAAACACAGGGTCAGATCAGAAAAGTCCATTTGCTAACTTATCATCTGGTGTCACCTCCCCGCCCAGCGCATTTACCTCTAATAAATCCAATTTATTCGGATCTGCCACCTCAAAAGTTCTTGGTGTCAAGAAGGAAGAGTCGTCTCCATTCAGCCGGCTGGGCAAAGACTTTAGCAGCGTAGTGAATACAAACACTCCTGCTTTCACAAATAATACTAAACCAACTTTGAGTTTCGAGACAAAACAAAAGATTGAAGAGCTTGAGTCTGACTATGAAGAAGAGGAACTTGAGGCTGAATCAGAAAAAGAATCAGAGGAAGAGTCTGATATTTCAGACGAATTCGATGATGCTGACTCTTTTGTTGATCTTGGTGAACCAACCAATCTCAAAAACGATTCAAAGATACAGCCAAAAGCTTCGCCAGGAACTGTGTCAGTGTCTGAACTCTCGAAACCAGCAACCAAGCCTGCATTTGAACCCTCGAAGCCTGCAATCAAGCCTGCATTTGGAGCCTTGAAGCCTGCAATCAATCCCGCTTTCCAATCTCCTAAAAATACCTTTAACGCTGCTCTTGAACCCCCTAAGTCCGTACTGAAGCCTTTGTCTCCAAGTATTTCCAAACAGATAAGCACAGGGGCAGAAAGGCCTAGCCCTGGAGCAATTAATGCTACTAATAAGTCACAAAAAATTCCTTTAACATTAGATGAGCAAGTGGATGAATTTGATTTTGATTTCGAGCTCAACAGTAACATTACAACCGAAAAGGCTGTCAAAAATCTGCTTGCTCGCAGTAATATCACCTTCGAAGGGGCAGAAAAGTCTTACAAGGATTTCATTATAGATAGAGCAAAATACTATGACGAGACTTTAGAAGACATCGACAAGATGGTGACTGAATGGGAAGAAAAGCGTGAAAAGGAGAAGTCTAATGAGTTCAAGGAGGCTGAAGAAGTGAGGCAAAAAGAACGCCAAAAGAGATTGCAACTTTTCTTACAGAAGAAAGAGAAGAGAGACGTAGCTTTGAAAGAAGTAACGGAGGGAATGAAAAGGATATCTGAAAATCTGAGCAAAGAAGTCGAGAGAAGACGTGCAGAAGTTGCCGAACTATTCGAGCAGCGAGAAATCGAAAATGAGATGGATGCAAAACTCAAAGAGGAGGAAGAAAACTTTGACGTTGCCTTAAAGCTAATGACTGCCCAAATGGAAGAAATGTCCAATCTCGCCCAAGAGCAAGAGAGGTTGATGGTTGAAGCTGCCAACGAAGAAGCTGAGCGATTGAAGGCTTTTCAAAAAAAATCAGTGAGCTACAAACTTAAAGATGAAAAGGAAAATTTAAAAAAGAGTCAACCATCAGAAATATCTGACTCTTTTGTAAACATTGCCAACATGGAAGCAGAACAACAAAATGGTAGCTCTAACCCTTTGGCCGAGCCAAATGCTTCGGTACTTGACAGTATTAATGCTGAAGATGAAGATGAAGATGAAGATGAAGCAGAAAAATTGGAACTTAGCTTTGAAGATACGGATAGTGCCGACGAAAAGGAAACATTAGAGGAAGAACAGGAGAATTTTGAAGATCAGGCCGAGCCATTTCGAGAGCCAGTAAATGAAACATCAGAAGATGAAGTATCAAGGAAAGAAACAGATTCCACCCAGCTCAATGTTAAAGTGAATCATACTGCTGACAATTTTAGTAGTGAGTCAGCTAACAAGGATATCGACAATTCAGCGGAACGTTTTTCGGATGATTTAATCAACGCATCAGCTGAACAGCAGGACCACACTTCCACTTATTCGGAACATTACTCGAGCTACGCTGATGAGGAAGGAGCTGATTCCGGTATAGTTCAGGAGCCAATTGTCAGCGAAAAGCCCACAGAGGAGTTGAATGGTGAAAATTCGATCGACTCTTCTGAAAAGACATCGGATAGGGATTCCGAAAAAAGACAAGAATCTCTCACCGATTCAGCAGGTGACGGAGAAGTCAGTACAGCCTTAAATTTCTCTAGTAGTAATGAAAAGGATGAAGGTGACATTAAATATGACTTAAGTGAAAACACAGAGGAGTCAATGCCTAAGAAGGTTGACAATGATGAACAATTTGAGCTCGTTGACAAGGATGGAACCACAAGTAAACTACCACAAACAGATGATCCAAGTGAGTTTGTTGGCCAGACTAATGATGGGTACGAAAGTGAATCTGCTGTCAAAGATGAACCCACTTTTGAAACTCAAAACAAACAAAAACCAAGTAAACTTACTTCAATGTATGCAGAGGTTAATGAACAAGATTTCGACTCCGAACCAAGTAGTAAAGTTGCTACATCCTCCACTACAAATCCGAATATCACGCTGGAGAAGTCTACTCACACCGATCTTTCTTCTTCCAACGTATCCACAATTCCTACTATGGAAAATTCTCACACATATACCGATTATGTTTACATCGAAACATCGATTGATGCACATACCGATATTGAGAAAACAATAACAGCAAATACCGATGTAGTATCCGACTCAGTTCTAGCTATTCCAGAATATACCACTACTTCAACTGAGATTGAGAAAATGGAAGTGGGTAAAGTCTCTAATTTCGAGGACGATGAAGTTTATTTCAGCAAGCACTATGTTCCTATGACTTTGCCGTTGCTTCATGCACGTGGAAAGGTGACTTATCCTGATAACTTCGAGCTGCTTCCTCCACTTGGAAAAGAAATGAAGAGACTGATTTATGACGTGTTTATTGATTTCGATGTCCTCCACAAAAATATTATTGCAATGAATGAGTACATCTCTGATCAGTCCAACAATAGTTTGATTTTCCACACACTTGAAAAATCTTCCGGATTTAGTAACTTCTGGAGATTTTTCGAAGTTGAAACAGTTCTGCAAGGAGTTGAAAAACAAGCTAAGGTTTATAGTGACTTGGCAAGACATTATGCTGGATTGGGTATAGATAGCAGCGCCTTGAAACAGGATTTATTTACTAAATTCAGAAAATTGTCAGAGTATCAGGATTCATTGAACAAGCTGGCCAAAAAAGAATCTGAGTTTAAGCGATCTTATTTGAATTCCAACAGACCGCTTACCTTTGAAAATATTAAAACCCGTCGTAACTTGAGGGAAAAAGTCAAGGTCCTTCAAGACATTGATAGAACTGTTCAATCGGAGGTACTAATTCTAAAAAGTCAAATCTACCCTGAGCAAATTGTTAAAGATGATAGATTAATAAATTCGATTATTTCTTCCTTGCAAAGCAACTTGTATAGTCATGCTGACACAATCACATCCCTTTTTGACGGGATGAAAGAATTAAAGGAGGTTGAAGAAGGACCGAAGGCGATATCATTTAAGGAGGAAGAGATCAGAAACATTAGCTTATCTGAAATCACCAAGGAACCAACAACCAGAATGTCTAACATGCTCACCAGAATCAGTGCTCAGAAATCTCTAGCTCATATTTTGAAGAATAAGGCTAATAATAATAGGTATATTTCGTTGTAGTCGAACAATCTCGATATTCTAGATTCTTTTCTATATTAATTCCATATAAATCTATGATTTTCACGTACTTTGTTGATCCGAGAGCGAGAGATTTTCTCCGCATATCAGAGAGAATAGTATTTTATCAGTACATCATGTCGTCATTTTAAAACAAAAGTTCACATTTTACTTGTGTTATCTTGACAAAATATAAGTTTTGTGATAAGCTTATGCATGCTATGAATATGCAGAAACAAAGACGAATAAACATTGACTTCACTAATGCCAGGTCAAGGTTCAGCCAAAGGACAAATGAAGCAACATTAGTTGTTGGTCGGAAAAATGGAGATGATGTGATATCTGCCAATAGCAATAAGCCAATCAATCAAAGTCCACGAGTAACTTCAATTGACAATAAAGCAAACCAAGAGTCTAAGTTGCACAATGTTAAAAGAGGCAAAGATCCCAACGAAGCTATTTCGAACATCAAAGATAAATCTAGTGATTTACACACAGAAAATAATAATTCCTCGGTCGCTTATAAGCCGGTGACACTTACTGTGAAGTTTCACGAATCCAGAACTTCTCCAGAAACAGTTCTTATTGATCCTAAATTGGTGCCTGGTGCAAAAGTTGGTGATATAGGTGAAGTGCAATGTTTGTTTGGGTCCAAAAAAAAATTCTTTTTCAAATTCAAAGAGTTCAAAAGGGACACTACCGGTTCTACTTTTGACTCTAAGTCGCTCGGAATAGAGAAACTACCTAGTAATGATAATGAACAGAGTACCCATGATCTAAGTCATACGACTGGAAGTACTGGAACTCCAGCGATGAATCCAACCAGTACATCAGATAAATCTGATTCAGATGCAAATTTAGTTTCCAATGCGGAAAACAATACAGCTCACAATGTAGACTCAAGCAACTCTGCGAATAACATAGTGTCCATTTTATCAGGACCAATAGTGAGTACTTTAGATTTGAAACCAAGAAGCCAAGTTCTAATACGTGTAAGAACCAAAGAATCAGTGCAAGCGGACACTATTGAAATATATGTGAAAGATATACACCTCTCAAGAGGTAACATGTGGAACATTTCAAATCTGATAGTCGATAAGTGTATCCATAAGAACGAAAAACTCTCTTTCATAAATGGATCTATCCGGTTGAGTGTAAGTAAAATCTATAAAAATGGGCATAAGTTTTTTTCTTCCTACATTGGAAAAGATACAAAGATCGTTTTTAGATCTGATTCAGCAAGACTGATAGTATTTATTCAAATTTCATCGGAGATGTGGCATTTTGAAGAGAGTGGCCAGCAGATGTTTCACAAACTGGTAAACTCTTTTTTCCCCAAAGCTTTTCAAAAATGGAAGGACTTAGGAACTCATCATTTGATAACAATCATCCTATTCAGCAGTGTAGATTTAGAAGGGGAAAAGATAAGATATTTGGAAGGAGAGACTCCACCAAATAAGACCGATTATTATAGGGTCGTTGTCGACCAAGTCCATATTTTACTTTGGAATGAAATAATGGCAACTCTAAGACTTGAATTTGCCAATTTCAAACGAGACATATATTTGCATAAAAATAAGCACATGGACGAAAGTCATCCACAAGAGTATCTTATCCAAGGAAGCATCCTACCATCAGCAAAGGGCTCAGTTTTAGAGGCAATTAACTTGGGTATGAGCTTGGTTTGTGATGACTTCAAAGATTCATATCTAAGACAAACAACCAATCACTTTATTATGATATCGCCAGGTACTGGTCTCTTTGATGTTTCTTATGACATGCTGATAAGGACTAGCAAATTGATGACTACTGTCGATTCCACCGTCGATATAATATGCCTGAGTCAGCCTCCATTGCATATAGTCCCACTTGTCAGGTATCTCGATAATCAAAATAGACTAAAACATTGCATACCTAACTGGCTTGACATTTCCTTCTGGAGTGACAGTAGTCAAGCTGTTCATCAATGGTTACCAAAATGTAAAATCTACGAACTACAAATGATGGGAGTTATGGAAAATGAATTATCCACTGTTACCATCAATGACTTGGATTTGTCGAGCTATAGGTCTGCGCTTGATGCGATGGAATCGTATGACAAAGATGTTTTCAATAGTGTGATCATAAAGAAAGACAAGAAAAATGGATCGAAGGCAAAGAAAGTTACAGGTTACAACAAATATGATGAAAATGGTACGAAAAACAGAACAATGACAATTACCAATCGTAAAAGCAGCATATACGTCGATACGGTAGATGATGCTTTGAAGCCATCTGAATTGATAATAACGCAAAATAAATCGTCGCCTGCAACTTGCAATGCAGTGGGTGTTTCAACTACTTCCAAATCCAATGTATCGGCATTTTCTTCTTTGCTATCTCTTTCGAAAAATACAGACGTTAAAACACCTACCTCCACTGCATATAATTTTGTCAAAAAAATGATAAGTACTCCAATTCTCAAGCCATCTCTCGATGACAAGGATATCAAAAGTGCTAGCACTGACACTGGCGATAACCTAGATGAATTGCAAAGCATTGATCCGTTAACCTTGAGTGGTTCTTCTGATAATAACAATGAACAGGAAAAACATCAAAATGATAGCACAAGAAGTTCAACTTCCAGTGCGGTGACAATCAATAGAAGTGGCACTAGTATCAGCCAGCTTTCGAATAAAAACATGGTTTTGAGGCCTAAACAGTACAGTAGGAATAAAAGGACTGGCGTGAAATCACCTAAAAAGGTGAACAAGGAGCAAAACCGTGCTAAATACCTGGAGGAACGTGATTCTATACTCAACAGCTATTGGACAAATATTGAGAATCCATCAAATAGTTTAACAGCTGAACTTTTAGGGAAAATATCATATGGTAGATGGAGGTTTGTATTCCCTCCTAATGTCAGACGGAGAGCGGTTAAGTGGATATCCTTGTCGTCACCCGCTTCTTTGCCTATATTGACTACGATTTTTCCAGCTTTGACTGACTTCAACCAAAATTACACTTTCCGAATTTACGACGTCTTGCTTAACCAGGATATTGTGAATGAAAATCAAACAAGTGAGACCTTAATGCAAAACATGATATCTTTGAGGCTATCCCTGGGTTTTCAAATCTGTATTGGTGAGAAGGTAGAGAAGGTTGAGAAACACAGAAAGCCAAACGGTGATGGTAAAATGTTGATTCAGTTTATGAATCCAGGAAAGTATATTGGTTCTAGAGTATACCTCAGCTTAGGCAATGAAATACATAGAATCTGCTGTGATTTCAACAGTTTGATCAATGTTCAGGTTTATAAGCGTATTACAAGTACTGATGAACAATTAACTTTGTTAAGTGATAGACAGTATGTGGAATTTATTAGGACTAGGTACTCTGAGGTTTATTCACCAGTGACTATAACTAATTCAACTAATGAGAACTCGAGAAACTACAACTGGAATCAACTAGATCAAGTTCTTGCAGGATATGATGAATCAATAGACAAGCAAAAATATCATAGGATGAAATTTGTTGTTTTACCTGCCACTGTTCCCGAAAATGCGTTCTCGCTAACAAATGAGAAACTTACCACGGAAGAAATTAGACTAGAGGGTATTAGGTCGTTGATCATGAATATCTACAAAATCAAATTTAGAACCAAGGAGGAGAAGAAGGTTAATAAACGACTTGAAATTTCTCCGGAAATTTATTTTTACACTGGGAGTTTATTTGAATATCTTGGAAATGAGTCTAACTCCTTGAAAAAACTGTATGGCACCAATTCTTTTATCCCAGATTCTATATTATCACCATCAAACCGAAGCTCAGCTAGAACACAACACCTTAATAAATCGATTGATCCATATAAGTTAGTTGCAATTTTGCAAAGTCATGAGGGAATTCCTATTATTGATAGGCATTGGCATCTTACATTTTATAGAAACTGCTTCCTCGGAATGGATTTGGTCGATTTTTTGGTTGAACATTTTGAGGATATCGAAACCCGGGAGGAGGCAGTTGATTATGGTAATAACTTGATGTCAGAAAAAGTTTTTTCACATGTTGTTTCAAAGCATAATTTCTTGGACGGTCACTATTTCTACTATTTGGAAAAGAACTTTACGGAAAACTCAGCAAAACTTTCAGTTGTGGATAAAGAATTTGGTAATTCCGAAAAAGATAGCAAGAAAGAAATTAAAACAAGAAATCGCAGTAATACGACGCAGGACTCTGGCATTCAAAGTAATGATAATAAGGATGCTGAGAGGGATATCAAATTTCAAAAAGAAAAAACTGTCATGCTAAGCAAAGAAGTTCTATGTGATTTAGATCCTAATGGATATTCATGGCAACCAGAATTGATAAAGGTACATTATGATATTGTTCACAATCCTGATCATTGCTTTCATCTTAGAATTGAGTGGCTGAACACCACCTCAAAACTCATTGAAGACCTAATCAACGGATGGAGTAAATATTGTGAGCGTTACGGTCTATCTTTGGTTGAAATACCTTGGGAAGAGTTGTTTACGCTGCCAATCAGGAACCCCTTGCATTCCACAATTGAGATATCATTGGCACTAAACCCTTGGGAGGATGAAGAGTTCAAAGGACTAGAAAAGATTTACAGAAAGGAGAAATATTATTTCCACTTGTATCTTTTGCGGAAAAGCTCATTTATGCTTGATAACCGTACTGCAAACTTCTTTAAAAACGATGACTTTGATGTTGTTTACAGTTGGGGAAAACCCATGTTCAAGTATGCTCAATTTATTCATTCGACTGGTGGATATATTGCGGAGCTCCGTACCAATGGCGACTTCTTCTTAGCGCCTAACAACGCACACATTTCAAGGTTGAATTTGAACATTGGTAAACTCCACAACTTGGGGAAAAGTAAAGCCATTTATTTTGATTCTCAAAGTGTTATGTTGGAATTCAGATCGGTGTGTACAGATAAGGACAAATTAAGAGAATTATTCCGGCAAGGTATAAAGTCTTTTGAAAAAGACGTAGAAGGTGAAGAATTCGTGTAATGTACTTTCGATTTGTATATAAACATAAAAGAAGATAGATACAAAGCGTTAAAACTATTTGGCTATTCTTTGAGCAATCTTGATAACGTCACCGAGGACACCCATTGCGGTGACATCAGCACCAGCACCGGCACCCTGTATAATCAAAGGATTTGTGTATCTCTTTGATTTGATGGAGATGACATTATCAGAACCCTTTAAGGATGCAAAAGGATGAGAGTAGTCGAATTTTGCGATTTCGACAGATACCTTCTTGTTTGGAACGTCGATGGAGCCGATAAATCTCAAGACCTTGTTTTCCTTTGCGGCTTCAGCCTTCAACGCGTCCATATCACCGTCGAAGTTAGGCAATTTGGACATGTACTCGTCGGCAGATTGGACGGATTCCAATTCTTTTGGGATCAAAGAATGGATTGGAAAGGAGGTGGAGTTTTCGATCGGCAAGCCAGAGATTCTTGCCAAGATAGTAACCTTACGGGCAACATCCAAACCGTTCAAGTCATCTCTTGGATCAGGTTCTGTGTAACCCAGTTGCTTGGCAACGGAGACAATTTCACTAAATTTGGTGGTATTTGGATCAATTGTGGAAAATTCATTGAATATGTATGACAAAGTACCGGAGAAGATACCTTCGATTTTAACAATTTCATCACCAGTTTCAACCATTTCCTTCAAAGGGCTGATCAATGGCAAACCTGCACCGACAGATGCTTCATGGTATACAAGACCATTGTTGGCAGCTCCTGCAGCAGAGAAAATGTCATTCCACAATTTGAAATTGCTGGAAAATGCCTTCTTGTTTGGAGTGGCAATTGAGATGCCGTTTTCAACAAACAACGGATATGATTCTGCGAGTTTTTCGTTGGATGTGTTGTCGACCAAGATGACAGGCAAACTGGATTCGGCAAGGTAATTAACCAGTTCAGGGGTTTGATATGGAGCAGCGGTAGATTGTGATAGCAAATCTAAGGACTCAAAGATACTGATTGGAGAATAGTCCTTGCTGATCAAAGCCTTCTTAGAGGTGGCGAGGTATATAAGGTTGTAGGAGATAGTTTTCGACTTGATGCCGGCAAGTTGCTCGATGAAGGCCTTACCAACGACCCCAGCCCCGATGATGGCGATGTTAACAGCAGTCATACTTCTTTAAGAAAGATTAGATGGAAATTATAGGGTGAAACCTGTGTGCACTATCTATCTCTAGTGATAAATAAGGGGTATAGATGAAGAGAGTAGACAAACTACAGCTTTATACGGCTTTTTTAGAGATGGAGTGTGGAGAGAGACGTCCAGGAAAAAATGGGCCTGAGCGCCAGAAAGGATGTCGAGGAGAAAAAAATACCACGGCCTGCCTGACCTAACTGCTCAGTAGAGCTGACGGGATGTGTCATCCATCTCGTAGTTCCACCAATTGGTCAAACAGTTCTGATCCTTAAGATGCTCGTATGTGAACAGTCCCGGCTCACATCCGTGGCACTTGTCCGAGTGGGGGCAGTTCGTGTAAGGGTGGTGCTTGTAGCCAATGTCACGGAACCAATGGACGTCGTTTCTGTCTGCAAAAAGCCCCACGCCAAGGGTGTGCACTGGGGCATCGCCCCATCTTTCATAGTAGAATCCGCCGGTCTGATCTAAATGCTTGGTCCACTCTGTATAGGCCTCGCCTCTATAAAAGTCCATGTCTGCGATTTCAAAGTTGGACCAGAAGTGGCAGGTGGAGTAGCCGCCGGTGAACTCTGTTTTCACCGGGTTTTGCATGTCTTCCATCAAGAAATCGATGGCAGCATTTTTGTTGAGGTAGTTTTTGTTTTTGTTCAAAAATTTGAGGGTTTCAGGCCATAGAGATGGCATTGTTTCCTGTGCGTCGTACAAGCTGATGACAAAGCCGTAGACCTTGTTGTTCATTTCCATGAACTTGAAGACGTCGTAGTCGATGTCGCAAAAATAGTCTGTGTTGGGCTCAAATCTCCAGTAGTACTTAAACTCCCGCATTCTCGGGTGGTTGAAGAAGTTGATGCTGTAGTACCTGCACATGTTGTGGTAGGAGACTTTGTTTGCATAGGCAATGTTCTGCTGCTTGAGAACCTTCATCTGGCTCTTCTGCTTCGACGAGTCGATCCAGTCTGGCTGGTTCCATTCCTCGGGCTCGATCTTCTCAAAATAGACCTTGGAGGTGGTCATCTTAGTGACTCTGTCGATGAAGTTGTCCTTGAAGTCGCCGTCGTTGAGGATCACGTACGGGTAGTGGAACTTGGAGTTGAACTTCTCCTCGATCTGTCTCATTGTGTAGAGAACGCCCCGCAGGTCCTGGTTTCGGGCCATGATCATGAGCGTGGCGTTGGCCAACTTGTATGTGGACGGGTTAATGGGCCGGACAAGGTTGTCGACCTTGGGCTCCGAGATGACCTGCTGCAGGATCGACACCAACTGGTTGTAGTTGTCTTCGACGACCTTTTCCCGCGGAGTGTCCTTGTGGTGTTTGAAGTGGAGGCTTTCCAGAGCGTTGGCGTGGACGGGGGTTGTGTCGACCGGGGTGTCTTTCCCGTTGAGGTTGTCGTCTGGTGCTGCTTCTGCGTGGGGCTGCGGGTCCAGCTCAGCCACTGCCGCAGGCACCGACACCGGTGCCTCGGCGACGATGGCGGCCGGGTCTATCACCGTGATGGAGCCGCTGCCGCCGGACCTGCTGAACACGTAGAGACATCCGAGGGCCAGCAGTGCGAAGATGGCGTACCGGGTGATTCTCCTGAAGACGAACATGGTTGTCTTTGGGGTGTGAGTCGGGGAGGGCGCAAGCGAAGGAGGAAAAGGTGCTGAAAATGGTCACACGAGTGTATCCGGAGATCGAGGCGAAGAGTGGGAATTCCGTAGGACCGTGTGCCGTTGCATCCACAAGGCTAGAGTAGGGTAGAGCGGGTGCACTTGACGTCGACGCGTGGGTGGCCGATGCCGTGATGCCGGAGGGTTGCTTTTGCGGTGTTTCCCATCCAGGTTAGGTGTAGGGAGGGGGGTGGAGACCACCTCTCAGCGGAGGCACAGATATCGTGTAGGGCTGACGGGTGTACACATGCCCTGCTTTTGCTCAGTTTTTTCCCACTGCCCTCTTTTCCGCCTGTGTCTGGCACGGCCAATGCCAGGGAGGCGCAGCGCGAAAGAAACAACCGTCGAGGGGGGGGGGGGGCGCTGGGAGTTTGAAGAGGGGAGCGCAGGAGGGGAGCGCAGGAGGGTTACACAGCAGGGGTAGGGGACAGACCAACAGACAGACACCCCCCTCACACACACACACACACACACACACACACACACACACACACACCATGGGAGCTGAACGCAAGAGTCTTGTGGAGTTTGTCAGATATGCGAGGAGCTGCTACGACACGTGCCGTCAGGCCCGCCCGCGGGTGCTGGACGTGGTGATCGGGAACACGGGCGGCGACATGGACAGTGTTGTGTCGGCGCTCGGGTACTCGTACCTCAGCTACTTGGCCGGCGGCGACGGCGCAGCGGCCGTGGTGCTGCCCGTGCTGAGCTTTGCGCGGGCGGACCTCGCGCTCCGGCGCGACGTGGAGCGCTCGCTGCATGCGGTGGGGCTGCGGCCGGCGGACCTCATTTTCGCCGACGAGCTGGCAGCGGACGACGACGCGGGCGCCGCCGGCGACCAGTACCGCGTCCGGCTCGTGGACCACAACGCGGCAGACAACGCGCTCGTGCAGGCGGCGCTTGCGCAGCAGCGGGCGGCCGTGGTGGCCGTGGTGGACCACCACGCGGATGCCGGGCTCTACGCGGCGGCGGCCCCGCGCGTGGTGCGCGCGTGCGGGTCGTGCTCGTCGCTGGTGCTCCAGCACTTTGCGGCGGCGTTTGCCAGCCGGTACCACGCCCGCACAGGCTTGGCCGGCCACGACGGCGGCGACCCGCAGGCCCGTCTGCGGCGGCGCGAGCTCCAGTTCCTCGTGTCCGCGCTCGCCGTCGACACCGACTGTCTGCAGCACCGGGTCGAGGCGGCTGACCGCGACGTCTACACCACGCTCGTGGCGCCCGTGCTGGACGCCGCCGCGTTTGCAGCCGTCGGCACCGCTGCAACCGCAGCCAAGCTGGACATCGCCGGCCTGTCCGTCTACGACCTCTTGCGCAAGGACTACAAGGAGTACGAGACGGCCAGCGGCGCGCGCGTCGGCATCTCCAGCGTGGCGTGCAGCCTTGCCCGGCTGCAGCAGCAGCAGCAGCAGGGTGCGGACGCCGTTGCCGGCGCCGTTGCGGACTGGTCCCATCGCCGGAACCTGCAGCTGTGCGTCGTGATGACATCGTTCGTCGATAAGACCCCCGCCGGGGACGTTTTTCGGAGGGAGATTGCCCTGGCGCCGCCCGGGTTTCTTCCCGCGCGCGCGCTGAGCTGCCTAAAGCGGGAGCTCGGGCTTGAGGCCGGGCCGACGGTCGACGCGGATTTCGCGAAAGCCACCGGGCTGGCGGTGTTCGAGCAGCACGCCGTCGGTAAGAGCAGGAAGGCCGTGGCACCGCTGGTGGTGGGCCTGCTGCAGTAGGCCGCGCAGCGGTCCGACTTGCCGCTTGCGGCGGGGCGGCAGGGCGGTGGGCAAGATAAGCCGGCGGGCCAGATAAGCGGGGCGCAGAAGCGATGGCGGTCGGGGCGTCGGGGCGTCGGGAGCGATGCTTAAACAGGCGTATCTGTTCCGTTTGACAGATAGCGGGCCAGAGATAGCAGAAAGGCGATGGCACGGGTGGGGGGGGCGGATGAACCGATGCTGCAGTGCGGTGCTGCAGTGCGGTGTGCAGTGCGGTGTGCAGTGCGGTGTGCAGTGGGATGCGGTGCTCCGTCGGGAACCATTTAAATCGGCCTCGAAGTCCTCCCCGGAGTGCCCTGCCGCTGTGTAGGCCGTTGTCATGTGTACGCAAGCAGCTTAGGGCATTCTCCGGGTCTCGCACCAACCAGCACCTCCCTCTCCGTCCAGCACCCCGCAGCCATGTCGCTCCGCCCGACCACCTCGATCATCTCCCCGCTGCAGTCGCGGATGCACGAGATCAACACGCATCAGTCCCACATCCAGGAGTTCGACCCCAAGGCCGCCGTCAACGACGAAACCTTGCTTGCCGAGATCGGCTACAAGCAGGAGCTCCAGCGGCGGTTCTCCACGTTCCAGATCTTCGGAATCTCGTACTCCATCATGGGCATCCTTCCCTCGGTGGCCTCCATCGCCGCCACGGGGCTCGCGGCCGGGCCGGCAGGCTTCCTGTGGTCGTGGCTCATCGCCTCCGTGCTCATCCTCTCCATCGGCATCTCCATGTCCGAGTTGGCCTCCGCAATCCCCACCTCCGGCGGCTTGTACTACTGGACCTTCTACTACGCCCCGGAGAGCATCCGGGTCCCGCTCTCCTTCTTGATCGGCCTCACCAACACCATGGCCCTCAGCGCAGGCGCCGTCTCCGTCGCCTACGGTAACGCCGAGGAGATCCTTGCCGCCGTCTACCTCTCCAAAGACGGCAACTTCGAGATCACCACGGGCAAGACCTACGGCGTCTTTGCGGCCTGCATCATCTTCCAGGGTATCGCCACCTGCATCTCCTCGAAAAACGTCGCCATGTTGCAGACCATCTCCTCCATCTCCCACACGGGCTTGTTGATCCTCTTCCTCATCGCCGTCCCCATCGGCACCAAAATCAACCAGGGCGGCTTCAACAACGGCGACTTCATCTTCGCCCAGGTGCAGAACTACTCCAACTGGCCCAAGGGCTGGCAGTTCTGCTTGTCCATGATGACCGCCGTGTGGACCATCGGAGCCTTCGACTCCTGCGTCCACATGTCCGAAGAAGCGAAAAACGCCTCCTACGGGGTCCCCATCGGCATCTGCGGCTCCATCACCGTCTGCGGTCTTCTCGGCTGGATCATCATCATCGTCATCAACGCATGCATCACCGACATTGAAACCGTCTTGAGCAGCCCAACCGGCTTCCCCATCGCACAGCTCTTCTACGACTCCTTGGGGAAGAGATGGGCCATCGCCCTAATGTCCTTGATGGCCGCCTGCCAGTGGTTGATGGGCTCCTCTTTGATCACCGCATGCTCCAGACAGATCTGGGCCTTTGCCAGAGACGACGGCTTGCCTTTCTGCTCTTTCGTCAAGGTCGTCAACAAGAAGTTAAAGGTTCCAATGAGAGCCGTCGGCTTGAGTTGCATCATCGGCCTAATGCTCGGATGTCTTTGTCTTGCCGGTAGTGCTGCAGCAAACGCCTTGTTCACCTTGTACGTCTGCGGTTGCTACTTGGCCTGGTGCACTCCGATCTTCCTCAAGCTCACCACCGGTAAGCACAAATTCAAGCCAGGTTCCTTCTATATGGGGGATCGCTTGTCTACCATCAACAACTGGATCTCATGTGCCTGGGGCGCATACATCATGTTGCTATGCATGTTTCCAGCCAATAAATTCCCCGTCAAGACAAACATGAACTATACTGTCGTGATCAGTTTCGGAGTCTGGATCTTGGCAATGATTTATTTCTTCCTCTACAAGTACAAATATTTCCATGGGCCAAAGAGTAACTTGGCACCAGAAGACGTCATTTCTTTGGAAAACGAGTTAAGGTCCGATGACAACGACTTGTACGAAGACACCGACATTGAAAAAGTCGAGTTGAAAAGCCATGCCAAACAATAACGTGGTTGCTCTTCACTCCTCTCAAACTTCGTTTATTTTAAATTGATTCCGATTTTATTTTCCTTCTTTTCAACTTTTATATAGGTATATAGGTTACATTCCAATCGTTATATTTTTGTAAATTCTCCGGCAACGCCTGATTCACCTTTTGAAGCCATATGCAAAAGTCATCAAAGGATTTCTCATATTCTACAAGGATCTCACTATTATTGTTCCCACCTTTAAGTCTAGAAGTACTATCTTCCTGCATGTTTTCCTTGTATAGTATCTTCAAGCAGTTCTTCATAACTCCGAGCGTATCCACATTGATGTCGATTCCTAGCCCGAAACACCACACTTGTATGCTCCTCTTGCTTTTTTCATCAATGATCTGAAACACACGCACCGCACTGTAGTTCATTTCCTCGACAAGCTTCAACGAAATGTATGCAAAGGGTTTGAAAAGTTCATTTTCGACCTTCAACTGCCATTTGAGTATCTTATAGTTACCGATGTTAGAATCAAGCTCCCCCAGTATTTCATGGCAACATCCGCACTCCAAAGACTCATTCTCCTGTCCACACGCCTCTATATTCGCCCAATCTTCAGGATTCGCTATAAAGTAGTAAGACCCTATGATTAAAGTCTTCGGGTTGGGCTTTAATTGGTTGAATTTCTTCAATAACCCAATATTGTTGTTCTCAACAGTGGGCTTATGGCAATGCCAAAAATCGAGCATTTCGTACCATAGTTCGGAGGGCATCGGCAACAGCTTTTTCACCTCCTTTAAATCAATGATAGGCGAATCACAGCTGACGCATCTCAGCACATCGTGCATATGATACTTCTGGATGTTGCTGATATTCCACTGATACTGGTCCTGTAGAAAACTCTCTATTGAATCGTTAGCAAGAAAAGCTGCCTGTCTGTCACGAATGCGGATAGACGTTAGCCCAGGAGAGACTGCATTTACTGCATGCGACGCCTGGCTTGACTGTATTGCACTAGGTAGCTTGATGTCAATGCTTGAATTGATAACTACTGAATCATCCCTAACCTCCACTGAGTCTACCTGGTCTCTGGGAAGCTCTACCTGCACAGACGTAGTTTTGAGACGCGGCAAGTATTCTGAGAAGTATCGAGCCATCTTTTGCAAACACGCCTCAAACTCTCTCGATTATACTTTTGGTGTGAAAAGACTCTTTTTGAAATACTGTTACCGTTTTAGATGTGAAGTTTATTATTCATGCTCGAAAATGTGGTATTCCACTTTTTCCGTCGATCGACGGCCATACCTGCCCAATCTTGGACTTCCTTCTCCTTCAAAAGGAACCCTGTGAGGCTTGCATTGAATCTTTGCCACTTTGGTACCTCTGCAGCTGACTAACAACCTCTTTTCGAAGCAATCTCCCCCCCTCCTCCCAGCTTTGGCCATGCTGGCATAGACGATTCAAACTGGTAAACTTCCAGCCTCGAGGCAAGAAAAGTTTCGCGACGATCGACCGCCGGGACTTCAAGGCAGCGATCATGAATTGAAACGGTATGGGGTTAGTTCTGTACATCACGCAATTGTCCCCCGCTCACAGACGGGAGACATAAACGACGGTTGGGCAAAGGCGATAACAGAACCTGCTTCAGACGGATATAGAGCAAGATGTCGTTGAGATTGTTTGGAAAGCAGGTATCCGCTGGCTTGATTGGCAGTGTCAGAAACTACCACTCATTTTACCATGTCAACCCTCCGATTCTAGACATGAGCACTGTGGAGAATCAGGTTCTTGGCAAAGCCTATGAAGAATATGTCCCGGAGCTCGGATTCACGAAAGAAGCTGTTGAAAACGCCTCCTACGCTATAGGTTTGAACGACAATTCTGCAAACGCGTTGTTGAATTTCACAAGTTCTTCTAAGAATCTGGAGATGGAGTTGATATTGTTCCATTTGAAAAAGTGCAGACAGGAATTGGAGAATTTGAGTAAAACCGAAACTTTCCAGAATAAGCTCAAAGACATGACAGAAACGGATAGACTCAGATACCTGATCAACAAGAGATTGGCTATGAACCAGCCAATTCTAAAATTCCTGCCAAGCGCTTTGGGACACATGATTCTACCAAGTAATTTAGCAAAGTCGCTTGCGGAACTACATAATCTATCCGACGATATTACATACTACGCTGGAGATAGGTCTACTGATTTCAAGTGGTACTCGAAGAGATTTTCTATCAGTGGTTTGTTTATCCAAAGTGAGTTATTTATGCTCACCGACACAACCAAGGATCTCAGCGATACATCCAAATTTGTCGACTCCAGGCTGCAGGAAATCGACACGGCCGGTTACGTATACAACTCCGTTGAGGAATGGCTATTCTTCAATGCCGTCAGCACTGTAAATATTGTGAAAAGTCAGTTAGCCAGAGGTTAGCGGTGTAGTATTTGTATTATCAAGTATAAACGAGCTCCTTATAAACAGATATGTCTTACGAATCATAATCCTTGCTGCTGCTGTTGTAAGGCAAGCCTTTTCGACTGCATGGTGGATTGCGTTGCCTTTATGTTTTTTTCCACCTTTTCTATTTCCGACGTGATGAATTCTAATCTCTTGCCCACGTTGTCTTCTGCCTCTTCTTTGTCTTGTTTGAGTAACACAGGCCCCACGAGCTTGTATACGCTGGAATCGGAAGACAAGCTCTCAAACTCCTTCTTGACAATCTTGTTCTCCTGGAATTGTGTTTCTAGTCTGGTTCTCGACTGGATTAAGCCTTGCAGCGCTCTCTGTAGCTGTGTTAGTTCTTCCATAGCCGACATTGCAAACGGTTTGAGTTGTTTCAGAAGCAGAACAGTTTTTCAGAAAGTAGCTGATCACTAGTGGAAACCGTCTTCTGGCTATCCTCCCATTCATGTTGTCTTGTATCCAGCGGAGAAAAACCAAGATACGCCATGCGTTACGTAAGCTGGATCACGAAGAGGAACCGGATGGCGCATTATATCGAACAGGCTCAGTACTTTGTCGCCTCTTGAGCAAGAAGGTCTGCACGGGCTGCCTGGCATGATTACAAGGCTGACCAGGAAAGAGTGAATAACCGAATAATGGTATGTTGATTAAATCGTATCGGCAAAACAAGGAACGGAATACTGACATGTAAAGAGAGAAAAAAAGTGACCACCAATGCTACAGTTTCGTCCGTTCGAAGAAAACAGAACCCCAAGTTACATCCTACAGGATGACTATGCCGACATGCCATATGAGCTGTTTACAAAGGAGATTGAGATACCTAGCGTGGATGTCAAACTAGACGCGCCGTCCGCAGCTTGCCAGCTCTACATTGTTCCGGAACAACTAAAGCGTAGAGCGGCGTTGCAGAAGAAGTACAAGCGTCGTGAAAAAGTCGGGACGATAACCATTGACCTGGCAGAAACGGTCAGAGCTGCCGACGATGACGACCTGGACGACGACTTCGACGACGCCGAGCAGATGTATTACCAGAAACAGCCCCGGTCCAAGTACAAATACATGTATGGCACGCAAGACATGAGAACCATCAGCATCTTCCAGCTCTCCACCGCCGACGGCAGCAAGCACTTTCTGATCGAGGTGCCGCAGTTCCGGAATTACCTGATGTACAACCTCCTCGCGGTGCGATTGCTGGACACCCTGAAGCCGAACAAGGTGCATCTTTTTGTAGAAGAAACGGAACGGACAGCCGAGAAGTCCACAGCCCAGGAAAAGAGCACCCAGATGATGGCCGAGTTCCTCAACGGCAGCTACCGTGGTCCCTGTGGGGAGCTTGGCTTGAGCGGGGTCGTCGCCAGCTTTCTCAACACCGCTACTTTGCAAAACGTCGTCTTCGTGCCCGTGGAACGGAGTACGGACATTGTCAAGACCCTCTATCTTTAGCCAGTTGGCGAGCCATGTTACCCGGCAATTCACCGAGAGCTCAAGGAAGCAGTGAAATTTTCTGAGAGTTCTGAGGTGGATTTTTCAATTACTGAGGACTTTTGCATATTTTTCAATTTCTTCTATTTTCTCGTTTTTTATTTTTTTATTTTATTTGAAAATTTTTTTTGTCGTCTTAACATGGAGTGTTACGAAAAGGTTGTGGTCTTTGTTGCTTTCTACCTGCTGTATCCAAACTCGAGTTAGGGCCAGAAACAGGATTATAATCAAGACTACCACGGACAACGATGGCAGGTTTAGATTACGTTCTCTTTGAAGAACCTACCGGTTACGCTGTCTTCAAAGTCAAGCTTCAGCAAGACAACATTGGTTCAAGGTTGAAGGATGTGCAAAAGGCAGCCAACGATCTTGCTACTTTCTCCAAGATCGTCGAACTCGTTTCCTTTGCTCCTTTCAAAGGTGCAGCACAGGCTTTGGAAAATGCCAACGATATCAGTGAAGGTTTGGTCTCTGACTACTTGAAGTCTGTTATCGAGCTTAACATTCCAAAAGCAGACGAGCAGGTCAACCTGGGTATCTCTGACAAGCAGTTGGGACCATCCATCAAAGAGTGTTTCCCATACATCGACTGTCACTCTAACGAGGTTGTTCAAGACATATTGAGAGGTATCAGATTGCACAGTGTGAAGCTATTGAAGAACTTGCAGGAAGGTGATATTGAAAGAGCACAGTTAGGTCTAGGACATGCTTACTCAAGAGCTAAGGTTAAGTTCTCAGTCCAAAAGAATGACAATCATATCATACAATCCATTGCGTTATTGGATCAACTAGATAAAGACATCAACACCTACTCTATGAGAGTGAAAGAATGGTACGGTTGGCACTTCCCTGAGTTGGCCAAAATAGTCAACGACAACCACACTTACTGTAAATTGGTGCTTATGATTCAAAACAAGGCAAACATAAACGACGAAAGCTTACATGAAATCGCAGCATTGGTTAACGATGATGCCGGTTTAGCCCAAAAAATTATTGATGCCGCCAAAATGTCTATGGGTCAAGACGTCTCCGAGTCTGATATGGAAAATATTCTCACCTTTGCCAGAAGAACGGACTCCATTTCGAGCTACAGAATCAACCTCTACAAGTATTTGACTGACAAGATGCACTTGGTTGCTCCAAACTTATCCGAATTGATCGGTGAAGTTGTTGGTGCAAGATTGATTTCCCACGCTGGTTCCTTAACTAACTTGTCCAAGCAAGCTGCTTCTACTGTTCAAATTTTGGGTGCCGAAAAGGCTTTGTTCAGAGCTTTGAAGACCAAGGGTAACACTCCAAAGTATGGTTTGATCTACCACTCCTCATTCATTGGTAAAGCCACACCAAAGAACAAGGGTAGAATCTCAAGATACTTGGCCAACAAGTGTTCTATTGCATCCAGAATCGATAACTTTAGCGATGATGCTAACAACATCTTCGGTAAGGTTTTGAAGCAACAAGTCGAAGACAGATTAGAATTCTACACAAGCGGTAAGGCACCAATGAAGAACGCTGACGCAATCAGAGAAGCTTTGTCTTTATCTGGAGCCAACGACTTGGTAGAGGCACCAAAGGAAGAGAAGAAGGAGAAGAAAGAAAAGAAAGAGAAGAAGGAAAAGAAGGAGAAGAAGGAGAAGAAGGAGAAGAAGGAGAAGAAGGAAAAGAAGGAGAAGAAGAGAAAGGCCGAGGACGAAAGCGAGGACAAGAAGGAAAAGAAGAAGAAGAAGAAGTCCAAGGACTAAGCGCTCTCCCGTAGTATCCACCTGTACCTCTATTTTCTCCCTCATAGCGATATACATTATATACACAACATATACATATCAAATACAATACGTAAAAAAGAAACTCATGTAGAAGCATCATCCGTTTCCCGTCCCCCAGGCCGGATGGTGCTTACGTAACAGCACAATGCTGTAACGGATTTAATTTTGTGTTAGACAAACAAATCAGAGCGTATATTTTTATCTCTACTTATCTTGTGCATGCAAAACGTTCCGTAGTACCTTACTTCCTCCTCCATGCACCGTTTCCTTGTTACGTTCACGGATTGGTTTTGCTATACTTGTACCACAACCAATCAATGATGTCCAATGCGTCGCCGGTAGTATGGAGGAAGTCGTATGCTTCGACTGATGGTCACCATGTGGGGTCTCCCCCTGTACCCATGTCCCCTTCATTATCTGCCAATGCAGCTCCCATAGGAATACAAAAAAGAAGACAATCTTCATTCAATAGCTTGTACTCTCCATACACAAGGAGAAGATCTTTTTTGTCGAAGACCATGATTGAGAACGAGTCTGTGCAGTGTTACAAGCTCTCCAGCTACTCTTCAATTAGCAGTAGCCTCAATGAGAATATTCCAAGTTATTCAATCAGCTTATCAGAGTCGCAAGGATTCCTTTGGAATCAAGACTTATTTGCCAGTAGCTATCAGCAGTCGGAAGCAGGGGTTCACAATATGATGAGCATGTCGGATGGCTCTTATTATCTAGGTGGGAGCGGGAGGTCTCGGAATAATGAAATCTCTCAGGACCATAATTCCGACAGTCCATTAGTGGATGTGATAGATGTGGTTATTGGTAATGATGATTATAACAGCGACGTGGAGTTAGTGACCGAAGTGGTCAAGGTAGGAAACTACGGAGAAGATGACGAGGACGATGAAGAGGACGATGAAGATGATGAAGATGAGCATGATGTGGGCGATAGGGACGGCAACACCGCAAACAAAGTTCTTGGTGACACGCTGAGCGCTAACGGGAACAGGGATACAGGTTCAAAAAATATTCAGCACGATGAATGCAAATACACTAACGGCAGCAGAGACAGTTCGAACGAGGACGAGGACGAGGACGAAGAAGACGAAGATATTTTTGTCTCGGATTTATGAGGCAACTACCGGAGCTGGATTTTATTATAAAGATTATTTTTCATTGTTTTTTGCTTTTTTTATACTACATCTACATTTATTTATTCGTTTAGGAGAACGTTATCCTGAGCATGGTACTTTTTAAAGAGAAATTATATACATTTTTATTCTTTGTTAACTAACTAGATGGCTTTTTTGCCACATCCACGTTATATTCCAAGGACAATGTGACCAGGAAAACTAGCTCTGTGCAAAGTGAACTCTTGTGCTGTTCTGCAACATATGACCGTATCATAAATCAGATTAATGTTTTTATATTGCTTTTCTGCCAAAACTATAATGAGAAACATTAATTTTTGTTTGGATTTGGTGTACATCATGCAGATTTCAAATGAAAAATTGTTTAAAAGCGATAAAAACTCATATCAATTTTGAAATGGTTCTCTGATTCAAAAGGCGCCTAAGTTATATACATGGCATTATAAATTACTTAGCACTTTTTTATTCATCAATTGGGGCTATGGCTCAATGGTAGAGCTTTCGACTCCAAATCGAAAGGTTGCAGGTTCGATTCCTGTTGGCCTCATCTTGATAATTTTTTTTTCTCATTTAAGCAGAATTCTTCGTAGTGTTAGATTATTCAGTGACAGGAATCTATTTAATGCTTCTTCTCAATTTTTGTAGAAATCAGAAAAAGCGAACCACATTAAGCACATACACACTAACCTTATGAATATTAGAGTCATTAGTAGCATGAACCATCCCAGTAATCAGTAAAAAGAAGCAGCCCCATAACTTACCTTCCCTCTGTTTGTTTCACGTGACTTCTTCGCTTTTAAAAATCCTCACCTCTTCATCGCTCGAGGTCGAACTTTTAATGCTTAGTTTAATGAAAACGACTTCATTGCTAGAACAGTTTTTCCTGCAGTGCTCCTTGAAAGCTAACGTATTGAGACATATAGTAAACCAAACACAATGTTCAGAAGTGTGGTACGCCTTTTTCCGACGTTGGGATCGAGGTTGGCATCCACTATGGTCATTAGACCTGCATTCACTCCAGCTCCAACTAGCATGATTTTCCACTTGAAGCAAAATTTGGAAATTGCTAGCCCAAGTCAAAAGCATTTTGGAATCATGCAGCAAATTTGCGAAAAAGTTGAACCACTCAATGAAGCTGGTGCAACAGAGATGGTTATGACTTCTGTTTTGAGAAAAAGAAGGTTAAAGATGAAGAAGCATAAATTAAGAAAGAGAAGAAAGGCCCAAAGAGCACTAAGAATCAAGATAGGTAAATGAAGGTAGCTGATAACGATACTAATCGGGAAGCATACAAGTTCTTCAGTTAGTTTTCTCTGCATCTGGACACCACAGGCACGTTCAAACATTGTACATATACACTATTCTTTAAACAATTTTTTAAAACTGTTAGTTAGACATTAATTATAAACGAAAAGATTATTCTAGTTCGTTGGATACACCATCCGGATTGTTTTCTTTCCACATTTCTACCCACTGTGAAATTCTGGAGACGTTTGCATCTAAGGAATCTAAATCTTCGCTTTGTAGTTCGACGACTATATTTTGGTCATAGTTATCCATGGCCTCGGATAACAAAACTTGCATGATCTCACACTCAACATTCTCAGTGATCTTAGACTGCTTGTACCCTCTCTTTTCCAATCTGTCATATAAAATCGTGTTATTGCACCTCACCACGACTACCAAATCAATCCATCTCTCAGGGAAAATTTCACAGCAATGCCAATCTATCACCAATCCTCCCTTTTCTGCCATAGGTTCCAACAAATCCAATAAACGGTCCTCATTGACTATACTCGTATCTCTTTCTTCGTCATACCCTTCTAAACAGTCATTTGCTTTAGCAAATTCACTGACATTAATATGATCGAATTCGGGATTTTGTGAAGCAAACTCTTCTGCATGTGAAGTTTTTCCGGAACCAGGAGTTCCAGTTATAATTATGTTCGGTAGCTTTCTGAATGTCATTTGTTTGTGTATCTAATCTATCGGACAAGTAATATATCCTTGAAATTCAACTCTTGTCTCAAGAGCACATGGTGACCAATTTTCATTACCCGGCAAAAAATTAATGCGCCATTTCATGCTGGCCACGTCTAGTAACGAAGCTGAAGATACCTTTGGCTATTGGGACTTACGATTGTGGAGCAAGGGGCTCCCTGCTTTTGTTATATTGCAAACCTACTCTATATCAAATAGACCACAACTAAATATGGAACTTCCCACTACAGAAAGGTCTGGTTCGCAACAAGGCAAGCTTGCCAAAGGCCAAACACGATCCGAGCTCACGCCCGAACAAATACAACAACAAAACATACTAAGGCTAAATGGGTTTAGTTCTTCAACTATACTAAAGAACGCTAGTGTCAACAATAGTGCTACAGGAAGTCCGATATTGAGCGGTGCTGGCTATTCTGATATCGGACTAGCCTCAGCATCTCGTATAGTTCCCAATGGTAACAACGGATTCAATGCAGAGCCAAACGAAAGGAGCACTGACGGCATCAACAATGGAGACATACCACTGAATAGTATAAGCAACCCGGATGAAGAAATAGATGATGATGCACTGGAGGATATGGATAAGTTTGGACTTAAGGGATTGATATCACTTTTGAGGCATGAAGATAACGATCAAAACAATATAGCCAAAGGTATAGATTTGAACATGCTTGGATTGAACTTATCCTTGGATAACAAGTCGCATATTCTTTCAAAGACATTATCATCCCCATGGTTGGAAACAAGCAGGTCTGAAGTTGAGCCATTGTTTACCAAGCCCGACAGTTTCACAATCAAACCAAACGACCTATTGCCAATAGAAGACCGTATATCTTCTTTTAATGATTTGACTCTTTTCTTTATCTTTTATACAAAACCACGGGATATCTTACAAGAGCTATCTGCTAGGGAGCTAAATAGAAGAAACTGGAGGTATCACAAGGAACTGCAAGTGTGGCTCACAAAAGACACAAATAGCGAACCAAAGGCTGCCGGCATAGGTGCTGAAGAAGGTACATACATATTCTTTGATCCAGTTTCTTGGGAGTTTGTTACCAAGACTTTAGTTTTGTATTATAATTCAATCATTTGATTCAACTACGTATAATTGTATAATTCTTATCCTATAGATAGTAGTTGACAGAACCGACTAATCCAACGAGCAGATCTCTGTAGCAGAAAGACCGTTGAGTAGTCACGCTGCAACTTTGGTAGAATTATAGCACAGGGCACAAGTAGGTGGTTGTCGAAGATTTACGAACAAAGGGTATTTTTCCGTGACTCTAACGGCGAAGTATAACCGTGGAAAAAAAAAATCCAAACTAAAAACATGCCGAGGGAACAAAACATTCTATCGCCAAAGTGTTATCAGGACATGATTGTTTTCGAAGTAAATTTTAGGATTTTTTTGTAACACAAACACCAGAGCTAAACCTTTCTACAAAAATACAGAAGGCAGTGGTAATTTAGTGATATTAATCTAATTAGTGTGCTTTGAGAGCTAAGCTTTGAAAAACAGTTATCTGCTTATGTCTAAAACTACAATACCCGATGAGTGAGAAGATACGCAGCACACAAGCGGAAAACCAAGAAGATTCAGGGTCTGACCTTGACTCTCAGTTAAATGAGAGTAAGGTGGATTTGCTTGAAGCAAATGGCTCAAGAGTCTTGAAAAAAAGGTCATCTAAAGGATGCATAACTTGCAAGATAAGAAAAAAGCGATGTGATGAGATCAAACCAATTTGTGGAGATTGTAAAAGACTCAACAGAAAATGTGCATATATCACTAGCGAGATGTCTAGTGACGAAAAGAAAGTTTTGAAAGAGGAAATGAAACTCATTGAAAAAAACAGTAAGGCTAGACATAGGAAGAAGAAGGTACGAACTGAAGATGATGATGACCTCAAGTTAAAGAAAAAAGCTAAGCATTCTGCCAAGATTGTTTTCAATCCTTTAGCTATGCATATGGCACCAATAACAACAACCTCTTCCTTTCAAGGGTTTTTGGCAAATAGCAGTACTGGGGATATAAATGGTAAACGAATACCCTGTTCAAAATCTGGAATGAAACAGCAGCCTCTACCGGCATCTGCAAACAAGAGCCTAGAAAGCACTGACACCCCACGAGCGGAGAACTTTGCTGGTGATGGTATTAGCATGCCTGAGGATAGCAGAAAAGGCAGCAAGATTTTGAAGCCAGTAATAGAGGAGGAGTTCGTTTCTACCAATACAGACATTGTGAAAGGAATATCAAGCCAACCATCGTTTGTCCCAGTATTGTCACCTTCTTTTGACATATCAAACTTTATTTCATCTTTGCCGCAAGATGGCGCTCTCCAAAACGGTGGTGGAACTGGTAATACAAACACATCATTTGTGCCACCCTTATCGTTAAATGGAGAAGAGAATCCAACTAGCTTTATAGATCTCTTTTCAAACGGGTTTCCCAAATTACTCCAGGATCATTTCAAAACTGAAAATCTTTCAACCAGCAAACCGCATGATGATGCTAGTGGTGTGACACAAATTCAAGATACTTTTAAGTTCTCACCTAGGCTCCAACCTACCATATCAAATGATCAAGATCGAATTTCTACGGTTGATAGTAATAATGAGTTAAACACTAGTTTCAAAACTCCATATCAATTTACATATAACGGTAACAGCTTTGACACAGCTCTAACTTTTGGCTTTCCATATGATAGTACAAATGGTTCAGGCGACAATTTTTACACTGACAATAGCGGTAGTAAATCAGGAACGGAAAATAAACTTCAACAACAACAACAACAACAACAGCAGCAAAACCAAAACAGAATTCTCAGCATTATCAAATCCAACACACAACCCCAAATATATACAAACCCTTCGATTGTTTTGAATACCACCCTTGCAGGCCTTACTCCAATAGGTAAGAGACTTTACGAATACTATAGGGATAAACTAAGTTTCATAGTTTGCTCGGCACCGAAAGTTGAAAATATGTATTTGAACACCTTTCTACCGATGGCTCATATAGACAAGTCTGTGCTTTATGGAATTCTAGCATGGAGTGCATTCCATTTGGGCGGACCAAAAATGGAGAAGCAAGGTAACTATTACATCAAGTTAGCTTTGGATAGATTTTCAGAGAAGCCTATCTTGGATGAAGAGGTTAAGGGAAATTTGAAATTGGTTTGTGATGACGTGAATGATGACGATGATGAGCTTGTGAAAGAAGTTGAAGGTGGCGATGATGTTGAAATATATGAAGATTTAGAATTATCGAGATTGAATAGGGACAACATGATTAATATGAGATTAGCTGCTTTTTTGATATTGTGTGGTGTTGAAATTTGTAAAGGTGATGTATCTAAGTGGTCAAAATATTTAACCTACGGGGCTAAGCTGATAAAATTGAAAGGTGGATTAGAAAGGTTTAACGAAAGTAAGGATGAACATTTTTTGGTCACCAACTATGCTTACCATGATATCACTGCTATTCAAGTTATAAACGAAAGGACAATACATTTTGATTTAAATGAGTATGAAAATATGTGGACTAAATCTAATGAGCTAGGGTTTGCAGATCCTTTACATGGGATCTCGTCACCCGTTTTCAAAATATTAGCCGAAATCAACAAATTGGTCATAGTTGTACAGAAGTTGATCAAAAGGTCAATGAAAGATGAAACTAAAACACCCGAGGTTCGAGAAGGCGGTAAAGAAAGTGAAACTAAAATTACTCAAGAGAAAAAGGCTTACGGTATCCAGAGCAGGTCCAAAAATGTAGCAGATTCTCCAGAAGAAAAAATACACGGGCTTAATGAGGAGGATTACTGGATTGGTAATGACCTTGAAGGATCATCAGTCACATCATCTGATGGGATATTCATGAACGGCATTCCAAGTACAGTATCTGATGAGTGGATAGATGTGAACTTTGACAAAGAGGTTGTGCTTGAGGATTTAGATCAGGTAATGATTGAATGTCAGAACATTGAGCAAAGAATTGCTGGTGTGAAACCAAAAATAGCGCTATGCGTTTCCAATAGGGATTTGGAGTTGCAGTTAACCATGTTTGAGTGCTTCCAGGTAACTGCCAAAATCCACCTTAGACAATCTGTTCTTCGAATGAATTCAGCATCTATCGAAATCCAATACTTGACGACACAACTAGTGAAATTACTTGATGTTTTATTGGAGTCCGATGTGGAAGCCTGCCTTTGTTTTCCGATGTTTATTGCCGGCATGAACTGCGTTTGGAAGAAGGATCGTGAAGGAATGACAAGACGGTTCAAGTCTTTCATCAACAGATACAAATGGAAGAATGTGTTGCGATGCCAGATCGTGATCCGGTATATATGGGAGTTGAATCACAAAGGAGAGAAGTTTGTTGATTGGTATGCAGTTGTCAAGACACTCGGATGGGATTTGAGTTTTGCTTAAGACACCCAGTGACGATTACTCTGTCACTTTACCTTTTCGTTTATTCGCTTTTTCTATCAAATTCTTTTTACATTACGATTATGTATATGTTTTATAAATCTTCGTTTGGAAACAGTTCTATATGGTCATAAGGAATAACCGCTGTACCCCTTACCGGTTATCTCAGAGGGTGTGTGCTTGTTTGTGTATTTGATTTTCGGCTTATCAAATTTCATTCCTAGCCAACAACTTCAACTTTACCGAGTCCATGACCAACCTGAGCCCCTCTCTGCTTCTCATGAGGTTGTCGCTGAACTTGTTCTTTGACCAGTTTTCAATCCTGTCCTTGATTCCCAAACCCAACCCAAACCTGTGGGTGAACCCACTGCTGAACTTCACCGTTACAAAGGAGTTGGTGACACTTTGGGCAAAGCTGTATTTGTACGTGTTGAACTCTTCGATCCGGATGATCTTTCTGTGGTCTAAGTTGCAGTTGTAGGTTGTCATTTCCTGAGATTTCGGGTCCACCACTGTATTCTCGACAATCCACGTGGTGGTTATCTTGCCCAGGAACGGCTTGACGAACTGTGGAAGCCTTCCGCTCTTCTTTATGAGTTTAACCTGGTGCAGTCTGCCGCTGTCATCCATATACACGTCAATTGTGTCGATAGATTTAACATGTGTAGCATAGGGGTTTGGATATCGGTTGAAATAGGCTAGCGTCACCGTTTCAAAGTTGTATTCGTAGGCATGATTGTTTCTGTAGTACAAGACCATAATCGATGAGAGCAATGCAGTGTGTTTGGTCCGGCAGTTACTTTTTTAAGGGGGGTTTTCAAGGGGCAAATGGGGGATAAATGGATATTCCCGTATTATCTGTATCTCTTTCTCTCTCTATCTGCGTACTGAAAAAAATCGGAGGGCCTCTGAGTGAAGGGAAAAGCTGCTGACAATTCCCGAGCCAGCGAGAGAAGAAAAAATACAGGAAAGGGAAGAAACACCGAGCGGTTGCCAAGCAAAGAGCGGGAGGGGAATACTCATCCTTTGATGTTCGGAATTAGATTAGACTGGGATATATAAAAAGTGTATACATGACGGAATGTAAGCGTGAAATGAAGTAATAGAAGAAGAGGAATAAGAGTGTGTGCGAGAGTCCTAGGCCGACATACTGGTCTATCATGTTCAGTAGTACCGGAGTTTAGATCTTCTTTTTAGAAACGATGGCCTTTTTCTTCTTGTAGGAGTCAATGTAGAAGGCGGCAAACAAGAGGGTCAACGGAGCAAGGTAGAAGACGTTGATGTAGACAGCCAGTGCCTGTTCGCTGGTGGCAATGCAGCTGCTGAAGCTGCCGTTGACGGAGTCGTAGTATCTGACAAACAAGTGGACGACGGCAAGGGAGCCGCCGATGACGAATTGGAGTATCTGCAAAGAGGTCAAGGATTGCTTGAACCACTTTGGAAGCCTGATTTTGATGCAGGAGAGGGAGAAGTAAAAGTACATCAAGGAGTGGATGAAGGAGTTGAAGACGACAAAGATCCAGATTGGGGAGGACATGTATCTAACTCCGGACCACATGCAGAGGATGGCGCCCGAGTGGTGGTAGCTCTGCAACAAGGAGGAAGGTCTGCCCTTGAGAAGGATGATGGCGGTATCGAGAATCTCGTAGTACTTGGAGAGGTAGAAGAGGTAAGCGTAGAAGGTCAAACCCTTGACGTTCAAGTCTTGCGAGTTGGACCAGATGTTGTCTGTGGTGTTGTTGTTGTTGCAGACGCAGTGCCAGAAGAGCTCTGTCCTGGACAAGGGGCTGGACTTGACGTCCTGGAAGAGGACGGCGAAAACCTTGTGGGAGATCTGGTTGATGGTTCTGGTCATGCCGATGAAGGTCCAGACGGAGTAGACGCAGAGGAAGACGTTATGCAGGAAGACCAAGACCTTGAAGATGCGCCATGTTGCGATCTTGAAAGGGGCGGCCTTGAGCTGCTTGAGGTTCTTAGGCAGCTTTTCACCCGGGTTGGTCTTCTGGAACTGTTCGATCTGGCGGTTCTGGACCACCTTGTTGAAGTGGTGCACGGACAGAAAGTAGGTGGTGGCGAAGATCAGGGCGATGTACCCGTTCAAGGAGACTGGGTAGACGACTGTGCGGAGCAGGGCGTTCGAGAAGTCGAACGGCCAGGCCGGAACCGGCTTCGAGAAGTCGGGTATGCCGAAGGTGTTGACGTCGGGGAAGAACTTCCACTGGATCAAGGCGTCGAGGAGGGACGACTCGGTCGTGTTGATGCCGGACATGGTGGGAGGGTGACTGGGTGCTACTGTCGCCGTCTTTTTTTTTCTGTCTGAAGGGTGCTATTCCGACGGAGTAAAAGAGAACTGAAGGGGTGAAGTAGGAAGAGACAGAGACGAAGATGTGCCGGTCTGGGTGACGATCGATTCTGCTACAGCGTAAGAAGCTACCGATTAGCGGTCAATGCCTCGGCTCTGCACACCAACGGCGACACTCCTGCCTGTGAGGATGTGATGTTATATATGCAACACGGAAACAGGACAAGCAGAGAAAGCCCTGTTCTGCCTGGTGCCCACCGGGCTATTAGCCCGAGACGATGATTCCGCAGAACATGTTGGGGCCCGCCGCTCGGAAGTAAGCCCGAGACTCCCTTCTGGGCGCCCGCGACAACAACAACGGTGACTCGGGCGGTGGCGCCGGTCTGCTGGGCCGCCGTCTCCGGCTGGCGCTGTGCCAACAAATGCCTGGCGTGGGGGGGACAAGCGGGGACGCGGGCGATGGGGTCTGCGCCATTTACCCCAGAGCGGGAGCGCGAGGGAAAAAGTGCGTGTGCGGGTGCCGGTTATACCCCGCGCACCCGGGTGGGCAGCCGAAGGGGCCGGAAAGGGTGGTGGGAAAGCTGCGCGCCAAAGTGCCGACGCGACGGCGACGCGACGGCGCGCCGGGGCGGAAAGCTCTTTGAAAGATCGGCGCGCCGGCGACGCGACGGTCGAGTGTCGCCGGCTCCGCTGAGCGCGGGGCGTTTTCTCCTCCGCCCCCGCTGCCGCCCCCGCGCGCCCCGCATTGCTAGCGCTAGCGCCCGCGCGGGCGGCTTTTTCGTTCTCCGCGCCTCGGATTAACCTTGCTGCGGTCGAGCGCTCGCAGCCAGTGGCGTTCGGGCCAGAAAAAGAAACGCCCCGGGGCGAAGGGAGCGAAGGAGCACGATAATCCGGTGATGTGTTCGGCATGGCGCGGCGTGCGCAGACACGACGCAGCGCAGCACACTGCAGCAGGCCCGGCGTTCAGCCATGATGGCGTCATGCGCCGTCGAGGACAGTTGCCGAGCCGGCCAGACCAGGCCAGGCCACGCCTGACAAGTCCCGTCTTGCACACACACACGCCTGCACTTTTCCAGTCCTACAGGCCAACTCCACAAAAAGCATTGCACTTCTCGCCCACGCACACATGGTTTTTCCGGCGTCCCCCCTTCCCCCGCGCTCCATTTAATCCGTGCCGCCCGACTGGCCCCTCCGTGCGGGGAGAAAGGCGCTCCCGCAGCAGCCTCGCGGCCGCCCTCGCCTCCCGCCCGGGAAGAGTGGGGGTGGCCACCACCCGCCGGCAGTACAATAATGGCCCCCGAGGATCTCCCGCCTCGGCTGGCCATGCCATCACGGCCACGGGAAAACTACTGCAGCGTAAGGTAACGTAGCCAACCGCTTTCCCCTGCTCCTTCCGTTTCCATTGCCGTTTTTTTTCTCTCAGTGGGTTAGCTCCCGTTTCTCTTCTTCTTTCCTTCTGCCGCTAGTGTGTTCTCTTCTTCGCCAATCCGTCCTGCTGCTCGTCCAGCCTCAGCTCTTGACACACCCTCCCCCCGCAACAGAATGGCATCGCCCGCACCTGCACCTGCACCCGCAACTGCACCCGCTGCCCAGGCGGACATTTCGTCGAAAAGGGAAAATGACCGCCCATACAAGTGTCCTCTCTGCAAGAAGGCCTTCCACAGACTCGAGCACCAGACACGACACATCCGCACACACACGGGCGAAAAACCCCACCGCTGCACCTTCGAACGGTGTCCGAAGCGCTTCTCGCGGTCCGACGAGTTGACCAGACATCTCAGGATCCACACAAACCCCACCGTGAGAAAGAAGCGGAAGCCAAGAAAGACCAAGCTGCAAATGCAGGAGGAACAGCTCAAGCAACAGGACAAGCTCAGCAAGAGCATGAGCTCTGCCTCGCTTGCGGACATGGACAACAACTCTTCTTCCGACAATAGCAGCAACAGCAACAACACTTTCAACTTCGAACACACCCAAACTACCCCAACAAGATCTGTCGCAGACTCAAAGATCACCGTTTCCAACCTCCTAAATCAGCCGGCTGCTTCTGAACCGGACAGACAACCTAATTTCCCCACCCTGCCTAACCTGAAGCAACAGAATAACCCGCAGCTGCCGATCCTGGTCCTGCCACACGGAAATTCCGTCCCTATACCTCCTAACATCCGCTTCCAAATCCCCCACACACCAACCGAGCACAACCCTGCGATCATTTCGACATCCCCCTCCGCCTCTGCATTTTCTCCGGGCAACTCTCACATACAGAAATCGAGAAGCTTCCTCAACTCCTCCTCCTATTTCACCCTCCCTAGGAGTAATAACAGCCTTGCAAAGTCCTTTGCTTCATCGAGAACGAATAGTTCCAATTCTTTGGGATCTTTGGAATCTCTGGGCAGATCTTCCTCTGCGTCAACACTTTCATCTTCTCTGAACATCAAACCAATGTTGCCGTTGTCAAGATTGGGCTCTTATCAAAGACCAAATACGAGCTCCTCTGTCTCCCTCTCCACAATGCTACAATCCACATGTATCGACGAAATTCCAAGGAAAAAATCAAGACCAAATTCTCCAGAATCATCATCCTACCAACCCATGTTCAACATGACCTCTCCTTCTAGCACTCCATTGACCACACCGCTCCAATCCCCTAACTTGAGGCCCGTCAACTCGTTCAATAAGATAGTCTTACCCCCGCTACGACACGTGTTCGATATCGACGAGGTCAGCAGACCTAGCCAGATAAGCAGCTCGGCTATTGCCACCAGCAGGAATAGAAACGACGAGGAGGTAAAGAGTATCTTGACAAGAAGTATGTCACATGACAAGCTTTCTCTACGAAGATGAAAGGGAGGCAGGCTTAAGCGATGTGGACATGGCGGCTTTTCCGACAACGCTTTTCTTATCTTTCCGATCCTTCTTTTTATCGCTCCAACTTCACTACAGCATCATTCCCCTCTATTTTTCTTTTCACACTTTTCCATTTTTTTCGGTATACAAAGGCTAAACAGGATTGTTTATAGAATTAGTACTATTCTTTAGAAACTAAAAAATTAATAAAATAATAATTTAAATTTAAATTTAGAACGTCGTACGAAGACGTTCTCTCTTTTTTTATTTACTTCTCTGTAAGATCTGCTCAGAACATCTGCACCTCCCTTCCACTATCTGACGAAAACTTCGTTATCTTATCTTAATGAATGTGACATTGCACTCATTATCACCCTCAAACGTCTATTCTACGCGTGCTCGGAACCCCCGACAGTGTGGCGAGCTGTTTTTCAGAACAGCTTCGGCAACCCCGCTCTCCATCTCGCATGACAGCGTCTTATCTTCTCGTCTCGAAAAGCAGTTTGGCAGATTCCGTCCGCGAATAGATACAGGCGCCACACTTTATCTAATCGGCAAGGATATATGCACCTTCGGAGGGTTTTATCCTTGCTAGAGGAAATCTTTCAACGTTAGTCCGGTTTTTTATATAAACAGTCAACGTTTCCTCCAAGAATATGACTTCCCATCAACGAGGTAAATTAGTAGTGTAGGGAGATCGCGTAACTTAATCTCACTTCTGAATACCAAACTACATTGAGAATGGCTGTTTCCACACAAGAGAAAGGATTGGAGGATACTACCACCCAGGAAGTCACTCATTTGGACTCCAAATCACAAAAAAATGACTCCTCAAAATCGTCTTCAAATGAGGATGAAATCTCGTTGATATTGGACGAAGATCCGGAAACTTTGGCTGCCAACTTGAAGCTGAACAAGAGGGTCGTTTTCAAGATTGACTGTGTCATTCTACCGTTTTTGGTGATCACCATGTTTCTCCAGTTGCTAGACAAGAACTGTCTTTCGTACGCCGCGTTATACGGTATGAAGAAGGATTGCAACTTGGTTGGACAAGAGTACAGTTGGTTGGCCACTATTTTCTACTTGGCGTACTTGTTTGCCGAGATTCCCGTGTTTTTATTGCTGCCTAAGGTGAAGCACCTTACCAAGTTCATGTCGGTGTTGCTATTCACGTGGGGAGGGATCTTGATGTGCATGGCGGCATGTAAGAACTTTGGAGGGTTGATGGCGGTGAGGTTCTTTCTTGGAATGATGGAAGCAGCAATCCAGCCAGCGTGCATCATCATCTCGTCGACGTGGTACATGAAGAAGGAGCAACCGTTGAGAATGGCTCTGTGGTCAAACACGTTTGCTGGTATCTTCAACGGTATCTTTGCATACGGTATGGAGAACTGGAAGGGATCGCTAGCGATCTGGAGATACATGTTTCTTCTTTACGGAGCAGTAACGATGATTTTCGGGTTGGCAACTTTCTTTATCATTCCAGGAACCATCGAAGGAGCTTGGTTCTTCTCAGAAACAGAGAGAAAGTGTGCGGTTGCAAGAAGTGCCACGAATCAAACCGGTATTCACTTTGGCACCAACAGTATGAAGTGGTACCAAATCCAAGAATCGCTGTTGGACCCTAAGTACTGGTCACTTATGGTGTTCATCATTGTTCAAAATTTCATCAACGCTGGTATTACCAATTTCAACACGTTCATCATCAAAGGGTTTGGGTTTTCCAGCTACAGAACAATGCTTCTTGCCACACCCCAGGCGGCTGTGGCTATGGGTGCTTGTCTCTTGTGCGCCGCGGTGGCGTATCTTGTGAAGAACATTCGATTTGTACTTATCTGCATCACTACGGGTGTGACAATGGCTGGTATCATCATGATCTGGAAAATTGACCACAAGGAGCATTTGAACCAGTCGCTAGCGGCAGTGTACATTTGTGGATTTTACAATGCTCCATACGTGATGTGTTTGTCGTTGATTGCATCGAACACGTCGGGACAGACAAAGAAAGCGTTCAACTCGATATCGGTTGGGTTGTTCTACGCATTAGGTAACTTGATTGGTCCACAATTTTTCCGTGAATCCGAGGCTCCTGTTTATACGACGGGTATCAAGGCGATGATGTCTGCATGTTGTATCATGTACGGTATGATTGTGCTATATGCTGCTCTGTGTTTCTGGGAAAACAAGAGGAGAGAACAGAAGAGGGATGCGGAGGATGCAGAAGCAGACAACGTGCTTACAGAGATTGAGATAGGTGAAAAGGTCGACCAGCAGGATCTTACTGACCATGAAAACAAACACTTCCGTTACACTTTCTAGAACTGTTATAATTCCCATCTGACTTCTTTTGTACAACAATGCTTTTTCCTACGCTAATCTAAGTGGCATTTCATTTTATTTTATTTTAATCGAATATCCAGAATATATGTAAAGTAAATACGTACAGTGTAGCGCTCCGACTGTCCAAAAGGCGGAAAAATAAATTAACAACTATTCACTGATTAATAGGCTACGTCCAGTTAAACCTTTGGAATTCAAAAAGCTGATCAATGTCCTCCCTGACAGTATCGTTACCTTGAAAGTAGTACTGCTTGAAAACGTCCTGAAAGAGTTCTTGAGTCAGAGTGTCCATAACACTCGGGTTGTCAGGAATGTTACCCGATGGCATGTTATATTGGTATGAGTGGCGTTGTGAATGTTGCATTTTGTCCTTATTCTGTGCTGGCTGGGTGGTGGTGAATTGTTGTAGTTGTTGTTGCTGTTGCAGTCCGACTGGATCCTGTTGGAAGCTCTGCGAGTCTTTGAACTTTATTGGAAAGTGTTGGGGTTGTAGTTGAAGCTGTGATGAAGTGACTGGCGAGAAATAAGAGGGAGATTGATCTGTTTGAGTGAAGCGTCGTTTTGCATCTGCTCTGTGTTGCGGTTGGGTTGGATAGTTGTGACCAACGTTCTGCAACATATTTGCCTTCAGCTGTTGCAGTGGAGATGGAACGTCAGAGAAAACATCACCTGCAAATTGTGCTGCCTGGGAGCCGTCATCCGCTTTATTGTCGAATCCATTGATGATAATCGAAGAAACAACGATGTAAAGATTTTTGAACTTTATGAAACTTGGATAGGTTTTGATGATCTCGTTCATCACGTTAAGGGTGTCAGTTGAAAAAATCTTTAAACGTTCTGAATTTGGCTCTGTTTTCCAACAACAAAAAATCATAGTTAAGCTCACGTTGACCAAGTCGTGCAAACAGGAAGGACTACTTTTCCATATTGTGCTCATTAGAAACTTGAATGAGTCCATGCAACGCAGGCAATCTTCTTTGCATTGCACCAATGACTCAATGTCAGGAGATAGATAGGAAGGCGAGGGCCTGTTCAACAAGACGGAAGCGATATGAGCTCTGATTCTCAATTCGTGATAGCAGATGAGGTCTTTTGGTATTTCGTTTTCTATTTTCGTCAAAAGATGAGAGACCGACTCTTGGATTCTAAATTTGTAGTCTCGTATGGTTTCGTCACTTAGAATAGGCTTGGACCCCTTGGTCCTAGAAATATAGATTGTTTCCAACAAAACGCCATATATTTCGTATAGCTCGATAGAGATCAAACATGGTGTGAATTTGACCTGGTTGTAGTCATTTAGCGAGGCGTCGGCGGATAGGTCATCATCGACGATGAATTTCGGGGACTCCGTTTCGATGTCCTGCTTTCTCAAAGATAACCCACGTCCGAATTTGACTGCGTTGGCTCTTTCCAATATATAGGTTGACCAAAACAACCTATTTCTCAACTCTTGCTTCGACTCCAAGGCATTCTGCTCGGGTCTATTTTTCTGAAGGTCCATCTCCATAGCCAACGTCATCATGTATCTCCCAAGATACCAGAGGTCTCCATTATCGTCGTTAAACGCGTTGGTGTTGTTCAGCCAGATGGTCAGGAGTATTAGCTCCTGTAGGGTTTGAAAAGACCTCACGGGGAGCAGCTTTTCCAGATACCTCTGGGCGGTGTTGAAGAACTCCACGGGCTTGAACTGGTTGTAGTAGTTCACCAATCTGGGGTCCTTCTCGCCTCTGTCCAATCCCAAGGCTATCACCATGAACACGACGTACTTTTCGTGGTGCGTCAGATCCTTGGGCGAGCTGTACATTCGAGTTAGGAGGTCCAAGAAGCTTTTCGTCATGAGAACAGGGTAGTAGACCTGGATGTAGTTGATGTAGTTGTTTGTCGCCAGCCGGGCAATGGCGTAGGGGGGAAGCGGGGCGCACGACTTGGAGAGCATGTGCACGCTGGGATCTGCGGTTGCGAAGTCGGAGATCGACAAGTGGTCCAACTCGTCCAACTTCTGCAGGTGCATCTGTCGGAGGAACATCTTGGCGAAGTTCGAGCCCGTCGCTGCGCCAATGTACTTGCCCTGTAGGTCGTCGTTGCTCGACGTCGTCAATGAGCCCACCTCGTTGGAAAGCTCCTCGATGGAGATGGGCAGGTTGTCCGCGTCCGAGAGCCCGTGGTTCACGAGCGTGGAGTGTGTGGACGCCGCCGACTGTGAGGGCTGCAGCCGGCCAAGGACGGCGTTCAAGCCATCGATCTTCTCAAGTAGCGTGCTGACCGTGGAGTACGTGTAGAACACGTTCTGCGGCATGTCGCACGCCAAGCCCCACTTGCTGCAGCGGTAGCAGCATGGCAATTCTCCTTGGCACTGTGGAAAAGCGGATGGGCAACGGGGAGCCCCAGGCATCCATGTTAGTATCGCAGCTGGCGGGCATACAAACAACGGGACTCATCTCCCGGAACATACTTTCACCTTCTTTTTGCGGCAGTTCGTGCACGACTTCACAGTGTCTGGCACAAGCGTGTTGGCTCCGTCCGCCTGCATGCTGTGTCCGAGAGTCGCCGTGGCAAGGGAGTGGCTGAAGATAGGGGCAGCAGCAGCGTGTCAGACCGTGCTTTTTCAATGGCTTCAAAATCGTAGCCAGCCTGCACCAGAGTCCTTGTTGCCCTGTTGCCCTGTTGCCCTCCTGCCCGCCCTGAGCCCCCTTCTCCTGCTCTGCGCTTTCCTCCGGCCACCTCATCCGTCCACACAGGCCCCGTCACCGTCACCGCCAGCGGCATCGGCAGGCGGAGGGCCCCAACTCGGGCCCTGGCAGGAAAGGGTAAATCCGGGGTGCGCGTGCCTTCCTGCCCTGCTGAGGTCAGCAGCAGCAGCAGCAGCACCGCCACCAACAGTGCCCCGTTTTCGCCTGCGCGAGTCGCGGCATGGCACGTGATTGCAACAGCTGGAGCGACGCGTCGATGCACGTGATTGCGGCGGGTGCGGCTGCTGATGTCGGCGGGGCCGAGGGAAAGAGAAAAGACGGGTGGCCGGTGCCGGGTGGCTCGGGGCTGGCGGCGCAGGGAGCGGAATGGGGCTGGCCAAACGTGTGGCGGCGGGGCAGGCCGGGATCTGCGATGGCGAACAAGGGCGTCGTGGACGCCGAGAACGAGTGGTCGGAGACGCCGAGGTCACAGGCAGGTCCGTTTACCAGCATGTTTTCTCTCCGGCAGGGAGTGCAGGGAAGGCCGAAGGGAGGCAGTGGGGAAGCAAATGGGTTATCGGAATAGCTGGATCTGCAGGTGGTGGTCCAAGCTTCCCTGAATGGGGTGTTTGGCGCTGTAGCGTGAGGGTTGCAGGGAAGCTGCGAGGCGGGAGAACCAGAGAGCCAGGTGTTGGAGACCGACCGCAGACGTTTTGCCAAGGGGAGAGGCAGAAGACGTATATATCGAGCAGATATCCATCTGGGGAAGGTTAAAAAGTTTTTCTTTTAGGCTCTGTGTTGACCAGATCCAGAGCACACACGCGAGGCTCGCAACACACAGCATGAACACAGCAGTGGTGACGACGATCGAGACCCACACGTGTGGGGAGCCGTTCCGGATCGTGACGAGCGGGCTTCCGAAGAGAATACCGGGCGCCACGCTCTTGGACAAGAGAAACTACATCGAGCAGCACTACGACCACCTGCGCAAGACGCTGATGCGGGAGCCCCGCGGACACTACGACATGTTTGGAGGAATCCTGCTCGACCCCGTGGACACGGCGGCAGACGCAGACGCCGCGATCTTGTTCATGAACCCGGACGGATACACGGACCAGTGCGGCCACGGAATGATCTCTGTGGTGACGACGCTCATACAGCACGGCTGGATCGGCAGAGACAAGTACCGCGTGAAACCCGACCTCATGAGGGTGATGTTGGAGACGGCGGTGGGCGTCATCGAGACCGAGGCGTGCTGGAACGGACGCAAGGTGGAGTTTGTCAGGTTCAGAAACACGGCGGCCTTCATCCTGTACCGCGACATCCCCGTGGACACGAGCGTCGGACCGCTTAAGGGCGACATTGTCTTCAACGGTGCCTTCAACTTCTTCGCGGAGGTGGACGAGTCGGTGCTGGCGATCCGCCCGGAGAACGCGACCACGATTGTCAACCTCGGCTTCGAGATCAAGAGGAAAATCAAGGAGATGCCCGGGCTGAGCATCGTCAGCAAGGACTTCCCGCAGATCCAGGGCTTGCACGGCGTGGACCTCATCAACGTCTACCACAAGGAGGACCGCAGCGACATATGCGAGCCGAACCAGCGCTCCTGCTTGGTCTTGGGCGTCAAGCAGTTGGACAGGTCACCGTGTGGCTCGGGCACTGCCGGCCGGACGGCCCAGCTCTGCCTCCGCGGCGCCATCGACACGAGGGACACCTACGTGAACAAGTCGCTCATCGGGTCTTTGCTGCGTGCCCGTGTCGTCGAGTCCGGCATCAAGGCCCACGCCGGAGAACACGACGCCTGCATCGTCGAGATTGAGGGCCAGGCTAACGTGCTCGGCACCACCTCCTGGACCGTCGACTTCGAGGACCAGATCGGTCTCGAGGGCTTCGTCATTGCGCACTGATCGAATCCGCCCACCGGCTGGGTTGACGTTTTTTTTCTAATCGACCATCGCTAGCATAAATAGACAGACAGACAGACACCTAATTATCACCGCTATAGACATGGACCTCGTAGCAGATAAAAGGGCTCTCCGGGGAAAAGAAACAGCCTCGGGCCATCCCCCGATAAGGCCTCGCGGCAGGCGAACGGCGCTCGAGATGAGCCAGGACCGAGCCCAAAATGAAAAATTCCTGCACGCATGCAGCCAGGCGATCATGGTGGTGTATGCTGATAACGTAGTGGACGCATGCAGACGATCTTCTCCTTGCAGCATCCGAGGGGGTGAGTGCCAATATTTCGAGGCCGTTTCCAGTGTGTGCAATTGTGAGGCAGCCAGAAGACTTCTTTTGTCTCAACCTGCGGATACTTGTGACGGAAACCTTTGGAGCACGTTAGAGAACGCTAGAGAAAACATACACCTGTCCCAAGCATGGAAGAGAAGGACGAAGACAAGGCTAGATTCCTCGAGACCGGCTCCCGGAGTGCAAGCAACTCGCAAGAGGATGACATTTCGCTGATATTGGACGAAGATCCGGAAACTTTGGCTGCCAACTTGAAGCTGAACAAGAGGGTCGTTTTCAAGATTGACTGTGTCATTCTACCGTTTTTGGTGATCACCATGTTTCTCCAGTTGCTAGACAAGAACTGTCTTTCGTACGCCGCGTTATACGGTATGAAGAAGGATTGCAACTTGGTTGGACAAGAGTACAGTTGGTTGGCCACTATTTTCTACTTGGCGTACTTGTTTGCCGAGATCCCTGTGTTTTTATTGTTGCCTAAGGTGAAGCACCTTACCAAGTTCATGTCGGTGTTGCTATTCATCTGGGGAGGGATCTTGATGTGCATGGCGGCATGTAATAATTTTGGCGGGTTGATGGCGGTGAGGTTCTTTCTTGGGTTGATGGAAGCAGCAATCCAGCCAGCGTGCATCATCATCTCGTCGACGTGGTACATGAAGAAGGAACAACCGTTGAGAATGGCTCTGTGGTCAAACACGTTTGCTGGTATCTTCAACGGTATCTTTGCATACGGTATGGAGGACTGGAAGGGATCGCTAGCGATCTGGAGATACATGTTTCTCACTTACGGAGCAGTGACAACTGTTTTTGGGTTGGTAACTTTCTTTATCATTCCAGGAACCATCGAAGGAGCTTGGTTCTTCTCAGAAACAGAGAGAAAGTGTGCGGTTGCAAGAAGTGCTACAAATCAAACCGGTATTCACTTTGGTACCAACAGTATGAAGTGGTACCAAATCCAAGAATCGCTGTTGGATCCTAAGTACTGGTCACTTATGGTGTTCATCATTGTTCAAAATTTCATCAACGCTGGTATTACCAATTTCAACACGTTCATCATCAAAGGGTTTGGGTTTTCGAGCTACAGAACAATGCTTCTTGCCACACCCCAGGCGGCTGTGGCTATGGGTGCTTGTCTCTTGTGCGCCGCGGTGGCGTATCTTGTGAAGAACATTCGATTTGTACTTATCTGCCTCACTACGGGTGTGACAATGGCTGGTATCATCATGATCTGGAAAATTGACCACAAGGAGCATTTGAACCAGTCGCTAGCGGCAGTGTACATTTGTGGATTTTACAATGCTCCATACGTGATGTGTTTGTCGTTGATTGCATCGAACACGTCGGGACAGACAAAGAAAGCGTTCAACTCGATATCGGTTGGGTTGTTCTACGCATTAGGTAACTTGATTGGTCCACAATTTTTCCGTGAATCCGAGGCTCCTGTTTATACGACGGGTATCAAGGCGATGATGTCTGCATGTTGTATCATGTACGGTATGATTGTGCTATATGCTGCTCTGTGTTTCTGGGAAAACAAGAGGAGAGACCAGAAGAAGGATGCGGAGGATGCAGAGGCAGACAACGTGCTTACAGAGATTGAGATAGGTGAAAAGGTCGACCAGCAGGATCTTACTGACCATGAAAACAAACACTTCCGTTATACTTTTTAGATTTTTACACTCTTCATTTTCTACCTTTTAGACATTGCTTACTCCTGATTTTCTTTGCTTATTTTGATTTCATTTTTCTATGCCTTTTTGTTATTTTGTCTTTTCGGAAATGCAAATTCTTTTGTTTACACTTTTTACAATATCTTCTTTGCTCAAACTATTATGAAAGAGTTATATAATACACATTAAAAAACGTACTACTCAAAATCGGTTTGGAAGTTGAATAAATGGTCAAGGTCTTCCATTATGGTATCGTTACTAGGGAAATAATACTGTCTGAAAACGTCTTGAAACAATTCCTGCGTGAACCAATCGTTGAATTCTGTGTTAGCCTGCGGGTTGGTGAAATGGAAAGATGTTGGGTACTGCACACTAGACTTGACTTGCTGGAGTTGTTGCGGAAGGTTCTGAAACATAAACTCGTTATGCCCTCCAGCCTGCTGAACCTCTGTCATGGTATCTGAGTCATCGCCGTTAGAGTTGCCAACGGCACCACCGCTGTTGTTGACATGGTTGTTGAATCCATCGATGATTATAGAAGAAACAATAATGAATAGGTTTTTAAACTTGGTAAAGGTTGGATAGTATTTAACAACCTCATTCATGATATTCAAAATTTTTAGAGAAAAGTCCTTCAAAGTATTTGAATCTGTTTCGGTTTTCCAGCAACAGTAAATCATAGTCAACCCTACGTTAACCAAGTCATGCAAACAGGTAGGATTGATTTTCCATCCATGATCAAGCATCCAGCAGTAAGAGGAAATACACTCCTGACAATCCGTTTTGCATCTCAAGATCGACTCTGTATCTGGGATGGGGAACGAGGGAGAAGGTCGGTTTAAAATGACAGATGCAAGACAATATCTTATTTTTAACTCATAATAACACTCCAAAGTGTTGGGTATCTGCTTGTCCACCTGCACCATCCACTGCGTTAATGAGTTTTGTAATTGTGTCTTATAGTTAGATATCTCCTCTAAACTCAAAGCTGGCTCCGAATGTGCCGCCCTTGATATGTACACAGTTTCTAATGTATCACCGTAAATCTCACATATGTTGATCAACAGCAGTGATGGTTTGAACTGCACCTGATCATAAACGTTTAACAAATCGGTTCCAAAATTAGTATTATCGGAGATATAATCGTCCTTGAATAGTTGCGGAATTGGCGTGTCAATCGCTTGCTTTCTCAATGATAACCCCCTACCAAATTTCATAGCAATTGTTCTTTCTAAAATATATGTACACCAGAACAATCTATTTCTCAATTCATTTTTCATTTCTCCGAAATCCCAATCCGGGTTGAACCTATGGACACCTAACTCCATTGCAAGGGACATAGAAAACCTTCCCAAGTGCCACAAGTCACCGTTGTCATCTCTCAACACATTTGTATTCAACAACCAGATTATAACAAGGAGTAATGACTGTAGAGATTTTTCCGAACGAATAGATAGTATTTCTTCCAAGTATCTGTAGGCTGTGTTGAAGTACTCGACGGGTTTAAACTGGTTAATATAGTTTGTCATTTCGACATCTTTCTCCGCACGGTCTAGCCCTATTGAGATGACAATGAAAAGAACAAATTTATCGTGCAGCGATACTTCTTTCGGTGAAGAATACATGACGTGTAGAGTGTGTTTCAAATTCTGGAGTAGTAGTAACGGATAATAAATGTGAACGCAGTTAATGTACTTTAGTACTGCATACTTTGAAATCCGGTACGGTGGTAAGGGAGCGTAAGATTTAGTAACCGAGGAATCGAAAGAGTCAAAGTCATCCATGGCGCTGGAGTTGAGCTCATTCAGTCTGCCTAAATGCATCTGCTTCAAAAACAATCTGGCAAAATTGGAGCCTGTTGCAGCTCCAATATACTTCCCCTGTGTGTTGTCGTTGTTCGAAATAGTTAAACTTCCCACCTCGGTTGAAATCGACTCAATGGTGGTGCCTTTTCTATTTGTTTTCTCCTTGCTGCTACTTGTTGAGTTTGGGGTAGAAACGTCCGGAGGGGAACATAGCTGTGAAGAGTTCTGTTGAGACTGGGGCGAGATCTGTTCCCTAGATTGTTGTTGCTTTAGCTGTTGCTGCTGCTGCTGCTGCTGCTGTTGTTGTTGTTGTTGTTGTTGTTGTTGTTGTTGTTGTTGTTGTTGTTGTTGTTGTTGTTGTTGTTGTTGTTGTTGTTGTTGTTGTTGTTGCTGTTGTTGCTGTTGTTGCTGTTGTTGCTGTTGTTGCTGTTGTTGCTGCTGTTGCCGCTGTTGATTTTCATCTAATGGCTGTGCATGCAGGGGCTGGTCTACGCTGTTCGGCTGGTCTTCTCCTGAATATGCTGACTGTGACGTTTCTGCCTCGGCGACCTTGTCCTCCAACTTCTGTATTACACCCAGAAGTGATTGCACGGTTTGAAAATTGTAGAATACGTTGTTAACAATATCGCAACTTGCCGCTGACTTTTTACATCGGGAACAAACCGGTAGTTCTCCTGAACACTGTGAAAAATAACATAAAGAAGAGAAAGATGTTAGAATTTGTTTCACAAAAAAAAAGCAGTTGTTGGACAACTCTCATTATCGCCCAAATGGCGAGCTCCACACATACCTTGACCTTCTTGTGTTTGCAATTTGAACACGACTTTATGCTGTCTGGCTGCAAAAACATTGCCGCTCTTATACTCCTCTTCCGTGTCGTCTCCTTTCCTGCCAGCACGGATTATTGTCCCCTATCTGTTGCTCTTGCTTGGCCCTGTCCTCCCCATCCAATATCGTCCATGACCCCTGACCGACCTATTCATGCAGATAAAAGAGAGGGCACAGTGCCCGCATAAACAGTGCCCGCTGACGTAAGCGGGAATTGTTTATGGTGAGTCCGGACGGCATGCCGTCGCCGACAAAGCCGCATCCGGCGGAGTCATGTCCAAGCGGGCTACACACATTGTTCGGCATTCAATGTGCATGGATCTCTGTGAAAGAACTGCTCTGCTGCCCTAGAGGTTCTTAGAGCAACTCCGTAAGGTGGTTAAAGCGATGTTTACCACTGTGTGGACCACGGAGAGGTAAAACATGCCCTATACTGTTGTGAAGCGCTGCTACTTTTGTTCTGCACAAGGACGTTGCGGTCCATACAAGCATTAAGCGAGCACTGTAGGAAAAGGAAGAAAGGGGGGAGGAGGATTCTACAATGAAGCCTTAAGCTAAAGCCGGAGAATATGGTACTGGACTGTTTGGGCAAGGCTTCCAAGAATTAAAGCAATACAGGAGGAATTGTAGCTGGTGAAAAGTGAGCACGAGTAGAGGTTTAGTGCAATGCGTAGTAAGTACCATTGGCTGCTTTCTGCACGAGAAACCAAGTAGTCTCCCGTTTTTCCAGTTCAGCATTAAACACCAGCTTTTTTGGCTACATTACGTCGAGACAATGTGGTGAAAACGGGGTCACCGTTGTAATGCTTATCGTTTATTACATGGGGTTTTCATTCTCTTAGCGATCCCGCTCACCCATTGCTGCATTGACTCAGCCCAGGTCGGAAACGGTTCTTTAATCAAACTGACGGTTAAAAGCAAAGCTGAAGTTGCAATTTCCGGATAATATCCTCTCTTTATGCTTTAATGAGCTTTTTTCGCCTTCGTACCCTCTTCTGTCACTTACTGACCCTGTTACAAGATAAGAAAGCGCTGGCGGAAAAGACAACCGGATTAGGAAATTATCGAGAAATCTAACTGTCAATGCTGTCGGGGAAATTTCAACAACACCAACCTTGGGATAGATCCTGGCTCATACGAGAATCCAAGAGGAAAGTGGCTTGAGGTAGTCGATCATTGTGAGCATCAAATCCCCGACTGCTTGTCACAACAATCTCCTCGAAATTCGTGCATTCTGACTGAAAATCAGTACAATGAGCATCGAAAGAGGCCAGAACAAAAGAGCGTCCGTGATAGATGATGATGCCGTCGCAAAATCAAGTGGGGTTGACAAATCGAAACTTAAGAGAACCAATCGAATCATCAGATCGTGCTCCAGATGTAAAAAAAGAAAGGTTAAATGCAATTTTGAAATTCCTTGCGATCGATGCATTGCTCGGAATCAGGCCCATTTATGTACAAGAGATCCTATAATCTTTGATGGCTTGTTAATAAGTAACGATGACACTACCGAGCTCAAATATTCACAAGAAAACGAGGTTTTGAAGAGGAAAATAAAGGAACTTCAAGACACTATTGTGAAGCTCAAATCGGTGAAAAATGAACAACCGTTGAAACCTGACAAAAAAAAGGTAGAAGGACCCTCTGATATCCATGCGGCAACTAATAGCTCTGTTTCATCGTCTAACGGTAAATTAAGTTTGAACGACGTTATTCTAAACCCCAAGAACAAGTCACAGCTTTCTCATGATGAGCATAATTCTTCAAAATTTAATGACACGGACTGGAATACATACTCGACGACCATTAGCCTTTTGAAAAAAGGTCTTGCAAATGGATTAATACTAGACAGCACCAACAGCTCTGCAGCAGAAATGGATTATAACACAGAAGAGTGGCTCAGATTAAGCGACAAGAACTTTCTTAAATATGATGCCGAGGATTCCAAGAGTAAGTGCTGGTTGTACGAGTTAGATTTGATCTCCGAATTGAGAAAACCAACTTGTGATATTTTGATCAAATCGGGCTTGAAAATTGTTACCCTTTTCCCGATAATTGACATCTCTGATTTTATACGAGAATACGAGGAATACTGGGCAGATGACTCAATTACTGAAAAACATATCTCTCCGTTGTACACTAAGAGTGCATTGAATTATCTTTTTGTCGGTCTGATGTATGCGCTAATGTGTTTTGGGGTATATCAATGTGATGCAGAGGTCAGCGAACAACTAAAATTTAGCTCCTATGATTGGGACAATTACTCTAAAGCATTCTTTAGTGCCTCATTGGAGGCTCTGTACAGAGGAAGATATATGACACATCCCAACTTCAAATCAATTCAAATCCTTTCAATTTTGAGAATTTTGTGTGGGTTCCTAGGGGGTAACACCTTGTCTAACAACCTGACATGTGTTGCATTTTTCCTTTCCTATAAGCTTGACATATTGAAAAGTGATGATCCGCTGAAACATGTGAATATGTGGAACACCCTTGCTTACGACTGGTACGATGATCATGACCGATATCTACTTTCTGATCTTGACTACGCTAACTCTCTTCCAAAGCTTAATAGATGGATCGATGAAAATCAGGAACTGATTAATTGGCCACAATATTACTTGTTATTTCTTGTGAATGTTTCTATTATCAAAAGAAGGTTTTACCATGATAGTGTAAAGTCAACTTTAAAAAGCTTGAAGCTGGCTGACATAGAATTACGCTATCTTAAGGTCGAATCTTCCCGGGATCTGGACTCCTATTCTCCTCAACAGTATAAGAATTTCACACGAGAGTCAATCAAGTGTTTGAATTTCCACGTTAATTCATTGATTCACCATGAAACATTGGATGTCAATTTGAAGCTTTCAACATTTCTATCGTGCGAAGAGTGGTCTTCGAATTATTATTCAACATGTTACTTAAGCTCTTGTGAGATCCTCAAAGCTTTCATATCTGAAGATATTCCTTTGGAGTATAAGTCTTACCCTTCAATCTGCGAACATGTAATATATGCTTCTGTTTTTCTTATTGTTGATTGCATGCTAGATGCTCATCATATGAAGAACTACAAAGAAGTTCTCAAGCTTGTATCACAAACTTTACCAATTTTCCAATCATTCAAGTCTATGGTCACTGGTGCAATTCGAGGATTATATACTATCGAAAAACTACTGATTTTGATGAACCTCAAAAGGAAAGACAGATCTAAAGTAAGTAGTACAACTGTTAATCTCACTGATAAGGAGCACGATAATTATAAGGTGAAAAAATGCTTAAACGAAGAGGTTTCTGCCAATGAGCATATTAAAATGAGTTCCAAAGATGCGGAAATTAAAGATGTGCAACCTGATAGTTCAGATATAGATAGCAGTGCTGATGAAAGCTCTAGTTCTGATGATAGTGATATGCCGTTGTACACTTCAACCTTAGAGAACAAACAAAAACAATCATTTTTGAGTATGCTAGCACAACAAAACTCGGTATCTCAGAATTTCCAGGATGGTGATAACGAAAAGAAAAATTTCCAGGATAGCGATAACGAAAAGCAAATTCACAATTTCAATACATTCGATGTACCTGAAAACCAAAACAATATATCAAACACTGATTATAGGGCAACCAATCAAGGTTCTGTACTATTGAATGTTAACGGTACCTCTGTAACACCTGGATGCAGCCCTAATATTTTAGATAATACCACTCCACAATCTGGAATGGAGTCAAATGCAACCATTAAAACAAACCCACCACCTCTCATTCAAAATACCATCATGGATATTTTGGAAGATAGTGGATGGATTCAATTTATCAACTCAATAGATGATTTGGGTGGTACGTGACTTGTTGTGTAATGTCCTGAAAAGAGTAAATAATATTAATTTATAGATGGAGCTTCTAAAAACGGCTTGAAGACGTAAAAGTTAATCAAAGGCCTCTTTTAGACGTTTTAACAACAACCTTAATAGGCTCAACAATACCCTTGTTATCGTGTGGTCCCAAGGCATCACCAGCTTGCCAGCCCATTTTTTCAAGTAGCTTCCTGCCGATACTCGATGAGTCAATCTCCTTTGCATTTGCACCGACAACCTCTCCCTCTTTATAGCTGAAATTCCCTCTTCCCTTGTTCCTCATTTTCTCAACTTCCACATTACCACCTTTGACTCTCTTTAACTCTCTTTTCTCTTCCGTAGATAATGGAACATCCAAACGGAAACACAGTTTACGTTTTAGAGATAATTTTCTGATCCTATCCCAGTCTGGTTCTCTAGTTTTCGATTTTCTTGGCTTACGAACTTCTAGATACTCCTTTTTACCCTTACCAATTTTTCGAGAGGAATATCCATAAGCTTCGGCAATCATTTTCAACACCATATTAACATGAAAGTCTAGTGGCGGAAAACGCAACGATTCCCTTAAATGATCTTCTCTGAAATCGTTAAACTCATCAATGATTTCGGACATTTCTAGGACATAGGGATATTTGGTTAACATGTAGGCATTGTTTTTTCTGGCAAACTCACGTTCCTCTTTCTTCTCCCTTTTGCTCTGCTTTCTTAAAATATATTTATCGTTCAGAAACTTCTCAAATTCAGGGCTAATTTCAGTGTTGAACTCAAGACCAGAGTTTTTCTTACGCCCTTTAACTTTTATTGATTTTGTACCAACATCCAATGGATCAAAATGTGACATCTTGCTTGACTTATGCATGGTCAAGAGATCTTCTATTCCCTCCATCAATTCTTCATCCAACTCACTGTCATCCGAAGTTGAGTCCAAACCAGGTTGGGAAGTTCTACTTGGCTTTGTTGCGGAAGAATCTTCCTCTTCAGAGCTATCAGAGATATAGATTTCATCTTCATCTAAACTTTCTTCTCTTTGTCGTACTTCGGGATGTACCAAGTGTGAAGTAGCCTTTCTTATAAACGCATCAAATCTATGCTCAGGAAACCCATTCTCCACCAAAAAGTTAAGAAAGTCATCTTTGCTGAGCCATTGAAAGTCTTCAAATCCAAAAAGATAAGGAGCTTGCACATGATATTGTTGATTAGATTGATTGGCACCAGCACGTAGATTATCTATTATTATGCTCGTAACATCGAATGACACATAATCTTCTTCTAAGAATCCAAATTCAGGTTCTGTAGTTTTAACTTCCACGTTCTCATTCTTCTTTTTGTTTGTTCCATATAGCTTATGGTTGACATGCCTAACTACATCATCTATACTGAAATCATCATCATCATCAGAAAGCATGTATATAATTTTCTCTGACTTTTGCTTGTTTCGTTTGATTCCCGGAATTTCAATAAATTTTTCACCTTGGTTAGTTGTTTTCATAGAACCTAAATAGCGTCCAATTTGAATTTCTCCAGCGTTGGAGCTAAGAGAATCGATTTCACTCTCATCAACATTGAGATTATCCTTAATGAAATCATCTTGTTCACTATTGTAAATGCTCTGATCAAAGCTCTTTTCGTCTAATTCATTTTCAGTAGATTCCTCATCACTGTCATCATTTTCATCATATGAGATATCAAACTCCGCTTCTTCATTATCATCAAAAAATAGAGCTGATGATCGTTTCCGATGCTTCTCCAACTTCTCCACTTTCAAACTTGGGGTGTTGCTTGTGTGCAAATGGTGCTTTTCAATGTCGTTTGAATCTATTCTCTCAGCAGATAGCATATCAGATTTTGTTTCAGGGCTCACATTTGAAAAATCATCAGGTTCATCCGAGTGACTACGCTCCTTTTCTGATAAATCATCTGAAATGTTATCAAGTTCTTCATCTGAAATTGATTCTATTTTAGATAGCATTCCATCTGCCATTCTGAGTGTACGCCCATCATTTTCCAAGTTTGACTCTTTGTTTTGCAACTCGCTATTTTCTTCCAATATATTTTCTTTAATATCCACTATGGTTTGCTTATGGTCAGTCTTGGTGAGTTTTTCCAGCAACGATTTTGATGGGTCGTATACTTCTTTTGCCTTTACGAATTCAACAGTAAGTTTTCTATAACTTTTTTGAAGGACATCTTCTCTGTGACTGTTGGTATATCCAACCTCACTGTACATGCTTTTATCATTGTAGCGCTTTTTCCTGGTATTCGACTGATGATACATCATCGAATTTACTGATAGTTCCTCAATGTTAGTGAAATTTCCTCTGTTTAAGTCCACCATATCATTTATCTGTTTGAGCTTTGAAACCTTTAACCTCTTGTTCAACTTCACTCGAAATGGATCAGAAGCACCGGAATCATCGACTTCGTTATCATTATACGGGTACAGATCAAACTCGTCGGTAAACTTCGGCAATAATGGTCCGTTTCTACCTCCGTCTCTTCTGGGTCCGCCTTTGCCACCACCTCTGCCCCTTCCTCTTCCTCTGACCGCACCTCTGCTTCTGCCACCGCCTCTTCCGTTTGGCTTTCTGCCTTTTCCATGTCCCATATCGGTTATTGAGTGCTGAAAATTTGTGGCTGCCTAACTATAAAGCCAGTGTCAGAAGTAAGACTCTTCTTGACCTCATTAACTCAAAGACAAGAATCATGTAAGATTGTAGCCACCTTCGAAGCCTCTAGGACAAATCGACGCGTCGCTCCTTTTGTCGCTTTATCGCTGAAAACACCTCTTTTGCTTTCTCCCTATCACATTATTATCTGGCAGATTTCTGAGACACAGCAGAGTAGAGGAAGCCTACAGGGATGACACTGTGTTGAGCATCAACAATCTCATCAGATAACCCACTTAATTAAGTCATGGAGACATCTCAAGAGTATGGAAGTCGTAATGGTCACGGCCTCTACGACGTGCTAGACTATATTTGGGAGATGCCTAGCATGTCCGAGAGATGCTCATCAGCGGACCTGGTGATTCTGGGGAAAACATACAGCATTTCACCAAAAGAAGAAGAAATCAAAAACGCCAAAGATCAAGCAGAAATGGAACCGGAAAGTGAGGTACATCGTGATTCTGAAAATGCAGTTATTGTTGATGAACCAAATCAAGACAATGATGGCAGCACCAGGGCAAATGGTAAAGAATCCGATACGCCCTTAAACAATATCAGGGCTTTTATTAGTAAAATATCAAACACTACGTTTGATACAGGCAATTACCAAACGACGAAGTCTAATTTTTTACCCTTGAATTGTCCGCAAGAGTTTCTTGATGATTTGTATACACGTCTGTGGTTCACTTACCGTTCCGGATTCCCGATCATAGAGCGAGATACAAACGGCCCCTCTCCTTTATCCATAGGTTCTATATTGAGAGGAACTTTGGATATAAATAATCTGGGAAAAGGATTTACAACTGATTCTGGCTGGGGATGTATGATAAGGACTAGTCAGTCGTTGTTAGCAAATGCGCTAATTGCATTGAAACTGGGACGAGATTGGCAATTTAGTAGTTCATCTCCTGAAAATCTTGAACAGCACTGGGAAATAGTAGAACAATTTGCAGATGTTCCCGAGGCAGCGTATTCTATTCAGAACTATGTCTTGTATGCAGCAAAGTATTGCGGAAAACGGCCCGGAGAATGGTTTGGTCCCTCCAATGCGGCGAAAAGTATTCAAAAATTATGTGAAGAGAAGTCCTCAGTCTCAAATATGAAAGTGTACATATCAACTGATTCAGGGGATATTTTTGAGGATGAGGTATTGAAACTTTCGGCAGAAAATGATTCTGAATCTTTTACTCCAATTTTGATTTTATGTGGTGTAAGACTAGGTGTTCAAAATATCAATTCCCTTTACTGGGAATTTTTGAAATTTTTGCTACAACTTTCATATAGTGTTGGAATTTCTGGGGGCCGACCTTCATCCTCGCATTACTTTTTTGGTTATCAGTCTGATTACCTATTTTATCTTGATCCACACGTGCCACAGAGTGCCATCTTGTTGGATGATTGTGGGCATATAAGCGACAAAAGTAGGAAAAAAATCCTTGAAACAATACACTCTAAAAAGCTCAGGAAGTTACACATCAGCAAAATTGATCCTTCAATGTTGATCGGGTTCTTAATAAAAAGTAAAAGTGACTATGACGATTTCAAAGAGAAAATCAATGCATTTGATTGCACCAGAAAATTTTTAAGTATCCATGAGTCGAGACCCCAAATTGTTGCGTCATTGAGCTCTGCAGGTTCCGAACTGGATGGGTTTATCGATCTAGGAGTGGAATCCATGAACGAGGATGAATACGAGCATGAACGTCATGATGAGAATGGGAATACGAATGAGCATGAAATTACAAAAAGGATTGAGGATGAAACTGGCTGTATGAAACACGAAATCAATCGGGCTGATACTAAAGAGTGGAAAGAGGAGGTACAGAATGTGAAAAGAATAGCAGATGGACTTACAAAAGACATAAATGAAGAAGCTATGATAAAAGTGAATAACGATTATGCTGTCGATGCTTTTGATCTAGACTGTGACCCTTGCCAAGAGACGGATCACAGTGGTACTGCTCACGATGCGCAAGCTATTGCTGAAGAAAGTTTGGTTGTAGTTTCCGGTAATGATCCAATTGATCTGGTGGTGGTTGAGAATCCTGATGTTGAGGAACATTGAGGTTCTTAGAAAGCTTGGGAGTGTATAGAGGGTAGGCATAAATATCAGCTCCGCAGTCATGTTAGCCCATTGTAACCTTAGCTAAAACTGTGTAGCGCATACAAAAAGATAGGCTTGTTATAATAGCGATGCACGGCGGGAATAGCGAGAACACGACTTAGGAAGTTTCGTGTCGCGTCTGGTTCTGAAGTAAAGAAGCGAGAGGTATATAGTTTGATGAAGAATTGATTGAAGGAGACCTAAGCTTTAACATTTAGCAGTGTATGCTAACCTTTTTTCGACAACTATAGAAAACGTGCATAGCAAATGAACGAAGAGGGTGAATTTTATGGACAAGAGGAGGAAGGCTTTGAAGAACTTGTCGAAAAGAGCCTTGGAACTGCTCTCGATGACGATCAGGATGACGGAGAAATAGAAGAAGATTTACTATCAGATATTGAGGAAAACGACGATGGCGAAGACGCAGAATACAGTGCCACAGTGAAAAGAGAAGAGCGGTTACAATCTGTGATGAATATGGCCAGAAACCCTTTAGCGGTATTGTCTACTGGTGATCAAAAGGACGAACAGGCCATCAAACGTAAAGTAGCAATGCTTTGTTCAGCCTTAGGTGGGTTTGATCCAAATCCACCGAACGAGTACATTTTAGGTGTTGAGGCTCTAGGTTGCTTGAAAGATATCAAAGAGTTGCTGAAACGTATAGATGAGGAAAGGAACATCTGGAGTGTTTCCTCTGCATGTCATGATAGTGGGCTTTTTGTCAACGATTTGATCCCAATCTTGGTGCAATACGGATCATTTGACACTACAAACCAGAATCCAGAGACCGTGAAAATACTTTTAGTCGGAATAGAGTTGATGGTTAGACTTTTGACGCCTTTACGATTAGACGACGATTCCAAAGAAAATAGAATAGAGTTGCATGCAAAATTAAAAAGAGCACAGATAGAGTACAAATACCATTTACTACATTATAAAAAAGGAAAAATATTTAAATACTTAATTGCATTGATTATACCCATCTTACAGCTGGATTTGAAAAACGTCACTAGAAGGGACAACATTATCCTCAACCTTTGCCTAACATTATTTGCAAATGTTTTGAGAATCCAGCCATCTGATGCCAGGTCTGCCAAAAAGGGACGAAACAACGTCATCAACGTTTTTGAGACATTACCAGCGGGAATAACGGAAGAAGATATCTCAATTGATGTTGTGCTTGCAATCTATAAAAAATACCAAGTTCTTTCAGTGGTACAAACAATAGCATCTAACTTGTCAAAAGAGTTTGATACCGAAATTTTAGGTACTGCATGTGCTGACTTTTACTTTCACTTATTTTGGAATATAGACCCTACTACTATTACCGACGAAACTAGCATTCCTACCATACAGCAATCTTTAAGCAAGAAATTAAATTTAAGCGACGCAAATGAACATGACGACAAGACAGCCGTATCTGCCATAAATAGTCGATTACAGCAACTTATCAACGTCGAGAATGGGAGGAGAAGAGAACTGTTTTCAAAAAATTCAACCAGGCATGCCAATTTTGGTTCATTGATCAATATTCAAGACAGCAAATGTAACCGTGTGCTTTCCGGCCAAAGCCATTTATTAAATAACAACGTTCTTGAAATGCTAGATTCGAATGCTTCTAAGACCGGATCCGGGAAAGCCCTAAATAGAAAAACTAAAGGACAACTGGGACCAGAACGATTTATAAAATTGACCTATAAAACAAGGAGTTTGCTCAACAAGTTTGTAGGAGATTTTATTCAGAATGGATTTGGCGTTATATCGAAAGAGATTTTCAGTAAGTTACTAAAAGATGCATCTGTTCAAGACTATACATTTCATTACCATTACTATTTTGTTGTAAAATGGATTTTGAAGTATGAGAAAAGTTATCAAGCATCCAATTCAAAGGGAGTGAAGGTGGTAGAAAGATACAAATACTTGTTCTACTGGTTCAGCAAAAAAGCTATTGATTCTTTGATGAATTTTATTCTTCTTCTATCTCGAGATAAAGTTTATGATGTTTTGACAATCGGAATCTCAGTTTTGAAAGAGATTATGCAAGCAGCGATTAGCATACATTCTTATGAACATTTTGAAACTTCCAAACTATTAAAAGATGATAAAAATTTGTTGAATGCAATGGTTTTAAGAGGTGAAGGAACTTTAAGACTAATTTTTTCAGTTAATACGGAAATAACCGAATTGCTGAATTTACCTAAAAATTCACACCGGAAATCTCACCATCTCGCTATGGAAATGATTGAATTTACTCACACAGTTCTCAAGGTAATTAAATATATTCAATGCTTGAAAGTTCCCATCATGTTAGTGGGTAAAAACCCCGATAGTTATGATGATGATGGATTATTCGAGGGGGATGAAGTGTCAAAATTAGATCCCAAGAATCTTAAGAGGTACAAAACTTTAGATAAAGGTCAGTGCGATAAGTTTAAAGAACTATTGTATAATGATCAGACTGTTGATACCCATATATGGCTTTTCTATCAATACAAAGAGATAGATGAATCAAAGCTGAAAATGTGTTTGAGCTATTTCAGCAAACTATTGGAATGTTCAGAATCTAATATTCTCAAACTTGTCCGACTTGATTTTATGCTAGTACTGTATCAGTTGAAAGATTCTTCAATATCTACTACTTTGAAAGTGGAATTTGGTGACTTAATGAACTTTTTCATGCACAAACTCGCAAAGATGTTTTCAAATACCCCAACGATTTTGCTCGAGCCTATGTCTTTCAATGAAATGAATGACATTGAGATTAAAAAATATTATCTTACAGGTGATCCATTTTCATCCGCAGACTTTACTGTACGCGAGCAAAAGTCTATGTCAAAGTTTGGTGCTGACGATATTCGATTTGTTGATGACTCCATATCCAGCAACGAGAAGATTGCTCTTCTAGTATCTCACCTTTATTTTGAAGACAAAACTGCTGTTATTGATGATTTTGTAAACTTTTTGTCACAGTGGTACCATGAGTTGAACAAGAGCATGTCAGATGAGGTTAAAGTTGTTGGGAAATTAAACTCTTGGAGGTTAGAAGGAACATGCCTTAAAGAATCTAGAACTAACCCTTATTTCAGATTACTTTGTCGATACGGTAATATTGTTAATGGTATTCTTATCAAGAGGGAAAGCTCAGAATTAATAGACTTCAAACAAAAGATAGAGATTTCATTGAATACACCATTGGAAAGTTTTGAACTTGAGAACAAGTTCATAGATCCCAATATTGCACGAAAAGCAAGAATGAAGATGAGTAGAAAGAGTTTAGGAGACGGCAGTGATGAAGATGACAATGATGATTATGAGGATAGTCATCATGGTTATGGAAATGAGGGAATCAATGACGATGAGGATGATTTGGCAGGATCTGGTAGTGATGAGCAAGATGCTTTGGGATTGATGGAAGCTCGATTAAGTCGTCTTGGCGACAGGGTTAAAGGAAAAGCCATGAGGAGAAATGCGGACGGCGAGTTGGTGGAAATGGGAAATTCTGGTAGGAGAAAGACCAGAAAAAGAAGAAAGAGGAGATTATCGAGTGATAGCCAGACGCAAGAAAAGGTTGTCAAAAACAAGAAAAGAATTTACAAGAGAAGAAAGATTGTTATGGATGATGATGAAGTTCTATCAGATCGTGAAATTCTCCGTAGGACTCATCTGTCTAAAGAATTCATTAACAACAGCGATGATGAACTTTCTGATGATGACGAATTCTTTGCCAGAGAGCAGAAGTTACAGAAGCTTTTACAAAAAAGACAAGGAAGAATTACAAAAGAGCAGTACGATTCTCTGATGGATGGAACACTAAATTTGCAAGATGTTAGTGACTTGGATGATCATTCACTCAGCGATAGTGAAAACTTAGGTCCTCAAACTGCTCACTCAAAAACTGATAGGGAGTTTCTTATGAAAATGCTCCAACCTTCGGAAGATAGAGGTGACAGTGATGAAGATGATGAAGATAAAAGTGACGACAGCAGTGATAATAATAGTCAAGATTTTTATAGCGACAACGAAAGTGATGAAGATAATGCAGAAGAAATTATTATCAATAACGAAACTTCAGGGCATATTTCAGCTGATATTGTCTCAGGTAGTTCCGATGAAGAATTGGTCACTTCAGAAAGCGAGATAGCAAGTGATACTTCAATAACAGATAGTCTAAATACCGGGATAAATGTCCAAGACAATGCTACTAAAGATCCTTTACGATCAGATGACAAGGGTTTGACCAACAGTGATAAACCAACTACCGGAGAGGTTTTTGTGGGAAGGAGTAAAACACAAAGTTCCGATGATGCGGACTCAGATATAGAATCCAATAACTTTGAGAGACAAGCGAAGGCAGTAAAATTGAGTGATGTGAGAGAAAAAAGTTCCACCCCTACAACACAGGAGGATGGTGACATTTTTGCTGACCTTAGAGCAATACACGAACTGATGAATACTCCAAATACTGCCCCAAAAAAGTAATAATTATAATTAAGTTTTTAGTTTTACCAATTTATAGTATAACATGCAAGATGTATAATTGTACACAAGCGAAATTATTCCACACAATGACCAGCATCGGGGCTTTCTTTCAAGCTTTCTATTATCGTCTGCGAAGAGGAGAGGACCATAACTGCAATGCCAAAAATTATGCAAGCATAATACGGTGCTTGTTGTTTCAATGTTTTATTTTCACTAGTCATTTTATTATGGCATAACGGGGGTAGAATATAGGCTAATGTCGATCCTGAAGTAGCCCCAACAAGCTCTAAAACAGCTCCTAAGTTGCAAGTAACCATTGATACCGAAAGAGGTATTACCAAGATTATGGCAGTTACTGCTAAGTTTTGTAAGCGGTTAAATTTCTCCAGATCAAAAGTCGGGGTTTTCAGACGGTTGTATATGATGAACAGATCTTTTAGTACTTCTCTGATAACATAAACTTCTAAGGGTAAAGTTGTGATCATGTTCAGACCGAAACAAAGCCGTGCAATGTTGATAATCCAGTCGTCACTTGGGAAATTGTTTAGAATATTACCTTTTGTTCTATCTCCAAAGGTCAAAAACCCGCATATTCCCATCAAGCCACATACAAAACCGGATATTGCGCATGAGATATGTGTCACCCTGTTGAACCTGTCTAAAGTGGGAATTTTGATGGAGTCATAGATAAATGTAGTGTTGTGATGACACACCAGAGCGAAAGATATAACACTTATTCCTTGAAATAAGCCACCATTAATTAAATAGTCCCATCCTGATATTGAACCTTTGAAAGAAACGTCTACACTTGGGCCTCTGAATATGACTATTGTTATTATGACAACCATGCTTACCAGTGCCAAACCACTTGCTTTTGCAAGCTTGGATATATCTGCAATTAGGCATAGCGGGAAGCAAATACAACATAGACAAACAGCAATGATCACATTTCGGGAGAGCAGAAAGTCGAGAAAGGATGAATTTTCAATAGAGCTTGCAAACAACGTCCTGAGAACATGCGGTATCGAATCTCCAATAATAATTGTGAAACCTATGCTACCGCCTAATGCAAACAATCCCTGAGATAAAAGAACTATAATTTTTCCTATAGTACCGTAAGAGTGAGTAACAAAGCCTGTATAAGACTTCGTTCCTGATAATTTGGTGTTAACAATGATCAACCGAAGTGTCCAATCATTCAAACATGTCAAAGTAATCATTAACAATGCGCCAGCAAACAAACCCGAATTCAGGAAGGCTTTGGGAATACCAACTATACCCGCCCCCACAATCGAGTTTGTCATGTTAAAAAAAGCACTTTTTAAATCTGATCCACGAGACTCTGGAAGCTGCGTTAGCTGCATCGGGTATGAAAGGATCTCGCCTCCTTCCTCCATATGTAATGAATCAATCATGCTTGATTCGTCTTCTATAAGGTCATTGTACGGTGCCTCGTTTGTGGATAGTTCATCCAGCAACGGCATATCTGTATATCCACCTGACATAATTAAGTAGTTTTAAAGTAGACGTAGTTATGAGTGGAAGGTGTGGTCAGTTCAGTGAATAATGAAAAGTGGAAATAGGGTAAAACTTGTCCAGCAAGGGCTGGCTGAAAACAGGTTGCGAGTTCAATGCAGACAACCTACGACAGAAATTTACGTCGCGCCGCGACACAAAAATCATGTCGGTGCGTTTAGTTAGTTTTTAGATCGTATGAGACGGAAGTGAGTTGTTTCGGAAGGCAACATAGGCACGTTATGAACCAGCTGAATGGAGATGAGGAGAAATCTTGTCAACGAAAAAAGTTGGGAGAAAATCACCAGCACTAGGGAGACCCCTGTAGACTCACATAATACCCAATTGTTGTTGGCAACTTCCAACACACTTTGTGTCTACAAGCTGAGGCCCTGGATGCTTCTTTGACCGTCGTTATTTTTATCCCTTGAGTATAGTAAGTCTGTGTCCAAATGAAATCGTCCAAAAAGTCGGACAACTCCAGCAGCGGGGGGATCATGAACTCTTTGATGGGAAGCATGAGAAAACCATCAAAGCAGCCCTCCATAGACAATCTCTCCCGGTATGCGTCGAGAATTTCAGCAAGCAGTGACAGACACAGTGAAAAACATCCCAACGAATCACCAACTAAAAGCTCATCAAATGGCTTTTTCTCGAGGTCCAGACAATCTAGTGAAACTGCCAGTATGGATTCCTTGTCTAAAGTGAGTACAAATGCTAGTTACAATACTCCATCCACCACATTCCACAACTTATCACAGTCTCACGCAAAGAAAATATCTGGTGTTGGGTTTAGGAAAGCTCATAGACACACAATCTCAGATGAGTTCGTGTTAGATCCACCAGACGATCCAAATGAAATTGAGCATATGTTTACAGAAGTCATGCAAACAAGAGATTTTGAAAGCTTACCAGAGAAAGCTAAAACTGAAATGTTGAACTACTCAATTGAGAGGAAATGGATGCTTATCCGTCAACAAAAACTCACTGAATATAAAAGACAGAGGTTGAGAGAACTTCCTGATCCTAGATCTCCAACAAAAACGAAGACCCAATTTCAATTGCAGATGCAAGCACAAACCGAACCGATAAATTTTATTACTTTACTACTCAACAATAGCATTAGTGTGGAGCAACTGAAAGAATTGGAAGTTTATTTAACATCAGAAGATCTAAATTGGATGAAAGAGTTTCTCAATCAGGATGGTGCAGTGTGCCTTTGTAATGTTTTGAATAATCTTTACAAAACCAAACCTTTGTTACTACCAGCAACAACAGTGAAATCAAAATTGTTCACCAATGTCTCTGAATCTTATGAAAGTATCATTGAAAAAGAATCGAGGCTATTTAGATGCATCAAAGTAATAGCTTTGTCAACAATAAGCACTGACAAAATTAGATCCATGATGCCCCTGTTTATTCCGGTTATTTTTAGTGGCTTATTTTCTCCAAAAGCTTGGGTCAAAAAGCTTGCGACTGATATTATTACACATTTTTCCTTTACCAATTCCATGTCATCTTCGTTATATTCCACACTGAAGAAAAACGTGAATGAAAATTGCCACTTAATGTATATCAAAGAATGTTACGCAAATTCTACAACGAATGTGCGCCTTGATAAACGTTCGCAAGTGATCCTTTCGAATACAGAGGAAGTTACTAGGTATGAGGCATGGATATGGTGTGCACTGAGAGTATTTTTAGGTCATGGTAAAATGGGATCCAAAGTTGGAGCTTTCCCCGAATTCAAATTAAGCGGGCCAATGGATAACTCATTTGTTGTCAAATATGCTGAATCTACTGCACTTTTATTAAGATTGATAATCGAGCATTCTGGAACTTTGAATGACCGTTTGCAAATGCGTAGAATACTTCAAGTTGCAGGTCTTAACGAATTACTTGATAGATGTGAGTTACTTGAAGTTCCTGAGATCAATAACGTTTTGAACGACCTTGAAAACCAAAGGAAAAATGATGAGTTAGAATTCAAGAAAACCAATGAATTCAAATCAAAGCAGATTAATTTCCAAGATCCTGCGTCCTTATTGAAGGCGCTTTGGGATAATTCAAAAGACACCAAAACAGGAGACTACTTACTTTCGCTAGTCCAAAATATTTTTCTCAATGCCAATACTTTGGTTGAAGAACACAGTGACGATTTGATAAGAAACTTGAAAATGACCAATGATTTTGTTTCCAATATTACTATGGCATCTTCTGATGAAGATAATAACATGAACGTTAATATAAACAAGCTATTGGCCTCATACAGAAGTGATGATATTGCCAGAAGAGCCATGGAGGAGCAAAAAGAGGCTAAGAGAAAAGCTGAAGAACTAGAAGCCGAAAGAGACAACATGAAGAGGCAATTAGATGAAGGATCTAAGGGCCTTGTTGAAAAACTAAGAGTCGAATTGGAAGAAAAGGACAGAATGCTTAATGGTATGAAAAGAACGGTAGCAATGAAAGAAAATCAAATCGCCGATTTGAACCGAAAGCGTATTATTGACAGGCGTAAGAATGAAGAAGAGACACGTAAATTACTTTTGGCGGTTCATCACAGTGAACAAAAGGCTGAAAATGCTTTTGCGACCCTTAAACCAACACACAGCCGAAATGCATCAACTGGATCAAAGTCTAGATTTGCGAATGACAACAAAAAGTATCATAATCTGAAGAACAAAATGTTTGCTCTTGAAGGTTTGGAGAAGGAGGCAAGGGATTTGGAAAAGATGGACTTTGAGGAATTTATAGACAGTATTCCCGAGCCTCCTGTGATCAGCATTGCCAATGAAAGAAGTTCAAAAGATAGAGATGCCGATTTAGTAACTTTGAACTCTCTCAGAAAAAGATTAGACTTTCTTCAAAAAGATGCTAACAAGGTTATAAAGCTTCAGTCAGATCTTGACGAGCAAGAGCATATGGAAAAGAGGAAGCTACTAGCTTTAGAAAGATTGAATAAGCTACAAAATTCGTTAAGGGATCTGAAGTTTCAAGAATTACAATTTGAGACTGAAAATAAAAATAAGACATTTAGTGGTAACAAAACATTAGATCCGTACAACACCTCCTTTGAAAAGCTTGATACTACTAGATCAAAGCAACTACGACAGGAACTAGATGGTATTGAAGATCTTTGCGCCAATTTGAAGTTCCAATTAAGTTTGAAAGGCGATGAAAATATTGAAGATGAAGCTCGGAAAGCGGTAGAGGTTGCTGAAGCAAAATATGCCAGCGGTCAAAAAGCTCAACCAATGGCACAATTTTCTGCAGGACCTATTGTCACTCCGAGTAATGTCGGCAAGATTGATGTAAATGGTATGAGACCGTTCTTAGGAGAGTTAGAAAGGAAGGTTGCCAAACAGAAGCCTATTTTGGAGGACGGAAATGCCAACAGTGAATCTTTACAAGAAGGTGCTAGGCCTAGAGGTGGCATTGCCTACACAAAACCAAAAAGCGGGGATGTGATTGGTGGTTTTCAAAACGATAAAGATGATGAGGAATTGACTAGCAATACGAGCCGAGCAAGAAGAGCCCATTCAAGTAAAAAACATAGTAACTTGGAAGACGGAGAAAGCTCTTATAATGAAGATAGTGACGATGAAGCATATGCAGTTGAAGGAAAGCGCAGACTTCTAAGAGGCTCCAAAAGGAGAGGTAACAACAGAAGCAAGATCGATCTTCTTTCTGAAGGCACCAGCAGCAGCGAAGAGATGGCAAATGAGTCAACAATTGCAGCAACAGCTACGGTTCCGCCGCCACCTCCGCCACCACCTCCAGCGCTTCCATCACTACCAGAAAATGAGAAGTCATCACCTCTGCATTCTTCTTCTCTATTACCTCCTCCACCACCACCACCTCCTCCCCCTCCTCCACTTTCTGGTATGGGTGGAGCCCTTCCACCGCCGCCTCCACCACCACCACCACCACCACTGCCTGGTCTGAATGGTGTCATTCCACCACCGCCTCCATTTCCTGGAAACAAAAGTAAGAGCTCGTCTCCAAACCTTTCGCCAATCATTTCATCCAGTCCATTTGACTACTTGCCAAGAACAAAAAAGAAACTAAAACAGTTGCATTGGGAGAAAGTTGACGATGTTGAAAACTCGCTTTGGTCGGAGATGGATATTTCCCAGTTTGCTGAGCAATTTAAAGAGAAGGGTATTTTTGACAATATTGAGGATCTGTTTGCGGCCTTTGAGGCGAAGATGAACCCAAAGACGTCGAAGGTTGCCATCGAGAAGAAATCGTTTTTGAATACACAAACAAAACAAGAGTTCAACATTTGTCTACAATCACTCCACAAAGATTCTGACATGGAGGTTGTTTTGAAGATTCTTCACTGCTCAAGTGAGGTGATGACGAAGCCAAAAATCATGGAACTTCTGGCTAAGGCTGAGCTCTGTGAGATTCCAAACACGTTGGGTAAAAACCTTGAGCCTTACTCGACGGAATGGAACTCGAAGGGCGTTGTGTCGAGACCAGACAAGGACCCTAACGAGCTGGCTAGACCGGACAGAATATACTTGGAGACGTTCTATAACTTGAACCACTACTGGAGATCGCGCATGCGTGTGTTAAACATCATCACCTCGTTCAAGGAAGACTACGGTTTACTGAACGAGCAATTGGACAAGGTTGAGGCAGCATCGAGTAGTATTGAGGAGTCTGGCAGCTTGAAGCAGTTGTTTGAAGTAATTCTTTTGTTGGGTAATTACATGAACTCGGACAACAAGAAGGCGTTTGGGTTCCGGTTGAGCACGTTGCAGCGGTTGAACTTCCTCAAGAACCAGAACAACTCGTTGTCGTTTCTCCAGTTTTTGGAGAAGGTTGTGAGACGGGACTTCCCTGCAATCCAGCGGTTTTTGCAAGATTTGCAGCCCGTGAAGCATGCGTCGAAGATCTCCATCGAGCACTTGGACAAGGACTGTGTGTCATTGATTTCGAGCGTGAACAACATCGACTCGTCATTGAGCACAGGGAACTTGAGCAACCCGGGCTCGTTCCACCCAGAGGACCGGTTTTTGAAGATTGTCTACAGAGAGCTTCCCGAGATGCGGCGGAGCGTGGAGAAGCTGGAGAACAAGAAGCTCATCATCATGGAGCGCTTCAACGGCGTGATGAAGTACTTCAAGGAGGATCCGGACGCGGACGAGTTTGCGAGAAACAGCTTCTTCAAGAAGTTCAGCGACTTCATTGCGAGCTACGAAAGGGTGTCTGTGGAGAACGTGGCCATGGAGGAGGTGCAGAAGAAGGTTGAAGACGCCGAGCGCGCGCAGGAGGCGAACCAGAGGCGCAAGGAGGAGCGGCTCAACAACGTGAACATCGATCTCGAGAAGTCGATCGAGAAGTTGAAGAACTCAGGCCTGCCCGAGAAGCGGAACCGGCTGAAGGAGCTCATCATCACGTCGCTCCAAAGCGCCTCTGCGCACGACGATGCAGCCGAGCCGCCGTCCCCGCTTGCAGCTGTCCAGGCGCATGATGCTGCCGGCGATGACCACAGCGAGCCCGACGGCCAAGACACTCGTCGTTCCTCTAGCGCCGGTGCCACCGCCCCACCGGCGGACTTCGACGGCTACCGCATAGCAGACGACGGCAGCGTGGTGAGTCTGAAGCCCGGTGTTGCTGGCGACAGCGGCAGCACCATCAACACGGAGACCGAGTCTGTCGACAGCGGGCTGCCCGACATGCTGAGCGAGCGTCTGAAGCGCCGGCTTCTGCAGGGAAGCCGGACCGGGTCTGAGTGGTCATTCTCTGTGCCCGAGCCATAGCCAGTGGCTGTTGCCAGGATGGGGCGGGGCGGGGCAACAAGGCGAAAGCTCAGCTTGTCTCACTTTGTCGCACCTCCGGCCACTATATTCTCACTAGCACTGTGTATCTATCTCGCTCTGCATCTGTAACATGTCCTGTTTCGGCGGCTGCGCCCGGCGGGCTCGAAAAAACGGCCCATAGCGCCACGGGGCGCCCCTTTAGTGCCGCCATCCCTACCGGCAGTGCCCCGTGTTGCCCCGTGTTGCCCCGTGTGCCGCCAGCCCGCATGCGCCCGCAGCGCGGCCGCGGAGCATTACCCGGCGTAGACGCTCCGCAGGCCGCACCGGGGCCTGACAACGCTCGGGCTACAGCGGCGTGCATGCAGATACGGCGCGGTGCAGGGTCCGGATGGTTGCTATCTCGGGGAGCATTGTGGCCGGGCGCTGGGGACACACGGGGCAACACGGGGCAACACGGGGCAGAAAGCCAGACGAGAGTGGACGGCCGTGGATGTTGCTGGTGTTGTTGCCGACGGCAGCAAGATCGGTTGCACAAGGCCAGCGGCGGCAAGAGGTGCAGGTGCCACGCTACGCTGCCCGGGCAGACCGGTGGCAGCAGAGCAGCCGGGAAAGAGTCTTGAATCTACCCCGCCTCCTCCGACAGACAGCAGGCGCCGGAGCGGCGTGTCGGGGCGCTGCGGGCCCAGTGGGCCGGCCCACTGGGCCGGCCTAGGGCCGGCCCGCCTCTGCTGCCACGCGTGCCCGGGGCGGGCATGCTGGCCTCCCTGGCTCCCCTCTTTTCTCTCCCCGACTCCGTTGCCGACGAGGGTCTTTTCCCTCCAGCAGGCACGCTCCGCTCGTGCACCGACGGGGCCAGCGGCTGCGACGACGGCGACGACGGCGACCACCACGACCACGACCACGGCTGCGGCAGCTCTTCCTGCAACAACCTCACCCACGACGGCGATAGCAGTGTGCGCCGACAGCAGCATTGCACACGGAAGGCCCAAAGATTTGGAGACACTAAAAAAAAAAGAAACGACACCCCCAGAGGCACGTCTCCCGACAGCTGCAACGCATACTATTCACACGTCCTTATCGCATGGGCTCAACCGTGCAACACGTCCACTTCCTAACACTAGAGCCGGTTTCGGTCTGCCGTTGACGCCATTGCCCGCAGAACCCAGAGCCCCGCTTGCAGCATCCCTTTTCCTCCGCTCCCAGTCCCGCAGACTTGCCCTTGTCTTGACCGCTCTTGCCTCCCTCTCGAGAGACACACTGCAAGTGCCACCAGCCTCACACCAAAGATAGCTAGATCCAGATCTACGCACGTGCAGGCCGTCTGAAGAGGGGACATCGGTGAAACGCCGCTTGTTCACCACCTTCATCTCCACTGCCATCTCCAGCTGCACCCGTGCGGTTGCACACACTCACACACTCACTCTCAACCCCCCACCCTTCGACCTACCGCCCTACACGCGGGAGATACACAGAGGCCCCCACAGATATGGCCACCCCGTACACCCCGCTGCTGGATGCGCACGGCCAGGCCAGTCCTGACTCCGGACAGAGCGAACATGACGCTGACGACAAGGACGGCCTACCCGAAGCCACCTCTCGAGACAGGTACTCCGGCTCCTCTGCGACCGAGGCTGCAGCAGCGGCTGCTGCTGTGGCAACAAGCAGACCTGTCGGAGAAGTAGTAGATTCCGACACACCAGGCACAGGTGCAGGTGCAGGTACAGCCCCAAGTCCAAAGAAACACAACAAGCAGAAAGACCTCGTCTTCTATGACCACGGAACAACGCAGGAGAAAAAAACGCACTCCACCAAGACGCCAAAGGCCCCGACCCGCCGCAGGGGGCCAGGACGTCCACCAGGAAGTCGAAACAGGGCGACCATCGCACGAATGAAGGCCGAACAGGAAGCTATCGAGCTTTTCCGCAAGTCGAACCCTGACATGCCCTCCTACACACTACACTCAGCCCCCGGCGATGCTCCCACGACTGTCTCTGGGAAGGAACATTCGGAACAACCATTGGCAGTTTATACGAGCACCCCAGCTACGTACTCAAACCCTAATGCACACCATGTGCCGAATCAACCCCCTAAGAGCTCCATCGATGCGCACTGGTCCAAGTACCCCGAGTGGGACCCTCCTCCAGCAGAACAGCAGCAACTTTCTCAACAGTACCGTCACTCGCATCCTCCTGCTCTCACAAACGAGCACTACTCGCAACTGCAATTACAGCCTCAGCCTGAAGGGAAACCTCTGCAACAGCCTCAACCAAATCAACTACCACAACAGCAGCCACAACAGCAGCCACAACAATCACAACAACCGCAACAAGCATTACCACAACAACCATTGCCTCAGATCAGGTATCCAATAATCCAACCTCGTTCTACACACTCATCAATATCAGGTCCTTCTTTTCATCATCCTCCACCACACCCTTCGCTCGCTGCTCATCAACCACACTATCAACCATCTTTGGGCTACAGCTTTTCGTCGGAAAACCTTACTTCTCAGCCTCTTGTCCACCACGTGTCGTACCCTCCAGGGAGCTCTCAAGTTACCTCCTCCATGCAACCTTTTTTCAAGAATGATGGCTACCACCCTGCAACAGATCCAGGAAGCCACTTTTCTCATCAGAACACGACTCCGAGAAACAGTATCTCATTGAGTTCGTCCTCCCACGTTGCAACCACAGGCTACCCAGATACCACAGTGTTCCACCGGCCAAGAAATTCTGTAACCTCCAACACGAAAACGCTGAGTCCAGGCTCAACTTCTGCCAAACTCTCCCATCATCATCCCAGTTCGAGTTTTTTGGCCAACAGGCAATCATTTGGCTACCATCATCTCCTGGTGTATCCGCATCAGGTTAACCCCGATGATTTTGAAAGGACTAGCAACTCATCGAATACGCTCAAGAATAATGATGAAGCCGACGAAATTCAAGTCAAACTCGAAAAGGATACTGAAACCCTGGAAATTGCAAGACTTTCTCCTCAATATGGCCGATTAAATTCACGCTATGATCCTCTAGACAAAACCAAACCTGCAGACCATAGTCCTGGCAGCGCAAAAGAGGAAAACTCCGAGAAATACTCAAACATCGGTGAGATTCAAGCTAGAACTCGAAACGTGAGCATAGATGCTGGTACCGGTACCAGCATGACAGCAAATAGAAGTGATACCTCTCGCAACCCTACAGAAACCGCTTACTTACACAGACCATACACTAAGAGAATAGAGCTTAGTGAACAAGAGACAAAAACAGATAGAGAAAGACCCGCCATCTCGTACGATAGCAAACCACCATTTCCGCATTACAGCCCTGCAGTTGCAAATAATGGAAACATAGGCATGTACTATAATGTCAGCAACATGACTTCGCCTTCTTCGGCCAATTCTTGGACAGCCAATCCTTACTCCTCATTTCCACCACCAGGATTTTTTTCAACTGGCAGTTCTTACAGTATGCCTCAACAGCAACAGCAACAGCAGCAACAGCAACAGCAATTGCCTCAGCAGCAACAGCAGCAGCAACAGCAACATTATCCACCACAGCAACATCATCAACACCAAATTCAATCTCAGCAACAACCACAACAAACACAACAACAGCAACAGCATCAACCGCAGCATCAACCGCAGTCACAATCACAACAGCAGCAACAGCAACAGCAGCTTCATTCGGCACCATCCCCAGCGGTAACTTCAAATGTTTATTCTAATGCTAGTACTATGAATGTTTACGTTCCTCCAACCGGAGTGATTTCAGGAGCACCATCTTCTTCCATACAACATCCTGCATCTTTTCCTGCTGAACCCAGTACGGCTGTAAGTGGAGGCTATTATCATGCACATGGCTACATGGGTAATACAATTCCAAGTCGGTCGGTTGCTGGTGCCTATCCAGCTGTTGTAGGAATGGGTAATACAATGGTTGGAAGTGATCCGTATAACCCAGTCTTGCGAAGAGATAGTTTTGCTGCTGCTGCTAATAATTCTGTTGGTCCTACTCCTGCTCCCGCATCTGTCACCGCTGGAAACGGTTGTGGACCAATGATGTGGCCAGTTGGAAATACTGTTTCTAATTCAAATGAGAGCTATAACGCTAATGAAAATGTTGACACGTACACTGATGGCCACGAGCCGAAAAGCTGGTTCTAATCTCATTCTATTGTCTCTTTTAAAGTATCACTTCTTTTGTTGAGCTTTTTACGTTTCCCCTTTATGGTTTAATTTATTGTTTATACTACCTTAATAATTTAATTAATATTTTATAACGATCTCAATTATACGTTTACCTTATAACTCGACTGTCCGCTCTCTCTTCTATAGCTCATTTTACCCAGTGTTGATATATTGTTCATCATTAAAAGAGGATACATATTTGATATACACTACTCTCCACGCAAGAGTTTGAGAGCGCCCTGAAGCTCAGTTATCGCCGTTTCTATATCTTCGTAATTCAAAGCACTGATGGCAAACTTGGCCTTCTTCTGTGCATTTGATATGACTTCAGCTTTCGACCATATTTCTTCCACATCATCTTTGGACAGAATTTTGGACTCTGCAACCACAGCAGGAGACGGAGCAAGAGGCTGGGTATATCTAGTTGTGGAAGAGGGTTTTGCTGGGAGTTTTGGTCGGTTACTAGACACCGGTTTGGGCTGTACATGGAGGTCTACCGTGCTTTCGGTATCAGATGATTGCGGAGCGGAAGGTAGTCCTAAACTGTTTTTTTGACCTTTGATCAACACCGGAGCAGACGGTAAATTAATTTCTCCCTTTATCTCTGAGGGGGCTTCTGGCAAGTTTATGGAAGAGGAATTAGGGGGAGCTTCCTCAACAAACGTCGGTGGGGAGACTGTCTCTGCTGAAGTGGCGTCTTCGGTGGCCTTTTCGGTCGTCTCTGCCCCCGGCTGCAGGAAGTTGGACAACTCCTGCTCATCTTGCGGGGTGACGTAATCGTTCGGGTCTGTATCCGATTTGATAGCCTTCAAAATTCTGTTGGAATGGAACTTTGCATATTTGATCTGGTTGTGCAAATCCGCTGCTTGCGATTGATAGAGCTCCGGCCAGAGCTTCAACACCTCCACGAAGTTCAGGAACGCCATAAAGCTCTGCACGGTCGACTTCGAGGAAGTGTGACTGTCAATCTCTCCAGAGGCCTTGTTGAGTACGGACAGTGAAAATCCGAGGATCAATTTGAACGACTTTTCTTTATCGGTCAAGATGTCGGCCAACGTCGAAGAAGTCGACTCAATAATCTTCCGGTTCCCTTCCACAGTGTTGAGTAAAACCTCGATGTAATTGGCAACCCCCGCATCCTGCAAATGCAGCTGTGACTCCAAGATTAGCTGAGCAGCGTATAGGTAGCAGTAGTAAGAGATCAACGGCTGTACGTTAAGCAGCTCTTTACCTCTCTTAATGAATGGGCCTATCAATTTCACTGCGGCTGCAGGCACTTCGTCCACCGACTCGTTCTGATCTCCTGGAACCACAGGTTCTGTTGGTTCTGACATTTAGTTGTTGCTGTCCTTTCAATCTTTTGAGCTTTATAATCCCTGCTACTTTCTACCGCTCCTATGTAACCTCTGCTCATCTTCAACCCATCAGGGTGTCGGAAACATGTCCTGATAACGGAAAAGGCAGCCCGCCGAACCAGCGACGCGTCGGCCAAAAGCTGCCTTTGTTTCCCTGTTCTCCCACTTTTTCGTGTGCGGGGGTCTGGGGAGAAAAGCATTTTTGGTGTCTCTGTGCAACGGAACCCAGAGAAGAGACGTGTTGCAGTTCTGTGTGAGGCCTTTGGAGCCCTCAGAGGGCCTTGTAGAGAGCAGGAGTCCAGCAAAGCATACTATGTCATCGCCAGTGGACCACACAGACATGTTGCTGGCGCCGGATGCGGCGAACACGACGTTCCAGCAGCCGCCAGCACGCTTAAATGCTGAGCTCGACGATTCGATTATCGTGAAAGGGGAAATGGACACAGAGACGCCAGCAGCGAAGGAGGGTGATGATGAAACCATTTTGCCGAAGGAAGACGGTCACGACGAATCTGCGTCGCCCATTCCTCTGACACAGCCAATTCTGAGTGACGAAGATGGAGACGGCGGAGATAATAACGATAACAGAAATGCCACCGACAGTAACGGCGACGGCAGCAGCAGTCTAAAAAATGTCCAGTTCAAGGGCCAACCGGTTTGGCAGGTAAATGTTCAGGGACTGCAGCTGATCAAACGGATGACCGACATGAAGTTCAATTGGGCCTCTATATGCTTGTTGATTGAGAAGACAAACGCGGTGGACGTCGAAAGTTTGCAGAGCAGCGTCACGTCTACATTATCGCCAGACGTGAACGGCGACTATTGGCTTCCGGACGAAAAAGTGGCAGAACTATCGAGCAAGTACTCTCTCGACCAGTACTTACAGCCCTTGATGAACATAGCGTCTGACTTGCAGAAGCCGACAGGAGATGCCATGAAAGATAGCCGGGACGGTAACCAATATAGCGAGGGAAACAATGACAAAAAGAGAACCAATACGGAGGCCAATATTCTGGAAAGTCCAAGTAAAAAGTTGAGGACAATAGAAAAAGAAAACAACGTCTTGGATGTACCTATCTACACCTCGGACTTATCTGAGGGAAACCCCAACTTCCCTTTCACACTGAAGCCTCTGTCAAACGACAATGTAGTAAATGAGCATTCTAAAGTCATCATTTCTTCCTTGTTCTTGCCTTTTCAAAGTAAGGTTACGTTGGCGCAGGTTTTGAAGAGTGAGACTGGTTTTGTCAATTCTTCTGAAGGTGATGAGAAGCCTACCGATTCGAACAACAAGCGAAACGGCGACGATGATGAGGTGAATCAAGAAGGCCAGCCAACAAAATCAGAGCTTGAGGGTGAGGGAGGAGTTGATGATGACGCTAATACTGACAACACCAAGGTGAACGATGACACGTTAATCGACAAAAACGAAATCAATTTAGATGTTCCAATAGACGATAATGGCCAAACGGCATTGCATTTAGCGGCTACGCTTGGTAAGCTATCACTTGTGAAAGAGCTTATTGAGAAGGGTGCAAACAGGTTTAGAGGAGATAACGATGGTCAAACCGCGTTGATCAGAGTTGTTCATGCAACAAACTGCTTTGAACTGGGCTGTTTTGATAAACTCCTTGATCTTCTTTATCCGTCAATTAGGTTACTGGATAACAGAGGTAGGAGTATTTTGCACCATATAGCGCTCACCTGTGGCTTGAAAGGAAGATACGACGCGTCCAAGTATTATTTGGAAATGTTGCTCGAATGGGTTGTAAAAAAAGGATCCAAATTACCGGATGATTCTTCGTTGACATTGACGAATTTTATCAAAGAGGTGGTTAACAAATCGGACAAGTATGGTAACACTTGTTTGAATTACGCCACTTTGGCAGGTAATAAATACATTGTGTCGCAGTTGTTAGATATCTGTGCCGACCCTTACAAAGCCAACAAGATTGGTGTTACACCGGGAGATTGGGGGATCGATGTAAACAACAGCATTGTGAACTCCACTGTGCGGGATATAGGGAATGAGCTATCAAATGAGGGTGAAAACATTACGCCGCATGGGAACGGCAACATCGCCTCTAATGAGGGTGATAAGAGCCAGACCGAATCCAATGGAGCTCTTTTGAATGCCGATATTGAAGAGGATAACAAGGGTAGTAAAGCACAGCCAGGTATGGACTCTAATGACTTCAAAGAATCGACCAACAGTCTGCAAATACTAGACTCCATTCAATCGTTTATTGCCAATCTCGGCAGTGAGTTCAAACAGGAAATTGTTCAAAAATCGCAACAAATTGACAAACTCAACCCTATTCTACGAGAAAAGACGTTGCAGCTATCGCAGAAGAGGAAGCAGTACGACGAATTGCAAAAGATGGTGAGAAAGATTTCCAAGATCACAAACAAGATCGACAACTTGAACAAGGCCATTACCGAAGAAGAGAACACGTTCCAACAAGAGATCCAGAATTCGAGCATCAACATTGATCAGAACAATTGTCTAGGCGATTTCGACGCGGACCAGCCGTTTACCATTCTGCCTCTCTACCAAGACATTGAGGAAATAGTTGAAAAGATTCTCGACGAAAAGGTCAAGCGAATAGGGGCCGATGAGGTTGGAGAGGCTGGCGACCACGATGATGACAGCACTGACAAGCACGAGTCTGGCAGTGACAGCGATTCTGGAGACAAGTCGAGCTACGCCATTCTGAAAGCGCTCACCTCGATCAAAGCCGAGGATATTCTGCCATACTACGAAAAACAGCTACCACTCGAAAAGCGAGAGCTTCTTCGAAAGAGTATTCCTCCCTCGGTTGTCCTCGACGCCCGGATACGTGCTTACAACAAGAACAACCATATTCTGATGGATAGGATGAACAAGAAGCGGAATTCCAACAAGGAGTTGGAGTCGCAGTTCAAGCGCATCATCGGCCTCTGCATTGGAACGGACACTGACAACATCGATGACCGCCTCCTCAGCAGCTTGCTTATGAGTGTCGAGACCGATCCGGACCCTGAGATCGGCCAGATAAAAAAGGTGCTCAAGATCGTCGGCGATCTTGACGGCGATGAAGGCAGTCCTGCTTCCCGCACCGCCCCGGCCTCTTCCACCGCCAACTGATTTGTGTATTACTATTACTACGATTACTACTATATGTTCTTTTCCAACATGTATCCACCCCGTACACCGTGCACCAAAAGCCAGCTCTTCTTATCCTAGTCCCTATCCTGCACTATCTTTATCTATTATCAACAAGCCCAATCCGCAGGGCCGCAGAGGAGTGCGGATTCTGCCGAAGGCGTTGCTGCGAAGGTTCGTGTGCTGGGGCGGCTGGGCTGCCAGACGCCCTGCCGCTGCTGCTGTTGCTCCTTCCTCCCTTCCTCCGGTAAAAGTGTCTTTTCTGCTTGCATGAAGGCGGTTGAGACATCAATTGTACTCCCACACCCCAATAAAAGAGAACAGAGGCTGGCAGCAGAAACACTACTAAAAAAACACACATAAAATGACAAACGAAGACCACAAGACATTTATCGTCACCTTGAAAGAGAGCTGCTCTCCTGATAAGTTCAAGGAGTCCATCAAAGGATTGGGAGGCGAAATCCAACACGAGTACAGCTTGATTAAAGGTTACTCCATCAAGTTGCCATCAATCCACGCAGCTTCGCTTCACAAGAACGAAGGCATCAACACTATCGAGGAGGACCAAGAAGTCAAGGCAAACAGCGTTTAAACGTGTCGTTGGCAGGGGGGCCCTTGCCCGGCAGAGGGACAAACATGCATGCACGATTTGTTCTTATTTTCATTTTACTCTCTTTATTTTTAACGGTATATCGAAACTATATAGTTTAGTTCAATTGCAAACACGAATGTTTTCAGGTTTAACGTACACACATTTACAAGTAAACTTAAGATACAAAAGAGCCATTCTATCTCATCCCAGGAGTCTTGGCAATAGCGTAGGGGTCATGTTTGAACGACTTACCATACGATTGCTGTTGCTGTTGCTGTTGCTGTTGCTGATTTGGTGGAGGTGGGCGATGTCTTAATCGTTGCTGATTATTGGACTGCATCTGCTGTGGTTGAGAAGGCGCTAATGGCTGCTGTTGCTGGCCATACTGAGGGCTTTGGTTGGGATATGGAGGGTTGTTTGTGTAATGATGGTGATAGGTATTGCCACTGTTGCCAGTTGGGTACTGTTGTTGTGGGGCTGGTGGCAACGGTTGTTGCTGGTGATTATGGATGTTATGATGATGATGTGTAGCTTGTGGTGAAGGTTGCCCATAACCTCTGTTGTACTGATTGTAGCCTGTTGGTTGTATTGGGCCCGCTGGTTGGTTTCTGCTGAAGCCCTGACTTTGGTTCAAGATCGGGGAATGGCTTTTCATGGGTCCGTAAGCACCAAAGGATGAAACACCAGGACTGTTCAGCGGATTAGAAGCACTTCTTTGAGGTTGCACGTAATGGTTCTTCGCAGCCTGGTTGTTGTAGTTGCGCTGTTGCATATTATACTCTGCTTGTTTATACTGATGTGGAGGGATCAATTCAGGACTATTCGTATAGTTTATGTTCTGGGCCGGTGGAGGCCTATTGTATCCTTCATTTATAGGACTCTCATAGTTGTAGTCGTGGGGTGGGGCTTTAGGTGGGGCATTGTTATTACCTTCGTATGAGCCATTGTTGTGATCGTAGGAATTGGGACTTTGGTGTTGGGGCCTCTGTTGATTGTGCCTACTATAATAGTTTGGTGAACGGTTATCAGCATGGCTCTGGTTATGGTTTTCTTGCATAGCCGAGTGGATTGAAGGTGGATTTTGTTGATCAATTGGGGTTCTCGGACTTGATTGGCTATTCAAATATGGATTAACAGGAGCAGCTGAATATAACTCTTCTGAGCTGTGGTTGCTTTGTGGAACAACTATATTCGAAGGAGCTCGATGGCTGGATGCTGGAGGAGTCGGATTCGAGAAATATCTGTTTGCAGTTGCATTAGGATACTCAACTTTTTTAGAATCATCCAAAGGATAGGACCTTTTATCATGAGGGTAGAGTTCATTTGCTTCAATGTTGCTTGGCGGCGGAGCACGCCTTTGCTTGTTCACAACCAGTTTTTCATTATTGGAAGTAGGAGTAGGGACAGATTTAGAAGGAAAATAAGGATTATCATAATTCATTGCTTTTCTCACGTTGTTATTGAAGTCGGTAAATGGTGATATAATCCGTTCCTGATTTGTCTTTGGCACGATGAAATCGAAAGAGGAATTATCTTCCTCATCATCTTCTTCTTCTTCTTCTTCTTCCTCTTCTTCTTCTCCTTCATCATCATCATCATCATCATCATCATCATCGAGGATATCGCCATACGAAGGGTATAAATCATCTACTGTAGCAGTTTTGTGGGGCGAAGGTCCTGGCCGTCCAAATCCATATTCCTTACTACTCTTGTTGAATCTGTAATCCTTATCATCGTCATCTTCATCTTCAAGGGTTGTTTTCCGCAGTGAATCTTCCAAATTAGTACCAGGTTCATTGTGCCTCATCCTTGAAGAATCAGGAATTTGAGAATACTTCTGATATATATTAACAACTTGAGGAGAAGGCGAGTTACTAGGAATTGTGTGTGTTTGAAGGGGGGTTGTACTTGGCTTTGGATTGTTCGACTTTCTTGGAGAAAGAGAGTTGCTCTTGGAATATAGCGAATCGTTCAGGTCGTTATCATCATCAAGGTCATTAATAATTCTTATGTTTGTTTTTGCAGGCTCATTCAAATTTGACTTTGAATTAGAGACTGATGTCGGATTTGAAGTGTGTAAAGTATGCTCCTCGCTGGAAGAAAACTTGCGCAGACTTCTTGCATGCGGGCTATTTTCAAGATACTTGTTAACCTCTGGTTTGTTAACAAAAAATTTGATCTTACCATCTGCCATATGCTTTGAGGAGTTGAGCAGGTCTAACGCACCGTTGACACCATCGGCTGATCCATAGCCGCTGTAGCCACTACTAACTTTAGTTCTCAACAGGTCTTTAATTGCCGAGTTCCACTCTTCTTGGTCCCAGTCAATGGAGCTTCTGTTTTTCGTTATTGGAAGCAAGTCTTTGACCTCCAAGTAATGGACCTTGGGTAGAACTGGTAACCCGAACAACAAAGAGTTTGGATCAAGTTTGTCGGCATTCAATCTTTTCGGTCTCCCATACAAATGGAACGAATCCATCAATGGAATCAAAAATCTAATCAAGGTATCATAGCCAGGAACAGAGGTGTGTTGTTCTGGCATTAGGAAAATGGAACAATTTTTAGAGCCTTCCTTTGGGTCAAACTGGATTGAACCTTCTAACTTAATCATTGTACTTTTGTCAATGATTGTGTAAGTTCTTGGATACAGTGCATAAACAGAAGAGATGTTTGTGATTTTTGCCATGAGGATTTTCTTTGTCTTCTTCTCATTTTCATAAAAATAGATGAAGCCGTGCTTGTAACCTTTTCTGGCCTTTTTTGAGGGCTCAATAACGGCGAAACACTTTTTCCAAGGCATTCCAGCACCAAACCTGACACTTGTCCAATCTTCATAGTTGAACTTTTTCTCCGACAGGATGACTCTGATATCAGACAACAGGGAGCCTCTGGCACTCAATAGAGATGCTGTATAAGCTTCTTGCAAGGCTTTATACTCGAAGGCAGAGAGTCTGAAGGCAGAACACCAAGTGTGGAAATCATCATTCGAGGAGTATTGCAGTAAAAATCTGTTTTTCAACGTTGTAGACAGAACAATAACATTATCTATGTTTCCGCTAGCAGAAGCCAACGATGTGCACGTTTTCAGTGTTCCATCCGAAAAATTGAGGTACGAAGGCTTGTTATTCCCTACTATGACTGAGCCGGAGGTTTCCATCTGACTCGAGTCCCAGTATGCCAACTCGTTTCCTATCATGATACCGTAGACCTCAAGCCATTTTCGGTCTGAGGGGTTCCCATCAGCGTCTAAGTCTTTCAAAAGCATAAACACCCCTTCGCAGTACTTCCTGTGTGATTGTGCGGATAGTAACGAGACGATAGGGGCTAGCTCAGGGCTTAGTTTACCACTCGACTCCATGGTGGTAATGTTAGGGGAGGAAGGTGGGGTGTAGTTAGAAGATAAGATGGTAGGGTTTGGAGATGTGCTTGAGCTCAAGTTCGTGTGTAGGTTAAACGAGAAGTCTCTGAATTTCGGAGTTGGGGGTTTGTCAAGGGTCACAGAGTCTTTCGAGTCTTTTGGCTCTTTCGATTTGGAGAGAGCTCTTAGTTTCTGCATATTTGTTTTTCGTGATGTTCAACAAAGTGTGGCAGAAGGCACGCGTGCAGGAGGGGGAAGGGGGAAGGGGAGGTTGAGGTTTAACTCAAAAATGTAGCAAAGTGTGCGTGAGCAGCAGTTAGGGTAGTAAAGGCGACGGAGAGTTAAGCTGAATAGGGTATTTCCATGGAATGAAAAGAGCTGCGTGTGGGGAAGAGGGAAAAACACGTCAGAAATGTCACTATACAAGCTATGTCGACCGGTATCAAGGCGTGTTTGATGTTGTCAGTCTTGTGGCGGAGTGGGACTGCTGGGGGGCGCAAAATTCAGCAATGCAGCAAAAACAAAGCCAAACTGGTAAGGAACGACGAGCTTTGTTTCGAATGTAGTGGAGCGGGATCGTGCGTTGACGTCTTGTGCGGCCGGCGACTGTGTCTGCAGAGGAGGCTAATATGTAGGGGCAGTCGCAGAGAACTGACTATATTTAGAACGCAGGAGGCGTGGATGATCGTCCGTAGGTGTCAACTACCTAGACTAGCGTAGAGGCACAGGGGCACAGAGGCGGCACCGACGCTAGGCGAACGTCGATAATGAAAACAAACAACCGTCGTGCACGGAGGCATTCAATGCAGTCCCAGAGGGAAGAAAAACCGGTCGCGCACCTAAAAATCCTTTCCTGCCAGCACCGCCAGCCAATTTGGGCCAGTGATTATCTGCGGGGGGGCCAGCAGCGTGGCTGGGCGCGACGCGACGCCGACGCGACGGCTGCTGCATAACATAAGATTACATGTGCTGATGGTGGCTAAACTGGTTGGAAGCCGCCGTCTTCTTGCAGTCGAGCTCTGCCGCCGTTGGAAGACTGAATAGTGGCTTGTACGCCCACGCTGCAGCGACAGCGGCGTGGACTGTGGCCGGACTGCTCACCGGACTGTTCACCGGACTGCTGGCTAGCGAGGAAAACGAGGTGGCGGTGCTAGGAGACGGGGCGAAGAGAAGCTGAAACGCGAGAGCGAGTGGCGTCGCCGGTGGCGGTGGCGGTGGCGGGTTCAGTGTGGCTGGTGCAAGAGTCGGAGGTGGCTGGTGCGGGTGACGCGGGTGGCGGTAGACTGCTGGCACGGTCTGGACACAGGCCTTCTCGTTCTTGTTAGTGTGTTGGAGCCGTTGTTGCTCACGGTTGCGTTTGTGTCTGAGGTGCCGTGAAAGGAGCATGCTTACGCAAACAATAGCAATGGTCGCCAGCGGAATGACAATAGCGGCGACAAGGCGGTGGTCCAGCGCGGAGCTGCTGGCGCTGCTGGTGTTACTAGTGACAGCCATATGGTCGGCAGCAGGCGTTGCGGTGGCCCGCTTTTCCAGCGTGACAACCATATCGTAGTACCTGGTGGTGGTTGAGGTGAGTGTGCGTGTGACCGTAGTGGTAGATGTGGGGCTCGAGTCCGTGCCCGAGCCCGATGTCGACTCTTCGCCGTCGCTGTTGCTCAGCACGAGATTAAACCATACCATTGCAGCGCGTTGACCTTTGCCCTGTGTTGATGGGCCTTTTGCTGACGGAAACACTCAGAGCTCGGGCGGAATACCCCGGCTTTTTAAGCCCTGGCGACGGTGTGGACCGGGCCTTCGAAACAAAAACGGCACGTCGGCTTGTCGCCATGCATGTTTCAAGCGCGCCAGATGAAACGAGCCTCCAGTGCCACGGCTCGCTCGGCCGGGTCAGAAGGGGAGAAGGAGGAAAAGGGGAACGGGGCCCAGCTAGGCTCACCTGTGATGTGACCTTTGATATCGCCTTCTCTGTTCATATCTCTGCTCAGTCCGGGTTACGGGGCTAGGAATACTATCCCTGAGAGCATGTCCGACCGTAGAAGTAGTCGTTCTGTATTCCGCCCCATTCGGGACAGGTTTGTTAACGCATGGCATCACCATGTTTCGAAAAAGTATCCGCAGGAAGCTAGTATTCGCAACCCATACTCACGGACACATGCCGACGTGTCTGTCATCCCGCCGGCGGTGGAAAGCGAACTCAGACACATGTTCCCGCTAACCACTGACAACAGTTGGGAGCCCCCGGTGTTTAACGAGAGCTTCCACCGCAGCGCCACTTACGATGCCAGCTCGGCCATGATATGCCCCTTTCCATACCCGTACACGGGGCCTTACCCCTGTCATAATCCTAACCCGGACTTCAGGTTCACAACCTCGGACACCGTGTTTGACTCCGCCTACTTCTTGTCTAACGACATCGAAACAATAGCCACCATCTTAGAACAAGTATACGCCAACAACCTAAAATTTCTAGTAGATAATCCTTATTGGAACTACGGAATCTGTCCTCCACTCATGGAGAATCTGGGAATCGCAAATAAATACATTGTATCCCAGCTCAAAGGAGAGCCGCTTGTAACCCTAGACCTTCATTTTCCTGAGTTCACAAACCTCCTTGCAAGCCTTCAATATGACAACAAAATCCAGAGAGTCCTGTGCGAGCAGAAAAAAAAAGGAGAAAACATGAGATTCCTGCAGGCTTACAAATTCGATGACAAAAAGACGTTCATCAAAAACGGACTTGTCCCTGTCGTCATTGTCGGCATCTTCTGTGCGGAAATACCGGTTTCGGCATCATACGAATATGTACCCGTCGATGCAAATGCAAAACGAACAATTAAGTTTGTCGATAGAAACCATATATTTCATGAGTTCAACACAAACATCACCCGCTTAGAGCAACAAATATCATTCTCAATGAAACAATACCCTATCTTCAATGAGCTCACGCCCTACAAGGGACCACGGTTTTCCATGAGGCCTATAATATTTACAAACTTGAGTGAGTACGGCTGGCAACTTGTGCAGCTGACACATATTTTTCAATTCCAGGACCCAATTTTAAAGGCATTGCCTAACTTGTTGAAACAAATGTACAACTACTTGTCAAACCCAGTCAAACAAAATGGGTCTCCACCACATTCACCAGCACCAAAGATTTTTGAGTCTCCAGATCTAACACTGCTAATGAGCGAGCTAACAGACCATTACACAGTCCCCAATATGGATTTGTATTTGAAGCAAAAACCTTGGGGAAGACCTTCATTGGTTAGTTTCAATATTAATAGTGACACGCACATTGATGCCCAATATCTAACTCAGCTTAACCAGGGGGATGAGTGTGCAATCTGTTTGCTTGAATACAAAGAATGCGAAATTTGTTTACACTTGAATTGCGAACATGTATTCCACAAAAGTTGTATTGAGCAATGGATCAATAGCTCCAATGATAGCAGATGCCCATTGTGCCGTAGAATAAATAAAAGATTTGGGTTGTATTAAGACTAGCTAAATATTATCGACATTAATCATTAAGTTATATAAAGTTCTTTCGCTTATAATATACTAGAAAAGGAAGTAAAATAGAAACTTCCTAGCTTCTAAACGTCGTGTTAGTTTCAATTTCGAAAAGCACTCTTCAAATTACCAGAATAGTTGTGCAAAATTCTGTTGGGTGTCTTGGTTTCCTTGAAAAATTCTTGTGGCTTAATTCGATTTTCTATGGCTGTGTTTTTGATTTTTTTTATAGCATCAAAATTGGATTCTCCATCTATGACTTCGTTCAAGCCTAAAAATGTAGCAACCAAACCAGCTGTAATTCCTGCACTTAAAGAAGTACCGCTCCGGAGCTTTAGCAACTCGTTGTCGTTATTCAAAGTAATGATGTTGATTCCATCAGCAAATATATCAACGCATGGACCATAATTACTGAACTTTGCAATTGTATCAGTGGTCGAATCTATGGAACCAACAGTTAAAACATCAACAGATGAAGCGGGTGAATATTTGCATGCATCATCATTCAAGTTTCCCGCAGCCCCCACTAATGTGAAGTTGGAAACTCTCATTTCATGTAAAATGTCATTGAGTAGTTCAGATCTCGGAGTGGTAAATGGCATCACTATTGTTCCACGCTTCTCACTATGATAAATATCAGTTAAGGCAATTATGAGATTTTTCAATTTACCCTGTCCTAAGTCGTTCAATATTTGATAAGATACTAAATTACAATTTTTGCACACCCCTAAAAGCTGTGATCCTATCACACTTGCGACTGCTGTTCCATGGCCGATTGGATCTTCATATGAACCCGTGTCATCATCTATTTTGCTGGAAGGCTTCCTTACTTCTACTCTGTTAGTAAAGTCAGGATGTTTAGAATTGATCCCCGTATCGAGGATGTATATATTGACGGGATTTAGCATTTCAAATTTAAAATTCATCTTTTGTCGTTTGTGGATTGGGTTCATTTGGGATAACCTGACCAAGTGTCTAGGAGCAAAGCTTTGCACTTCACACATTTGCAAATCTGCATCGCTATTAATGGAAAGAACAGATTTATCGAAATAGATCGATTTTTGCATATTAAGATTGAAATCACCAATTATTGCCTTAATGCTCCCTATCTGAACCTTGTCAAAAGCTGAACCTTTAAACAGGCTAACGTACTTTTGTTCAAAAGATGTGAATGAAGTTTCAGGATTCAATTGGACGATAAGCGTTTCGGAAATGGCAACAGCTGTCAACTGTAAGACCAACAATACATAACTGAGAGGTAGCATTGTTGATGGAGGGAACGTGAGTTGCCAAATTCCTAAACATCGTTATGGCAGCAAGTCTTATACTTTACTTCTGGATAAGTTTTGCTATGATCCCATTGTTTTTTTTTTCAAAAACCCCTAAGATCCCTTTTTTCGTAAAGGGTATCCTTCATAGCAAAAAAAAAAGAGGGAAAAAATGAAAAAATCAGGGATTTTTCCAGACTGTATCAAAAGAATCAGGTTTTGTGTCCTGTAAAAGGTTTCCAAACAATCCATCCTGACCAGTTGAGGATTCCGAAGACAGCGACTCAGAACGTTGAAGGTCCCAAAACATATCAGAATTCATGAATTGATCATTACCCTGGGAAGCAGCCGACGAAGTTGTTGCAGCCAAGATAGCCTCAGAAGATGTTGGCTCAACTTTGATCGAGGGGCTTTCGATAGAAGATACTTTTGCTTTCTTTTTATTTGCGGCCTGTAGCTGCAACTTTTCCTTCCTAGCCAAATATTTCTTTCTTCTTCTCTCAACCTCATCTAATTCGTAAATTCTGTATTTTGCGAGATAAATTCTCAAAACTTCAGCATAGTTTTCGAATCCTAAAGAATACAGAGAATAGAGTATATCTTCGCCATTGAGAGTTTTCCTCTTTTCAATCAGGCATTTTTCTGCGGCTTGAGATGTTATGAAAGATATGAATTCAGAAACGCACTCCTGCATGCATTCCTTGGCTTCTTTTGATATTTTGACATTTTTTGGCAAAGAGTGTCTCATTACTCTATCGACATTTGCTATAGGTAGCCACCTATCTTGCTCTCTTATTTCGTAAGAATCGAAGTCTTTGTCTTCCACAGACATGACTTTTATTTAGCAGGTGGAAAAACAGTTGGTATATACACGATTATTGTCCTTCGGTGTTGATGAAAAACTGGTTGCTGAGTGGATGTGTAGGTAAATGTTCAACAGATAGGACAGTAAGTAAGTAATAAAAAAAAGGATTAAATAAATATGATGGATGAAACTTAAATTTGTCTATAATACATGAGTTTTCTAGGGAGGTTAGAGAATGAAAAAACGTCAAAGCTGTCATTCACACCAAAATGAGAAAAGCCCAAGGAGGATCAGGCTGATGTGAGACTAATTGGCTAATAAATATATGCACCTATAGAGGAGGCGTGCGGTGGGAAGTAAAGCCGAGCAGAAGGGCCTTTACAATTAACGGAAACAGAGGACTTTTAACGGAAAAAAACAAAGTTGAAGGTGTTCAATGAAGGAACCTAAGAGCCCGATTATTGTGCAAGTGTGGTGGGGACAATCCGAAGAGGGTGGGAGAGAAAGTGGATGAACGAGTGAGTGGGTGGGTAGGTATGTGAGTGAGTGGTGGTGTCTGTCGATGTGAGTGGTGGGGATCTGAACCTATAGATTACGGTTAAAGATCTGCAGAGAGAAGAAGTAGGGGTGAGAGTACAGGGTTACCGTCCTGGAACAGCGGCGATACGAACAGGGAGGGAGAGTCGGCGGTAGCAGAGGCAGGATTGACAGGACGCCCATTTCCTTTTTCCCCTTGAAATGCTTTTTCCGTGCAAGATACCGGCCTGAAGCAGCATGCTTATGTGCCGGACGTACGTCTGTGAGCCGCCTCCTCCTGGTGACACACCGGAGGAACAATAGGGGCAGTCACTGATTGGCATCGGCGTTGGGTTGGGCAGGGAGAGTAAAAGGAAGGTGAGGGAGGGAGATCACGGGTCTTATCGGGGATTAAGGGGCGGAAGAGAGCGAGCAGCGGGGTGAGGACAAATCGAGAGCGGAGAAAGAGTTGTAGGCACGGCTCGTCTCGCCGGCGACGGCGATCGCGACGGCGACGGCGTCATGGCATTGGGGAAAGAAAAAACAATCTGACGTAAGCAGCCAAAAGAGCAGCTGTCACGTGACACAAGATTGCTGTGAGGGCAATAGATAGGCGGGGATTTGTAGGAGGCAAGCAACAGCGGGAAAAGTATGCGAGGTGGAGTTTGCGTGGCTCGAATAGGCAAGCTCGAGACAATACGGGGAAAAAGTTCGAGCGATGGGAGTGCGGTGTGGTTCAGCCCTTTTATAGTGTGTAGTTCACGGGTTTATTGGCGGTAGCAACGAGAGCCAGAGGAAGAGGAAGAGAAGGAGAGAGAAAGGAAGGAAGGAAGGAAGAGAGTACGTGAGAGGGGCGAGTGGGGGCGTAATGGGTGCAGGGCAGAGGGTTTTTTGTGGTGTATAGTAAACGGGAGGGCGCAGATAGCGTTGTATCTGTGTTTGTGTTTGTTTTTGTTTTTGTTTTGTTTCGGGAAGGTGGAAACAGACGACCAGTGGATGGGGTGAGACGCAGAGGCAGAGGCTGCATGGGTGCTATCACTTACGTGCTGCACTTGCATGTACGCAAACGTCTACACCAACGTGCACCCAAATGTGCACACACACACGCACACACACCTACGGTAGTCTGTATGAGGGCATTGCGCACGCTGTGGAAATCAGTTCACCGCTGGATCGGCCTCGAATTTTCGGGCAAAAAACGTGCTAAGTTTCTCTGTCTTGCCCGTTCGGGACGTTGTTGACATTTTCGAGCACGACGTTGCGACCCCCGCAGACAGTTTTCGTTTTCTGCAGGCAGCACCGGCGGCGGCGTTCCCTGCGGCCTCGGTTCGGCGGCAGGCGGCTTCGGCAGCACGCCGCCCCCGCAGCCTGCCGCCGCTGCGTGGACGACACAGGTCGGCTCTGGAAAGACCCTGCGTGCTAGCACCCACTTGGCCTAGTCCCCCTAGTCGCCCGAGTCCACGACGCCAGTACCACGACCACGATACCGGCCCACGGGGTGGGACGATCCACTGGCCCCATCCCGCCGGCTTTGCAGCCTCCCGCCGGCCGGCTCCTGCCGCATGCAGCCGCCGGGCGTAAACGAGGGGCCGATGGGGCCAGTATTATTGTGCGGCCGGGGCGGTCTTTGTCAACGTCTTCGCCGCGCCATGCGCGGCTTGGCGGCCCGCTGCCGTTGCCCAAGGCCGATCACCGTTGCATTGACCGCACCCGCCCCCGGCCCCTCCTGCGCTCAACCCAGCGGTGCCCTAGCGCCACCACCGCTTGTTTACGTGCACACCCCGCCGCCGAAATGAGCAGACCCATAACCAAACACAGCACACCGGGACCACATTTCGGCACCTGCTGCTGCACGCCGCCCCCCTCCCCGGCAATCGTCAATCGACAATCGCCGACCACAGCCTCCCAGCCATCACCAAAACACCTGTGCACGCCATCACTCTCGCCCACACTCACCCCCTCTCACCCACCCTTTTTTCCACACTTTCCACACACCCTCCATGCCCACCGCACACACACACACACCTAATCCCCCTCTCCCCCCTCCCCCCCTTCACGACGCGTCCCCCGTCTGGCCCCTCCCCGGCTCTCGCTCCCTTACTCTCGCTCCCTCCCCCTGCCTGGCATCGCGACGCGCCCGACCCCGATCAGGCAAACCATCAACACCCAGCGCGCTCTCCGGCGCGTTTCCCGTCGCCGCGCACAATGCCCCCTGCTCTCGCTCACGGCACGCCTGGCTTATTTGAGCAGCTCACTCCTGGCAAATCCATGCATACCGTCTTGCCAGGCGGACACATCGCTGCGGCGGACACACGCTGGCGGACTATTGTTCGTGGAGCTGAGTGCCATTATGCCCTCGGGGACGCTGCAGGATGGGTCGTGGTCGGCGGCGTTTCCCTCCTGGGGGAAGCGCAGCATGAAGCGCAGCGTGAAGCACAGCGTAAAGCGCAGCGTACCCTGCTGCTGTGGCCGTCAATGCTCCTTGGGGAAGTTGTCTGGGACAGAGACAGGCTGCGTGGAAGGTGTGTATATGTATATATGGCGTGCCGCTCTTTCTCCTGATCGTGCCTGCCTGTGTACCGTTAGTGCTGGCGTCCCGAGGTTGGCCCATTTTGTCGTCCTGTGTGCTCCGTCTGCCTCTCTCCTCCCTTGTGTTGTTCACTGCTCTTTTCCTGAGTGGGCTTTTTTGTGTCTTCTTTCTGCAATCTCTCTCTTGGCGTAGACCTCGACAGCACAGAACCGCACGGATCAATTGACTACCAGCACCTCCGCACCACCCGCAGCCAGTCTCCCCCCCGCTTCTGCTTCTCGAGATACAACAAGCTGAAGATTCTGAAAAAAAACTTCACAGTCTCCCCTTTGCTATTAACCAATTAACGACCGTGCTGCCCTGGAACTAACTGCTCCACAACCCCCCGTGATACCCATACACTCTTTCCTCCCTCCATCTTTCCACTCCTTTCCATTCCACTCTTTTCGTCGACATGCACGCTTCTGCTCCTGCACAACAGCCCCACAGCAGGAAGTCCTATGGACCACCCCGCAGACATATGTGCAAGCCCTACTCCGCCAAGCTTGAGGCCATCGAAAACTACAAAAACAAGATCATCTCCGCCGAGTACCTAGACACCATTTCCGCCCACTACAAGTCGCTCGAGTCCGAGTCCGCCGTCAACCCGGCCATGATCGACCTCCAGCCAGAGGTCAAGTGGTTCATGAGACCCTATCTCGTCAACTTCATAGTCCAGATGCATTCCTCCCTCAAGCTCAAGCCCCAGACCCTCTTTCTCTGCTGGAACATCATAGACAGGTACTGCGCAAGAAGAATAGCCTTCAAGCAGCACTACCAGTTGATCGGCTGCACGGCTCTCTGGATTGCGTCCAAGTACGAGGACAAGAAGTCCAGAGTTCCCACCGTCAAGGAGCTCAACACCATGTGTTCCAATGTCTACGATGACTCCATGTTCAGGGAAATGGAGATCCACATCCTCAGCACCCTCAATTGGTCAATCGGTCACACAACCCTGGAAGACATTTTGCAGCTGGCTGTCAAATTCTCAGACCCAGATGGTAAAGAGCTTCTCGACAAGCCAATCGACTTGTACAAAGGAAATACCCCAACCGTCTCTGCCATCCTCGCCGTTTCAAGATACCTGTGCGAGCTGACTCTTTACGACAGAGTCTACCTCACCTTCCCAACATCCACAATCGGCATTTCATGCTTCCTCATGGCCTGCTCCATCCTCAACATGGACGTCGGCTCAACCTACATCAGTCACATCTACACCCTTTTCGAAGACTCAATGAACGCCACAAAAAAATCCTCCAATAGCACCACTACGTTCAACAGCACTCACACCTCTGTGGAAAATAAAAACTCAATTTTTTTTGCCTTCCGTAATGACAGCACAAATGATATCACCAACGATGAATCCCGATTCGTAGAAGGAGAAACCGACGATGACGCTGCTTACGATTCCGACGCAGAAAACACCGAGCCTAAAGTTCATGAGCAAGGTCCATTCATCTCAGGCTTCAACGGCATGGACTCCATCACACAAGTGAGAGAAATCGCTTTGCACCTCTTCAGATCCATGTTGGATCCATCCGAAGTACTGATCGATAAATACTCCTCCTTGGGAGTCATGACTGTCGTAAAACGCTTCATCGAGGATAACGACCTCTACCAAATAGATCTGTCGTTACTGAGCAATTCGAGCGAAAGTTCAAACTCCAAACACGGGCCAAACACAAATGCAAGCACAAATGTGAATGAAAACCCCTATTCAATGGAATTGACTAACCTGCTTCTTTCGTTCAACGACTCTTCTCCGTTCGTACAGCCAGTTTTGAGAGATTTGTCCTTTGTTTCTTCATCCTCAGACTCCATCATGGGCACACCTTGTGAGTCACCATCCAACTTCTCCTCCTTCTCCTCAGTTTCATCTGCAACCTCTTACACCTTCTCGCTAAGCTCCTCCGAGTATGCGCTTGTCAACGGTGGTGATCTCAAGGAAAAGCAACTGATATAGTCCATTGACCACTCGCTACACTTGTGAAGAAATAGAAAATTGAATCGAATATATAACTTGCAATGCTTCGCTTATACACACATACTTACAAGCTCAAAAAAAACAGAAACACTCAAGAAGCCGACTTTATGTATACACACACACATTGATACCTCCCAACTATTACGATCTTTCTTTTACTGCAAAATCATTGTCATTGCTCTTTTATTTTCTTTCTTTTCTTTTTTTTCTTCTTCCTTTCTTTTCCTTTCCTTTACTGTCAAGAACATTCTTCCATGAAATTGTTTATCTATTTATAAATATTTACACTTACTTTCTCCCCTCCACTTTTATCTAGCATAGAACGGTTTACATTTAATTAATCTACCACTACTACTCTTACTGCCGCACTCGTATTCTCACTGACGACGCTTGTATTCACATCTGTACAAGACTAATTAGTCTCCAATACCTCTATTGGAATGGCCTCTACCCCTCGTTCCCCTTCTCCCTCCATCTCGTCTTTCTCTTCCCCTTCCCCTTCCCCTTCCTCTTCCTCCTCCTCCACTTCCTCATACACATACTCAAAATCGGCAGAATCGATCATCGCTTCGGGCTCTTCCAACCCTGAAGAAGCATCATTCTCTATTTCCAATCCTCTCTCTTTGGCTGGTGCATGTTCGCCATTAACGGCATTTTCCGCCTCCGGCATCACATTTCTAAAAGTCTCATTATCTCTATTCTTGGGAACAGAATGCAGTGGTGACTCTTTCACCAAGCTGCATTCTTCATCTGATACTAACATTGTCTTCCTTACTTCAGAATCCAGACTGTTGCTTTGTGTCTGATTCTGGGTGTTTGAGGTAGTACTTCTTTTGAAAAGCCCTAACTTATCAGATTTTTTTGGCGATAAAGACCAAGATTTCGAAAAACTATTCAAAAGAGTACTTCGGCGTCGATATAATACAGGTAAGGCCATGTTTGTATTGGCCTTCTTGAGGGCTGGAGCTTGTCCACTGATTGCCTCATTTGCAGGCACCGATTCTATCGATCCTGTGGTTGAAATAGATGCTGATGGTCTTCTTGAATGCCCAGATCGACTCACAGAGCCACCAAGGTCTAACCCACTATCGCCATTCAATTGTTCAGACAGATTCTTGGCAGTAGTAGTAGATACCAAGTCCTTGATATTGTAAATCGAAGCAGCAGGAGAAATGGAGGGAGAAGTTTCTGGTGAAAACAAAGGTGATGTCGGAACTGAAGTTTCTGGGAAATATGTATCATCAATGTAAAGATCTTTGGTAAGTAAAATATAGAAGAACAGAAGGATAATTGTCAACAAGCAAAAATAAGTCAAGTTTCGGTAGAATGAAATCATATTGTGAATCTGACTTAGCTGCTTTGAAATCTCCACATTATTGGATTCAAAATTTTGCTGTTGATATTCAAATAATCTGGAAAAACTAGTGTACACATCCACATTCAATTTTTGGAATATATCCATTTGTGACTGTATTGTGGAATTTAACTGAGACAGAATATTTTGGAATTTAACTGCTTGCTGTGACTCTAAGCTTGTAAATGCATCGGAAAGCAGTCTAGACTGCTCTTCAATATACAACAATGACAAGGTTGTATTAGATTCCAATAAGCTCAATCGCTTTACAATATTTTTGTAGATTGAATCTTGCGGCTGAACTTTAGGGGATGGAGTGTGGGGTTGTGTTTCAACAACTTTAGATTGTTCTTCAGATGTGACCCCTTCCATTTCTTGGCCAACCAGACATTGATCAAAATTTTCATGTCGTGTTTTCTCGTAATCGATCAAAAATTGATCCAATTTCAAATACTTGGACGTACAATTCACTTCAGGTTCCAAAAGCTGAAAGTCCAGACATGCTTTGAATTTCTCATTAGCAAGATAAACATCGAATTCAGGTACCAAATCCGATATTCCATTTTCACTGTTGGCAAGTGTATCATTTGGTAGATCATGTGGAAGAGATTCTTGATAGGAATCTAGACTGTTGGGCTTAGCGTTAACTTCTTCAGTAGTTGAGATTAATTCAGAGTCAGGCTTTTCTTCATTATCCGGATTGTCCTCTTTAAATTGTTCTATCATTGTCGTTCCATGCACCTGAACTGAGGAAATAGGGCAATAAAACTCATTCCCATAATGAGTCAAAAACTCGATTTTGATGAACTTGGCCCAAATCAATGGGTTCTCTATGCCAAACGTCTGCAATTGTCTAACATTTTCAGCTTGAAATTCACCTAAGACTATCCAATGAGTGGTAGGAAAACGATCACTCACAGATATTTTTATATTTTTGAACATACTGGAGTAGAATTCGAAATTGCCAATCAAAACTTCATCGACAAGAATGTCTTCACATAGCTCGACAATTATGAAATTACTCGATGCAGAGCATTCATTCAATAGATAGGAATCCTTGTTATCTAGAAGAATGGAATTAGCACCTTTGGCCTCTTTATTCGTTTTTACTATAGTTGCGGCACAATCGAAAGAGGCATAATTGAATCTATCTTTATAAAGCTTCCCCTGTTCTTCACCGCTGCCGGCAAACATGGATATCTCAATGACCATTTCCTCACCAAGTGGAGCGTTGACGTTATCGCTGTTTTGGTTCTCTGACCGTTGATCACCATCTCTTGTTTTGATCCGTTGATGAATCTCGTCTCTCTGAATATGTTTGATGTCCTTATTTACCTTCACTGCTTCTATTTCCGGTTGTAAGATATTATTTTTGTTGTTGTTGCTGTTGTTAAGGCTCTGAGACGGCTTCTCAATACTGTATCTGCTTTCTGAGCTGTTGGCCAGATCAACTCGATTCTGGTTGAGTTTGTTTTTCTTCCACTCTTCGAAGCTTTGAAAGTTCGGCGCATTGGTCGAGTTGGCAAAGTTTGACTCCTGACTCTGTGTTTCCTCTACTGTAACAAAGGGTATGCTGGCCTCTTCGGGATCATTCTGTGACGTGAAGGTCTGTGTTGTTGTCAAGAAAACACTTGCAAATGAGGAAATCATTGATTCGTCACTGGCCACTGTCTCCTGAACGGCAGATTCTGTGGCGCCGATCAGGCAAGCAGACACCACAAGGGTCCATACCCATTGCAACATTGTTTGTCGGCTTTTTAAGTTCCACTGACAGTCGGTGTGTGCTGCTCTTGAAGATGTTGCTGGCGCTGAATTAGCAGATCGACAAACACAAACACAGGCTCATCCACAAACATGAACATACAAGAAAGTCTTTCCGTTATCTTCTGCCTCCCGCGACATGAAAAATTGTCGTGTGCCTGCCTGAGAAGCATCCGGCTTTTGTGACGTTTACAAGTAAGCCGGTGAAGACAAGCTGGAGGACTATTCGACAACTGCCGTTTAGTAACTGCGTAAAATAAGGATGGTTAATGCGTGTTGTTCGTGTTCTTCAGAGCGTCAACTGGCGTGTATGAGTTGGCGTAGGGTTGGATTCAGGTGTCCGTTCTCGTTCGCCAGGATGGGTGGAGGATGATGCGATTGCAATGGTTTACTGGCTACTTGATCCAACACGTAATACAGGAGGACTCGGACATGCTTTGCGGCACCTACAGCTACTCACCTGCACAGAGAACCATATAACGTAGTAGCCCAATATATGAGAGGGTGCAAGGAAGTAGGAAGGAAGAAGGATTAAGAGCGATTCATGCGAGAGAGCGCCATTTCCCGTGCAAATTATCACACACACACGCTTTCGTTCAAGCACAGCTTTAGAACTGGCATTTTCTGGCAGCAAAGAATCGATAGAGGCATCTGCTGTCACAGCATTCAAATACATCAGCAGAGCAAGATGGAGGATGTGCCTAACTTGAGGTTTTGTACCGTATGTGCGTCGAACAACAACCGTTCGATGGAGGCGCATAAAGTTCTCAAAGAGGCCGGATATCAGGTTCGGTCTTACGGTACCGGTTCAAAGGTACGATTGCCAGGGCCCTCGATCAATAAGCCGAATGTTTTCCAGTTTGGAACGCCGTACACAGAGATTTTGAAGGTGCTCGAGTCGCAGGGAATCCAGGTGCACAAGAATAACGGGGTGTTAGATATGACGCTACGGAACATGAATATCAAAAAGTCGCCAGAGCGTTGGCCGTACTTCAACCAGCCAATGCAAAAGCTGCCCGAGGAGGAACATCCCGGGTTCCAGGACGAGCTCGATTTTGAGATTGTGATCACCTGTGAAGAGCGTTGTTTCGACAGTGTCATTGAAGACTTTCTCGCCAGAAACTATTTCAGCCCGAACGAGCTCGACAGAAAGGTACACGTATTCAACGTTGAGATTCGAGATGACCGGGAAAATGCACACATCGGTGGTCAGGCGATCCTGGAGTTGGCAAACTCGTTGAACCAGCTCTTTCTCAAGTCAAAGGGAGCGATGGAGGGCGACAACGCCGACGATCCAGCACACCCGGAATATTGGGAAGACAATATACCAGACTTGATCACCCAGTGGCAACAGAAGCATGAAATGTTTCCTCTACTTTACAGCTTATGCTATCATTAGGTTCGACTCTAACCTGCGCAGCACAGAATATCACATGAATGTGAACAAGTATATAGAGTTTTAACATTGTGTAAGAATCTACTCTTGTCTAGCCATTTATCGAATATAGTTTGTTTACATGTAGAATACATAAGAATGGAAAGTAATGCTAGAGATTAGGCCGTTCTGTCCACTACTGTCCGCCCATTTACAAAAACCTTTTGTATGTTTCTGTTGTCGCCAGTGAAGAGCCACTTGTCGATCAAGTCTGCAAATCTCTTGTGCGAAGCCTCGGCTGGCAAGACCCCCCACTGGGGGTTTTGGAACGCAAATGTGTCAACGTTTGAGTCCTTGCAATCTAGACTAATGAGCTGTGCGTCGAACTTCAGGCCCTTGCGGAAACAGCCGACCTTGTCGTCGATGTCGAGCACTTTGGCGCCTCCAACGGTGGCGAGGTAGAGCACATCACTCGAGGACAGCTTTTCAGCATCCTCCTTTGACTTCATGACCAAATGTCTTGACACAAGCAACGCATGCCGGGCCACCTCTAGGATCGAAGGAGTGAATCCGCCCGAGCAGTCGGTGCCCAAGCTGACGTTGATGTGGTTGTTCAGAAGCCACCTTATCCTGGCCTCGCCAGAAGTGATAGAGGAGTTTGACGTGGGGCAGTGGGAGATGCCCGACCCTGTGTTTCTAAGTATGTGCATTTCTTCGTCGGAAAGATGGATGCAGTGGGCCAAGACCGTTTTGGAGCTCAACAAGTTGTTCTGGTAGTAGATGTCTGTGTAGTGGTCGTACTGCGGGAACATGTTTGTAATCCACTCGATCTCCTTGTGGTTTTCCGAGAGATGTGTCTGGCAGTGGTAGTTGCCCTTTTTCCGCAAGTTGCCGAGCCAGCTCAGAAGGCTGTCGGTGCATGATCCAGCAAACCTCGGCGTCAACACCGCGTTGATCAAGTCGCCCGAGGGGTTTCGGGACCGGATGTGGTCGATGACCTCGAGCGTGGAGGCCTTGGACTCCTCCTCGGTCTCAATGTAGTGGGCAGGCGAGTTCTGGTCCATGCACACCTTTCCGACAAACGAGCGCTGGCCAAGCTTCAAGGCGAGGTCTGCCAAGAGGTTAGTGGCGTCTGTGTGGATCGTCGCATAGTACGACGCCGTCGTGGTACCGTACCCGAGCGTCCTTGAAATCACCTTCGTGTAGATCTCGGTGGCGAGCTCGAGGTCTGTGAAGGACGACTCAAGCGGAAACGTGTAGATCTCCAACCACTCGAGCAACGTCGTGTTGCCGAAGATCCCGTTGTTGGGGAACTGCGGTGCGTGGATGTGTGTGTCGATGAAGCCGGGGAAGAAGAACTGGTTGTTGTCCTTCGACGCGTCCACCAACACAATGTCCTTCGACGCCAGCGCCGACAAAGCGTGCTGCTGCGTCAACTCCACCAACGCCTCCGGAGAGGCGTCCTTCACTCCCGACACCATAAAGTCGATGTTGCCGTCCTGGTCCACGCCGACTACCGTGTGCGGCAGCACCTCCATCGAGCCCAAACTCGGAGTGTGGGCAAACGTTCCGTAGTACGCTGTGTACTGTAGCGCCGAATGGCACACCGGGCTGATCTTGTCTGCGAAATACGCAGCGTTGGTCTTAGTAGGCATCTTGCGTGTCCAAAACAGATGAGATAGAGAGCGGAAACAGGGTAATCAAGGGGGGAAACAAAAGCAAGGGGTGGCAGAGACAAAAAGAGGAATGCCTGAACGCTCTGTGGTAGACTCTTAAACACTAGTTAAGCCTGGTGTGCTTAAATCGATCCAAAAGAACGTGTCGAGCCTTCTCGATATGCCACGCTGAGCCAGCACGGACGCCCCGGGATCTTTATAGGTTTCCCCCAGGCGTGCCCGCAACTCCGAAATGGCCCCTCCCCAGCTGCTTTGCCGGCCGCCAGCAAGCTTGCCAGTACGCCACTTCCGATAAGACGCAGCCGCGGCCCGGACCAGCGCCGATGTGCCCGCTTGCCGCGGCAAGACGGCAAGACGACTTTGCTTGCCGCGGCAAGACAAAACCGCGTCGATCGTCGAAATTTATATTTTTGCAGTCGATCGGCGTAAAATCTCGATTTTTCCCTTCTTCTCCTTCCACCTGTGGGCGGACCAATCAGAACGGTGTAGAATAATACAGGGTGGTAGTGGTGGCTGACGTAAGCGAGGTATGGGTAACTGTTGCAGCGAGGTGTTGAAGACGGGGAAGGAAGGAGACAGAGCCTCCAGTAAAAAAGACATGGACGAGTCTGGTCTACTCTGGTCTGAGCCGTCTGCTGCCTGTTGCGCTCCGGTTTGTGTTAGACACACTAAATACTCCACATACACACACACATATCTGCACAATGGCTGTACGTATTGTCTGGTGCAACACACGTGTGGTGTCCACTCCTACCGGTTCCTTCCGATACACACATGGATACTAACAATCTCTCGATTTCTATGGTGCAGTACATCTCAGGTCCTGTTCTCAAGCACGCAGCCACCCTCGGTGGTTTCCACGTCAAAAACGTCATTGCGTACGTCCCAGTCCTTGCCTTCTGGGGCGCTGCTGCCGGCGCAGGTGTCGCAACCTTCACCGACAACTGGCCTCTTTTCCAAAAGACCTTCTACCAAAAGATCCCATTCATCGGCAACCACTGGGTCCACAACGTCGACCCAGAGGACACCTACTACTAGTTCTGCAGGCACATTCTACGCCCCCTTCTCCGCCTGCACCTGCTACTAAATTATTTATTCTTTATTTCCTTGTTTTGTTTCTTATATAGCTGAAATACAAAGAAAAGAACTCCAGTCAGTCACTCGTCCTCGCTCTCCTCCTTGTCGCTGCCGTCGCTGGTACTGCCGATGCTGCTGCTTCCCTCGTGCAAGTCGCCCTCCTCGCTACACCCAACAACCCCCCATTCCACGCCGGTGACAGCCTCTAGGCGCTCCATTATGTCATCGATTGGCGTGAAAAGCCCAAACTGCCTGTACTCTCCATCGTAGGAATGGAGCATCCCAAGTACCCCCAACCCACTCTCCTCGTTCTTCTCCTTGGGTCCATTAAAAGGGCCCAGACCGGCATCCGCAGTAGTGGCAGCAGCAGAAGCGGTCGGTGTGCTTCTTCGTCTGCTCCCCGAAGCTCTATCCTGTCTTCTTCCACTACTCACTGCAGGGATGAAACTCTCAATAAAAGCGCTCAAACTGCTCTTGTTCTCATCCTCCTCAATAAGCGGCTCGTCCTCAGAGTCACTCGAGTAACTTTTGATATGATTGACGTCGCTCAGTTTGGACAATACCCATGCTCCCGAATCTCCACCGTTCGCAAAGCCTTTCATCTTCCCATCACCCCCTGCAACTATAAACTCGGAACTACGTAAAGACCCATCGGACCAATAGATCATCTTCATTCCGTTCAAGTTACCATTTGTATATCCAGTAGTGCTGCCTACTTTGAAAACACTCAAGTTCGCCGTATTCAGAATCCCGTTCTTTCGAGGCTGAAAACTGATAGTTTTCTTGACATTCAAATTAGATAAAATCAAAGACGGATCATACTGAGAAAGCTGCAAGTCCTCGCCAAGATAGTTGACAAATTTTTTCTTTAGTCGGTCATTGATCTTGATAATCGCCATGTCACTGAGTTTGTTGTCGTTGATTAGCCTTTCACCCCAGATAATACATCCCAAATCTTCAGTAGGTAAGTTTCTATTCACCTTTTTGCCATTCAACGAAACTTTTCTCAATGGATACTCAGCATCAATCATTTTCACTGCCTCGCTATAAGCCCTGTACTCCGGAGAATTAGTAGAATGGTTCATCATTTCATTCAAAAGAGCATTCTTGTACAAGTTGATTAGCACAGGAGATGGTGTGGAAACGTTGGGATGTAATTCCTCGGATTCGGACTCACTACCTAGTACAACATGTGCACATGTTAGTCCAAAGATTTGGCCCCGATATTTCAGCAACTTTGGATTGGAACAGTTCTCTGGAACTTTCGGATACAAATATCCTCCCAATGTACCACTCGATATCGTGGAAGAATCAGTTGATAGTGACATAGATATTGGTACATAAACTTGACCTTCATCAACGGTTCTGAATGGGGATTTTAGTTTCATGCTTTTGCTTGAGGCGTATGTAATCCGATTCTTTTGTAGCTGGAAATGTATATCACTTGATTGAGTCGAGAAAAATTTGATAATATCATGATGTTCTTTAGAAATCTCAGGGAAACCGAAAATAAATGTAATAATAGTTAGTGATGGTAAAAAAAAGCCTCGTAAAACCGGAGCAATGAAAGAGCCATCTTGATCTGAAAAAAGATTCTCTTTACCTTTCGATAATAAACTGGACATTATTTGATCAACTTTCTCAACATTAGGAAAATTTAAAACATTCGAATCGATTGGGAACATGGTTGGCGCCATGTACGATATAAAGTTGGTTAATTCAGGTGCCTTGGTTGGAATAATCTTGATCAACAAGAATAAATCATGAAGTCTCTTTATGACGGAAGATTTGGACTTATTATAAACATCACCAATCAACAAATTATCAAGCAAATGAAGAATATTCTTGATCAGCCTTCTCAAACCAACAGAATTTATGGTATCAAACTGGTTTGATGCTAATAAACTGATGTATTTGTTGCTTTTGATCATCTTATGAGTTAGAATAATACTTTCATTTATGGTTATGGAAGCCTTCGTTAAATTCAGCACAGATTGAGACACTTGGATAATTATATTACTCACAGAATTGGCTAAATTCCTCAACTGGCTCTTAATGAACTCAACTAGCTGTACTCTCAACTCACTTTCTGAAATGGAGGAGGACTGTGACCTATTAAGATTGGTGTTACTTCCATTGTCTATGTTGGCAAACGTTCCTTGGGTACTTATATTTGATTTTTCGGTAGGACATAGTGAAACATCATCAGAAAGATTTGATCTCCTGCGAGAGGTGCTGTTCCTATGAATTGATGCAGCTCTATTGGAATTAGCATCTAAACCACTAGCAGTGCTATCATCATCTGCTGCTGTAGACTTCCCCTCTATATTATATACGCTGCCAGAGCGTGCATACTCTACTTCCTGTTCGTCTTCGTGGAGAACTCTCAAAGGCCTCCCAATACTCGTTATTTTGGCCTGCTCGTTGTTTTTGTTGTATGAAACGTTTGAACTTGGCTGAGTAGAAACGCCAGTAGATAAGGTTCTTTTCGAGCTAAACAGAGAGTTGGTGTTTGAGTTGTAAGAATACTGAAAGCTTTTAGAAGAGGTGAATACATCCGCATTATGTGAAGGGGCTGGATTCGTTGGGATTTTCGCTGACGAGTTCGAAGAGGATGATGCTGTTGAGGTTACCGAATTCACAGATGTAGCCTCCGAATTCCCTCCTCCCTCAGTATGTCCTCCTTGTTTAGTTTTGACCTTCTTCTTGTTGAAGATTTTCTTGATGTCCATTCTTCTACTTCTTGATGTATTGACAAGTCTTTTATATTGTTGAACGCAAGAGCCGGCAGCTCGACTAGAGTCCTTATCACAACCCATTCCAGTAACAAAATTTAAACAACTGAAAACGATATTTTTCCACGCAACGTAGTATGATGAGGGAGAAATCGAGACATCGGTGGTGGGAGATCGCTGCCGAGCACCTTTTTCAAAATTCTTCAGATTATTATACTACTGCAAGGGAAAACTGATAATGATACCAAATGTTGGGGTCTTTAGGACGGTATCACAATATTCAATCACTGGAGATGAGTAGGAATACCCTGTTAGGACCTCGCGTGTTCACCAGAAATGCTGGTTTCTTCGGAAACCTTGGGCAGAGTATGGCTAAGATTGTGCCGAAACCACACAAATACTTCAAAGTTTCCAAGCCATTTGGATTTTCCAGACCGCCTGTTAGACTCCGGGACACCGAGACAAAAGCTTTCTTTACTTTAGAGAATCTCAATCTTCCAAAAAGACTGTGGAACTTCTATTTTGATGGTATCACAAGGAGAACAAGGGTTGAAGCAATTCAAAAAGACTTGGCTTACGGTGGTATGTATGACTTCCATGTTTATACGAAGACAAAGGGTAGGTTGTTTGAAGCTCCTGTGTCCTTCTTTCGTAAAGATAGAGCCTTATTCTTTCCTAACTTTCGAGTCAAGTCTCTTACTGGCAAGAGGATGGACTTGATGGATGCTCTAGATCAGGCGAAGCTGAGTATTCTAAGAGTCTACTCCACAGATGCAGGTTACGAGATGACCAGCGATTACTTCAAGATAAAAGATAGCGAGGACAACTATATGTCCAAGACAGGAATTGAGGTTTTCAAACAAGAATATCCAAGTGCACAGATAATAGAGGTTGTTCTGAGCGAAAATGCATCCAAACATTTTATTCACACCTTCATTACACCGGGAAAACTTTTAAGCCAGAGACCAAAGGAGCAACACGATAAGCACTTGATTGCCAGAAGAGACTCGGTCCTTTCAAGAGATGATCGTGAAAAACTCTTGCTAACGAACGCTTACTCAGGATACATCTACATTGTTGACAGCTCATACAAAATAAGATGGGCAGGTTCCGGCTGGCCAACCGAGACAGAAGTGAACGGTTTATGGAAAGCTGTCCGCGGTCTCCTGAAGGAAGACGCAATGAGGCTGAATAAGACTAAATAGAGCACGTATTTATGATCTTTCCCTGTATATAAGTGGCAACATGTACAATTCTGCAACGAAAAAAGGGCCGATCGGCTCCAACATTTTGATTTTCCTAATTGGGAAATTACAATGTGCCCTTCTCTATAGAGAGAAAGGTCGGTGGGAAAAGGAATGGTCGACGAGCTCAAATCTGCTGCAGAATATAGGGGCCTATTTGACATATGTGTGTGTACATTTTATAAGTGCAGGCTGGTGGTTTTTCTCCTTGAAACTTAACACTAGTTTTTGAATCTTTGCTACAACAATTATAACGAGGATCTATAGTTGTAGCCAAAGACTTCTCTCTAGAAGAAAAAAAAAATAGGAAGAATTATACTTTGGATTAGGCTTCTATCAATCAATATTAAATATCAAATATTGGTATGGATAGAGTATCTCCTAGTCCGTCGATATCGAACTGTTCGCAGTATAAGCTTGAGAGCGATGCCGGGTCTTCAGCGTTGGCTTCAGCGGTACGAAACAAAGGAGTGGCTCTACAGATCATCGACAAGAAGGGATACGCAAGAGACCCATTATCTTGGACATGCGAAACACCACAGAAATACTGGGAAGAATCCGATAACGCCAAGTTCGCCGTGCAAAACAAAAGAAAAGAGGAGAAACCAAAAACAGACCTCAGAAGTGGCAGTAGATCAAACTCCAAAAAAAATAGAGAATACCGTTCAAGCTATACAAACAAAAATAAAGAAGCACTGAACCCACCTTCTGAGAGCTCTTTGGGATCACACTTGGAAACTGATCTAGAAGAGAGTGATTTATCTGCCTCGGTAGCACATGAACAGTCAGAAGAAGGGAGCTTGAGCCAAGTGCCCAAGTTAAGTATAATTCCTGAATTCAAAGGCGCAACTGCGTGGCTCAAGACAGGTATGTTGCTGGATAATAGTGCTAACCTAAGTGCTTTTGTTGAAGATCCTTTTGTTATGCAAAGTGTTGTTGAGGAGACAAGACTTCCTGAGCCAGAACCCAAAGAAAAAGTTATGTTGGACGAAAATGTTCCTGAGAGTGTTGAGGAAATTGAACACTTGATGTTAAACAGCTACAAAGATGACGAATCAAAAAAAATTCACGATAGCTCATGTTTGAGTTCTGGTCTGAGCTCTGGAGTAGGTGTTGAAGATGGGCTCAGTTGCTCCTATCCGTTGAAGCAGCAATCCCTTCCAAGTAAAAGAGATTTTTCTAAAAATTCAAAACTAAGGTTTCCAAGCAAGAGTGGTGGATATTGGATACCTCATGTAAAACCTTTGTCGGAATTTCTGGATTTTCGTTTTGAGGAAAAGGTTTATACATTTTCCGATCAGGAAATGGAGATTATCAAAAAGTTGGATTACATCTTGGCATGCAAATTTTGCTATAGAGGCTTCAACATAGTAATGATGGCTTTTATGTTTTTAGTTGTGTCAGTATTCATCATGGTGACAATATTATATGCTCTCGAAAAAATGCCTCCTACATTTGAAGCTATACACCTGATGTTTTTTGACTTGGTTGTGATGTTTGTATTATTTGCAATCAATTCATGTGCATCAAAAGAGGTAAGAGTTGAAGGTCAATATGCTGTTCGGTCATACCTTCGGATTTACTGGCATTTGATAAGAAGAAAGTTTGATAGTTCATTTAACAAATGCTACATGTTTTTGGATGATTGGTACGGTGATGATAAGTATAAGTTTTTGAAAGCCAAATTACAAGAGATCTCACAAATAGAAAAGGAAATCAGTCATGAGGCCGATAGCGATCCCGAATTTGCATGAATAATAGATACTTAACTAAATTTTTATTTTTGAGCAAGTTATTGTCTTATCGACTATCATAATCTGCGTGATATTTTTATATCCTTTGCATGTTGACTGTGCATGCATCAAAGTACTATGGTTTTCTGTAGTTGTGTACTAAAAATACATACAAATATACCATATATATATATACAGTCGACTTTATGAGTTGTCCAGATAGTCTTGGGCGGCATGTAAACTTAACTAGATTTCGCAATCATCTATATGATCAACTTGGCATATTGCTGCCTGACATGCTTACAATATGTTTCTGCAATGTGTCAAATTCGCTATTGAAGTGTTACATATCTTCGCTGATTACAGTCTTTTAGAGTAAAAAGCCTAGCTAACACTACTTGCAGCATTTTCTGCATAACACATAGAACCGACTGTATATAAAAACCTTCAAATAACAACTTTGTCCGTTATCCCGCTTATCACCGAGCCACTCATTATGTTTGTGCCATTACTGGATTCTCCAAGTTTAGAGGTGCCCCTTTCCTTATAGGTAGAAACAGCAGGAATATCAGCTTTGATCCTAGTAACTTGTGTTCCGTATGCTTTGATCTCTAATCTAATTAGAGTGTGTAAAGGTATACTCATCCAAGGACTTTCTTCCTGATGTACATTCATAAAGTATGCATATATACATCTCAACACTGCCTGATGTGTTATAACTAAAACATTTTCTTGGTTTTCTAATGCCATAATGATGGGTTCCAATCTCGTGATAACATCCCTGTATGATTCACCACCTGGATATCTATATTCAAACTTGTTGTCATCTCTTGCTTTAAAGTCATCAGGATATTTTTCTGCAATTTCTTCGTATGTAAGACCATCGCAGGAACCAGCATCCAACTCGTCCAAAGCCTTCCATTGCTTCTGTGGATATGGAAGAAATTTGGCAGTCTGTTGAGTTCGTTTCAAAGTTGAAGTCCAAACTTCTAGCTTATCGTGATTTGGTATGTATTTGTTGACAAGTTCCACCAGCTTGTATGAATACTTAACACCACGCTCACTCAAACTTGCATCACCACCTATCTTACCCTCCAGATTATACTGAGATTCTCCATGTCTGGACAGCCAAATATATCTATTTTTAACATGCAAATTCATAATATAGTAAACTATACGTGATTTGAGATAAGAGTCAATATGGTTCAAAATGATTTGAGAAGAAAAGTTTATCAATTTTATAAATGATAAATCGCCTTCATCTTCTGTAGTCAATGTCTGGTAAGCTTTGCTGTAAAATTGAATTTTATTTGAAACCGAGTTTATGGTATCTTCTAATGATTCAAACTTTGAATACTCTGGAGAAGTTGAATCTATATCGGTTATATTGGTCTCTATTATTGATTCATCGTCACAATAAGCTTCTAGGAAAACAGTGTTGATCTCATGGCTTTGCAGTGTCTTGTTTAGGCGGTCTCTTTCGACCTTAGTCGCATTTATCCCATCGTATATTGCTACACCACAAGCGTCAACAAGTCCAAACCAATCCAATATTTGCTCCAGAGTTATGTCTCTGGTCTTATTTAGTATTTCACCATCAGGAGAATAATTCGACCGAAAAAGATCGTCTGCATTTGTCCCTGATTCTTTTAGGATTTGCTCCAAGTTTGTAGAGCAGTTGAAGGATTTGGTTGGAATCGAGAGCCATGACAAATAGCGGACTATTTTTTGTGATATGAATGACTTACCCCTCGCAGGCAAGCCAACAATGACCACACACAGCTTTATTGGATTTGAATCTGCGATTGTGGCGAATGGCATCTGTTTAAGCTGTGAGAGTTAAGCTGCTGTAAGATTCTAGTTTTAGGATGTCAAAATTGGTGTCAATTTTTCCTTCTTGTGCAGTTTGGAACCGGAATCAAAAAGTATTTGAAAGAAGCAGTTTCAAGCGCTATCTGTGGAGTGGTGATAATGAGTGACCAAGTTGCGCTATCCTTTTTATAATGTGTGAGAGTCAATCTTTATAGATTTGTCTACCTATCTATATGTCTTATTGTTACACGATTCACGAGTAAGCGTCACCTGACAATGATATAGGTTGGGCAAGGTGGAGAAGTGTCAAAGTATATATACTTACTTAAGGTGCTTCCCCAGAATCACAAGATTCATTTTCTGCAAATACTTTGTGGGGGTGCTTGCGGTGCACGGATGTGTAGGTTCTTATGCCAAATCCGTCTGCGCAGTTCTAGTTTGGTGTCATGAATCTCACAAAAGGGAAGCGTTCGAGTATAAAGATGAAGAGTGGGAAGTGGAGTCGGTGAGTAAAACAAGAAAATATCCACTTAGAGACAGCTAAAATAGACAAAGCCAGAGTATGCAGTGCCTGGATACTTTATATGAGAAATTAGCTGAAGTTTTGTCTGTGGATGATACTTCTTTAAATCCAGAGACAAGTTTACACTCAATTGATGGTTTGACTAGAGAACACGATAATGACAAGGCTGAGCAAGAACTTAAAAGAGAATTCTTAACTCCTTCTGATAGACTGCCATGGAGTTTGTTGAACGAATTTTACAATGTGCCGAAACTGGATGGTGTACAAAAAGAAAAGGTTAATTTTTCACTTATTAATATGCCTGAATTGTTAAATAGAACGTCGATTAGGTTCAAAAGGGCGGGAATAGATGGCTCGATTGTTTCTTTCAAGGAAGAGTTTACTAATGATGATTCTTCGTCGCTTTCAGTAAGTAGAAAATATACCGGGAACTCTAGATTGAGCGTGAAAGGTAATACATCAAGTTTACCCTTTTTACCAGGGGGTTTTCAAAAACCTGATGACAACACCAATGAAGGAGAATCTGGTAGCACTAGAAATTTGCATCGTGATCAGTACGGGTTGTTTGATGTACCGCAGGGATTCTCTAGAGGGCTACAACTGGATGAGGGTAGTGTAGACATGGAAATAATAGGTAGGGAAAAGAATGGTTTGACCCGGAACATAGATGAAATTGAAATCTTACCTGAAGCCTTTGGCGAGGAAGTTCAATCTGAAACTGAAAACGATTATTCTGGTGATGATGAGGTTCTCAGTGGTGTTGAAGCAGATGTTGCAAACTCAAACAAAGCCAATAAAATCAGTAGCAATGAAGATTTTGAAAACGAAATAAGTCAATTCATACCGAAAAATTCTGTCATTAGGCCTTCTACAGCATCTTCTTCATTAATTCAGCAATATAAGCGGAAAACAACATGGGCTCATGTTGTTGATCTAGACCATAGGATTGAGAACTTTGATGAGTTAATACCCAATCCAGCAAGAACTTGGCCTTTTGAGTTGGATATCTTTCAGCAGGAAGCAGTCTACCATTTAGAGCAAGGAGATTCTGTATTTGTGGCTGCTCACACTTCTGCTGGTAAAACTGTTGTTGCCGAATATGCTATTGCTATGGCGCACAAAAATATGACAAAGGCAATTTACACATCCCCAATCAAAGCGTTGAGTAATCAGAAATTTAGAGATTTCAAACACACTTTCAAAGAGCTTGATGTTGGGGTCATTACAGGTGATGTTCAGATCAATCCAGAGGCAAATTGCTTGATTATGACCACAGAAATTTTGAGATCTATGCTTTATAGAGGCTCTGATGTGATCAGAGATGTGGAATTTGTTATTTTCGATGAAGTACACTATGTCAATGATGTCGATAGGGGTGTGGTCTGGGAGGAAGTTATTATTATGTTACCTGACCACGTGAAGATCATACTTCTATCTGCCACCGTACCAAATACCTTAGAGTTTGCCTCTTGGGTGGGAAGAACTAAACAAAAAGACATTTACGTCATATCTACTCCCAAGAGACCCGTGCCATTGGAGATATATATTTTCGCAAAAGACACGCCATATAAAGTCATTGACTCCAATAGACATTTCCTTGAGTCGGGTTACAATCTTCATTCAGATAAGTTCAATAAGAAAAGTACCGATGATACAAAGATAGTTGCCAATGCTGGTCGTGGAAGTGGTCGTGGCGGTAGCGGTCGTGGAGGTGGACGTGGAGGTGTTAGTGCTGGTGGGCGTGGTAGTTCCCGTGGAGGTGTTCGTGGTGGACGCGGCGGGCGTGGTGGGAGCCTGTCTAACAACGGTCCTAGGTTCATCAAAAGAGACGCTCCAACTAGCAAGTCCTGGTCTACCTTGGTTGATTACATGAGAAAAAACGATTTATTGCCCGCAGTTATATTTGTCTTTTCGAAAAAGAGATGTGAAGAATATGCTGAGAGTTTGAGTGGATTCAATTTTTCAAACTCAAGGGAATCCTCTGAAATCCATATGTTTATTGACAAAGCAGTTGCAAGATTGAAGAAAGAAGATAGGGAATTGCCTCAAATCTTGAGAATGAGAGAAATGCTAAAGCGTGGTATTGCTGTCCACCATGGTGGTCTTTTGCCGATCATCAAAGAGGTTGTTGAAATTCTTTTTTCTAAATCTTTGATTAAGGTGTTATTTGCTACCGAAACTTTTGCGATGGGTTTAAATTTGCCTACAAGAACAGTGGTTTTTAGTTCATTGAGGAAGCATGATGGCACCGGTTTTAGGGACTTATTACCGGGTGAATTCACACAGATGTCAGGTAGAGCTGGCCGTCGGGGTTTAGATAAAATTGGTACAGTTATGATTATGGCATATCAGCAGCCACTTGACAAAACCAGCTTAAAGCAAGTTGCTTTAGGTGTTCCTACTAAGCTTTCATCACAATTCAGATTAACGTACACTATGATATTGAATTTGCTCAGGATTGAGGCTTTGAAAGTGGAAGATATGATCAAACGTTCATTCGGTGAAAATTCATCACAATCCATGTTACCCGAGCAACAGCTTGAAATTCTAAGATTGGAAAAAGAACTTGAATCTATACCAAAACTAGATATTGGAACAGAAGACCTCGTCAAGCTCGAAAGAATATATACGCTATCCCGCGAGATAAGAGAGTTACAATCAGGTATATATCTTTCTCTTGAAAACTTTCCAAAGTTGAGAAAGTTTCTTAAATTTGGCAGAATCATTGTATTCAAAGATAGGCATCAGAAATCGATGGTGGGTGTGATACTCGATGATTACGTCTATAAACACTCAGTGACCTGTTTGATCGCTTGCGAGGTTTCCGGAAAACAAAAAGAAAACGATAGGACGGACAGCAGTTTATTTTTCAATCCTGTTTTTGGTGAACGTTTCATCAATGCTTGGTTCCCTAGATGGCTCGTATCAGGCAGAGAGAAGATACATTCCCAAGCTGTTAAATTAAGTTCGATCGAATTTGTTTCCAATGAATTTGTTCATGTGCCGAAAGAAATATTCAAAAAGGACACGAGGGCAATAGAAAGATTTAGGAAAGAGTTTAGTACCCAGCTGGATAGAAGAGCCCGCTGGTCTGAGACTGATTACCAGAACTTAATGTTTGAGTCTAATATTGAATTAGTTCTTCAACGTGTCAAGGTAATGAAAGATCTTTCCGAATTATTAAATGATATTGAGGTCGTGGATCTAATAACTAAGGGTGATAACTACCTAAAGGTTTCCCACCGAATGGAAATAAGTGAACATATTGAGAGCTTAAAAAAATCGTTAAGTGATGAGAACCTTGAATTATTGCCCGAATATAATAAAAGGCTAGAAGTTTTGAAAACCTTGGACTATGTGAACCCCGAACAACTAACTATCAACCTTAAGGGTAGAGTTGCCTGTGAAATCAATTCAGGATGGGAGCTCGTCATGACAGAACTAGTTTTCGATAACTTTTTAGGTGGGTTTAGTTCTGAAGAAATCGTCGCTTTGTTATCGTGTTTTGTTTTTGAGGGAAAGAGAGGGAGCAATAAGGATGAGGCTCCAACAAAGTTGTCCACACCTAGATTGGAAAAGGGTAAGGAAAAAATTTGCTCCATTGTTGAAAAGATCATGACTATCTCAACTGAACTGAAAATTCAACTAACTGCTGAAGAAGATTCGTTCTTGGAAAATGATAGATTTGCTTTGGTTAACACAGTATATGAATGGGCCAGAGGGAGGAGTTTCAAAGATATCATGGAGTATGCAAATGACGCTGACGAGTCAGAAGGTACAATTGTCAGGGTGATTACGTTCCTTGACGAAATCTGTATGCAAGTTCGGAATGCTTCCATAATCACGGGAGATTCAGCGTTGCACTCCAAGATGACAGATGCACAGGAAAAGATTAAGCGTGATATTGTTTTTTGTGCCTCTCTTTACTTGTAGTCTACGGCTTCATACGATAGACCTATAATTTTATTAATGTACAAATAGAATAGAAGAAAGTTTCTAACAAAATTTATGAAACGTAGCGTTTATCTTCTTGTGTTGTGATTGGGTTTCTGAACTCCAGAATCCGATCTGAATGATGATTTATCTGAAGTCATCTTTTTCATCAGCGGCTTCACAGATGTTTTCCCTTTTTTTAATCTTAGTTGTGGTTTCAAAGTGTTGGCGTTTGGAGCCGCTTCAGCTACCACACTGACCACATTTTCACCCCTGAGGATCACCAATCCTAGCAGTCGCTTCTGTTCTTTTACTTTAGACTGGTCAACGTCTCCATTTTTTACTTGGTCAAGATATTTTTTGGTTTTTTGTAGCAAACGGAACTCTTCGCATTCAACTAGGACCAGGTTCATGAATTTGTCATAGGATAATAGTGTTCCCATGAACGTGGAGTTTTTTGATGTTGTGACACGTACTTTGTAATTAAGCAACGTTTCCAATCTCGTGTTCTTCGGTACCCTTCCTATCGCCATTCTTTCCTGTTGTTGAACTCTTTTTCTGCTTGCTTTGTTCTGGTCTTCTGGCTCTTCTGGCTCTTCTAGCTCTAGCTGCCTAGACACATGATCTTTGTAAGTCACCTTACACCCAGAAGATTGTGCGCAACAAATGCACAGAAATTAGAAAAAAAAACTTCTTCCCTCGCACTCTTTGACATATTGAAGAAGACACTACTAAAAATATGGAATAGGTTCATTACGCTGAGTCGGCTACAAGATTCACGAGTAAGTCACATGTCTCTGACGGATGCCGTAACTCGAGCACAAGGCAGCAGAATGGCCCGAAAATGTACGCTTCCTAAAGAAACCCTAAAATCATCAAAAAAATTTGATGGCTTTCTTTTACTTTTGTTAATGTATTGCGGTTGGCTATTTTTAAGTTTAGCTCAGTTAATCGCAATTGCTAAAGCGAATCTCGCCTTCAGTGTAAGTATAATATACTTCATAGTGCTTCTGGTAAAACGAGCAGTGTTTTAATTGGAGAATATTGGCATCTAATGATAAAGATATGTCTCCAAAGCACTTTCTGCCGTTTTATACCTCCAGCTCTTCCACTGAAAATCAGAATAGTAGAAATAGGCCTTTTCCGCTAGAGCTACAAAAGAGATTAGTTTCTCAGGCTGAATACATCCCACGAGGTTGATTACCATTTATGGGCTTTTCATTCGCTGGTGAAATATGTAGCAGCAAAGAATCGCAGAAAAAGCTTTGGAGGCTGAAAAAGCAAGAATATAAAGTACTCTAGTTTTTTGAAGTACGGAATCGTGGCGACCTTAGAACAAGCTCAGAAGACGTGCTTTAGCCTAAATTTGGCACCTTTCAAATTGTACCTGGCATAACCCCCCACGTATAGAATACATTTTTGCTCCAAGATGAACTTTAGGTTCCGACTGGTAGCGTTTGCTTTTTAAGTTCATTTTTGGAAGAGTACAAAGAGTTTAGCCGATCTTTAGACTTTATATTACTGACGCTCTTTTTCTGAGCAACGGGTTGTTGGGCATTCAATCGCTTGATTGATATTGTTATGTATTACAGGCTTACCTTCTCCTATGCTCGGCTATATTAAGAAACCCTTAAGCTTCATTTAGGGATTGCCTTGAACTCTATCGAAAGTTGATTAAATGAAGTGTTTCTTGTAAGCAATCAATTGTGCTTTCTGAATTGTGGTGAAGCATAGGTAACGTAGAGAAATGACCTCTCTGGGGCTAGATACAATATAACGGAAATGTACTAAAAAAAGCCTCATTTTCCCGGCACCGAGAGCAAAATGAGAAGATTAGTAGAGAAAAACGGGAAAAAATAAGCTCCGAAGGCTTTTTTCAGCCCAGCCAGCGGTAAGGCTTCCGCATGTCTTGGAACGTAGGGTTATTGTTACCCAGGTACATGGGCATACGGGTGTAGCCACTTATGTGCTTTGGTTCGGCCATATACTTTAATGTAGCTTTTGTCAAGAAGAAGTGTAGGAGGAATGCTATTTTTGTTGAAGGAATATTTGGTAGCAAGATTGGCTTAAAAAGGTGTGGCCTAATGAAATATGGCCTGAGAGTACTTTCTTAGATCAGTAAAGTGATGGAAGTGTTCAAATATGTTAGGCATTTACTTTTGCCTGAAAAAAAAAATGACATCCAATTGAGGTGTGCAATAACAATGAGATCTTCTGGAGACAACGAAGATCAACACAAGTTCTTACTGAAAGAGAGTGAGGCAGACGAAGATACTTGTCATAATGATCTTTCTTACCCTAACAATAAAGATCATGGTGCAGACCATACCATAAAGAGATTTTCATGGACCTGTTTCCCGGCAAAACGCTGGTTTGGTCGTCAAGAGGAACAGGTGAGAAAAGTTGCAGAACTTGAGGACTATGAATACTATGTCCCATCTCCGTTAGATACTTTCATAGGATATGCTGTTGAAGTAGCAGGTACCATCCACGTCCTATTTATTGTTGTGGCGCTATTCATAGCTTGGATCGTTTGGGGTTGCCTCACCAAGGGTGAAGACACTTGGCAGATTGTCATGCAGGACGGGCAATCCATTCAGACTTACGTCTGGAATACTTTCCTCATGAGGCAGCAGCTCGATAATGACGAGAGACTTTTGCTTTTGTACGGAAAGCTGAAGAGTAGGTACCTAACCCACCGGCGACTAATACAGAAGCTGGTCGAAAGCAGAGGTAGTCCCGATACCACTTCTTTGTGGAAAGCCAGACCGAAAGTAGAAGAAAATGTTGACGAGAAGAAAATAATAGATTTTGTCAGCAAAAGTCTTTTTGACCGAGTTTCTCATTATGTTGAAAAAGTATTAGGAAGTTTACCGGCAGTAACAATTTACTGGATAGGTATATTTGTTTGGATTGGCTGTGGTGCTTTGCCATTGAACGAAGGCACATCAGAAAGTCCAGATATGCAAATTTATTCAAATACGTGGCAAATGTATGTCAACACAGCGACTGCTATTGAACTTTTAATAACTACAGTATTTTTGGAAAATGTCAGAAACAGAACGAATGCTTTCATCTTGAAGCAGACAGAAATTTTTGATCAGATCGACGGTGAGTTGGAACGTCTACTGAGGGAGATTGACGGGAACGACACTAAGAACGAACTTGTGGTTGTTCACAGATATCCTCGAGATCGTGTACAACAGCTAATCAGTTTCTATGCTCATGTCGTTGGTAATGGCTTAGGTTTGATTATTTCAGTGTGTGTGTTTTCCACATGGATAGGAATTGGAAACTTGATGCACTGGAATGCTAACTGGTGGTTGGTAATTGGAACTTATACCGGTTTGATCGGCTTTATTGATGGTTTTGTACTGCGTGAAATATTTTACTCAATCACACATTACGAACAGGGTAATTTTTTAGAGCTGCTCGACGGCTCACAAGAGTTGCTAGACTCTATTGGAATTCCCGTGAAATTAGAAAGACCCAAAATTCGGGAAACCTTGAGTAACAGAATCTCTCTTTTGATTAACCAGATGTGCTCCAGCAAATGGTCCGTTGTACTGTCTTTTGTGGTGGTGATAGGACTCATTATTCTGGCAAGCGCAATGCGATGGTCTGAGACTGCCCAGTTGATTGCTAACACACCTACTATGATCGTCGAAGGTTCCTTTTTGCTGATTCTCATTCAAGCGCACAATTGGGCTTGTGATGAGAGAAAATTGACTCTTCTAGAGCTGAATCGGAGTAGAGTACTACTCGTCGACTACGTTAGTAGATACCAAGCTGTATAAATGATCTATGTATACCAGTGATAGCTTGAACTGTTTAAGTTTATTTGTTTTGGCTAATTATCCATGGTTTATGGTTTTTTTTCTTTTGTGGATTAATTTTTTGGACCTTTACCGTTAGGAATCGACGACAGGCGTTGTAGTTTGGTTCATGATAGCATGCACATTGTAATAACAACTTTGCTACTGATTATAATTGAAAAAAAGCATATTTTATTCAAGGAAAGCATAAGTGGCCGAGCGGTCTAAGGCGACAGACTCAAGTTCTGTTACTGGTAACAGTGCGCAGGTTCGAATCCTGTCTTATGCACCCTTTCTTTTAGCGGCCTTAGCTCAGTGGGAGAGCGCCAGACTGAAGATCTGGAGGCCCTGTGTTCGATCCACAGAGGTCGCATCTATTTTTTTCATAGCTCCGGTTTTTTAACCGGTCTCGGCTACCCGTGCACCAACCAACCATTATCTTTTCCTTTACTCTTTTTTTTTCCGCATGGCGGAGGAAGCGAGAGGGAGAAAGAAGGGAAGAGAGGAAAGAAGGACGGGAAGACTAACACCTGTCTACCTAACGTCAACGACAGACCGGATGCTTGAAGCTCTGACTTGTCAGTACTAGAACTAGGCTACTCATACTTCTGGAAAGATTGAACAGAATAGGACGAAACTTATTCACTAACAATAGTTGAAAATCAGCGGATGTCTTTCTTACAGAAGAATAAAGTTGCCGTTACGGTTACTGCCCTTCTCGGTGTAGGTACCCTAGCCGGGATTGTCTATTATATGAAATATTCTGGGGCTTCGAAGGACACATCATCAGGCTCATCAGATGCTTCCAAGAAGAAGAGAAAGAACAAGAAGAAGAAGGGGAAGTCTGGCTCTTCCTCTGGGCAAACCACCTCATCTTCGTCCTCAGCACCTATCGCTGTTCCTGAGGAAGATCCTGAAAAATCCGTTTATCCAGTTAATCCAGAGTCTAAACTTCCTGAAGTTACAGCTGAAGAGGTATCCAAGCTATCGGCTGGTGAGAAGGATAAGTGGGCCATTGCATTGAAGGAGAAAGGTAACGAATACTTCAAGGCAAAACAATACGAGAAAGCCATTATTTACTATACCAATGCATTGACCTGTAAGAAGGACCACATTTTCTATGGTAACAGAAGTGCATGCTATTCCGCCTTGAAGCAATTTGATAAGACAATCGAAGACACAACTGCTGCGCTAGAAATAAAACCTGATTACTCCAAATGTTTATTAAGAAGAGCACTTGCATATGAGGAGCTTGGTAGATATGAAGAAGCCATGTTTGATTTGACTGCCCTTTCCATCTACGGCCGTCTCACCGATCAATCCTGTGAATCCATTTTGGAAAGAGTTCTGGTGAAATTAGCCAACAAAATGAATGAAGAAGTTTATTCTCACTTGCCAAAAGAACTACCATCCTCTTCCTCCATCTCATCATTCTTAGGTGCTTTTGTCAAGGAAGATATTGATTTAGACTTGTCCAAGTACGAAAAAGATTCTGGTATCTATTTCTTCATCAGCGCCTTGATTGAAATCAACAAGGATACTGACGAAGGCTATGAAAATGCCGACAGCTTGTTGAACCAATCGATTCAAAGATTTGAAAAGGGTTCTTATGATGCAAAGGACAAAAAACTGGTTGCAATCGCTTACGAATACATGGGAATTTTCTCGTTCCTGAAAACTAGTGATAATGCTTCCAGCTATGTCGAAAAGGCGTTATCAATCTATGCTAGACCAAGAATGTACGTTGTTTTGGCATTGATTGCTGCAGACAAAGGTGATTACTTATCTGCAGATGCTGAATTCACCAAAGCGATTGAAATGAACCCTGAAGACCCTAATATCTACTACCACTACGGTCAAGTCTACTACTTGATTGGTGATCTAACAAAGGCACAATCAAATTTTGAAAAGGCTAAATCGTTGAACCCAAAGAATGTTTTTGCCCACATTCAGCTTGCATGTATAACCTATAGACACAATGATGTTCAAAAGTGTTTTGAAATGTTCAACCAAGCCAAGAGTATATTCCCAACTGCACCTGAGATTCCTAACTATCTGGGTGAAATCATGTTTGATAAGGGTGATGTTGAAAACGCAACCAAGCAATTTGACATCTCTGCCAAGTTGCAAGAAGCCATGCCAGGTAACAATATAGGAGTTTTGCCATTGATCAACAAGTCCGTTATCTTCCAAAAGACCAACGAATTCGACAAGTGTATTGAAATTTTAGAAAAAGCTGTCAAAATCGATCCAAAATCAGAAATCGCTTGGACCAATTTGGGTCAAGTCTACCTCCTAACTCAGAAGATGGAAAAATCAATGGAATGTTTTGAACGTGCATGTAGATTGTGCAGATCTTCCGAAGACAGAAAACAAAGTATCGCTCTATTGGAGTCTGCCAAATGCCAATTGAAGGTTAAGGAGGATCCTGTTTTGAGTGAAAAGGTTCGTGAAATTATGGCTCAATATGGCCAAAGATAAATTAGATAGTTGTGGTTTTCACTTCCCATAACCGTTGTTGTAAATATAAGTCATATAATAATAATGTTCAGTTATTATATAATCAACCTAGTTCATGTTTATAATTGCAAACTAAGTCCTATACACTTCATTGGTGCAGTACATTTTCTTTTGCCTACTTTCTCCTTACGGATTTCGGGAAGACGACGGATAGTAGCAGTTATAACGATTATAATAGAGTTAAATGGATAAATAAATAGTCTTTATATAGAGAGTAGAATCCAGTCAGCTTGAATGGAAACATATGGGAGGGAATATGTGGATGGAAAGGCTTATTTGGTGAATATATGCTTTAATGGGCCCTTCGAGTGGTAGAAGTTAGCAGAGTAGTCCTTCTTCTTGAACTTCTTGGTTTTTGGCTCAGTGACATAGTAGTCCCAGCCGTTCGATTCAGCAAATCTGACGGCTTCTTCCTTGGTGTCAAAGTTTAATCTGGTAGCTTGCATGTAATCGGCAGTACTCTGGTAACCAGTAAGATCGTTTTCCCACCTGTTACCCTTACCTAGGATGTCCCATTCTAGTCTCCAGAATTTGGTGTTTCTGTAACCGTTTTGAGTTGCGGACTGTGCTTCTTTGTAGACTCTCACCAATCTGTTTCCTGATACAGACAGTTCTTCTGGGGCACCAGAGATAAGTTGTTTCCCATGTGTGGTCCGATCGGTGATTTCTTTGACCTTTTCAGGCACTTCGACTGAGGCAACAACTGGGGTTGCGTTGGAGGAGTTCATACGAACACCACTGTTCAGGACTCTCAACGTGGAAGGTCTAATTGTTCTGGCAAACATTGTTATGGCGGAGACAGGTGTTGTGGATTATCTGTACTCAGAACCAACACTCCGGCTTCCAATACTTCTAATCGTATCATCAGTCCCTTTTGCACTTTCATCTTTGCTTACTACGATAATAGACCCCCTCTGAGAGGTTCGCTTTTTTCCCCACTCGTAAACGTGAGAGTTTCACACCCGGTGCACGGGTTGTCCAAAACGCATCGATCGTCTTTAACATGTTTTTTCCGCATTTGAGACTTATGTCTCCTTGTACATAGATACACACAGAAGCGGATGCTTCTGTCAGTTTTACACATTGGCGTAAGATCAGAAATACGTTCAGCTAATAAGAACCCACATGAGGAAAAACACAATCAAGACACCGAAGATCTTCAACATCAACCAACGGTTGCTGCTGACGTTGTGGTAGTACTTCATGAGCTCTCTTTGGGCGCCGCCGATATTGAGACTCACGTCTTCGACATTGGTGTCGATTCGCTGGATCACCTCGCCTTGTTCTTGAACCATGGTCGCCAACTGTTGGAACAGTCCACCGACTTCGTTGATTGTGGATTCGATGGCATCCACCGCGTTGCTTCTCTCTTGTATGTATTCGTTGTTCTGTTCCTCCAGCAAGAGAAGTTGCTGGGATTGGTCGGGCAAACTCAACATAGCGCCTCCGTAGTCATCGTGGTTTGCATCGCTTGCAGCCCCCGGGCCAGAAGCAGCTGCTGTTCCCAGGTCCAGACTGGCCAAGAATGGGTTTTCCGAGGTGCCCACTCCAGGAGAACCTACAGATCCAGCCATGTTCTTAGCTGCAGCCCTTACTGCGTATGGGATTTGACCGTTGATACTGTTGGCTTTATCGCTTTCGCCGCTACCATGTCCGTACTCTCCTGTAGCACTCCCAACACTGCTCTTGACCGCAGCTAGTAATTGTTCTTGTCTGCTGCGTTGTAGCATTTCTGTCCGTTGTCTGGTTTGTAACACATCTTTGAAGTTTTCACTTATGTTTTTAGTCTTGGTGTTCAAAAGCTGCACGACATTTTTATTGTACATGTTCAACTGCGCATCACTGCCGCTGTTGCTCTTACCACGGTGTCCCGAGACCTGCAACGACTTCAATGATTTGAGCTCTTTTTCTATTCTAAAAATGTCTTGCTTGATTATATACGTGAGCTCAACAATATCGGTGGGCTTATCGCCAAAAAGCTGTTTCCTTTTGGTCAACTGTGCCAACTTAGATAACGCTCCAGTAACACGTATGATTTCCTTGGCAATCTGTCCAGCTTGTTTATTAAACTCAGTCTTACCACCAGAATTACCCTTACCAGATGATGCTTCTGCCGGTGCCGGTAACGATGATGAGGTACCATTACCCTTTAGATTCACACCTTTGTGGTGGGCCTTCTCTTGTCTAGAAAATGTGTTGACCGCCTGCTGGAACTCAAAGGTTCGATCCTGTATGCTATTTGCGGTATATACTTCCATTACTTTCTAGATATATTTGCGGTTCAATGAGAGTAGCGGATAAACTTGTGACCTTTTACTCTCCTCTCAAATGGTGGCAATTTTCATCTCATTACGGCGTGTTTTCAAAATGGCCTCTTCAACTTCCCTCAAAAGACCAACGCGCACTCCGCCCTCCTCACTCATTTAAGCACATTTTGTTAAAGAAAGATACGTGCGCTGTTGCTACATGAGGGGCTATCATATACAAGACGCGTAAATTCAATGCTCCGGTATTAGATCTCACTAGAGATAGTTATGAATATGAAGACTACTAATAATTAACCACCTTTATTGGGAAAAGGGTGGAATGCAGGAAAATATCAGGCTTATTCGATTTTGGCCTCCTGCCCACAATCGTCACAGTAGAACTTTATTTGGTTTGTAGTACCCGAAGTCATTGGATGCGGAGTAAAGTTGACACTCTGACACTTGGAACAGGTATACTTACCGTCTCCAACGTCGCTCCAACCTTCGGCACGCCTGTTTGCGATGCTCCCGACGTCCAAGGGTATACTTACTACCTGGGACTCTTTAACCCCACCGTCTTCTACTTGGTGTGTGGCCCTTTCAATGTAAACATTGCCCTTCAGCTGCCCACCTTCCTCGGACTTGGACAATGACGTATTGGAATGCGAATGCTGCTTTTGGCCTACTTGATGCACAACCCCAACATGTGGAGTTTGCACTAAAACCTTTTTTATCTCATCATCAATGTTCTTCACCGAATCTGACACCTGTATAGAATTTTTAGAGCTTGATGAGTAAGAAGTGGATGATACACTAGACGATCCTCCCCGCAAAGGCAAAGAGGTTAACTTATCTTTCCCAACCCCGACGCTATGGTTGTGTTGAATGCCTCTTAAAGTGCTGTTGTTCATCTCGTCATAGCTTGTCTTGCCGCTGTAAGAGCTTGTTGATACATCCGGAGTAGAGGTTATCATATTAGTGTTGCTGTTCCCATCCACTTTCTGCTGTTGTTGCTTCTCAATGTTGATTTTTGGAATCAATTGCTTTGCACTCTTGCAACAACTAGAAGCTTTCGTTGTACCTGATCCATTTGCATTTGAACCGTCAGGTATTATGCTGGATTCAACTGCAAACTTATTTGCTGGTCTCAAGTACCCCTTTTTCCCACGACCCCTAACTGTTGCATCCGCATCCATGTAGATGGAAGACATCGTATCCGCGATGTTCATCGTCGTGGCCTCGTAGTTTGGAATCACTAAAGAATTTCGATTCAGTACCTTCTTACTCATCCCTCTTGAGAGTACGCTCTGTTTTCTATCTAACAACTGTGAGGCTTTTTTGCCTTGAAGAGCTTTTCTGATATACCTTGAAAAATCTCTTCTAAAAACTTTAATCTTCCCGGTGTTATCTGTTGAAACGATCACCGCTGTTGATAAATCATCAATTTCCAGGTCTTTTATATGACTTTCAGTTACCAAGGAAGAATATTGATGCTTCAAATCGAAAATTGGATCATTACTCAATTCCAACAATTTCAATGAAGCTCTAGGTGCAAATAATGAGACATTACACCTGTTATTATGCGTATGGAAAGAACCATAATATTTGTTGTCTATGAGACAGGTGTCGTCTTTGAAGTAATTCAAAAGATCAAAGTGTGCCTTGGTGAATAATTTCTTTTCGTTTTCTATTTTGTTTCGCTTATCTGAATACAATTGCCATATATAAGTCCATCCATCGTCACTACCACTAATAACGTGGGTCTTATCCTCATTTAAGCTTGCAGATATAGTTGATGCTTTATTTGTATAACCTGAATACCTAACTTCCAAAAATTTTTCCGTGAAATTAAACAATCTAATTTTAGAATCATTACATGAAATTAGAACCTTCACCATTGGAAGTTCGCTTTCGTTGTTGGTTTTGTTATTACTTGAGGTGTTACTTTTATTGTAAGGAGTTTTTGCTGGATCACTCAAACAATCCTTTGTATCATCTATGAATGTGACAATTCCAGTAATCCTGGGCATGTTATGCTTTCTTTTGATTTGGTAATCTGACTCAACTATTAGACCACCATCGATCTTAAGCGTAAAGATATATCCCTTATCACAGCCCACAAACAACCGCTTGGAATTTGGGCAGAAATCAAAGCAAGTAATCGATTTGTTCAAATTGACTTCATAAATGACTTCCTTCTCAAAAATTGAAAGAAAAAGTACCCTACCATTCCACTGAGATGCGACAAAGAAACGGTCGTCAGTTTTATGGAATTTGGCACACGTCACAATACTGTCGAACTTATAAGTTTGTAGGCAATCTGCTCTGTCTACGTGCCAAAGCTTAGCAGTTCCATCCTCTGAAGAACTCAACAGAAAGTTGTTCTTGGACCAATCCAAAGAGTTTACAGTTCTATCGTGATAAAACGTTTTCACAGGCTTCGACTTAAAAACTGGGGCGTATTCTGCATTTTTTGATGAGAAATGGGAATTTGGCTTTGACTCGTTGGTGTTTGCGCTATCATAAGAATCAAGAGTGTTCCTTCGTGATTTTGAGTAGGACTTGCTAGTCCGTTGTTCTGAGCCCCCATTTATAATAGAGCCCAGGTCATTCAATGTATCGTCAAGGGCATTCTCAATGAAGGATTTCCTGTGTGGTTTGACTGGAATGTTCAAAGAATGGAAGTTATTGCTGTGTCTATCCATCTCCGAAGTGATAACTTCCCATATTCTTATTAAGCCGTCGGCACCAGCAGACGCCAAGTATTTCCCATCATGGCTAAAAGCCATGTTGTAGATGGCATGCGAATCCACCGACTTGGTAGACATGTTCCCATTCGACTGCACCCCATTTGAATTCAAGGTCGTAGAACTCGTGTTCCTTCTATAGTTGGGAGGCACACTCCCATGGCTGTTGGCTGCCGAATCCGTGCTGTAGGCACCACCATTGAGATTGTTTTGGTCGTGTGCCGAGGGCGACAGAAAATGATCATCACACTTAAGCTCTTGTGATAAGAAAAAATGGTTGTAGCCCTTGTTTGAGAAGCGTGCACTTCTTCTGAACAGCGTCAAATAGCTCAAATCGATTTTCCTGAGCTTCTCAAACTCACTCTCACTTGTCGGAGGGTACGACGTCGAATAATTAGGGGTCAGCTTATTCATGTGAGCAGAGTCAGGAAAGCTCGTGGCTATGGTGCTTCCATCCGTATGGGAAAAGTGATCGTGGCTGTCGCAGCCGCTGGTTTCAATTGTAGGAGTCATGGCTACTTTGGACGCCACTGCACATTTCGGCGTAAGATCTGGGATGGCAAATGGTGTACTGGGCACATTTATTCTCTGGTCGGGCGAAAGCAGACAGCTCTTATCCTGGAAAAATCCCTTCATTTGTCTGGCTCAAATACCCTCGTATACTTTAATAGATTAGACCAAATACTTCCACCTTGCTTGCAGATCAATTGACTGCAGCAATGGCTTGTTCAATGGCAACTTTTTTATCAGTCCTTCTCCTCAATCCCAAAAAGGCTACTAGGCTACCATACGGGCCGAGCAGTCAGTTTCTCCGATGGCTTGGAGAGGAAGGGCTTTCTCTCCCGATGCGGAGGCAAAGGCGATTGATTTTCCAATCACCCGCTCAAGAGGCTAATAAAGAGATTACGTAATAGAAAAATGTTAGGCCGATCGGCTCAAAACACGTAAAAAGGGTGGGAAAGCGCGAGACGGGGAACCCGTGCACCGTTGTGGGTCGCGCGGATTTGCCTTTCTCTTCCAACTTTCACGAAAAAACGGGGCAACGGGGGAAGAAGGAGGAAAGTGAAGGTGGCAAATTAAGAAGCGGCAGAAGAAAAGGAGGAGGCTCTCTTGTTTTTCTTTTGTTGGTTGTGCTTCTTCATATTGCTGAAGCAACAAGAGGACTTCTCAGATACATCAGGACAGTACACACATACGATGGAGAGCGAATATTCGACCGTTCAACTTTTTGTGAGACCAATCAACGCCCAAGCCAAGCACGATGAAGTGCAGGAATTCTTTTCAGAATGTGGTCCGTTGAGAGAGCTCAGACTCATGCCAGGCTATGCCTTTGTCGAATACGAAACCCCAGAAATCGCCGAAAAGGCCTTCAACGAACTGGTGGAGAAGACGTTCCAGGGTGAGCCTTTGCAAGTCGAGTACGCTAAACACAAGCCAGAGTACGCGAAGAAGGGTGAAAACAGAGTGAAGGTTAGCAGTTTGCCAATCCACACCTCATGGCAGGATTTCAAGGACTTTTTGCGTGAAGAAATCCACGTCCAGCCAACTTTTGTTCGTATCCCTATCGAAGAGCCGACCGTTTGCCATTTAGAGTTTGCCTCCAAGGAAGAGATGGAAACTGCTATTGCAGCAATCAACGAAACCAAGTTCAAGGATGCTGCCATTGTTGCTGAAGAAGACACCTCTCCTTATATCGCATCTGCTTCAAGACAGGTTGTCCAACGTCGTGGCCGTGGTGGCTACTTCCGCGGAGGACCAGGTCGTGGCTACTACCGTGGCGGATTCCGTCCAGTCCACAGAGGTGGTTACGGCGGTCCAGGTGGCTTCAGAGGCCCACCTCCAATGGGCTACGATTCATACGGTCCTCCTCAAGGCGGTTACAGAGACTACCCTCCAAGAGGAGGTTACATGGGTAGAGGTGGCTATATGCCAAGAGGTAGAGGCGGTTACATGCCAAGAGGCAGAGGAGGCTACATGCCAAGAGGAGGTTATGCCCCAAGAGGCGGTTACCCTCCTAGAGGCGACTACGGTCCAAGAGGCGGCGATTTCGGCGGTGCTCCTCCTCCTAGAGGTGACTACGGTATGCCGCCTGCTCCAGGTGCTGAATTCAGAGAAGGCCCACCACCTCCAAGAAACGATTACAGATCAAGCAGAGAAGATGGTGGTGAATATTCAGGTGACAGAGATTTCAACAGGGACAGATCTCCAGGTAGATTTTGAAAATCAAGGAAGAATTGAAAAACAGAACGTCAGGACGGATTGATGATTACGAATCAGTAGCGATTGAATTGAGTAAATTAAGAATAGATTTTTCTTCCCTTACCTTTTTGAGACACCCGAAATTTGATGATGATCAGAAGAAGAAAACTATGCGAAGATAAGTAGAAACTCAAGTAAATTGAATCAAAATTGTATTTTTTTAGTCATTTTTTCACTAAATTAGAAAAGAATCTTTTCAAACAGACTCCTTTCAAGTCAACTGAAGTAAATATGTGAATATTCGAATGAGTGATTTGAAATTGTAAATTATATTATTAGACTACGAAATAATAAGTTAAAACTAAATTGAAAAACAAAAGTTAGTCTTTTTGTTAACATTGTTCCATTGTACTTCCCCCCATTCTATTCTTTTCCATCGTTCCATTTTCCATTTTCCATTTTCCATTTTCCATTTTCCATTTTCCATTTTCCATTTCCAATTTTCCATTTTCCATTTTCCATTTCCAATTTTCAAATTTCAATCTCCTATTTCCTATTTCCTATTTGTGTTTACCGATTTTTGTTTTTGCTTTCTGCTTTCTGCTTTTTGCTTTTTGCTTCTTGCTCTTTGCTTTCTGCTTTTTGCTTTTTACTTCTTTTCTCCATTTTGTTTACTCGGAAAAGTCTTACTTTCTCAGCTTTCCTTTAGTACTCTCAAACCATCCCCATTGTACTCGATTCAAGATTGAAGTGATAGAGACACATCTGCTGATCAAGATACCCGCTTACTTGACTGAGAGGCACAAACAGTAGACAGTCCGAGAAGGTTCTCGGGCTCTTCTGCGCGTGGCGCGGGTATTTTTGAGAAATTGGCTCAGATGGGAGAGAAACAGATTTGGGTGGCAAACTGAAGAGAGGCGGGAGAGAGGGGAGAAGATAGGCGTATTGTTTGCATTGGCGGACGGGCATTTGAGGGATTGCAATGCTTACGCCTATACTTCCTTTTACAAACACACATTTTTTACAGCACTACCTTAAAACTAGGCCTTGGAACAGACACACTTGCATACATTCAATATGGACAGCATAACTCCTGAGGAGCAAAATGTTTTGGATCAATTCGAAGAAATCACAAATTACGATAAGGAGAATGAAAGCACCAAAGTTCTGCGATTACTGACAGTATGCAATTGGAACTTAGAAGTAGCAATTGCTAGATATTTTGATAATGACTTTCCGCAGCTGTTTGATGAAGTAAACTCTCAGGGGCAGATACCGCTTTCGAGCATGTCGACACCGGCTTCGGCCTCAAACACGGTCGCTACTCCGACACACTCAATTGCCGGATCCGATAATATAGGGGCAGCTGAAGATGATTTCTTTCGAGCCCCGCTGCCAATTCCTCCTACTACGCAGACAAACTTTTTGTTCCCATTCCCCGAAGATGCATTCATTCCTAAACTGCATCGTGCATTGCCTATAAGTAACAAATGGAAATTTCAAGCAGGCTTGATAAATTCAGTGTCCAATAAAAACACATACAAATACAGCCGGTTACTAACCCCTTTTGTGTTTTTGTTGATGCTTATGCCTAAAGTTTTACTCTTCTTAGGGTACGGCTTGAATCGACTCTTCGGGAATTTTGCACCAAAGCTATTCAGAATATTAGGCCTACGAGCCGAGGAGGATGATTTTCCCTCAAAGCCAGTTTACAATGCCGATGAGCAACTGTCAAGCTACGACGTTCATAAGTACATAGATGATTTTTTGGGCAAGGAAATTAGCTTGCCAATATTCAAAGGGGAATTCAATGCTGCATTTGATGAAGCGAGAAACAATTTCAAGTGGTTTTGCGTCGTGCTATTCAATTCCGAATCTCCAAGTTCCGAGAAATTGATCACAAATTTTCTTGCAAACGACTTGTTTGTCAAGTTCATTAAAAATAATGATGTAGTGTTATATGTTGGAGATGTCCTCTACCCAGAACCGTTTGAAGTGGGTCAAACATACTCTGCGTTTGGCCTTCCATACTTAGCTTTGATTGCAAATGTTTCAGCAACAGGAATGACACACCCAGAATTTTCATTTGTTTGTAAATATAACAAGCTGTTGACCGGCTTTGGCAGCAACGGAAATGGAATTGCAAGTGGAAGCTCCGTTTCTAGATTATGCAAGAAGTTGAACAGACTAGTCAGTAAATATGAACCACAGTTAGTTGCACAAAGATACGACAAACAAGAAGCCGAATGCTCAAGACTGATCAGAGAGCAACAGGACAGTGCATATCAAGAGTCTTTATTGAAGGATATGAAAAGACAAAAAGAGAGAGAGCAAAAGCAAAATGAAGAGGAAGAAAAATTACGGAGGGAAAGAGAAGAGAAGTTGAGAATAGAACAACAAATTCTCAAGCGCAAAGAATGCGCCATACGCTACATTAATGAGAAATATGACAGAGATTGCAGTAGCTGGGAGAGAGGCGATTTCACGACAATCCAATTTCGAACTAATAAGGGCCAAAGATTTATTCGTAAGTTTGGAAGGGACGATACTGCATTGGACATATTCAAGTACGTTTCAGGTAAAAAACTCATTGATGAAATGATGAGTTCCGAAGATAACGAGTTCTCTACTGAAGATGAAGTATTGCAATCTTTGAAGAATTACCCTTATCAATTTGACGAAGATACCGAACAAGGTAATGTTTCATTCTCTTTTGATCTGATATCTCCGATGCCACGGCTGAGATTGCAGCCGGTTCTCAAAAAAGTAAACCAAATCAAAGAAATATGGCCCAACGGGTCTCTTTTAATCGAGAAGGGAAACGATGACGACGATAATGACGACGACGATGATGACGATGATGACGATGATGAAGGCAACGATGAAGGCGATGGTGATGAGGAAGAGGAAGAGGAAGAGGAAGAGGAAAAGTAATTCAGTTTGAATACACAACGCTCTGCAAACAATGTCTAACTATTTATATACCACACCTCTCATAGATATACACCTACTGCATTCAAACAATGCGCAATCGATTTTTCATCTCCTTCTCTTGAGAGATGGATCCGCATCCCTCTCGTCTCTTGCATCTGTGGTTTCCCTCAGTTTGCCCATGTTTTCCGAAACAACTCCCACGACGTAGTTTCTTAACTGTTCATCTCTTTGTTCCTCGGAGAGGTTTGAGTTTCCAAAAATCTCTTGCAATTTTTCACGACGATCCTTCACTTCTTCAGAATTGTCATCTGCGTCATCAGTACTGAGATACGCTTTGATTTCCTGTCCATCTGGTAGACGCAACTTTCCGTCAGAAACGCTTGCCCCATCAGAGTCTGCAGACGTCAACTCCTTTGCCGAAGGATCTCCTGTTTGCTCAAGAATTGTGAAGAATCTAATAAGCTCTGGAAACTCGTTTTCTTCAACGAAATATTCTTTCACGTTTAATCCGTCATTGTTTTTCAGCCTGTAATTGGCATTGAATTCTTGTACCAGTACTTTAGCAACATCCAAGCTCTCCGTATGATGCAAAGGTGTGTCACCATCGGAGTCCTGCACGTTTGGATTACCTCCGTTCTGCAAAAGATAGCGCAATAAGTCAATATTGCCATAAGAAGCAGCAGCATGGATAGGTGTAAATCCATTCGGGTCTGCCGAATCTGGTAAAAATTTTCCCGATTCAATGAGGCATTTTACCAAACTAATCTTGTTATCTGCAGCTGCCACCCATATGTTATCTGACATACCAATTTGTTTATCTCCCTTGTTTCAAGAGCTAAGCTCTGGCCTTTTTAATCCATCTTCTGTAATTCATGTTTCTCTACTATGGATAAAAATTTTAGCTTTTTTAATTACAATACCGGCACCTTGATTACGTAACAAAACTGAGATATTAAGCTGGTAAATCAGTTAAAGTTCCGGGAACATGTTTGCACAAATGAAGCAGCTCCATACACACAGAACTGGGGTAGAAAAAGAAGGTTGACGTGAAACGTACAATAAAGGGAAGAGACATGAGTGCCGAGAAGCAGCAAGAACAACAGCAGGTGACGACGACGCCTCTACTTGCGCAGCCAGAAAAGCCTGTGCTATCAGAGGAAAAGAAAGCTTCGTTGTGTTCGCAATGTGACGAGTACAAACAGTGGATGACACAGTACTCGCCAACTGTGAGGTTTATGTTTGATCAGATCAAGCAAGCCGGAGGCTATGTATCTCCTAACAAGATCAACTGCCAGATTTGCGAGGACCCTAAGCTTGGGGGATTTCATCCAGATCTTGGTATCCAACTCTGCGCCAACTATATACCTGATAAATGGGTGTTGAACGACACTCTTTCACACGAACTGATCCACTGGTACGACAATACTAGATTCAAGGTGGACTGGATGAATTTGAAGCACCATGCATGTAGTGAGATTCGTGCTGCCAGTTTAAGTGGAGAGTGTGCCATTATGACCGAGTTTTGGAAGAATTCGGGGGTGATGAGAATCGCCAAGGGACATCAAGCATGCGTAAAGCGTAGGGCTGCTTTGAGCGTTGTTGGACATCCCAAATGCAAAGATATGGAGCATGCCAAGGAGGTTGTGGACGAGGTGTTCAGATCTTGTTTTAACGATACCAGGCCTTTTGAGATGATCTATAGGTGAGCATTTTTTTCGTTATTTCTTTCCTGCTTGTACAAAGGATCTGTGACCATTAATATGTGAAAGGAATACATAGAAGTGTGTATTTAAATCTATTCTTATTTCAAAGAAAAAACATATATGTATATATTAGAGCCACTGTTAGCTTACCTCAAGCATCTACGCTCTTTTTCAGAACACCAAGTACATTGTGCACATCAAACTTGGGCCAAAAACGACTCCAAACCAAAAAATACAATTTCCCAAAACATACTTGCCCTTCATCCACTTTGTTTTTGAAAGTTGAACGAGGCTCAACTGACTCATCTGAAGGCAGAGTAGATAAAATCTCACCTTCTTAAAAATGACGTACATGGCCAACTCATGTATGACCGAGCTCAAAAGAAAGGTGAAAAATGTAGCAGCTGTTTTGTTGACCTTGAAAGCCGAAATTGAGGAGTGGTAGACATGGCGGAGCAAGAACTTGTGGACAGGGACATTCCAGTCACGAGCATACTCATTCCAGTCCACAGAGTTCCACCAATAGCTGTAGAACTCACGGTCAGCGAACCTCGAGAGCTCTGCGATGGCGTTCAAAATCAATTCCCAGATTAAGTAGAAAACTAATAAGTAGATGGTGAGAAACGGAGGGATAGTTTGGATGAGAATAAATGGGTACTCTTTTAAACGATGGCTTAAAGAGGTAGTCTTCTGGATTTCTAAACAATATGACACGATAGGATAGAGGCGGTGTTGTGCAATGGCAATCATCAAGATGATGACACCGAAAATGCCTGCGATTTTTGTGAAAAGGTAGCCCCATCTGATTTTCTCGTTTCTTGGGTATTTGCTCTGGTACACCAAAACAGGAAAGAAGGAATATTCGAAAAAGTTGAAGAACGAGATATTGGAAGGAAACTCCTGGGAAGAGATCTCTGAGTTGCAGAACTCTACCGAGTTGGAGAGAGCCTTTTTAATATTTTCAGGCAAAAATTCCCTTTTTTTCAAGAAGGCTGCTGAAAACCTCAGCTCCTTGGTGATTTCCCACAAGTACCCGTTGAAAAAGGCGTAAGAGTGGACCTTCATCAACATCACGACGGTGTGCAACATGATAAAGATCTGCGCAATCCACGGGTAGTCCATGCGGTCTGCGAAGGAGAGCGGACAGTAGAGGAGCGCCACCTCGTAGACTGTCTGCAGGACAAAACCGGTATACTTCCACCTGATGATGTTATGCTTGACAAGCACCTGGATGACAACAGATGTGTACATAGAGAGGTACATGGCGAGGTCGGTCAAGGCAACCTTCCACAAATCCTTCATCATAAGCTTGAATATCTCGGAGTTGAGCAAGCTACCATGGCTCTGGTGGTATCCGCTCACCACGTCGACTCCGAAAAAGGCGACTGCGATCCAAAACGCAATGTATAGGCCGTAGAACTTGGCGCCAAAGTGGATCTCGCTATCGAAGATGGTCTCCCTTGGGATGAAGTTCAAGTCCCCGAAGTTCGATCTCATCTCGCCGTCTCGTTTGAACCGCACCTTGCTCTGCGTGACGTGCCTGTACACCGTGCTCTGGCTGCCGGCAGAGTCGATCTTCCCGTGCTTGATTGTGTCGTTGCCCGTCGACATGGCCGACTCCGCCGCCGACAGCGGGCTCTCAACCGCCTCTACCTCCGCCTTCGTCTGTTCACGGGCCTCAGCCTCCGAGGAGGCCACCGGTGACTCCGGAACGCTCTCCACGCCGACAATGTTGCTGTCGCTCGAATCGTACTCATCATTAAGTATGATCGACTGTCGCTTTTGCCCAAGGCTCGTGCTGCTGTTGTTCTCCAGAATGTTGAACCGCCTGAATCCCCTATTCGCCCGGTCAAGCGTGCCTTCCGACAGCTGGGGCTTCATCGGGAACTCTTCCCGCGGGTCGGTCATGGTTTCTAGTGTGTATTGTGTGTCTGGTGTCTCTGTACCGTAAACCTTCTGTCCTGTGGACGCCAATTGGTCTGCACGAACTCTCCTTCACCCCTTTGAACTACCCTCACAGGGCTTTTAGTACGCCTCCGTTGCCTTCATCTTCGTCATGTGCAGCAGCAGCCTGTCTACCTCAGGCGTCCTATCCGTCCCAATATGTTCGCTTCGCTGACATAAGCACACTATGGAACCGGGGGAATTGCCGTTTTCGGAATAGACCTCCGGAGGAAAAAAATTTGCAGCTTTTCATGTGACGGAAAGACAAGAAAAGAGCCGGAAAAGAGGCCGGAGAGGCCGGAGAAGAAGCCAAAAGGCGACCGGAGAAACATAGAAGCACCTTAAGGCTGAGATAGAATGTCTAGACCAGAACAGATTGCACCGCCAGAGGTTTTCTATAACGATACCGAGTCGAGAAAGTACACGCAGTCGTCCCGTGTGCAGCACATCCAGGCGAAGATGACGTTTCGGGCGTTGGACTTGTTGAACCTCGAGGAGGGCCGGAGCCACTACCTGCTGGATGTGGGATGTGGGTCTGGGCTTTCGGGGGAGATTTTGACGGAGGAGGGACACATGTGGGTCGGAATGGACATCTCGGCAGACATGCTGGCGACGGCGCTGGACAGAGACATCGAGGGAGACCTCTTTCTTGCAGACATGGGCTGCGGCGTGCCGTTCCGGCCGGGCACGTTCGACGCCGCCATCTCGATCTCTGCGATCCAGTGGCTCTGCAATGCCGACACGAACACAAACGAGCCGAAGTTCCGGCTCGCACGGTTCTTCAACACGCTCTACTCGGCGCTCCGCAAGGGCGGCAAGTTTGTTGGCCAGTTCTACCCAGCGAACGAGGACCAGACCGTACAGATCACGGGCGCCGCCAAGGTGGCTGGCTTCCAGTGCGGTGTCGTCGTCGACGAGCCGGAGTCGAAGAGAAACCGGAAGCACTACTTGGTGCTCCAAGCGGGCTCGTCCGCAAGGCCGTTGAACGTCGATGGCATGGAGGTGGAGAACATGGCGAAGGCACAGCACTCGAAGGAGTCCAGCAAGCTCTCCCGGAAACGGACCAAGGCGCTCGAGACGAAGAAGGAGTACATCAAGCGGAAGAAGATCCTCATGGAGAAGCGGGGGAAGACCGTGCGCAAGGACTCGAAGTTCACCGGACGGGCCCGGAAGGCCCGTTTCTGACCACCGGTGTAGCTGCACCACATGTTTCTGTTTTCTAACCCCTTTTCTCTTGTATAGTATTCTACCGACAAACAAACCTGTATCAATCACCTTCCAAGGGGTTACCCGGTCGCATATCGCGCACACTTACTGCGACGACGAGCGCAGGAACGAAAAAAGACATGTATCTGGAGACGAAGGACGTTGCAGAGGAGGGAGATCAAGAGAACTAACCGGCTACGACCTTGTTCCAACAGACAGGGACTTCTGCCACAAAAACACCGCAGAAATTACACTGGGATCATGTTTTCCAGATCTTCGTCATACGTGTATGCTGCGTCAAAGGCCGAACTCAAGAAGACTGGCGTGCGATACACCGCTCAGTCTAAGAAGAACAGAATCAATGTTCAATTGCTGAAGGACTTCCCGGGTGTGGGTATAAAGGGCCAGATCGTTGCCGTGAAGCCATCAGCTATGTCCAACAAGCTCCACCCTTTCAACGGAGCCGTGTACATGAACTATGAGGGTGCAGAACCTGCGATCCCCGTTGTCACTAAGGCGGCCGCAGCCGCAGCTCTTGCAGCACTCAAGAACGCACAGAAAGAATCCAAAAAGACGAAGAAGGTCAAGTTGAACCCAATTTTGAAGAGTGAACTCGAAAAGTCGAAGAAGACTGACAACCTTTTGAGCATGGACGATCTTTTGGCTATCGATCTGAACGCCTTGTCTAAAGACAATCTTGACTTAGTCTTTTCCAAGCTCCCAAAAAAGCTAATTATGGTCAAGAGGTCTAGAGATAGTGTCCTCTCTTCTCCATTACAGAAATCCTTTATTACCCAACAGATCGAGCTGACCCTTGCCAAGTACATAAGAGAGGCGGAAATAGCCGTCAAGTTCTTCAATAACCAGAACACCTCCATCACCCTTAAATCAGAGACAGGTGAGCCGCTCGATGCCATTGACAAGCTCGGAACGTATTACGCTGAAGTCACACACGAGGAAAGAGAACAACCGATCACCATTGTTGTCAACTCAAACAACTAGAACCTTCCTCACCACGCAAGAAAAACAATTGCCCTTTTTATAGAGTTTCACCTTTGTTCTGTACATATAGATCCATGGATAACTGCAAATAATAACCCTTCCGATCTTTTCAGGCTTCCCTGAGAATTAACTTGTGCTTTTACCCCGGATTCATCGCTGGCCGGGGTTTGGCCCTCCAAACTATCATGAAAATGCCTTGTTGCGTTTGCCCAAAAAGGCAACTAACCATCACTTTTTGTACCAATCATTTCCACTCTTTTTCCCATTACTACACTTCTACATCTCTACCCCGTTTCTGCTTCTTTCACATAAGGTTCTTGTCACGTCTGAGGACAAGAAGCTTTGGGTCTTCCGAAACGTTCACAATGGATGCTGTAGAGACATGCTACATGGCAGCCGCCAAATCAGCTTCCCCGCTAGGAAGGTTACTGTTTTTACCTTATTCTTACATACAGACAACGCTTCAAACATTACGGTACATAGTTATGAATACACTGTCTTACTGCCGTTTGTTTGTAGTCTACCACTATAATCTTTTACATGTAATGCAGGAATCTGATCATGATAAAGAAACGTTTGACGTAACATATAACCAGAGGAAATTCAACAATAAGCACAGAATTAGAAACAAATCACTCCCTGTTGCGCCCAATGTCAAGGAAATGTTTGATCCACCAACGAATGTCTCTGAATACATTAGCAGGCTGTGGTTTAGAACTGATTACTATTACGATCGATACTTGATAAATTACCCCGTTGCATTCTTCAACGGATCAATTCACTCCTACTCTTATAATCCAAGCCAATCTTATAATAAAACGAGTGGGAAACCTAAGGCAACAACAAAAGTAGACGGTGCAGTTTCTGGCGAAGTTGATGATGATTATCCAAAAATCGAATTTGTTCCGAAGCCTTATGTCATCGCCGAGTCTTTAAAGAAGAGAAATAGTAGCAGACTTCCAAATTCATCTGTATCCGGTTGTCCTGTACTATCTGGCCTATTTGTGGACCAAAATGAATCTCAAATAGAAGGCCCGTCTGTCGCAGATAAAAATTCAGATGACAAGGATAAAGCAGAGGAGGTATCAGTGGCTACCCCGAGCAATTCTACCAAAAACATCTTCTACAAAATTAAAATTAGAAGGAAGAATTCCAAGAATGATGTCAGAAACCATCCAACATACGGAAGATATGACCTTGTTGCACAAGCCATAAAAAACATTATTCCACAACCAAATTACTTACCTGATCGAACAATTGGTCCAAACCTGATTAGATTTACTTGGCACTGTTGTGCACACTATGATAAGGCTTCAGGTACTGGTGGATCAAGTGGGGGCACAATGAGGTTTGCACAGGAGTTCAATGATTTAGGTAATACCGGTCTCACTACAAGTAAATCGTACTTAGATCAAGTTCACGAAAACTTTCCCTGGATGTCTTTTGCCGATCTATATACCTTTGCTGGATGTGTAGCAGTTGAGGCCCTTGGTGGTCCAAAAATTGAATGGAAGCCAGGAAGGACAGACTGTCCCGATACCGTTAAAGTTCCCCCTATGGGAAGACTACCATTGGCAACGCTTGACTGGAAGCATATACAAGATGTTTTTTATACCCATTTAGGGTTCAATGCTCAAGAAACAGTTGCTCTTATTGGTGGAGGTCATGGAATTGGAGGCTGCCATGCGAGATACAGTGGATTTAATGGTATATGGACCAAAGCGCCATTTAAATGGGATAATGATTTTTTCAAAGTGTTGTTGGATGAGAATTGGAGTTTGGGAGTTGTTCCTGAAACTGGGATTGAACAGTATTACAACGATGATAAATCTTTGATGATGTTGAACACCGATATTGAATTGCTCAGGTGCCCAGAATTTAAAAGATGGGTTGAAATTTTTGCCAATGACGAAGACTATTTCAACGAACAGTTTGCTTTAGCATTTGCCAAGCTACTTGAATTAGGAGTCCTAAGAGATGAAGATGGTGTACAAAGAGTGAAAGTCTGAATACTTCTTCATAAACAAAATTTTTGCATCTTATTTTATAGCTATATATATGTGTGTAAGTCTTATTTAAAAAAAGAGTACCACCCCAAGTTTATAATTAAGCAGAGACTTTCCAAGTCATGAATCATTCCCATCGTTATTCAAACCGCTAGTGTCGTCCAATCCAAGACTGCCTGTCATCGACGCACTAGGCAAGTTATTGGTATCAAGCAGCCCTGATTGGGCTGCAGATTTAGCAACATAATTTTCCCCATTCCCATCATCGTCAATGGTGGATGGCCCACCAAGGAAATCTAACATCATATGCATACCACCTCCTCCTGCGTATTGCTCCACATCAACAGGTAGCACAGAACTCACTCCTTCCAAAAACCATACTTTTTCTTTCATCTCTTCAGTGAAATTTCTTAGTAACTTGTAATAACATCTCATGATTCTCATTGCCGACAAATCACAATTGATCAACAACCCAAGGAATCTTTTATCAAGTAGTGCAGGGAATGCAAAGATTCTCAAAATAAAGTCAGATTTGTCTCTTTCATTATGGAGTCTCGCCATGTAAGCCAGAGTAGGAAAATATGGGGAGTTGAAAGATATCGGAAACATGTCTGAAATTTCATTATCGAAACATTCAATTGAAGAAAATCTTGGCTTTTTCGACTTGTTACCACCACCGCTAATATAACCGGCTAAATTAGTAGTTATTGGTGGTGAACTCACTCTCATTCTTTTATTTGAAGTCGTGCCAAGATGACCGCTGGAAGTGTTAGATGGCTGTGCTTTAGATGTCCCCTTCTCCTGACTAACACTACTGGATCTTGAGTTTTCATTGCTGTCGGAAGTATTTGATAGCTCACCACTTATCAGATCATATCCTATTTCTCCAAGATCTCCAAGGTCAACCGAAATAAATTTATAAAATCTAGATTTTTCACTGAGAGGCCAAACAGCAGTTAAAATTGTAGCTGCACCTTTAACGTGAAAAATCCAAGCTGAAGGAGGAAGTGATTTGATCGAGCTTGAGGTTGACAATGATGCGTTAGCCAAAGAGTCCATGATCAAAATCAACGCCGAAGCAACAAGTGCATCAGTATTCTCAGGAGACATTTCCAGAACGGCCTCTCTCAACAATCTCAACGCTTCAGCACGGTGGCAGGTTACACATTGATCAAGTCCTCTTTCAGTTCTTGAAAGATGTGTAGCGGAAAATGCAAGAACTGAATGCATTAGAAAGGGGTATTTGAATGCAAGCATTGGAATATCGTCAGACCAAATCTTGGAGTCTGAAATTCCTGCAGCTGTTATGGTTGGCCACACCTTTGTTGTATAATGATACATCAACCTTAGGTCCAGCATATTGAGATCAGATATCGACCCTGTAGTGGTAGATTGCCCGTTGGTGATTGGAGGCAATGGAGATCTGATTGAATCAGGAGATAGAGAGGGTCCACCATTTTCAGCTAAAATCGGGATATCCTTTGATGCTTGAGAACGCTGCTGATATTGAGCAGCTAATTCTTGAGGAGTTGGAGTTTTACTCGTATTAGACTGTTTCAAAAAATTATTTCTGTTAGGAACTATATCACCCAGTAAATCTGATAAAGGATTTCCTCCTGCTGTTCTCGATATATTACTTAAAATACTCTCTTCAGGCATAGTCAGAGACTCAGATGAAGACTTGACACTCATCGGTAAACTTTGATATAGTTGCTGCTGTTTCTCCGGTGGCAACTGCTGAAACTGCTGGAACAGTTTCATTTGCACCTCGGGTGGGAAATTGTTCAAGAATTGCGATGCTACTGCCGTGGCAGCCGGGGATTGGGGAATTTGATGCAGAAATTGGGATATCGGAGAAACTGGTGACATATTGGCAAGGCTTTCATTCATCATAAACGGTGTGGCAGGCAAGATATTTTTCGGTATATCTAATTGTGGCTCTTTCTTAGGAAATGAAGGACTATGCTCAGCCTCCTGTTTCACATAAACATGTTCGCTGGAGTCGTTTTGGTCATGCTCATGTTCATACATTTCGTTGTTTCCATGTTGCTCAGCTGACAGAAAGATACATTGAATACCCATTCTTTCGCAGTTTCCGCACAGAGGTCGTGCTTCGTCACATTTGACTCTTCTTCTTTTACATGTAGCACATCCTTTCCTGCTCTTCTTGTGAAACTTTCTTTTGCCGGTGGATTTTTTGGCTATTTTGGCGTTCTCCAGTTCTGTAATGGTTCCTGAGCTGGACGGCGTGTCAAATGTATATCCCGTAATCATTTTTTTCTTGAGTAAACCAGGCTCGTTCGTTAAACTTAAATTTCTTTCTGCTTTTTCTCTATTTTTTCCCTTTTTTCCTCAAGTAACCTATTTCTTTGGCTTGTACGCTCTTGCAAGCAAGTGCGGTTAGTAAAGTCTTACTGACGTTACTTACTCTCCCTGTTTCTCCAAGCCCACAACCAGATCTTGTTGCTTGGAGCCCCCTTTCAGGTCTACGTGAGGTTCGTGTCGGTCGTACACCTCGTTCCGCTCGCACCACCCAACGCTTTTCAACGAAAGGTAAACAGCTTTTCAGTTTTTTTTAATTTTTCTCCATTTTTTCACCTCAGCGATAATCATTGTCGTTGCGCTCGTTGCGAACATCAGCCTCTACATGACACATCTGTTCACAGGTCCTTTCAACGGACACAATTATAAGATACGACTTTAAACTGTTTTTATGTGGTTATTTAATATGAGTAAAGCAAGATTACACACATAGACATTGTGGATATATACATCAAGGCATCAGTGTGCGTGTGGGTCCTCCTTTGGAGGCTCCGGATCGACATTGATCATAGTATCGATTCTCAAAATTGCTATGCAAGCCTCAAGGGCAGACTTGAGAGATTTGATCTTGGAAACAGTTGGCTCTAGTACACCGCTCGTAACCTCGTTTACTACCTTGCCCTTAATAAGATCCAGACCGTAGTTTTTGTAGTTTTTCCTCTTCACGTCTGCATCGGAGACTTGCTGTGATGCTGCATGGTAAGATCTGAGTTTGGCTATGAGGTCTGACGCATCCTTTGCTGCATTCACTGCCAAGGTCTTAGGTATCACCAACAATGCTGTAGCAAATTCCGCAATAGCAAGTTGCTCTCTGGAACCAACTGTAGTTGCAAAGTTTTCCAAAAAGATGTTTAGCGCACACTCAACAGCACCACCACCTGGAACAACCTGGCCACTTTCTAGGGTTCGCTTCACCACACATAGAGAGTCATGGATTGATCTCTCCATTTCATCTAGTGAGTAATCATTAGGCCCTCTTAGCACTATCGAGGCAGCTGAATGCTTCTTAGGTCTCTTCACAAGTATACACTCATCATCGGAGAACTTTTCCTGTACGACTTCCTCTGCATAGCCCAAATAGCTCGATTCGAAAGTCTCGTCTCCTTCCATGTTGGACATATTACCCACTAAAGTGGCGCCCGTCGCTCTAGCAATTCTCTTCAAATCTTCCTTTTTACAACGCCTGACTGCCATAACCTTGTGTTCCACAAACTCCTTCAAGCACAAGTCATCAATACCCTTGGTAGTTAGCACAACGTTAGCACCCGAATCAATTATCATCTTGACTCTCTCCAAGACAATTCCATATTCTCTTTTCCTAATTTCTTCTAGCTGTTCAGGGTCATCAATATTGATTTGAACCCCCATAGCCATTCTTGCCTTTTGTAAGTTGATATCCAAACATGCAATTTTAGCATTGGTTACCTTTTTCAACATCGCCTGAGATGCCACAGTACAGTTCAACGCGTAACCATCAACCAAAACAGATTCGGTTGCTGATTTACCATGAGCTTTCAATATATTGACCGCTTTCACTGGGTATTTAAGTTCACCTGCATTGTTCATAGTTTTCACCGACAACATCGTATTCACCACCATCTCTCCAAAGAAATTACTATCTGAACCAATAATTTTCGATGACATTGAGGTCTTGGCAATATTTATCAAAGTTTCTTTACCCAACGACTCAACAGACTGGCTCAAAACTTCATTGATGAATCTGATTGCCTCTCTTAATGCTAATCTATAACCAGTAATGATAGTGGTAGGATGCAACTTATTCTTTACCAACTCGTTTGCTCTTTTCAATAGTTCAGCAGCGATGATTACAACCGAAGTGGTACCATCACCAACTTCTCTATCTTGCTGATGTGCCAATTCCACCAAAATCTTACCTGCTGGGTGCTGAACATCCAATAGTGACAAGATCGTGGCACCATCATTGGTCACAGTAACGTCTCCAATGTCATCTACTAACATTTTATCTAGCCCAACAGGACCTAATGAAGATTTGACGACGTTTGCAACTGCTTGAGTTGCAAGCACGTTCTGGTCACGGACATCGTCACCACTTAGCTTCTCACCTCCCAAAAAGAGAGTTTCTGAACGTGCATTGGAAAACATTCTTCGATATCTCTATTGAATGTGTATTTCTGACGCCTTACTTACCGATGTGACTAAGGTGACAACATTCATTAAGCGTATTCATATTCGTTTGCCCTGTGCTTTTCATCGTTCTTCGGATGAACAAAAAAATGTTCCAGCCAAAAATTTACGCGAGGGCTGTTACCCGGCTCGCAGCGAACCTTACGTGGCTCTTTCTAACCATGATTTGCTTTATTGTAGAAGATAATTGATCATAGAGATGAAGGATTGATGCTGGGTCAACAGCAAGATAAAGGAAAGATTGTTATAGACGAAAAAAATGGAAAATAGGTTTCAGGAAAATAAGATAAAGAAAAAAGAGAAATAAAAAGAAGAGAGATATAAAGGATAAAGACATACAAAGAGATATAACGAAGTGAGTTAGTGAGTTAGTAGGTATGTGATCATCTGGTACTAACAAAGAAAACAAAGGAAAAGATTAAACAAAACCAAAAGCCATTCCATCCCCATTCTAGTTAAGTGGTGAATTTTATTTATAAAATAGTACATTTTTTAGATTTCTTGATGACAGGTGGCTCTAGGGCTGCAACGATAGCATCATCAAACAAACTTTTCAATCCCACTTGAGTTAAAGCAGAGCATTCGTCGTACTTCACTGCTTTCAACTCTCTTGCCAGTCTTTCACCTTGTTGGGCACTTATTGGTTTTTGATGCTGTCTTGCCAAGTTGGCGAGCGCAGTTTGGTCGTCTCTTAAATCTATTTGTGTGCCAACTATTATACAAGGGACGTGTGGAGCATGATGTAGGATTTCTGGGAACCATTTTTCTTTGACGTTATCGAATGAGGAAGGAACAACAACCGAAAAGCAGATCAAAAAGATGTCTGTTTGTGGATAAGATAATGGCCTTAGTCTATCATAATCTTCTTGACCAGCAGTATCGAACAAACCAAATGTGTAAGGTTCGTCACCAATCATGACAGTAACCGCGTAATTATCAAACACAGTTGGGATGTAATCTTCAGGGAATTGATTACTGGTGTAGGAGATTAGTAAACATGTTTTACCAACTGCACCGTCACCAACGACAACACACTTGATGGTATTATTGAAAGAGCCCATTCTTGTAGTTGTGTGTTATTTGTGGGAATGAATAAGGTAGATGACTAGAAAAATCGGACAACCAAGGAATATATGAATTGGCTTGTATGTGGATCGAGAGTGTTCAACTCAACTCCAAGGGGAAACTAGAGAGATGACAAGGCTGAATGAACTTCGACTAATAATGATGACGTTGAATTGCTATTAACTACTTGACTATCGCAGATAATGAAGTATGATCAATAAGTAAAAACAACAAGAATATAAATTGAAACCAACTTATTGCGCTATAGTATACCACTGTGATAATATGCTTGTGTATAGGCTTTTGTTTTGCAATTGGAAAATGAGAACACAGATGTGGCACTTTTTGTCTGTCGCTCGTTTGGTGTCTAATCGTTAATTATATCGGCAGTAACACTAATATTCGTAATAACAACAAAAATATTAGGGAGGATACTAAATGGATTTATCGTCAAGTCGGCAGGCTCTTGCACTTTTTTGTATGTGGTATATCAATACGCCGCCACTAGCAGTAATTGACTCTTTGATGGAGAGACCTTGCAAAACACTCTGAACAAAACCCCCTAACAGGACTCCTCTGAAACCCCAATTCCACTATGCACTTGCTGATAGCAGCAGTCCCCCTCTGTGTGCTCACATTATCCATCTGCCGACAACGACAGCAGCATGGCAAATCCGCCTACACGAGAAGCAGCGAAACGCTGCCCGTTTAGGCGTTCTGGCCTCTGGCCAAAAGGAAACCGCGCCGATCGGCCCCAACATGTTTTTTCAAACTCTATTATCTTACTTTCTAGCATTTACTCTCTAATATACATGTAGCTAATGCGGCCAGCAGGGGATTTCTTTAAGGCTTTTTCTGCAGATATGCCTCCTCCAACTGTAGTGAGAGTTTATCCGGAAGCAAGGGCTTGCTCAAAAAGCCGCTCATGCCGATGCGCAAACAGCGGGCCTTCTCCTCCGAATAGACGTTGGCACTTAACGCAACGATTCGGGTGCGGTCAGCAAACTCCGCTTTGATCTCCTCGGCTGCTTCATATCCATCCTTCCTGGGCATTTGCAAGTCCATCAAGATCAAGTCATAGGGTGCACCAACCTCAGCAAAGCGCTGGTGGCTTTTCTCCACCGCCTCTACCCCGTCTTTGGCATGATCAGACTCGTAGCCCAACCGCTTCAACTGCAATCTGACCATTTTTGTGTTGATCATGTTGTCTTCTGCAACAAGGATGCTTAAGGGGCATCTTTTCCCCAGCTTGAGACCCTTGGCAGACTCTGGCTTTTTTCCGGTGGATGCCCCAGGCTCCTGTGGCTGGTTCTGTAGGATCTCGTCTAGCTTCTCCCTTCTGAACGGGGTCAACAACACAAAGTCTACTAGTTTGGCCTCAGAATCTCCAGGAATATCCCTTTCTTCTATGAACGCCGGTATTCTGACACCAAAAGGAATCTGGTAAATGATTACACTGTTTGGGAATTCTCCACGTAGTTGCTTTAGCTCGTGCTCTTGTTTCATGACTTCAAGGTAGATGAAGATGAACTTTGCTTTTTTGCATTTCGCCCTGGCTGCATCATCCAGTTTATCAAAAATCTCAACATTCTTTGCCTCAAATCCTCTCCTTTCAACACACTTTTTCAAGCTCAAAGAGCTGAGCTCCCGAGGGTCTAAAATCGCCACAAGGTCGTCTTCCTTTATGCCTTCGATTCTCTTTGCCTCATGCTTTTCGGCTTTACTGGTAAGCGTGAAGCAGAAACTAGTACCCTCACCTTCCTTGCTTTCATAGTCAACATCTCCTCCCATATATTCTGCCAACTTTTTTGAAATAGCTAAACCAAGCCCAGAACCCCCATAAACACGTTTACTCGAACCGTCAAGCTGATTGAACATTTTGAATAATCTTGCTTTACTCCCTTCAGGAATACCAATTCCTGAATCCTTGACAGTAATAGTAAACTCATACCGATCTTTTGCTACCTCTTTGACACTACTACGGACAAAAATATACCCTTTATTGGTAAATTTGGTTGAATTACCCAATAAGTTGATGATCACTTGAACAATTCTTGTCTCATCACCATATACTGTGTTAACTGGGTAATTATCATCGATAAAAACTAGCTCCAATTTCTTCAATGCAGCTTGCTCAGCAACTAATTGGACTGCATTCTCTATACACTTTGTCAAGTTGAAAGCCTCAAAGGAAAGTAAAAGCGACCCGTGTTCAATTTTAGAAAATGAAAGGATTCCATCAATAATACTGAGAGTCACCATGGCAGAATTTCTTATCGTTTCGACATACATCCTTTGCGACTTCGTCAATTTGGTGTCAAGCAAAAATATAGCACAAGACATCAACGAATTGAAAGGCGTCCTTATCTCGTGTGACATGTTTGCCAAAAAATTGGTTCTATCTGCTGTTGCGTCTTCTGCTGCCTTCTTTGCCACTTCGAGTTTTTCAACCAACTTCATTTTGCTCATTGAAATATAGCCTTGCAAGCATAGATATTCTAGTAGAACTATTTTCTTTAATGCAACAAAAGTAGATTCTCTTTGGTTTTCCAAATATAACGCACCAACAACAGTAGAGTCTCCACTTTTAACAGGTATACAAATGACATTCTTACAATTGTTAGACTCAAAATATGGATCTCGGTTCTTGTATGTCGTGTCAAAATAAAACTTGTCGGAGTCCCTCCATATCGACATGTTTTCTTTCATACTTTCCTCAACCAGAATTACAGGTAGGACATCGCCTTTGAGTGACAAAATTTCTTGCGTGAAAAACCTTACTTCAGCATTCTTCAAACACATCGCTGTCAAATATGGAGTACCATCATCGGAGTTCAATATAAAACAGCCATAATCTGCATTCACCAGATGGATTGAAAAAAGCAATAACATTCTTACAATGTCTTCAAAATTATCCGACAGAGCTATCTTTGTGCTCAACCCCATAACTGCATCATTATCCCAATCTTCTTCCTCAATATTATTCAAATCCATTTCCTTATCAGTATAATCTTGCTCATTCGATTCACTTATCCCACATTCAGAAACTAAAGTGTCTGAAACTCTCAAGGGTACTGAAGTTGCAGGAATTCCTACTGAAGCTCTTGATGAGGTATAGCTATCACCGTCATCTATACCATCATCACTTTTAGCTTTGAGAGCATTGAGTGGGTAGCTAGAAAAACTTTTATCCTGCTGTTTATCCGAAGGGAGTTTGAAAGAGCCACTTACATCGGCTGAACTGTTTTCTGAGTCATGTTGAAATGGAATGAAATCGTTCTGAAAATAGAATCTTGAATTTCTTCTTTGCGATCTGACAATGGGGGAAGGAGATAAATCCAAGCTCAAGTCAATATCTAGAATTAGCTCCTGTTCAATTTGCTCAACTTTGAGTGTGAGCCCCCATGCTTTATAAGCGTTGTATGCAATCTTCAGGTACTTTGTTGTCATAGTGTTAGTTTTGGAGACAGTCTTCAGCCATCTTGCACATTCTTCCGCCACAACGGCTTCAAGTAAATAATGATGGTACTCAACAGATGATGCAAGGGCAATCTCAAAAGCTGCTAGGATATCTATCTGCGAAAATGCCTCTTCATCCATCACTTTGATGAGTGCATCAATAGTCAAAAACATACAGGTAAAAACTGATGGGTTTCGTGCCGATAACTCTTTGAAAAACGCTTGGGTATTCTTTAGATGATTTTCAATCTTTTCAGATATTTCATCACTATATGGATCATTGATATCACACCTTCTGACTTTGTCTTTATAAATAATTAAGACAAAAACATAGCGTGCCCACGCCATCTCAATTGATGCGAGCTCTTCAGACCAGTTACCAACCAACTCTCTGATTGCGATATCAGCTCCTACTTCATACTTTCTTAAAATGTAGCATGAAAAGCATCTACTAACATTGTAAGTCAAACCCATGTGTACACATTTCAAATCTAGGCCCAAACTTAGCCAACCGTCCACATACTTATCATAAGATAAATTCCCTTCTAAAACGCTTAACAAACCAATGACTAGTTTGTAAATTTTATCGTATAAGCCTCTAGGATCATTTTCTGGTCTGTAAAAGTCTCGAATTACTTCCATCCTTTCCCATATGTTTTTAGAAGTCAAACCTTGAGTAATCCAGAGCTGAAATTTGAACTTGACAACGATACCCTTTGAAAATGTTGTTTCAACCATTTGCGCCTTCGAATTTATAATACTCAAATCAAAAGATTGACTTATTTTATCAATCGGTCCAATTAGTGATCCGACCAAACAACAGTACCATTTGAAGGAGATGATAAATAATTCATTGGCTTCTAGTGAATCTGAACTTACAATACTGAATGCCAATTTGCAGTATTCATGAGCTCTATTCAATCCTTTGGCATCCACTGTAGCATCCAAACTGCCAAGAATAATCAAACTAAAACTGGAATAAACGGATTTACCATTTTCCATGAAAAGGATGACGTTCATTAAATTGGCAAAAGGAAATAAATATGGCTTATTCAAGTACACTGAAAATTGATTGAGATCCATCAACACCATTTGTACCAAAATAACTCTCCTCTTCTTTAAAAGAGGCAAATTTCTCAGTTCACGAATCTCAGAGGGAGAAGCAGGAAGCTTAGGTCTTAAAACGAAGTTGGTATAGTCTTCAATTTCTTTACCACTAAGAGAAGATAAATCGAGAGGAAACTCAAGTACTTTCAATGTATTTAAACATACCTCATAAGCTTCTTCCCAATTGTTCATTGATCTTAAACTTTGCATTTTTGCAATCAAAAACTGTGCCACATCCTCAACGTTTTCTTGATATTTTTCCAAAGCTTTCTCTATCAGGTCAATAGACTTTTCATGTTTTCCTTTCAACGCATATATGTGAATTTCGACCCATTCTAGTCCCTTCAAAATCTGTGAGTCAGTTGTCAACTCTTTAGCTATTTGGAAATGACGCAAAGCTGAAACATGCTCGTATGATGAATACGCATACCATCCTGCGGTTATAAGAATATTAGTATAAATTGAATATTCTTCGGGTCTGGCAACTTTCCAAGAGTTTATGAAATGATACGCTATAGAGAAGCAGTCTGCACTGGTCAGCTTCAGAGAACCATATTTTGCTTCTAAGTTTTCAAATAACCTTAACCCACAATTTCTGTGGAACTCTTCTAATTCATTTGCATCTTTTAATGACTGTATCAGCTGATGTTGTATAGTTTCATGAAAAAATTTGAATTTGGTATATTTCAACAACTTCCTTTTTTCCACTGCGCTTAATTTACTGAGTGGAAAATCCGGATCATCCAAGCGATCTACTGGCAGTTTTGAAACTATTGAGCACGATTTTAGCGTCTGAGTAATTATCCCCGTAGACAGTACTATATATAAGGTGGATACGTCAAACCCTGTCACAACTGATAAGTCATACATGTCAAATAAATTGCCAACACAGACACATGCTGCATATTTCAAAATCTGAACTGTGTGGTCGTTTGGCACATTCTTAGTGTACAAATTACAGTCAAAAAAGACATCACCACTAGGGCCTGTTTTTTTTATTGTAGCAAAAATACTTTTGAACACTTCTATAGGCTTCAACGAAGTTTTTGATCTTAGTTGAGCAAAATGCATTTGGATGATAAACCTGTTGATTACCAAAGGATTACCTTGGCTATATTTGTGCAACAGTTCTGCCATTTGTCTCCTGTCTTGATTCATCCGAACGTTACTAGATAGTTCGAAGTAATATGAGTTAGGTTTCGATTGCATATCTTTCCACAAAAATTGACTATCATACAACTGCAACGATAAACTCAAGTACCTCTCAACGTTTTCATATGTTAGGCGAGGAATTTCAATCATAACGTTGCTCCTCAAAAACGAAGGGATGTTGTCCTCATCATCTGAGGTTTTTTCTCCCCTTATTGTATATGAAGTCAGCAAAGTGAAATTCAGTTCGCCTTCTTTGAAATCATTCTTCAAATGTGACCACAGTTCTTCAAGGACTGTCGCTTCTGCTTCGGCTAGATTACCAATATCTTCAATAACTAGTACCCAACCGGCATGTCTGCTAAAAAGCTCAAATAACTTTTTCAAAATGAATTGATGCCCAAGCTCTTTTTGATAAACATTCTTATTCATCTTACGTTGTTTCATGTGAGCATAGCGAGGCCCTAATAGTATTCTCAGTTCAGGAACTGTATCAAACAACAGTGAAAAATCTGACTTGACCTCTACCGATAACAGATCTCTCCAAAAAGCTATGTCGAGCTTATCCATGGATAAGATATCTCTTAACAACTGAGACAATATCAAATCAAAAGTTTGGAATTTAGAGGTAACGTAGTTTAAATCTTGGCATTTCCAGGCTGTAAAAAACATCTTTTTAGTCATGGCTGGAATTCTTAGGCTCTCCAAAATGGACGATTTCCCTATTCCTGTTTCACCAGTTAAAGTGAATGTTTTTACAGAATTGGACGATAATGCTGCTGATAACGATTTTATCACTTCATCTCTTCCGACCAATTCGGATGGAATAAGTATGGGTATTCGACTTTGCGAAGTAGGAACTGGATCATGAGGTATGTTTGTTTGGGTGATATTATGATAAAGTTTTACCAAATCATGAATTATATGGTCGAGGGACGAATATCGCAGTTTTGCATCTTTGTCAATCATCTTAGAAATGATTTTTGAAAATTCTATTGGAATCGATGAATCAATGATGTGTAAAGGTGTACTGTTCAATGTGATGATAGCAGCAACCAAAATAAACATGTTATTCTGTTTGAACACTCTTTTTGACAATATGGAGTAGATTATAGCTCCAGCTCCATAGATATCAGCCCTGAAATCAACCGGAACTAAATTTTGAAAGTTTTCTGGAGCGGTAAAAGGTATGTAGTTTAATGAATGACTTTTATTGGCAGATCTATAAGGAACTTCTTGGAAATCTACATCTGTTGAGAATGAAAAGTCAAATCCCATGATAAAAACATCATATGTACTAGGATTAACAAAAATATCACTTGGTAGTAACGTGTTGTTGACAATACCATGTTTATGAATGCTTTTTAAAACCTTTAAGATGTTGACTAGTAACAGTATTATGGTTGTTATTTCCACTGGTGAATCAAACTCCATCTTACTCAAAGGGACAACATTATCAGCAACTGGATAGAAAGCAACGATACCGTTTTGATTTTCCAACAACTCCAATTTTGTACATGGGTAGATTCCCGGCAAATCGGGAGGGCAAGCTCTATGCTCATTTTTTTCTTCCAAGATATCTTTAAATGAGGGATATTCGTCAATAGGTTGTGTGGAATCGGGACTGTATGTCGCATAGTAGCTGTTGACAAGTCTACAAAGCGTTCCCACGGTCAATTGTCGAATGAATCTTATCACAAATTTTTGCTTCGTTGTTTTATGTTCAGCAAGATAATGGTTTATCGGATCACTATGTTTGTCGTCATGGATCTTGCTGATCAGCGTATAGCTACTTAGGATCTGCGACATGTCATTCTTGCTTTTTGGTGACTTTTGAGATGCTGACTCCTGCAAATCGAGAGACGTATTTAGGTAATCATGAGGAAGACTTGAAGTTAAATACGTGGACTTGGAATGCTTGGAGAAAAAAGAGGCCTTTTGCTCGAGTTCATGCAAAACACTTGGATGAAGAAAATCTTTTAATAAGGAGTTTGTATTTGATGCTGACAAGGGTGAAAATACTGCTTCTGAAGACTCTGTAGCAGATGGTTCGATATTGGTAGATGCCGGAGATGTGGCTATAGGTGACAATAAGAGGTTCAAGTTCGATGACTGTCGGTTTGCGCCATACTTGGGTAGATTAAAAATGGTTGATGTACTGCTGTAGGAGGTAGCTGAGGTTGGCGAAGAAAGCAAGCCTTGATGAGGAAATAAATTGGCTGTCCGGTTTATGGAAAAGTAATCACCGTTCGTGTTAGCATTGTCGTTGTTCTTGGCACTGTTTCCAGTTGGTTCAGCCTGACCTTTTCTTTCCATTACAGAGATAAAAAAGATCGACAAAGGTAGGCTGGTCGACACAACAACGTAATAAATATTAAAAAAATGTTTGAACAGGGAGGAGAAAATACAAAGAATGCCCAGAAAAGTAAAATATTGACGGTGTCAAGGAATTTCCCGTCATAGCACGACTTCAATCAGATAAGCGCTCGTGAAACTTGGGCTAGGCAAGCGTTAATGAGATTTTTCAAATTAATGCGGAGGAAAGACCCCAGTTCGAAAGCCGTAAGTATTAGGTAAGCATGTTTTTTCTAGCATGAATCTGTAACCAAAGAATTACTTCTTAAGGCAAAATTAAGTTCTCCAATAAAACAGCAAAAAAGATTTTCTTGGAGAGACTCTGTACCATAAACAGTTTTTATGGCCAAGATTCGCCCGTGTAGCGTAATGGTTAACGCGTTTGACTTCTAATCAAAAGATTCTGGGTTCGACTCCCAGCATGGGTGCAGGCGAAATCTGAATTTTTTTTTCGCTCTGCTTACAAAAAAAAAATTCTTAGTAGAGTTACTGTGTATTACGGAAACATTCTGGAAATTTCCAGTGTGGAGCAGTTTTCTTAGGCTCACCGACGATACCGCTGACAAAATTACGTTTCTTCGTTCACATGAATTCTGATGGCGTGAAAGCAAAAGGGTTTAATTCTTTCTTTTCGCAAGGAACGTACTTGATTTCTTCTCAAGACGAAAGCACCTATCTAGATTTCTGACACACACTCATAGATGAACTCACAGATTTTTAGTCTTTTCAAGGCGAGATGTTTGAAGGTCAACAACTCCTCTTGTCTGGCGTACTCTAAAGCTGCCAAGAGATGCTCTGGGCAGATCAACCACTATCGGCAGTTTCATTCGACAATCATTCCTAGGCTCGACGACCCGTACAAGACTCTTGGGGTTGACAAGAGTGCCAATGCGTCTCAGATCAAGAAGGCGTACTACAAGCTAGCAAAAAAGCTGCATCCGGATGTGAACCAAGAGAAGGGTGCGGACGAGAAGTTCCACTCACTGCAAGAGGCGTATGACATTCTTTCGGACCCAAAGAAGAAGGAGCAGTATGATCAGTTTGGGCCAGCGGCGTTCAGCCAGGGAGCAGGAGGTGCTGGTGCCGGAGGATACGGTGGCGGACATCCGTACGGAGGAGGCAATCCATTTGCAGGGTTCGGCGGATTCGGCGGGTTCGGAGGCCGTGCACAGGGCGGCGGCAACCCGTTTGAGGGCATAAACTTCGAGGACTTGTTTGGTGGGTTTAGTGGAGGCGGTGCCGGAGGTAGAAGAGGTGGCGGATTCCAGCACTACCAGGGTGAAGACATTGAGATCCTAAAGACAATTCCGTTCAAGGAGTCTGTCTTCGGGACGAGGGTGAAGGTCAACTACAGTGCCGTTGTCCAGTGTGACACGTGCCACGGCAGCGGGTTGAAGAGTGGCAAGAAGAAGTCCACCTGTAAGGTGTGTAACGGAACGGGGGCCCAGATGCACGTGTTGCAGGGCGGGTTCCACATGTCGTCGACGTGCAAGGCGTGCAACGGGACCGGTGTGCAGATCAACCACGAGGACGAGTGCGGGAGCTGCCACGGCGAGGGCGTGAAGACGCAGATCAAGCAGACCGAGGTGAGGCTTCCCTCGGGAATCAAGGACGGCTCGAGGATCCGGGTCGCCAACGCCGGCGACGCCCCACACATGACCACGTCCAGCGGGTACAAGCTGTCGAACGGCGACTTGATCATCCGCATAAGGGTGCAGCCGGACCCAGACTTCAAGCGGGACGGCAAGGACTTGGTCTACAAGACGGAGATCCCTATGACCACTGCTGCGTTGGGCGGAACCATCGAGGTGCCCACCCTTGACGGCGCCAAGATCAAGCTGCGCATCCCCTCCGGCTCCCAGTCCGGCCGCACCATCGACATCCCGGGCAAGGGTGTCCCCGTCAGCGACATGAGCACCAACCGCGGCTCCCTCAAGGTCATCCTCAACGTCAAGACGATGCGCCCTACCAACGCCACCCAGATCGCCTTGCTCGAGGCCGTCGCCGACGCCTTTGGCGACAAGACCGCCAAGCGACTCGACCCGGACTGGAGGCCGCTTGAGGACGCCGTCCGCGGCACTGCCTCCCCAGGCGCCCCTGACGACGCCAAAGACCCCTCCAACTGCGAGCACCCGAACAACCTCAAGAGAATCAACAACTTCTTGAACAACGCGTTCAAAAAGATCTTGGGCGAGAAGGGCGACAATGACGCCGGCAACGACTCCGCCGGCAACGACTCCAAGAAGCACTGATGCCGCCGCTGTTTTCTCTATATAATTCCTAACAACTTCCACACAACATGTACATATAAACCCCATTCTGCAACTGAATTTCCATCTTTCTGAAACGGTTCTGGGCCGATCGTCCCCGTTGCCCCTCGGGCCTGCTGCGCCACAGACGCGCTCCAATCTGGGCCTCTTGCCCCTTCCGCGCCCTGCGCATGCGCCTGCGTGCTACCGCAGCACAGCGAACGGACAAAGAGCCCGCTGCACAGCGTGGCGTAGCATCTTCTGTTGTTGCGTGCCGCATCCGGACCGCGCGCTGGGTCTGGCCGCCCGGTCCAGCCAGCGGCGGCGGGGCAGAAAACAAGGGTGCTGGTGTTTACCTTCCGTGAAGACCGACCAGCGTGGGGCGGCGGGGAGGCAGGATTATTTTTGTCTTTGTTTGCGTTTTCGCTTTTCCAGCGAATAATCCTGTTGTTGTTGTTGTTGTTGTTGTTGTCGTTGCGTGAAGACAGGATGCAGCTCCAGCACCGTCCCGGCTGCGTGCTCTGCGGTGCTCTTCGGGTGCTCCTTCGGCGTACCTTGCCCTTGTGACAATCGGATCAGCAGCCCCGTGGGTCCATTGTTTGTTTGTGCGTGTGGTTCCTTCCTTCGGCTCGTGTAGAAGCTCGCCCCGTCGTAGACCTTCTCTGCTTACTGCTGCCCTGACGCCAACAGCTGTTTGCTTCTTCTGTGCGTTACTCGTGCGTGCCGCCTGCTTTGCTCTGCCCCCTGTGCGCCTGCCTCTCGCAAGGAGACAAACAAGATAGACTACGCTCTGGCTCAGTCGCACATCGTCTCACTCGCTTGATAGCTGAGACATACACACTCCATCAGCAGCACAGAACGACAGGACGTGCTGTGCAAGAGAGAGAAACCAGACCCGTGTCCTCGCTGCAGACCCCACACCGCCATGATATCGACCCTGGACGTGATACAGGAATCGTTCGAAGACGTGCCCTTGGAGTACGCCCCAACCCCGCCAAACCACTTTTACGGCCTCAACAGACAGAACTCGATGCGAAATCACTTCAGCAGTGCTAACAACGTTGCCGGCCACGCTTCCGCTTCGGCGTTGAGCTTGAACTCCAACAACAGCAACAGCACAGTCAACATGAACCTCAACGGAGGCAGAAACGCCAGAGCAAACTATTCGGCGTCCTCCCTGAACAACTCCTCACGGGAGCTGTTGCTGACGCCCTCTCAGAAGCTGAAGATCATCAAAAAACAGAGGGTCCAGATGAGCCAGGACCAGTTGTCCACCAACTGCCCTGAAGCGCTGAACGCCATCGACTTTCTTTCCGACGACGAGTTGCCAGATGACCTGATAGTCTACGACGTCCCCTCACTATATTCTCTCCAATCGCTCTCCCACAACAAACCTCGAACCAGAAGACCGTCCGTTCGACGCAACAACAGCATTTCCTCGCATTCTGACAATAACATTACCAACACGCATAATATAAACCAGCAGATTGAAAACACCACGCCCAGTAGCAATTCTAATTCCAACGTCAACACAACTTCTTCAAGTTACGATTCAAATAATACCAATAACCTCACCGCTGCCACTAAATACCATTACCAGCCTCCCCACTCGCATTTTGTGACGTCGTCTTGCTCTTCCTCAGCAAGTTCTGCCACTTCCTCTCCAGCAACAAGAGCCTCCTCAATCTTTTCTTGTGCCTCCGACATCTCTGAGTTTTCTTGTGCCGACGACGAATACTTAAACCCTCTCTCCGCAGATGCGAGACTGCTACTCGAGAATAAAGACTATAAACTGGAAGAAGCTTTGCAGAGAATGTCAATGTTGAGGAACATGTCTCATCTGTGCACAAAGAATAGTCTTACAGCTAACAACACTGGCAACAGGAATTCGGACCCAAATGTTTCTCTTGCTTCTACCTTGAGTGTGAAATCAGAGCCTCGAAGTCAATATCTGTCAAGCACAAGACCTGTGAATCTTCCTCCAAAGACCAAGTATGAAGTCTCAAAACATGAAAAAGATTACCAAAATATTTTGGAGGCTGAAATATACAACGAAAAGGAAAAGTTGAGAGATTATCAGGTCAAGAAAAAGCTTTTGATTGCCCAAGCAGCAAAAGACGAGAAACTTTGGTCCAAAGTTATCAATAACTATGATGTGCTTATCAAATTACCTCAAACAAGAGAACTTTGGTGGAGGAACTTACCTGACAAGTATAGAGGTAATATCTGGAAAAAGCAGTTGATAAGTAAGAAGAATGTTGTCTTTGGAAACTCAGTATTGAAAAAAGCGTTGAGTGACGCTTCATCAACTCTCAATCAAGCATGCAACTTCAAATCCACCAAGGATGAATTAGCGAAGAGGCAAAAAGGGAAAGTTAACCCCGATCTTTTGGAAGATGTACGATTTATTGAGGAGTGTGCAGACAAACTACAGTACTCTTTTCCCGAAATGAAGTATTTCCAATACGGAGAGAATTTCGACGCAGTTTTACAAATTCTGATTGCAATTAGAGCCTTGAAAAATGAAAACAAGAATTTAGAATCTATTGACATTATGAAAACAATCAACTTGGTGTGCATTTTAACCTACGTTTTTGATGACCATTTGACTACTCTTAGCTGTTTTATCTCACTGCTATCAAAGAAATTGCCCAACTTTATGCTATGCTCAGACGAAATTCAAATTCCTTCGGACTTACTCAAAGATTTGGAAATCCAAAAATCAAAAACCCAGTCTACTTACTTTGGAGACATCAAGGATCAATTTGATAAATATTTGTTACAACTAACTCCCCGTCTATACAACCACTTCATCCAAAGAGATATCAACAGCTTAAAGATTATTCAAGGTCTAGCTTGTTCTATATTTTCGAACCAGTTACCTTTTGATGTCGTGCTGAGAGTAATGGACATATATTTCTTCGAAGGTGATATTCTCCTGTTGCGTGCATCATTGGCTTTACTCAAAAAAATATCGTTTAAACTTTATGGGAGTAAAGAGGAGGTTTACAATCTCTTGAAGGTCGACGGATTGATCAATTCGAGCTACTTGGAAGTTGGAGAAGTAGATGAATTCATCAAGGATATCCGGGATGTTTTGAAGAAAAATTGAACAACAATAAAAATGAAACCACAAAAACAATTACCTGTATAGCATTAAACCACCTACCGCATTTGTTCTATTTAGTTACTCTATTTTCAATTTTTTTCCCACCTTTACTTTTACTACTTTTACTACTACTTTTACGTTTATTTCTACTTCCATATTATTTTTTATTCAATATACTTTTTGTACCGGCTAAGTTTTCTCAGTAATCTCACACTATGTACCGTATGATGCATTCTGTGTTTGGTTTCGAGAACCCTACTAAAAGCTACATGTTCGCAGTGACCCTCAACTTCGAAACGTTCAAGTATACTTTTACTATAAGCTTTTCGATATCATAATGTAAGCAGGATTAATATTAATTTACAAGTACACACATCATTGGCAACTTTGTACTGCCTTCAACAATTCTTCTCCATCGGTAGCTGTCTTAACCCTTGCGACATACGTTACCAGCGTACCGTCAGCATTCACCGAAGGAATTCTCAACATCGACTTTTTATCTCCCAACAATTCGTATTTCATTCCTTCCAGTATTGCAACATTCAGTAGAACATTCGATGATCCTTCTGATCTAACCAAGATTCTACATTTACCCGTAGCCTTGTTCTTCAAAACTTTTAGTTCGCCGAGTCCCACTGGATCGTAGCCTTTAGTCTCGAAGTTGAATTTGGTTATCTTGGAACGCTTAGCATAAAGAGACTCTTCCTCTTCTTCACCTGTCTTAACCTCAACCTTTTCGGTCAGATGAACAACAGCAAAGTTGCCCTTCACCGTGTCACTTTCGGCCTCGTTGACTTCGTCTGGGTTTTCGTCATCCTCTGTTTTCTTGGCTGTTACAGATGGTTCATTGCTCGTGGAAGAAGATGGAGTATTGGCGCTGAAATTGAAAACTGGCGATGTACTGTTACCAAATGCTGTTGTTTTTCCTATATTGAAAGGGTTTGACGAATTGGAGGAGGCATCTGCATTTTTCCCAAAACTAAAGACCGAGTTTGTATTGGTGTTTGGTTTGGATTCTGTCGTTGTAGCGCTGGAAGATCCAAAACTGAAAGCGCTCGAAGGAGTGGCTTTTTGACCAAAATTCAATACTGGGGCTGTTGTGTTATTTCCAGTGGTCGTGGTAGGCAAGGTGGTTGCACCGAATGAAAAAGAAGGAGTAGATGATTTAGCAGCCCCAAAAGAAAAGGCTGGTTTGGTATCGTTTTCTGGTTTGGAAGCTGCACCAAAATTGAAGCTCACTTTGTTTGTTTCAGCAGCCGGTTTATCAGAAGATGCAGGCAAGTTGAAACTGAATGCCGGTTTTGCAGATGTAGAAGCAGCATTACCAAAAGAAAACCCGATTGAAGGTTTCGCTACTGGTGCTGCATCTCCGAGTTTGCTATCTTTCTTATCATCGGCCTTTGGAGGGAATTTGAAATGGCTGTCACTCACTGTGGCAGTGGAGACAAAAGAAGGACCCTTGATCTCTATTTCATCTTCCGAGTCATCCTCATCCTTTGGTGGAGCTTTCCCAAACTGAAAACCGTAGCTCTTTGATTTTGGCAGTTCGCTGAGCACAAATTTAGGTCCTTCCAGTGTGATAGGCTTTGTCGTCTTTTCATCTTCCTCATCATCGTCGGACCCTTCGTCCACTTTTGCTGCTTCGGTAATTGCTGGCCTTGCAGGAGCTTGTGCATTTTCCACCGGCGTTCCAAGCTTGGTGTCTACTCCAAAGTTAGGCTTGGCTACGGCCGGATCGTTACCGTTGTTGTTCACCGGAGCGAACATGGCAAACGGATTAGCCTTACCTTCCGTCTTCACCGACTCCGGCTTGACGTCCACTTTAGGCACATCCATCTTTTTCACCTCTATTTTCTTGTCCTGCACTTTGGAAACATAGTCCAAGTACTTTGTGCAAATGGCAGTAAAGTCTGCCACAGGGTTTTTGGTTATGCCGTCGTTGACGGATTTCAGGAAGTTGGCGTTGAGCGACCTCATTTGCGACAATTGGACTTTATCTGTAGCGGCAGATGAAATAGCAGCAGAAGCTTCATTCACCTGTGGTTTCTTGGCCCCAAACCTGCGTCCCCGTCCTGCTATCTTTCTTCCTGCCATGACGGCCTCAGATGCATGTTGTGGAGGATCCATTTCCTGGTCATCGTCTCCCGAGTTCTCTGCGTTGTCGCCGTAGGCAACAAAGGCGTCTTTGGTTAGCTGTGTCTTGGTTCTTTTCGCCATTGTACTATACTGTGCTGTACTGTGCTGTGGATTATTTCATAGTGTCTCCTCTTTGGCGTTCTCTGTTCTCCATCCGGCTGCTATCCTTTCGTGTGATAACTACCCTACGTCTTTTTTTCTTCGTAGAAGGGGAGAAAGGAAATAAAGGGCTTTGCACGTGCTTATCAAAAGGGTTGTGCTGTGCACGTGACACAAAGGTGCGAGGAGTATTTTTGGTGCGTACAGCAAAAGCAGTCACTGGAGAAAATTGTGGGAGGGGATTGCTTTCCGAGGGAAGGCGAGTGGGGGGAGAGAGCGTCCGAGAGAGACGGTGTGTGTAGGTAGTGGTGAAAGGTTTTCTTCTGCGATAACAGGAATTGAGTTGACCCATTAGCAGTAGTATAACGGCTCTCTTTTGATTTAATTCTTTTGACACAGAACTAATAGTAGCAAACAAGTATGTACATATAAGACAACTATCAACTACGGGGAATTAAGGCCAACAGCAACACAACGGAGTGCCAGAGAGAGAAATACGAGATAGAATGAAATATTGAGACAAGGTAGTCGTACAGGACGGCTCACACTGGAGTGAATGGAAGTATATCAAGTAACAATGTGATTCAGTTCTTCACGCAAGTTGTTGGCTCACATATGGACCGAGATGGAACATCGACACGAATCCAGATCAGCATCAAATTGAAGAATGAAGCACGAGAGGAAACAACTCCTTATGCTGGCGTTAAGAGCCAAAGGACACCGCTAAGGGTCGAATTGCGCATAGACATTATCTTTCTCTCTACCTCTGTTGTTGACTCGAGGCCAAACTGAAACCGTGCATTGCCTTTGAAGATTTTACTAACAAGTATCGCCCTTTTTTTTTAAACACAGAAATGCCTCCAAAGATTCAACAATCCAAGGCAGCTAAGGCAGCTGCAGCTATGGCTGGTGGTAAGAAGTCTAAGAAGAAGTGGTCCAAGGGTAAGGTTAAGGACAAGGCTTCCCACTTGATCGTTCTTGACCAAGAAAAATACGACAGAATCTTGAAGGAGGTCCCAACCTACAGATTTGTTTCCATCTCTGTCTTGGTTGACAGATTAAAGATTGGTGGTTCTCTTGCCAGAGTTGCTCTTAGACAATTAGAAGAAGACGGTGTCATCAAGCCAGTTTCTAAGCACTCTAAGCAATTGATCTACACCAGAGCTATCAATTAAGCATAGTGTCTCATCCATGATGTTTCGTGTATAGTTTCTATTACTTTATATCTAATATAGTAAGATTTTGAAAGAAAATACTTTTGCTAGCTCATGTGCTTGCTCATGAGTCTTACCGTGTCCTTATTGATGCTCGTGCTAGGCTTAATACTGTTACTTTTGGCTGCAGGAGGTACTGAAAGTCTCCCTGGGAAAAAAACCCTCCCATAGTGGAAAACCCTGCGGCAGTGCCAAGCTTTGACGTCCCACCGACAGCGCGCCGGAGGTACAAAAGGCGGCCGCTCTGCTCTTTCATCTCGAGTCTGACCAAAGTGTACGGGCAGCTGCAGTTTATTTGATAAAACCCTGTGGCAAGCGTACATAGTCGTGCTTCAGCGTAGGGATACGCTGTGCGAGTATTGAAAGCTTTACCACGAATCTTCTCTCTCTTTATTGCTTCAAATGATGACTGTGAACCGTTTCACGTTAAATATTCGGTGAATTCTTGTGTGCCTTAGAATAAACATGCATCACCATCTGATTGGAGTACTTACTACTGTTTTTTTGATTCTACTTGTTATGCCTAAGCCTTTTCAACTTCGTTTAGGGGAATGCAGTTGTAAATGCCTTTTTCTCTTTGCTACGAGCAATGACGCCCTTGTTTTTTTCCTTCTTTTTCTAGATGATGATAAATCAAATTTCAGTTCTGCTTCTGAACCAAATATTCATGAAGATAACAAATTTATTACCAAAAACTTCTGATTTTGCAAAAAGAAAAGGAAAATACGGGTGTTTTTCTATCGTTTGGGATGTCAATGTTTTTTCTTTCAAAACTTCCCTATAAAACGTAAACGTAAAATACAAATGCGTGTCAGCAAACGCCAACATTACAAATACTTCTCCTCGAAGTTTGCCTGCTTGTAAGACAAGAACTTTTTCACACCCAGCCAGCCTTGTTGGACCTTTGGGTTCTTAATCTTGGAGATCTGGGAGTCGAGCTTGATCAGGTTGTCATAGAGGAAGAATCTGGTGTTCTCGCTCTGTAGAATTCTCAACCACATGAACATGCAGTAGGTGACCAATCCATAACCCGATGTGCCCCTCAAGAGGAGGGTGTCGACGAGCAACAACACAAAGAGGAAGAGCTCGTCGTACAAGACAACCTTGCTCAACTGGGTCTCGAGCTTGAGGATGGCCGTGAGCTTGCAGGAGGTGGCGATCTGCAAAAGAGACACAATCATGAATGGGAGGATCTTGAAAAAGGAGTTTCTGTTGAAAAACCACATGACGCTCAACAAGAGGTACTGGAAGTTCTCGGTGGCTACCAAGGTTGTGTAGTGGGGCAAAGACTTGATGTTGTACTGCGACTGGATCGACGTCACATACGCGGTCCATACACCCATCAACGTCAGCTTGTAGCACACCCATGGGACAAGACGGTGCTGCGACTTTCTCTGGAAGTAGTACAGCGAGTAGAACACACCGAAGCCCAGCGTCATGATGTGGCCCACGAGCCAGATACTCTTTGCGTACGACTTCGGTGGCTTGTTTATTTTGCGGAGTTTCTTCCCGCTGGTGCTGCCACCGGCGGCGGGAGAAGCTGGCGCCCTTTCAGGAGCCTTTCCAGGAGCCTTACCAGGAGCCTTACCAGGGACCTTTCCAGGGACCTTTCCGGGCGCCTCCTCAACGGGGGCCTTTGCTGGAACATCCGGAGGCATTGCAAGAGGGATTGGAGGAGCCATTGTGCTTGTGGAGAACGTGTTTATCCGCTTGCCTTGTACAGCAGACCCACCACGCGGCGGAATCCCCGCAAGAGAGGCGGACAGGCCGTGAGTCCGGGACAGCAAACAGCACGAGCCGTCAACAAAAACAGAGGCGAAGCTTCTCTCGTCAAGCCAGGGGCAGAGAAGGAAAGCACAAGACGGAAGGAGCAGAAAACCAAGCCGCAAAAAAGCGCGAGCGGTCGATCGGCGCGCCGATCGGCGCAAAATTGGCAAAAGGCGCGGGGAGAAGTCAGAGGAGAACGGGGGCCGTGGAAATTGGACTCGGGGAACATGAATTGGGAGGCCGCTGGATTGAAGATGAAGAGGCAGTGCAGTGGAGGGGTGGTGGTTCGGTCGGATAAGAAAGGATTTTTCTCTTCTTCTTTCATCGTTTTTGTGTTGGTCTTGTTGTTTGCATCTTCCTGTTGCAGCAGACAGTGGTTTTAAAAGCAAAAGCAGACAAAGATGGCTTCGAACGACACCTACCTGACACCGCTCTCCTCACGTTATGCGTCGAAGGAGATGTCGCACGTATTCTCTATCCGTAACCGGTTCTCGACGTGGAGAAAGCTCTGGTACAACTTGGCGATTGCGGAGAAGGAGCTGGGGCTCAGTGTGATCACCGACGAGGCGATTGCGGAGATGAAGGAGCATTTGATCATCACAGACGAGGAGATCGAGGCTGCGAAGGTGGAGGAGTCGAAGGTGAGACACGACGTGATGGCGCACGTGCACGTGTTTGGAGAAACGTGTCCGGAGGCTGCCGGGATCATCCACTTGGGGGCCACGTCGTGTTTCGTGACGGACAACGCGGACTTGATCTTCCTCAGAGACGCGTACGACATCTTGATTGCCAAGTTGGTGAACGTGATCAACCGGTTGTCGAAGTTTGCGCTGGAGTACAAGGACCTGCCTGTGCTCGGGTGGACGCACTTCCAGCCGGCACAGTTGACGACGGTGGGCAAGAGAGCGACGTTGTGGCTGCAGGAGCTGCTCTGGGACTTGAGAAACTTCCAGCGGGCCAGAGACGACTTGGGCTTGCGTGGCGTGAAGGGCACGACCGGCACGCAGGCGTCGTTCCTGTCGTTGTTCCACGGGGACCACGCGAAGGTGGAGGCGTTGGACGACCGTGTGGTCGAGTTGCTTGGCTTCGAGTACGCGTACCCGTGCACGGGGCAGACGTACTCGCGTAAGATCGACATCGACGCGCTGCACCCTCTCACGTCCTTCGGCGCCACGTGCCACAAGATGGCCACCGACATCCGGCTCTTGGCGAACTTGAAGGAGGTGGAGGAGCCCTTCGAGAAGTCGCAGATCGGGTCCAGCGCCATGGCCTACAAGCGCAACCCCATGAGAAGCGAGCGGGTGTGCTCCTTGTCCAGACACTTGGGCGGTCTTTTCCAGGACGCGTTCCAGACCGCGTCGATCCAGTGGTTCGAGCGCACGTTGGACGACTCCGCCATCCGCAGAATCTCCATCCCCGAGGCCTTCCTCACCGCAGACATCTTGCTCAGCACCCTCATCAACATCACCGACGGCCTTGTCGTCTACCCGAAGGTCATCGAGCGCAGAATCATGAGCGAGTTGCCCTTCATGGCCACCGAGAACATCATCATGGCCATGGTCGAGAAGGGCGGTTCCAGACAGGACTGCCACGAGGAGATCCGCGTCTTGTCGCACCAGGCGAGCGCCGTCGTCAAGCAGCAGGGTGGCGACAACGACTTGATCGACCGCATCAAGAGCACCGAGTACTTCAAGCCCATCTGGAACGACCTCGACGCCTTGCTGGACCCGTCCACCTTCATCGGTCGGGCACCCCAGCAGACCCTCAAGTTTGTCACCGTCACCGTCAAGAAGGCTCTTGCCCCATACCAGGGCCTGCTCAACGAGGACGCTGTCCAATTGGCCGTCTGAGCACCCGGCTGCGGCTGCGGCTGCGGCTGCTTCCGCCCCCACCCCTGCCCCCCGGCGGCTCCTGTCTACTTCTCCCTATGTATACATCTACCTGCCCACTTAATCCACTAATCACTCCACCGTATTTGCCCAAAGTCCGGGGTCGTTGCCCCGTTTTGCCCCGTTTTGCCCCTTTTTCCCCCTCTTTCCACTCCACCCCGATTCCCTCCCTCCGTCCGCCGGACCCCCTTCCACCCCACCCTTACCCCACACGGCGACTCCACCGCAAGCCATCCCGTGCCCCGGCGTCCACGAAAAACCCGTCTTCCGGGTCCGCGGGGTCGATCGGCCCTCCCGTCTTTTTGCGCCCTCGCCTGTCTTTGCCGACAAACTCTGCCTGGGACCCGTCCCGGAGAACAGCCGGCCAGCGATGACCGGCCGCGGACTTTTTAGTCATGTGCCCGCGCCGGCCGTGCCAAGGGCGTGATTCACCGCCACCGCTACATTGCTGTTGCCCTGCGGCCGGGCGCGGGGAGGGAAAACGCTGAGCATACGTAAGAGGCCGCACAGCTGGCACCGCACAGGCAGCGCAACACCGCAGGCCAACAGCACCACCGTATAAGAGGCCGGGTGTCTGCTGTTGTCAGGCGTGCTCAGCTGGAATGCTCAGCTCGGTTGGACGGAGGGGTTGCAGTCTCCTGCACTTCTGTTGCACTTCTGTTGCACTTCTGGTCTGGCTTTTCTTCTTCTAGACACGAGCAAGCAGTCCAGCCACACGTACGCTCATACCCCAGGCACCCCAGTTTCAGCAAAACATGTCTACGGTGGAAGACCATTCGTCGCTCCACAAGTTGCGGAAGGAGTCGGAGATCCTTTCGAACGCAAACAAGATCCTCGTGGCCAACAGGGGCGAGATCCCCATCAGAATCTTCCGGTCGGCGCATGAGTTGTCGATGCACACGGTTGCCATCTACTCGCACGAGGACCGGTTGTCGATGCACCGGTTGAAGGCCGACGAGGCGTACCCGATCGGCAGACAGGGCCAGTTCTCGCCCGTGCAGGCGTACTTGCAGATCGACGAGATCATCAAGATCGCGAGAGAACACGAGGTGTCCATGATCCACCCCGGGTACGGGTTTCTTTCCGAAAACTCGGAGTTCGCCAAGAAGGTGGAGGAGGCCGGCATGATCTGGGTCGGGCCGTCCGCAGGCGTCATCGACTCTGTCGGAGACAAGGTGTCGGCCAGAACGTTGGCCGGAAAGGCCAACGTGCCCATTGTGCCCGGCACCGACGGCCCCATCGAGGACATCGAGGAGGCCAAGGCGTTCGTGGCCCAGCACGGCTACCCGGTTATCATCAAGGCTGCCTTTGGTGGCGGAGGCCGAGGAATGAGAGTCGTCCGGGAAGGCGACGACATTGTCGACGCGTTCCAGAGGGCCTCGTCCGAGGCCAAGTCCGCCTTTGGCAACGGCACGTGTTTTATCGAGCGGTTCTTGGACAAGCCTAAGCACATTGAGGTCCAGTTGTTGGCCGACAACTACGGCAACACCATCCATTTGTTTGAAAGAGACTGTTCCGTCCAGAGAAGACACCAGAAGGTGGTGGAGATCGCCCCAGCAAAGACGCTGCCTACCTCTGTCAGAGATGCCATCTTGAACGACGCCGTCAAGTTGGCCAAGATCGCCAACTACAGAAACGCCGGTACCGCCGAGTTCTTGGTGGACAACCAAAACAGACACTACTTTATCGAAATCAACCCAAGAATCCAAGTCGAGCATACCATCACTGAGGAAATCACCGGTGTTGACATCGTCGCCGCACAGATCCAGATTGCCGCAGGCGCCTCCTTGGAGCAATTGGGTCTTCTTCAGGACAGAATCTCCACCAGAGGTTTTGCCATCCAGTGCAGAATCACTACGGAAGATCCTTCCAAAAACTTCCAGCCTGACACTGGTAAAATTGAGGTCTACAGATCTGCTGGTGGTAACGGTGTCAGATTGGACGGTGGTAATGGCTTTGCCGGTGCGGTCATCTCCCCACATTACGACTCCATGTTAGTCAAGTGTTCCACTTCTGGATCCAACTACGAGATTGCCAGAAGAAAGATGATCCGTGCCTTGGTGGAATTCAGAATCAGAGGTGTAAAAACAAACATTCCTTTCCTTTTGGCCCTCTTGACCCACCCTGTCTTCATTTCCGGTGATTGTTGGACCACCTTTATTGACGACACTCCTTCTCTATTCGAAATGGTCTCTTCCAAAAACAGGGCCCAGAAACTGTTGGCATACTTGGGTGACTTGTGTGTCAATGGCTCCTCAATCAAGGGCCAGATTGGTTTCCCTAAGTTGACCAAGGAAGCCGAAGTGCCAACTCTACATGAGCCTTCCAACCCAGAAAAGGTTATTGACGTTTCTTCTCCATCAACAAAGGGTTTGAGACCTTATTTGCTGGAATACGGTCCAGACGCCTTTGCCAAGAAGGTCCGTGAGTTTGACGGTTGTTTGATCATGGATACCACTTGGAGAGATGCCCATCAATCCCTATTGGCCACCAGGGTCAGAACCGTCGATCTTTTGAACATTGCTCCAACTACCAGTCATGCGCTCGAAAACGCCTTTGCTTTGGAATGCTGGGGTGGTGCCACTTTCGACGTTGCAATGAGATTCCTATATGAAGACCCTTGGGAAAGATTGAAGCAGATGAGAAAATTGGTTCCAAACATTCCATTCCAGATGTTGCTCAGAGGTGCCAACGGTGTTGCTTATTCATCATTACCCGACAATGCCATTGATCACTTTGTCAAGCAAGCTAAGGATAATGGTGTCGATATATTTAGGGTCTTTGATGCTTTGAACGACTTGGATCAGTTGAAGGTCGGAGTTGATGCAGTCAAGAAGGCAGGTGGTGTCGTCGAGTCAACCGTCTGTTACTCTGGTGATATGCTGATCCCTGGTAAGAAGTACAATTTAGAATACTATCTCGAAACTGTTGGGAAAATCGTTGAAATGGGCACCCACTTCTTGGGTATCAAGGATATGGCTGGTACGTTGAAGCCAAAGGCGGCCAAGCTGTTGATCGGCTCCATCAGAGCAAGATATCCGGATTTGCCAATTCATGTGCATACTCACGATTCTGCCGGAACTGGTGTTTCAACCTATGTTGCTTGTGCATTGGCTGGCGCCGATATTGTCGACTGTGCCATCAACTCCATGTCTGGTTTGACTTCACAACCCTCTATGAGTGCATTCATCAGCGCTCTCGATGGTGACATTGACACCGGTATTGCTGAATCCTATGCAAGAGAGTTGGATGCCTACTGGGCAGAAATGAGATTATTGTACTCTTGTTTCGAAGCAGACTTGAAGGGACCTGATCCAGAAGTTTACAAACACGAGATTCCAGGTGGTCAATTGACCAACTTGATTTTCCAAGCCCAGCAAGTTGGTTTAGGAGAACAATGGGAAGAAACCAAGAAGGCTTATGAACAAGCCAACCTGCTGTTAGGTGATATTGTCAAGGTCACTCCAACCAGTAAGGTTGTTGGTGATTTGGCACAATTTATGGTTTCTAACAAGTTGACTAGAGAAGATGTTGAAAAGTTGGCAAGTGAATTGGACTTCCCAGATTCTGTCTTAGACTTCTTTGAAGGCTTGATGGGTACCCCTTACGGTGGATTCCCAGAACCTTTACGTACCAACATCATCAAAGGTAAAAGAAGAAAGTTGAAGGGCCGTCCAGGATTAGAATTGGAGCCTTTCAACTTGGAGGAAATCAAGGAAGACTTGGTATCTAGATTTGGTACCAACATCACTGAAGATGACGTTGCAAGTTACAACATGTATCCAAAGGTTTTTGAACAGTACCGTAAGATAGTTGAACAGTATGGTGACTTGTCTGTCCTTCCAACAAAATCATTCTTGGCGCCCCCAACCATTGGTGAAGAAATTAATGTTCAAATCGAGATGGGTAAGACTTTGATTATCAAGCTTTTGGCCATCAGTGATCTTTCTCCAGCAAAGGGTACCAGAGAAGTATACTTTGAGCTTAACGGTGAAATGCGTAAGGTCACCATTGAGGACAAGAACGTTGCTGTCGAGACGGTCACGAGGGCCAAGGCAGATGCACACAACCCTAACGAGGTTGGTGCCCCAATGGCCGGTGTTGTCGTTGAAGTCAGAGTCAAGCACGGCGGTGAAGTGAAGAAGGGTGACCCATTGGTGGTGTTAAGTGCCATGAAGATGGAGATGGTGATAAGTGCTCCGGTGAGCGGTAAGGTTGGTGAGGTCTTCGTCAAGGAAGGCGATAGCGTTGACCAGGCCGATTTGATGGTCGCCATTACCAAGGAGGAAGCAGCTGAGGCTTGATTGAGTCTCTGATTGTCCAATCGCCTGATCGGTGTAATATTTATTTATTGTCTATATATTCTGATGATGTATATAGATCCACATGATAATGATTGTACTGCGTGCAAATTTTTACGTTAGAAAAGATTTAGTTGTAGCTGAAGAGGATGGCTATGTTTTCTTCTCCAGAGCTTGTAGCTGCGCTTTCAACGAGGAGACCTGGGCGTTCAACGCGTTGATCTGTGTCTCGAGCAGCCTATCAGTGTCTGTGTGGCGGCTTCCTGGTGTAAGGGAGCTATCTGCCTGGATTTCCTGTAGCGTCGAGTTGAGACGTCTGTTGTGGAGGTGGATGTCTGTGTAGATATTTGCCAACCCGTTTGAGTTGGACATGTTGTTTGTAAGCGTGGCCAAGTTGCCGGCTAGGGAGTCGAGCATGGCCAACGTTTCCTCGAGACTCGTGTTGAGGTCCCGGATGGATGTTGTCTCCCGCTGTATTGCGGCAGTCAACGCATCGTTTGTTGGCATCGTGTCCGCTGAGGGAAGGAGCAGAGCAGAACACCAGATTTGACAATAATAGCAGCACAGAGGTAGCCTGAGAGAGTTTGGCGTCTAACTTTGTTTTCATCTCCGGCTCCCTGATACTCGCTGTGAAATTTTTTTCCCTTTCCTTTCCTTTCTTTCAGGCCATGAATCAGTTATCGCAGACGAAAGGAGATCCTAGATAAAGAAAGAAAGGAACACTCTGAAACAGTCATCTTCACATTAACGTACAATGAGTGACGAAGAATACATCGTGCGTCGGGAGGTCTCCGACGAAGAGGAGGAGCAACAGCAGGCAGGAGCAGCAGACGATGCTGTCTTCGACAACGAGTTCAGGATGCTTGTGCTTGCGAACTCAAGCATGACTGCTGGCGCCGAGACTGAAGATGGCGCTGAGGCCACAAGTGTGTCCGTGGAGGAGTCGGACATGGAGGAGCTTCTCATCCGCCAGGTGAGGACGCTCGATGACGTGAACGAGTTCTTCGACGAGTTCGACGGCGTTGTGGCGGTGCCGAACGAGGGCCACCTCAAGTACGAGGTGGGAAGTGACGGTCTCTGTGTCGTGCTTGTTGACTCTGTTGGATTGAAGGAGAAAGTTGTGACGTTCGTGCGGGAGTACATGCAGAAGCACAGCGACGCCGAGGCCGAGAGCCCAGCCGAGGCCGAGAGGGACACCGATGACGACCGGTCTACCAAGAGACGCCGGTGAAGACGCCCCGGCGACCTCAGAAACACTCTTCTATATTCTAGCTACTGTATAATCCCCGTGCAAGCCCGTAGCCCCTTGCGTGGCATACCACAATGAAAACGAATGACACGTCTTGACTGTGCCTGGGCTGTCCGGTCCGGATCTTTGAAATATGCAAAGAGCGATCTGCAACACCTTTCTTTGCTGGCCTCTTAAGAAGACTGCTCTCCTTCTCTTGGGTACACGATTCTTTGTTAGAGGGCGACACACAAAGCCCACCAGGCGAACGCATCAATCACACTCTTGTGATACACAACCATGTCTGCTCACCACCGGTCCAACTCTCCGGCCTCTGCGCTGTCCGGCACAGCGTACTCACAAATGGAGATTGACGAGGACCACATCCAGTCCATCTCCAGCCAACTCGACGACTCGGACGCCCCACGGGGAAAACCAAGGCCCAATGACAAACGGGACATTTCCCTCCCGAAACAAGACTACCCAAGATTCTTTCTCTTGGTGATGCTCTACTTTATCCAGGGGATCCCTATCGGCTTGGCGTTTGGCAGTGTGCCGTTTCTCCTCAAGTCTAACAAACTCACATATTCCCAGGTCGGGCTCTTCTCCTTAGCCACCTATCCATACTCGTTGAAGATTCTTTGGTCACCCATTGTCGATTCCTGCTATTCTGCTACAGTCGGTAAAAGAAGATCATGGATTATCCCGATCCAGTGTGTCTCGGGCGTCTCGTTGATCTTCCTTGGTTCCAAAATAGACACGTGGATTTCCGATAACGACCTCATTTTGCAGAACCTCCCATTGCTATCGTTCAGCTTTTTCTTTCTTATTTTGTTATGTGCAACTCAGGATATTGCCGTCGATGGCTGGGCTTTGACGATCTTGAGCAAGAACGCCCTTAGTTATGCGTCTACCGCCCAAACAATCGGTTTGAACACAGGCTACTTTGTCAGTTTCACTATTTTTTTGGCATTCAATTCGGAAGACTTTGCCAACAAGTATTTTCGTTCCGTGCCTCAGGATTATGGTTTTGTTAGCTTAGGCCAATACATGATGTTTTCGGGTTTTCTATATTTGTTTATTACCTTACTCATAGTCATGGTTATACCAGAAAACCCTCCTGTTAAAAAGTACCGGGATACTACAGAATACAATTTGGAATATGATACAGCAGATACAGACGATTCAATCAAAACTGTTTACAGCAAAATGCTTAAAGTTTTAAAGTTGAAAAATGTCCAAACATTTATTGTGCTACACTTGGTTTCCAAAATAGCATTCCAGGCCAACGAAGCGGCAACCAACTTGAAACTTCTAGATAAGGGTTTTTCCAGGGAAGACCTAGCGATAACTGTTCTCATCGATTTTCCTTTTGAAATTGTCTTTGGGTATTATGCAGCAAGATGGTCTAATACGAACAAACCGTTGAAACCTTGGATGTACGGATATATTGGAAGGCTTGTGGCTGCCATCTTTGGACAAATTCTTGTGTGGGGGTTCCCGAAAAGCGGCAAAATCAGTACTTCATATTTTGTTTTTGTTATTTTGCAACATTTGCTGAGCTCGTTCATGTCAACTGTTCAATTCGTCTCTATATGCGCATTTCACACCAAAATTGCGGACCCTCTCATCGGTGGGACATACATGACAACCTTGAACACCTTGTCCAACTTTGGCGGAACATGGCCGAAAATCATAGTTCTTTATCTGATTGATAAACTCTCCAAATCCATATGCGTGGATCCAAATGAGGAGACATCATCCCCAATCAAGGGAAATCAAAACCCATTCTTCAATGAAAAGTTTTATTCATGCTATCAAAATGATATGAAATCGTTGTGTACAGAAAATGGGGGTTCTTGCATACCTGTTAAGGACGGGTACTACTACACTAATTTATTATGCATTGTTCTGGGTCTAGTGCTCTACTTTGGTTGGATAAGGAAAACCGCAAAATCTTTAGAAAGGCTTCCAATCGCTTCTTGGAGGGTCAAGGAAAAAGGGGCATTGAACGGAATTCGTAGTCATCTCCCGCTATGATTAATCAGTTAGACTGAGAGATAGTTTTCTATTCTGTATTGATAAGTAAATAATAAACATTTCTTGAACAAGGGTTCTACCTATTCAAGTAATAAACGGAAACTGGAAAAGTGAAAAAATGAAGAACAATAAAAAGAAAAAAGAGAAAGAGAAATTTGTGATTACAACTACTATACAAAAATTTGATTAAAGTTTTCCAAAAGGACAGTACATATCTGTCCACCACCATCGCTTTGTGTCAAGTTTGGACCCATTAAGACACTCATTGCGCTCACCGTCATCTTGTTATGCTTACCCATCTTCAAAACATCCCGGAGATACTTAAACAATGCATAAAGTACATTTCTGTTTAGCTGGGGGACTTTGTACTTATATATCTGCTTGAATTCCTCAGAGCTTGAAGGGGAGAGCAATGTAGTGGGTGATAATATTAACCCCGAAACTTCCCGCTCTGCCTCATCTTCAGTTTTATCTTGTTCTCTCTTGAGGTGGTTATCATTATTGTTGATAATCCTACATAATTCGGAGGTAACTTCATCTGAGAGTAGGCGATCCTTTAAATTACGTAGGTATCTTTTCAATAAAGTAGCAATCGAATGTACGTCCGGAATTGGTGAAAGCTTAGCTAGTTCACAATCGTATTGATTATTAAAGATTTCCTGAATTTTATTCACTTCCGACATCATACCATTCAACCTAAATATCCCCTCAAACCCTTCTCCACTTTGCTGATACAAAAATGTGATACTTTGGAACACAATGGAGGGCACAGATAAACCGTATAATTTGTACTTTGGGCATAAATCAAACGAATATTTTAAAGTTGATTTAAAATATTTGGGAGTCTCATCTATAGGCTGGAACAAAGCTTCAACTGGTTTATCACTACCATGTCTTAAGGGGGAGATTGGCATCAAGTTGCTACTACTATTATTGTTGCTCTCAGATGTCAATTTGTTACTCTCATAAGGCATTGCCTTGAAATTGAGTACATCATTGATATTATGATTATTGGAAGGTGTAGACGAGTTTGACGATATCATTTTTGAAGGAGTAGAAGGCAATGAATGCGAGGATGAATTTGATGTTGAGTTGTTATGGTTGTTGCTATTGTTATTGTGGTTGGGCTTTGGACTAGGCGGTATTTGCTTGCTTGATTTTTTGAATATCTTCCAAGGAGTATTGATCGATGGTGAAAGCATGTTGTCATTGGAAGACGATTTGTGATCCGACTCTTCAGAATTGTGCTTTGTTCTGCCTTCCGCGGTTGCCTTTTCTTCAGTCTCGTCACTAGCATGAGGCCCAGAGTAAGACTCGATCCAAGCATTAACCTTAGAGCACAATTCAGAGGCATCGTATTCACTTTCTGCAAAAAAAGACCAACTTTTGTTTGCGGAAAACTTTTTTTTTCTCTTAATTGTGACTTCCTGACCCTTGAAAAAAATTCCGACTTCATCGAAAAGCAGTACTTCTTGAGATTTAGTTAGAAGGAAGTTTATCACAAGCTCATTCGTTTCTGGCTGGGAAGATAGTTTGGCAAAATCATATGTTTTCATGGTAAAGTTTTTCCTTATGTATAGCAAGTAACATATTTTATCTTGTAAGTTCAGAACACTATATTCTGGATCTTCTAAATTATTTGGATCCATTTTGAATTCAAAATAATTGCTGAAATGTTTCCATATCGGATTGTCTTGATCTAACGGGTTTTGCGACTTCAACAACGTCAGGAGTTTGTTGATATAGTTTTGAATCACTTTTTTACTATGTGCCCAGAACTTGCAGTTGAGAGAAGCAACATGCTGGAAATCTGGTAGTTTAGGTAGTGAAGGTATCAACGGTCTTACTGTCTTATCCATTATCAACAATTCAACATATGATCTCTTAACTCTATAAATTGGGGTTAACTGTGAAGGGTTTTCATCAGTATAAACAAGGAATGATACCTTGTAGTTATCTCTCTTTGATTTCGCAATCACATGGTTGGTGATTGTATCGATAGGAACTGCTAGTCCTTGTGGATCAATCAATGATTCGATTCGTATAACACAATGTTTTAAGCTGTTTAACAAGAACTTTTCACTATCATCTGTAGGTTCCACAGCTTTTTGGACAATTTGCTTCTGCGGTTGCAGTGATTCTGATTGCGATTGCGATTGGGGCTGCGATTCTGATTGTGATTGTAGCTGAGACTGTGATCGTGATCGTGGTTGTGACCTCGAAAAATGCAAATTTTCGTTAGAAGGATGATGAGGTGGTGGTGGTGGATGTGGTGGTAAGGTGGGTGGAACTAAAGCAACCCTTTCTTGTTTACCGTTCTGATATGACGTCGCAGGATGCAGGAAAGTGCTATCCAAATGCATGTTATTCGGTGTACCAGATATGGAGCTTGAAGACACAGAGTATTCTGAGACGGGCGTTGCCAGGGGTAGATCGGTAATCGATGAGTCAAAGTTGCAATTTACAGGCGTCTTTAAAGGTAGATAATCCAGCGCAGTGGATGAATTGGAATATAGAGAATCCTGCCCTAATTTTTTGTACACTGGTTCTTCTGGGGTTGACACTATACCGAAATGAAGATCATCATCGTCATCATCGTTATCGTTGTCGTTGTCGTTGTGATTTCCTTCTGCAATAAGATCTTTTGCATTAATTGCATTGCCTGATGCCTGTGGCCGGCGTTTTGGAGACAGTTTTCTTGGAGAAGATCCAAGAGTCATGTCTGCATAATGCAATTGGTTCTGCAAATCTAGCGTTAAATTATTTGAAGAGTCCGCTACCGTGTTATCGTGGGATGATAAACCGTTCGTGTTTTCGTAATCATTTCCAAGCTCATAGCCTTCAAACTTTTTCTCTCCTTCATCGTCGTTAGAGTAATGTGAGGATGTTGTCGACGAAACAGACTTCCTTATAGCATGTCCACTTGATGTCGGAGTGTGGGTTGCTGATCGGGATTGAGAATAGAAGTGGGTTATATGTTGTGGTGTTATCGAATTATCGCTGCCGTGAGCAGAGCTTTTAGATGACGAGAGGTTTGAGTGTGACGAGGCAGTTCTATTGCTATTGCGCTGGGGTATTTCCCAAATAGTTTGCGAGCTAGCCGAATCTACTGATGCCGTGCCCAGATGGTTAGTTTGAGACTGTTGTCGATGACTGATTGGAGAGTTTAGTGTGATTGCGTCTCCAGTAAAACTCGATTCTGCTAATTCCTTCGGCTCCTTGTTGTCATCACTCTCCAAACTTTCGGTTGAAACAACATCGTGGCTTGTCTTCGTTGCAGAGCTGCTATTGGTGGCAGTGCTCCCTTCCCGGCTGTGATGTGAGAGGGAAATCAACTTTTTGTTTAGATCGTCAATAGTGTTGTCTTTAAGCTTGATAATTTTCTGTAGGTACTCGACTTTCTTGTGCAGCATTGTGTTTTCGGACTGTAGGTTGGCTAGGGAAACCTCATGCTGGTTTCTGGTGCTGTTGATGGTCGACTGGGAGTCATTATGCAGCGTGTTTGAAAACACAGTATGATTTGGAGGATTCACGTCACCATTGGAAAACGTGATGTTGAGGCCGTCCAAGTCGGCCATTGTGGGGGAGACAGAATGCTAGGCGGCAGGAAGAAGACGGCTGTCCTGCAATGCTGGTTGCGGTTAGGGAATGGGAGAGGGACACACGGTGACTGCAAAAGACGTGGTGGGCTTTTTCCTGTTATGATGGTGGTGCAGAATCGAGTCGAAAAGGGGGAGAGTGCACGAAAAGCAAAGAGCAGCGAGCCTGTATTACATAGTATATATCTTTATGTCTGTCTGTCTGTCTGTCTATTATACCGCTGTACCGATAGGTATACTTCTACATCGGTACTTACTTGAGGCGCTTGACGAAGTTCGACATCTCGTCAACATCCTTCTTGTCCAGGGCGACGTACTCGTCCCATAGCTTTACAAGCTGTCGTTTTTCGCTGGTCTCGACCTGCAGTCTGTTCTTGACGTGGGTCAGCTCCTGTTTCAGGGTCTCCTGCTGGTCTTGCAGCAACTGGAATCTATCTCTGAAGGTGGCCTGCTTCTTAGCGTACTTGCTTTCGTAGGCGGCCCGAAGCTTGGCAATCTTGGCCTCGTGTTTCTCTGCGTACTGGATGTAGAGCTCCTGCGCCAAGGACTCGAGCTCCGACTTGAGGGTATCGTCAAAGGCAGCTATGCGTGTCTCGTACTGGGAGACGGACTGGTGGAGGTCTGTATTTTCCTGCCGAAGGTCGGAGACGGTTGCATGCATTGACTCGTAGCCCTTGAAAACGGTTTCGAGGAGCTCGGAGAGCTGGGTGATTTGCGCAGAAAGCTTCGACTTCTTCGTCTTCTCCAGCACGAGCTGCTTGTCGAGCTTTGCGATCTTGCTCTGCAAGATAGTGAGCTCGTCTTGCATGATGTCATTCTTGTCTGCAAGTGCCTGGGCGTCCAGCTGTGACTGCTGGACCGTGAGGTGGAGGTTTTCGATCTTGCTTCGGTAGTCGCCGATCTGGTTGTTGAGGCTATTGATGGTGGCCGTGTTTTCGTGCACCTTGACCTGCAACGTGTTAATGGTAGATTGGTATTTGTTCTTAAGAGTGGAGAGGCCGTTGTTAAACACGAGGAGTTCCGTGCTCGGTTCCTCCTCGCCCTCTGCCTCACTCTCTTCGTAGTCCTGGTCCTGGGTTGGGCCTCTTGCGTCGTAGTCCGGCGACGCCTCACGATTGTTATCCTTGACGATGTGGTGGAACCGTGCGATAAGCTGTTTGAAAGAGGGCTGCGAGCCCACGCCGGTTGCGTCGTCGGCGGTATCCGCAGCAGTGGCAGCAGCTGCCGCTGACGACGTGATGCCCAACTTCGTCGATTTGACCGGGGACAGAGAGTCAGACGAGCCGGCTAGCACCGAATCGTGTTGGCGGTTGCTCGATGGCTGGTTCACATACTCGTTTTCATACTCATTCTCATTGTCATTGTCATTCTCATACTCATACTCATACTCCCCCTGCTCCTGCTCCTGCTCCTGCTCCTCTTGCTCTTGCTCTTGCTCTTGCTCCTGCCCATCGGACTTCTGCGACGTCTTTCCTGTACTTTCTCCCGCCGTCCTGTTTTCCTTGTTCTCCATGTTCGACCCGGAGTGTACAGCTGGGCTAGCACTGCCGCCGGCCTTCGAGACAGAGCCGGAGCTTCTGTTTGCCTCTGCAAGTGCATTGTTTACGTGTCTCAGGGTGGGCGTGTTCGCCGGCGACGGCGAATGGATCAGCGGCGACGAGAGTTGGTCAGAGAGTCTCTGTTTCTTCTGCGGTGGTCTCTCTGCGGCATGCATGATTTCTGGCTGTCCTTCTGCTCTTTTGTGCCGTCCCCTGGGCCTGTCTTCTCCTGAAACGTTGGCTCATCAAGGCGCCAAACGCCAAACAAAGCTCAGCAGCCCGTGAAGCTCAGTACTTCTACGCCGGGCGCAACAGTAGCGCTGTCGCGACCCCTGCCTGTCGCTTCGACCTCCGTGGAGGAAGAGACGGCCTGCTGGGAACATCTTAATGAAGAAGAACCCGGGTAGCATATGGCGACAAGGGGAGCCGAAGGAGCCGAAGGATTAAAACATAATACAGTAGGGAGCAGCAGGAAGCAGCAGCTATGTCGAACCCAGCGTGTGCAGAGCTCTACACGAGCATTATTGAGGACGTGATTGTCGAGTCCAGACAGGACTTTGAAAACGCAGGTATTGACGAGCAGACGTTGCAGGACCTACGGCAAATCTGGCGACAACGGTTACTGGCGTCGAAGGTGGCGGTGTTTCCGTGGGGTGACCCAGAGGAGCAGGGCGACGGCGGGGCGGATGCAGAGCACCAGGACGGTGGCGGAGTTGGCCAGACAGCAAACGAGGCAGATGCAGACGCAAACGGAGAGGGAGACGCAGATGAAGGGTTATTCGGGGACGAGGACGACGAGGATGAGAAGAAGGGCGTATCCGTGGGGGTGAAGAACGAGGACGGAGCGGGGCTGGGGTTCCCGGACGAACAGACAGAGGCCGCCGTGGGCGGAGACGCCAACACGGACCTTCTCTCGGCGCCGGGTCTGAGTCAGAACGACGGACTGGTGGGTGTTGTGCCCGCCAAGCAAAGCAGACACGCGGGTGGCAGCTTCAGCGGGCGGTTTGAGAAGGGGGCGATGCCCACAGTGACCTTCAGCGTGCGAAACAATCAGCTGGATGGGTCATTCGACTACGGGTTCGACGACGACGAAGACGCCAACGGCTCGAGCAGGAAGGTTGTTGGCGGAGCCGTCAACGGCACAGGCAACTCTGCCACCAACCACGACGACGAAGATGAAGACGACGACGAAGACGACGACGACGATCTCGGGTCGGACTTGGGCGCAGACAGCGACGCCATCAATAGCGACCTAGACGATTCCGACGACGAGGACGACGAAGATGCAGACGGCGACGGCGATGACCCGGACGGCGACGGCGCAGGCAATGACATCGAGCAGAACATCATGCTCTGTCTCTACGACCGTGTCCAGCGGGTCAGGAACAGGTGGAAGTGCTCCCTCAAGGATGGCCTCATGAACATCAACGGCAAGGACTACGTCTTCCAGAAGGCTACAGGCGACTCGGAGTGGTGACCACCGTGTAGCATCAGTCTATTTATCTAAGTATCAGCCAAACATTTCCCTGTAAAGTGACCAAAACAGGTACTCGACCAGCGCAAAGCTTTTTGTCCGTCTCGCACACCTCAGAAAACTCTGAGAAGCATGTCAACGGAGAGAGAGGAATGTGAAGAAGACAGACCAGTAGAAGTCGGAGCCGGGTCGTATACAGGGAAGTTTACAGGAGAAAAGAAGCGTGGTTTATTTAGCTCGGTGAAGGACAGCATAAGCAACCATGAAAATAGTCTTCCCTGACAGTGTGGAGAAAGAGCTTGCCCAGCAGCAAGAACAGAGCCAAAAAGATTCGCAGAAGACGACGACAGCGCCAGGAGCACACCATGGTCAGCAAATACAGGCCGATGGGGGCCAAAAGATAGAAGAGCTTTCAGAAGCACAGCTGAAAGCACGCAATGCAGCGATACAGAACACCACCTCCTCGTTATACCAGCCGGAGTCTCCCTTGGCGCCAGAGTATCGGTCCAAGAGCTCTGAGATCGAAGAACGTTTGAAGCGTATCAACCAACGGTTTGCAGCTCTCAAGATGAAGGAGGAAAGCAGGCATGCGGAGCTGCAGAGGCAGGCGTGGATAAAGTACAGTCATCTTGCTAAGCCAACGCTGTCGGACTTTAAAAGACCAATCACATCCTTCTTTCTCTTGGCCAGTGCGGTGTACATGACGGCGCAGTACTCATGGTTTGCTTTGGAAAGGGAAAACCATGTCGAGCAAATGGAGCACACACAATCGGAGCTTGTGGATAACCTCAATAACGCTCTGTTGCGCCAACAGTCAGTGATACAGCAGTACAATGATTCCCTCAATTCCAGAAAATGGTGGAAGTTTTGGTAGCGTCCTACATTTTTGTCAAGCCGCATGACATTTAGTCAAACTACTTCAGATGTACATAACTTTTATACGTGTATGAGTCACAAATGTACTTGTGTACAAATAAATATATAGAAATTAATTCCCAAGATTCATGACAATTCATTTGAAGTAAGACAGGGAAGAAACCTTGCCGGCAGCAAGCTGTTTGGCACCAGCATCAATGAGGATTTGCTTGGCCGCATCAGCCTTGGCATCCTTTAACTTACTTGCAACTTCAGTGAGCAGAAGGTCATCGAAGGATTCAATGAGTAAGTCGATGTCAGCATCGATAGCACTTTGCTTGCCAGCGTCATCAAAGTACTCGTTGTCCTTAGCAGCACCTCTGATGGTTCTCTTGTTCTTCTTCTTTGCGCTCTTTGCTGCCTCTTTGGATTTCTTGGAGTTCTCCTTCTCAGCCTTGGCCAGGGCTTCTGCTTCGGCCTTGGCTTTAGCTTCAGCTTCAGCCTTCGCCTTAGCTTCCTCTTCAGCCTTTCTAGAACCAGCTTCTCTTTCCCACTTCTTTCTGGCCTTTTCAGCCTTTTCTTCGTCCTTAAACTTCTTGATTCTTGGGTCTTCAGCTTGTGCTCTCTTGACCAGATCAGACAATCTCTTGTTGTCGTCGTTCTTCTTCTTCTTTCTAGAGTTGTTGTTCTTCTTTTCGATGTACCTCTTGTGGTCTCTGTTACTGGTGTCATCTGGAACATCTTCGTCCAGCCATTCGAAAGATCTCCAAGAGTCAAGATTGTTCCAAAACTTGTAGAACGATTCAACCTCTTCCTTTGTGCTGTTGCTGTCACCTAGTGGTGGAGCAGGTTGTTTGTTAGAGAATCTGGATTCAGAAACAAAAACAGGGCCCCACGCAGCATAGAATTCTTCTTCTGTTGTGCACTTGTTAGCTGGTGGAGCAACTTCAGCGCTTTCATCAACAGAGTCAAACTGTCTTCTTTTAACTGGGTCTAGTAAGGTTTCAAAAGCCTTTTGAATGATCTTGAAAAAACCATCTTGGTCCAAGTTACCACCTGCGGAAGACTTCTTATCCGGATGATGTTGCAGAACAGCCTTTCTGTGAGCCTTGACAATCTGGTCTGGAGTGGCGTTGACTCTCAACTTTGACAAACCTAATGCAGCATATAAATCACACGACTTCCAGTCTCTTGGGTCATGAGACAACAATTCTGGGTCTGATATTTCAGCGTCAAAGAGATCTTCATCAGCATCTCTTTCTTCGACGTTAACAACGTTCTTGGATGCTTCAATTTGTTCATATTCAGACCATGAGTGGCCTTTTAAAGTTCTGGTTGCGTGCGCAAGGAAATATGGGCCAACTGGCTCAACTGGTCTCTTGACAGCAGCACTGTATGATGCAGCAGCACTGAATGACATTTTTGGTTTATTTTTTACTGCGAAAACAATATACAATGGTCACTACAGTCATTGTGGGAGTCTGACTGATAGTCAATGTTGAATTTGAAGTTTGACGAAAAAATTTTAACATACACAATTCTTCGATCGCATCTGAACGCCATTTTTTAATTTTTGAATTTTTATTTATTTTCTTCCCCCTAAGCTTTATCTTGAAAGATAACGTGCTTTCAAAGTTTTCCACCCGTGCCAGTCACCACAACACAACCGTTATGGCTTCAGCATCTGATCTTCAAGAGCAAGGGCTTGCTTTCTATTCCAAACATGAACAGTATCTTTTGTCGCCCCAGAAATCTTTATCTTTGATCGTGCACGAACCGTTCAATTGTCCAAGCTGGTTAGTGGCTGGAATCATTCAACAATCTCTTTCCAATGATAACGAATGTTATCTTTCTCCTCAATCACCAAATCGCCAAAAAACTGCATCGCCCACATTCTTATACTCCTTTTCTAACACGGAACTCACATATTCAAAATATCTTCACAAATACGTCACAAAAAATAGAAACATGTTCACCTTTGAATCCTATATTACCGAAGATTCAATCTCTCTAGATACATGGGACAAGTCTATTTGTGAGCAATTAGAAAAAAGTGCAAAACTTTGTGATTCTTCTCCGGTGGTAATATTAGAGAACCCTGAGCTCCTGTTATCTGTTGTTCCCGCGATGACTATTTCCAAGCTTCTATCACAGATCATGACAATCCAACAAAAATCTGCTCTATACGTTGTCACTTCATCTTCCATCATTGGTGCACCACAGTTCTTACCTGCACTACTACATCGCTCATCCCTTCTTATTTCTTTGACTCCTCTAACAACGGGAAGAGCAGACGATATATCGGGAATTCTTTCCATCTCACCTGGCCCTGTCCAGAGCAATGACAGAATTGAAGATAGGTTGTCAATTGCAGACCGCCAATACTCATATTTAGTAACAACTAATGCCGTAAAGTTATACTTCAAGTAAAGTCTACCAGACGTATACTAAAAGATGATTACCATATTTAGGCAACGCCACTCTCTATAAGATTACTGAACCGGATTTTCAGGCTTGTAGGATTGAGCTTAGTTGCAAGCGTTCCTTAGTTGAAGTGCCTGCTTACTCTAGCTATCAGTCAAATTTAATCATAATTTGTGGATCAGTCAAAAGGGATGCAAATTTTGCGAAGAAAAGCCAACCTTTCTAGATTGGAGTAACAATTTTTACCCCATGCTGAAAAAATATGTTGCAAACTTGTTTATAATGAAAATTAGGCTTTGGACCTTGGCAAGCTTAATTATATGAAAAGCTAAGAACAAAGAATAAAAACCAAAAATAATAGTTCAAATGATCGAACCCAGGATCGAACTGGGGACGTTATGCGTGTTAAGCATATGCCATAACCAACTAGACCATCCGACCATTTGTTGAACTTTTTCAGGCTAGATTAATTATACCTTATAATGTAATAACTCAGAAGGATAATCATCTAAAAGATTATTTTTAAATTTCTGACTTTTTTTGACTGAATGCCGTTTTAATTTCTTGAAATTAAAAAGCAATACTGTAAGTACGATATTAAAAAAAAGATTTAAAATGAAGTGTTCGACTCTTTTTCATTCTGTTGTTTGATTATACGTATACGAAGTGAGTATATCGACAGAGAGGTAGAGGTAGAAGGAAGGATAGTTAGATTTTGTCGGATCACGATTCCTTCATCTTGAAGTTAACAAAATAGTTTTATACAGACTGTGGATTTTACCATTGACATTTGCAATTTAACATTGTTAAGCCCTCCTGCTAGAAATACTTGTTTGGGACAACCTTTCTTTTACTACGGTTGTAAACCATCTGTAAATCGTAAAAGACAAATTGCTTTCAGCCATTCGCCTCAAAAAGCGTTGTTTCACATTCCTTTGAATTATGTTCAATTGATTTTTCTGTATTTTTCAAAATATTCTTCCAACATAAATTCCATTCTGAATCGTGTTTCCAACAAAGATTTCATTCCCCAAACACTTCTTTCTCCGCAATCAACCCAGTAATTGAGAGAAGATTTATTCTGAACAAAGAGATCGAATAGATCCCACACAATCCATTTGTTTCCCACCGGTATTATCGCTATGTGATTAGTTTCTAAAAGAATTGACTTTTCATCAACCAATAACCATCTCATTAAATTAGTTAACAGTCCAAACTTGCTCATAATCCTTATTCTATGCTTCATCTCCAAATTAACCAAGTTTGATATTTTTTTCCCAAATGTCTTATTATTGTACACTACCCTCCAATCTCCGTTCAAAAATGGCGCTAGATACGGTCTTGAAATAGATATGATAAAATGATTGACATTAAACAGTTCTGTTATGCGATTGTACGGTGAATTTTTTAATTCTATTGAATCTCCATTAACTTGGTAAGGAGGCTCGAACTCACATTCAACAGTGGAATAACTAGAGATTTCACCATAATACTTAATCTTGAGTTCAGCATTAGTGTCCCTGACTTTCGAGTCCAGAACACCACTGCCTAGAGAGCAGTATATTGCACTCTCTATCGTAATATATGGTGTACTCAAGAAGTTTAGTAGGGTAGGAATTTTATCTGATGTTGGATAAACTAGAATGTTGAACGTTTTGCCTGACTTCTCGTATGCCTCTTTAAAAGTAATTTTTCCAATTTTCTGTAATGTATACTCTATAAACTGCCTCAACTCTATGGTAAAGCCCTTCTTCAAATTGTCAATCCATTTCAAATACATTTCTGCTTTCTCGTTATTAGCGTTGCTTTCATCAAACTTGCGCTCCTTACCTAAACCATATCCTTCGACAGCCATGTGATACTTCAAATTCGATAGTACTCCGATCAATTCATCTGCTTCCAGACAACACACCAATGCGCCTACTACTGATCCAAATCCAGAGCCAACTATAACATTAGGCAATAAGTTAGTATCGATCATGCTCTTGATGACCCCAACATGTGAAAACCCAAACAAGGAACCGCCGTGCAAGCATAGTGCAGTTGTACCAATTGTAGTCTTTGCATCATGATAGAAGTCAAGCTTCACTTGGTTTTCAATTATGGACTGTTCGTCAATCCATCGTAAACAGGTACTAACTTCTTTGTTGTATTCCTCAATCAAAAGTTTAGTACCAATATAAGTTCTGTTGTACAAGCGTTTATTTGAAATGCCTCCAAAATTTCTTAGCATTCCAGCCCTTAACAAACTCAATAACCTTGCAACATTGCCAGATTCTCGAGCATCTTGTAAATCTTGCATTCTCTCTTGAATCAATCTGTAGTCATATTTACTCGATATCAAATTGTCCTTCCATACATCATTGTGAAATGCATTATCTAACTTTAGTGCAGTTTCTGAAAACTCTTTCCAGGACTTTGAACGATTTAGCTTATTCAGTAAAACACGCTCCGATGAGTTCTTCAGCTTGTTGAAGATGCAGCGGGCCCAATACGAACACACATCCAATAGTAGTAAAATAAACTTTAGTATTGGTAATGGGGTATATGTCATAAACAAAGTTAGCAAACCGAAAACGATCGTTTTGGTTATCGACCCCTGCAGCTGACTCGCCTTGTGTATCCTCATCATATTTAGCAACAGTGTAAATGCTTAAGAGCCTACACCCATGTACTGGACACTAGAGAGAATAGTTTGAGTAAAACGCATAAAAATTATGGGCATCTATTGACCAGGCCAAGAGGTCCCGAAAATCATTAGATAAGGCATGCGGGGAGGATAGGATATCAACAAAAATCTTTATTGATTCATCATCATAGTATAATTGTATATTTTGACCTTTTCATAAATTACTATTTCACGCTAATAGCCAATGCTGCTTCTAAGTAAAGTATCTGTCAAATACGGAGGGTTGCACCCCAATCTCACAGGTAAAGTTTTGAAGCAATTTCATACGACCTCTAGACTTGCTTTGAATCCGCTCTTGCCAATTGACCCGACTGAGATTCTTACTGAATTAAACGATGAGGAGAAGGCCAGAAATGAGGAGGAAATCAAAAGGGTGAAAGGAAGAATAAAAAGTATTCTTCACAAACCGAAAAAAACTATCAATGGCTCTAAAAATACCGATAGAAAAGGAACCAGCAGCACAAGCGGAAGCAACGGAAGCAACGGAAGCAACAATGGAGGGAATGGGAAAGGGAACGGTAATAGTGATGGGCCAAAGTTGAACAAAAATGGTAACGGCTATTGGAAACAATTTCTAGGCATCGTTAGAAAATGTACCGAAGCCGGCCTAATCACTATGGCATCTTTAGGAGTTTTGGTACTTGGTGGTATATTATATCATAAGATTTACAAAAGAAACGTTTTATGGAAAATGGACGACAGCTTTGACAATCACGAGAGCTTGATGTTACTGAAACATCAAGAGAATGTTGGAAATTCGGATAAAGAGTTATGGGCGGAGAGAGTCAACCAGAAGTGGATTGATGAAATAGTTACTGGAAAGATCAAAGGTAAATATTATTTACTGTTAGGCGAGAAAGGGACCGGAAAGACAAGTACTGTTATGGAAAGTATTAATCGTGTGGATGGAAAAGATTGCGTTGTTGTTGATTGTTCGTCAGATAATGAATTAATGAGACTTCGTATTGGAAATGCATTGAATTTTGAGTTTTCTGAGGATTATATTGGAAGTCTATTCAGTATGAAAGGTCCTCGAGAGTCGACACCAATTCTTGACATCGAACGAGCTTTCATGAAATTGGAAAAGGTGCTGATTGAACGGAGACGTAAAACGAAAAAACCGTTGATACTGACGTTCAACAATTCCCATCTAGTTGATTCATCAATTGTCGAGCTTTTGCAACAGAAGGCAGAAACCTTTTCAAGTTCAGGAATGCTGACCATGATTTTTATCAGTGACGATTATTGGCTTTTTGAAAAGCTGAAGACTTTTGCAACTAGATTGCAGGTGATAAATTTTGAAGATACACAGTTGGAAGAAGCTTCAAAGATCCTGAAAAGTTCAAGAATTAAATTCTTTCAGGAGTCTTTAGATGATCAGAAGTGTGAGGCTATCTACAACATGATTGGAGGACGGCCACAACATTTGAATCACGTAGCATCACAATGGGATGTATTCGATGCAGCACACAAGTTGATTGACAGTGAAAAATTGTGGTTTCTTAACAACTGTGCCTTGTTGGGAGCTGATATGGATGACGACGTTATGGAGTCTGGTAAATTTGCAACTAGTGCAATGTTGTTGATGAGAGAACTGGTGGAGATGGATAGAGACAGAAATGAAAATAAGTCTACAACCGAATTTTCGAAGCTACCTCAATTACCTCTTTGGAGAGCAAGACAAGTTATGACAAGACCTGACTACATCGAGAAATATGATAAGATGAACATTTTCACAATTGGGACGGATTCAAATGTTCGTGCAGACTCCGTTCCGATGATGAGGGCGTTCCATGAGATAGCCTCCGATCCGAAGTTTGATTCACTTTTGAGAGAGACTATTGATCGAATCAGTGAGATCGAGTCTTTGGGGCGCACGAGAGAACTTATTTTTAAAGACTTGACCTCAAAAGGACAATATGTTTTACACAAAGATCCAAATTCGCATGACATGCTAATTAGTGTAAAAACAGCAGACGAGAACAAGATAGAAGAATCTATCGTTAATATTCAGAACCAGGAAGAAAGGTCTTCCGACGACGACCTGCACCATGAGGGAGAGAAGAAAAAGTGGTGGAAGAGGCGTCTTGAGACTTACAGTCAATCCGGAAAGGGCATAGAGAAATAATAGGTTCTCTTCTGAGAAAGCCTGAGTCCATGTGTATGCTTAGTATATACGCTATATGTAAAAGTATCAAAATATCATTCCCGTTACAGATCAATCTGAGTTGATGACATGAAAACTGTAAAAATTGGTGCGCATCATGGGAGACGAGGGCAAACAGTTTCCTGTGTAGCCCAGCCAGTCTGAAGTGAAGTTGCGACGTTTTCGGCAGGGCTGTATAGTAAAAGGGGAAGAGGACTAAAGACTAACATATTGGTTACACCTACAATTACAAACACATTGACAGTTACAACGAAATGGATATCGTTTTAGGAATTCGTCTCAAGGACTGCACCTTGATTGCCACGTCGAAGGCGTTCACCAGAGGTATTTCTGTGCTCAAGGCTACCGATGATAAGACCATTGACCTAAACACACACAACATGATAGCCTTTACCGGGGAATCAGGAGATACAACTCAATTTGCAGAACACATCAAAGCAAATGTGCAGCTTTTCGGCCTTCGGGAAGGATACGACATGGAATCCAGCGAGATTGCATCGTTTGTGAGACATGAGTTGGCGACGTCCATCAGATCCCGTAAACCTTACCAAGTACAGATATTGGTTGCGGGAGTCAAAGACGGTGGCGACGGGTTTTTGAGCATGATTGATTACTTGGGCACGAGATGTGATTTGCCTTATGCAGCTCACGGATATGCGGCCTTCTACACCATGTCCTTATTGGATCATCATTATAAAGACGATATTGACTTAGACACGGGATTGAGGTTGTTGAAGCTTTGTGAAGAAGAATTGAACAAGAGAATGCCAATTGACTTCAAAGGGTTGAACGTGAAAATTGTAGACAAGAATGGTATCAGATTCATTGATTTCTAATTGTGTGTATGCTTTGTAAAAAAATTAGCACTCATATTATTATGATTATTAACTATATATTAAATGTAAAAAACATAAAAGAAGATTGAAAAAAGGGAGAGAAAGAAGAGAAGAAGGATTGAAAGAAAGTAAAAAAAGTTTTATACAACATAGAATGAAATGGAACTAATCAAAATTTAAGCGTCTTCATCATCAACCGGTTCCAGTAACACCTTGACTTCGTCTGAACCTTCTTGAACTAGGTTCACAATATATTCGGAGCTGACAGACCCAACACTTGTCGCCTCTGTTTCCACATCAGAGTCTAGCGTTTGTGTTACGTACCTGGTTTGCGTTATTGTTAGCGTTTCCTCTTCCTCATCATCATCGTATTCATAAACCGTAGATTCTGCTGCTTGAATTTCTGCCAATGTCGATTGTTCTTCTTCTGCACGCTCCTCTGACACAACAGATCTAGCCAATTCTTCTTCTCTGGCTTCCTTTTCCTCTTTCTCCCTGCTTTGGAATTCAATGTTTGCCTTGGCTCTCAAAATTGACATGTAACTTCCAGCTTCGTTGGCAAATAAAGCAGTGTCTCTTTTCAGTTTATTCAAAAACCCCGTCAAGTCGTCGACAGGCTTCTTATCAATCAATTCATCTCTGAATTTGATGAGTGAGTTCTTCAAATCTTTGTACTTCTTCCACTCCTTCCAGTCATCCCCATTGGAGATAATAGCTGCAGAATATGCGTTTAAGGTCGAGTCTGCAAATTCTTCCAGAGTCTCAATTATGCTGACGCGGATCTTTAAGACGTCGTCAAGGAAGTTCTCAGTTTCTTTAACCATTTTGTCTTCTATTTCTTGAGCTTGCACTTCAATGGACGATTTCTTGGCCGCCAATGCATCTCTGTAATCCTGTCTTGAAACATACAGTGGATTGGTCTCGTCTTTGACTTGATTGATTCTGTTTAATAAGTCGTGAATATCGTCATAACCGGTGTTTACGTTTTCAGCCAAAGCTCTCATTTCTGGTTGCAATTTATTGTGCAATCTTGCTTTGTATTCCTCTGCAAGCTCATTCACTTGAGAGACAAAATCTTCGCTAGCGCTGGAAATTGTATTCTTGAGCAGAGACTCATATTTTTCACCTGTGGACACTGAAGGAGAGACAGTGGTAGAGGATACAGAGATAGACAGCAAAGGTGGGCTTGACAGTGAAACAGAAATGGAGGTCGTCGTAGTCGTAGATGAAGAGGTAGTCGATTGGCTGGACTTAAAATTGAAACTACCCGGTAGGTACTTGGCAAAGTCATTCAAAAAAGCCTGTTTGAATTGCATCGTCTTATAAGCCTCTGTTTCCCTAGACGCCAAAATAATTTCATAAATGTAGTTGACTTTTTCTGACATGTAGTGGAAGGTTACGACCATACTTCTGTAGATGTAAGCAACAGTCTGTTCGAACATTTGGAAATATTCCGATCTCTCGAATTGAATTAAAAATTCTCCATATCTTGAGGCCAGAAACTTATCTAGACCACGTAGCAAAAATGGCTTGGCATAGATGTTCCATTTCAGATAGCAGTACAACCTCAACTTTCTTGAATAGATATTTGTTCTACTGATGGCTATCTTTGTGCATTCTCTCACCACTGGGAAAATGGTACGGTTGATAAACTCTGCTATGGTTGTGATCAGTCCTGAAATGCTTTTCGACGAGTACTCCACTGTGTCGATAACACTCTGTTCGTGGGCTTCACGGTATGCCGACACATAGGAGCTCAGCTTGTCGAGGTGTTCTGAGACGACATCGAATCCGGGCTTCACGTAAGCGTCAAGCGGAGCATCCACGTAGGGTTTGATGGGAGACTTTTCGTAAAACTCATATGCCGATGAGAGGTATGGGGAGATCAGATCGTAGGACTTGTGGGTGTAGATACAGACCGGGTCAAAGTCCTCGCTCAAGGAGTTGTACTGCAGAGGAGACTTCAATGGACACACCCTGAGTACGTGTTGGAACACAAAGAGTGAGGCGAAAAAGATCACAAGGTTCCGGAGGAATCTTGCGATATTCATTGGAGTTCGATGCTAGCGTGCTCTTCGGTGGCGGTTGACAGTCTTGCTCTTCTTGAGGGCGCCAGAGGTCAGTATGAGAGTTGATCCCAAGGGCAACAAGAAACACCCGCTGAAGGCTTACAAATGAGTCCGCAACATAATTTTATTTACGGTGTTGAGCGAAAACTGCCGAAAAGAGCAAGACGTGACTTGTCAGATCAGAGGGTTCGGGTATAGGCTTAAAGGAAAAGTATATACGGTGGGCGCCAGTGCCAGAATAATAGAATGTGAAGGGGTACACCAGACAAAAAACAAGATAAAAAGGGGGAAACGTATACATGGAGTGATGATATACACATAAATAGATGATTTTTGAGTACAGGTGCCTGTGAGCGAGCAGTTTCCACCCTCATAGGGCCTGGCCTGCTGCCTGTGCTGCCTCGATCACCTCTTCTGCTGCAATCTGGCCCACAACGCTCTCAGCCTCCTCGATAAGCTTCTCCAGCTTGCCGTTGGAGGAAGGCTCTGCGGCAGCTGTGCCGTCGGTCTTGGCTGGGATAGGTTCGACCTCTTCGGTTGGCTCGGAGCCGGACGAGGCCGTCTCCTCAGCGGCCTCTGTGTTTGGAACGACATTGGTCTCAGAGGCCGCTGGCAAAGGAGTAGGCTCGACAAGGTCCTCCTGTGGCGTGACCGGGTCGACGGTCTTCTCCTGCTCCGGGTTAGGGGTCCCGATGAAGGCGTCGATGTTGTCTCCGTCTGGAATGACAATCTTCTTCACGTTGGCGAGGGTGTCGTCGTCCAAGCGGGCCTTGAGTGCAGCAAGCTTGTCGAGAACAACCGCGTAGGCGGCCTCCGCCTGCGCCTGGATGACAGGGACGTACGGCCCAACAAACTTGTTGTAGTTTTCCTGCACGACGACAACCGACTCGTCCACGTACGGCTTCACAGGAGAGCCATTGTAGTACTCGAGTACTGGCGCAACAATCGGCTGCGTGTATGGCTTCACGTACGAGTAGCCCGTGTGCGTGTATTTGCACAACGAGTCCTCCTGCTCAACTCCGTAGGGTAAAGGCTTGCACAGAGGACAGGTTGTGGCGACGTGGTAAAGCGCCCAGATGACGAGCGCCGAGGTGAGATAGCACTTGAGCTTTGCGAAGAATGCCATTGTCAATGTCTCGAGTGTTTGTTGGTCTTCCAGCAGACCTGGAGCATTGACCCTGCCCTGCCTGAACAACCTCTATCATCCCGACAGCCTCTTCAAATCATGCTGACAAGGCCACATCCCGCCACCGGCCACGTCGCCGTCACCGCCACGCAGGCGGGAAAAAAGCGAAATTTGGGGCGATCGTCCCCACGGGGATATTTTCGGCGGTTTGAAGTTGCAAGTACAAGGCTACGGGGTTACAAAAGATTGGATTAGCGTTTGCGGAGTCTCTTCGGGAGCCAGTTCTTCACGATTCGGCCCCGCTCGACGTCGAGCACGACCCGGCGGCCAAGGACGTCGAGACGCCCGAGAGAAAGTAGCTGGCGGGCGTCTGCCCGACTCCCGAGCGTAACAAAGGCGTACGCCCGTCTGGCACGGCGCCGGACCAGAGCCACATGTGGGAGTGTTGCCGGCAGGTCGGGAAGGACGGCACGCACTGCGGCGGCGACATCGTCCTGCGTCGTGTCGGGGGCAAGGTGGGCGACGAATACGGTGCAGTAGGGGTCGCCAAACTGTTGCGCTGCGGACCCTTTGCGTTCCTCGTAGGAGATGACGGCCTCCTGCCGCCGCTGCTCGACCTGCTCCCGGCTCTGTGTGCTGCGGGCGCCTCTACCGGACGGCTGATTTGGTCCGGCGGCACCGGCGTGGGTCTGCTGCTCACGATGGTACTCCTTCAATGCACCGGTGAAGTCCGCCAGGCCGCTGTGCCGGATCTCGAACGTTCCGAGCCGGACCTGGGGCGGCACGGTGTTTTTGAATCGCTGTATCGGCACGGTGGGCTCGAAGATCTTTTCCGTCGACATTGCTGGTGAGCCGTTCCCCTTGCGACGTTGCTGTAGTGGCCTCCTCCTGCCAGAATGCCTGTCTTGCGTGCTGGTGAAGTTCAGAAGACGTGGGAGGACCCGCAGGGAACCCGTGCACCGCTGCCGTTTTGGGAAATTTTTCCTTTTGACATGAAAGAAAAAAAAATTTTCCTATTTTTCTTCATACTTTATCTCTATCTATAGACAGGCTTGGCCCTTTTTTGCTTCTAGTCTGGACAGTATCAGCCAAAACTTATCCAGATAGCAACTTGCAGACATGGGTAGAGTACAGAAGAAAAACGCCAAAGGTCGTTTGGATAGATACTACTATTTAGCCAAGGAAAAAGGTTACAGAGCTCGTTCCTCGTTCAAGATTCTACAGATAAATGAAAAATATGGCCATTTCCTAGAAAAGTCGAAGGTGGTCATTGACTTGTGTGCCGCCCCTGGTTCTTGGTGCCAGGTGGCCAGTCAGCTCTGTCCGGTGAAGTCGCTTATCATTGGTGTCGATATCGTGCCAATGAAGGCAATTCCTAATGTGATCACTTTCCAGTCCGATATCACAACGGAGGATTGTAGATCCAAGTTGGCAGGGTACATGAAAACGTGGAAGGCCGACACCGTCATGCACGATGGTGCTCCAAATGTGGGTTTGAATTGGGTTCAGGATGCCTATACTCAATCGCAGCTTACTTTACAAGCTCTTAAGCTAGCAGTTGAACATTTGAACGTTGGTGGTACTTTTGTGACCAAAGTTTTCAGATCCAAGGATTACAACAATTTGATGTGGGTGTTCAACCAACTATTTGAGAAAGTTGAAGCCACCAAGCCTCCCGCAAGTAGAAATGTTTCTGCTGAAATTTTCGTGGTTTGCAAGAACTTCAAAGCTCCTAAAAAGTTGGATCCTCGTTTCCTTGATCCAAAGCACGTGTTCGAAGAGGTCGAAGATAAGAAAAACAATGAAGCCAAGGTCTTTAACCCAGAGTTGAAGCGCAGAAGTAGGCAAGGTTACGAAGAAGGAGATTACACCTTGTTCCATCCAATGAAATTGATGGAGTGGGTTAAACAAGAGGATGACATCATCACCACTTTAGGTAGTATCAGTATGTTTGAAATCGATACCGAGGATCCAGAATGGAAAATCTTAAAGAAGATGAAACAAACAACTACTGAGTTCATGGAATGTTGTAAGGATTTGAAGGTTTTAGGTAAGAAGGATTTCAAGATGTTACTAAGATGGAGAAAACATGCAAGAGACGAACTCGGAATACTCGATCCAAAGGATGTCAAGACCTCCGAATCGTTGATAGAGGTCGAAGAGTTGAACGAAGATCAAAAAATTGACAAAGAGCTGGATCAAGTTAAGGATAGACTCAGATTGAAACAAAAGAGAGAAAAGCGTCGTTCCAACCTCCAAAAGCAGAAGGAAATCCAAAGAATGCAAATGAACATGTTGACCGATATGCAGATTGGTATTGATGCTGCCAACATTGGGTCAGAGACTCTTTTCAATTTGAAGACTGCAGAGAAGACTGGTGAGATGGACAAGCTAGCCAAGGGTAAGAAAACCATCGTGTTTAACAATGATCACAACCATCTCAGCCATGATTCTGAAATGGTCCTGGAAGAAAATGCTGGGTCTCGACAACTCATCCAAAGAGAAGATGAGGCCGAGAACCTTGAAGAAGAATTGGAAGACATGTATGCTTCCTACAAGGACAGAAAGAAGGAAAGAGATGCCAAGATGAGAGCCAAGGAGGCAAGAGGCGGTGATGACGATGCATGGGATGGAATCAAAGAAGACGAGGAGGTTGTTTCTTCCGATGATGGTGAAGAGCAAGAAGATGACGATAGTGATGAAGATGAAGACAGTGAAGACGATGAAGCTATCAACAAACTTATTGCGACTATTGAACGCAAAAAGAAGAATTCACTGAGTACGAAAGCATCCAATTTCTTCAGTGACAGCATTTTCCAAGACGTTGACCTTAATATTGCAAGCAATATCAAGGGAGACACCAAGATTCTTGGCTCCGAGGCTAAGACTAAGATGAAACCGCTTATACCAGCACCAAAACAGTCGAAAAAGAAATCCGATGAAAAGAAGGAAATGGACAGTGAGACTGAGTCCGAAGAAGAAGGAGAAAACAGCGATGACGAGTTCGAAATTGTTCCGAACGAATACAACGAGGATCAGGAGATGGATGATTACGACACCGATTCCGACGATGATATGCTAGAAAAGGCCCGCGAGTCACACAAGGCTGACATTGACATTGCTACAGCGCAAGCGATGACGATGGCACACGAGTTAGCTCTTGGTAAGAAGAATAAGAAGGATTTAATAAACGATGGGTTCAACAAGTATTCTTTCCGAGATAAGGAAGGTCTTCCAGAGTGGTTTATCGAGGAAGAGGATCAGCACAGTAAGATCAACAGACCAGTGACTAAGGAGGCCGCCCTAGCCTTGAAGGAGAAGATGAGGCAGTTGAACGCAAGACCAATCAAGAAGGTGTTAGAAGCACAAGGACGTAAGAGAATGCGTGCAATGAAGAGATTGGACAAGCTGAAGAAGAAGAGTGACGGTATCATGGTGGACGAGTCCAAGAGTGAGGCCGACAAGGCTGCGGAAATCCAGGCCTTGATGGGTAAGATGACCAAGAAACAGAAGACCAAGCCTAAGGTGACGTTGGTTGTTGCACGTGGTTCTAACAAGAGATTGGCCGGTAGACCTAAGGGTGTTCGTGGTAAGTATAAGATGGTGGATGGTGTGTTGAAGAACGAGATGCGGTCGTTACGTAGAATTGAAAAGAAGCATAAGAAGAAGAAATAGAGGAGTTAGCCATCGGTAGATACTATAGATATACGCATAATACTTTACTTGTACTAGATTCATCATCAGGAATATACCTTTTTTCGAGATATACAATAAATAGATCAAGCTCAAAAGACTTAAGCGGAGAAAGAGAAGGAGACACCTAACTTGTGGGCAGCTTCGCCCAACTTGAGGGCGTCGAAGGCACCACCGAAACCGACCTTAACACCCTTGGTCAGTTCTTGTTGGTAAGCAAGGGAGACGATACCGGAGTCGGCGATCTTGGCCTTGACGAAGGCGGTTGGGTCCAAGACGTACTTGGAGGCGATTTCGACTGCAACCGGGTTACCGGCAGTGGTGGACTTGGAGTCGTAGGTGGCCTTGGTACCGACCTCCAAGACTGGGGAGACCTTGTGGTAGTAACCGGTGGTGAAGACGGACAAGTTGTTGGAGGCAACGAGGGCGACGGCGTAGGATGGGGCCTTGTAGCCGAAAGCAGCGGTGTAGTTGGTCAAGACAGCGGACTTGACGTCGTAGGTCAAGGCACCACCGGTGGTGAAGCCGTCTTGGCCGAAGGTCAAGTCGGCGTTGAAGAGAGGGCCCTTCAACAAGTCGACAAAGGCTCTGGCGGAGATGGAGTCCTGGGTGAAGTAGGTGTTGAACTTGACGGCCTTGGAGGCGCCGGGAACGACTGTGGAGACCAATTCGGTCTTGAGGCCCGGGGTGACGGCGTCGGCCAACTCCAACTTGGTGGAGAGAGCGTTGTTGGTGGCCCAGCCCTGGACGACCGACAAGCCTGTGGACTTGTCCGAGTACTTGGACTCCAAGGACGCAGAGATCTTGTCGCCTGCAGACTTGGCCTTCGAGGTGAAGGTCACGCCGTTTGGAGCCGTGGTCTTCACGTCAATGGCGAAAGGAGCTGTGTGGAAGAAGTCTCTAGAGGTGATGTCGTTGGACGCCTTGGCGATGTCGGAGAAAGGAACAGCTGGCATGGTGTTAGGGTACGGGTGGCTTGGTTTGGGGGGTGTGTGTGGTTACAACGAAAGCAGACAGACCAACTGAACGAGCGCACAAGAACAGCAACCTCGCAGCAGAAGAGCAGGGAGCGTTTTAAAAGAGGCTGCAGCGGAGCACCCGATGGGGGAACGGGGACTATAAGAGCTGTCGCCGAGGATTCAAGATCAACACCGCGCTGCTGGAAATGAGGTGCGTCGGGGGTGCTACGGTGGCGCCTGGAAACGTGCCCGGGGCCAGCGCCCGCGCTGTCCACCACGGAAGGTGTGGAGACGGCATGTGAAAGAGGAGGGGAGGGATCCGAGAGGGGTTTTGTTGGGCTGGGCAGCGGGTGCGGGTGTGGGGATCGACGCGTCGGCGCAGTGGCGCGGTGGAAGGGAAGAGGGGGGGGGGGAGAGGAGGGTTGAGGCGGCTCGTGGATTTCTTTCATGATTTGGACAGCGAAGAAGAAGCAGGAGAAGGGGACAAAGAGGGCGCCAAAGGGAGGCAGGAGGGCAAGAGCAAGAGAAGAAACAAGAGAAGAAACAAGAGACAAGAACCATGGCGTGGAACAAGCGGACGCTGGTGTACGTGGAGCCGAGGGTGGACCCGGCACGGGTGTTGCAGGACGTGCAGCGGGTGGATAGGGGCCGGTACGTGGTGAAGACGTCTGCAGAGACGGCGGGGTACGTGGCCCGGCAGGTGAAGTACAGCGTGGAGGACTTCCACGGGGTGGTGAGGGACGGCGAGCTGGCGGCGCTGCTGGACACGGTGGGCGTGCTGCAGCTGACGGTGAGGCGGGCCGGGGAGGACGCCGGGGACGCTGCGGGCGGGTACTTCAACGAGTGGCACGCGTGGATGCGGCCGGGGACGAGTGTGAACGTGGCGCCGCAGCACGTGGACACGTGGCGGGCGTACCGGGACGTGTCGGAGACGCTGCGGGACGCGTTGGTGGGGCTGCTGCGGGGCGGCGCCGGCGGCGCCGGCGGCGACGGCGCTGCGCTGACGGAGATGGTGTTTGAGCGGGAGTGGTGGACGTGGTCGGCGCTGGACGGCGGTCCGGGCACGGCGGACGGGCTTGCCCGCCTGCTGCAGACGCTCGGGCTCGACGACGGCGACGTGCGGCGGGCGGACTACGACGCCGCGGAGCTTGTGCTCGACAAGACCCGTCTCAGCGTGTACCTGTACAGCTGCCGGCGGGGCGGGGCGGCGCCCGTGGACGTTGCGGTGGACGGCCCCGGCGGCGGCGGCGGCGGCACCGTCGCCCGCCACGAGTTTGCCCTGCTCACCGAGATGGCGCCCGTCGCCGCGGCCGCCGCGGACCAGCACCCGCCCGACCGCTTCTTGCAGGGCGTGCGTGCCGCCTCCGAGTCCCCCGACACGCTGCTGCCCACCATGTTCGTGCACATGCCCGCCGAGTACCTGCTGCCGCACGCCGGCTTCCGCACGCGCCTCGACCAGGCCGCCGCCCCGGCCCTGCACCCGCAGCTCCGCTTCGCCCTCGACTACGACCCGTGGAGCCTTCTCCCGCACGACGAGCACATCTCCGACACCTCCGCCTGCCGCCTCCACGCCGACCTGGCCCTCTCCCGCGAGTACATTCTCGACCGCTACGAGCTCGACCGTCTCGCCGCCAGCACCCACTCCTGTCTCGCCGGCCTCGCCAGCATCAGCAACGGCGGCATGGACCTCGAGCTCCCGGCCCACCGTGTTCCCGAGTGGGGCAGCACCGCCGACCTCCTCGTCGACCCGGCCTGCGTCGCCGCCCACAACGGCTCTTTCGCCGTTCCGATCCATCTCCGCTACCCGGAGCCGCGCCACCCAGCCCATCCCGACGAGCCCCCGCTGCTCGCCCATCCGCTCGCCCCCTGGACCGCCCTCTACTGGGAGTGTCCCGTCGACGCGTCGGCCTCACGCCCCATCGCCGCCTCCTTCTACCACGAGCCGGGCCGCTTCCCGCTAGGCGTCGACGCTGGCCCAGTTGCGCGCCGCAGATACTACTACGAGCCCCTTCCGGGCGCGCGCGACGCGCTGTCCGTGTCTGTGCCGCAGGGCGATGGCCGACGCGCGGGCGACGTGGACGCCGCGACAGCGTTTGTTGTCGCGGCGGCCAGCCTCGCCGTGGCAGCAGTTGCTATATTTAAACGGTGACGGGGCGCTAGCTTATGTAAGACAAACGAACAATCTGCTGATCGCCCGCCGCCTATCGCTATTTTCTGGAGAAACAGGTCCGGGGCGCCCTGGGGCGGCGAGGGCGGGCAGGCGTGGGTTCCGTGTTGGCTCTGCTCAGGGCAGGCGTGGTGGTGTCCAGCGTGCTCTTGTGCGGTGGTCGGTGCTGAGGACCGGGGTTGGGCGGTCGTGCGGTGTAGCCGTGATGTCCAGACCAGCAGCACAGCAACACACCCACACTCGCTTACCCCCAGGATCCCCACACCCCCCGGACCGGTCTTCTGCTCCCGCTGCAAAACCCTCTGTATAGCCCTGCTCGCCGCTATATATAGCACAAAGACATCGCACACAGACACAAAGGCACGTTTCCCACGCAGCCGGCTTCCAGGCTATCTCTCTTGCACACAGCGCCAGCTCTGCATCTGCACGAGCCTCTGCCACCCACACACACCCTCAGCTGCAACCACATACACCCCCAGCACCCCCCACCCACACCCGACACCAGACTACGCCCCCTTGGCTCTTCGCCCCTCTGCACCTCATCTCGTCCTCCACACACAATAGCCTGTCGTCTGGCTTTTTGTTTTTTTCTCGATAAGCTGCTTTTCCCAACTGGCTCTAGACCCTCACTCAACAATCCAGCACCGACAGCCAAAGCCCAACCGTCACATTGTTCTGCTTATTCAGCCTTGCACAAATAAATAGACTTTGCCCGCCGCAAGTGTCCCATCGCCTGCACTCCACACACACACACGCTCCTGCTAGAAGCGACAGCACCGTCTCGGCAACCAACCAGCAATGAACAGCCACAGATACTCCGTCTCCTCAGTGGCTTCGGCCAACTCGGCGTCCCATCATCAGCTCGACCACATCATCCCTCGGTCCTCCTCGGTCTCGGAAATGCTCGACATCGACGACAAGTTCGTCCGCAAGCCAAAGGCCAAGCCCGTCTACAACAAAATGAATAGAAACAGCCGGAACTACGCCGCCGCCGACGGCCCGACGGCCTCCACCCCGCAACTGGCCCACCACCGACAACAATCTCGAAATCAGGGACAGAATACAAGATCACAGCGTTCTCACAGCCAACACCGCCAGCAGCCTTACCAGCAACACCCACAGTACCAGCAATACCAGCAATACCAACAGTACCAGCAATACCAGCAATATCCTCAACGACAACAGCAACAACACTATCCAAACGGCTACCCACAGAACTCACAACAATATCAGCAGTATCAACAGTACCAGCAGTACCAGCAGTACCAGCAATATCAACAATACCAGCAAACCAGGCCTCAAAAGCAGCAGCAGCAGCAGCAGCAATACCCTCAGGCACAGAAGCAACCACTTCAATCACAACCCTACCCTGAGTACCAGTATACTCAACATCAACAGAGCATGCCGCAGAGTTACCAGAAGAGGAACACTGTCTCTCGCTTTGACCCTACATTGAAACAACACGCACATTCCAAATCCCAACCTCCATCCCAGCAACATCATCAACAGCAATTGAGACCTCATCAGCCTTCCAAATCATCCTCTGGTTTTTATAACAACCCCCAAGCTCCTTCCTCAAATTTGAATATCCCTCCCCAGGCACTCGGCTCAGCCTCAAACTTGGCCATGCGCCCTGCTAACAGGTCTTTCTATCCTCCAGTTGTCCGCCCTCATACAACCCCAACCAGCTTCACTAGCTATCATTCCAACACTACTGGAACAGCTTCCAACCCGAATTCGAACTCTGCTCCAAACTCTGGTGCCAATTCAAACCAAAACTCAAATCCGAACTCCAACTCGAACTCAAACCCTACTTTGAATCTAAACACTCTGGAAATACCAAATGCAGTGACATCAAGCTCAAATACAAACACAAATACGAACTCTTCTAGGGGCCAAACCCCTGGTAAGTCGTCCCCATCAACAACAAACACGACAACCTCTGAATCTTCATCAAGCACAAATAGAACTCCCGTAAAGCAATCTGTTTCCAACTCCAAAATTAACATAGTGTCTCCACTAACTGATATTTCAAGTGCGGAAGGTTTGGACGATACTTCTGTTAATAGCCAAACTCCACGTACATTAAAAAATCCAACTCAGCATCATGGACAGCAACACCAATTCCAACAGCAACAGCTGAACGTTGGTTACAATCATGCTGCAATAGCTGCAAAGGCTGCAGTTAGAAACGTTCCGACTAGTGCTCCTGCACCATCTATCAGACCCATTCCAGTTCAGACATCTGCATACAGAACTCCTGCTACTACAGATATTCCTAATTTGACACCGGTTCCTCGTGCAACACAGGTATATGAAGATAACCCCTCATCTGTCCAATCTTCTCTTCGTTCAGAGCAAAAGAGAGGATTTTTCAAAAGGATTTTCTCCCGTTCAAAATCAATAAAAGATTTGTCACCTGTTGACAGATCTCCTGTTTCATCCCCAAAGGACTCAAAATTCTCTCTTCGTAGACTCTCTCTGATCAGATCGAGCTCTAGAACTAGCACAGACCGTTCTCAAAGCACTTCTAGAGCATCATCTATAGATGCGAGAGGTACGAAAAGACTTTCAACTTCTTCAAGAAGCTCGTTGAAAGTCAATAAAGATTTGGCAGCTGATGTGAATTGCAATAAAGGTGATGCCTCAAGCAGTGATATACCAGACTACAAAAATTCTACTCCATCAAACACTAACAGTACGAGAATTTTTAGTCCTGTTACTGAAGCAACAGAAGCTGATTCATCACACAATACTTTGTCAAACACAGATTTGCCTTCATCCAATAGAACTATTTCCGATTTCAACTTTGGAGAGACCGAAAATTACAATCATATGACCGATTTGAAGACCCCTTTGTCCAAAAATGTCGAATCAGCCAAACATTCTCTGGTTGGAGTGAAGAGTAACAACAGTAGTTTCTTTTCCGCTAACGAGGGAGGCAAACAGGCGAGCAATCGCATAATTCAGGAAAGGGATGATACCCATCAGTTGCAAACGGTGAAAACAACAGAAACATCAGATTTTTCAGAAACCGATGAATTCGATACTTCCATGGCAAGTATCAGTAAGATCGACAGTTCTGTGGCCAAGAAGCAAGGCTGTGATAATGTTGTTCTAGAATTAGGATACCTTTCAACCATTGTCGGTTTGGGAGAAACAAGCTTTTTCAATTCCGAGTTAAAGAGGACTAATACGAACAAGAGCACTACTACAAATGCTACAACGTCGACAGGTAAGTCCAACACTGAAAAGGATGAACATGGTGTGATGAAGCTCTCTGTTCCTACAAATGATACTAAGAACGTAGTGAAAAAGTCTTCATGGGGCAGTATTAGAGCTAAGGATGAAAGGAAAAAGATGGTACGCAAATTAGGGCGCAAGATACCATTTGCTAGATTGCGTGAGCGTTTTGATATTAGCTTTGATGATGACGACACAAACAGTCACCATACTGGAGCTGAGTCTGATTCTGAAAGCACATCATATGTTAACAAGAGTATTTTAGAAGACGATGATACAGACTTTGAATTACATTCAGGACTCGATTATGACAGCGAGTTTTTTCAGAACCTGAAAACGAAACATATTTTGCCAGCAAATCATGAGCCTAGACATGGAGAAATAGCAGCAGGTAGTTTGAAAGGTTGCATGAAGGAAGGAGAAGAAGAATCTCATCTTTTCCATCCAAAAAGCGTTGATGTTGGGTTCATTGATGATGCCCAATATGGTGTGACGTTCAGTAACGAAGTCTACGATCGCTCGAATCCCGACATGAAAAAGGTGTACGTCATGATGACTTATTATCCGAGGGAAATTCGTGCAATTAGGATAGAGTTGAATGATTTCAAGAAGAATGAAATGGTGGTCAATGAAGCGAGTAAACAATACACACATACATTCCAGGTTTGATTTCCAAAACAGACCCTATTTACACTTGGTTTCTTGTTTCAATTTTTTTCTTTGGTATTAAACTTGTTGTTCTGGTAATTCAATTTAATCATTTTACTTTTTTTGTTTTTTTGTTCCTTTTTGTTCCTTTTTGTTTTCTAAATCTTATTCCCATTTTGTCATATTTATTATCATTACACAAAAATTATGAACATTTATGTAGTTATTTATTTATTTCATTCAACAAATTTGATATTTCCTAACTACCCCTGTAAGTGGAGTAACCGTAGTTACTTAGAAGTAATGGAATATGATAGTGGGCGTCGGGCGACTCAGGAATCTGGAAGACAATGTCCACGTAAGGAAAAAAGGTCTCTCTTTGCATATTGGAGAAATACTGCAAAGTGTTGAATCTGACCTTGTACAGACCGGGACGCAATTCGCTGGTGATCCATTCGCTGGATGCATCTGAGGGGTTCGCAAGAGACCATTCTTTGACTCTGCCGTCAGCATTTGTGTAAGCCGTTGCGATTGCCGACGAGGAAGGAGAGGATAGGTAAGTGAGTTCACATAAGACGTTGGCGGCTGGACGACCCACCGTAGTGTCCAAGATATGGCAGGTGATTGGGGAGACGGACATGACACGCTTATTAGGATGGTGATTAGATGGAAGAGGTAACCGGAGAGAAGGTTTGGGAGAATAAGAGAAGGAAGATGAAGAAGGTTGCAAGCATGAAGAATGATAAGAGAGGTCGGAGAAAGCCGAGGGGTGAGGAAAACCAGTTTTTCCTACATGAATCCAGAGAGTTGAAGACGGTGGGGGGTGGGGCGGGTGTATTTGACAGGTCAGAGAGGGTGGGTTACGGAAGAAATTGGCTGGAAAAGGAGCTGCTGGCACGGCGAGGCAGATATGTCAAAGGATGAAGCAAACTTGCGGCTTATACGTGCCGCCAAGAGGAGGTTGCAACAGAATGCCACAATAGACAACGCGGTGGACGACACGCGTGTCTCTTTTCGTGTTTGCGAGTCGAACAGGCGGGGGGAGAAGACGGCAACCGACTATTACGCCCCGGAGGTGTTCCATCTCTGCTGGACGATGCGAACGGGCGTCTATGCGGACCTGTGTGTGCTGGACATCCTCCGGAGCAAAAAGGTCTCCGAGGTGTACATGAACGAGGGGTTCAAGGCGGACATGCAGAACACGAGGATGCTGGGCAACTGGCCGGTGCAGCGGCTCTGCGTCGTGGGGAAACTGCTCTCGTGCGAGCAGCAGCAGGACGGCTGGCTGCTTGTCGTCGACGACGGTTCGCACGACGACGGCTGCGTGGAGGCCAGCGTCGACAAGTACGTCTGGGCGATGATGGAGGTGGAGGGAGCCTGCTTCGGCGTCCGTGCCGGGTGGTGTGTGTGCGTCTACGGCACGGTGCGGCGCCTGGGCACGAACCACCGCACGGGTGTCGTCGTCATGACGGCAGACCGCGTGTCCGTGGCGGCGAAGCAGCCCGGAGAGCTGCTGCGACAGCTGCAGTGGTGGCAGAGTGTGCTCCGGACGAGGGAGACGATGGGTTCCCCGTGGGTTCTCGACATGCATTCGCAGGACGCAATGGAGGCATTGCGCTCTTTGGAGAGACATCAGGCAAGTCCGACGGGGCCAGCAAGGCCACTGGAGCCGGCAGAACCGCCCCGCCGCGTCTCCGCCGGCCCCCGCCCCGGGGTCGAAGTGGTGGACCTCGACGCCGAGGACCACGAGCTGCGGGTGCTTGCCCCCGCCGGCGGGTCCGTGGGCGTCCCGCTTGCGGAGTGGGCCGCCGAAACGCTGTCGAGGCCCGTGGGCGTGCGTGTGGCCACGGCGGAGCAGCTCGAGCTGGCGGTGGTGCGGGCGCTTGTGCGCGAGACGCAGAGGGGCGTGGCCGACGGCGGCCCACCCGGGGGCGGCCCGCCGGTGGTGTCTTTCGAGCAGGTGTACGGTACGTACGGGGTGACGGTGGTGCTGAACGGGCTCGTGTTGGGCGGGTTCGTCGAAAGCAGTGTCGGGCTCATGCACGACGAGCTCGTGTACAGCTGCTGGAAGACGACGCAGTTCCGTGAGAGCAAGCAGTTTCTGCTTTCGTGTGTGCTCGAGAAGCTCGTCAAGCAGGGCGCAGTGGCCCCGGCGGGGGGCCCCCCGGCGGGCCCGGGGGTCGCTGTGGACGTGCGCCCGTTGGCGGCGGCCATGGGGCGCGTGCGATCGGTTCTGGGCGGCCACGGTGGGCCGCCGGCGGTGCCCATGAAGACGGTGCGGGCGGCGCTGTGGCCGGGGGCCGGGCGGGCGGTGGCACTCGGAGTCGTGGGCGAGCTGGGAGCGTGCGGGGCGCTTTCGGCAGGGGCGCCGGCGGGGGCGCCGGCGTGGAAGTTCGACTGGGCCGGCGACTGCTGGCGGCGGTAGCGAGGGAGAACGCGAGAGCGGAAGGGCCAGACGGAAGGTGGATGGATCCATGTATGTAGAAAAGCAGACAGCGTGCCAGGTGTACGTATATACCGCGTGCAGACAGGACTTGAACGTAGAATCCTGCTGCCAAAACCAACTCATCCACACACAAGCGAGGCAGATGCAGACGGCAAGACATAGATCGGGCTCTGTGGTGTCGGGAATTGCGTTCAACGTGCCCATTTTGGACCAGTACGAGCAGCTGAGCAGAAGTGGTCCAGGAGCACCAGAAACACGGACACTGCGGCGGTCGAACTCGTTCGTGCCTGCACCGAAGGAGAGCAGCAGCGGCATCAGTGGGACCGAGGGGCACCTCGCCATCACGCCGCTCACGGACAGGGAGAAGGCAGCCATATGGCAGAGAGAAGAGAAGCGAAACGAAAACAGCATCGATCTCGACCTAGACGACGAGCTCGTCATCAACAACCTTGAGTCGAACTTCGCCAACGAGCTGTCGGTGCGCAAGGCACAGGAGTTCAGGGACTTTCTCACGCAGACGAAGGCGCAGAATGACGCCTTTGTCACCGACGTCGAAGGCATCGTGTCCCAGTTGGAGACCCTGCTAGCCATACACAAGAACGTCACGATCCAGACACGAGATTTCCAGTCGGAGTCGACATCCCTGATCGACGAGCTCGAGTCCTACGAGACCCTCTACAACGACCTGAGAGACAAGTTTGCCATCTTCCAGGACTTGGAGTCGATCGTGAAGCGCCTCAACACCGCAAATAACTCCAAGATCGTCCTCAAGTCGAGCTTCCAGAACGACATCCTCTCCAAGTTGGACACGTGTTTGCTGTCGGTGAATGACCCGGCACACGCAAAGTACAAAGACATCGACTCCTACAAGTACAGGTTCAAGCAATGCATGATCCGGGCGCTGACTTTGATCAGAAACTACCTCATCAACTACCTGAAAACAGCCGAGTCGAAGGTCATCACCACCATCAACGAGCTACCGAAAGATAAGGACAACTCGATTGTCATTGACGCCTTGATCAACAAGAACTTCTCAGACAGCCTCTCCTCCTTCTACAGTCTTTTTGCAGAGATTTACAGAAGGATTAATGGCAACGACGATTATTTTAACCTACTTGACGACATCTACAACCAGTACTTCAAAACTAGAAGCAGCCTGGTCCACACTTACATCATCCAGCCCCACATGAGGGACAGCGTTAACTTCAACACAGATTTACTCAGTTTGGCAAACTCCAACCTGAAATTTTTTGCCAAGCTCATTGAAAGAGAGTTTGACATTTTCAGAAACCTTTTTTTCCTTCCGCCGAATGAAATCACCGAAACTATCGACAACTCGGCAAATTTGACTGCTGCTCACAAATTCTTTGAATCATTGTTAGACCCACTCTACTATCTATTGAGAAACAAGATATTGCGGGAGTCAGACATCAATTCCTTATGCGAAATGGTCAGTTTATTGAGATCATACACAGAAATGGAGAACGATACCACAGAATTCTCACAATATCTCGCCCTGCAGCAAAATAGAATTGACTATGACGAGCTTTTGCAACCTGTGCTGGAGGACACTCAAACTCGATTGGTTTTCAGAATCCACAAATTTGTTGAAACAAATATTGTCAATTACAAAAAGACCGGTAAAGAGCTTATCATTAGTAACAAACCAGTGGCTGCCGCAACCTCAGATATAAACCCCAACGCAGACTACATTGATGACAACATAATGCTCAACTCAAATATGATATATCCCCCAATCATCAATTCTATCAAGCTTTTGACAAAAATCTACCAACTTTTGAACCAGTCGGTTTTTGACGACATAACCAGTTCCATTGTTCACCTATCACTCCTTTCGTTGGAATCCAACTTCAGCAACATCTCCTCAATTGACTGCAAACTTTATGAGATTAGATCATTGATTCTTTTCAAAGAATATATCAACACTTTTGAAATCGAACATGCTAGAAAAGAGACTTCTTTGGATTTCAGTGGGCTCAAAAAGTTATACACTAAGTTTTTAGAGAGAAATACAAAGATAGAGTTGAAGTCAACAGAACACGAAAGTTTGTTCAACCTTATTCTTGGTTCCATCCCCAAGGTTGTCAACGATTATGTCGATTGTCGTATTGAACTCCAGATCGAACTTCGAAATGTTGTGCACGAGTTTATTAAAATCACTTCTAAAACTTTTGTCGAGCCGCTATTTAGTACCCCACTTGAAGAACTAACCGCAGAGAAGGTCAACACTATCAATACAAAGCTTATCTCTAATATTCGGTCGGAGTTACCAAGATTGAAAATATTGATCAAAGATTATATAAGAGACAATAGAACGAGTACCTTCTTACTTGATGGTATACAAGAGGAGATTCAAAATGAGTATACCTTGTTCTACGATAGCGTCACTGCTTCAGGTAAGGGCGAAGTTATTGCAGAATTGTACGATGTTGGATATTTGAACAAAATTTGGGTGGAAACGGTGAAACTCTTGTTTATCGATGACGAGGAGGATGAAGATGGAAATTTGGATGACCTCAGAGACATCCAAAAGGATATAGAAGCGATGGCAGACTATCCATTAGATGCAGATACAGCATCTTCGGTGGTCACGTCGAGTTTGTAAATATTACCTTGTATTATGTCTATAAAATGTAGTAAAAATGTTTCTTTACGAAAAGGAAAAACCTTGTTGTGCGCTTGTTATATATACATGCTGATAATGGCTTCATCCAAGCACAGCAGCTACTTGTGCGTCTTCATCATCAAAGGGGTTGTAAGAGTTGTCTGCAAGTATCCTGTTCAACTCTTTTTTTATGAACGTCAACTTCGATGGATCTATTAGCAGATGTGTATCGTCAAGCTCTTCAATGACAATATCTCTGTAGTCCTGGTCGATTCTAACGACCAAAGATTTGATGGAGGGATCACACTCAATCAGCATCCCTTTGATAGCTCTTGCCATTGTTGATCGACGGCAATAAAACTGGTGAATGTACGCTACTTGGGATGGTGGGAATGTAGGCTCATCGATTAAGATGGCAAAAGAGGACAAGAATGAAGTCTTCGAAGATACGCGGCGGACTAGCCCATATTATTATTGTGCAGGTAGGCGATTTCTATATTTTCCTCGCTATCTGCACAGGCAGTGTACGTACTATCAGTATTTTTTTCGGGTACTAACGTTTTGAAAAGGGAAGACAGGCTAGAAAGTCATTGTAAATTGCATAAGGTGGACACGATTTTAGGAATTGGCAGTAGTTGACATCATGCCGGAAAAGCAAAGTAGTGCTGATAACGGATCCGTGAGAGGCCACGACTACAATGATGAAGTGGCAGACTCGACTATGGAATTCATCGAAGAAATACAAGATAAGGCAAACAATGAAAGTGGAGCTCAACCAAAAAGCCACCTCGAAGCCGATGTGATGGCCAATCTTAATGAAAAAACTGTGGAGGCTGACGTAGGGGATACTGATGACGAAGATACCATGAAAACTGAAGATACGGAAGAAGCCGAGGATGAAAATGAGGAACCTCCCATTTTGAAATATAAACGACTCACACAACTACCTCCGAGATTTTTCCACAAAGATCCTGTGAGCACCTGTTTCATACACCAGAAGCTCTTTATCTTTGCTACACATTCTGGAATTGTACTTATATGCAAGCCTGATTTCACACCAATCAAAATATTCAAGGCACACACAGCATCAATTCTTTCAGCCGATTATGATGGTGAGTATTTTGCAACTTGCTCAATGGATGGAACGGTCATTGTTGGCTTAGTGCATGATGAACAAGCGTCAGGCCTGGTCATCAATGATTCTGAAATGGTGAAATATAATTTTAAGCGTCCAATTCATGCAGTAGCTTTGAGCAAGCCGTACTCTAAAACCAAATCATTTTTTTGCGGCGGTACAAGTGGAGATCTTTTGCACTGTACAAAGAATTGGTTGGGCCAAAGAGTGGATACGGTGATTGATAAAGATGGAGAATGTGTCACAATGATAAAGTCCGAAAATGATCTACTAGTTTGGTGTAATAGCAAGGGAATCACCGTGGGACAGATGAGTACGAGGAATGAGTTATTACATATTAAGGTTCCAATTGGAATGAGCCGACCAGAATTGTACTGGCCAAAAATTCAATTTGTTGACACGGATAGAATATTGATTGGTTGGGTGGACCATGCGTGGTACCTCAAAATTTTTAATGAAAGCACCAAGAAGAATGACAGAGGTGAAGAAGTAAATAATGGGTTTCACAGTAGCGGTCAAAGTACCAGCAATGTGTTGAGTACCGCTGCTTCGAGTTTCAAGTTACATTATGATGAAAAGCGAGTAGAAATAATATACCATGAAAAGCTATCGGATTGTTTGATTGCTGGAATATCCGAATTCAACAACGACTTGATGGTCTTGAACTATCTACCGAAGATAGGGAAGAACCAATATTTTCCACCCGAACTGAAAATTTTAGATGGTGTTACATTTGATGAGTTGAGTGTCGACGAGTTAGTGCTAAAGCGCTATCAAGGGTTAGGAATGAATGACTATCAGCTACAACAGTATAGCGTTGAGGGAACTGAGGATTCAAAGACCGAGATGAAATGGTTTTTGGTTTGTGCAAATGACGCCATAATTATTGAAGAATTTAGTTTACATGACAAACTCACCTGGTATCTTTCCAAAAAACGATATTTTGATGCATGGGTGTTGAGCGGTTTATGGTTGGATCGATTGGAAAAGCTAAAGATTGGGAAGAAACAACTAGAGGTTTACTTCAAGGAGAAGAAATGGGATTCTGCATCCGAATTCACTCAAAAGGTTTTGAATATCGATGGAGGTGAAGAGTTTGAAAATGATCAAGAAAAGATGTCATACATCGATACTGTAGTTGAAGAATGGAACAATATTCTACAGGTATTCAAAGAAGAAGGAATTCTCAGCAAGTATCCAGACATGTTACCTGTACATAAATTTGAAAGTGAAAAGCAAATATCTGAAGAGTATTACGAGGTGCTCTTACATAGTTTTTTGAAAAACAAAGAGTATGAGAAGTTGATTCATTATTTGGAACAATGGGATCATAGATTATTTGATCTACAAGACATACAATTGCACATCAATGAAGTGCTTCTTGACCACGGTGATAAAGACGATGACGAAATTCGGGGGTTGAGAAAAATATACATAGCCAATAGTTTAGAGCTAGACGAACCTGAGCTTTGTGTGAAGCAGCTGATTATTTTGAAAGATACGACTTTGATGGAATTTTTGGATGAATACCATCTCATTGGAAAGTATATTGAGATGTTACCGCAGATTATACTAATTGGAGTTGATGAAACATTATTGACAAGCAATGAATTGGACAAACTTACACAGGAAACCCCATTATTCACCAATGTTCAGATACTAGTTGAAAACAGCCATGAAATTGTCCCTCGAGATATTATAGGAGTCTTTGAAAAAAAAGATCTTGAGATTGTGAACTATATCTACTTGAAGGAGTTGGGAAAGATGGACAAGCTTCTGATCAAGGACTTTGAGGACGAGATGATCCGCATGTATGCAAAGTTCAATAAGGGAGAGTTGAAAGGTTTTTTGAAAGATCACAAAAAGTATTCCATTGACGATGCCATCAAAGTGTGCGAGGAGTACGAGTGTAATGAGGAGCTTGTATACTTGCTGAGCAAGATTGGAGAGAACCGGAAGGCGTTGACTTTGATTATCGATAAGATGGAGGACCCGTCAAAGGCGATAACATTTGTGCAGTCTGTCAACGAAAAGGAACTATGGGACTATTTACTTGACTATTCGATGAGCCGGAGTAAGTTTGTGAAGGAGCTGTTGTTGAGTGTGGGCATGTTGGTTGACCCGATCCCGGTTGTAAGTCGGATTCCGCTTGGTGTTGAGATTCCAGACTTGCAAAAGGCGATTGTGAATATCACCAAAAACGTGAGTCTCGACCGGGAGATCTACGAGATCATCTTAGGGATTATTTCCGGAGAGTACATGGAGAAGAGTTTACACTTGAGAGGAATACGAACCCGAGGAAGTATGATGAGCGAAGTGGAGGTGGCAATGATGCGGAAGGACATTGACAGCTGTTACGTGAAGATCAGCAAGGAAGTTGGAGGCCTTGTGAAAGAGGAGGATGTGATTGGCGAGCGGTGGAGAGGGGACCGGGGGAACAAGGTCGCACACAAGTCGTACCTGAAGTTCAAGATTGGCGGGTTGTAGGGATGCGTGTAAACATGCTATGTAGTGATCTATCAAGAAGAAGTAGAAGAAGGAGCCGAAGAGTTCCCGAAGAATCCGGAGAAGAAGTTGAGCCGGCTGAACAGGGATCCGCCGACGGAGGAGAGCATCTCGTTGGCGATGTTGTTTGCCTTGCCGAACTTGTCGCACTTGGTGTAAGCCATGGTGTTTGTGAGGGAGAGCGAGATGGAGACGATGACCAATATGAGGGAGAGGAGCTCGAGCTTCAGGACGGCGAAGACGGCGAGGACGGTCCACACGGCCGGGACAACGTACATGAGGGCCCAGAAGACCTTGGAGTCAATGGGGTTGATGTATCTGGCCGGGTCGGCGTTCTCGAACACCCAGATGGACTGGCCCAGCTCGTTGGACTCGTTCCACCAGCGCAAGCCCACGAGGAGCCTGCCCGAGATGTTTTTCACGTTCCAGAAGTCTGCCGCAAGAAGGAGGATGACGGTGATAAAGAGCAGGATGTAGTTCGACGTGAAGAGCATTCCGAAGAGGTAGATGGCGATCGGCGTCAGCCGGAGCAGCAGGAAGGACAGCAAGGCGACCGGGTGGGACGACTCGGAAAGCTTCTGGTAGAGTGTCTGCGGGAGCGACGACGTGTGCTGTGCGGGTGACGCTGGGGGCAGGTCGGACATGTGCGTGCGATTGACTGTGTATGCGGCGTGGACGTGTATTAGGCGGCTGCGTGGACTGTCTTTGGCGTGTTTCCTTCCGTGTCCTGGCTGCCGTCATCTTAACATCCGTGGCGATCAATATCCATGCTCAGCTCCACCACAATCCTCATCCGAAATCCTTGCCGGGCCGATCGACCCCAACCTCTTTTTGCTGACGTAACTCGGAAGCAAATCCTTTTAATTAGATGTCGGAGCAAGCCCACGGAAAAAAATCCCCCCCTCGTTCCGTCCTCCTCCCCCAGCCGATCCGCAGCCGCAGCCGCAATTAGACCCTCTTCGGTAACCCGCTGCTGCGCCCAAAAGCCGCCCCGCGCGCCACAGGGTGCCGGAACCCTCGAGAGGCGCTAGACGACGCCAGATGACGCTACACGCCGTCTGGGCACCCGTTTCTGCCGTGCGCCGGCCTGCTCCGCCGCGCCTGCTGTTGACAGTTGTCCGCTTCCAGCCGGAGCTCTGCGCGCCTCACCCCCAGCAACAGCCGGGCCCCGGCCGGTTGCCAGGCGGAAGCGAGGCGCCGCCTATAGCCGCCTGCAGCCGCAGGATCGGCCGTTTCTAGCATTTTCGTGTGACGCCGTTGTCCGCAGGCGCTCTGCGGGCGTTTTTCTCCCTCGCTGCGGCCGCGGCAGGCCGAAAAAGGCAAAGGCCCCGTTCTCCTCACGTCACGGGGCCACGGCCCTGGACAGAACGCACGGAGAGGAAAAAAAAAGAAGAAAAAGAAACCGAAAGACAGGCCGAGCACCCAGATAAACTTTCCAGCACCCGACCAGGTGTGCAAGAGGCAGCTTGCTACTCTGTTGGTCTGTTGCGTGTTGGTGGTTGTTGTTCTTCTTTCGTCCGTTGGACTTGTCTCTTCTTCGTGTGCTTTTCTTGTGTTTAGCTGTGCTAGCTGCGTTAGCTGTGTAAGCTCAGGTTGTTATCAGGGTTCCAGTCCACAAACAGAGTTACGATTGGTTGTTGTTTCAGCCCCACATAGAGAATATGACTCTTGCTAGCGACATGCCTCCTGCAAAGGAAAACGTGAATGCGGCTGGTGCCGTTCCGGGTACCGCTATCACCGCCACTGCGGTGACAAACGCTGCGGAACCAAGTGAAGGAAGCTCGTCGTCGTCGCACGACGACGACGAGGTGCCTGCTCCGCTGGCCACCAGCGATGTGGAGAAGTTCGACGGAGACCTCGAGCGGGGGTCGATGGAGTCGGACGAGTCGAGACTGATGCGCATTGAGACGTCTTCGAACTTGTCCAGAGAGCTGTCGAGAAAGTTGACCGGGGCAGACAACCTGAAGGTCGACACGTCGACGCCGATCCCAAGAATGGGCAAGGACAGGGACTATCCGCCGCCTCTTCCAGACTCGTCGATGTACTCGGTTGCCTTTGACGGCGACGACGACCCCTTGCATCCGCACAACTGGCCGGTCATGAAAAAGCTGATCCAGTGCTCCATCGTCGGCGCAAACACCTTCTGTATCGCCTTCGGCTCTGCCATCTTTGCCCAGGCCGTCCTTCCCCTCTCGAAAATCTACCACGTCCACTATGTTGTCACCACCTTGTCCGTCACCTTGTATGTTCTTGGCTTCGCCACCGGTCCCGTTGTGTGGGCCCCATTGTCGGAGCTTTACGGGAGAAGACCGGTCCTCGTCATGTCCTCCTTGGCGTTCTGCTGCTTCAACTTCGCCGTCGCCGTCAGCGACAGATTGGAGTCCATCCTCATTTGTAGGTTTTTTGCCGGATGCTTGGGTGCTGCTCCATTGGTCGTCGTCCCTGCCTCCTTTGCCGACATGTTTGGCAACGAAACTCGTGGTACTGCCATAGTCATTTTCTCCATGTGCGTTTTCGTTGCACCTTTGATGGCTCCTTTCATCGGAGGCTTTATTGTGAAAAACCCATCCTTGGGCTGGAGATGGACAGAATTCATCACCGGTATTCTATCCGCTGCCTCCTTTGTCTTGATAATTTTCTTCGAAACTGAAACACACCACCCAATCATCCTTGTCCAAAAGGCTAGAGAAATCAGAAGAAGGACAGGCAACTGGGGTATCCACGCTCCTCACGATGAGTTCTCCCTCAACTTGTCCGAAATTGTTGAAAACAATCTTGCCAGACCAATCAAGATGTTGTTTCAGGAACCAATCTTGTTCTTCATCACCCTTTACAACGCTTTCATCTACGGTATGCTTTACTTATTCTTGAGTGCTTATCCGATTGTCTTTGCCGAGGGTTACGGCATGTCCGGAGGTGTCGCAGAGTTGCCATATTTCGGTCTGGTGATTGGCCAAACCCTTGGAGGCCTGTTCTGTATCTGGTCCGAAAGAGCCTACGTTAGAAAGCTGAAGGAAAATGGTGGTAAAATCATCCCTGAGAACAGATTACCCCCAATGTTGGTCGGTGGTATCTGTTTCCCAATCGGTTTGCTATGGTTCTGTTGGACTGGTAACTACCACGAAACCGTCCACTGGATGGCTCCAACTGCCTCTGGTATCTTCACAGGTTTCGGTTTGATTGCAATTTTCAACCCTTCAATGAACTACATCATTGACGCTTACTTGGTTTTCGCCGCCTCCGCCATGGCTGCAAACTCCTTCCTCAGATCCGCCTTCGGTGCCGTCTTCCCATTATTTGCTACCTTCATGTTTCACAACATGGGTACAAACTGGGCAGGTCTCTTATTGGGCTTGTTTGCCGTCGTATTGATCCTCTGTCCTCTCGCCTTCATGAAATGGGGTAAGAAGTTAAGACAAAGAAGTAAGTACGCTTTTGATCTGAGCTGAATGTGTTTTTTTCGGTCCCTTATGATCAATTGCATCTGCCACATTGGAATATGAAACCAAATTCAGATATCCAAAAAGAAAAGGAAGCAGAAAACAGATAAACTCCTATTATAAAAAGTGAAACATAAAAATGAAGAACAAAAAAATGGAACAACAGATTCAAAACTACATACCTAACCACACACTCTTTTACCACAATTCTCAAAGAAATAGCATTGACTCTTTAACATCATGATATAAGAAAGAAGGAGAGAAAACTTTCAATATACAAGTTGAGCGTTTTGGTCTCACTAGTATGACTTTAGTGGTATTGCCAGCTTTTGTTCCAATCATTGATCTTGTATCATCCCAGCCTATTTCCCTATTTTACACCATTTCTACTATCATCAATGCTCTTTCTTTGCTGCTTTTTTTCTTTTTCCCCTTCTTTTTAAATACGAACAGTTTAATATTCTTTTATAAATTTCTCCCTAAATTTACAGCTAACAGAGCTAACTAATATATACACGTGAATATATATTTATGTACAGTTTGACGTCTACGCTTTTTTTGCAAAATGCCTTGCTAACTCCTTAATGACGATTGAAACCTCCTGTTTCCTCACCTCATCAATTTTTCACCTTCATCATGTAAGCGACCTCAGTGTTTTTTTCTCTCCCTGAGAACGCAAAAAAAACCTGAAGTATTGACTGGATTATTGACTCAGCTTTTAAGCGTTACACACTCCAAAACACATTCTTTGAAAACACCTTACCTTATAAGCATCACAGTCAACCCAGTCATGCCTCCAAAGCAAAACAAGGAGACAGAAGATGAGCCGAAAATACAGGCTATTGTTCTGGCTGATTCTTTCCAGACAAGATTCATGCCTTTGACGTCCGTTAAGCCAAGGTGCTTGTTACCGTTAGCCAATGTGCCGTTGATTGAGTACACTTTGGAATTTTTGGCACAGTCAAGCATAGTGGATGAAGTATACATTATGTGCTGTTCCCACGCAGATCAAATTCAGGAGTACATCGACGAATCGAAATGGGTTAACCTTTCTTCTCCTTTTAAAAAAATTCAAACCATTCCATCGAAAGAGTCCAGATCAGTGGGTGACGCAATGAGAGACATCGATTCAAGAGGCTTGATTACAGGAGATTTTATCTTGATTTCTGGTGATGTTGTCACGAATGTGGATATCACCAAAGTCCTGGAAGACCACAAAAAATATAAACAAAGTGATCGTGACTACATATGCACAATGGTCCTCACTCAAGCCGCTCCAATGCACCGCTCGAGATCCAATATCGAACCGGCATGCTTTATCATGGACAAAGCAACAAACAGATGTTTATATTACCAAGATTTGCCTCCAATCAATGGTAAAAAGACCTCAGTCAATATAGATCCTGAAGTGTTAGAAGATATTGGAGAATTTGAAGTGAATAATAGTTTGATTGATTGCCACGTTGACATCTGTACAGCTACTGTTCCAACAATTTTCCAAGAAAATTTTGATTATCAAACTTTGAGATCTGATTTCGTGAAGGGTGTTTTAGGCAGTGATTTATTGAAAAAGCATATTTATTCATACATAACTACCGATCAATATTCAGCAAGAGTTGAAAGTTGGCAAACATATGATGGAATCTGTCAGGATGTCCTTGAAAGATGGTGCTACCCTATTGTTCCCGAGAGAAACTTGCTTGAAGACCAAACATACACCTATGGAAGTCAACACATCTACAAAGAAAATGATGTGATACTTTCTCAATCTTGTAAATTACAGTCTTGTGTGGTTATCGGTAAAGACTCATTTATTGGTGATCACACCGAAATTCAAAATTCTGTTGTTGGCAGATCATGCAAAATAGGAAATAACGTGGTGGTAGAAAACTCGTACATTTGGGATGGTGCAATCATTGAAGACGGATGTATTATCAGACATGCTATTGTGGCGAATGATGCTATCATTAGAAAAAATGTTATTTTGAATCCAGGCTCTGTCATAGGTTTTGGTGTAGTGATCGATGAAAATGTCATTGTTGCAAATAATGTGAGAATAATCAAGAACCCAATCCGGAGTGCCACATCTAGTACTTTGATTTCAAGTGAGGAGGAGGACGAAGATGAAGATAAGGTCGAGGACGATGAGTTTGACGTCCCTTCACGTGTTGTAAGTGAAATGGCTTTACGTGATCCAAATGTCGTTGGCTATAACGGCTTAGGGTTCCTTTATGAAGATGACGAAGATTCCCAGGGAGGAAATGGCGGAATTGTATATGAGATGGCAGAACTCAATCTCTCTGACTCATCAATCGCCTCCAGTGCGATTACTGTACACCACACGAATAAGAAAAAGAAAAGAACGCACTCTTCAGCAAGTGGATTTGTGTCTGAAGATGAAGGTGAAAGTTTTGACATTGAAGCAATAGCAACAGTTGAACGTGCTATGGAAAATAATCATGATTTGGACACTGCAATGTTAGAACTGAACACGTTACGTATGAGTATGAATGTGACCTATCATGAAGTTCGTGAATCCTCATGCTTGGCTATGGTTAAACGTGTCAACCATTTTGTAGATACAGATACATTAGGTGTGAAGAATGCTGCAGAAAAGATATTTAGACAATGGGGTAAGATGTTTGAAAGGCAAGTTTTCGATGATGAGGATCAGGTTGATCTTTTGCTGATTTTACAAAACATCTGTCACAAATTGGATGCGGAATACAAGGCATTACTGTTTGGCTGTATTGCAGTTGTCTTATACGACATTGACATCTTAGATGATGAGAACATTATTGCTTGGTGGAACTCTGAGGAGTCTAAGAATGTCCCTGAAATTAGGGAAAAGATTGCAAAATGGATCGAAATGTTGATGGCCGATTCCAGTGACGAAGGAAGTGAAGAAGAAGACAGTGAAGAAGAGTAATGTTTCCTTACTGTGCATTATACATAGACATATACAAGAAGAAAAAAAACCTTAATTAATTAGTAAATAACAAAGTCATTGTCTGCGTATAATAGTTGCTGATAGTCCTTTTCAAACAAAATCGACTTTATTTTTTCGAGGATATCTATTGATTGAACGTCCATTCCATTTAATTGGAAAACTTTCAAGATACCAACAAAATGTCCGTAAATCTCAAAATCCGAGATCAACAAGGAAACTAGTCCACCAATATATATATTCCAATGACAAATGATTGCACATGAGGAACGGTAAGGCATAGAATATATTAGATCCAAAATGTCACGCAGGATTGATCTGATAATTGATTTATCTCTAGTGCCGATAAAAAAGTATGTGATGAATAATTTTAACCCATCCATGTATAGCAAATTACAGTACTTTATAGATAGGTCCATTTTGTAATCTTCGAGCTCTAACCTTTCGTACTCAAAATTTAATTTTATTTTGTTCAACTGACGTAAAAACTCAAAGCCATTGACAGTAATCTCTGCGGCAGCATCATTCGATTTATTTTCATTGAGAATAAAGTAAACAAAGTTGAGCCCAGATAGCTTCAGACCCTTTTTTTGAGAGGTGTGCATAAACTTGTTGATATTTGATATCAAATCGGTAATATTTGAACAATGGCCCGCCATCAGATTCATACCATTGCTTGCAACCGCTATATTTGAGGTTGTTATGTTCCTAAGCGAACTCAAATCTCGTCCAAGAAATCCGTTTCCTGCGCTCACGGCAGCCAATGAAGCTGTGTGGTTGTACCATTCAACTATTACATCGTACAATGCCAATGCAGCGACATCAAATGAATCCTCCAAGTTTGCTGAGCTTTTGAGCGTATACGATTTACTAATCAATTGGTAACACCCATTTAAATGAGCTCTCCAGCTTTCATCAGATGCGTTACCGGAAAAGATTATCACCACTGCGAAAGTAAGTATGACTAGATCTGAGAAAGTGGGAGAGTTTTCCAAACCTGCTCTCAAATAGTCAATGCATTGCTTGAAAGTTGGGATCCGTACGTTGACGTCCCATAGGTCTGCTAGGTTTTCATTGTTGCTGATATTGTAAAGTCGAACTACATGCACTGAACAGTGGTAGGTGAGGATACTTTGGAAAATGGAGCTTTTTGTACCCAACTTGAAACATAGATCTAGTACAGACATCAAGGAAGTTTCTGAGTATAAAACAAAGGTATAGAAAAACTTGGTTATTCTGGCTAGCGTCCAAGTAAAGTCGATGATAGATTGGTCGTTCAAGGAGATTTCGCTGTTGGTAACTATCGGGTCATATTTCTTGATTGTATCGACGAAGTAGTACATGGGACCACCATCCCATGGGATATCGAAAACATGTAAGTCTGGGTGCGTTTTTTCATTGTATAGATATGTCATTGTTTTGTATTCTTTGTTCAGTGAGCTCAAGTAATCCAGATCGCTCTGTCCGACAGATATGAGATCGTTAAGTTTTATGTGAGAAAATGAAAACTGGCTGCCGACGTCACTCGAATCAGACACTGAAGCGTTGTGCGGAGACTTGCTATTGAAGTTGTTGAGGAAAGACGGGGAGGGGATTAGCTTTGAGTGTTGCAGTGCTGTCAGCTTTGCTGGGTCTTCGCCTAAGTGGTAGTGGATGTTCATGTTTGCGGGAGTCATCGGGGCCGGAAGGAAGACGTGTGTCGGATTGAGTATTTTGTCGGTAGTTGATAGGTTACTGGTGCTGCTCGATGGTGAAACGTTTGCTTCATCGTGGACTGCTGCGGCTCGAGCCGAGTAGTCGGCATCACCTGGAAACACAAGTCCTCCATTGGCTGCTGCTCTATCCTTGACGTTCGTGAACTGATTGTTTTCCCAGACAATGGTGGTCTTGGCAGTTGTATTTCGTTCTATGGTAGAGGCTGTGCTTTCGAGCAGGAAATTTGTGAAGTATTTGCACTCCGTGCTCCGTTTCAGACACCGTGAGCAGGTTGGAAACTTTTCATCGCACTTCACATGCGACTTCTTGCATTGCAAACAGCCTCTCCTCGAGTAGTCCGTTGACTTTTTCTTTTTTTTGATTTCCATTGGCAGTAATTACTTCTCTGTGTTGTTTCATCCACGTACGGCCGACCAGTACATTATACCCTTGACAGCTATTCTTCCCAGTGTAGAGTTCCCTCCTGTTCTATTTTTCAAAGAACGATCGACCTTTTGAGGTGCAACGTAGCCAAGGCTGAAAAAACACGCATCCGGTCCAGAGCTGATAAGGGTGTCTCTCTGCTCCACAACGTCCATGCCGTACTTGCCTAATTGGGAACAATGCGCTGAAGACGGTTGCGCAGTCGTTAGCGCGTGATGAACGACGAACTGGTGCAGATAAGCCTGTGGTAGCCACTTGCGAGATGGCAAGCTGAGCAACATTCCACATGTTGGCAGGCGCCACATTCTAGATTTTGGTCAGATATTGCATACCGGAAAAGGGTGCGTCTGATCTAGTGTCTCGGCGTGGACGTAGTCCCCCATGACGAGTTTCTGCACGAGGCCCAGGAAGCGCTTACTGTAAACTCTCTGGATTGTAGTGCTACTGGCCTTTAAACATTAGCTTGCTCATCTTCCTGGTCTCGATCAATGCTCTTTTGCCCCAGAGTGTCCCTTTTGAATTACCCGATTTGGCGACGAACCAAAGGTTTTCCATTTACATGTTTGCTTTACAACAACTGTGCTGTCGCGGGGGCTAAAGCTGGCCAGCGACGCGTCGGCGGAAGGCAGCAGCATTTTTCTCGGAGAACAGAGTCAGCACCGCAGTCAGATAGATAATGGAATATATTATCGCTTATTTTTTATATTTCATTCGAAAACATCGACCAGGACCTGTTAATATCGTACTGTTTGCACGGTATTCCTGGTCCAAAAACAACCTCAGGTAGAGCCACAGGCAGAGTATCGAGCACAAAATAAAGCAACATGGATTCTCAGACAATTGGTATCCTTGGCGGAGGCCAGCTTGGCCGAATGATCGTTGAAGCAGCAAACAGACTCAACATCAAGACGGTAATCTTGGAATCGGGCGCAGAATCCCCTGCAAAACAGATCAACGCCAACGGCGAACACATCGACGGGTCGTTCAACAACATTGAGGACATCAGAAAGTTAGCTGCAAAGTGTGACGTTTTGACAGTCGAGATAGAACATGTCGACACCGAAGCCTTGAAGACGATCCAGAAGGAGACTGGCGTTAAGATCTACCCTTCTCCAGAGACACTCGAGATAATCAAAGACAAGTACCGTCAGAAGGAGCACTTGATCTTGCATAATGTTGCTGTTGCCGAGTCCGTCAGCGTTGAGAGTACTGCGAGCGCCTTGCAAGCTGTTGGTTCGAAGTTCGGGTATCCGTACATGCTCAAGTCGAAAACTATGGCTTACGACGGTAAGGGGAACTTCGTGGTGAAGGACGCCTCGTACATTGATGAAGCGTTGAAGGTGCTATGCAACAGGCCCCTATATGCTGAGAAATGGGCCCCTTTCGCCAAGGAACTTGCGGTCATGGTTGTGAGGAACCCAAGCGGCGAGGTGTTCTCCTATCCCACCGTCGAAACGATCCACAAGGACAACATTTGCCACACTGTGTACGCACCTGCTAGAGTTAACGACACTACACAAGCCAAGGCACAGCTGTTGGCTGGAAAGGCGGTTTCGACGTTTGCTGGCGCCGGTATCTTTGGTGTTGAAATGTTCCTGTTACCAGATGGTGAGCTCTTGATCAACGAGATAGCACCAAGACCGCACAATTCAGGTCACTACACCATTGATGCATGTGTCACATCCCAATTCGAGGCCCACATCAGATCGATCACCGGCCTACCAATGCCAAAGAACTTCACCTGCTTCTCCACCCCACAAACCAACGCCATCATGCTCAATGTTCTGGGTTTCGACGAGCCAAACGGGGAGCTTGAGCTCTGTAAAAGAGCTCTCGAAACCTCCAACAGTTCTGTGTATCTCTACGGAAAGTCCACCAGACCAAAGAGAAAGATGGGCCACATCAACATTGTTTCAGGTTCCATGTCCGACTGCGAGCGCAGACTTGCATACATCGAGGGCGGCAATGTCTCACCTGAAAGCATAAAGTCCACAGGCACCATTCCAGGCACTTCTCTGTCTCCGCTAGTCGGCGTGATAATGGGTTCTGACTCAGACTTGCCTGTCATGTCTGCTGGATGCAACATCTTGAAACAATTCGGTGTGCCTTTCGAAGTCACCATTGTCTCCGCACACAGAACCCCACAAAGAATGGCCAAGTACGCCATTGAAGCTCCAAAGAGAGGTTTGAAGTGCATTATTGCCGGTGCCGGAGGTGCTGCACATCTACCGGGAATGGTTGCTGCCATGACGCCTTTGCCTGTTATTGGCGTCCCAGTGAAAGGATCCACTTTGGATGGTGTTGACTCTTTGCATTCGATTGTCCAGATGCCAAGGGGGATACCCGTTGCCACTGTTGCCATCAACAATGCTACAAACGCCGCCTTATTAGCCATTAGAATTCTTGGCGCTTTCGAGGTTAAGTGGATCACCGAGATGGAGAACTACATGAATGCCATGGAAGACGAAGTTTTAGGCAAGGCCGAAAAGCTTGAAACTGGCGGGTACGAAGAGTACCTCTCCACATATAAAAAATAATAATTCTTTAAATCTAAATAGATTCAGAAAACCGGACACACGTTAGCTAACACAGTAAAGTAAACTCGTAACAAGTTCTCAGTAAACAGAGGAAAAACCACCTTCTGCCCGCTGTGGAGATCTCCCTCCTGTCCAAGTGCAGCCTCCGTAGCAGGAGAACGTAGAGAAAGGCTGGGCTTTCTCGAGAAAACGGAAAACAGATAGTGTGCAGGCACAGGGAAGAAAACCTTCCCGATTCGGAAGGCAACATGAATTTTCAGCATGAGAGAAAAAGAAGACATCCTTGCAGGCCTTCTTTCTGTCAAGCTGTCTGCCGTCCCGCTTCAAGACTAAAGTCTTCTTGAACTTGCAACTCACAAAGCGCTCAAGTATGCTGTGCTCATCTGTGCTGAGAAGGGCGGTGTATGCTAGAACTTTGGGCCAGACAAAACGATTTTTTTTCTCTTCAGGTAACTTATTATCGTCGATACCGCCTATTCCAGACAACGCTCCGACTCTTGATGAAAACACTGAGTGGCTTAAAACCTTGAGTAGGCACAAAACGCTAGAAAGTGATAGCTCACCGGAAGAGGAAGTTACTTACAGAGTCACAGAAAAGTCTGATTTGGAAGACCCGGAGAAGAATGAACAATTTGTGAAGTTCAAATCAAAGAAAACGAAGAGAACCCACACAGTGGTGACGCAAGCTAGCGAAGAGAACAAGTATCACACTGTGTCGGTGCTTGCGTCTGATTTTTTCATCTCTTCTTCTCCATTTTCGTCGATGAACTCACGAAGAAGGCCGAAGGCTGAATCTGTTCAACCTTTTTCAGATTTGAGGGTAGTCAAATTAAAATCTGGGAAAGGAGGAGATGGTGACGTCTCCTTCTATAGAGATACCGGTATTGCTGTGGGGCCACCTGATGGTGGTGACGGTGGTGATGGAGGTGATGTCTATGTGATGGCTGTGAATGAAATTAGCTCTTTGCATAACCTCAAATCCCGTTACATTGCTGTAGACGGCTCTAAGGGCAAGTGTGCTCAGTTGGACGGTAAGAAAGGTGACAGTGTGTATTTAACTGTTCCAGTTGGAACGCATATCAGGTGGTGTCCTGATCCAAAGGAGATACGCTCATTGCAGAAGGAGAATTATGACGACAAAACCTTTCACATAAAGTGTGTTTCAGATGAGTTCGGTTCATTTTTGCCTAAGTTTATACAGTTTTTCAGAAACTCGTTTCAATCTGGTAAGGGTTGGAATTTCAAAGAGAAGGACGAAAGCTATCATGCCCAAAGAGAATATTTCAACGAACTTAATGAAAGGGTTGCTATCTTTGACGACCAAATCAAACAAGGCGAACTGGCTACCGATACGTTTCCTCTCGACGGAATTGATCTTGATAAACCTACAGAGGAGCCAATTCTTTTGATGAAAGGTGGAAAGGGGGGAATGGGGAACATGCATTTTCTTACACCAAACATCCGAAATCCACGTTTTGCCAAACAGGGGAGAAGTGGACTTGAGGAATTCTTTATCTTTGAATTGAAACTACTTGCTGACCTAGGATTGGTGGGCTTACCTAACGCTGGAAAATCTACGTTATTGAGAGCAATATCTAACGCAAAACCTCGTGTTGGACACTGGAAGTTTACCACTTTACAGCCCACCATTGGAACGATCCCACTAAGAATCGACCAACCACCATTCACAGTCGCTGACATTCCTGGTATTGTCAAAGGAGCAAAGGATAACAAAGGCATGGGCTTGAATTTCTTGAGACACATTGAACGCTCTGGAGGCATTGTCTTTGTTGTTTCCCTTGGATCAGAAAATCCAATAGATGACATGGAGATATTAATTGGAGAGTTGGGAGAAGATAGATTGTCAGGTAAGAACGTCTTGATTGTTGCAACCAAGGCAGATGTGGAGGGCTCCCGTGAGAAATTTAGTGAATTGAACGCTTTTGCCAATCAACGAACGTGGAAATGCGTGCCTTGTTCAGGACTGAAAAAAGAAAACGTCGAAAGAGTTATAGAGTTGATGGCCGAATGTTCAGGGAGATTAGATCACAGTTAACGATTATACCTATCTAAATTATTTACTATTATACACTTAATTGATACATGTACATACCACCAATAATTAATGTGGAACTTAAAGTTTGAAAGAAGACACCAACTTGCTATGAAGTAACAGCATCTTTGGAGAATCAATTTCTCCATAATAACCCAAATATTCGCAGAGCTCAGCTAACTTGCGCTGAAAAGTATAATGATAAGAGTCAATTCCTTTGATTAAACTGGAGAGTTTTTCCTCTTTCTTTACATTGTTGAACTTAATGGACAGGTTCAATTTATGTTTATAGATATTGAGGAGGTTTTCGTCCATTAACAACAACGCCTTTCTTAGTGACATCACATACTCGTGAAAAACAATTATCAATGTAAACAATTCATAAAGGCAGCTGGTCAGCTCTGATTGTGAAAGTAATAGATCGCACATGGAAGAACTCAAAAAATCAGTCATCTGAAATTTGAATACACTCAAGTCAAAGGTCCTGTCTCCTTGTTCAATATCTTGAAACATTTTAGTGATGGTACTCCAATGGTTATCAATCACATCATATTTGAAATAAAACGTGTATATCCTTATGAAATCAAACATCTTGGTGTGTATAAATCTGCACCTTTTGATCCATTTTCTCACTCTTTTATCTTCAAAAGTCCAGGTCCAAAAAGTTTGATAACCCAATTCTCTCCAAGATTTTTCAAACCTTTTTTCTAGAAATTTAACCAATGCTGAGTGTCTAAACAATATCTGATACTCAAGCTTTTGAGAATCTATGATAACTTGATTCAATGGAAATGGTATTTCAACGTCAAGATTAAGCCTGCTTATGGTCAATTTATTACACCGCCTTCCTTCTAGATCAGCACTTTTCTCTGAAGACCGAGATTGAGAGTTGCTCTGAACGTTTGCTTTCAACAAGTCAGTTAGTTTTCCAAAATCTGGAGCATTTAGAATCTCTGATGCATCTGTTACTTGTGTTTTGATGATATCTAGAATATCTTCCAATAATGAATGTTTTTCAAATTTAATTCTCAACAAATCTGACACCAGCTTCTCAATGCCTGTCTTATAATCTGTATCATATGCATTCTCATAAGACCGTATAATTTCTGTGCTGGCTTTATTGCTAAAACTTCTTTTCAGCTCGTGATTGGAATCATTCAAAAACTTATCGAACAAAGCGCCATCTGTTAGTAGAAAATACTTGTTCAACAGCGAAACAAAGCCAAATAAATGATAACCAGAAGATAGCAGTTGGTAAATCAACTTGTTTGATCGTACGTAAGCTTCATTAATAATCAGTTCAAGGTTTGTATCCTGAAGTGACTTGATTGGGTTGAAGGGACATGATTTTATCAGAGTCTGACAATTACACTCATTTATGATGGATTGATTTTTTCCGGTGAAAAATACTTGTTTTTGAAAATCTATTGGCTCAAATTGCCTCAACAAGCCTTCCCTTTTTATCGCATATTTATTCATCCAGTAATATGAATTGTACACGGAGGAGTCAGATTCGGGTATAGACTTAACAATAAAGAACTCATGAAATGGATCCAATATTTCTCCATATTGTAGCCACTTATTCAACGTTTGAATGTAAAATATACTGACAAATTCATATATGTGGTGAAATAAGTTATAGGATCGATCATTTCCACTGAAATTTTCCAGTTGTGACATTATAATGTTCAACACAATTCCACCCTTTACGTGTCTAGAGTTCTGTGAGTCTAAGAAAACATCATCCATTATATTCGTACCTATATCTTCTTTCAAAGACCTCATAATATTTTCAAATCTCATATCCAGAAGATTTGAGTTCTTCAGACGTTTGGTGTTTTCTGCAATAATCAGTTGAGTCAAATCGTATAGTAGTTGCATAGATTTTGCTATGCTCGGTACCTTAGAGCTTGGTGTTATATCGTTCAGCTTTTGATGCAGTGATATTATAGAAAAGCTAGTTTCTGTATCAAACAATTCAAACAAGGTACATACTACCGATCGATATTCTTGAAGGTAATTTCTTATATACTGACAGAGTCGACTTAGTACTTTTCCATGGCCAGCCTTGTTGAAATACTTTTCAAAAAAAGATAATGCCGAATAAAACTTACCTAACTGAGATATCTGTTTTGCAAGATCCTTGAAATTGATATCAATATCCTTGTTTATTCTATAGGTCAATCCCTTGAAGCATTTAAAGAGATCGGTTTCGTCTACTTCTTGTGAGTATTTGATGTATATTCCCTCTTTACCAGTAATCACATAAAGCAAATCTCTGACAATGGCTGCTTCTCGATCCCTAGAGGACTGCATTTCGCTGAGTGGTACTCTAGAATCATGTTTCAAACTTTGTTTACTTTTGCCAGGAAGCGATAACTTGGTAAAATCTCCCAAAAGAAACGTTTCTGCGTCGACTTCTTTCAAAGAAATAGACACATAACGTGATGTATCCATGTTTTTTGAAAAGAATAATACTAAGGAAAGATGCTTAGTGATAGATATGAACTCTCTCTTTAACTGTCAAAGAGTTTGAAGACCGGTAAAATCATGCTTGATGAAACTATAGAACGGGGACCGCGTTTGGAAATAATGCGCCACTATCAAAAATATTTTGGTGACAAGTGCAAGACTATATCTCCCTCCAAATTTTTTTTTTCAATTTTTTTATCTCCAATAAAAACTTTCACTAAACATTGTCCGGGTTAAAAAAGTCCCTATCGTTTTAAATAGGGGTTCGAACCAAAGAAACAAACATGGCTAAAAGAAACAGAGCTGCAATATTACCTACGAACTTTGCTTTGTTGCAAAACCTAGTTAGGAGAGATTCAGAATCTTATTATGAAGAATTTTTACAGCAATATTCACATTATGAATCTATGAGAGACATTTTTTTGCTTAATCCTTCCACCGAAGATAGTGAAGAGTTTGCAGAGATAATCAACTTTATGTCTTTTGTGTGCGCATCCTACCCTAAAGAAACAGCTAAATTTCCTGATGAATTAGCAACCATTTTGACAAAAAATCACGCCGAACTTGATCCGGAACTCAGAGAAAAGATTGTGCAATGCTTGGTTATGTTGAGAAACAAAGACATTATTACGGCTGAGTATCTCATCAAAACTTTGTTTCCGCTATTATTTGCTTACAGCTCAAATACCACCAACGGATCTGGTTTCCATTCCAAAGCACTAAGAAATCAAATATATACGGCCTTGATTTCCCTGCTCAAATCATGCAATACTGGCGCTAAAAACCAGAAGTTGAATAGAACAACGCAAGCTTTGTTATTCAATCTTCTTGATCAAAAAGATGGTAACGGTGTATGGGCAACAAAACTCACTAGGGAACTTTGGAGAAGAGGTATTTGGGATGATTCAAGAACTGTGGAATTAATGACGCAGGCATGTCTCCACACCGATCCTAAGGTTGTTATATCTGGTGTTAGGTTTTTCCTTGGCGCCGACAAGGAAAGAGAGCAAGCTTTCGAAGAAGAATCTGATGAGGATGAAATAGATCCTAGCGCACTCAGACACAAGATGCAGGTCAATAAAAAGAGTTCCAAAAGAGGTAAGAAATTGGAATCTGTGTTGAAAACTGTAAAGAAAAAGAACTCCAATAAACACTCTGCCACTTATTTGAACTTTAGTGCAATCCACTTACTCAGAGATCCTCAACAGTTTGCTGAAGTGATGTTTGAAAATAACTTGTCTGGAAAAAATGCAAACAAATACGATTTAGATCAGAAAATTGCCATTATGAGTTTGGTTTCGAGGTTAGTTGGTACTCACAAGTTGACTGTTTTGGGCTTATATTCATTTTTTTTGAAATATCTTACACCTAAGCAAAGAGATGTCACGCAGATTCTAGCTGCAGCTGCTCAAGCTACTCATGATTTGGTTCCGCCTGAATCAATCAATATGATGGTTCGTAAAATTGCTGATGAATTTGTTAGTGATGGTGTGGCAGCTGAAGTTGCTTCTGCTGGTTTGAATACTATACGAGAAATCTTAGCCAGAAACCCAGCTGGTATTGATGAAGATTTGTTGCAAGACTTGACCGCTTACAAAGGATCCAAAAGTAAGGCAGTTTTGATGGCAGCCAGATCATTAATCTCATTGTTTAGGGAAGTTGCACCAGAAATGTTACTTAAGGCAGATAGAGGTAGAGCTGCTACAATGGGTCTTATTCATAATGGCCCTAAAAATTTGCCTCAATTTGGTATTGAAAAAGACACTACAAATGGTATTCAAGGTTTGGAACTTTTGGCTAAGTGGAAGATGGAACAAGGACTGCTTGGCAAAGAAGGTGAAAATGATTGGGATGAGAAGCCTTTCGAAGAAAATGAAGAGCAAGATATTGATGATGTGGAGGGTGATTGGGTGGACGTTAAGTCCGATACTGAGATCAATTTGAGTGGAGATGAAGACAACGGTGAACTTCCAAAAGAAAGAAATGGTATAAAGAAGAAGTACCTAAAGTATATGAGACAGCATAAAAAACGGAAAGCCTCCAAGAACGATGAGGATGACTCCGATTTAGAAATGTCTGACGACGAAGGTAACTCTGGTAAGGGTAGGAAGAAAACCAAAAAGCAACTTGAGTTAGAAGAACGCAAATTGAAGGAACAAGAAGCTATTAGAGAAACTATGAACAGCGTTTTGACACCTGCGGATTTTGCCAAATTGAAAGAATTGAATGCCGAAGCTGGTATTGAAAGTGTCACCGGACATAAACTTCGTAATGAAGATGAAGTTGACTCTTCAGACTTGGTCAACGTTGATAGACGCAAGATGAACAAAGAAGAAAGAATTGCTGGTATTATGGAAGGTAGAGAAGGTAGAGAGAAGTTTGGTTCTAGAAAGGGTAGAAGAGATGCTCCGCACTCAACAACGAATAGAGAAAAGGAGAGAAAGAAGAACTTTGTTATGATGGTTCACAAAAGGGCAGTTCAAGGTAAGAAGAAAATGAGTTTACGTGACAGACAGAAGGTCTTAAGAGCTCATATAGAAAGACAAAAAATGGGTAAATAGTTCGATCTTTTCTTCCATACTTTATAACATCTAATTATTACTTTTATACAGCTTAAAAATATGTGTGACTAGGATTTTGTTAGTTTGTCTCACTTTTTGCCTGATTTCTTTGGCTTTTTGTGTTTCGTTATTTTTCCCTGCTTTACCACTTCACCATTACGTTGCATTTCTTTTTCTCTCAACTTTTGCTTTCTTTCACCGAAATTTTCTTTATCCATATCCATTCTGGCATCAACTTTCGCTGCAAACGTAGCTTTTAGGGAATCCTTGATAACAGCATTATCAGTCACCTTTTCGTACTCGCTCATTTTGCGTCCTGTACGGTCTTCAATCGCTAAAATTCTGTCCAAATCATTCGGCGTAACAAAAGAAATGGCACTACCTTTTCTACCAGCTCTAGCAGTTCTACCTACCCTATGGATGAAATCGTCTGGATCTCTTGGAATATCATAATTGACAACAAGCTCCACCGAAGGGATATCCAAACCCCTACCACCTAGATCAGTGGAAACCAATATTCTTGCTGCACCGGCTCTGAATCTATGCAACGAATTCGTTCTTTCAGACTGGGGCATTTCAGAGTGCAAGGCTGTTACCCTGACGTCTAGAGCTTTCAAAATTCTTCTTATAAGCTCACAGGTTTCAGAACGATTGACAAATATCATAGCCGTGGATTCTTTGAACTCGTCTGTTGTCAACAAGTTGTGCAAAATAGCTTCTTTCACCAGGAACGGTGTTAGTATATAAGACAATGATAGTCTCTCTGGTATCACAACATCATCAATCTTATCTAATTCATGTATGAACACATCATCACTTTTATCTTTCAATGATCTCACGGCATCTGTAACAGTTGCTGTAAAGAGTAGAGTTTGTCTCTTACTAGAATCTGGAAATGCTTCAAAACAGGTACCTAAATGTTCAGTGAAAGAACTGGTCAAAAGTCTATCTGCTTCATCAAGAACCACAAACTTGAGTCTTTTTAAGCCGTCAACGTCATCTGGATGTTCTCGTATGATATGTGCCAGTCTACCTGGAGTTGCAATAACAAAGTCTGGGTTGTTCTTCAAATTGTTGCTTTGTTCTATCATACTTTGACCACCTATTATCAATGCTGTTTTCAAATTCACGTTTGATCCCATGGCGCTAAATTGTTCAGCTATTTGCATCGCCAATTCTCTTGTTGGCGTCAATATCACACCATAGATACCACATGGGTCTTCTGCCCATTTGCTGAGCATTGGAGCAGCAAAAGCTATCGTTTTACCGGAACCAGTCTTGGCCCCACCAATACAATTTTTTCCTTTCAAGATTTCAGGTATGGTTCCCGCCTGAATGTTCGTTGGGCGGGTGATTTTCACCCCTGAAAGCGTTTCACATAACCATCTCGATACCCCTAGTTCTTTAAACGAAGACATATTTGCTGACAGCTGAATTTGACTTGGAGACACAAGCATATAGATTTTTCAAGAGGTTTCCGTTATCAGTTATTTCAAGTGATATATGTATCTGACAAAATAGGTGAAAAAAAAAATCTCTTGAAGCACAGCCGTATTTTTTGCTTTGGGTCGATCGACTCAAAATTCGCTTTCGCCAGATTGCTGAGTGGGATTTGACCGGTCTACTTCAGATGGAAATGATCTGACAACGAGTTCAGATCAGCGGAAGTTTGCAGGTTAACCTCTGAAACAAATAGGCTTTCCCCAGTCTTTCAAAACGTGAGATCCCCATATCCCAATGATTGACCAGTTTCTCATTTTTGACCCCACCGGAACTGTACGTTTCAATTACCAACCGGAAAAGAATTATGCACGTGTAGCAAATGCCTTTATCAACGATGTGCTTATCAATAAACGTAAGATGAGGTACGTGGAAGGTTCAGAGCTTGCCGAAACTACGAATAAATACAATGAGCAAAACGCAACCGCTGCTGCTGAAGCAGAAGCAAATGACGCTTTAATTAATGACGACAATGATGTCAGTGACGAAGAAGGAGAAACGGAAGCTGAAGATGGAGATGGAGATTCAGATGAAGACAGCGACGACAACACTGCAAAGACACCCAAAAGAAAGGCAAAGCAGAAAGAAGAGGAGGAAATACAGCGGTATGCTGATTCTGACATAGACCTGGGGAGCTTTTCCTTTGACGGACACAATTTGAAGTACTTAATATGGACGGACGATGCATCCAAGAGCAAGCTCTACTTTACAATGATATATCCTTCTTTGGTGACAATAGAGAAACCTTATGAATTTCTAAAAAACATGAAGATTCTTTACGAAAACTCTTCTACAGACATACAGAAATTCGAGAAGTTCTTTACTTTGAGTCTTAATGAAATTGGTCAAGTTTTGCCTCCTGTGGATGATGAAGAACCTGTGGCTAAAGAAACGCAAATGGCTTCAAGTGCTGGAAACAAGAAGGAAGTCAAGGAAGTCAAACAATCTGGAGGTAAAAAAAAATCAAGAAAATGGAATGCAGATGGCTCATTTTATGAGGATGACAACAAGGGATCGTCGACCCTTGATTTTTCTTCTGCAGGAGCAAAATCATCCGGAAGTAATCAGACTAGTTCAAACATCAAGCAACTTGTTGGAGATCGAGCAACTTTTGGTACCAAGACCTCTGATGGGTTTTTGGTCAATGATCTTTCCGATGAAATGAAAAAAATCATCATAACTTCTAAGAAGAAAAATGTCGAGAAGGAAAAAAAGTCAGCCACTTCAAGTGCTTTCGGATTTTTGAAGAATTATATTGGTGGTAAAAAGATCACAAAAGAAGATGTCGGAAAAATCAAGTCCGCTATGACACAGCATTTAATCAAAAAGAATGTCTCTCCCAATGTGGCGAATTCGTTGATGGCAGAAGTAGAAAAAGACTTGATCGGTCAAACTACTGAATCGTTCACTTCAATTGAGGAGACTGCGAAAATGTCCCTTGCCAAACAACTCAGAAAACTTTTAACCCCAGATTCTTCTATTGACCTTTTACACGAAATACAGGAAAAAAAAAGCGGTGGCAAGGGTCCATATTCGATATCTGTTGTTGGTGTGAACGGTGTTGGTAAGTCCACTAACTTATCCAAGTTGGCATTCTGGTTATTGCAAAATGACTATCGTGTTTTAGTTGCTGCCTGTGATACTTTCCGTTCTGGGGCTGTAGAGCAGTTACGTACTCATGTGAACAACTTGGTACATTTGTCACCAAACAAAAAACAAATTGAGCTTTTCGAATCTGGGTATGGTGGTGCAGATCTCGTTGCTAAGATTGCAACCGGTGCAATTAAATACGCTGCGGAGAACGGATTCGATGTTGTTTTGATGGACACCGCAGGTAGAAGACACAATGATTCTCATTTAATGGCTCCATTAGCTTCATTTGCTAGAGCTGCAAAACCTGATAAAATTATCATGGTTGGTGAGGCTTTAGTCGGTAGTGATTCTGTTCTACAGGCTCAAAATTTCAACAAAGCATTTGGTGCAAACCGGCATTTAGACTTCTTCATCATCTCGAAGTGCGATACTGTTGGTGATCTGATTGGTTCAATGGTGAATATGGTTTTTGCTACAGGAATCCCTATATTGTTTGTCGGTACTGGACAAACATATACAGACTTGAGAACTTTGAGTGTCAACTGGGCCGTAGATATGCTCATGGCATAACACTAACATTAGATGTATAAACGAATTAATATAAACTAATTTCGAAAGTGGGTTTCACGGTTGAAGGAAAAACGATTGATGGTCGTGTCATGATACTGATTGAACAGTATCACCCCAAAGAGACACATCTATACGATTTCTTCATCTTCTAGGTCCAGATCGTCCAAATCTTCCATAATCAGTGCAGCCCTTTCTGCCTCTTCATGGAATTTTTTCAAACCAGTTAAATCTTCTAGATAGGTACTCTCGTTCAAAGATCTCTTAACGAATTCCCATCCCTCATCGTTGAATGCCTGTATAACGGGTATAGAGCAGGCGGTACAACATTTGAAGTTATTTGAACTGACTTTCAGCAACTCAAAGTTATGTAGAAAGCCTCTTAGTTGATGGGGCAATGAACCTAGGATATTTGACCGATCCACAGCTACATGTTTGGAATACTGTCTTTCTGGAGTTTGCAATACTGAAACAAACAGCTCTGTTGCCAAAGACGACGCCATCAAAGCCACACCTGGTCTTGTAACGGTACACATCTGATCTAACGTTCTATCTGATGTCGAGTCCGTCGGAGCCACAATATCATTGCAGAAATAACATCCTAGTCTTCCACTACTTTGTTCGCTCAAGCTTTTGGTTGGGTCAACACAACCATGTCTCATTACTAGGTAGCTTTCAAAGCCCAAAGCTGCATTGATGACAATCTTATTCTTTGAATTTCCCAAGACAGTTGGTAGCCATCTGGCCTCTCTCGAATCAAGCAAGAGGAAAATCGCATCATGTTCATCTACTAGTTTTTCCAACTGTTCAAAATCCGCCCTTTCCTTCACTTCATCTTTGACTGAATGTCCAATCATAGGAACTTCAAGAGTAAATCCGGTTGCATTAACCAAGGGGAATATTCTTTTCAAGTTTGCAGCTGCAGTTTCAGCCTTTGGTGACCCGCCATCCAAGCAATCCGCATAATTGAATAAAGGCTGTCTGACAGGATTACTGAAAGATACTTTACCGTTATCAACAAAGGTAATTTTCCGGACACCCCAAGCGAGAAGGCATCTGGCAGTATAAGACCCTAAAGTTCCTGACCCCAAAATCAGTACCCTAGAATCTTTCACAAGTTGTAGATTGAGCTGCGGAACCAATCTCCATTTCATCAACTTGAGGTTCAAATCTATTGCTTGATCCGCCAATTGAAGAGGATCAATCAAAGAACCTAGATTTGCCAACTTTGGACCCAGTTTCCCGCGTGAAGTTTTCTCCCAACCTGACACTGGGGGAAGATATTGTGGATCAGTCAGCTCAGTCGAGTTATAATTTGCATTCTCCAGACAAGTAGTGAAGCTCAAACTGGGCTGGCTGTGTTTGACGACTTGCACTTCAACTTTGTGAAAGTTGTAGTAAGCCAAAGCAGAGAAAAAGTTCCGGAGAATGTAAGCAGTTGTATTCTCATATGAGCATGTGTCTATGAACAAGATCTTCAAGAACGATTTATCTTGATCAAACAGGCTTGTAAGCGGTAACAAGGAGTCATCAGAGTCAGACGAAATGACGTAAAACTGTTGCTCGAAAAGTCGATCTCGAACGTTGAATTGGACGTTCGGCGACGTTTTTATCTGGACCCATTCTGACTGTAGCTGAGGAAAGGCAAACCAGTAATAAAACTTGTACTTCTTCAAGTCGGCGTACGACAGCAGTATGAACGACGAGAGAATTGACGGATCCTTGGTGAAAGACCCATCTTTGATCTTGTTCCATATAGAGAGGGCTGACTCCGTCAAAAGATCTTTCTTATTTACGTTTTTGAATTCCTCTATCGAGTTCACGTTGAATAGCTTCCCTCTCGAAAGGAAAAAAGACTGCGGAGGCAATTGTTTTGCCAGATAGGAATCGCCCTTAAAGCTGGAGTCAGAGACATTCAACGAGGGAGGCTGTTCTGTGCCCAAAGCGGAGTAATTATAGTAAGCAACAATGTCCTGAAAAGAAGTGTCTAACTTCAGCACATCCAATTTGAGCGCAGACAACTCCACAAAGAAGGACGAATCTGCGTACGAAACTGCGGGAGCATACATAAGCTGATCTGTCATGGTCAGTCAAGTTTTGAATGGTGTCTCCGATGCCTTCCGTGCTCTTTTTGCCTCCTGAGAACCATTCTGTTGACAACCCCGGGGTAAACCAGACGAGGCAGGAAGATAGATAGATAGATAGATAAAGGCTAGAGTGACAGCCATGAGCAGATGGCGTCGACGCGTCGATGCTACTCCGGGTTCTCCTTCGGGCCCTCCTGAGATTTTCTCAAATTTGTCAGCCAGAGGAGGAGAAGAGCAGGTCAAGTAGCCTGTTCCAACAAGGGGTTTCTCATCCCCGGAAAGGCCCAGGCGCAGGTGAGACACCACAAGGAAGCCGATACAGACATAGAAACGATGATTGCATCCAGACAGGGTATTTTTGCGAAAAGAGGGTTGGCATTCCAACCTCAAGCACGTCTTTTCCACGCCAGCAGATGTGCACAAAAGGTCACCGAGGTGTCGACCATGGAAGCATTCCGTGAGACCGCCATGAAGTCACCCATTGCCTTTGTTGACTTCTACGCGACGTGGTGTGGCCCATGCAAGATGATCTCCCCGTACGTGGAGAAGTTCAGCGAGATGCACAAAACCGTCGACTTCTACAAGGTGGACGTTGACGAGGCCACGGAGGTTGCTCGTGATTTTGGGATCTCGGCCATGCCAACGTTCCTGCTTTTCAAGCACGGGAAGGTTGTGGAAAAGATCGTCGGGGCAAACCCACAGGGCATCAACAGTGCGTTGATCAAAGCGACTCAAGCTTAGACTGGTATATTCATAAACGTTTGTAAAATTCTGGATAGGTGAAAAGAAATGAGCTCAATCGACCCCCGGGCCAGTCACGGTGACTCCTTGCCGTTCTCATGCGGTATGTACGCACTGGGTAAAGTATGTGTACACGGTTGTTACACAGGGGGTTGTAGTCCATGCTATATAGTAGAAAAAAAAAAGCTGAATCAGTCTTCTAAGTTCATCTCGTCCAACTCGTCCAACAACTCGTCTATGTCAATTTGAGGAGCATCGTCATCCTCAGCGTCGGCATCCTCGTCGACCATATCGTCGGGGTTGACTGGCTTGGGCACCTTGTCGGATTTGTACAAGTTGATGTTCTGTCTGAGCTCCTCGTCCTCCTCCAACTCTTGCAAGAACAACTCGTAATCTCTCTCTGCACGCTCCTGTTCTTGCTTGGCCTGTCTGGAGTCCAACACCTCGGTGGCGACAATGTCCTTTCTCTCGTTCGCCATTCTCTTCAACTTCCAGTGTCTGTTCTTGGTGCGCTTGTTGGATCTGAGGTAGTGCTTCTTCACGAGGACAACGTCGACAACGTTGTCTGCGTCCAACTCGTCAAAGAGATCGCTGTTGAAGTTCGAGTTCTTCAAGTAGTAGCCCATGGCAGAGTCTCCCGGATGGAGAAGCCCCCCCAAGTGCGATCTGATGTAGAACTCTTCGTTCGAGGACCCGCCCATGTCGCTGGCCCGGACACACGTCACGTCGGCCATCAAGTATTTGCCTCTTCTCTCCCCCGTCGGCTCGACGTCCAAGACCATGAACTCGACAAGCTGGGTCACGTCGGCAAGCGACTGGAAGCCCCAACGCCAGTACACGGTGGCCTGCATATCTTCTATGTGCAAGTTGGCCGGGTCTATGAACTGGATGGAGTTGGTGATCTTGGAGCACAACACCAACCGCGAGATGTTGCCCATGGACTTGGCCAACTTGGCTGGAAGGATGACCAGGTCGTCCTTACAGATGGGGGCGATTTCGACCGAGTACGAGAACTTGTAGACGGAGGTGCCGGAGTGGATGTCCGCCGTGATCAACTCCTCCGACTTCTTGGACTTCATTGGCACGGTGGAGTTGAGGAAGTCCAACATCTTGACGGCGTGGTTCTGCTTCGCGTAGTAGAAGTCCAACCCGTCCTTGTTCTCCTTGATCGAGATCGTGTCCACGTGAGCGTTGTACTTGAGAATCAACTGCTCCAAGTACAAGAACGTTCTCTTGTGCGGAACCTTCTGTCTGATCTGCACCGCGGTGTTCCACGTGTGGGCCGTGTACGACTTGGCGCAGTCCGGACACTGCATCGCGATGACCACGTACTCCACCTCGAAGCTCTGCTGTATGATGGCGTTCGAGAACGCCTCCCCCTGCACCGTCAACTTCACCCGGACTCTTCTCGAGTGCGGCTCCGTCCAGATGAACGCAGCGTCGATCAACCGCACCTTGTTCAACCCTTTCAATCTTCTGAGACAGAGTGCTAGCAACTCTCTCGACTCCAACTCCGCCTTGATCCAGTTTGTCGGCGGCTGGAGGAACCGCTCGCAGTTTCTGCAGAAACTCAAATTCGCCTCTCTTGGGATTCCGTTCGTGATGTCCACGTTCAGCTTGATGCAGTCGTAGCACATCACCAATCCCGTGGATCCGTCCATGGGAACACCACAGTTGCAACAGAGCACTGTGGCCTGGCCCTGCCCCGCCACCCCGTGCGAGTGTGTGTCGATGTTAGAGTAGTTTGACATCGTCTGCTGCTCTTCCTGATATATCTCTCTGTCTTTTCTGCTGCTCTTCCTGCTCTGTGCCGTCCGAACTCCTCTTTCTTCCTCTAAATCCACTTCCTGCCTTCTTGCAATTCATGATAGAGTGAAAAAAAATGCAAAAAAATTGTGTACCCGAAAAAAATTATTTTTTCAGTGCCCTGCGGCACATTTCTCCTCCTCCTCCGACGGCGATAAAGGCCCAGTGGCCAGCAAAGAGGGTATTGCAGGGGCGCCAAGACGGGGGGCAGGGACCAGACTGCGTCCAGATGCTGGCGGCGTCGCCAGACGGTACTTGAGGCTCTGTTGATGCCAGCAGCCGTCCGCAGACCGCCCGCAGCGGTGTGTAGAGGCCGCTCGGAGCGGGAGAGGGACGATCGGCCCCCCGAAGACGGAAACGGCCGTCTCCGTCGGCGACGATGCCGTTGCGGTGCTGTGTGGCCATCTTCACGTCCTCGGGGGCTTATCGGCGCCACAGTCGGACGCCCGGAGCGTGGAGGGCGGGTCCAGAGCGCAGTGCCCGGCAGCATGGAGAACACAGCACGCAGAGCACGTCTGCCGAAGGACCGTGGGCCCCGTCCGGGGCCACAGAACCAAGGCCTCAAGGCGGAGCCGCAGGACCCAGGCGTCTCGTCGGCGGCAGCCAGCGGGTCTGTGTCGGGCTACCGCAGCACGCTCCACGAGCTCACAAACATGCTGCTGGAAACAGACCTCATGGTGGACAACACCACCAGCGAGCCCCGGGACATCCTCATGACGGAGCGCACCGCCCTCTCGTGGGTGAAGTTCAGCATCACGCTGGCGGCGATCGCCATCACGATCGTGACCAACTTCCGTCTCGACACCTCGGGCGACGGCGGCGACGGCGACCGCCGGCCGCCGCCGTGGGTGCCCCGCTTCAGCTACGGCGTGTCCATCCTCTTCATTCTGCTCAGCATGGCGACGCTCTTTGTCGGCTGTCTCTCGTACTTCCAGAGCATCTACAACTACAAGGCGCACCGCGTGAACACCTACTCGCTCAAGACGACGTTGGGCTTTCTCTTCGTCGTGGGGCTCGTCTTGCTTGCGGTGAACGTCGTGTTCGTCGTCGCCGTCGACGCATGACCCGTCCGCCCTCCTCATCTGCGGCTCCTCTTCCCCTCCTGCTTCTTCCCTGTATACTGCAAAGGCTTTCGATAAAGTTCAACACCGCTGCGGCCCCCGGGCGCGGCCCAGGCTCGGCCTCGCCTTCTCTGCTCATGAGCTTTGTTTACCGCATGGAAGCGTGTTGGATGAGAACGAGATGGAGACGGAGCGGACGAGAAGCGGACGAGGGACCAGAAGCAGCAGCAGCAGCGGCAGCAGCAGCAACAACCAGACGCACAGAACCAGCATGTCGGACATACTAGCGATCGACTACTCCCTGATGTCGTCCACGCTCTCGAAGGAGGAGATCGGCTTGTTGCAGCAGTACCAGTCTCTGGCGGCCAACCTCACGGCAGTCAAGGCCAGACTCGAGGAGCTGAACGAGCAGATCAGCACGGCGGACCCGCAGAACGTCGCCAACTTGGCGTCGCTGTCGACGGACCTGCAGAAGGCGCTGGGCGTGTTGAGCACGGTGTTCAAGTCCACGGTGCACAACGTGCTTCTGCACGTGGACTCGAACCAGCTGCTCGACGGGTCCGGCGCCAACTCGCTGAAGGACAGCGACAGCGTCGCCATGGACTACATGGAGGACGAGCACGCGGGCGGCGAGGGGAACGCCGAGGGCAGCGGCGGCAACGGTAACGGTAACAGCAGCAACGGCAACGGCAACAGCAACAACAACCCCAACGGCGCAGACGACGACGAAGACGTCGACCTCGGGTCCGGAATCGACGAGGAGACCATGGACGCCGTCGACAGAATCCAGCACGAGCTGGCCATGTCCGCGGACATCCACCGCCAGATCGCCGACCAGCTCGAAATAAACAACCCGGACGACTACTAATTGTCTCTCGGCTCTCCCCGCCCTATCCGTTTGTATAATACCATATATATCTACTGTATCGCACATAATGTTCATCTTTGTATTCTAAACTAAACAGCACCCCTTGAGGGAGAAGGACAGGCGTTCTCGACCTGCCGGCAAATTACACAACTCGTTCGGCCGCCCGCACTCAGACATCAAAGATGACAACCTTACCGTCATTGCCGGAAGAGCTGAATCTTATCAAGCCGCTCGCCTCAGACTGGAACGGTCTCAAGGACGTGATGGTGTTCTGGTGGACGGTCAACAAGGTGTTGCTCTTTGGCTCGCTGGAGCCCTTCAAGTCCATCTGTCTGAACATGTTGAGTGCACTCTGGTTCTCCACCACGTTGGCCTTCTTCTTCTTCGGGTCGTCGATGGCGTAGGTCTGCTTCCAGCCCTGCGAGCCACTGCCCTCGAATACAATCGGGTGGCAGTCGTAACCAGCACACACCAGTTTCGAGGGGTTGACAAAGACCAACGAGGTGAACGGCAAGTTGGAGGTCTTCACCTTGACCACGTTGCTCACCTCCAGTTCTCCGGCACCAGGGTACACGACAAAGACACTTCCGTCGTGGCCCACGCCGGCAACAAACTGCAAGTCGGGAGAAAACTTGACATCCTGGACCCATGCGTTCAGATTGACGTCCAGACACAGCGTCTGGAAGGGCAACCGCTCACCCCAGATGGTGGCAGCCGGCTTCGAGTCGACCCCCTTGACAAACGTCGAGAAGACCCGCAGGTGGCCGTCCGTGGACCCGGCAGCCAAAAGAACGCTGTTTTCGTGCCAATCCAACGACAGAACCGTGGACTTGATTGGTCTCTTGATGTGTTTGGCGATCCACCAGTCGTTCTCCTCCTCGAAGTAGCACACAGAGATGACGCGTGCAGACGACCCGACGGCAAACTTGGCGCCGTTCGGACACCACTTCACACATGTGGCAGCCCTGTTGATTCTCAACAAAACTAGCGTCTCCTTGTACGACCCGTCGGCCTGCGGAGTCCACACTAGAGCGTTTCTGTCCTGCGAGCAGGTGACAATCTTCCCATCTGCAGAAATGTCCACCGCGGTGACCGGCTTGTCGTGGTGCTTCAACGTTGTGATCAATTGCGGCTTCGATGGGTTCGACAGGTTGAAGATCTGCACGTCCTTGTCCTTGGTGATGGCCACGTTGCGGCGGTCTGCCGAGAAACAGTGATCGTAAATCGGGGTTTTTGAGAGAACAAAAGGAATTGACATCGGATTCTGGTACAGGAGTATAGCGCTCTACTGACGGATGGCTCTAGGAATCTCATAAGAGAGTGTAGCTGGGGTGGTTAGCTTTCTGTCTGCTTCTTACGCCGCCTCCTACTCAGCATCTATGTGTGTACTGCCGGCAATCCCCCCCCCCTCACTCTCGCTCTCCAGACTGCTCTCGCACTCATGTTTTTCCACCCGGGCGACAAGGGCGATTCCGCAGAAGTGGCAAAGACAGCTATGTATTATTGTTCCTTCAGAGTTGGTGAGCAGATGGTAGTTTGGACAGCACAGAGGTCTAGAAGGCAAAGCAGAGAAAGAAAGGACAAAACACAATATGGAGAGATTACAATCGCTTTTGGGCGGCCGCATGGGCGGCATGGGCGGCATGGGCGGACCAGGGTTCCAGGATTCGCCTGCGATCGATAATGCAGAAACCGTGTACATATCGTCACTTGCGTTGCTCAAGATGCTCAAGCACGGGCGTGCAGGTGTTCCAATGGAAGTGATGGGGTTGATGTTGGGCGAGTTTGTGGACGACTTCACGATCACAGTTGTGGACGTTTTCGCCATGCCCCAAAGTGGTACCGGAGTGTCTGTCGAGGCTGTTGACGACGTGTTCCAGACCAAGATGATGGACATGCTCAAGCAGACCGGTAGAGACCAAATGGTTGTTGGCTGGTACCATTCCCATCCAGGTTTCGGGTGCTGGTTGTCGAGTGTCGATGTGAATACGCAGCAGAGTTTCGAGCAGCTCAACCCGAGATCCGTTGCGGTGGTCATAGATCCAATCCAGAGTGTCAAGGGTAAGGTTGTCATCGATGCGTTCCGCTCGATTCCCTCGCAAGTTCTGATGATGGGTCAGGAACCCAGACAGACCACGTCCAACGTGGGGTTGCTCAACAAGCCAACCATCCAGGCGTTGTTGCACGGGTTGAACAGAAGTTATTACTCGTTGAACATCGACTACAGGAAAACAGAGAAAGAAACAGATATGTTGTTGAACCTACACAAGAAGGAATGGACAAGCGGACTCAAATTAAAGAACTACGACGATCAAGACTGCGAAAACCTCGAAGGCTCGAAGAAGCTCATCAAGGTGGCCAAACAGTACGTCGAAAGAATCCAGGAGGAGAAGACTTTGACAGAAGATCAACTGAAAACGAGGTACGTTGGTAAGCAAGATCCTAAGAAGCATCTCACAGCAACCGCAGAAAACTTGATCGAGGACAACAATGTATCCATAGTCACAAGTAATGTTAATAGATTAGCTATATAACCAAATAACAAAAGAATCGGATTATCTAAACCGAAAGTCATTTTTCCCAGATTTGTAGCTGAGAGTTGGCAATGAAAAGAAGCTCCTTCTCCACCTCTTTCACACCGACTCCGTCAAACTCCATCCATCTTTTCCTCGACTTGTCGAGTACTTGTACCTTACTGTCTGTGATATTGGCAAGAAGCTTGTAATTAGTCCGCTCATTCAACTGGAGGGTGTTTGGGTCAAACTTGACAATGCTCTTGTTCAACTGCTGTTCAATTCCCTCTAGTTGTACGTCATTAGTTCGATCAATGTAAATGACTAGATACTGGGGAAATTTGAGGACCTGATATCCTTTTTCTTTGATAAGCGTCATCAAGTCGTACTGTTCGATGGATAAAGACGTGCTGCCTTTGAAAACGGACTGTTGCGGTAATTTTACCGTGAGATTGATAAACTTTATTGGTTTTGCACCGCCCTTGCTTACAAGCTTCCCGGTGAAAAGATCTTTGTATAATTTCTTGTTCTCTTTCATCAAAGTGTTCAATATCCATGTGTAAAACAGCCGGACATCGTCAAGAATTTTTGTCGGTAGCCGGCACGACAGTAGATAATATTCAATCGCAAAAGATGAAGTGAAATTCTTGAAAAGGTAAGGGGACCAAATTTTCTTTGTCAAATTGGACAGTTGATTCGACAAGGGCGTTGATTCTGAATTTTTGTATTCAAGTAGATGATCTCTCACTAATGGCAGATGCAAAAGAGCGTAGTAGAGTGTGTTGTGTTTCAGTATAGAATTACCCTCTTTGGCATCGAACCTCGTATCAATAATATCTGACATATAATCATTCACTAGAGGAACAAATCCAACATCGTAAGCTTCGCCTGCCATAGTCTTTCCTTCAAGAGGCCGGCTATCAAGCTCCGAAATCAGCTGCTTTCCGAATTTTGGCTGCAATAACAGCTGTATGTCACGTAGATCTTTTGACCGATTTTCTGATAATACCAGCTGTTCTGGCAAAATGATGAACTTAGACGTTTGGGTGTTGATGTACACATGATGATTAGTATCTACCGCATGCGTAAACGCAGGAGAGGATAATGATGCTCCCTGAAGGTACCTGTTACATACGAGACAGATGTGTATGTTTGTAGTTGCAAGACTTACGCTGCATATCAACGGCATGTCAAAGTTGAGAACTTTGCGATTAACCGTGTCCAAATAAATATCGCTGTCCGTATATTTCAGGCCAACTGTTTCTGTCCGCACAGTATCTTCTAAGTCGTCAAACTCATCTGACTCTTCCGCCTTTCCATTTCCATTTCCCTTTTCATTTTCATTTTCATTTTCGTTTCCACCGTCGTCTGTAATTTCACTTTCAATTTCTTTCTTTTGTTTCTTTCTCGGCACTTCGTCTAGTACACCGCTCTCAATGCCATTCTGCTCAGTCAGCAAGTGAATCTTTTGCCTGGACATTTCTCTCAAACAACTGTACCCACCTCCGCTCAAGCCCTCTCCTGCTTCTCCGATATCCAAATGTTTCTCAGAGCTAGTTCAAGTCGGCAGTTTTGCTCCGAAACATGTCACAACACGGCAGCATTGCCCAAACAGGTAATTGCTCCGCGAAAGTGGGTCCTCTTCTCCGTAAGGCACGGACCGAGGTGAAGATGGGGGAAGATAGATGGGCTTAAAGGATCGATGTGTAAGTGCACTCCTGGAAGGAAAAGACTGCTGATGATGGCCGGTCCTTATGTTGCACAAAGGGGTTAGCTGGATTAGCAAAAGAGTCATTTTCACAGCGACGACAATAGCCACAAACATGAAGTATCCAGCAAAAGCACATGCGTTAAAGGTAAAGAACCATTTTCTAGCTGAGAAGAAGTCTGAGAAGAAAGATGGCATTGCGTTTTTCATTGCATCTGCAACTTATACCAACTATCCCTACTGTGACCAGGTTGCCCCTTTGAGACAGAATAGATACTTTCATTATTTGTCTGGTATTGATCAGATGGCAGGCGCTTTCATTCTTTTCAACGTTCTCAATGAAAAGCTCACGTTGTTCCTTCCAAATATTGATGATGAAGACATCATGTGGAGTGGGCTGCCACTTTCCCCAGAAGATGCTCTTAAAGAGTACGATGTTGATGAGGTCTTATATGCAAAGGATGTTACCAAAACGTTGGAATCTTTGAAATCTTCCAATTTTGATATCTACACCACTGACACCGATCAATATTCAAAGGCTGCTTTCGCAAAACTGGTGATCCCAAAAGACACTTCGTTTTTCTACGCTTTGGACGAGTCCAGATTAATAAAGGATGAGTTTGAAATCTCATTGATGAGACATGCTGCTGAAATTACCGACAACTGTCATATGGCTGTTATGTCTGCATTGCCTATTGAAACTAACGAAACCCATCTTCATGCAGAGTTTGTATACCATTCTCTCAGACAAGGATCGAAGTTCCAATCGTATGACCCTATCTGCTGCTCAGGTCCTTCCTGTGGCACATTGCACTATGTCAAGAACGACGATCAAATGGATGGTAAGACTTCTGTGTTGATCGATGCCGGTGCAGAGTGGAAGTGTTATGCATCTGATGTTACTAGATGCTTCCCAATCACCGGAAAGTTTTCCAAAGAGCACCTTGATGTCTATGAAACTGTAAGAGATATGCAAGCGCAAGCTATGAAGGAAATTAAGCCAGGTGTCGCATGGGAAGATCTTCATTTACTTACGCACAGAGTTTTAATTAAGCACTTTTTGGAGCTCGGACTTTTCCATAATGGTACAGAAGATGAGATATTCAACTCTAAGGTATCAGCTTGGTTCTATCCTCACGGTTTAGGACATTTGTTAGGAATGGATACGCACGATGTAGGTGGAAATGCAAACTATGAGGATGAAAATATTATGCTAAGAAATTTAAGACTGAGAAGAAAGTTACAAGCTGGTATGGTCATAACCGATGAACCTGGTGTCTATTTCTCCCCATTCTTGCTGGAGCACATATCTGAAGAACAGGAGAAGTTTGTTAACAGAGAAATTGTGCACAAATATATGTACATTGGAGGTGTCAGAATCGAGGATGACATTTTAGTTACTGCTGATGGTTACGAGAACTTGACCGGTATAACCAGTGACCCTCACGAAATTGAAAAGATTGTTCAAAAAGGTCTTAGTAAAGGGAAGGGAGGATTTCATGTTATAGCCTGATTTTCTTGTATTATTATCGTCTAAATTACACTTGAGAGTTTACATAGGTTTGTATACATTTTTATTCACCGAGCTTCAAACACCACATCTGAATATACTCGACCGGTTATGCCTGAACTGGACAACTTCTCTTCTTTCTAAGATATACAAAGTCTTGTTTAAAGCCTCGATGCTGTAAGTGCCTTTCTCTACAAACGTCTGTCGTAGAGTGTTATATGACGTACTCCAACCCATTGGCAGTCTCCTTTTAATTTCACTTTCAATGTTTTCAATGTGCTGCAAAACTTCGTCATTATCCGTATTACCTTCTTTGATGGCATCCATGGTGGAAGCATTAAACAGTCTCATAGCCTCTTCAACATGTCTCACATCAGCAATAGGCGAAAGTTCCATCTTTGCCAATGACTCCGTTATTCTGATAATTGCCTCCAATTGTCTGATAGTGATTGGAATCGAGGACCTTTCAGACGATAACGATTCCTTCAACTTCACTTCTTTACGTATAGCAACGAAGTTAGAGCTCAACATCTCAGATGCTTGTGGAGTTAGTCTAGGGGCGCACTTTAGCTTGCAGTATTGGATATATCTTTTCATTAAATCAATCGGAATCTCACCTTCGGTTTGTTCTTCATTATTACCACCATTTGTGTGAACATTCATAACGTGATGTGCAATGGACATATCTCTGTGTGCATCATATTCATCTTTGACAATGAAAATCATATCAAATCTGGATAAAATGGTGGTTTGGAAATCTATATTTTCACCAGGGGCCTTCATATCATCGTACCTACCGAAAATTGGATTAGCAGCCGCTAACACAGAAGTTCTTGAATTGAGTACTGTTGTGATACCAGCTTTCGCAATAGAAATAGTTTGTTGTTCCATAGCCTCGTGAATCGCCACTCGATCTTCATCTCTCATCTTGTCAAACTCATCGATACAAATGACACCACCATCGGCTAGAACCATGGCACCACCTTCTAGATAGAAATCTCTTGTAGCAGGGTCACGTTGCACAGATGCAGTCAAACCAGCAGCCGAAGAACCCTTACCTGAAGTGTAGATGGAAATCGGTGCAACTTTTTCGACGAACTTCAATAGTTGAGATTTTGCCGTACCGGGGTCACCCAATAGTAAAACATTAATGTCACCCCTCAATCTCATTCCATCAGGTAAGACCTTTTTAGACCCACTGAAAAGAAGACAAGTTATTGCTCTTTTGATGTCTTCATTACCATAAATTGATGGTGCAATCGATTTGACAAACCGTTCATATAAGTCTGGTGTTCTGGACAATGCAATGAACTCCTCTTCTTCTTCTTCCGAAAAGATCCTATTCAACCCTCCTGCAGACCGCAATAGATCTGCATCTGTCTGGACACCCAAGACCTTCAAGTACGGCGATCTAATGGCAGCATTATTAACTGAGCCTGTATTCCTCACTTTTTTCTGGTATGTGTCGTATATTCCTATGATCTCGCACCTGGTACCTGGGACAAGGACATTGCAAAGGTACCTATCCACAAATAGTGTGATATGACGAGGCATTTCTCCGACCGGGACCATGTCAGATGTTTCCTGGAGTTTCAACGTCTGCTGGTCGATAAATGTCGATTTGTCGTGTACGATCAAATAAGGATTTGGGGGGCAGTTTGGTTTGTCTCCATCCGGCAACGGTGGCGCTAGACACTTTTTCGGATACTGTGGCAAACCCAAGTTGATGTTGGACTTGATCTTTAGTGTATGTCTACAGTTCCTGCACATCAAGGTAAGCTCAGAGGCTCTCGAGTTGAGCATCGTAGTGCTGATGATGATACCAGATATCTTGATAATCTTAGACACGTTGTCGGAATCGATATCTCTGATGGAAATTTTGTTGTCGTTCGACAACAAAATTAGCTGACACTGCGGAAATACGCTTGGTGCCTCCTCATCGGTCAAATAGATATTCCTCTTGGCAATCTCCGTGATCGCTCTTTCGAAAAGAGGTATGATATCTTTTGGGTTTTCAAAGAGTCTCTGGTGTAGTTCGTCATGAAACGATATCAGGTTTTCTGAATGTACAGTTAGTTGAAACTGCTTGGAGAGAATATTCTCTCTCAACTGATTTCTATACACGAAATCGTTGTCCACTCTGAACTCTAGGATGAAGCGCTTAAAGGCTTTTATTATCTCGCTGTTCTGATCACTCGATGCATCCTGCTGGGGAGGAAGCACCGAGGTGGCATATGTGTCTGCTCTTTCGAAAGACATCTGTCCGTCAACTGTTTATCGAATAGAGATAAAGAAGCGGCTCCTTTCTTCCTGGGGACTCCCTGTCTTCTTCCAAACCCTCTTTACGTTCTTGAAACAGTCCTACTCCTGTCTCAGATTGCAATAGACGCACGAAATTTGCCCAAAAAAGACAAATTGCGCGCAGGAACTTTCGCGTTGGGCCGATCGGCGGCACGGTGCACGGGTGTTATAAGCTCCGGAGATCTAGTGTTTTCGTTTTGTTTTAATCCATTTTTTTTGATAGATTTATTTACTTCGCATAATAGATGAAAAGAGGTGGAAAGTGACCTCCGAGGTTTGCACCAGAGACAGTCTGAACCATTTGAACAGCACGAAGGATGGTGAATCACACACAGATGGCAGAGAAGGATGGTCCGAACAGCTTTCTCCCGGGAGATACGAAGGGTAAAGGTTCCGAGGCGATTGCAAGTGATGAGCAAAACAACGGAAATGAAGAAGGTCTGCGGAAACTTGCTGGTCACAAAGACACAGCTAATCTAGAGTCAAATCTGGAAAAGGAGCTGCATGAAATTGAAACCGATTTCTCGACGCTTTCCAACAACTTTAAGAGAAGAAGACTCAGCAAGAACGAGATGGATTTTCTTGAGACGGAGCTGAACCTGGACATCAACTCAATTGCAGATGCAGACTTTGACATTCACCTACAGAAGCTGATGGCCGACAACTTGACTCACACGGATGAAGTAGATAAGAAATCGGGTGGATTGGAGGCGGTTGTCGGAGACAAAGGAAAGCAGACCGTGGAAGAGCCAGAAACTGCGAGTAATGAGACTGTTGGAACGCCGCAAACCGAAGCACACACTAGCAGTGAACAGAGTGGTGTCAAAAAGCACGAAGACGCAAATGGCGCAAATCCAGATCTTGGAAAGCATAGTAAAAGAAGCAATGCTATCACATCTACTACCACTGATACCTACAAAGGCGTTTCTATCCCAGCCAACAGTGAGTTACTAAAGTCCAGTGAAACGCAATCGGTCTTGCAGGCATACCGGGATTTGATGCAGGATCCTAGCAGAACCAGCATGAAAGAGGTTAACCACGTGAATGCGCAGCTTTCGGCATTGCCACTGCTTCTAACTGCTCCGGACCATTTGTCCTTCAATGTGCAGATGCTAATAAACACCCTCCCGGTGCTAGACAACCTAGCTACTCAAATTCTCAGAATAATAGCGAAAGGGCCATACCAGAAGATTATGGAATTGGTGTCCAATAGAGAATCTTACACGGGTATAGCGTTTGGCAACCTGGTCGAGCTTTTTGAGACCACGAAGAGAATATACAATTCTGAAGAGAGTCCGTTTTTCACGGTGGAGAACATCACGTTCGGATTGTGGAAATATGGCCAGCAAGCTCCACTGTTTCTCAAGGGCAGAGAAGATACAATTGAAGGAACGCTTAGAAAAGTCAACTTGTCCACTTTCCTACTTGCTACATTAGGCTTGATCGACCTTGGTTTCTTCTTTTTAAACGAAGCATTTTTGGACGTCTTTTGCCCGCCGCAAAATCTTGAGCCATCAGAATCTCTCAGCCTTCTGAGAGACAAGTCGTTGCTAGATGTTCTGCAAAAAGAAAACAGATCAGTGAAAGCGCAAAGAAATCAAACGAAATTTCTGAAAGCACAAGCTATTTTGTACCTAGAATTGAAAACGCAGGCATACATCTCAGCCATTGAACTTGGAGATAGGTCCAAGGAAGATATTATCCACGATTTGTTCCCAGAAAATATGGATGAGATTCTTTTGCGCAGAAAAGATCCTTTCTATGAAGCTGCCGGAATAAAGCTAGAGAGGAACTCTGCTTTGTTCACACCAGCAGAGCTAGACTTTTTGAGCCGATGCGACTTCAGAAAACAGACGCTCCTCAACTCAGAGGCAGATAGCTCTCTCATGGAAAAGTATGAGTGGATAAAATTCCTAAATGACCTACTCGAATACGTTTCCAAAAACGTTGGATTTTTAATTTGGGGTCCAAAGGGAAAATTATCTTCTGAACTCAATAGACTGAATACCTTGATTTCTGCAGAGGCAACCCTGGACAAGGCAAACCAGGCCTCGGCAGACTCTTATGCAAGTCCGAGCGAAGAAGAAGGTAATAGCGAAGATGCTAAGAAACGGAAGAGCGAGGATTCTCATGAGCAAAGAGGGTCAGACATTAATAACGATAGCTTGACAGACACTTCATCCAAGAGTAAAGCCGCCAAACGGCCGAGAGCTAACAGACCTTCGACTTTCCGAAGGATCTGGACTGCTGAGGAAGAGGAGACGTTGAAGAAAGGATTGATGCAAAAGGGAACGCATTGGACAGCAATTTTGGAATTGTATGGGCCTGGTGGTACAATAAATGAAAACTTAAAAAATCGAAGCTCTTTACAATTGAAAGATAAGGCCAGAAATTGGAAAATTTATTACACGAAAAATAAACTTCCGATTCCAAGCTATCTACAAAAAGCCATAGGCGATAGCGACAAGTACAAAAAGCCTGCTGCCGGAGCAGACCCCTTGAAAAGGCCCGGAACCGGTTTTAGGCCGACTGAATTTGTCTCCACGGAACCTAATGAGTACAACGAGATGTTCAGTGGACTGCTTCCTGACGCCAAAGGCGACGACAAGATGGGTAACGGGACGCACGAAGAAGTTGTAACCTCCGAGCTTAAAGATCTTGTTGCAGAAGCATTCAAGTAGCACACAGGTCGAGCTTTCAAGTATCAACCTCATATAGATAAACAGTTTGTAAGAATAGAAGAGGAGCGGACAGCTTTTCCCGCCCCAGTACGGATATGTGCAGCGAGTGCTCCGAAAATTTTCTACATAGTTGAGATTTTTTTTCGCCATTTCTCCTCGGACATGAGTCTTCTGCACGCCGATAAGAGAGCCCTTTTCGATGCAAAAGATTCATCGTTACCTGAGACGATTTCTGTTTCTCTCTGTTGAGCATAGGCACATTCCGCCTCGTATTCTTTTTTACCCATGGAAAGACAGATATAGCAAAGATGAGTGGCAGCAGAAAACCGTCTTCAGTACAGAGGTTGCAGAATATTACCGTATCTAAGCATTCTCCTGGTCCTGATTCATTAGAGACCACGGATTCTTCAGCACATTCCGCCCACAATAATGAAGATGACACATCCTCTGTGTCATCTAAAATTTCTTCAGCTCCTTTCGATTCTCAAAAAAAAGAGGGAAAGGAGTTGGCAAAATCAACCACCCTCTTATCTCGAATTACAACGATCAAGTTCGATGATTCGCAAATTGTTCCCAAAAAGAACCGACGTGGTTTGCTTTCCAGTTTTTGCATGATACCGGAGTATCAAGATGCCAGAAACTTACCACCTAGCCTCAGACGAGCAATCGTTTTTATCATTGCATTCTGTGCAATGCTTGGGCCAATGGGAACCTCAATCTTGCTTCCTGCTTCAGATGATGCAGTTGCAGACTTGGACACTACGATTACCATCCTCAATGTTGCCATCGGTGTCTACCTTATCACGTTGGGTGTGATTCCTCTATGGTGGAGTAATTTTTCTGAGAGGCATGGCAGACGTTCCATCTACATTATTTCTTTTATAATGTATCTCGGCTTTACCATAGGATGTGCATTATCCAACAGCATAAATACTCTCATTGGGTTTCGTATTTTAAGTGGTGGCTGTGCTGCCAGTGTGCAGAGTGTGGGTGCAGGAACAATTGGTGACTTATATCCGATAACGAAAAGAGGTGTGGCCATGGGTTTGTTCTACTTGGGTCCTCTTGCTGGTCCTCTTTTGAGTCCTATCATCGGTGGTGCCATCACGAGTAACAAAAGATTTGGATGGCGAGCTACCCAATGGTTTTTGGTCTGTCTCAGCGGTGGGTGCTGTTTAATGATCATTTTTTTCTTGCCTGAAACATTGAGAAAACAAGATAATCGAGAGGCTATTCGACAAATTTTACGTGAAAGAAGAAGGAATAGAATACCGAAGGCGGATGAGGAAACAGCCGGCGAGAAGTGTGCCAAGAAACTTGTGCCTCCGGTTGTTGATGATCCCCTCAACGATCCCAAGCGTGATGTGAATAGCGCTAACCAACAGAATATCCCTCATAATTCAAATATTAATCCGTCAGGGTTACCTCTTTCACCGGTGGGATCTATTGATTCTGAAGCTATTTCGGATGATGATATGGTTTCAGAGGAAGAGGTTGAGCATTTGAACAAGCTCTTGACAAGAATGTCCACGCACCAATCATTTGCAGGTGGCGGTATTAAGAAAGAAGGCAGTAATAGAAGCAGGAAACCATCTGTTGCTTCTACACGTAAGACACGACCATCGATTGACGGGCCTCAAAGCTTGGCTGCAAAAGCTACTGCCCCTAAGCAAAAATTTGACAATGCAGAGAAGGATGATGATTATGATGACTATAATGAAGAATATAATGATGATTATGGTGATGATGATCAGGATGAAATTCCAGTCATGGATGCCGCTGTCCCCTTATCCAAGGTTCCTACAAAGAATACCAACAATTTTATTGACAACAGAAAGAGAAGAAGAAAGTCATTAGCAGCTGAACTTGTTAGAATCAATAGAATAGAGCGTAGCGGTAAGTTCCACTTAGCAATGCATTATATGAAAATCTACCTCTATTCACCATTGAAGGCATTCATTTTTATTAGATATCCACCCGTCTTTTTAGCAATGGCTTACTCAGCACCGTGCTTTGCTGCACTATATGTGCAGAATATGACATTAACTTACATGTATTCCAAAGCCCCATACAATTTTACTCCAATACTTGTCGGTTTAGTTTATATCCCTAACTCCGTTACTTATTTCATTGCATCCATCTGGGGTGGGAAGTTCAACGACTACTTGTTAAAGAAAAAGATTGAAAAATATGGTATCGTTGCTCCAGAGGCTAGGTTTGGCATAAATGTTTACGTAGCTGCTGCCATACTACCCTGCTCTTTACTCATCACAGGCTGGTGTTTAGAGTATGGTGAGCATTGGGTTACTCCATTAATTGGCACTGCCTTATTTGGATTTGCCCAAATGATTGTTATTGGGGTTACAGTTACCTACCTTGCAGATTGTTTGCCAGGTAAAGGAGCCACGGGTATTGCTTTGAATAATTTCATAAGAATGATCATGGCTGCTGGAGTTTCTTTTGCAACTGAGCCTTTGATTAAAGCTATCGGTACCGGAGTACTCTTTAGTATTTGCGCTGGTGTTACTGCAGCTTTGAGTGTATTGTTGGTTATCATTATCAAAAGGGGTGATCACTGGAGAGAAACTTACGATTTGGAAAAACTTTATGATCTTGTAGATAGTTGATGTTTGCAAGATTTATGTCATTTTCTTCCCCACTTTGGAAGCATAAAGTTTGATAAATAATATTCATTAATTTTTTTGTACCACTGTAGAATATTTGGGACTTTTAGAGTGCTTATACGGGCATGTATTTTCGTAAATAATCTAAAAAAGTAAAACAACACATTTCACTAAGCTTTTTTTGGGGGAGGTGGTGGTGGTGGAACAGATCCAGTTTCTTTAGTGGAAGCACTATCTACAGCCTTGCTCTTCTCGGTCTGCTCATCAAAATACGCCTCCAAGTTAACAGCTGTATGCGCCGATTGATGGCCACGTTTTCTGTGAGTGCTACTAACAACGGACTTTGCCGCTTCGTCCACACTCTCACCGACACCATCCGATTTAAAGCTTGGAGCTGTCACCTGTAATGGTAAGAATTCAGGGGGTTGAGTCAATGGAACCTCTGGAACAAGTTCAGTTACAGTCGAAGCACTTCCTGGAAGGTGCTGGTCTACTGATTTGGTTTGGAATTTCCCAATTACCTCAGGTACCCGATGTAGTAAACCGTAACCTACATCACAACCCAATATACCCCTTCCTCCCCACGATGAACCAGCTTTGAGTATCACTCTAACAGGTCTAACACAATCAGAATCATAATTATACACATATAGCACCACCTCACACCCATCACCTGCTTTTGCATATTGGCTTTGCAAAACTTTAGCTAATAAATCTTCTCCACCTGTGGCAAGTAGACCATCTTGTGATTGAATAATATATTCATCGGGTATAATTCCTGCTAGGTAGGCCGGCGATCCAGGATGAACACGCAAAACATGCCACATAAAAAATCCTGTAGTTAAAGGTGTTAATTGAAAAGAGATGCCTAAGTTAGGAGTCCATTGAAGGCCTATGGTGTCTGTGGAATCTGCAGATAAACTGACTTCTTCCAACGGAGGGGTTGTCTTGGATAAGGAGTCTTTCACTTCGGCGCTTGTAATTATGACATCCCTTAGCACAGAACCTTTAGAAGAGAAAACGCTAAAAGTAAGATCATTATCTGACACTTCGACTTCATGTTTTATGTAGTTCAGCATATTCTCATAATTTACTTGTCCTGTTTCTGTGTTCAATTGCAAATATGCACAAATGTCAGTTCCATTCAACCCAACAATAAAGTCAAACCACGATTCAAATCCATGGTCAGATCCGATAGAGTTTGGCTTCACTGACTGTATTCTCAGTCCTTGGCGTGATTCGTCAACCCTTGAGTTATGATCAGATGAACCGTCGTAGGAAAGTTGTGACTCTATTGAGTTCACTAGTTTTTTTGCGAATCCAAACATTCTTTATTACTCCTACGTGTCAATGTAGTTCTATAATGTTGGCTCGCAGTAGAAGCAAGCACAAATCAGTTTCAGCATACATTCGTGCTTTACCGATGAGTGTCTGTCACAAAGTTCACCAACTCCACAAGATTGCTAAAAGGTGCAACATATTTTGTTGTCGCGGTGTGACATCAGTTTTCAGTTTTTTTTTTCATAGCTATTATCCTTAAATGGAGATTATAAAAGTGAAGTTTGAAAAATTCCGATGATGTTATTCCAGTGCTAGCACTTCGTACTTTATTATCAGTAAATGAGCATATATTCTCGTCAGTTCAGTGTTCTTTGCAAAACTATGGATAAATACAAAACAAAGGTACTGAAAATTGACCCATCTACAATAAAGTTTGACAATGAGTCAAATGAAATGGAGATTTCAGACCGTCATACAAAGGATGTATTGGAGGAAGCTGCTAAGCTATTGCAGGAGTCACAGGTAGTTGGGTTTCCAACAGAAACAGTGTATGGTTTAGGTGCCTCATCATTATCTTCCGACGCAGTTAAAAGAATATACGAAGCCAAGAATAGGCCGGCTGATAACCCCTTGATCTCACATATCTCGTCCTTAGAAATGATTAAAGATGTCTTTCATACAGAGCTACCGGAGATCTACAAACCGCTTGTAGCCAAATTTTGGCCTGGCCCATTGAGTATTGTGCTACCTAATACGCCGGAGTGTCTTGTTTCCCCGGTCGTAACGGCTGGTCAGGACACTTTTGCAGTGAGATTCCCTGAAAACAAAGTGGCACGTGCACTTATTCAATTTTCAAATATACCTTTGGCGGCACCTTCTGCTAATGCATCTACAAAGCCATCGCCAACCACAGCTGAACATGTGCTAGCAGATTTAGATGGAAAAATTCCCCTGGTCATAGATGGTGGACAATGCACTGTTGGGTTGGAGAGTACTGTCGTTGACGGAACGGTGGACCCTCCTATGTTACTAAGACCTGGTGGAGTTAGTCTTGAGGAAATTGCAAGCGTTGGTAATGGATGGGAGAAAATAGTTTTGGGTAAGAAAACGGCTGGTCAATACGAGAAGGTGCGTACGCCTGGAATGAAATATAAGCATTATTCTCCAACTGCTAAAGTTGTGTTGTTTGAAGGGTATAAAAATGCTTTGGAGGCGATAAGTGAGTACAGAAAGGGACATGATGTGGAGGGGAAGAAAATTGCAGTTTTAAGGTCAAAGTATTGGAGTGAATGTGGGAAAGATATTTCCTTGATAATTGATTTGGGGAAGACCGGTGAGGAAATACAGCGTAATCTGTTTGCAGCTTTGAGAACTTCCGACAAAGAAGAGGTCGAAATCATTTATGTTGAGGGAGTGGAAGAGGAAGAGCATGGATTAGCAATTATGAATAGGTTATCCAAGGCGGCTTCTGAAATATACACTAAATAAGATATGTATGCTTTAATTTATAGAATAGCCCGATTGGATCTAAAACTACATTATGTTTAAAAAGGCGAAAAGAATCAAATTTTACTTATTTATTGTTGGGATTGAAATAGTACAAAAGAGTTGAGTTATAATTCATCATGAGCGTCAGCTTCGGCGGCTGGAGCAGTGGTTTCTGCCTTTTCAGTAGTTTCAGAAATGGTTTCAGCGGCTGCTGTTTCTTTCACTTCTTCTTCGTCTTCTTCGTCGACTAAGGCATCAATTTTTAAAGAACCGCTTTCCTTGATGAAGTTAGCCATGGCTTCCAAAGATCTGGCATCTTCGTAATAGATTGGCTCGGAACCATCAGCTGGGAAGAGAACCAGAGTTGGGTAACCCTTGATATCCACTGACTCGACATCGTTTAAAGTATGGTCGATTTCGGCAATAACGACATCCTTACCTTCGTAAAGGTCAGCAAGTTCTTCATAAATAGGAGCCAGTCTCTTACAGTGACCACACCATGGGGCATAGTACTTGACAAAGACATCCTTGCCAGACTTAACGACCTTCTCGTGCTCAGCACCAACAAGGTGGTAGACAGTTGAGTTTTGAACCTCTGGAATTGGCTCAGACTTTACAATTGGTTCTAGCTTACCGGCCTTGAATTTCTGGACAAATTGTGCGATGGCGTTGTTATCAAGTGGTGTGGATTGGTCGATACCGTACTTCTTGTTGCCTTCAAGGTCATGGACCACAAAAAGTGGGAATTCTTCCTTCATGTTCAAGTTTTGAGCGTGCATACCGAATTGGGAGGCATCTAAACCAACAAAGTTGATTTCACCTCTGTATTTTCTTGCAAGCTTCTTGATAAATGGATCTGCAGCATCGCGTTCTTCCGCAGTGCTGTAGAAGTAGTAGGCTAATGGGATGTTGGCGCTGGTGTAACTCTGGTAAGTAGCACCGGTGATTTCACCAAAGAGAGGCTTGGACTCAACGTCAATGAAATCGATGAGTAACTCGGATTCTTCGTCAATATCCTTGCCCTTGTAGACAGAGGCATCTTCGGCGTCTTCACCGTTTCTGAAAATGACGTATGCTGGTTTCTTGGCAGACTTGGCGTATTCGGCAACGTATTTAGGGTCGGAAGTCGTACCAAAGGTGAAGCTTTCTCTCAATTTGTCAGCAACTTGGTAAAAGGTTTCATTTGAAGAACTCTTCTCCACGCCTTCAGGAAGAACCTGGAGGACCAAAGGCTCGGCAAGCGCTTCCACAGTTTTTTCCAACACGGCGGTGTCATCAAAAACTTGGACAGCAGGCAAGGTCAACTTGACCATGTAGTTGATAATTGAGTCCGATTGTCTTTGGCCTGCGTAATCGGAAGGAGGGGCGGCTTCTCCCTTGAAAACCTTCAGGGTTGGGTAACCTCTGATGTCAAATTGTGCACAGAGGTCTCTGTCCTCAGTACAGTCTATTTGAGCCAACTTGATGTCTGGGTTGGTTTCGACCAGGGAGTCTGCAGCAGACGCAAATTCAGGCCCCAACTTCTTACAGTGGCCACACCATGGCGCAAAAAACTCCGCCAAAACGTATGGGTTGTTGGCAATAAAGTCCTTGAATGTGGCTTCGGTAAGCTTGACGACGGCAGAATCTTCTGGAGCAGTTGCGCCCTCAGCAGAGACTGAGGCGATGTTTGTGATTGCAGCCAGAATAGCGGCAACGGCTTTGATTGAGAATTGCATGGCTTAGAGAATTAGGGGTTCTTGAGCTCCAGACACAGGAAATACACGCAGAGGAGAAGAGGCGGAAGAAGACCGGAGAAGAAGTACGGGAGCCACGCAGAAGGAAGTAGTAGAAGTCCGTCTTACTCAACACGGCGGGCACGGAAGGCAAAGAAGTTGAAAATTCAGGTCGCCAGATCACCGGTACTGGCGAGAGGGCCCAGCGAAAAATACACGTGTCGGGTACAACGTGTTCTTTTCTTTTCCCGAGACGTGTCGTTATAAATGAAAAAGAAACTCCGCGGGGAAAGAGGACGATCGGCCGACAGCCGGTTTTGGGGCGAGCTAGGGCTGCACACAGAGTCACTACAGTCTTTGCCCTCCCGTCAGTGGGAAGTACTGGTTAGAACACTATTGTAGCGGTCTTTCCAGGGGTCAACAGCTGTTCTGGGTGTCTGCTATTGCGGTATATGGATGTTTGAAAGAGATTAAGCATCTTGTTTTTTAAAAAATTTTTGGCTGCAGGTTATCGAGCAAAAAAAAAGATGATTATGTAAGCGCCATTTTCAAGCTAAGAAGTAGCTTGCAGCCAACGCTGGGGGCTTGCAGTATGCATTCTCTTGAAGGTGTTTCAATGTGTAGTACCCGGAGCAGCTTCCAGGGCTCAGCTAGCGCTTTCAGCAAAATCAAAAGCTGAAACCAAACACGAGCCAAAATTTTGACAAAAATTGGAGGGTTGGCCGAGTGGTCTAAGGCGGCAGACTTAAGATCTGTTGGGCGTATGTCCGCGCGAGTTCGAACCTCGCATCCTTCAGAACTTTTTTGCTGTCTATATCGGCGTTAGGCGGAAATAGTTGCAAGTGGCCGGCGGATGGAGTTTACGCGGGGAAATGTAGTCCTGGAGCCTCATGTGTCGAATATTTCCACGTAGTTACGACCGGGGTGCAGACAGGAACTGTCAAAAAGAAACGTGGTAGGGCAGGCGAAGCGGGCACAGAGAACGAGGCTTAAGTAGGGCATCAAGTCCAGCTCGTTGGAGTGCTCTGTGGGTAACAACGTTGCGTGCAAGGTCAAACACTTTCAGGGGTGCCATCTCTCGTGGACATTGTCTAGCCACACAAAGAAGAGGCAAAGCATCCGTTGCGGCAACTGCATCAATCAAAATGGCCACTCGGAACACGGTTCTCGAGGCCGAGTTAGAACCCAGCGTTGAATCGTCGCACCGGAAGCCAAAGTCACCGTCGGGAGTTCCGCTTTCACAGATCTCGCCTAAGATCTTCCCCTTGCCCATGTCGGAGAGCTTCAACCACTGGTGGAAACAGAAAACGCCGCTCAAGGTGCAAGATGAGTTGCTCTCCACTTTGCCTTTCTACCCAGAACCTTCGGCAACTCACTCCTCGGAGGTAATCAGCTTTAAAAGTCCGAACTCGTTGGTGTTCCCAGACATTAACGAATTCCACGTCAAGCCCAGGAACGAGACTGTTGGCGAAGAGAACGCTAAACATTTGGTGATCATCCACGGGTACGGCGCTGGTCTTGGCTTTTTCGAGAAAAACATCGAAAGCTTGGCACAGAAACATCTGCAATGGCACATACATGCCATCGACCTCCCGGGTTACGGTTGCTCCACTAGAGTTGACTTCCCGCATAAGATCCCTTATGAGAACCACAAGACTGTCGAAAAGCTCTTTACCGTACCACTCCGGGATTGGTTTGTTGCACGCGGGCTTAGCGAGAAGAACACTCTGGCCGTTGCGCATTCAATGGGGGGTTACCTTTCCCTCTTGCTGCAGATGAACGAGGTCAGCGGAGAGGGGTTCATCAACAAAGACGAGTACAAAATGTTGAAGAAACGGTTTGGATGTGGCTCGGCGATGGAAGAAGCTTTTCAGAGACAAGAGAAAGAGCTCTCTGGGACCGCTGCTAATCCGAGACAGTTTTGGGACACACTGATTCAGGTTTCCCCAGGAGGAATTTTCCACTCCCGTGCAAAGCAGATAGAAGAAAACACACCCAAGTGGTTCACAAGGCTTTGGAACTGGAATGTGTCACCGTTTTCCTTGGTTAGGTATTCTGGACCGTTGGGCTCTTACTTTGTGAGTGGCTGGTCGAGCCGGAGAATAGCCGTCTCCTCTCTTTTCACCGAGGAGGACGTGAAATTGTTGCATCGGTATTCCTACGCCATTTTCAACGCCAAAGGTAGTGGCGAGTACATGCTGAACTACATCCTTGCGCCAGGAGGTATACCGAGACATCCATTAGTGGAGAGACTTGGGTCCATCGGGAAATATGCCGGTAGAACGCTATGGATGTATGGCGACCACGACTGGATGGACTACAAGGGCGGAGTGTTAGCGTGCGAAGAGTTGAAGGCCGCTGGCTCTCCAGATGCGCATTTGCAGATTGTCGCTGGGGCGGGGCACCATGTGTACCTTGATGCGTTCAGAAGCTTTAACCAGATCGTTTCTAGCGAAATGGCTCGTATGGAGAGCAAGTAGAAATTACACCTTTATAAACATGATGAAATGAATATAAAATGAAATTCATAATTAGAACAATCACTTGTAGCCGCGTATCTAGACTTTGTTATTGGATTAATTAAACTATACATTAAACATCATCACATACACATAAACCCAAACATTTGAAGGGGTAAAGGGAGAGAAAAAACAGATCATGAGAAGGGGAAAACTAACTTTGGAAAAATTAGGGTTTGCAAGACGTGGTGTTTGCCTCATTATCATCATATAGCTTGTCAACTTCCTCCTTGGCGCTTGCCAAAATCTTTTTTCTTTGTAACTTCTGAGCGGATGTAACAAATCCCGATTCAGGGGTCCATTCTTCATCAACAAGGACAATACCCAAGATGAGTTCAATACCAGTTAAGCCACCTGTCTTACCTGTTTCAAGAATGCTCTTTGTCAATTCACGGCGGAGCTTCTTGTCATGCAAGTAGTGAGCAATTTCGACGTCATCGGCCTTCTTTGCCTTTTTGTCGAGACCTAAGTCGAAGATTAGCTCCTTGACTTGGGCTTCATTTGGTAAAACAATACCGACGGGTTTGACCTTGTTTTCATCAGCATAACAACAGATGTTTAAGACATATTTGTTGGACCGATAGATAGACTCTAATTTCTCTAGCGCAATGTATTCACCATTTTGAGTCTTGACCAAATTTTTCCGACGGTCGATTATCTTCAAAGCACCAGAAGAAGTCCATTCACCAATATCCCCTGTGCTGAACCAACCCTTTTCGTATTCAAAGGCCTTCTTCGTCTCTTCAGGGTTTTTGTAGTATTCTTTCATGACTGGCAAACCAGAGATTAAAACTTCACCTTGGTCATTCTTGGCGTAATAGCCTGCCTCTGGAACGTCAACTAATTTGACGGTGACAGACGCAACCAATGAACCTGCAACATCGTATTCGTACAGTTCTGGGGTCAAAACACAAGTGTTAGCACAAGTTTCAGTCAAACCGTAACCAATCAACATTTTTGCGATTGTGTTGGTGATGAATCTTTGAGTTTCGGAGTTAATTGGAGAACCACCGTTAAGCACTAAACGCAACTGACCACCTGTAGCTTGCTTGATTTTTTTGAAAATCAAAGTGTCAATCAATGAAGGCACAAAAGGAATGTAATACTTTTTGGATGCAATTTTGGCATTGTATGCCGCCCAGAAGACCTTCTGGGTTGTAGAAGGTTGCTTTTCGATCTGGGAAATGATACCTTTCTTGACCGCCTCCCAAACTGCAGCAACACCGACCATAATGGTTGGCTTGAAGCACTTCATGTCACCTTCACAGTTTCTACAAGAGGCGTCGGTCAAGGTCTTGACGTTCGCATACCCAGCAATACCACCCCAGTAAAAGACAAGCATTTCAAAGACCAGTTCAAAAATGTGAGCCAAAGGCAAGAAAGCGATGACTCTATCTCTTGTGCCGATCAAAGTGTCTGGGATGTTACCACCGACACCTCCAATAGCGGCTACGACGTTTTCGTGGGACAAGACAACACCCTTTGGAACACCGGTAGAGCCTGAGGTGTACATGATACAGGAGAGGTCTTCAGGTTTTGGGGGATGGACATCGATAGTGGCGTCGTTATCCTGGCCGAGTTTGATGACTTCATTTAGGGAGTAGAACTTGATTTCTGGTCTGATTTTCTTGATTTCCTCGATGGCCTTCACGGCGTTCTTGTAGAGGGAGCCGTCACTTCTCTTGTCGTTTGGGTCGAGGTTTTCGGAGTGGATGATGTACTTAACCTCTGTTGCCTTCTTGAGCGGGTTGATTAGCTTCACCAACAAGTCGTTGTCGGTGAAGATGGTCGTGGAGCCCGTCTGGACAAAGGAGTGGGTCAAGCCCTCCTCCCCGAGAGAGTCGTATGCGGTGACGACTGGTATGCTCTGGGTCTGCGCAGCGAGAAAAGTTCTCATCCAGTAAGGCGAGGTGGAGGCGAAGAGGTGCAACTTGTTTTCCGCAGAGGGGCTCAGGCCGATCTTGAGCAGACCCTTTCCGTAGTAGTTGATAGTCTTCTGCAACTCGCCGAAGCTGATGTACTGGTAGTCGGACTTCTCGTAGAAAAACCATTTCTTGTCGACGGACACCTTTTCGCCGTCGATAATCTTGGTGACCTTCTTGGTCTCGACGTGGATGTCGATCAAGTCTCTCCAGCCCTGGCAGGGTCTGTTTTTCCCGTGCTTGGAAACGGCCTCGTTGAAGAACTCGTAGACGGTGGAGCACGAGTAGCCCTTTGGCTTGGTCACGGCGGCGTTCTTAAACTTGTAGTTTCTTCTTGGCGCCGTTTCGCCCGGTTTTGCCTCTCCGACAGGCACATTCATTAAAACCATTCTGTGTGTTGTATGGGGGTCTGTCTATTTTTCTCTTGCGGAAGTAGTGGCTGTCGTTGTTTTAGCACTTGTGTTGTTGTGTTTGGTGTGTGTACGCTATAGCGATGTAGCTTGCGGGTCTTGCCTTCGTCTGCGGGTTTGTTTATCCTTAGATAGGCGATACGAGAAGAAAACAGTACAGTGTGTGGCAAAAAAAGCGATATGTAAGCCGGACAATCCCACGGGATGAATATGATCAAGTAGCAGCGGTAGTGGCACAGACTGGCGTGAGCTTAGATAATGGCAAAGCCCAGAAACTCCCTCCCTCCCTACCAAGAAAACGTCCCCTCCTACGAGGAGAGGAAAAGCCCAACTTTTTTCCATCTTCTGACCGTGGCGGAGGCTGACGTCTTAGCCGTACCTGGCAAAAGCCGAGCCGGACGGGGCGGGGGTTGTCACCGGGCGGTCACTGGCGGGGACGGACTTGCAGAGTGGCACCGCCGGTGGAGGCGGGGAGGGGGAGGTGGCTACGTGCTCCGGCCGGCTTGGAGCGCCCAAAGGGCCCTTTCCCGGGGGGCAAGGGGGGCAGATGTGCAGGGACAGGAAGGGCGCCGCCGGCACGCCGCCGGGCGAAGCGGAGAAGCAGAGAAGACGAAGGTTTGCGGCCGCCGGCCTTCAGCAGGAACATAGCAGTAGAGCGAAGGTAGCCCCCCGCCGCCGCCGGCAGCGAGCAGGCAGGCGACAGCAGGAAATCGGAAGAAGCGACATCCAAGCAAGCGGCGGGGCGCCCCGAATGGGGCCAAGCGTTGTTGGGCAAGTGGCGAGTGCTTGGCGGCGGTTTTGTTGGGTCGTCGCGGACTTAAGCGGACAGCCGTTACGCGCTAGTCACTCGCTTAGGCGGGTGCATGAGTGCCGCGGCGGCAGCCGGTTTAAACCGCAAATCTGCGATGGCCCCCGGCGGCATGACGAAAAAAAGGCAGAAGCGTAAAAGGCTGCTTGAATCCCGAGCGGGTCACGTGATGTGGCACGTGAGCTGTGGTTGGGAGCGCGACTGGAGAACTGTCGCGGCGCGACACCTAGGAGTGTGGTGTCCGAAAACGGGGAAAAGGGAAAAAGGGGAACAGGGAAAAAAAGCCAAAAAGAGAAAGAGGGAAAAGGGAGAAAAAGTCAGGGTCAGCCGCCTCTCCGCCGAGTTGTGTGGTGCGGTGGCGCTGAGGCAGAGAGGGGGGATCTGGCTGCGCTGGCTGACTGGCAGGCTGAGGTTTTCTCTTGTGGCAAAATCCTGTCTGCCTGTGCCATTCCATGGTGCCACGACCAACACCAGGACTAACCAATACAGCCATCTTTCACCTCTACAACCGCTTGCTACTCCCCCGACTCTACGCTACACAACCCCTGTTCACACGGCCCTCCACCGCACGACTACCGCCTCCGTTTCGTTCCTCTTTCCTCTGGTGAACCATGGGAAACTCGCCCAGCAGAAACGATCTAAACTCATGTAACAACTCCTCCTCCGGCACCAACAATGACAGCACCAACAACAACACGTCCGCGGGCGCCACCTCGGCGCTCTCGGACGACCCCGACCCCTTGCCCATACATCCGACCAAAAGTCACCCCAGCAGCATCCCAAACATCCCGGTGAAGAATCGTGCCCTTTCTTCCACCCCCGCATCCTCGCATGCCCTGTTAGGCCTCAGCAACTCCTCAGATGACGACGGCGGCGATACCGTTTCAGCAAACTCCTGCTTCACCCCCGTCTCCCTCTCCTCCATCTCCTCAGCTTCAAACAACAACAGCGGTGGCGTCGCCCTCAAGAACGTCCCTAAGTCCTTGTACTCGATCAAGGAGATCGCCCACTCGTCTTCCTTCTCGTCCTCGTCTGCCTCCCCGACTCCTTCGACCTCTCCTTCTTCAACAAACTCAAATGAACTTCCGTTCCAAATGGAGATCAACAAGTCTCCGCTGATCAACGCCTCGTTGTCAGCAACACCCCCAAAAGTATCTCTAGACCCGAAAATCAAACACCCTCCCCCGTCGAAGTCTTCTGCTACAACTACAACTACCAAACCATCCAAATCATCCACAACAAACATTGATCTAGACTCAATAATTGAGCACTTAGTCGCCGCTGGTCTTTCAAAACAAAACCCGAAAACCTTCAACTTGACCAACGACGAAATCAAGTTCATTTGTGCAAAATCCCGCAGAATCTTCATGTCTCAGCCAATGTTGTTGGAGTTGGCTGCACCAGTTAAAATTGTGGGTGACATTCATGGCCAATTCCAAGACCTACTCAGAATCTTCAAGCTATGTGGCTTCCCCCCAAACTCAAACTACCTCTTTCTGGGCGATTACGTCGATAGAGGTAAGCAAAGTTTGGAGACAATGGTCCTTCTTCTATGCTTGAAAATCAGGTACCCTGAAAATTTTTTTCTCTTGAGAGGTAATCATGAATCCGCAGACATTACCAAAATGTATGGATTTTACGATGAATGTAAAAGAAGAACCTCAAATGGTGTTCGAACCTGGAAACTTTTTGTCGACGTCTTCAACACATTACCTGTGGCCGCCACAATAGCAGACAAAATTTTCTGTGTTCATGGCGGACTTTCTCCAGAGTTGAAAGATTTGAGCCAAATCAAGAAAATCCAGAGGCCGACAGATATACCAGATGAAGGGCTATTGGCAGATCTTTTATGGTCGGACCCGCAAGATATCTCTGATAAATCAAGCTCCAAGAAGGATAAAGATCTCAAGCCCAAATCAAAATCAAAATCAAGGACGAAGTTCACCAACGATTGGAAGCAAAATGACAGAGGTGTTTCGTACTGTTTCAGTGAAAACGTTGTCAAAAAGTTTTGTGCTAACCTCGATTTTGATTTGATTGCTCGTGGTCATATGGTTGTCGAAGAGGGCTATGAATTTTATGGTCATAGACGACTTGTCACAATCTTCTCTGCTCCCAATTATTGTGGTGAATTCCGAAATTGGGGGGCAGTCATGAACGTGAACAAAAAACTGATGTGCAGTTTCGAGTTGTTGAAGCCGAAGAAAGGGAAAAAATGATTTTCTTGAGAACTCAGCGGACCTATACTTACCCACCTACCTTATACACTATCATCACCGTCATCATCATTTGACTAATTAACGAACTAACAGGCAAACAAACAATTATACCATTTTTCATATATTAGACTTATTCTAATTATGAATGCTTAAAATTCCTTTTCTATTTTCTTGGTGGTTCTAAATTATGATACAAATCATAAAAATTTATTTATTCAGCTCGTCATACATCATCATTTGATATGATCGAACTGCTGGCTGGTGTGTTTTCCGTTTCTTTTTTCTTTTTTGCCTTTATTTGCCTTTTCTCCTATTTTAAAGGAATGCTCTACATGTTTACGATTTTAACGTATTATTTCTTTTTTGCTTTATACAGATTAATTATATAATGCCTTTATAAAGACTAAAGATCTGACGAGTTTATCACAAATTTTGGACAAAACAAATCTAAGCAGCAGGCTATTGCTGGATAATGCTTATGTAAGGCAAGTTTACCTTCCCGAAAGTTTGTTTATATAATAGCCAAAGTTTTCAAAAAAGAAATTGATAAGGAAAGCAAAAAAAGTATGGTTTGGATTATGTAAGCTTTGTACATAAGAAAATAGAAAAGTCCAAATATTTTTTTTCAACAAAAGCCTGGTTAGCTCAATCGGTAGAGCGTTTGACTCTTAATTTGATAGCAATCAAAAGGCTGCGGGTTCGAGCCCCGCATCGGGCTTTCTTTTTTAGTGTTTTTTTCTATTTGTAGGTTTTAGAGTTAGATATAAATATTTTTTCCTCTATTATGAGTTGATCCAGGGGTATGAATGGGACTAATAAATCAACTATAAAGCCAACCTAATCAAAAATTATAAATATATATAAATACAAACTGTACGTGACTGTGACCCACTGACCTGTGGTTTCTCCTTTGTATTAAAAAGTTTTGAAATTTACTTTTCTTTCTGATAGAATAATTGTTTTGTTTTTTAAAATGCAGGTAAGTGCTGATGTTTTTTCAATGAATGACATGCTGCTTTTTTCGTGGTTTCATTTGGTGTTATTAGCAACCCATTTCTCAAATCATTGGCCAATTGAATTATATTTTCTCCAGACTTCATTTGAATTGCATTCGTAGCAGAAGATTGGACGGTTTCACTTCTCTGGACAGGGATTTCCAATAGATCGTCGGTGCTCGTGTCATCAACTTCGTCTACAACAACCATTTTATCACCATCCTCAGCATCAGATTTGTTGACACTACTTTCATCATCTTCAGCATTACTGATAGCGTGTGTATGTGTATCATCTTCGTGATCATCCGATGAATTCTCTCCATCAATATGAACAAAGCAACCTTCCTTGTTTTCCTCGGAAACACACATTTCCCAGCTCTGGAATGTATCATCTGAGAAAAGATCGTATAACCCCCATCTCGTTTCGGGACGAGGATCTGTGAGACGCCAAGCTATACGTGCAACTTGAGGTGAGGGGAATTTCTTGGCATATCTGTATTCAGGACCTGGGGATGGGATCTTGTTTAAACCAAAAATGTTCAGCTGGGAGGTCGAAGGAGCTACAGAATTTGAAACCGATAGCTTAGGATGGTCATTTAAAGCTACCGAAGAAGCTCTTGTTAGATCTGAACTAGAGGTTGAGCTTGACTTAGGCCTGATAGTTCCCTTACCGTTTTCGGTGCCATTGTTGACATGAGAAAGAAGAGTGTTATCAGTTGCAGAAGGGGCAGAGCCAGCCGATGGCAAGGGAACATTGGAGGAGCGTGCGATAGCAGCAGAGGAAGGAACAGTGTGATTTTGGATGGAAGGAATTCTCGAGATGCTGGCGGAGTTAGCATTGGAGCCGACTCCATTTCTAGGCTCCAAAACAGGTGTACCTTTTGGAGTTATCTGTGGAGATGAGCCAACCAAGTTAGGAACCAATTTATCCTTTCTGAATGCTGAATGACGCGAGGAAAATTGATCATAAGACATGTCATAGTCTCTAAACTCCTGGCATTTTTTATCTGACTCAGGAAAAGGGACGTTCTGGTAAAACATCACAAAAAGGATGATTCCCAAGGACCAGTAATCCATGAGGAAAGGGTTGTAAGGAGTACGTTTGGTACGGTCGACACCGTTGAGAGACTGGACCTCGGGCGGTTGATAAGGTGGGGAGCCCACCAATTGGACAGTCATGGCGATAGGTGAGTGGAAATTACCCGGAGTTTCGTGTCCATATTCGGAGACACCAAAATCGGTCAACTTAACTATTCCGTTTTGGTCTACTAGAACATTTTCTGGCTTGAGATCTCTGTGGACGACGTCGTGGTCGTGCATGAACTTCAATCCAAATACGATCTGCTTGAAGAGACAAAGCTTTTCAGACGATTTGGAGGTGAGCCAGGATTTTTTCTCAATCAAGGAGAACAAGTCTGTGCGGCAGAGTTCCAACACCAATCCCCACCCGCCTGATATGTCTTGCGGGAAGGGTATGTGGGGGATCCTCACCAAAGACACGCAGTTAACAATGTGGAAGCCTGCAGAGATGTTTTTGTGGGTGATAAACTCCTTGGCTGCTCTCTCGTAGAACTCTTCGGGCTTCTCGCCCTTGAACAAAATCAGCTTTTTGAGAGCGTAGAACTCCTTCGAGCTGCCCCTCTTGTTGATCTTCTTGATCGAGGCCGAGGCGCCCGTGCCGATGTTCTTCTCGTTCGGAGTCAACTGGTACGTGTCGGTCAAGAGCGGGTCGTCGACCCTGAAGTTTTCGGGCAAGTACTCGTTTGGGTCGGAAATTGGCTTGGGCAACTCGTTCGAAGCGTCCTCGACGGCGCCGTCGATGGTGAACGTGCGTAGCGGGGACTTCGCCTTAGCGTTGCCTCCTGGGGCGATGTTGTTCAGGCCGTACGGGTTGTATGTCATTTTCTTCTGCACTTTCGGAACATCGTCGATGGAAGGAAGGCCTACCTTGGCCTCAGCCAGCGACTTCTTAATCTCCTCTTTGGACAACGGAGTCTGCGGGGTCTGCGGGGTCTCTGTGCCGGGGCGGGGGGACTCCTGCTCCTTGTCCATGTGGAGGTGGCGGCGGATGCTGTGCGAGTTGCTGAGGGACGCCGACGACTTCGACAACTTGGGCGACTTCGACGCAGGGTCGGCCTTGGCCTGGGTCTTCAAGGCAGGGAGCTTAGTGTGGGACGCCGACCGTGAGGAGGGGGCGGATGCCGACGCCGACCCGGACGCAGAGGAGGACCCGCTGTTTCTGTGGGTGACGTGCTCCTTGAGCTTGCTCAAGAAGCGGTGGTGTCCGTCGTCCTCCTTCTTTGCGGCGGCTTTGCTCTTGGTGTCTCTGTCTTTGTTCAGAAGCGGCATGGATGTTGTGCACAAACGGCGGAGGTGACGTCAATGGGCAGGGTGGTCGCTGGGGGCGGGGTTGCTAGGAGGGAAGGGTGCAGCAACAGCGGTGGACAACACTAGAGGGACACACGGGGCACACTTCACGGGCGGTGGGAGCTGTGGTGGTGGCGACGGAGACCGTCACCAGGCTCTTGTGCTGTGCAAGCCCTGCACTGTCTGCTTCCTTCTCCACGGCCAGTTGTCTCGTCCCATAGCGTGTTCCTCGCAGCTGCAGCGGCCGCGCCGCCGCATCGGACAGCCCCCGCCGGTGAGGCTGGGACGGAGAAGAGCCGGCGGAGATGCACGAGAACGCCGGAGAACGGTGGGGACGGCTACGTGGCGACGGGGTTACTTGTTTAGTTCGTGTTCGTGTCCAACGGACGGGTGTCTGCTTGCTACACAGAACGGCGGGGGGCGTGCAGCGCCAGCGGCGCCGCAGGCGCCGGAAACGGGGACGGACGCACTCCCGCTGGGGCCGTCTATGTGCCCTTCTTCAAGCTGTTCAAGCGGGCCTGGAGCTCGTCCTCGTCGCCCACGCCGGCGCTGCCGGCATCGCCAAGCGCCACGGCCGCACGGGCCGGGGCGTGTGCCTCCGCCGCAGCCACGGCGCCCGGCGACGTCTTGCTCACGGACAAGTCGCCGAGCTTGTCGTTGAGGCCCACCCCGAGCTCGTCCAACACCTGCCCGACCACCTGGTCGATCTCCTCCTCGTCCTCGTCGTCGATCTCGTCGTCCATCAGATCGTCCATCACGTCGTCCACCATCTCCTGCTTCTGGTCCATCATGTCCATGCTGCGCTGGAAGTCGTTCGAGATCTTGCTCAACTGCGACAGGTTCAACTGCCCGGCGTTGAGCCCGCTCAAGATCCGCGTGGCGCTCGCCATCGAGTTCGTCATCTCGTTCGAGCTCCGGATCGTCTGCAACCGCAGCGAGATCGCCTGCATTTGCATCTTCATCTTCTCGAACTTCGTGATCTGCTTCCGCGTCCGGATCAAGTCCCTCGCCTGGATGTTCATCGTCTTCGTCTGGCCCTGTTTCGCAGACTTCTTGATCTCTGCCACAAGCTTCTTCTCCTGCTGCTGCAGCTTCACCCGTTCTCGATCAAGCTCTCTCTGCGTCCGTTCAAGCTGTCTCTGGTTCTTCCGTAACTGTTCCTGCGGCGTCAGCCGCTTCCCGAACATCCACTGGAACATTGTTGCTGCTCCTTTCCTTTCTTCCTGCTCCCTTCTTGTCGCCTTCTTGCTCCATTCTCTTCTCTGACCCCGTTCTTTTCCTATTCTGCTGCCCCCCGTCCTTTATCGCCCCCCCAGAACCAGCAGAGCCTCAACTCGGTGGCCGCGGAAAAGGGGATTTTACGCCGATCGGCCGCTTGCACTTTTTTCCGCGGCCTTGAGCTTGCCAGGTGTGTGGAAAAAAACGGGCAACATGAATCGAAAAGGGCACGGAATGAGGAGGGAGTAGAAAGAAGAAGAGGAAGAGAAAGGAGAAAAGAGGGAGATAGAGAAAGCGAGGCAAGCGGCAGCACCACAACACAGAGAACCAGCAGCAGCAGACGATGTTGTACGAACTGATTGCGATTGCACGGGTGTCGAACCCGCTGCAGGTGCACACGGAGGCCAAGGCGTTGGCGTCCACCATCGGAAAACTAGTGATCAACAACAAGGGCGTGGTCCGGGAGGTTCAGTCGCTCGGGTGCCGGCCGCTCCCGAAGATCATGACGAAGGCCGGCGAGCAGCACTTCCAGGGGTCGCACTTTCTCATGCTGTTCGACTCGTCGAGTGCGGTGCAGAGAGAAATCATCCGGTCGTTGAAAAACGACCCGAGAGTGATCCGGGTCAACCTGCTCAGGGTCGACGACAAGACGAACCTCAACCCGGGGAGCTCGTACGCGAGAGCGGTGCAGTCCATGTCGCAGTCGAGCTAGCGGGAGCGCCTGCACCGGCGCCCGCCACTGTATATAAAACGTGTATCAAAGTAGCCACTGCCTAATACATACATACACACTCCTCCTACATGATAATGCCTGTGCGGGCTCGTCAGGCCGCCCCCGGCGGGTGGGCCGGCCAGGTGGACTTGGCGAGCACCGAGGACGACAGCTGGTTCAGCAACGACGAAGACGTCGGACGTGGGGCGCTCAGCTGCGAGTCCAGCACGGCCTCCTGCCTGCGTATCCCCCGCTCCCGCTCCAGAAGCTCGTTCTTGCTGCGGTCGTCGAAGGACATCTGGTCAAGCCGCACCGCAACAGTGGCGTTTGTGAGCAGGTTGCCGTTCTCTACGACGGTCTCCTTGGCCCGGCCCCCGGGGAGGTTCTCTTTGTTCACGTAGATCGGCTCCTTCAGCTGCGGCTGGTAGAACGCGTTCAAGATCGAGGGTTTGAAGTACGACGAGAAGTACGATCCTTCTTCTTTCGGCTGCTCTTGCTCCTGCTCCTCTGGTTCTGCTGGCCCGTGCTGGCTTTCCTGAGGTTTCCAGTCTTCTTTGGTATCTGTGCTTGTGGTGTCGGCCTTGCTGGCACTGGTTTCCTTCCTTGCTTCCGGCTTGGCCCTCGCTGGAGCCTGCCTGTTGAACGCTTGAATCAGCTCCGGTATGTGTTCTGTTATTTTCGTGCGGATCAAATCATTATCGTCGTGAAATATCTCTTTGGCACTGATGTGTGCTACTGTGACTTCTTTCTTCGCATCGCCGTAGATGCCCCACTCTGAGTTGACCAACGTCGTATCAGTGTTGAGGCCAGAGTCGTTGCTCAAGCCGCTGTTTTCCACAATCGGGGAAGAATCTATCTCTACCATTTCAGGAGAAAAATCGTGCAATGAGGGAGATCTGGAACCATAACCATCCCCGTCACCATCACCATCACCTTTGTGCTCCGCTTCTTGTTCCTGCCGCCTGTCGGAGCGAGTTTCTCCGCCCTGGGGCTTCTTTTCCTTGCTCGCAGCCATAGAGGTGTTCTGCTTCATACTTTCAAACATTTTCTCGACATCTCCTATGATAGCAACAGACTCCCATAACACCACTGTGTCGTTGTGTGCAACAGCCATGTTCAACTGGTTCAACAAATTGTTGACAAACGTTGTGTAGTTCTGGACCACGTCTTTGTCTATGATGTACGGATCCGAGGTGACCAGCTTCTTCAATTCGGATCCTATGATTGTCAGTTTGGCCCTGGAATAACCCACCGTGACCTGTTCATCGAGATGCTTACCCAGCTTGACTATACGCATTGTCAATTCTATTAATATCGTTCCGGCATCTGTGATGACTTTTGCAGGACTGGTGGAAGACAGATGCCTTGCTCTGAAAATGCTCGAATCTATTCCTTCCTTCTGCTGCGAGAGCAAATCCCTTAGTTTTACCGACTTATCTAATACCCTTCTTGCCAGCTTCCGGCGAATTGAGTCGCTCTTCTCGCTACCCGCTGCTGAAGAAGTCGAATAAGAAGAGGACGAAGATGTTTTATGCAATTGACTATTTACCTCGAGCGTGAAGTCCAAAGTGTGAAACTCCCATTGATCTAACTGCGTCTCGATTTTTTCCAAATTTCGAAGCACCGTCAATGAGTCAATGCACCACTTCTTCAACTCCATGTCTGTTATGTCGTCTATGTACTCATATAGTGTTTCCGACAGCTGCTTGTCTCTGTTCAAATCCGAGGAGTGAAGTAGCGTCATTAGTGGGTCGGCATATGTCGACACCGTCGAGGACGATTTGGCCTTGTTTTTCGAAGACCTTGCATTTGAGACCATCGCTTTAAGACCTCTAAATTGTGTTCTGCCTTTTGCAATTCTGCGCCGTTTCTCCGATGCTCTACCCGCTGACGCCAGCTGCCCTGCCATTCTTCTCCTGATGATCCGATGCAGAAGCTGGGGAAACCGAGTGATGTAAACTTTCTAGTGGGATGTGTCTCTATTGAGACGATGTGGCGGGTGAGGCGAGGCGGGTGTGGCGGGTGTGCGGAGAAGGCCTACGCAGACGGCGTGAGAGAGAAGGAATGGCCAAGAACACGGGCAGGGGCACGGTTAAGGATTCGTATGGAACGAAAGGACGGAGAGCTGGTAGCAACGATAAGTGACAATCAAAAAAACACGAGCACATTATTCAGAAAATGGCTGACGGAAGGGAAATCAAGGACCCAGTTGCGGAAACTAAGACGGAAGAAACTTCTGTTGCTGCTGATGCTGCTGCAACAGATGGTGGTGAAAAGAGAAAGGCCACCGAAGCCGCCGGCGGCGATGGCGACGCCGAGAAGCCGAAGAAGAAGAAGAAGAGCAAGCACGGTAGACACTCAAGGTACGACGACTTGGAAGAGCCAAAGACGGACTCGGACGACACCGACGAGGAGAAAGAGGAGATTGACGATGAAAAGTTGATTGTGGAGGACGAAGAGGAGGACGATCTTGCCGAGATTGACACCACGAACATCATCACGCAGGGGAGAAGAACTAGGGGGAAGGTGATTGACTACACGAAAGTTGAGGCGGAGATGAGAGAGGCGAAGAAGGACAGTGGCGAGAAGGACGAGGAAGACGAGGAGGACGAGGACGAAGACTTCAAGGAGAAGGAGGAGAAGAAGTAGAAGTGTCTTTCTCTCATGTATTTCTAAAAACGATTGTATTTGTCGGACCATTTTATATCGAACTTTGAAGAAAAAAAAAGAACCACTTGGATTTGCCACGAAAATCAATCTGTGCTGGTAGATTAATTGATAAAAGCTTATTTCTGAAAATACAAAGAGTATATGTATGAAGGGATGTATGTATAGAGGAGAAAGAGGAGGGAGGGAGGGGAAGAAAAAAAACACAAGCAGAGTAACTTTTCCATTTTTTCTTCCTTCTGTTTCGACACTAGTGTACAAATCGGCTTGCTTAACAGCAGTTCGAGTTCTTCGAGACCTTCTGGTCCTTTGGAGCAGGAGTTAATTGGATAGTCTTTCCCTTTGCAACATCATTGCCGTTGGCGCCGTTTTCGTCGTTGATGTCGAACTTGGTCTTCGATACCATCTCGTAGATGTTCTGCACCAATTGTATGAACGTGAAATCAACATTGTCTGCGTTCAGCGCAGAGGTCTCGGTAAACAACAAGCTGTGTTCGGTAGCAAAGCTTTGTGCCTCGTCGGTGGGGACGGCTCTCAGGTGACTCAAATCGCTCTTGTTACCAACTAGCGCTATCACCATGTTCGAGTCTGCGTTGTCCTTCATCTCTTTTAGCCATTTGGATACATTTTCGTACGAGTCAGAGTTCGTGATGTCGTACACCACCAATGCGCCTGCTGCACCTCTATAGTAGGCCGCGGTGATCGCACGATAACGCTCTTGGCCAGCAGTGTCCCAAATCTGGGCCTTGATCTTCTTGCCGTCGATCTCAAGCGTGCGGGTGGCAAACTCCACACCAATGGTGGCCTTGGAATCTGGATTGAACTCGTTTCTGGTGAACCTCGAGAGCAAGTTCGTTTTACCTACAGAGGAGTCTCCGATAAGCACAATCTTGAATAGAAATTCGTAGTCGTAGCCGTATTCGTCTGCCTTCGACATGTTTGGATCTGGATCGTCTGTCGCTGTTCGTTCGCTTGCTGCTTTCTGTGTCTCGTTGCTGGATCACAAATGCGGGTATCAATCTATCTGTCTACCTATCTCTTACTCTATCTGCTGAGTGGTCTGTGGGCGGAATCTTAAAGAGGACAGTCGGCTGCAGAACGGGCTATTGAATTCCTAATTGGCAGGAGGTCTGTAAGAAGTCCTGTTGTGGTTTGCAAAGAGGGATGAAACGGGGTAACGGGAGCAGCGGCCAAAACTCTCTCTGTGCTGCGATCAACGGCTCCTTCTTTTTAAGCACGGGGGAAACATGCCAGTTGGCTGAGAACCGCCAGGATGGCCACAAGATGCGACTTTGTTTTGTTTCCCTAGCCAGGCAGCGAGGAGGGACACCGTCACGACAGGGGAGCGTGTTGTACCAACTAGAAAAGAGGAAAACATCCGTGCACCCCGTACCGCCAAAGGGAAAAAACCAGACATTACGTCAGCACCGTTACGTAATCAGTTTTTTCCCCTTTTTCGCGACGCGTTTTGCCGGAGAACAGGGAAATGGCAGAGGCAGAGGCAGAGAGGCAGGGGACGCAGTAGTGAAGCAGAGGAGCCGAGAGAACGTCTCGGGAGGATGGCGGCAGAAGAAGCAGACGCCACTGAAGAAGGAAAAGAAGGCAGCAGAGGCAAGGATAGAACAGGGCCAGACTACCGGAGGGCCTGCTGTTTGCTGCTTACGCACACAACCACACAAGCACTACCACCGCACCCAATGTCGGACATTGCCATCGACCCGGCGCTTTTCAGAAGAAGGTTGCATTTGATCCAGAAGAACATCTTCTCCAATGAATCGTTCCAGAAGGTAAACGGGCTGCTCATTGTCGTGGGCTCGTCAGACGACTCGAACCCGTACCAGAAGTCCACTGTCATGCACACGTGGCTTTTGGGGTACGAGTTTCCCGCCACAGCCATCTACATCACGAACAAGAAGATCTATTTTGTCACGTCGGTTTCCAAGGCAAAGTATTTGCAGCCTTTGGTCAGTTCAGCCAGCAGCAGCAACAACATTGTGATTTTCTCGAGAAACAAGGACCCGGAGCACAACAAGAATCAGTTTGAAAAGTTCTTCAAGGAGGTGGAGAACACCATTTCGGAAGGCAACAACTCAGTCGGGGTTCTTTCGAAGGACAAGTACCAGGGAAAATTCATCAACGAGTGGAACCCGCTGTGGGACGAACACAAGGCGAAGTTTGACTTGAAAGACGTTTCTCTCGGCGTCTCGGAAACTCTCGAGTTCAAAGACGAGGAGGAGCAGAGAAACCTCAGAACCGCAGCAAGGACCTCTGTCAACATGATGAGCTTCTTCACCGATGAGATGTCCAAGATTGTCGATGAGGACCTGAACGTTTCCAACTCGAAGCTGGTGGACAAGATTGAGAATAAAATTGACGATGCCAAGTTCTTCAAAAGCATCGAAACGAACAAGGCGATGAAAAAGCTAGGCAAGGACTTCGATCTGAACAACCTAGACTGGTGCTACAAGCCCATTGTCCAGTCCAACGGTAAGTACGAGTTGAAATTCTCTGTCGAATCGACCAACGACAAGCTTTCTGGACCCGTTATTATGGCTTCGTTGGGCTTGAGATACAGCAACTATTGCTCATCTTTGTCTAGAACATTCCTCATTGCCCCTTCAAAGGAAATGGAAAAAAACTACGAGTTCTTGTTTTCCCTGCAAGAACACCTTTTTGCGACCTTGAAAGACGGTGCCAAGTTCAGCGATGTTTATGGTGAAGCCGTACAATTTATCGAGCAAAACCGTCCAGAGTTGAAAAATCATTTTGTGAAAAACATTGGTTCCCTAATAGGTATAGACTTTAGAGATACTGCAGGTGTGATTAACGCCAAGAACGACAGAGTATTCAAGGAAAATTCTGTTGTCAACTTGGTGTTGGGCTTCAGCAATCTCGAAGATTCAGAAAAAGGTCAATATGCTCTTTTACTCTCGGATACAGTTAGAATCACGGGCTCAGAGCCAATTATTCTTACCGAGTCCCCGAAATTGAAGAAAGAAATTGCCTTTTATTTTGACGAGAACGACAACATCAAGGAAGAGGGAGAACTCGAGGCCAGTGGTTCCAAAATCAAGTCAGAAAAATCGACCGACTCAAAATCATCTAAATCCTCAAAATCTTCATCCACAAAGGTGAAAAATGAACCTTCTGTGAAAACTGAAAACTTTGGTAATACACGTGTTTTGAAGGCAAAACGTAGATCAGAACAGAACAATGCAGAAGAAGGTCAAATACAGATACATAAAGAAATTCAGTCCGAACTTCATTCTAAAAGGCAAAAAGAGGGCTTAGAACGTTTCAATCCCGAGGATGCTAAAGACGGCAGCGAACAACGTGCCATTTTCAAAAGATATGAATCCTACGTCCGTGAATCCCAGATTCCAAACAATGTCAAAGATCTCAAGATCCACATCGATTCAAAAAATCAAACTATTATACTTCCAATAATGGGCCGTCCTGTTCCTTTCCATATAAACTCTTACAAGAACGGTTCGAAAATTGAAGAAGGAGACTATACTCATCTGCGTTTGAACTTCAACTCTCCGGGTTTGATGATCACCAAGCGTGAAGAATTGCCATACGAATCAGGTGAAGATAAACAGTTTATACGTAGTTTGACTTTCCGTTCTAAAGATGGTGCTCGTATGACTGAAGTTTTGAAAAGAATCAGCGAAATGAAGAAATCAGCTGTCAAGCGTGAATCTGAAAAACGTGAAAGAGCAGATGTTGTTTCTCAGGCATCACTTATTGAAGTTAACAGACCTAAAAGATTGGATAATGTTTTTGTTCGTCCAACACCAGACACCAAGCGTTTCCCCGGGTTTGTCACTATCCATCAAAATGGTATTCGTTACCAATCACTAACCAGAGATCAAAGAGTTGATGTTCTTTTCAGTAATATAAAGCACCTCTTCTTCCAGTCTTGTAAAGGTGAATTGCTTGTCATCATCCATGCACATTTACGTACTCCAATAATGATTGGTAAGAAGAAGACATATGATGTCCAGCTTTACCGTGAAGCAACTGACATGTCTATTGATGAGACAGGTAATAGAAAACGTAAATATCGTTATGGCGATGAAGACGAACTTGAACAAGAACAAGAGGAGAGACGTCGTCGGGCTATGTTAGACAAAGAATTTCGTGCCTTTGCTGAAGCTATAGCTGATACATCCGGCGGTCTGGTTGACTTGGATATTCCTTTCAGAGAATTAGGATTTCAAGGTGTTCCAAGTCGTTCTGCAGTGGTTTGCTTACCTACGCGTGACTGTCTTGTTCAACTCGTTGATTTGCCATTTTTGGTTATCACACTTGAAGAAGTCGAAATTGCTCACCTTGAACGTGTGCAGTTTGGGTTGAAGAACTTTGATATGGTATTTGTATTCAAAGATTTTTCACGCCCTGTTGTACATATAAGTACAATCCCGATGGAAACATTGGAAGATGTGAAAGCTTGGTTGACTGACGTTGATATACCTTACAGTGAAGGTCCTGTTAATTTGAACTGGCCGACAATTATGAAGACTATTCAAAGTGACCCTTTTGGTTTTTTCCAAGATGGCGGTTGGTCTTTCTTAGGAGGTGACGGGGATAGCGAAGAAGAAGCAGAAGAGGAAACCGCAGAGAGTGACTTTGATCCAAGTGACGAAGACCCTCAAGATGAAGAAGATTACAGTGAAGATGCAGAGGATGAAGAGGAAGAGGAAGACGACGATGATGATGATGCCAGTGTCGAGGAAGACGACGACGATGTTGCAGATAGTGATGACTTGTCTGAAGAAGCCTTTAGTGATTGAAACTGTATACTGTGCCATACCTTACTTCCACACTGTTGTGTAAGTTGTACAATTTTTTAACCTTCTGTAATTTTGTTTTTCAATTATAAAAGAATGCTCAACAATCTAGTAGTGATCTCTCAACAAAATATATAGATCTATAAAAATGGCATCCAACCAAAGAACATTTTGGAAAGATTTTCATGACTGACTGCCGTTTGTATTAATAAGTCAACTTGGAAACTTACACTAACGCTTAATCCTCCACTGTCACGATAACCCGTATTATCGTCGTCCTTGGTCAATATACCACAAATTTTTCTCCTTAAAATTTTATAAACACGTTCTTGATTCCGCTTGATACGCAGTTGATTACGTTCTTCACCACCTCTCTCAGAGGAATTGTTACTTCTCCAATCCATAAGTGGATCGTGGATGAAACTTTCAAGGAAATTCATGAGAATATTTTCATTGTCCCTTATCAAAGACATTGTTAGCTCACATGATTTTCTGAACGATCCTTCAAAACCTAAAACACCCATTGCTTCTTCTAGATTAGGAGTCAACCGAAATGGCACTATTTCTGGAACACTCAATTTCTTCCCTTTTTCGAACATGCAGTCAAAATCAATGTGCATAATCATGCCTGTGTTTTTATTCAACATTATATTGTCCAAATGCCTATCACCCACGCCAATGAGATAACCAACCACAGACATTACTGCCAAAGATCTGGTAAATAGCGACCGAAATTTGTACCATTCTGTGATGTTTGGTGAATTCTCAACCATCCACTCACCCAAGACAGGAGGGTATTTTTTGAGATAAGCTTCAAAAATGTTCAATTTATCATCTTCTTTTGCTTCACCAAGCTCAGCTTTCATGCTTCTCATATTCAACGTTATGCCATTTCTTTTTAATTGCTTGTCTATAATGGGACGTAGGGTAATAAAGTTCTGAACCCACTCAATGATACCAGTGGTTTCATTTAATGGAGTTGCAGCAAAACTTTTGATTTGCATGTTTCTGGTTTGAGTCTCATAGTTTTTAGCTAGCAAGTCATTCATGACAGTTGAAAACTCCATCACTTTATTGTCCTTACGTAAATCGTCACGAGGCTTGAATAATAAGTAATAAAACGAGCCGTTCGTGCCTGTTACTTTCACCCTTTTCGGTTGCTGTAACGAAAAAAGGATTTTTACCTTTTCGTGGAACTTCATATAAAAGATGACTCTCTTCTCAACATCATTTCTTAAGTTGTATAACAAATCCATGTTGTATTTAATTGGTAGAGCAAGAGCACAGCACTCTGAATCTCTTGGGTAATCAAAATTCAAGTCTTTGTATAAATCTTTGAATAAGTTACCCGATTTAGGATGCTTGTAATTATGGGTAGCATTGCAGACTGACATAATAGCTTCAAGTAAAATCAATCCCGAAGCAATGAGTTTTGATAGTTGAGGAGTGCCATTAGTAGCTGCAATCCTCGTATCTTGCAATTTGGTTAAAATACTTGTACCTATTTTCCTTCTATTATTGTCAACAGACCTGGCTTGTGCAAAAACTGAATAAAGTAATAACCATGGATATTTTACTGTTAACTCAATTATCACTTTAGATATAATGTCTGTAATTTTTTTGTCATCATGCGTTATTCTGGAAATGATTTGAGATAAGACAATATACCACTTGCATCCTAACTCTGAAACACACTTCTCAATGGTTAAATTTATCTTCTGGTATGTGTTACTTCTTGAGTCAATCAATTTTCGAGTAACTTTAGAGCTCGAATCAAGCATCAAATATTTATTGTAGTAATCTAACCATAAAGTGATTGCTTTTGGTAGTATCTCGTGTGCGTAGGTTTTTGAATAGCTAACAGCTAATATGTAGTATTTAATCACTTGAATATCCAACGATCCGTCGGCCTCATCAGGAACCTGTGCCTCTAATAACTTGTTGAGATAAACCGCATACTGATAATATATTTCTGCAGAACGTTCGAATCTTTTATCGTTTAGCAGAATATTATACTTCTCTCTTATCAAATCACTACTTCCCTCTGCAGATATATCTAACCAATTGAGGTATGTCAAAGAAAAATCTAGAAAATATGGATTCTTGCTGCTCATGTCTTTGACAACCAATCCCATTGTTTTCAAGGCGGTTTCATAATCATTTTGAGCCCAAAATAATTTGGAAAATTCTACATTCATGAGAAGGGTGGAAGCTTGGGTCATTTCCCCTGTGGTGCTACTATCATTCAGAACAAGGGCTTTGGTGATTAACTTTGTGGCTTGAGGTAGCTTTCCATTTTCTCTTAGAATCATGCAACCTTCGATCAATGAATCTTTATATAGCTCCTGAAAAGCAGGATCACTGTGCAACCGATAAATGCTACTCTTCATAGAATGGATCTTCCAAATTGACTTGAAATCTTTTTTTGAGCTTTGCAATCTGCGTTTCAAATGCTGTATTGTAGAATCATTTCTCTCATCCATTCTGACAAGTAACTTGAAATCATACAGTGCATGTAGCAAGACCATGTAATCCGGTATCTTCCTATGTGTAATATTCTCTGAATTGGAAATAGCCAAACCAATATATTTAACAGCCTCTTCCAAATGTTTGAGACAACGAGGAACTGATGAGTCTTTCAGTGCCATAAGTCCAACAGCAATTTCATAGTAAATCGACAAGTCAGAGCCCGGTATTGCAATAACATTGGACTCTTGGCTCAATGTTGTCCACTTTTTCAAGTCGTTTGTGTCCCCCGTGAAGATCGAAGCTTGAATTCCTTGCAAGACCCATTCTTGATTAATAGGGCCCATATTTGTTTCATTTTCTGACTTCATTGTATAGTTTTTCAAATTCAATAATAGTTGGTCGTATTCGCAATTTTTGCTCAACACTTCAAACAACTCAGTTACTGCGCCTTTACTGCTATCTAACTGTTCAACATTTGTGTTAATTACGCCCTCAAAGTCGTATTGGGCAATCGCATTTAAGGATTCATTTGACACCTGTATATCCTCATTGTATTTAAATTGAAGAAGTTTGTCATTCAAACTGTTAGTGGAAAAAGTTTTCAAAGCTCCATGTAATTCGTCGTAGTTTTCAAGCTCAACATACATATCCTTCAAGGTTGAAAAAAAATCTTCCTTAGCAATTGTATTCTGCTTTAAGCTCTTCTCTAAGAACAAGATTGCCCCTTCGTAAATATCACATTCTGCACATCTTTTCGCCAAAACATTAGTTGGAAATAAATCAATAAATTTTGTCACTCGTTGAATGGACATTCTCTTATTTTTGGATCCTGATCTATTTGTTGCTTTTATAGCATCTTCTTCTTCTTTAGCTTTGCTAATCCAAGCTTTCAAAAATTGTAGTATTTCAAGTATAACAATGGCGCATTTTTTCAAGCATTCTTTTACAACATCATTACTAATAGTGTTCAACTCTTGCTCTAAAATCTGCATAAATTCTTTGTGAATATTTTTCTTATGAATGTTGTTTTCAGGCTCGATAATCACCAGAAATAAGACTGCATAAGGTAATACAAATTTGGAAATACTTAGATCCAATACCGGTATGACTGAGCATATTGATTCTATTTGGGTGGGTATTTTGGTGACTTTTTCAGCAAGTACCGTACATGTATGCAGTAAGTTTGCTGTTAGCTCTTTCAGCCATACCGAGTATTCTTTCGTAGATTTGTAAATTGGATACTCTGATAGCTTTAGCTTGAAATTTTGCTTATACCTTGTAACTTTCAATGGCTCCAGAATATTTTTAGTCAAGTCATCAAGACTCTCCCACGTTTTTGTAGGAAATTGAAAAATAGCTAGATATTCTTGTATAGTATAAGCCAAAAGTCTTTGCTCTTCAGGATTTACGGAAGAAACAAATGATCTAACAAGAATGTTTTTCAAAAAGTGAGTTGAGAATTCAATAAGTGTTACTTCTTGCTCTGAATTTTTTTTGGGATATAAATCCGTAACTAAAAGAAAATTAGTAACGTTGTCGTAAGTATTATGTGTAAAATGCCTGGATAAAGCTGATGAGTTATTCAAATCTAAATTGCCAAGTAACGAAATTGCTTTGGCCGACTTGTATGATATTTGGGAGCCTGCATCACTGATATTTGTTCTGAAAGAATTTGTAACAAGGGTGTCTATGATTGACATAAAAGAGCTCAGCAAAAGTTCATCTTCTTTTAACATTTGGTGGAATTTTATTTGGCCCTTTTCTAAGTATTCAACTAGGTCATCCAATACTTGCTCAATGATCCATTTATTATCACTTTTTAATCTAATTCTGAAATCTGCAACTAGTTTTCTGTCAGACACATGCTGAAAATTGATCATTTGCATACTTGGAAGCTTCTTTAGTGCAAATCTGTAACTCAAATCTTTATTCGGCACAATTTTCAGCAATGATAAGATGATATCAGTCGTTAATGCTTTATTTCTATCGGAGAACAAGCTAAACTGCTGGATGAATTGAGACAATAAAGAGTCAAAAATGAATTCCACACTTCTAGGGTTAACAGTGTTGATGATTGATTTTATGCATAATAATGCCTCAGTTCTTAGCTCATCATACTTTGAAGCCAATTGTAATGCGGTTATGATTTGACCCAAACATGCATCAAATTTAGTGCATAACTTCGACAGGCAAGTTACTGATTTTATGGCCCTGATCTTAACAGTAAAGGGATTATATCCTTTCTGGTCATTCAAGGTTGTGGAAACCATCTGGACTATAATCAATAACCATCGATTCAAAATTCTTTGGGTGGCTTCGTTTTCACTAGTTCCATATCCTAAAGTAACACTCACCATTCCTATGGCCTTTTTGATTCTTTCAAAAGTACCTGCTTCTGAATTGTAGTGATAAAGTAGGTTGTAAAGAAAGTATGGGCCCTTACAAGCAACTAACAAATCATCAAAACTGATGGTTTTATAGTAAGGGTCGTAAATCGATAATATGTTAAGGATCTTTGTATGAGAAATATCCTCATAAGTCGCAAATAAGTAGGCCAGTATTTCATCAAGCTCTGTCCTAATTAAGTCTGATTTTGAGCGTTTGATCGAGGTGGCAATAAAGGATATATGGTCCTCTTTGTAGCAATTAATCAAAAATGGAACTGTATACTTAAGAGTTCTTTCCAAAAACAATGATAAGTTCATTTCAATAGCAGCACAAAAATTGGTCAAAATTCCGGGATTAGAGTTTCTAGCTCTAACAATGTCTCGACTGAGCAATGGTATAAAAGGCTCTACAATTTGCCAAGGAGTGACATTTTTTGTGGCTGCAACGATTCTGAGCTCGTATATTGCTAAGTTAGACCTAAATTCGTCTGAGTCACTCATAAACTTAATCAATTGGTTAAGTATGATATAATATTTAGAATCAACTGATTTAATGACTAGCAACTCACCCAAACTTGAGATGTATCCTTCGAAAACATGAAGATTCGAGCTATTAGGAGAGAAGGTAAAAAGATGTGATAAAATCAGATCTAAATCATGTTCGAATTGCTGGTCTTCAGGACAGTAAATTACAAGAGGAAACAATTTTACTGTCAAAAGACGAATCTCTCTAACTTTGTTTTCAAAACCTCTTTTCAAGAGCTCCCAAAATTTACCTTCAAGTTTCGGCGGCCTCAAAGCTCTGAATACTCTAGTTAGTGCAATCAAAAGTGATATAAGGATGCTACTATTATCTGTATCAAAATAACTGCTTGTGATTGCTTCTAAGGAGCTGTATAATTTCTGGAATCTAGGATCTGAGGTAGTCTTCGGCCTATTTATATCGACATTTTTAGAAACATAGGAAGTAATATTGAAGTTTGAATCACAGAGTTTGCAAGTTTGGGTGTTGAGATCGTAGTTACCCGTAATGTAGCAGCCATACTTCCCGAGCCTATTAATTGTTTTTATAATGTCTATGGTCGATAGGCTTGAAATAGAAGCTGTGATTTTGGAAAGACCTAAGTCATATTCATCAATTACATGAGGGGTAAGCTCTTCAGTAAAACCATCAAATTTGGAATCCTTGTAAAAAAAAGTTTGCTCCATTCTCTTGTGTAAGGACTGCAATTCTATTGTGCGGAATTCGGCAACCGTGTACCTCGGGAAATGACTGTTGAGTTCTTCTGAGTTATGATAATTTGCGTTACTTAGCAATCTCATTGCATTTTTTAATTCATGATGTGAAACTTTTTCTATAAGTTTCGAAAAGTAGCTGACTGAGTTTTTTGTTAACCCAATATTTCTCCAAAGGTAGTCGATGTTATTCAAAGAATCTAAGTTCAAGGCAAGCTTGAGCAAGCACTGAGCAAGGACAATCTGTAGGGAATCGAAATTAGTTAAAAGGGACCAGTTGAGCAAAAAGTGACAAGACTTAACAGCCAGCTGTAGCTTACTAAATTGGAAAGAATTATCGTTACAGTAGCTGTTCACGGTTGACAGTAATAATGTTGAATAGAGATTGTCTAGCAAAGATATGGTTTCGACGTTTTCTGTCGTGAATTTGACATTGACTATGATATTCTCGAGGCAAAACCAGCACTTGGAGAGGTAGGAATCCAGTATATACGAGGATTGATACTGTACAAAAAACAGTTTGTAAATAGAAGGATGAACCAGAAACTGGGTAATTTTTATTGCTATTGCGATTTTGGCTATTTTGGAAACATTGACCTTGCTAAACGTTTCTATCGATACTGCTTTAAGTTCAAGGTCAAGGTCAAGATTCTGCTCACATGTTGAATCGTACGAGCTAAAACCAGAGCTATCAGAATTAGTGAAGGATTTGATAATATCTGAAAGAAGAGATTCCAAGTATCTTATGATGTATTCTCTCTGTTGAGAGATCAACCTGTTGTATATGAGGAGATTTTTTCTGAAGCATTCCGAACAAATTTGGATCAAGACAAATAGCACCTCATCGGCCAGCTCTACCGAGCAATTTAGACAGTTGAAGAAGGGGAAAGCAGATTTGAGGACGGTTATATGGCGGTTGTTCTCCACGAGCAACGAAGGGTTTCTGCTGAACATCGACTTGAGTGCTGCAAATATCTTCCCTACTATAACAGACTCATTCAGGTCGCTGTCCCCTCCGAGAGTTAAGTCTCTGTCGAGCTTCCTATTCTCATATGAAACAAGCACCGAGGAAAGTAACGCGTTAATGGAGTTCGAGTCTCGTTGCTTGCCAGGAGACTCTTGGCATACGAGGGTATCCAAGATATTAGAGAGCTTCTGCAGCGTCTCTGCTGACATTTTTGTAGTGTTAACTCGTCGGGTAGATGTCCAGTAGTTGGTTTTGAAACATCTTTCCTGGACTACCCTGTTTTTCCACCTGATGGCGAAGATATTGTTGTTGATTACATGTCGTAGATCAGAGAGTTTCCAAAAAAGGTAATCGCTGAGCGCAGATAAGTGCGACAGAATCGGTGTCGCGATATGTTACTATGCTGCTTGCTTTGCTAGATGTGACAATACTATGCTCTACGATGCTATAATACATACGAGTGGACTTTCTATACAACAACAGATTTTATAGATGAGAGGGTCTGTGGTGTGCAATTGGGAATCAGTCAGTTTGTGGTGTAGAAGCTTGCGGCCCGTGCTCAGGCCTTCGGCTTGCGGAACAAAAGAATGTGGGGCTCTGGTGCATGGCAGCCGTAGTGCACCCACCCGAGGGACTGTGTTATTCCCAATTGCGTTCTCCACTCCTCCTCAGCCAGTATTTTGAACGTCCCCTTGTCGGAGAAGTAGTCGGAGGGGATTACCTTCAGCATGTCTCGTGGGAGCGCAACATGACGGTACTCGTATTCGTCGTCAGAGTACCTCGGAGAATAATAGTATTTATCTCTGTAGGCAAAAATGCGTTCTCTCTCCTGCTGTGTTAGGGGCTTTGGTCTCTGCAACTGCAGCACATGGGCGTTGTGGTGAGCGTGCGGATGGCCGTGATTCTGTGTGTGTGATTGCTGCTTTTGTGCCTGTGCTTGGGCCTGTGCTTGGGCCTGGGCCTGCACCTTTGCTGCATGGTCCTCCTGATTGAATGATGACATCTGCTGAGGGTCACTTGGTTCTGAGGTCACTTTGGTGCATGGATACTCCGTCTTCCCAGCCCTTCGCTCCGTACGATGCTCATTACTGTCAACAAACATTACTGGCTTTCGTCTCGAGCGAGATCACAGTCCTGCTTTTCATAAGCGACGCGTCTGACGTGGGGACGTGTCACACGGCCTCTGCTTTTGTCACCCGCCTTCGCTCCTCACACTGTCAGAGCTTGCTGCAGGTACTGGCTAAACTAAAGATGAGCCCATGATGCAGCATCACAGATCTGGGACGGCTAGATCAGTCTGGCGGCTTTGGGATGCTCGTTGAGGCTGTCTACCCACCCACATACTGCACCGGGCCAATTGAAACAGAATCAGGGTTTAAAGAGCATGAGCCCGAGGTTGAAAGTACAGATCGGCCTCAAGCCGCAACACCAGACTGCATACAGGTTGCAAACCGAGGAGGCTTTCTTGAACGAAAACCTGGTGAACGGCTATTCGGTGTTTCTTCTGCCGATAACTAACCAGCTTTACAAGGAGTTGTGCAAAAGCTACTTCCAGTCGTGGTCCAAGTCGCCGGGCGAACACGAGCACTCAGTGGACTCCTTGCATGTTCCCAACCCTGAGTTGAAACACACCGATATCTCGACAGGAAAGCATGTCCAGCATACCGTCGGATTGATCTCCTCATGGATAGAGTTGGACAGCGATGACATTGTCATAAGTGAATTCTCTTTTCAGGCGTTCTACAACGAGGTGTCGTTTGCCAACTACCTTGGCATCAAAACTTTCATGTTAAGTCCTCCGAAAAACATCAATAATGTTCAAATATTTTCCTCAAACATAGCTAAATTACTTGATCTTCTTCCTTCTATCCACATCACCATATCTCTGCCAATGTCACAAGATTTACAGGATAAAAATCTTTCCTACTTCGATTCTTACTCTACTTGGGGGATGTGGAACTCAATAAGGTTGATCTGCAATTACCACCCAAGCCTTTCAGTGTCTCTCGGCGCCCCAAAATCAAATATTCCCTCGGCAATCCTTGACCGTTGGCTTTTAGAGCCAATCAAATTTTATTTGATCTCTGCCTCAAAGTTCATCCCGAATGCAAAGTGCTATCCGGTGTTGCACAAGTTCAATCAGTTGATTATTTGGAAATTGATTCAATACAAAGCATTGGATCCTCCGGTGCTGATGCTTCATGGTGTCGACAGGGTTAAAACAACACACAGTAAACACCAGAACCCTTCTCCAAATACCATGAAAGAGGTTGATGACAACTCTAAGTCTACCTTCCTTTCGTATATTCAATACATCGTAAATTCATCATACAAATCAGACTTGCTACCACGTTTGCATGATTTCACAATTGCAGCGTTACAGAAATCAGGCATTTCAAAATCTACCTTATTTTCGCCTTACATCCTACAAAGTCCCATTGAGCCGATAGTTGACAATTTAGAGAACGAGACCTACAAGGTTTTTGAACAAGATAGCTTCAAGTATGAGCAGTATGAGAGAGCAATAATGAAGGCATTGGTCGACTTGCATAGCTCATGGACATCTAACTCAAAACCACACATATTGTTTTTGGGTCCAGGTCGTGGCCCTTTAATAGACCGCTTTTTTTCTGCTCTAGACCTTCTTTCCGTATCATCAAAAGATTTTATAATTACAGCCATCGAGAGAAATCCAAATGTTATGATACTATTGAACCAGAAAAATGTGAAGTACTGGAATTCCGAGGTAAGAATCGTCAATGCTGATTCGAGAGGTTACGCTCACTTGGATTATAAAGCGAGAAATCCCAAATTCAATATGGTGATCTCTGAACTTATCGGTAGCTTTGGCTGTAACGAATTGATGCCTGAATGCATTGATAGCATTTCAACGGCAGATCTTTGCGACAAGAATTGTATCTTTATCCCCCAAGATTTGCATTGCTATGTTTCTCCAGTATTTTGCCCAAAACTATGGAAATTTGCATCTTTAACATCAGCAGACAAACTTTATGTCCCTATGCTTCCAGAAATGGAAATTCTATTAGATTTTCCTAAAGAAGTGTGGAAATTTGAAAGTAAAGTACGCCAAACTACTTTGGAAAACACAGCCACCATTTTCCATTCTTTTAATAGGCACAATTCAAGACAATGCCGAGTTTCGATGGAGCCAACTCGCAAGGGATTAACTCACGGTCTGGCTGGATTTTTCAGCTCTACATTATATGATGATGTTATAGTAAGCAATCTTCCTAAACCTCCAGGAGTCGATGATGCTGTATCTTGGTTACCAGCATTTTTTCCAATTGAAAACCCTTTGAATCTATATGATGGCCAGGAAATTAGTTTGTTTATTCGCAGAGTTTGCTCTTTGGATAGCGTTTGGTATGAATGGTCAGTCGAATGCTTTCTCTATATGCTTGCTCCCAGCTCTAACAACAACACCAATTTAACTGGAACTCCGCCTGCAACGCCCTCACCGGATCGAAACCAGACATCGAAACTACCCCCTTCTTTGTTGATGACTAGAGGTGATTCCGAAAAAGCTAATGATGAGACACTTCTAAAACAAAGCGTCGAAATGGACAGAAACCAAAATCAATCCATACATACTTATGATGACGCAAGCCTGTATGTCACGAAGAGCTTCAATGAAAACGCATCTTCCGCAAGCTCTCAGGCTGACTACAAAGTCAGAGTATGTACAGGACTTTCAAGGGTTCATAATCTAAACGGAACTGGATTCAAGTTTCGCCTAGTATAATGTATATAACGTAGACACCAATTCACAGACAAAAACAAATCTCGAAAGTCTACGGTGCATAAATATCGTAACTTTTTACATAGATAGATCTTATACATGCATAAATATATTTGAAATATATAATGAAAATAAAAGGACAAAAGGAACCTGGTGGCAGAAAACTTTGATAGCAATTAAAGTTTACTTTAATCTGAAAAAGTCAAATATAGATACCCTGCGTCAACAATTGGAACTGATCATACAATCTGGTATATGCACTATTCAAAGATTTGTTGATCAAGAAGTTGTCTATGAAAGAATCGACCTCTTCATCGGTCAAATGAAGTTGGAATCTTTGTTCCAACAAGACCGAAGTATTCTCACCTGCTTTGAAGCAAGGTAATGAAGAATCTGTTTGCATTAATTCAACCATGTCTATTATACACTTAGCGTTTCTCCTCAATGATTTGAATGCTTCCTTGGTTAAAAGCTTGAATTTCTTAAAATAGTAAGAGTCTAATCCACCAAGTAAGTCAATATATTCCTGGGTTAATTTGAAAGGTGCACCCTCAAATCCAACAGATCCAGGAGAGTTGGATAACAAAAAGCCGAAGTCAATATGCACAATGTGTCCTTCAGAATCCAGCATGATATTACCATTGTGTCTATCTTTGATTTGAAGAATGTAGCATATAACAGAATAAGCTGCTAGAGATAAACTGAAGTTTTCTTGTGCAATTTTATATTTGATGCTATTTTCGTCACCAAACAGTCTTTTGAAATGATCTTTTAAGGTAACAACGCCGCTAATTGGAAATTCGTTATGTTCAAGCATATCTTTTTCCAGTGCTTTTTTGATAGAATGTACGGAAACAGCATTCGTTATAGTTTCCACAAGACCAGTGTTTATAGATGTTACTATGATCTTCATTCTCTTGACCCAGACCTTAACCTTATCTTGGTACCATATATTAGCCATCAAGTGGATTAGTTGACAGGCAAAAGCTTCTTGAGCCAAATCATCACCTGTCTTTGCAATCATGGAAAATAAGTCCCAGTTCTCCAAATGTCCAAATCTACTCTCCGAACGAATACGAGCTTTCTTGGTATTCCAATCTTCGCCCAAGTAACTCAAGCCTGCCACTTTCATATCGTTAGACAATTTACGCTCCCCCGCCGCTTCGGTTGCATTATGAGCAAACCTGGCTTGCATGGTTTGCATTGAACTGATTATTCTTTCTTTTATCTGTGAAGCCTGCAATTGGGGTAGTGGTGAGTTAGGAGAATCAAGTTGTGTGAGCATGATGGATGCAATCCTTAATTGCGTGGCAATATTATGCTCATGATCCGATAATGCATTAAGGGGTGGAATCGGTAAAGAAGCATTATCTCTCAGAAGGATACTACCTAGCTCAATTTTTTGAGATTTATTCAATTTGTTGGTAAGTTTCACAACAGAAATGTCTGCCAAATCACTTTCCTCAACATCACTAATGCCATCTGCTTTAAAGGTTGAATCTGCTGTTGAAGCTGTAGAGATAATTCTTTTTGGCGATTTATAAGAAAGGTCAAACTTGTATTTGTCGCTTCCCGAAATGTCATCGTAGTCTTGTATATTTCTCAAAATCTTCTTGTTTGATGAGGAAGCAGGGTTAAAATCCACTTCATCAGATAAATATTCAACTAGCAGTAAATAAGGCACTCTTTCAGCTGAATTCAAAACCGCACTTTCGTTCACGGCAATTCTACAAATTTTGTGTAGTCTTCCCTTTTTGTTTTTCGGTAATAACATAGGAATATCAATTTCACAAGGCAGATCTTTGTTTAAAATTGATAATTCTGCCTTCAACGTTGATAACCTTGCCTCTCTTGGAACTTTCGACAACCGAATGGATATGTTTTGCAAGGCAATGACAAATTGAGTTTCATTTTTGAAGTAACTCGACTTAAGAAGCTTGATCTTCTGGTTCTCCGTCAAAAGCACGTGCTGGTGTAGTTTAGAGCCAGCATTGACACTACTCTGGGCCGAATTTGGGATTTCCAAACTGTCTTTGTAATCTGAAGAGTTTCGAATAGATGAGGCATATGAGCCATCTGATGGATAGCTAGTTACCAAATCCCCCAAAGAGGAATTAGGAGAAGACATAATTGTATTACTGTCGTTAGATATCACATCAACATTATCATGGAGATCAGGCATCGACCTTGCTAGATTTGAAGTGTCCATCGTAGTATCATTGCTCTCTTCAACAACCGCCTCGGGGGTTGTATTAATGGAAGCCGAAGAGTGAACATGATAAAGCCCACGGTGATTTCTGCCCTTCAAAGAAGGTTTGCGGAGGTTAGGAAGATTCATGTCAGCATAAGTGTCAATCATTTCAAATCCTAGCTCCTCAGATTTTCTTGTTTTGACATATTCTGAACTACCTCTAGCCTTTAAATTTGGAGATGAAGTTTTACGCTCCTTTAGAACATTGATGGATTTAGAACGTTTCAAATCATCTGTATAAACACGTTGTTTACCCATAAGAGCATTGTTTAATGTATTCTTCTTGGTCAAGTTTTCAGTTAGACTCTTCTTGATGTCTTTTACTACTTCAAAAACCATAGTTTTAACCTTTTTTCCTTCCATCCTTACAATTGGCTCCACGTAAGCTGTAGACTCAGGAACTGTCATACCAGAAAGCAATGAGGTTGCAAAAATAATGCTTGGATAGATATTTGGCTTGAAATCCTTATTTAAGTCATTTCTAGGAACAACTCCCGAACTGGAGACAAAGCTGGAGTTGGACGTCTTCGAATTGGTTGAGTAGTTGAATAGATGGTATTGTAACTCGTTTACCAACCTTTTGCAAGTTTGAAAACCCACACTCTCTGGCTCTTTTGAAAGATCTTGTAGCATAGCCTGCAAATGCCAGAAGATAATTAATCCGAAATGGGGATCCCTGAAGCATAAAACTTTGATCATTTCTTCCAACGCCATTGATTGCGTTTCCATTGTTATCAATAACTGCAAAAATTGTGGGGCAAAAAACCTCAATTCGCCAATTGGAAACTTTTGGATTCGTTTACAAATATAATATTGAATACCAATGTTGTCGTTGTGCTCCAATAAAGATATGCAGTGAAAGATTTCAAAATCTTTGGAATTTATCTTGGTGTACAAGTCAGTAGTATCAGACTCATTCTCTAGTCGATGTCCATTTTGGTACTTTGTCACTGGAATACTCAATTTCTCAAAGTGGTTCTCAAGCCCATTTGCACTTGAGTCAGGAGCAGAAACACTGAAACTGTTATCTGCACTTTCTGGCTTTTCTTGAGAATCGGCCACATCTTTGTTTTCGTCTGGAGAGAGTACATTGTTTGTATGCCCAACCTTCTCTTCTTCTAGCGGGGAAACATTTTTAATCTGTTCCGCCATATTTCCCACAATGTCTGAGCACTAGAAAAAAAAAGGTTTACCGACGTTCTGTCTTATCCTGACCGTTTCTGCCAAAACCACTCCTTGGTCGGAGTGACACCAGGTGTAGATCAACTCTCACGAAGACACCACCTCGATGGAACAAAAAATATTGGCCAATTACGTAATACTATTTGGTTTCACGCTCAGTTTCTCGCATCATGATTTTGAACTTTCTTCACGGGCGGAGGAAAAGTTGAGATAGAAACTGCAGTAACCAACTATTTGTTGTTGGAAAATTAAGAAAAATAAAGTCGAAACGCTAGGAGATTGCAATCTAATTACAATCTTTAAATGTCTGCTTTGGAGAATTTGATGCTGTCTACGAAGCCATCATTAAAAACTCCACTCACCCCACGAACACCAAAGACTCCAAAAAAGCATCACAACAAACGTGAGCTAGATAACATACCTCCGCAAAAATTCAAAGTGGGATATCAAAAGGTTACACTGGATGTTGATTTGGAGCAAAACAGTATTGCAGGTGAAACAGAAATAACAGTATTACCTCTAGACTCTTCTTTGAAGACTCTAAAACTAGATTGCAGAGGCATCCAAATAAAGTCTATTATTGTCAACCAAAGGCGTGCACATTACAGCTACGATGATTTCCTACAGAATCAAGAATATATGAACGATATAGATAACCCAGTTTTGTCAGACTATCAATATGACCGGTATTTTGACTCCAATAGCGAAAGTATAACCGTGAACCAACATGCGATGTTAAGATCTAAGTTCTATCCTCTATTTTCTGATCAAAATGATACAGAGGATCCGGCGTCCTCATTTAGTGAATGCACTTCCGAGCTTACTATAAGAGTTCCCGAGAGTATTAAATTGAGGTTACAAGACTCATCTAAAATATCATTTTCTCCTATAGGGACCAATAGGTCGATGAACGACACTCCAAACACCTCTAATACAATATTTAATTCAGATAAAGTTTACACTCCGCTAAACATCAGAATAATTTACACAGTCAAAAATTTGAAAAATGGAATACTTTTCAACGGTGGAGTACACACCAATATTCCTAAAAATTTATGGTATTGCCATACTTTTAACAATGATGTTGGATGTAGTGCGAGCTCATGGGTGCCATGCATTGACAACTTTCTGGAAAAACCCGCTTGGGATATTAACATTGTTGTCCCAAAAACAATCGGGAATATTGGCCAATCTATAATAATTGGTACCAAAAAGGCTGAAGAGGCTTTCAGAAAATCTGCCTTGCAACAAGTGGGATCAGAGGGCACTAATGCGAAGGATACTAAAGTAGTTGAGGATGAAGATTTAGAAGAAATTGAGAATAGTATGGACAGCGTTCCGTTAACGGTGGTAGTTCCAGATTTGGTTAGTTTTAGAGAGTCACCACATCCTATTGATGTTGCAAAAAAAGTGGTTAACTTTCAGTTTTATAATCCCGTTTGCGCCCACCATCTAGGATTTGCCATTGGTTGTTTTGAGAAAATTTCTATGGTGGATCTTAAACCAGGAACAGAGGAATTAATAATCAATCAGAATTCATCGGTGGAAGGTTCCGAGGAAGTTACTATGCAATTCAATGTGGATACAGCGAATACAAATAAAGTTCCTACAATGCTTTATTTTTTGCCAGGAAAAAGAGAAGAGGTGATCAATACCACGATTTTTTTATACAAAGCATTGGAATTCTATTCCAAAGAATTCAGCTCTTTTCCGTTCACTAGTTATACACTATTATTCATTGAAGATTTACCCTCGGATTTATGCACTTTTGCAGGAATGTCAATTGCAAGCTCTCGACTTTTGTACAACTCTCAGCTCGTTGAACCTATGTTTAGAACTACCGAGATATTATCAATTGCCCTGGCAGAACAATATTCTGGAGTCAACGTGTTACCCAAAACTTTGAATGATATTTGGTGTGTTTCAGGCATTGCTCGTTATATGAGTAATCAATTTTTAAAAAAACTATTTGGAGTCAACTACTCTAACTTCACGTTTCAAAAAAGATGTGAGCTACTATGTGAATTGGATCTAGGAAAGAGACCACTTGCCAATCAAGTGTTTCGATTCCCTATCAATAGTGATCAGGATATGGATTTCATCAATTTGAAGGCTCCCCTAGTGCTGATGATTTTAGATAGGCGGATCACAAAAACGGATAAGCTATTTGGTCTCTCAAGAGTTATACCCAAAATATTTCTTCAAGCAATGTCTAATGACTTGATCAATGGAAACAATTTGTCGACTGCTCATTTCCAAAGAGTCTGCGAAAAAGTTGCACATCATAGACTAGAATCATTTTTTCAAAATTGGGTTCACAAAAGCGGAGTGCCAACATTCAGGATCACGCAGAAGTTCAACAAAAAGCGTCTTTTTATTGAAATGTCAATTCGACAAATGCAAAGGTCAAGTTTGAATAAGGATGATTCAGATTACGATGAAGACAACAACGAGCTTGTTTCGGAGGAAAGAAACAAAAATTTCGTAGAAGCAGCAAATACCTTCATGACAGAAGATCATCATTTTGATGCTCAGCCAGTCTTTACGGGCCCGGTAACTGTTCGGATTCATGAGGCTGATGGTTCGCCTTATGAGCATATCTTGGCCATTTCGGACCCCTTGACCAAGCTGGACATTCAGTATAATACAAAATATAGAAGAAGAAAGAAAGAAAAGAGAGAGGGAACCGAAGACGTTGATGAAAAAGATAAACTTGGTGAAAAGGAGAAAGAAACTAAAAAGAAGGAAAAGATTGAAGAGCGCAAAATAAACATGTTAGGAAATGTCCTTACCTCTTCCGAGGAGATTGACAACTGGGATCTAAAAGAAGACCAAGCTGCAAACATTGACCCTGAGGCTGACCCAAATGATCAAAACATTGAAGATGAAAAAGATGAAGCGTTTGAATGGTTGAGGTTTGATGCCGATAATGAGTGGATTTGCAAATATACTCTCAATCTCACCGATGACAAATTTGAATCTCAGCTAAAGCAAGATAGGGATGTTAAAGCACAGTTTGAGAGTATCAGATATTTTGGCAGTATCGTGAGGCCTACCATGTCTCACGCTAGAATTCTATTGCGAACTCTCGTTGATGCTAGATATTTTTATGGTGTGCGTGAAGAGGCTTCTAGAGCGCTAGCAAAGATTTCGAATGAGGAAAATGATCACATAGGTATGCGATTTTTGCTAAAGACTTACAAGTACCTTTATTGCTATGATAGTGAAATTAGAAAGGGTTATGATGAGCTTGACCCAAAGGAATATCTACCAAAACCAAATGATTTCACGAACTTTTCCGATCTTTTTGTGATGAAGGCTATCATTGAATCATTATCCAACGTCAGAAATAAAGATGGAGATGCCCCTATTGAATTGAAAAGGATTATCTTGCATATACTTAAATACAATGATAATAACAACAACAAGTTTGATGATACATTTTTATACTCAACAATTATTAAAGCACTTTGCAATTTGATACTTATCTCCAAGAGGGAGATATCGGATTTGAATGCAGACTATACTAAAAAAGAGTTGAATTCTAATACTGTTCGTGATGTTAAAGATGAGTTCATATATGCCGCAATAAAAGAGCTGAATCGTTGCTTGAAAATGGATGAGTGGTCCCCATCCTACAGAAATATTGTGACAAAAGTTGTTTTAGAACAAAAAATAAGGTTTGTTAGGGTTGGCTTAGCAAGGATGACCTTTATGGATTTACTCAATTACACGACCCCTAAGTACAATGATGATATCAGATTTGTTGCTTTCGAAGGCTTGCTTCTTATTGGTGGACTCCGTAATAGCAGTATTTTAAGCTATTACTTCACCACTATGAAACTAGATGAATCTTTGTACTTAAGGTACCAACTAAACAAGGGTTTGGTGACAAGTATAGGAATTGCAGCATACTCAGGAATCCCATCTTTACTAGATGATGATGAGTTTCTAAAGTCGGTAAGTGTATTACAATCAGGTGACCAGTCACAGGAAAGTTTTGGGAGTCGTATCATCCAAATTGAAGATTCAGCATCAGCTAAATTGTCCATGCGGTCACGGAAGGACGAATTGGCAAGGCGTACTATACAAGGATCGGTAGATGTGCTACGTAGAGATTTGGGCATGGGTCAGGGCTTAAAGTACGAATTATGGGAAGCTCTTCACTCTTGTTTAATTCCTATTAACACGAGAAGGAACATTTTTGACATTATGATGGTGCTTTACGAGCCTACCAATTCCTTCATGATCACCACAAGTCTCCCAACTGACAAACAGATTATTGTGAGAGTTAAAAGTAAGGTTAGCGAAGCAGCAAATCGAAATGGCGAATCATTTGTTGTTTCTTTGAAAAGGGAGGCTCGTTTCAAAATTCAACTACCTGTTTTGAAATTGAAGGTCAGTGACGAAAAAGCCAACAATAAGCATAAGGTTGCTATTAGTGATGTGAACTCAGCTCCCAGTCCTGTTAAAAAGCCGAGGAAAAAGAAACACGAAATGCCAATGAATCTTGTTGAAGTGAGGAAAACAGCATCTAAATTTGATGTCAAGATCAGGTTTTCTAAAAAGGACTTCATGAGCAACTCCAAAGAAAGAAATAAATTCATACGTCATGATCCTTTGTTACCTTTACGATTTGTACGATTTAACCTTCGTACCAAAGAAGTGACAGTCTCAACGGATGAAAATTTCGAGAATTTTGTTTCGATTCCATCACTCATGATTACATTAAAAATAAGCCCTCAGAAGTGGAAATTGTTGCTCAGCGATTCTTCTGACTCTAATATTGATGAGCAGCAATTGTTTCCTGTCAAAACTGAAAGCACAATGAACCCTGCTACATCCATGGTATCTCATAAAGCTCACCAAGCTTCTCTCAATGAGCTTGAAGCAACTGTTTCAATGAAAACAGAAGACATTGATAAAGAGCGAGTCTTAGAACAGGATCCAGAAGTACAACACGATATCAGCGATGAAGGCGAGGAAAGCCTCCAAAAAAGTAGAGGGCATAGTGAACAGATTTTTGACGGCTCTGAGGTAAGTGTCACAGAAAACAAACCTCTAAGTTGGGGTTCAGAATCGAAAAGTATTATTAAAAAGCTTAGTCCAGTGAGACGTGACCCTGACAGTTCTCTATCCCCATCAGCCATGTCACATACACTTGGCAGGTCAAATTCAAGATCGCAAAGCCCAGAAATTACAGAAAAACCCAAGGAGAAAAAGAAATCTGGCCCAAAAATTAAACTAAGGCTCAAATAGTTTATAGGTTTTGAATTTGTATTGTATATTAAGTGTAAAATTATTGCAAGTCTCTAAAACATATACTCGTTATATAGGTGTTGAAGAATTTTTAGGCAAAGAAAACTCGTTGTCTTTAGGCGGTAAAGGTGGTAACGGAGGTACAGGTTTTCGAGCTAACCTTGTTCTTGGCCTACTCAAGGGAGCTCCAAATTCTCCACTATTGGGAGTTTGCTGGCGCTCAGTATCTTGTTTCTGAAAGTCATTAGTACCATCAAATTGCAAAATCGGTGATTCCTGCAATCCAGCAGATAGTGCGGCAACTGAAGCAGCTGTTGGGGAGGATAAAGAATCATCATTATCATTGGAGAATCTGAGTATAGAGGGAGAAGAAATTACACGATTCTTGTTACCGGCATAGTTCATTACACTAGAGTTATTAGAGTTTGATGTTGCTGTGGTTGGACTCTTGAACTTTTCGTTAATGAACATTTCTGGAGAAGAAGGAGGATTATTGTTGTTGAGTGGCAACATCATTGGGTTATCTTCGGTGAATGATGAAGCTCCAAATTGAGATGATTGCGAGGTACCCCGCTTTCTATCTAAATTAATGAAAGCATCACCTGATGGTCTAGTATTGATGTTCGAATTAAGTAGCTGAAAAGATGAACCAGATGAAATAGTGTCAGATTGAGACGGTAAATCAAGTTGTAGATTTTCGGGCTTTGAAGGTTTTATCCTACGATTAGATATCATTTCAGGAGGAATATAGTTCGGATCTTTGCCGCCTATGGAGCCAGTTTTTCTCCTTGGTAAAGTTGCAGAACTACCAATCGCAGCAGGACCAGATGTATCCGGGACCGCAGGTGACTTTTTATACCAGTGCTTTATCCTACTATAAGATTTGAGCACAGAATCTTTCAATTCTGAAGTATGAGAGACATCATCCTCTATCAGCTCAGAGTTGCTAGTTGGTTCATTATAATGCTCCGCTTCACTTGATATTGTACTTAGTTTGGATATAACATGATCTTTCTCCGAAAACTTGCTAGCACCCGTCGATGTGGTTGACGAAGCTCTTGATATTACTGAGGCATTTGATGATTTTATTGGTTCCATTTTGATTCCAGCCTCACCCGAGTTACTCAATGGATCAGTACTAATCGGCTGCGCAATTGGTGGCAATGTTGATATACTATCTTTGACTACATCGCCAGCCATTTTAATATCCTCATCATTGGTCGTACTTTTACGACATGAGCGATCAAATATACCACCTCTAAAAATTTCTTCTGGGTTTCTGAAGAAAACAAAATCATCAAAAAATGGATAAACCAAACTTGATTTGATAGCATCTCTGAACCTGCTTTCGATTATACTGGTTATAATACCATAGCTCACCGCTCTTGAACTGAACACAGGTTCAATTGTGATATCGATCTCAGGCATTTTTGAAAATGTATACCAAATACGGCTCGATGGTTGTGGCTTGATTTTAAGAAGTAGTTCTCCCTCTATTTTGTTAACAATAAGCTTCATAACAATGTCAAACTGACGTTGTTTGAAACCCACACCTAAATTGACGAAGAGTTTGGTAGCAATCTCAACCATTGCTCTTCCCTGATATGAGACGTTAACTAGCACTTCCAAATCACCTTCTGGAGACAGCGTTTTTAGTTTTGGATCAGTGAAAAAGGGACCAGAGTGTCCTACATCTATCCGATTGATTTGTAACTGATCTAAAAATCCGGGTGTTCTGATTTTTTTTAGTCTGTCTTCAATTTTAAGCCAGAAGGCAGCTTTAAACTCATCTGTCTTGTAGGTAGAAAGAAATAAACGTCCAATGAGAGCATTGATCCATTTCGTAGTCAATTGCTGTTCTGTAGCATTCAACGTTTCAATAAGATCAAGCATATCTGCAGTATTATAATACGCAGGTTTCGCCATTATCGTAGGATCAAAATTTGGATTGAGCTTCGAAAGAGTATTGTTTGTGCATGTTGCTCTCAAAAAAGCAAAGTACCAGTCCTCTTTTTCAATTGAAACATCAGCGTACAAAAAGTAGCAGTTTTTAGGCGGAGGAATATTGTCAGATTTACTTTTCAGCAGTTTCAATAACTCCTGGGCCTTTTCCTTGCTATGTGCCAGCTCATCAGTGTTTATCAGACATATTGCACTTCTTTTGGTAAAGAGCTGCCCGTCTCTCAAATTTCTTGGCCAGATTGCAACTGTGTAATGATCCAAAACAATAGCATGTTTCACATTTTTCTGCGTCTCGTCACTGTATAAAAACAAGTTTCCATGTTTGATGACACCATAAAATCTGTTTCTCTTTCTTATTTGTTTTAATTTGGCTGCACCCAATGTCGCTGTATCCTGTTCTCCTTCCTTGAACTCTTCATCCATGCTATTCGAATGCGAGTGGCTCCCGTTGCCTCCTCCTCCTCCTCCCTTCATCATCTTAGAAAAGATTCCACCCGAAGCGTTATTTCCCAACGCATTCCCAGCGGAACCATTACTCAAGTCTCCATCCGAATTAAATGTATTGGTCTGTTTGAACTCTTCGGGATTTATCTGTGGAAATCTGTAAAACTCCTTTGTGACTGTGATCCACCCCGAGTGATAAGCCTTGATTCCAAGCTTTTCCTTGTCAAAAAATTCCCCAGCTTTCAAATCCCTGTAACCTTTGGGCTCTCCTTTTTCTAGGCTTTCCCTTTCCGCCTTGATTGCATCTTTACGATCTCGTTCCGAAACAGAGTTCGGCACCTGGGGAGATTTGTACCATATTAACACGATGATGAGCGGAATGAACGTCACTCCTCCGACAATGTAGGTTAACACATAGCTCAAAAACCCCATTGCATGTACCGACGGAGAGCCAGATAAATAAGAATGCTTTTCTTCACAATGGCCGGCTTGTCTTAAAGTAAGAAAGGGGAATTCGGACAAAGAGAGGGCTTCAGGTACCATTCCAGAACAGAAGACACCGAATCTCTGTCTATCTCGCCTCACATCGCCAACTGCTGTTACCCGGTGCGAGCCGCCGAGGGGAAAGTGTTTCACTACGGAGGAGTTTTTCAGCATGTTTGTTCTCCTCACCTGGCTACCACTTCTCGGCCAGGTAAAACGGTTATATTCGCTTGAAGAATAAGAGGTTCGAAGTCACAATCACCGGGAAAGCTTTCACCTACAAACACAAGAGATGTTCACGTCGCTGACAGGAAAGTCCGGAAGTTTGGTGTGCGTGCAAATCCGAGGATACGCAGGCCGTGTGCAGATTCAATCAGCACTTCCAAGAAGACCTCTGAAGAAAATCAAAATAGGTAAGGCCAGACCTGCCATCTATTACAAATTTAATACCCAGGTAGAACTTTCCGATGGCTCGGTTGTTACAAGAAGATCGCAATATCCCAAAGACGAGTTGCGAATGATCACCGATCAGAGAAACAATCCACTGTGGAATGCATCCAAACCAGACGCAAGTTTGCTGGATGCAGAGTCCAAGGGTAAGTTGAATAAGTTCAAGAGCAAGTTTGCTGCCTTTGGCCAGTCCGGTAAGTCTGCCGATGAGGTCAAGGCTGAGGAAGCCAAGGCTGAAGCTGAGAGGTTACAGAGATTGAAGACCGGTAGAGCTGCCAAGAAGGTTGAAAAGGAACAGGACGACTTTTTGGACATGCTATCTTCTAACTACGAGGAGGAGAAATTGGGAGGTAATCTTGCACAGAAGGAAAAGAAGAAGAAGAATAATTAGGATCGCGTCAAGTGGTTAGTTTCCCTCTTCTATTACACTATATTTAAACCATATAAAGAATCCATGTACATATATACATCCACAACTACAAAAAGAAGTCGAATACATGACTGTCATTACCTATGATTCTTGCGCTTTCCCAAAACTGTGATAATGGATGTGTTTTCCTCGAACTTGAATCCGTTCTGCCTGAGAAATCCAACGGTAGCATTTTTCACTTTTGGTATTCCGCCAGCGCTGTGAAGCCCCCTACCGGTAACAATCACGAAGGGGTCCACATGGCGCAAGCCTGTGAACTCAAATTTTGTGTTTTCTAAGTTCCGAAGATGCATCTCTTGGCCCCACCAATAGTTGAGACAGCTATTTAGGGCTTGCATGGCATTTTGCACAGTGAGAGTGTGCAAGTCTATTTTGAACGTCCTTTTTGCCTGCGTTACCCTCTGATTCACTTCCTGAGCCTGAGATATGCCGTGCAAGTCTCGTATTTTCCGTTCCGTTTCCGCTATCGAATGGTTGTAGTAAGACTTCAAATATTTGTCACCGGTGGTGTTCCTACTCTGTTTAAGGTTAGCTGCACGGCTTTGGAGCTTTTCCAATGCTGGGGGGTATGTAGAGTATTTAGGCAGATCTGCAGGTTGAGAACCATTTTCAAAGATAGACATCGGTTTTGTGCTAATTGTGCCATGACCGTTACTGCTTTGCTTTTGTCTGTACTCCGTTATTTCATCTTTAAGGCTGTTATTGCCAAATGCTAGAACTCCAAAGTCGATACGGCTGGTATCTGCAGACATTATATTTCTTGGCTGTTTTTCGAAATATTCGCTTAACTGGATAGCAGTGTGTAAGATTTTGTCAAGGTCTTTATGAAACCATTTCATGGCCACCAGGTAAAATTTTTCCGGAAGATTTAGCTCTGGGTTGTCATCGATAACCTTCTGCAACTCGCTCCACGACCTATCGTTTTCTAGAAGCGTACTGCTGCCTCTGGACGACTTCCGCAGGAGATCTGACATGGAAAGAAAATGGTCATTGCTGGACCCGGTGTCACCACCGGTTCCAACCCCCGGAGAGCTTTTATCTACGCCATGTAAGTATAGGACATTGTAGGAAGCGGTGTCGAGCTTATCCCGAGGTTGTTGTGCTGCCGGCAGCCGAGAGTCGAAGTTGAGCATTATATCGCAGACCGTTTCCAACTTCCTGCAGGAGTTCTGCGAAAGATACCAGTCCACGAGTTCCCGCTCTGTTTCATCAATCTCAAGCAGCTCCATGATCTCGTCCTGCAGCTCAAACCGTTTTGCCCATTGTTCAACCTGCAAAGCTTCCACGGCGTCGGAAAACGACTCTGGCGGCAGCCTCTCCTCTGGTTCTGCTGGTTCTGTTGGCTCTGCCTGGTCAAGCTTGTCTAGTTCGTCCTTGATCAGGTCGTAGCTGAGAAGCTGTTCTGCCGCCGAGTCAAAGTTTCCGTTGGATATCCGCAGGATGTGCAGAATGTGTTTGAGGGACACGTCAGGAAACAGCTCTGAGAGCGGGAAAAGAGCCTCCGGGAGCTCTTTTTCATCTTTATCTCGTTTTTCAGCCATGCCTGGTGGAGCATCATGCATCCGGAAGCCCTGTCAGAGCATACACTGTTTCGATTTCCAGCAGATAGACGGGCAGGCCGGCCAAAAAACCGGTTTTCATCGTTTCCGCGGAGACGAATTTTAGACGGTTGGTTACCCGTCCGACGATTGTTCCTCCTGGCCGAAACAGGAACAAACACAAAAGCAGGTTATTCAATCAGGCATGGTTACGATCTGGTCCAAGCCAAAGAGAAAGCCAGACCAGATCTAGCCTCGTTCCATGTCTCGCGTGCTCCAAAGCCCCGTAACCGGAACGCAATCCGGCCCAGTAGATTCTCTATTCCCTTTTTCTCCAACCTCGAGCTAGAACCCACAAAGTCCTCGGCCGGATTTACTTGATGAAGGACACTTATTCCGAGGACTCCATAATACAGCGGGGAAAGGCATGCCACCGCCGCCGGGCAAGCCCCCAAGCCACCAGACCTCCAACCCTCCATGCGTCCGAAAGCGAAAAGCCTCCCTCGGCGCTATTGTTGCGGACAAGGCTTATCGGCGGCTTGCGTGCGGCTGCGGACTGCAAACGGTTTCGGCGTTGCTGTGGTGCCCCGGGGTCGTTGGGCTCCGGGCCCTGACTTTGTGCTGCTGAGGCTGAAGGTTTGAAGGCTCGTTGGCTTTATGTCTTGCGTCATCTCCCAAAACAATAGATAGGCGAGATCTTCTCAGGTTCAGCAACCTCTTGAGCGCCGAAGCCTCCTCTGCTGTACCATCTCTCGACCAACCTTGTCTCAGCTGTAGTTACTGGAATCTTGGGGCTTAGAAGACGGACTGGGAGCTGCAAAACCGTGCTCATGCTGCTTTTGTATAAAGCCAGGAACGTTTCACCTCTTGGTTGGAAAGATAAATCATTGGGAGAACCAATACAGTAATTAAGAAGAGAAGCTTATCCTCTAGTTAGATAAGCAGAATCACTTTCCAAGATGGCCTACGTTCCAATTGCTCAAATTTCCACAGCGGGAAATGCTGTCATGTGTGCCTTTTTCGGCATCCAGTGCTTGATCCACGTCTTCCTCGGTATCGACTACAGAAGATGGAGGTTTCTCATCTTTATGTTTAGCGGTACCGCGTTGTCCTGTGTGGGCTATGCCGGCCGGGCATGGTACTCGAGGGACGCCGCAACCAGCCCCTACATCATGCAGGCGGTCTGCGTTGCCATTGGTCCCGGGCTCGTCACGGGTGCCGTCAAAGATCTCTTTGTGCATTTTGTCTCGTACATGCGGATGAAGAAGATTGACCAAGAACCTAACTGGTACATGGATAGCGGCATCGAGAAGTTCGGTTACTACGAAAAGCTGAACCGATTCATCACGCTTGCCTCGTCCGTGCTCATCGGTGTCGGCATCGGTGTCTTGTCCGGCTCCGATCTCAACGACAGCAAAATGAAACAGTCTATCCAAGTGGCCTTGGCCGGGTTTGCTCTCCAGCTCGCCGTTCTCGGCATCACCCTCATCTTGTGGTCCTTCTTCATCTACCACACCATGGGCCAGCCTTACATGCATGGCCGCGTCAAGACGTACGTCTTCTCCCTCTTTGTCGTGCTTCTCCTCCTCATAATCAGATTTTCCTACCGTGTGGCCGAGTGGGCCAAGATCCTCAAACTCGGCTTGGCCAACAACTTGACCATCAACGAAGACTACTTGGTGTGTCTTGACGGCCTAACCACCTTGCTTGCCGGCATGATCCTCATCGTCGAACATCCGGGCTTTGTCTTCGGCAAGGCCGAGCTAAAGCAGATTGACGACGAGTTCCACGAGTACGAGAAGCAAAATAAAGCAGCCGCCTCTCCGACCGTCCAGAACTTGCAAATCTTACGTTACGTGCCGCTCTTCCATCTCTTTTTTTAAACAGTGGGGAGGGAGGCAGAACCACGCCAGTAGCAGCTTTTCCCTACTGCTGGCCTGCTTAACCTTCCTCTTCTCTAGGTTGGCAATATAGCCCATTATTTATAATCCACCTTCTATAATCGGTTATCCATAACTACAACATATTACCATCCTACATGTTCCATTCCAACTGAGCCCCCGCCACCAGAAAACCGCGCCGATCGGCCCAATTTTTGAGAAAAAACGGGGAGCGCTGGCCCTGTTGAGAGACGGGGAGAGCGCCGGTGGTAGCAGCGAGGGAAAGAGAGAGGTTGTGGGAGAAGGTGGGTTTGCGGTGGGTGGAGCACATAAATACGGGGTCCACTCTGGCCGAAAGTGCTAAAGGGCAAGATAAGCAAGGACCAAGCGGGCACTGGAGCAGCACGGGCTACGGTTTCTTCCGGCTAACACACACCGACACATGTCCTCTCCACAAACACAGAACACGCCAACAACAGGCTCTGGGATGCCGTCATCGCTGCAGGAGGCGGGGATCTCCAGAGCCGATAACGGGAACTACATCTTGCCACCGATCCTGGTGCAGTATCGGGGCGGGAGTACACAGATGCTGATAATCGAGGTGGGTCAGCCGATCCCACCGGCAGGCTCTATCACGGGTGCGTCTTTGATGACGGTAGCCCAGATGCTGCGAAGTAACACGAACATGAATCCCTCCAACAACGCCGACAACAATAACAGCATTAGTAATAGCGCCAATAGGGGCAACAACGGCAGAAGTGCCGATGCAGGCGGAAGCCGCATTGCCAGCGGCAACACGCAGCCAGGACCTGTGTCCCGGCTACCAACTCCCACGCCTGCCGCAGATACAACCTCGCTGGCCAACCTGCCCAGGGGGATACGAGGCTTGGACTATCCTGCGTTCGACGTTTCCAGCGAAGGGGTATACAACGAAGATTCACAGGCAGTTTCCCGCTTCTTGGCACCCCTGCAGAGGGTTTTTGAAAGAGTGTACGGCCAGAATGAGAATAGCAACAGCGGTACGCTTGGCACCACGGCAGAGGGCAGAAACTTTGCATCCGACATGCCGCCATCAAGCCGACCTGCCACTACCACTGGCCCTGCCACTGCCACAGCGCCAGACCCTCCAGATGGGAACGCCGCGGATGAGGCTGCTGCAAATGAACAGCAACAGAACCCACCAGCAGAGTCCAGAAATATCATTCTTACCATCAACTATGTCTATGGGGGATCCAGCGATACAAACGAAAACAACAGTGGCTCTTTATTGCTATATGTCCCAAGCATAGATGAGACTAATGAAGACAACGTGAGTGTTTTGGTGAGATTGGCCACGGAAATCGCTCTCAGAACTATAGCGGTCAGCCTAAGAAATTCCGCAGGAGTCTCGAAGCAGACATTCGAAGCCTTGGAAGTAAAAAAGGTCAGCGAGTTAAAGGAAAATGAACTAGAGTGTCCAATATGTTACGAGAAATACGTGGATAAAGAGACCGATGAGAAAGATTTATCCAGCAAAAAGCGGAAACAAGGCGAAATCGATGAAGATGAAGATGAAGAAAATCCTGATACAAAATACAAGTCGAAAAAGAGAGCCAAGGACAATAGAGCTAACCCTATCCCTATCAACAACAGTCAGGACCAAACAGAAAAGGAAATGAAGTCTTCAGAGAAGGTCAAACAACCCGTATATACCCACTATCCAATTGTGATGAAATGTGGCCACGTTTTTGGAGCGTCTTGCCTTAGTGAATGGTTCAAAACCAACAGCAGCTGTCCACTTTGTAGGAAGAAGATACCCAATGTGATGGAGACTGCAACTGAAGACTCAAGAGATGTCACTATAACCTTGCCTAACTTAGCAAGAATAATAAGCAACTGCAGACCGTTGATTGAAAATTTCAACAACAGGCTGATGACTTTTAGCTTGTCAGAAGAAGATGATTATAGTGGCGCCAACATTGTCACCGACAATGAAGACCAGATTCCTTCTCCTGGTTCGTTTTTATCAAGTAATGGTGCTAACATACTAGAAAGACTTACGACAATGAGAAGAAACCAGCAACTGAATGGACGACCAAATACATCTGATTCTGCTAATTATAGTAATGAAAACAATGCTAATGCTAATGCTAATGCTGATGCTAATAACAGCGGACAAGATAGAAGTCGGGTGCCTTCCACTACAAACCGACAAAGTCTTGTTAACTTTATACGTGATATTGTCTCTTCATTATCACGTAGAACAGGTGAAGAACCAACAGCCAGCATCAACAACAGCAGGTTGGGATTACATTCTGCATCGGGTAGAATACCAATTGTTCGGCCTCTTTCACGTTCAGGCACCCAGTTTTCTGGTATGTTCCCGCCTTTGGGTGTTGAAAGCAGAAGAACGGCAAATGGAGTGGAAACCAGAGAGATATCAATGTTTGGTGAGCATACAACAAGGACGCCAGCCCCAGCTACGGCAACAGCCCCGGCACCAGCATCGTCCGCTGCTGAAAGTGCAGTAACTAACAACAGCAACTTACAAGAGCCGGCGCCAGAGACTTCTGAAGTTGTTGATGGAAGCACCACACGGAGCTCCGGTTTAGCAGAAACTAATGCTGGGAGCATCACCGAAAGCAGCAACGATGCTGCTTCATGACTTTAATCAAAAACGACGTATTTTGAGGCTGTATGTATACACTAAATTTCTGATTCACATATCTTACTTTCCAACACTTGTTGGGTTCTTAGAGGCGATTGCAGTCGCATTGTATATTTTAAGGAGAAATACGTAGTAAGGAGAAATATATAGAGTAATGATTTGAAAAAAATGACTCGAGTTGTAATTGATCGACGGAGGATGAAAAAACCCAAGTTAGCGACGCGAAATTTGGTGTTGCGATTACAAGTTGAAATAAAATTCGATGGCAAGTTGGGAACTAAACAGGTAATACATTGGAGATATGTTCTACTCTGGAACTAAACAGAAGTTTCGAAACTGACCATTGCTCAAAGGCTTGAAAGATGGCACTTTTGGAGGTGCTCCAGAGAAAACTAGTGAAAACTGGTGCTCTCAATCGGCTTGTCCGTTTATTACCACGTATATCGTTTGCTCTAACAATATGCTCCATAATATTCATGCTTACTTTGCCAATGGAAGGACAGAATAGGCACACTTATATCAGTGAGAATGCGCTTATGCCATCACAGGCACATCCATTCTTCAGAGAAAGTGAATGGAATTTTGTTCGTGGCTATAGAAATGAAATTATTTCCATGATGCATATGCCATTAGCTGCCAAAAACCAGGTTTTCGACGATCTATTGACAGAAATGGGCTATAAAACAGAAATTTTGAATTACACAGACCCAGAAACGGGAATTGAAAAACCAACCTTATATGCAATTTACCATGTGCCCAAGGGTGATGATACTGAAGCTATGGTTTTGACCGCTCCTTGGTATAACCCGGAAGGCAAGTTCAACGTTAATGCACTTGCATTGAGTTTAGGTTTGGCTAAATATTTCCGGAGGTTGTCAATATGGGCAAAAAACATTATTATCATTTTTCCTGACAATGGTGATGACGTCTTAAGGAACTGGGTTGATGCATACCATACCTCATTGGACAATACTGGTGGTAGTATCGAGGCTGCTATTGTTCTTGATTGCCCGTCATCAAAAGATTACCTCGGGCATCTTGAAATAGAGTATACCGGAGTCAATGGTCAACTACCAAACCTTGATTTGGTCAATACTGCTATAATGGTTGCGGAGAATGAGGGGGTCAAGGTCAGTGTCAATGGCTGTCCCTTTGGACAGCTATGGACAGATGATTATTATAGTAGATTGTGTTCCTTGATCAATGGTATATTTGAAATAGCTGGTGCTGGAATATCAGAATCGCTTAATGCGCAATGTTTCAGTGGATGGAACATTCAAGCTATAACGATCCGTGCCATAGACGGTGATAGAAATGATATCACAAACTTGGGCAGAATTATTGAAAGTACATTCAGAAGTGTAAACAATTTGCTTGAAAAGTTTCACCAAAGTTTTTTCTTTTACTTGCTACTTGGCCCAAAGATCTTTGTGTCTGTTGGGATGTATTTACCAGCAGGTGGTTTGGCGGCTGCAGCCTTTGTGGTTGCATCTGTCAATGCTTGGGTTGGTGGTAATGATGCCAGTGCAGATGTCATTTCGAAAATACAAAATACTCTACTCATAAAAACTATTCCTTTGGTTGCTGCTTGCTTGACCGCTATTGCCAGTATCGCCATATGTGTTTTTGTTTCCTTATACACATCTGATATTTTTGATCAATCTATGGAGTTTGACCCTTTTGACTTGACCTATAAATGGTTTGTTTTACCATTGTTCATTTCCTCTTTGGCTCCTGTTGTCTCATATTTTCTGTTAAGGGTCAAGATTAGTTCAGATTATACTCGTGCTTTGAGTTTGATTGTATTATTCTTCATGGGTTATGCATTAGTCGGTCTGATGGTTTTGAACTTCCCATTGTCTTTTATTATTGCCATCTGCGCATCTCCACTCTGTTTCGTTAGATACGCATCTAAACCTAGTTTGAAAAGAAGATTTCTCAATAGCTTTTTTCTTTTGATCAGTTGTCCAGCACTCTGGTTGATTGTCTTTGGGCTCATCAACAAGACAGACTTTGACCTTGATAGATTACGAAATTTATTTCAATATTTTGAATTTCCTCTTTTACAAAAAGAAATTCAAAATGTCTTAGATTACCTAGAGGAAACTGATTCTCAAATTTTACTCAGCGGTCCAGTGGATTTATTTGTTGGTTTGCTTAAGGGGTACAATAGAGTTCAATGTTGGACCTGGATTTTTGTCTGCTTCAGTTGGTTACCTGTCTGGCTATCAATGAACCTTGTAGGTAGCGTCTACGTCTATGACAAAATCTCTGATAAAGAGGTTGAAAAGAAGAATCAATAAAATGGCCGTAAAGAGCTAAAAACAGCATTTTGTAAATGTATATAAACTAATTACACGTATAATAGAATTAAACAGGCCGATGATATAAAGTGGTAATATTATATGATAGCAATAAAACAAGGCAAGAAGCTGTATAAAAAAGGCCAATGGATGTTATGGTAAGTAATGCTTCATTTTTTTTTGATGATCAATTATCTAATTTTCGTACTTATTCATAAATTTTTCGTGGAACTTAGCCCAATCATCTATCCATTCAGTGCCTGGAGCTAAGAAAGTTGTTCTTAGATGCCAAGTACCTGGGACTTGACCAAAACCGCTTCCTGGAACGGTACAAATACCAGTGTTCTCCAAAAGTTGAGCACAGTAGAACTCATCAGGAGCCATTCCAGCTTGTGCAGCTGCAGTCTTTGCCTTTTCAGATAGAGTGAGTTGTGGGAAACAGTACATAGCACCCGCAGGTTCTTGACAAGAGACACCCTTCATCTTATTGAAGGCCAGGTAAAGCTTGTGTGATCTTTCTTTTAAAGCGTTGAAGATGCCCAGTTTTTCTGACCGGAAAGGTCCATGTGAAGGGTGAGACTCATGTGGAGGATTGACCATTAATGAAACTAAAGCTTGACCGATAACAGGAGGGCAAAGAGAGATAGATGCCAATTTCAAAATTTGTGCGAGAACTGACTCTTGAAAGCCAATAAGTTCCATGTATCCACCTCTTTGGCCACACTCACCTATCATACCCTTAGAAGTGGAATGAAGGGATGCAAGTTGCACATCAGCGTACTTAACTGAGTCAATTTTTTGCAGGTCTCTTAAAACTTTCTTCACTGAAACAAATTCTCCTTCGTACACATTTTCCTGATAAACCTCATCTGCAATAATTACAAGACCGTGCTCAGCTGCAACGTTAATTATTTCAGCAATTCCTTCTGCGGTTAAAATAGAACCTGTTGGGTTACCAGGATTGATCAAAACAATGGATCTTGGCTTGACACCGTCCTCTTTAGCTTTAGCAATAACCTTCTGAATTTCTGAGGCAGAAACAGACCATTTTTCTTCCTCATTCAAGTAGTATGGCAAGACAGTTGCGTTGTTTAGAGCTAATGATGCTGTGTATAGAGGATACTGCGGAATTGGAATCAAAAAACCTGTTTCTGGACCGTTGGACAATAGGCTCAACAAGTAGTTAACAGCGGAAGATGCACCAGCAGTTAGGTAGATGTCTTCAGGGTTTGCAGGATGATCATCTCTGTCCTCGATGTATCTTGCAACGGTTTTTCTGAAGTAAAGGACACCCTTAGAGTGGGAATAAGCACCAACAGAAACCAAATTTTCCATGATCTCGTTAGCTCTGTCAATAGCATCATGTGGGAAAATCTGAGTCACGTTTTCATTCTTGAGAAGATCTGGGTATTCGATCAACGCTAACACTTGTCTGTAGAAGGTGATTGGCTTTTGGTCGAGCTGTTGCGGGTTACCGATATTAGCTGCAATGATCTTGTCGAAAGGAAGGGCATCTGGGTCGCTCTGAAGAGTGTCCTTCAACTGCTCGGCCATAGTAGGGATTTTGCCACGGACAGCATATTTGGCAATTAAGGCGTGTGGGTTCAATTCTCTGTCTACCAAAGGTGAGGCAGGCTTGAAATTAGCCTTGGCGATCTCTGCTAGCGTGGAGTGGGACATTTTTGACAGTTTAACAAAGGGGTGACGGAAGGGTAACATAGATAGTATACACAGGCAACGCAGTTGTACTTTTGGAATTACCCTGAAAGAGTAAAGGCAGTCGTATTTAAGCGGAAACGGTTTGGGTAAGTTGGCACGATACCGTGAAAAAACTGAAGAACTCTTGTCCTGCAGCTCCAAGCAGGCCGCTCAACTCCACCTCGAGTTTTCTCGTCTCTCACTCTCTCTGTCTGCCGGCGATGATTCATAGTGTGCGGCTTTCTCCAGATTTGCATTTTTTTATTAGCCGTTAGCGGTTGGGAGCTTTTATTTTCTCGCGAGAGCGGCCGGTGCGGGAGTTGCCGTTTCGGGAAGTCCGACGAGAAGAAGTGTTGAGGGCCGGTGGGGAAGTCCCGACGGCTTTGACAGATTTTGACATGTTTCCACGAGCCTGAGTAGGATCTATATAGTTACACCGTCTATCTAGGAGTAAAGCGGTGAGAAGGGGGCCGTGGAAGGAGGCGGTGGAGGGGGTGGCTTTTTTGGGCGCCCTGATTCCGAGTTCACAGTGGCTGTGCTGCCTATGCTGTCGATGGAGAGAACAGAGATTGTTCGGTCGTTTTTTCTAATGCCATGAATCATAGGATCGCTGTTGTTACCTATGCCTTGACCGTAATACCTATTAACCTCTGGATCGCTGAAAGTGGGAATAGAGCCCTTGCGATAGCGGACAGCACGGGAAGGGGGAGGCGGCGGTGGTGTCGCTGCTCCTGGAAGAAGCGGTGGCGGAGTAGGTGAGCCGCTGCAGCTGCCGCTGCCGCTGCCAGTTAGTTCGGGTGCCGCACTGGCAGCATCAAATGATGCATGCCTGCCATTCCTACGCTCAGCTGGGGGTGGAGGTGCCGGCTTGGGTTGCGGGATACAGTTGAGATCGTTCGCAGAAACATTCCGGCTACGAAGGTACGGTCTTGAGGGGGGTGGGGGTGGGGGTGCAGCTATTGATGACGACGTTCCTACCGCAACGTAGGACAATGGTTCTGATCCAGAAGGAAGAGGTGACAAAGGAGACTGTTTTTTGTGTACTGTGATCCGTGGAGGAGGAGGCGGGGGTGTTCCACTTCCTCCTGCGAGTCTGCTGCCCTTGGTATTGTTATTAGCAACTCCATTGGTATGGCTGTCTGCATTACGCGAGCCGCCAATGTGGCTGCTGCTGAGGTTGAGGTGGTCAAGAAAAGGTATTTTGCCACTTTCTAAATGCAGGGTATGGGCAACTTTATGCGGCGATATGATATGATGGCCAGTCGGGGATCGTGTGACCTGTTGTATGATATGGGATTCAAAGTTAAGGAGCTTGGCTGCTGGGGACAAGAGAATATGGGTTTCGTGACCTATTTTGTGGATACGGTCCTTGGTGGTCAAGTCCGGACAAGAGCCATACCGTCCTCTATCACTGTCAGGCTGGATTTGCAGTTTTGACATTGCCGGCAACGTCTCTGCAGAATTTTGGAAGCTTTGGAAAAAGCGACAATCAATGCATCTTTTAGCAAGTATTTTGGTTTTGTCAGAGGCATCATCTGAAGAGTGCGTATATTTCAACACTTCTACTAGCTCATCCCTTTTGTAGCTATTGTTTTTAAGGTCAGTCTCGGTCAAAATGCAGTATAGGACTCTTAAATAAATATTCACCAAATACTCAGCTTTACCAATCTGTAGATTGAAGAGTTGACGGATTATAATGTCAACTATGACCTTGAGGTCATTCAGATATACCATGCTGTTGGTTGCGGGATTCGAAAACACAGTGTATAGAAACTTCAACATTAAGATTTGATCAACTCTATCCATTTCTCTATTAAAGTTCAAGATGAGAATTTCGTTGAAAACCTGGAAGTACTGTACCTTTTCAATCATTGCCTCTACAATCAAATTAGTATTCTCTTCATATTTGACCTTCAATCCACACTGAAACATGTATTGCTCGTTAAGAACTAGTAATAGTCTGAACTTCAAAAAATTCACCTCATCCTCATCTCTGGCTTGAACTTTCAAATTGTGGAAGAGAGAAATTATATCACTCTGCTGGAAGACCTTCAATTCATCAGAAAAATTGTAATTTTTGCAAAGCTCAAACATCAAAGACATGTAGTTTTTGTAGCTGTTTCCGAACATGTCAGTCCCATCTTGTACAGCCTCGGAAATGGCAATATAATTTTTCAAGACCTTGCATAATGTAGTAAACCCGCTATATTCTTTCAAAGTTTCCAAAAGCTCTTTTTTGTAATGGACATAATGTTTATAAAAAATCCAGCCAATAATTTTAATGAATTTTTCATTGGTATCTATAGCGTCATTGACCTCATCTTTGACGGTATCGTCAAGAGCATTAACATTGAGATTTAAATTGTGCAAATTTAAGTCAACAGAATATATCAACAATGACAACATTTTTCTTATACAAAATTCAACATGTGTCTGATAATATTTGAAGTTCATTAAGTATTCTGCAACTGCATCAAAAAAGGTGTCCTCCCCAACTTGGGCAATTAACGTATTGCAATATTTCGCCACAAGTGTGATAAAGCTGACCAACAAGGTATTTATCTCATCCTCTGTGCAAATCTCAAGATTGTAGTTTTCAGAATTTGTACCATCGTTATCAAATTTATCCTCTTTCTGTTCTTTGTGATCATCTGAAGAAGTATCATCGGTAATAGTCTTTTCTATGTATTTATTCTTGAAATGCTTTGTGAAATATAACTTTGTATCTGTGTCATAAAAAACCTTAGTATATAATAAATCATCCGTCAGTTCCCAAAACTTTTCTGGGGTAATATCATCTCCCTCCAACTGAAGTTCAATTGAGTCTTTACTACTCATTTTAACTGAAGTACTTTTAGTTCATATACTGTTCTGTATACTCTAGTTGAAAAAATCGAAATGGCAATTGGTTGTAAACAGTCGAAAAGTGGAAAAATGCAAGAAGGAATTGACTCGTGTCCCAAATAATCCTGCTGTTTGAATTTAAAGATCAAGGAGTTCAAAAAGAAAGAAGGAAAATGACAGGTATAACCACTATGCTTGTTGACTCGAAAAAAAATGGATCAAGGAGAGGACTTACACAACAAAATAGTCGCGTGCTACCTGACCTGTAGCTGCAGTTCTTGCTAAAGTTGCTGTTAAACCGATCTGCCCCAGGAATATTGCTTTGCAGAGTATATTTCAAAAAGTACACCACCGAACATCCCACCTTCATCATGCAACCTTTCCGCAAACATGTAATGCGTGGTTGGTAGCACGAGAGTTATTACGTCAGCTGCTTTTGCATAATTCTTAAGAGAGAAGACTACAAAACCTGCTTCCTACAGAGCCTTAATGAACCGTCAAATTTGAAAAGGTAATAGAGACACCAAGTTCCGTTTAGTATAACTAGTAGGTTGTATCTGGCAGTCCTTTAATTTGCCGGACAATTAGTACGGATCTATGAAATGTATTTTACATATAACAATTCCGGGGAAGAACATGCTCTAGGCCTCAAAGTTCTTTGAAGTGAGACACTTTACAATGTAGGATTTAAAGTGTACACACTACAACAAAAAGAGAAGAGAAGAATCCTGCTTTTTACACTATCAACTTATCCCGATTGCTTTTTCATGGAGGATAGATATCGATCAATTTTGAAGAATAGACTGCCTATCTAATGGCCCTCGCTAAACCTCTCAAAAAGTTATCTTCGCCTTCCCTAAGTTTCATACGTCAGGTGGACTGGCTGCGTAGGAAAGGTGGCGTAACGTTACAGTAGTCATACACCAGCATACTCAATTGAAAGACAATGCAACAGGGATTAGTCGAAGTATGATTTCCTTTTTTTTATATCATTTTTGTTACGCCAAACCATGATATTAACATAATTTGATCAGATCTACCAATCCGAGCAAGATGCCGAACGGGCCACTCATAATGGGGATTATGCTTCAGCGGTTCATCATCATAACAATGCCGTCACAAAGCTCAACATGCTAGTAACAAGACTGTTGCAGCGTAACGTTCAAGACGAATTTGGTGTCGTAGATTCACTAGTTGTTTTGAAGAACCAGATAGCATCTCGCATGAGCCAGTTGCAAACATTAATTGCTACGGAACAAGCTAAGCAAGTAAGAAACTCTACAAATGCTACAGGAAAGTTGAAAGCGGCTACACCCGCATCAAACGGTAAAGATCTATTGCTAAAACAAACATCAGGCTCTCCCTCGCCGGGGCCTGTACTATCTACCCTCGAAAACACATCCCTTCAGCTGTTTAACTCTTCACTAGCTGAAATAGAAACGTCTTTGCTCAAAAACTTGAATATCAAGATGAGTGATATTCCCAGCAATTCAAGGTCATATAAAGTACCCATGATAAATAAATCACAAATCAATCAAATTGAGCATTCTTTACAGTTGCTCAACTTCAAAGGATCGGATGACTTGAAACTACGAAATGAATATTTAACCAAGTTGAACATGTTTTACTATAGTGAGATGCTGGCTCAGCAAGAAGTCATCAAAGATGTAGTTTCCGTTGTAAAAGATCTCGAATCAGGCATGGAAAATAATCCTAGGTGGACAAAAGTAAACCAGATAAATGACGAATCTGTGCTTACTATGGTAGGAGAGTTACAGCAGCGTATCTCTGACCTAGAAAGAGAAAAGGTTCACATGGAGAATGAAATTGTGAAATTGAAAGAAAGATGGAATAACTTGGTTGAAGGTGCTCGTCGACGCAAAGAGCAAGAGAAAGAGTTATACATTAGCCGAACTGACATATCCCCCGTTAATATGGACCATAATAACTACAGCGACAAGCCCAATTACAATGAATGATTGATTGTAACCTGATTATTTTCACGAGGCTTATGTTTATAATAAAATTTTGAGTAGAATCTTTACTTAACTTTTTTTTGGGATCAAGATCAATTTACTGCATTAGTTTTAATTTATAAAACAAGGACATTAAGCAGTCAAGATTAATGTGAATCAGTCGACTGATATTCAGTTCGTAGAAGCATGAATCATTTCTTCTTTGTTGATTAAATGCTCGACTGTTTCTATGCTTTCCAGTAGTTTATCGATGCTTCCACTCCAATCGTTCAGCAACTCATTCTCAGTCTTTGGCTTTATGAAGTTGACAACTTTGAAAGGCCTGTTAATTTTTGCAAACAAATCACCTTTGTTAACCAAATCAATTATGAAGCCTTCGGTTTCTAGTTGATTCAACTCCAATAAATGACATAACCTCTCCAATTTGATACTAGAGTAATAGATGGAGATCACTCTCAAGTTGAGTTCAGTCACCCTTTTTTTCAAATCTTTGAGATGTAGTTTGCCCTTCTCGGTATTCTCGTCAAAAATGTTTTCATACAAGAGCTTAGCAACAATTACTTCCTCAAACTTCTTCCAGCTGATCAACTCCTTTGTTGTAAACACTTTGACTAATTCCTGCTCTACTGGCAACTTTGACAAGTTCTTATCTACTGCAACTCTTGATATAAGATCATTTTGAGAGTTAGAATACGGAGTTAAGACTATGTATGCGGCAACCTGTTTCAAGTACTTAATCGCGTTTTTCAAATCACCTTGTATTTTCGGAATGTTATATATATTCAGATTGTATTTGACTATGTTTTCATAATCATCTTCAAAAAGTGCAATCTCTGTAATCAATTGATAGTATCTCAACTTAAGATCAGCAAACTTTTCTAAAGTCCTAATTAAAATCTTTCTTGATAGAATTTTAGAGAACTGAAAGTCGCCCTTCAAATTGTTCAACTTCATCTGGTCAAGAATGAACTCAATTTTGTCCTCTATATCCATGGAAGCATATGTCTCAACTTGCAACTCTGATAAAACCTCGCACGCTTTATCTAAATCATGCTTCTCATTCAATAGAATATCACTCAAAATCTTTGTAACTCTTGCTCTCTCAATTTCTACAAAAATCTTGTTTTCAGTCACTATTCTGATTGTTTCAATTATTTTCATTTTTGTATCAAGGTCCTTAATTGCGTTCAAATTTTTGATGACTTCCTGTATCAAAGTTTGGATAGATTCTTTTAATTGACCATGCTTCTTTGATAGCAGGGTGATTTGTTCATTTAACAACTCCCAGTCCTTGGCGTAAACCAAGAGATCGGTAAGTTTCACCATAATCCTTTTCGAAGAAACTCCATCAGAGGCTTGTCTTGTTTGTTTCTCCAACAAAAGAAGCTTGTCCAAGGCACTTTTATAGTCTGTCTTGATCAACTCGTCAATTTGGGTGAACTGTTCATTCAATGTTTCGGTATAATCTCTTTGCGGCTTTTGAAATGGATCGCTCGACATGTTTCCGTTGAATGCTTATTGTATCCTTAAAAAGAGCAACCTTATAACAACAGGGAGTCGTTTGAACCCTTTTGTTTCTAGTTCATGCTGCCCATTGAGGACTGATTTGCCACCGCTCGTCGCCAAAACCATAATCTTGGTGCCCCCTATATAAAAAAACAAGCTTATGTCAGCAGATTTGATTTCCTGCACATGATCCCGCCAACTTTCGGACCGAAATGTAACGCCTATTTCAAAAGGACAACACCCTGGTGACAAGAAGTGTGCATCTTAAGAGCTCTATTTAGCACCATAGAGCAACTGACTTGGCCATGGATGTTACGTCGTCATTTGTGTCCCGTTCGGTCACGTCCACGGTAAACTTGAATTGGGTTTTCCTAGTAGACTGGATCATAATATTTTTTGCATCAATAGTCTTTATATTCTATTTCAATAGGATGGTCGGATATGTGGTTACACAATTTGTCACACATGTGCTCTGGAGGCGACGGAAAACCAAGTTATCAATTCAGGCGATCAAGATCAACCTTTTAGGAGGCCGCATATTTATAAAAAACATGGCTGTAGTCACCAAAAGTGAACTCATATTAGTTCACAGTGCAGTTCTAACATGGAGGTACTGGCTACAATTTGTTAGAACGTCACAGTTTTACGTTCAAGAGAAAAATCTCAATAATACGGTGAATAGATCATTACCTTCAAGGTTCATCTTAGAAGTCACCGGTATGGAGGTATTTGTATACAATAGAAGTTGCGCATATGACGATATTGAAGAAATCCTGAAATCAGAAGCCAGGCAGCATCAAGAAAAGCACTCAAAACACAACCATAAGCATTTTCCTAATACCCAACATAAATCACATGACGGCAAAAAATTTTCCGAAGACGTTACAAGTAGCAGTCCAAGTGAACACGCTACATACTCGTTAAAACATAGGAGAAACCGCTCGTCGTCTTCTTATGGGGCTTCTACTTCAACAATTCCTTCAGCAAAGGCCAAAAAAGAAGAGGACCTTAATGCAGATTACAGCCAAGAAAAAGCTGAAAACGAAAGTTTCCAAAATAACAAGTTCAAAAAAGATGAAGAAGACCAAAGTACAATAACCACTACAGAAGTAATGGATTCCACCTTTCTTGACTTTTTACCTTTCGAGGTCAAAATTTCCAAAGGCTCCTTTGTTTTAGGGAATGAAACCACATCTTCTCTTTATGTTGCTTCATTTAATAACATGAGTGGACAGATTGATGCAAGCTTGCCAGGATCGGCTCTCGACTATTATAGAACACACTATGATTTCACTGTCACAGATTTGAAAATAGATTTGAAAACAAACGTTACCTTTAAAGATATAGATACTTTAGAGAAGAAAATTCAAAGCATTAATAATAAGAAGAAGACAAAAAATTTCATCTCTATGATATCAGGTTTGGGACACAGTATAAACGCTTTGCATGTACTTTTCAACAAACATAAAAAAACATCATTTACTTCAGCAGATAGTGAATTACAAAAGAATTTGAACAATGGCATTGAGGAATGGCATGGATTAGAACGCTATCTAACAACGGTTTCATCATCAGATTCAGATCTTGATTCACGAATGTACGATTATGATAAGCAGAGAATGATTGACACCGAATATGCGAAGTATTCAAACATCTTAGATGCTCAGAGATGTAAGATCAACTATTATTATGACTCCCAGGGCTTAGTTCCGGCGGAGAAGGTTTCTTCAGATTGTATAGAGGATCCTGATATTGGCAACAAAGATATTCCGCCTATGTTTGGCGTGGACATTACCCTTTCTGGTGCCACTGCGTGCTATGGTCCATGGGCCGAAAAACAACGTGGAAGCTTGCATCATCTATTGTTTCCTCCACTATATCGCAACTCTGTCCCATTCAAAAAGCTAAAAACAGGAATGAGGCGGCAATATGTAAGCTTTGATTTGTCCATTCAATGTGCCGATGAGATGGTTTTTCGCATTCCACATAGAGAAGAAAGTAAAGATATCAATTTTCTCAAAACCAATATACCTACGTTGCGACACTTTGGGTGGCTGGATTTGAAAGTGGCCGAAGGCTCAATTACTGATGTTTCAGTCTCATTCATTTCAACGGTGGAAAAAGGAGTTGATAACAAGATCAATGCGGTATTTGTAAAGCCAGAAATTTCGACAAGTGTGAACCATGACATACTATTCGAGGCAGACGAACATATACTTAATGCTAGCGTTGCATTCCCATTAGAATGGAATAGTTTAGCAGACTGGAAATTTGAAAATATTTCTAAAAATGTGAATATCTATTTGCTAAGAGAGCATATTACTCTACTAACAGATTTATTCAGTGACTTCTCCTCCGGTGCACCAACCCCATATGAGTTGTTCAGACCTTTCATCTACCGATTCAATTGGAAATTATACGACTACTCAATCTACTTGAATATTAACGAACAAAACATTATCAACAATCCCCTTGATAAGACTATAAATACTTACTTGACTTTCAAAGGCGCATCTTTACATTTGACAACAACAATTCCGATAACCTCAGTGTACAAAAAGTCTAACACGGTTGACTATATATTAGAAACTAGCTATTTTGATTTATCTATTGAACACCCAACATCTAGCACTTTTTCTAACTTTACCCAAACAGAAGAGATAGGAAATGCAAACAATTTTAAAATGGAGGGCTCTTATACATACTTCAGTTTCTTGGAGATTGACTCAGTTGACACTATCATAATGAATTGCACTTGTGATGATACTACTGTTAAAGTTTATGGTTTTGCAGTAAAGTATTTTATGTCTTTGAAAGAAAACTATTTTGGTGATTCTACACATTTCCAAAACTTGTTAGAATTTAGAGATAGCTTCGGAACTGAAGAAAAAGATTCAAACGCTTTTGAAGGAAAAAGAATGAAAAATGAAACAGACTTCATGTTTTCCTTCTGTGTCAATAATGGGTGTCTAGTTTTTCCATGTCATTTGTACGATTGTATGTCACATTTGGCGTTACATTTTGATGATCTTGATATCGATATCAGGAACAATAATTACTATATGGATCTCCAAGCTGATTTTTCTGAAATCAAAGGGCGATATGTTGAGAACTGCGATGAGTCTGTAATATTTGCTAACACCAAATCTAAACTTGAGTTTGAGCCACAAATTTTTATAGACGGTCTATCAGTTCATAGCATTCGGATTTTTGGTCTACCTCCTGCGGAGCCTACTTATTTTTGCCGATGGACTTTTGATTCAGGGGACATCAGTATTATTTCAGAACCCATTTTTTTGGATGCTATTTCTCGTGCTGGGATGTCATTTAAGTTTGGCCATAAAGATCTTGAAAATTCTTTAGATCTACCACAAGCATCCGTATTAGATATTCTCAATCTCCTATTCAAGTGTCCTGCTGTTCATATCACCCTGAAAAGTCTAGATTACGTTTTCAAAGTCAGCTTGATAGATATTTCATTTAAGAACTCTGACCAGCCTACTCCTTGCTACAATGGTCTTATAGATTTAATAATCAGAGAAGTTTTAGTCGAATGTTATCAAAACAAAATCCAGCTATTGAAAGTTGTTACTTCGTTGGAGGTCAAGAATTTCATACAAAACAGAGATTCGTTTGAAGTCATGAAAGAGCAATCAATGCATTTGAAGAAACACGATGCTTCTTTTCATAGGACGCCATTTTTGATCCCAGAATTTGCAAAAGATAGGAAGTACTACAAGAGTTTCAATTCTTTAATCTCTTCTTTATATTTGCCGGACCCTCCACTGCCACTCACCTCAGAAAGTTTAGATATGATTATTGATAGCTTTCCCTTGAATGTCCAGAAAAAGCTTTTCGAGTCTTTTTCTTCCCTTGAAGACAACGACGACGCTTCAGAAGAAGCACAAAGATTCAGTTCTAACTTAGAAGATTTTGGAATTTTGAAAGGGTTAGATCCAAATTGCGAATATGACAATTTTCCGATAAAACTTGAGAAACTTGAGATCTTTATTTCGCCCGCAGTTGCACCAATACTTGTCGACATAATCAGCAAAATGACAGACTTCAACATGTATTCATTTCTTGATGAGCTCCAAACACAATTCATAACATTTTTCAATTTTAGAAAAAAGAACTTGGTCATGAGATGTAAGGTTGAGTGTCCTTTGATTACCTTCAAAATGGCAGATTCCATTAATGCTACAGAATATCTATTTGTGGGCATTTCAGATTTAGTTTTTGCCTTCTCCAGATCTGATGTGGCCAGTTCCTCTGCAATGAATATTTATGCAATTTTCAAAGAACTTAATATTGACTTGATAAAGGACATGGAAGATGCAGTATTGATAACATTTTATCGACTGTTATTCAAACAGTCTTTTGAAGAGAAGCATATTTCCACAGTGGATTTGGAAAACCTTTCTATCTTTGTTGATCCTGCATATGCTCCTTGGATCATCGACTGGGGTTATGAGCTCAAAGATCTGATCGGGCAAGCTTCTGCCAAATGGAAGGCATTCCAAAAGGATAAACACTCAGCTGGAATAGAACTTTTATACGATTTATCAAGAGGTGGAATTGATTTTAATATCAGTCATGATCCTCCGTGCATCACCAAGCCCTCCTATATTACCGGTTTCCGCAAAAATCATATCAGAACGGATGGAAATTGGATGATAATTCCTCGCTTGAGACACGTTTTGCAAAATCTACCTCTTGATTGGATTTTAAAAAAGAATAAGATGTTTTCTCAAAAATTGTGGGAAGCACCTAAAGATGCAGAAGATGAGGTTTCCATCATTTTTGGAAACTGGAGGTGCTGGGACAATCACAAAACGAAAGATAATTTTATTTTTAAACAAGTGTTTGACTCTGAGATTGAGAAGAGAGCTGAAGTTTATAACACTGTCAAGGTTACCTTGAAGAATTTCTCGGTCGGAATCAGGCCTTTCACTAATGCAATCATTGTTTCTGATGTTTCATTCTTTTTGAACGAGGAGGATCTCTGCAGGAAAGTTAAAGAGTTTGCAATGCCGTTGTTGGACCGCCCTATAGAAAAAAGTTTAGACATCACCTTCAAAGTTCAGTCAGTGGCTACCAGTTTCACCAAAATTCACAGACTCTTTGATGTTTTATATCCACTGACAAAAGAAATCAAAGCAACTTTAAGTAAACATACAGCCGTTGGACAAGATTTGGACAATGACGATGACATGGGATCCACAGCATCGTTGAACGATGTTGCTAGATATGAAGCTGCAACTCCAACTTTGATTACCTTCAATTTTTCATTAGCTGACTATTCACACTCTCTTGGAATTGATGAGTCCATATTAGTTCTTTATGGGCAGGGTATTGATCTGACTGCCTCTTTGATTAAGGCAGAGGAAATGTTATCATGCACCTTAAACATTAAAAACCAGTTTCTTGCAACCGAATTACATGTGGGAAGAATTCCAATCTTTGAGTTGAATTGTGAATCACATAATACCACTCTTATTAACACCGGATCCTTCGATTTGGGTAAAACTGTTGTTCTTATATCAAATGAGGTTGTCAGTTTCAACTTTTTACCCGACACACCCCACCTAGTTAAAGTTCTAACCCTTTTCTCTGAGAAAGAACTGAAATCATTAATGTCTGTGATTCGTTCTTTTAAGGAATCAAACATAGGGTCGTCTTTGTCTGCTGCATCTTTACCGCTAACCTCAAGCTCTTCTGGAAATGCTGTTATAGAGAAGCTAAAATCCAACCTCTTTTCTAAAATACGAATGGACATTTCAGCTTCAATTAGTGTTTCGAAATTTTCATTTCACTTCGAAATGATTGCACCATTTTTCACCAATTTCAATATGACGGAACCAGTTTTGTCGTTAAAACTTGGAAGCTTTGGGGTGTTGGCTGAATTTCTTATGGAAAGGTCTGATTGGTTTGTGGGTTCACAGTCCAAGAAATCGGTTTTTGAGTATGTTACAACTTCATTCGACAAGTTGAAATTTTCATTGTCGGGACATTACAAAGGAGGAATATATGAGACACTAGTTACATTGATTACAGGTATTGTCAGGATCAATTTAGCACATAATAATCTTGTTAACGTACTAAGCAGAGGGAAAAGTGATACTGAGTTGATGCTGAAGAATTTAGACTCGTTGAAAGCGGCTGCCAAACTACTTGGGAGAGCCGCAAGTATGTCTACGAATACTTCGAGCTCAATACCCAGTAATACTTCCAAATTAGATGATAATCTGTTTGTTGAATTAAGCAATATCATTCATTTGTTTTGTGATATTAATTTTGGAAATGTCATAGCTACTGTGAATTTAAATGGAAACAAATTTCATCTAGACTGCATCAAGCCCAAGCTAAATGTGAAAACATTTGACCCAATTATAAATAAGTTCTCCCCACATGGAAAAATTACTTTACCTTCTACGCGTATTGCTATGGGTTTAAATGGCGTTCATGGTGTTTCAACCATATTTGACATACGCTCTTGCGTTGAAGTTAGAAATCCCGACAATGTCATGCACAAATCCCAAAGATTTGATGTCAGAACCGATTACTGTCGTCTTGTTTTGAACCCACATATTATTGATGAGCTCATTGAGGCTTATGGAGATATAGCAATATTAATGGAGCCATCGGAGTCAAGATTTGTACAAAATAGTGAGCCGATTGACTTAGATGAAAAGATAGATAGCATTCTTTCTTATATTTCAATCAATATCGTTGCAAAAAACGTATGTTTTGGTTGGTTGTTTGACGAAGAGGATATTTTGTACCCAGAGGTGGCTCCAGGTATTATCATTGGATTTGAAGATACGTTGATTTCTTGTGCTAAAGATGGAGGTAAACTTCAAACAAGGGGCATGTATATATCTGCTGCTCATGGATTTACTCCTTCCACATTTTATTCAGCCAACAGTGAAAAGTCTAGTGATAACCGTGCATATCTTCCTTTGTTTAATCTGATTTATTCAATTGAGTCTGACTCAAAGATGAGAAACTTCAGATCACAAGTGAATGGTGACAAAATTGATTTCAAGTTTCAGACAGATATTATATCGATTACCGAGCCACTGTGGTTATCTATAAACTCTTTACAAGAAAAGTTTATGTATGTACAAAGTGTTGTACAACAAAAAAGAGACAAAAAAACAAAACGTCACAGGCAACCGTCAGATGAACCTGCCAGCAAATCTCCTTTATCTCCGTTTTCTAACACATTTAAAATGACTAGCATAAGCTGTGTTTTCAATTTCGCTGGGGCATCATTCTTTATTTACAACTCGCATATTGAGATTAATGGTGCAATACCTATTTTGAGTTTACAATCTCCTAGACTTTATGCAATTCTCAAATATTCGCATGACATACTTGCGCTAAAGAAACACACAATATTTTTCAGTGCACTAATATCAGAAACAAACAACAAACTTTCATGTTTATGTGTTCCCGTTTTGCAAGATATTATGAAAGGATTTCAGGAAATGATGAGAAGATCGAATGGTAAAAATGCTGTTGTGTCCAAGGAAACTTCAAATAACGGTATTGACATTGTTAACCTTTCTGAAAAAATAAATGTTAACTTTTCATTGAAGATTGAACCGCAGAGTTTGGCTTTGACCTGTGAACCTCGGGCAAATGTTGAAGCAGAAGTGGGTCTTGAGGAAATCCACTTAATCATCAAAACTGATCAAGATTTTCTATCCGTCGTATTATCTATTCAGAGCTTGAGATCGGAGCTAAAGCATGCATATTCAAAAGTTACAAGCGGATCTGTACATGCCAAAAGGCTGACAGTCAATGGTGCTATGACATCCATTGAAGGTGAAAAGAAATTTTGTACTGTCGCCAAATTGGATGAAGCAGAAGGTTTTATAAATATACAACAACGTCAAGATTTGGATCTATTCAAGGATTTGTGGCTGCCGAGTGGTTTCAATAACTCTCTACTTGTTAAGAAAAGTAAATCTGTCGATGAAAAGAAAACTTTTGCCTCGATGCTTCGTGAAGTTTCTACCACCACAGCTTTTCCTTGGGTTTTATCGCTATTGGTTGCTAAAGTATCGGCCAAAGTTGACTTAGGCAGCTCGTTAGGGGAGCTAAATGTCAATATACAAAACTTCATGGCAGTTTCCACAAAATCAATGGAATGGGACCAAAATTTAAAACTTGAACTTGATATGCTTCAAATTGAATCTCGAGGGAGGCTGAGTGGTATGTTAAAAGCTGAAAATACGAGAATGACATCTGCCATATCGTGGAAAAAGCATGGGGAAGTTTTGGTTGTTCCATTGGTGTTGTTATCCTTTGGCTTTGGTTGTTTGCAAACAAAAATATCCCTAGATTTCCACCCATTTTTTATTTTGGAGGTTGTCAAATTTGGGGTCACGATATACAATCAGCGTCAAAAGGATACCCATGATAATTTGAAAAGCAGTTTAAATGTAGAATCAATCAAAGTCTTCATGACTGCACTGACAGCCTCAAACTTTGTTGATGTCTATACCATTGGACTACGGATTAGACAAGATATCAAACTGTCCTATAGACAAGTTTTGAATGACGCCCAGCTAGGCATTAATGAGAATATGAGTAAATCAGTAGAAGCTAATACACTGGAAAGGGAAGAATCTAAAAACACCGTGGAGCTTACAACCTTATCACAAACATTTTTGAGCATGATTGAGAAGCTGAAAACTTATCTGGAAGTCAATATTGGGATGTTAGAAATACAAGTGTTTCCGAGTAGTTTATTAGATTCACAAGCACTGGTCATCAACATTGGTAAAGAAAGAGCAATGTTTTATCAAAATAATGTCTTAGACACAGAGAACAGGCTCTCACTAGATCTGGCTGACATCACCGTTTCCTTGTCCAGTTTTAAGAACAAACCAACTGCGGAGGCACTAAATGATGAAAACAGTATCAAGACTTATTTAGACATGGTAAGTACACCAATTGCGGATAACATATTTGTCTTTCCTACGTTAAAGATAATGATGGTAACTTCTCAAAATAAGGGCGACAATGTCATTGACTACAAGTATGTCTGCAAATTTGGAGGTAAAGTAGACATCAAATGGAAAATTGGATCTGTTTATTTCATAAGGCAGATGTGGTATTCACATGCAACTACGTTGAGCAACAGACTTACTGCGTTGCGTATATATACTTCGGACGAATACAGCGGCGAAGCGGAAGAAAACTATAAGGAATCTCCATTTGAATCCGTGAATTTAGAAGACCGATTAAAGGATGTTGAGAGTGACAAAAAGTTCACATATAATGCGATTGAGGAGCCTGATATAGAAACTCCACAGTTGAAAGATCTAGGAAATGCGACACCTCCTTTAGAGTGGTTTGGTTTACATCGTGATAAATTTCCAAACTTAACTCATCAGTTTGTTATAATAGGATTACAGAAAATTATCAGAGAAGTTGAGCAGAACTATTCGAAAGTTTTGAAGTAAGTTTTATAGATGTTTAACCTTTTCTACCATATGCATGTATATATGTATTATATTATAACTCCTACCAATAGTTCAGTCCTAAAGGGTTATCAAGGTCTTCATTGCTTTCAGTTGGTACTTATGTGCGTTAAAAGCAAAGAATAATTTCGCGTTTACGTAATGTGGTCGAGATCACGGTGACATTGTTTTATTGTCAATTTCTTCCTAGAAGAGGACCATTAATTGAGTTACATAGCAAAATAACAGTAACAAAGCTTTGGCGTAAATCTTTAGTTGTTACTCAGAACATGGCTTTGGATATAAGGGATTATCTTGCCAAGCTGCTCCAGAAAAACATTTTACTCAAGCAAGGAGCAGTTAAATTGTTGAACACACCCTCTATAACTCATTCAGCAAGATACCAGGCACAACAGGAGTTTCAAGAAGCACAAGAGCAAATTGTGCAACTTGAAAAACAGCTCGAGCTGTTGGAACGGCTACCACAATTCTCTAGAAAAGCTGGTATTCCAAGTGCTAAAAAGCCTGCCAAGAACTCCGAAACTTCCACAACATATTTGACCCCTAAAGCTGTCACACCAGATGTCCTTAATATAACCGGCTCAGCAACATCTGCACAAAACCGGTTAGATACAATGATTGAGGCATTAAGATTTGAGAATGACCCAAGAAGACAAGTTGAACTAACTAATCAAATATGCAGTTTGTTAATCTCCTCTGAAACGAAAAACGTCAGGTATCCTTCCATGTCGGTGATAATTCCGATTATATGGCCTATGTTGATGTCCAAACATAAGCCAGTTAGTGCCTGTGGCTACAAACTTTTGAGGTACTTTATGACCTCCCATGATGACGTTGTCATTGTGTTTTATCTCTATCACAAATATCATCATCATGACCGATACTATTACTTTCCCTACTATGATTATAGTAAAATCCACAACCAACAATACATTAATGATACTGAAACAGACTTATACGATTTCTTCAATTACTCAGATTTATACAAGCCAGAAAGCCACTACAATACATCAGAAAGAAATGACTTTAATATTAAAGCCAGAGAAACTAGGACTGTAAGCTCAAAGCTAACATTACCTTTGGTATCTGACAATACTGTAAAAAAATGGTGGCCATTGATTTTTCTGATTGTCTCAACATTGGTAGATGATAAGGGTACTGACGTATCCGAATGCATAAAGTTTATAAGGAAAGTGATTGAATTGAAAGGTATTAGGTTTTTGGGGTCCTTGAGTATCCGGGTCTCGGTAGCTCTTGCCGAATCTGTTATCGCTTCCATATCACTAAAGCTAAACAATTTTCAGAACTTTACTCCAAGCACCTTGGAATCAATAAAGCTATCCATCAACTTAGTTGAATGTTTATGTGAGGTTGTTGTTGCCGATTCAAAACTTGCATTTGAAACAAAGGTGATAAAATTTTTGATACAAATATTGATTGATCCTCCTTTTACTGTTACGCATCATCAGTTAACCAATATGGCAAACTCTTCAGCTTCTTCTGCATCGGAGATCACGATGACCATAAATATGATTAATAATGCAGTGAAGAACATATCCACAATTCCGTTGCCTGTAATTATCAATTTATTGAGAATTCCAAATACACGAAAATATTTAGTCGACTGTGGTTTTATTCCTCTTTTACTGTCAGCCTTATTGGATCCGCCTATTTTAGCTATAGCAAACACAACAATCTCACCAAGTCATGGTCATATGAACTCCCCAAAGATGCAGCATCTTGCTAGTATTTTGAGCGTAGTGATGTGCACATGGTCAGGGTTAGGTTTACTTTTAGAAAATGATGCAAGGTATTTGAGGGTGCTAATCGATGGATTATATTCTGAGCAAGTGTATGTTAGAACTGTGGTTATGAGTGTTATTGCTGGTGGTCTTCGAATTCGTAAGCTTACTGCTTTAACGGGTAACCATGATAGCTATGAGTTATGGGATTGGGAAAGAGCTTTCATTGCTGCCAACGGCTCATCGAAGACAAAAGAAACTGTAAATCCAAATGACCTTAATTCTTTGAACGTTATGAAAAATTTCAGTCTTGCTGATATCAGAACTAAATTAGGTGGAAGATGCTGTCCAGAATATGAGGACAATATAGTAAATCAGTTTACCGCGATCTTTTTGCAATCCTGTTTGCAGTGTGGTTTGATAGATGTTTTGAAAACGTTATTCAACAGTTTTGAGAATGATAAAAGAGCAACCAGGTGGATTGCCTTGCTATTATCGGAAATCTTGTATTTGCGGAGCAAAATAATTCCCAGTCAGATTGAGTTTGATTATACTATCAGCTTGAAAATGAACAGATTGATTGAGCGTGAATCACGGAAGCATGCTAAATTGAATCAAAAAGTCAAAGATGAAATCAACATAAATACCAATCAATTGATCAAGAAATCTGAAATTGCCGCAAATGGGTCAGAGTTGGCAATTGTAAGTATATTCCTTAAAACTACAACTATCTCATCATTGCATCCATTTATTAATTTACCAGCATCATCTGCGCCATTACTCGATCAGGTCACACTAGACAACATTTTACAAGATTTGAAAAACATTCCGGACGATGTGGACATCAGACCGATAATAGTTCAAACACATCTACCCGCTACAAAGGAATACAGAGAATGGAATTGGGCACTGATAAGTGTACTAGTAAGAGGTATTCTCTGGAATGATGCAAAGTTTGAGGAGACCCTGAAAACAACGAAGTTTTTCAAAAGGTTAATATCATTTTACAAACCGCAAAAGGCTGGATTTGTCCAAGTGGTTTACTACTCGACGGGACCTATTCCTGGATTCACAGATCGTCGTCAGCCACTTGACGTAGATTTTTTCTTGAACAGAGGCAAGGATAGCAAAGACAGAGACAGAGATAGAAGAATTAGCAGGAAGCAACGAGAAAAGATGGCCGAGATGTATGTCGATGTTGGCATTGCTTTAATTCAGCTACTTTTGTCAAAGCCAGAAGGAGCGGAAATATTGAGGGCCAGTGGTATCATCCAAACTGTATCCACCTCATTATTACGTGTATCGGGCGTTTTCATAAATGGTCCGGGAAATGAGCCTGGCAAAAACTGGGAGGCAGATAATGTCCCAGATAGTGGTGGTAGTGGCAACCGAAATTTTGCAGGCTTCTCTCTGGATCATCACGATAGCATGTCCTTGTTCAATCCAAATGAAGCTACTACTGCAGCTGGAGCTGCAAGTAACGATATGCATGTTTCAAAATCAGGTTCCGGTATAGGTGAATCTTCAGCATCTGCATCTACAGCTTCTACAACTAATGCTATTAGTGGCAGCTCTGGTGGAACTGGTATATCAGGTAGTTTTGGATTTTTTGATTCTCCAGGAGATAATGATACTATCATTGATGATAGCAATATTCTGAAAATGAAGAAAGAAGGGTTGTTTGGGCCTACAAGATTATTCAGTACACTTGCCTGGGGATATATTCGATTTATTGGAGTTTTGAGCTCACATCCTGTTGGTATTGTTATCATGGAAGAGTACGGTGTTGTGGACGCACTTTTTAGGTTGGTGCAGACTGGGCGGGACAACTTTACTAGTATGAAACATAGCAACGACCAAAATCAAAATATTGATATGATAAGATTCATTATCCAAGAAATTGATTTCAGGATCAGTGGGCAACTAAGATTTTTGATTGAAAAAGTTGCAGCTGTTGGAGATGAAGATGTTAGAGTGGAAGTAGTTGAAAGAATTATTGGTGAATTATGCTCTTTGAAAAAAGTAAATGATAATAACGATTATACTATCGAGAGATGGTGTGTTGGGTTGTTAGTTAGACAAAGTTATGATTTCAGTCTGAAAGTTTCGCAATTAGCCGTAAAAGGATTGATCAAATATGTTGAGGATGAACGTAGTGTTGATATACTACTTTCCTTCAATCCCGATTTGGGAGATATCAATGTCAACATGAACGTTAGAATTGGGAACAAAATGTATGGAGGAGTATTATTGTGGAAAGTATTAGGATACGAGCGTGGAGTTGATTATGTGAACTCAAGATCGAGCGGGCTTATTGAACAAATTGTTGAAGGATGGGCTGATAGTCGGCGGGAATGGGTGAATAAGTTAGAGACGACAACGTATAAGAAAATGCGTGGCATTGTTATTGAAGAGGAGGAAAGATACGACTATTTTGAACTTTTCCAGCGTTTGGTTAAGACAGAAAAAGGTGTCCAATGCATTGTCAATTCTGGAATTATCCAGCATTTTGTGCGTGTTATCCTAATATATTGCAAGTTCCTAAAGATGGGAATTGAGAAAGAATTGTATGGTTTAGGTAAGCGGAGAAGGTATGCCGGGAAAACAGAACGTGTGAAGAAAGGACGGAAAAGTTTTGCTGGTTCCAAGCCCGGATTCATCCAGAGTGTTGAAGATCGGAAGAAGCTTATTGGTAAACGCCCTGTATGGTACGATAGCAGTGACACTGACTATGAGGACCAGAGCCGAAGGAACAGTGCTGAAGAGAGCCACAATTCCACCCATGGTGGCGAGCTTCGAGACGCGGATCAAGAGGGAGAGGAACCTGAAGAAACAGATAGAGAAGACGACCCTGAGGATAGCTACAAGGAAGATAAAGAGCAGCAGGATGAGAAGGCGTACATTCGGAGGTGGGAGGACAAATGGTTGAATGACGAGGCGGATTCGCAGGGCTTGATTGAAGAGACGAAGTGTTCTATCTGGGCTCTCGGGTATCTTGGACAGACTGACTCTGGTATTTTTGCCATTGAATCTGTTCTTGAGAATGTCATCGAGGAGAAGAATAAAGCCAGGAGCCGAAGAAGGGGCGAGGTGAGAGGGAGAGGGAGAGCCAAGGAACCCCACACTGGTGACAGTTCTCGGCACAAGTATGACGATTACAGCGACTGTGACGAGGAAGAAGAGGAGGGTGAGAGTGAGGGCGGGTCGCCTGAGCGTGCAAAAGGAGCCGGAGGTGGGGACGGCGACGTCGGGAGTAGTGGGGAGAGAGAGTATGACGCGGAGGAGAGTGGCAGCGAGGACGAGGAGGTGCTGTTTGACGAGGACGAGCACTACGAGAACCGCAAGGGCTGGTTTGCGGATCGCAGCGAGCGGTACCGGGACAACAAGGACATCATAGAGAACTTCATTGAGATCTACAAGAACAGCATCAACTGGGAGCTACGCGGCAGCTGCATCACTGCGATCGGCAAGATCAGCGAGTGTGAGATGGGCTGCGAGATTCTCGAGGAGTCCAACATCGAGAGCATCCAGCGGGACGAGAGGGAGTGCGACGGGCGGGGGATCCGCGTCAGCTTGAGCAAGGAAGGGTTGATTGGCTACGAGCAGAAGAAGCGGGTGAGCGAGATGATTCGGCGCTGGAAGCGGGAGAACGGCGCCGGTGGTGAGGGGAGACGGACGGAGGGAGATGCTGGGGCACGCGGCGGCGGGGACGCCGGTGTCGATGACGCCGGTGGTGACAGCAATGGCGGCAGCCACGCCGTGGACTACCCCGGCCCCAACGACAACGGCCATGACGCCAGTGTCGACGGGGCACAAGCCCCGGGTGGCGGGGAACCGCTCCGCGAGGGCCCCGCGGCTGCCGAGATGGGGGTGGACCAGATCATCCGAGCGGTCTTGCACATGACGGATCTGCAGGACGCTGATGAGGACGACGACGACGGCGGCGACGATGGCGATGGCGATGGCGATGGCGCAGACCCGGCCGGGGATGGGGCAAACACAGTTCCCGGGCACGACGGGGACGCTCCGGACACCGGGCCGACCCACGACCCTGGCCACGGTCTCCGCCAACGTCTGCTGTCCCGGAGTTCCGCCGACGACGGGCCAGGGCCAGGGGCAGACGTCGGGCCCCGAAACGAGGCCCCGGCCCGCCTGCTCGGAGACCTGCGCCACGCCGGCGACGACGCCGGCGGAGTTGGCGGTGGCGCAGCACGCGCCGCCGCCCCGGCCGAGACGCTGGGCACGGAGGAGCTGCGCCGCCGGCTACGCGAGCTCTGTGGCGGGGTGAGCACGATCGTCGTCAACCAGGGGCGGGGGTCGCGACCGTGCAGCGGGCGCTGAAACGGCTGCGGGCACGGGCGCGGGCCGGGGCGGGCTCCGTGGTCGGGCGCGTGGCGGTGCAGGTGCTTTTTGCCGTCGTGGCGGCGGGGCTAGTGGTGCTGAAAAGCGGGGTGTTGCGCTTCCTTGTGGCGGAGCTGGAGCTCGGCAGTAGTGGTAGTGCCGGGGCCGGGACGGTCGGCAACAGGGGCTGCGGGCGCAGCGGGCGCAGACGCAGAGGCCGCGGAGAGGGCGGAGGCCGGCTGTAGCAGGACACGGCTGGTATGCTCTGTTGTGGGTGGACAGAGGAGGAGAAGCCAGAAGCAAGGAGGAGAAGCGGCGGAAGAAGAGGAGCAGGCGGCAGCAGGAGGGAGGGGCCGGAGTTGGGGCGAAGCGGGGTACGGGGGGCAGCAGGGGGTTTAAAAGGAAGGGTGTTTCCTGGCGGTTGGGAGAAAGGAAACGGGGGGTCAGAAGAGGGAAGGAAAGCTTGGTAGCGCCAAGCAAAGCTTAATAACACACGGCGGCACACCAGCACACCAGCACACCAGCACACCAGCACACCAGCACACGCAAGCATGTCGAACTTCAACGATATAGAGAAACAGGTGTCCCAGGACGAGCACTTGGAAAACACATCCCACACAAACACGTCGCCGCCAATGGGCTTGTACGCGGACGACACGCACTCGGACTCGAACTCGGAGAACTTGATCTCCAAGGTGGTGACGTCGTCGGACGGCAACTACGTGTACCTGGGCAACAAGAAGTTTGCGCGGGACGACTTGATCCAGGCGTTTGGTGGTACGCTTAACCCGGGGTTGGCCACTCCGTCGGCACACAAGTTTGCCAACCCGGCGCCGCTCGGGCTCTGTGCGTTTGCCTTGACGACGTTTGTGCTTTCGCTCATCAACGCGGGCGCCATGGGCGTCAAGAACGACTCCATTGTCGTGGGCTTGGCCATCTTCTACGGCGGCTTTGTGCAGTTGTTGGCCGGGATGTGGGAGATGGCGCTCGAAAACACGTTTGGTGCCCTTGCCTTGAGCTCCTACGGCGGCTTCTGGATGTCCTTCGGCGCCATCACCATCCCCTGGTTCAACATTGCCGCCTCCTACGAGGACCCGGTCGAGTTGAACAACGGCATTGGCTTCTACTTGATTGGCTGGTCCATCTTCACCTTCATGTTGACGCTCTGCACCATGAAGTCCACCTTGGCCTTCTTCTCCTTGTTCTTCCTCCTCGCCATCACCTTCTTGTTGCTCGGCATTGGCAAGTTGGGCGACTCCCACGGCTGCACCGTCGCCGGCGGCGTCCTCGGCGTCATTGTCGCCTTCATAGCCTGGTACAACGCCTACGCCGGTGTGGCCAACAGACAGAACGCCTACGTCCGTGTCCACGCCGTGCAGTTGCCCGTCTTGGAGAGCAGAAACTGAGCTGCCGGTCTTACCACAGCATCGCAACCTCTCTTCTAACTACGACACACACGCCTGTTTTCCTAATTTTTTACTAAAAAAATCTAATAATGAGCACCTTCTTCCTTCCCCCCTTTTTTCCTTTTAATGATACTTCTTTTCTTCTCTTTTTGTACAAACACAAATCAACTATTTATTTGATTGAAAATCATTTTGCCCCTCCAATTGTGCCTCTGTCTCACTTCTCGTGCTGGTTGGTGGTCACAAGAGCACCCGAAAACGCTGCCTCTCTCTCCTCCCGCTTTTTCTCCCCCGCATCGCCTCGCTAGCCTACGGGCCTGTGGTCCAAAAGATAATCGCTGTTACTCATCTTCTCGGGTACAGACCGACCAATGGGACCGACGTGATTGGCAAGCTTGGGCCCTTACACCTGACATATATCCCGCACAATGAAACACATCCACTGGCACCGGACTCTCACACAGGGTGTCGCCGCAAGAACAGCACGGGCCCTCCGTCTGCAAAGCACTGTCGCAGGCAGCAAGCCCACCCTGATTCAACATGAACATCAGGACAGCTTGCGCTTGTCCATGGCCAAACTCATCCAGCGCCTATCGGTGCTCCCCTTGCCAAACTACAAGAACACATTAAAAAACAGCACTTTGCAGCTGAACGCCAACGCCAACGACACCTTGCGATGTCTCCTTATCTTGCTCACAAGGCGATTGCAACGGATGAGCTCCTTGTCCTTCATCATGATGATGAACCCCCACATGGCCCGCATCTGGGATGCGTACTTGCACAGTTACGGCGAGCTTATCCAGTTCATTGCCCAGTATAATCTCCCGGAGAACGGAACGCTGGACTTGGACTTCGATCACCTCCTCGACTTCAGAGTCACTCGAGAGGAGGAAAACCAGAAGTTTGTCTCCGTGTTGCAAGATATAATGGACATGCACACTGACAATGTTATTGATTTGCGTGACGGAATCCACGAAACAAAGCTTATGGGGAAGGCTGGCAGCGATGCCAGCGACGACGATTCCCTGTTTGCCGGGTTTTCGGAAAAGCAATTTCTAGACGAACATTTGGCAGAGAGGGTCTTGATGAGGTTGATCGCCAACAACCACATTCTTCTCTCGCAGCAGAAAAAGGGGAATCTTCCCGGTGACGCCGATGTCAGTAGTGGCGTCTTGGACAATAATTTGAACGTTTTGGACGTTCTTTCTCGTAGTGTCGAGTTTGTCAACGACATGTCGAGCTTGAAGTACGACGAACGGGTCGATGTCAGAGTTGACACGAGGCTGATCGATGAGAACGGTGACTATACATGTGAGGAAAACGTCGACCTGCGAAACATAGGTGACCACAAGAAGCTGGTCTTCCCATACATCGGAAACCACATCGAGTACGTGCTTAACGAGATCTTGAAAAACTCGACCCGGGCGTTGATCGAGAACCGTGTGCAGAAGCCAGTCGATATTCTCATCGTACTAGATCGGTCCAAGCCAGACTCAGCGCCGACTTTACAGATCAAAATCAGCGACCACGGCGGGGGAATCGGGCCGGACACTCTCAGCAAGCTCTGGGAATATTCCTTCACCACCGTAAGCAACGGAAAGTCCTCCAGTAAGGGGGCACGCAACAACGACAATCAGAATGCACTTTTGTCGACGCAGTCGGGCAAGGACATCGAGTTGGGTGCTGCCCACGACTTGGGGTTCGGCAAAAGCGATGGCGAGGAGAGCGGCGCCGATAGCGTTGTCAGCGACAACCTCATTGCCGGGATGGGTTACGGCTTGCCGTTGAGCTTGACGTACTGCCAGTTATTTGGCGGTGACATACGGCTACACAGTGTCTGGGGCAAGGGCACAGACGTCTACGTCGTTCTCAAAGGGCTTTGAATCGGGAAGCTTTAGATATCTCTTCTATATAGCATCAACATCAATCATTATATACACGGATGGCGCTGCAGGTCTATGGAACCGGCTGCGTTTATAAAGAGGAGCCTCTCTTTGGGAAGGTGCTGACGTCCTTAGCGACAGAGCTCATGAGCCCAAAAGCTCTGGCTCTTCTGATCGCCTTCGCCATCTGTTTCTGCTTTTTTCCCGACAACCCGGTCACGGATCTGTGCAAGATCTGGCCCGAGACATTGACGTAGCTGCTGAGCAAGTGTGGAAGGACGTAGAAGTCGGTCGGGTTGATCTCGACGGTGTTGAACGACGACGACTGCATGTTCTTTGCGAGCTGAGACTTGTACACCTTGTTCTGGTATCTCTGGGAAGCAATCGAAAAGTCAAACGGGTCGTACGTCGTCTTGTTGTGGAATGACGGAATGAATCTGTCGTCGATCGTGGTCTTCTGTGTCTGCGTCTGCTGCATTTCGGTGGCCGCCTTGAACGCATCCATGGCAGACCCGAACGACTTCGACGAGTCTAGCACTCTGCGTGAGGTGTGTATACTTCTCTTAAGCATTCTGCTGCTGTTCGCTGCACTTCCTTTGCCGATACTGTCTCGCTAGACCACCCTGGTGCTGTTTCTCCTGCCTCCTTCTTTTCATGTCGTTTCCATCTCATATATGTCGCCCTTTTTTCTCCAACTCTCCATGGTGCCCCCATTGAGACGAAAAAAAGTGAGCCGCGCCGATCGGCCCAAAAAAGTGTCACACGGTTCTTTCTTACGGAGACAGACAACGCTATATAGGTTGTTCACCGGTGCCGGAGGGGTCAAAGAAGAGCCCGAGCAGTACCAGCTGGTGCCGGAGGAGGTTGCAAAAGCCACAGGTGGTTCGATACAACATGACTGAGACAGCGTCGTCGGCGATCCGCAAGTCGGGACGCACCCGGCGCAGAATCGACTACGCCGCTTTGAATGAATCGCACAAAATACAGGAGCTGAACAAACACCCGCATATAGAGCAGTTTGAAAAGTTCAGCAAGGAGCAGCAGACACCGCTGAAAGAGCTGGTGTGCTTGGTCGGGGGAGTGGAGGAGGAGGAAGGCGAGGCGAGGAGCCACTACGACGAAAACGGCGAGTTCACGGACGCACAGCTGCAGAAGCTGGTGAACGACACGAAACTGCTGAAACCGATCCTCATCCGAGGCGCCAACCCAAGGGTGCCGGCCACGTACAACGCGAGGATGAAAGTGACGTTTGAGATCCCTCAGTACGGCATCGAGGAGGTGACGGCGAAGGTCGGGCCCGAGCGGAAGGTGCCTGTGATGGACGTGATGACGCAGAACAACTCTCCGCGGTGGGATATGAAGCGCTGGTGTGAGTACTTCCTGCTGGACGGGCCTGCCCGGGACAAGATCCGGAACGTGATCAGCCTGGAGATCAGCGACACCGAGCTGGGCGGCGAGATCACGGTGCCGAAGGTGGTCACAGACATGGACCTTGTGCTGAAGCTCTTTGAGAACGACCCGGCGCTGGCGGACCTGCTCGAGTCCAACGGCGTGTTCCCGCCGAAGGTGCGCAAGTACATCCTCATGTCGGTTGCCGGGTCGTACACAGACTTCCACATCGACTTTGCCGGCACGTCCGTGTACTACTCGCCGCTCTCGGGCCACAAGCAGTTCATCCTGATCCCGCCCGTCCACCGAAACTTGGAGGCATACAAGAAGTGGTGTCTCTCGGACGAGCAGAACAACGTGTGGTTCCCCTCGCTGCTCAAACCGCTGACCGGGCGGGACAAGGACCGCATGCACGCGTCGGGCGTGCCTGACGCGTACCTCAACAACGGCTTTGTCGTCGACATCCTTCCCGGCGATCTCCTTCTTCTCCCGAGCATGTGGATCCACGCCGTTTACACGAAGCAGGACAGCATCATCATTGGCGGCAACTTCCTCAACCTTCTCAGCCTCGAGAGCCATCTCCAGACATACAAGATCGAGGTCGCCACGCGGGTCAACGACCAGTTCAAGTTCCCGAACTTCGTCAAATTCGTGTGGCTCATCGCCTACTACCTCATGAGCAGCAGCAGCAGCGACCTGCCTCCGGACGCCTTCCAGCGGCGTTGCTTCCAGAACCTCGTCCAGTTTTTGAAGGAGCAGTGGGCGTACGTCAGCTCACCCAAGCGGGAGCAGCGGGAGAAGACCGCCGTGGCGAAGATCAAGAATGCCATCCCGAACAAAATCATCGGCGACGTCGCTCCTTTTCTCCGCCGTCTAGACGTCTGGCTAGCCAGCCTTGGGGAAACAGAGGAGCCAGCCCCCGCCGTCAAACGAAGACGGCTACAGTAGTCCATCCCAGCATTAATAGACGTGTATATTATGAATTCATGAGCCTGCTTACGTAATTGCGCTGCTTTGTCCCCTTTCTCCTACGTCGCCGTCTCTCGCACTGTCGAGGATCCGGCGCTGTACGTGTTGTTTGCGTTTGCTGGAAGGTGGTGAAGAAGAGGTGATGTGGTGTTTGCCTGCTCTTCGTATCGGTGTGTGCTCTGGCTGTATTTCTCCTGGTCTCAGTGCACAATCCTCAACACATCCACACTCGTCAAGATGAAGATGCTCACTAAGGTATGTTTAGCCATTGACGTGGGGCGGCCTACGGGTGCTCGTGCACCGACAACGCCCCGATCTGCCTGCAACGCAAACGCAGAATACTAACACCAAAACACGTCATACCGTTGTCTACTGCAGTTTGAATCGAAGTCTTCTAGGGCCAAGGGTGTTGCCTTCCATCCTAGAAGGCCATGGCTTCTTGTTTCGTTGCATTCGTCGACCATCCAGCTCTGGGACTACAGAATGGGTACGTTGATTGACCGTTTCGAGGACCACGACGGGCCGGTCAGATGTGTTGCGTTCCACCCAACACAGCCGATCTTTGTTTCCGGTGGTGATGACTACACAATCAAGGTCTGGTCCACCCAGACCAGAAAGTGCATGTTCACCTTGACCGGCCATTTGGACTACGTCAGAACGGTGTTTTTTCACCACGAGTTGCCATGGATCATTTCCGCCTCCGATGACCAGACCATCAGAATCTGGAACTGGCAGAACAGAAAGGAGATTGCCTGTCTTACTGGCCACAACCACTATGTCATGTGTGCTCAATTCCACCCTAAGCAAGACTTGATTGTCTCTGCCTCCTTGGATCAGACCGTCAGGGTCTGGGACATTTCCGGATTGGTCAAGAAGCATTCTGCTCCTTCAGGTGCAAGCTCTTTTGGTGGTCATTCGTCCATGAATCAGTTTGACCAGTACAACAGAAACCAACCTCCTCAGCAGGACATCTTTGGTAATACTGACGCGGTAGTCAAGTATGTTTTGGAGGGCCACGACAAGGGTGTCAACTGGGCCTCTTTCCATCCAGAATTACCCTTGATTGTCTCCGGAGGAGATGACCGTGCTGTCAAGTTATGGAGAATGAGTGAAACCAGAGCGTGGGAAGTTGATGGTTGCAGAGGTCACACCAACAACGTTCCATGTGTCTTGTTCCACCCTACGGAGGATTTGATTATCTCTGTTGGCGAAGATAAAACCATTAGAACTTGGGACTTAAACTCACGGTCTCCTGTGAAGCAATTCAAGAGAGAAAACGACCGTTTCTGGATGATTGTCGCTCACCCTAACATCAACTTGTTTGCTGCATGTCACGATTCAGGTGTAATGGTCTTCAAATTAGATAGAGAGAGACCTGCCTCTACCCAAAACCAACTCCAGGAGCTCTTTTACATCAACAATGATAACCAGGTGCAAAAGTACAATTTTAGTTCCAAGGCCACTTCTTTGCCTCTATTGTCCTTGAAAAAAATTGCATTACCGTGGAATAAAATCAAGAATATCTCTTATAATGCATCCGAAAACTCAATGTTGATTCAGTCTGGTGACAACGATACCGGTATTTACTCATATTTTAACTTGCCAAAGGAAATTGTTGGAGCTTTGGAACCTTCTGTAAGAGGTGAAGGTAAAGCAAATTCTGCTTATTTCATTGCTAGAAACAGATTTGTCACTTTTGTCAAATCTTCTCACAAATTGAACGTTCATGACTTGAATAACAACGTCACTAAGGCAATTACCTTGGATTCCGATGTCAAGGACATTGTCCCTGCCACTCCAGGATGTATCTTATTACTGAAGCCAACCACTGTTGTCTTATACGATGTTCAACAAAAGAAGGAAATCGGTTTATTGCAAATGAACAACGCAAAATACGCCGTTTGGTCTAATGATGGCCAATACTTGGCTCTCTTGTCAAAGCATACCATTGTCATCGTCAACAAAAAGTTTGAGACTGTTATGTCAATGCACGAAACTATCAGAATCAAATCTGCTGCATGGGATGATACTGGTGTTTTACTCTACTCTACTTTGAACCATATCAAATACGTTCTATTGAACGGAGATAAGGGTACTATTAAAACCTTAGAAAACACCATGTACATCACTAAGGTCCAAAACTCTAACTGTTTCTGTTTGAACAGAAAAGGTGAAGTTGAATGTCTTGAAATCGACCCAACTGAATATAGATTCAAGAAGGCATTAATCAATAAGAAGTTCAATGAAGTTTTGAGAATTATCAAAAACTCAAATTTGGTCGGTGAAAACATTATTGCATATTTAGAAAAGAGCGGTTATCCAGAAGTTGCTTTGCAATTCGTGCAAGATCCTGAAACTAGATTCGATCTTTCTATTGAGTGTCATGACTTGACCGTCGCATTAAGTGAGGCCAAGAAGATCAACACCAAACCTATTTGGGAGAAACTAGGTAGAGAAGCTCTCAGCCAAGGTAACATTGAGATTGTTGAATTAGTCTATCAACAGCTTCATCTATTAGACAAGCTCTCATTCTTATACTTGGCAACAGGTGATGAAAATAAGCTATCCAAAATGGCTGATATCGCAGAAAAGCGTGAAGACATTGGATCACTTTTTACTAACTCCATTTATTTGGGTGATGTTGAGCGTAAGATTCAAACTTTCTTGCATACCGGATTGACTCCATTGGCTTATGCAACCGCAAAAAGCAATGGACTTGATGATATTGCCGAAAAGATTTTGGCTGATTCAGGTGTTTCTCTGAAGGATATTTCATTACCTGATCAATTGTTGAAAAGCAAGCCTTCTGGTGTTTTAAAACCAATTAACAAGACCACAAGTAAGAACTGGCCATTGAGTGAAGCCAAATTATCATTCTTTGAGCAAGCATTATCGGGTAACTTCGAGGACCTCCAATTGGAAGACAAGGCTGTTAACGGTGTATCGACAACTAATGAAAAATCTGATTTGATTGATAACAGCTTTGCTGACGATGATTACATCGATGATAATTTAGGTGAAGAAGACGCATGGGATTTGGGTGATGAAGATCTGGATGTTGAGTTAGATAATGCAGAAGAAGAAAATGAGAATCTTACTGATACATCCAAATTACCAAAGGAGCTGAAAAGTTGGGTGAAGAACTCTAAAACTCCAGGTGCTTACATTGCAGCCGGTAAATTCGATACGGCCGCAAGTATGCTGAACAAGCAAGCCGGAATCAAGAACTTTGAACCTTTCAGACAACGTTTCTTGGAAATTTATACTGCATCCAAATTGAATATTTCCACCTTCGACGAAGAATCCAATGGCAACTTACCTGTCTACATCAGCGATGTCGAGAAGGCAAACGACGGTAAGATTCTGGGACTGGTTCCAGGTTATGATCAACTGGAGGAATTGGTACAAGAAGGTTTCAAGTTGTTCAAATCCAACCAGTTGGAGTCGTCCATCGGAATATTTAGAAAGATCATCTACATAATTGCTACGTTGTCTCTAACAAGTGATGAAGAGGAGAGCAAATGCAAAGAGATTCTAAATATCTGTAAGGAGTATATCATAGGATTGCAGATCGAATTGGCCAGACGTGCTTTGCCACCAGCAGAAATCAAGAGAAACTTGGAACTTGCGGCCTATTTCACTCACGTCAAGTTGCAACCTGCGCACCGTCTGAACGCTTTGCAAGTTGCAATGACCCAATCTTTCAAGGCCAAGAACTACCACTACGCATCCTATTTTGCTACCGAGTTCTTAAAGATCATGTCTAGTGGTAACAGGGCAGAGCAAGCTCGGAAGATCCAGGCTAAGGCCGAAAATATCGCAACAGATGCTATTTCCATCGATTTCGATCCGTTCACAGAGTGGGAAATATGCGCTGGAGATTTCGTTCCTATTTATAAAGGTCAAGAGATCGTACGTGAAAAGATGTTGGGAGTCGGATACAGCAAATCGTGGAAGGGTAAGATCTGTAAAATTACACTTGTGAGTGAGATCGGGGGTATTGGAAGCGGATTGCGTCTCAGAAACTGATTGATACAATTGCCAGCTTCTTCAGCAATCTGTCTTACCGAGTTCTCTCTACTTATTTATTGTTTATATTGTTTATAATTGTTTCTTAAGTTCATTGAGTCTATTTCCGTTTCTGGCAAGCTTTTAGGCAAAAAAGAAACTGGGCCGATAGACGCATTCTTGGTGCACGGGTGGTTTCCTTTGTTACCCCCTGTCCTCTCGATTTTTCACTCGACCACCAACTTTTGGTGCAAATTTCAAAATTTTCACAGGAAATAAAATTTTGCGTGTTGTCGAGAGACATCACAGGGGTTCGAAATAGCACGCTGAATGCCTGGTTATTTACCTCTCGATTATTGCAGACTAGATCCCACGAAACAACAAAGGTACTTGAGTGTGAAAGGTGAAGTAACGATATGTCTACGTTCTTTTACTCTTCCTACGACTCAGAATCGTCTTCTGATGAGGATACCTTGTATTACTCAGACGATGAACGTCACTTAGAGCAAAGGCAAACGTCTGGCAAGAGTTTGTTGATCACCGGTGAAAGTGATGACAGTGGAGAAGAAACCATGTCCGAAAGTGAGGACGAGGCACCAGCCAACAAATCAGCATTTTTGAAGAAGGCCGGTTCCGATGAGGAAGATGATGAAGAATCAAGCGATGATGAATGGAACAACTCTGACTCTGACTCTGATTCTGATGCTGAAGCTCCAAAGGGTCGTTCTTATTTCCTCAAAAAGGATTTCCTCAAGGGCAACAACTCTGATTCCGACTCTGATGACGAGGATGAAAAGAAGGTTGTTAGAAGTGCAAAGGATAAATATTTGGACGAAATTGCTGATTTGACAGACACCATTGAAAACCTATCCATGGTTGAAGAATGGGTCCGCATTGCATCCGAATTCGACAAGCTGTTCAAGCTAGCCTACAGACACAACCAATATCACTTGTCAATTCCAAGGTCATACATCAAGGCCATCTCAGTTCTAGAAGACGCAATCACCAACGAATCGAGCTCCAACTCAAACGAAGAAGGTAAGAAACTCAATGCAAGCGAAAGTAAGAGCTTGAACATCTTGAAGCAAAAGATCAAGAAGGAAGTTAAAGCTTACAGAGAAGAAGTAGATCTTTATAAGAAAGACCCTGAAGCTTACGAAGCAATCAAAGATGAAGCTCAATTCCTTGAAGTTGAAGCATCCGATGCTGAGAAGAAGGAGTTGGTTGTATCAATTGAGAACCTGTTTACGATTGTTCAATCAATAATCGAATCTCGTGGTAAGAAAGGTATTGACCAAAGAGAGAACTTGAAGACTTTGAATGAACTTTTACAGATTGCTCAATCGACTTACGAAAAAATTGTCCTTTTAAACTTAATCATTTCGTCACGTTTCGAACTTCACACCAAGGAGCAGTTCATGCCGACCGCCGAATGGAACATCATTTTTGAAGATATTTCAAAGCTTCTAGATGTGCTTGACGCAGACGAATCATACATCATAACCGAAGTTGCCCCTCCTAACGATGATATCACCACCCCACCACCTGCAAATTCTGAAGGAAAGCATTTAATTGTTGGCTCGGTTACTTCATTTGTTGAGAGACTTTCTGATGAGCTCACATCACACTTGCTTTATCTCGATCCAAACTCCTCCGAATATATTTCTTTGTTGAAAGATGACTCCAAATTTTATGGTCTCGTTGTTCGTGCTCAAACTTATTTGACTCGTATCATTCCAACCAAGAGCTACGGTGAGATTGAAGGTGACCAACTCTGCCGTATTATTATAAAAAGACTTGAAAGCATTTATTACAAGCCCGTTCAGCTCATTGTGCTAGCTGAATTAAATGCGTGGAATCTATTAAATACCGAAGACAACTCATCAATTGCAAAAATTATTTCTTCGGAAGCGACAGACGCTTTAAACATAAGCCAAGTGAACTCCTTGCTGGACTCATTATGTTCTCACCTCTACCAATACTCAACAGGTGCCGCATCCCCGGTTTACCGTAAACGTGCAGCTTTGATGCAGGCTTACTATTATGCTACATCGAACCAATTTTTCCGTGCACGTGATATCTTGCATCTTACTCATGTCCAAACCACTATTCACACATCCGAACCAGGAGTTCAGGTATTATTCAACCGTGCTATTGTTCAATTGGGTCTTGCAGCATTCCGTTCTGGCTTACTTGAAGAAGCACAGACAATTTTGAATGAAGTTGTCACAAGTCCTCATACCAGAGAACTTTTAGGACAAGGTAGAATCTATTTCTCTAACTCAAACTCAAACTCAGCTGATAATGGTTCTAGTGAAAAAGGCAAGTACGTGCCGTTCCATATGCACGTCAACATCGAGTTGGTAGATGCCGTGTATTACATTTCCTCTTTGTTGTTTGAAGTTCCATTGATGGCGTTACAAGCCTACCAAGGCTCCACTCCTGGTGCCGTTGCTTACGCAAACGGAGAAGCTCAAACACAAGCTCAAAATGCAAAGAAAAATTTCTCAAGATCGTTCAAACGTATTCTTGAATACACTGAAAGACAATATTTCCAAGGACCAGCTGAAGAAACCAGAGATACTGTTTTCGAGGCCTACAACCACTTGGTCAAGTTCAACTGGAAAACTGCATCTAAGATCCTTTGCGAATTACGGGTATGGAATATGATGCCAGGTGTTTCTGTATCAAACTCTCAGGGTAAAACCGGTTTAGAATCACTGAATGATATGTTGGTTGAATCTTGTAAGATACAGGCACTGAAGACATGGACATATGTCAACTCTGGTACTATTAAAAACTACTCTGTGAGGAAATTAGCTGCTAGGTTCGAGATTGACGAATCTTTGGTGTGCAACACCATCGGTGGTTTGATCTACCGTGAAGAAATCAGAGGTTTCCTCAAGTTCAACGACGATGGTAGTAAGACCGTTGTTTTCGAAAAGAAGGAAGACGGCATGGGAGAAATTGTGCGGGGCTTGACCGATCGTGTCAACTCGATCTTAGAACGTAATGAAAAGTTGAGTTTAGGTGGTTACCAAATCATGTTGAAGAAGAAATAGAGAAGGGACTTACGTCTTCACCTATCTATTTTCTATTTATAAACAGACATCTGAATTGATTTTTCGAACTAAATCTTAATTCTTTTCTTGTATATTTTCTTTATATACACAAACAACTATATATGATCTGGAAGGTCGGTGCTACAGTTACCCGAATCAGCTGTTTTGAGAACAGAATATTTGGGGCACTTACGTAATTGAAGGGCTGAAGGGCCAAATAATTCATTACTGTATAAGGTGTCTCCCATCTTGCTAATGTACTAACGGGGTATAATGCAAGTGCCTGCTATCTTGGCTCATTTGGCACTACACATACATCAATAATAACACACTCGGTGTTTTAATGAGTTAACATTCTGACCTTGAAAAAGAATTCATAAACTAACTTGCCAGCAAGTTATTATCATTTACTATCAGTAAAGACATAATTCACTGCTGCTTCGTTCAATAAGATGTCAGAAACGAGCCAGGTTCCAGCACCCGTCAGGGCCCAGCGTGCAACTGGAATGTCTAATGGTTTATCATACTCGACACTGAACAAATCACCCACAAAGCAAGCTTTCAACACCCTCAAGAATTTTCTTAGAAGTAAGAGTTCAATTTCAGATTTACGAATGTGGTCAGATTCTAAGAAAGAAGATGTGAGAGAATATCCTGGATATCCAGAGCCCTTAGTACTCGGACGTTTACATGAGAGCAAGAGCTCCTCAAGGTTATCGGACTTCAAATTTAAAGGCCCACGGAGAAAAAGGTCTTTGGGTTGTCTTGTCCCTCCACCTCACGGAGAACATTTCAGCAAGCACCAATTTTCGAACCATGAATACCCTAACAGCTCTTCAGAAAGTGTACATGATACAAGACCGTTTATCGTACCCATTCCAGCCCCTCAAAAATTTCACTCTGCTGCATCATCCCCCCAGTTGAATTTAATTCGAAACTCTACTTCAACCAAAACTTCAACCAAAACTTCACCTACAAAAGCAAGCTTTTCCTTAGATGGAAACACATCATACAGCACTTATAACGGGTACAATTCCAGTAATGATACTGATCAACTACCACCTTCCACACCATGTATGTCGGATTCATACGCATTTTCAAGAGAATGGGTGGCTCCGAACACTATAAGGGGTACATATATACACGACTGGACAGATAATGCAAGTCCACGATCGCTCACAGAAAGCTTGAAGGTTGGTAAAGTCGAAACACCATCAATGAGAATAACTCAATCTTCAAACCATACTCCGACAAGAAATCATAACGGCAACGCAAGTATATCAAGCCTGGGACAAGTTTCCACCAGTGACAAAACAATGTTATCTTCTGATTCTTTTTTGCTTGATGCTGTTACCCATGTTGCTAAAAGTGCACCGGATCAGTCAAAACTAAAGCTAGATCTGAGAGATTTATCTAAACCAAGTAACCCACATCCATCTCCATGCACGATTGACAACAAGCAAGAACCCATACTCAAGCTTGGAGAGCCAATTATAATTTCTTCTAAAGCTACCGAGTGCAATACTAGATCAGAATCTACATCTGATTCAGACACCGCGTCAATTTCTTCCCGACATTCACAAGGTTCACAATTTTCTTTCATGCCGAATAGGACTCCATCCATAAGGTTTTATAAATCTAACGAACAGGTTGCGCTAGAGAAAGCTATGGACGATGATCGGTTAGATAGAATTAAATTCAAAGAATTCCTGGGCACTTCAGAAGATGTTGAAAATGATCTTCTGGACATGTGTTCTAATGGAAAAGTAACAGATGGTCTGGATGAAGCTGTTAACTATATAGACTATGAAGAAGAGGACGACACAGATGCTTTATTCAACAGAGATTTGTTTGGACTTGGTGATTCTCACGGATCTAAAGGTTTGGGTTTAGAATTAGATGATGATGAGTTCAATCCGAGAAGTACTGTTCTTGAGCTGGGTAAGGATGAGTTTGATGATAGTGATAATGATCAGTGCGACTATGCTACCGATATTGACTATTCTCCCAGGGCCAAAGGCTTAGAACTGCATGAAGATAGTTCTGATAACGATGGTACCCCTAGGGTCAAAGATGCAAAGATTTTTAGCAATGAGTTTAAAATTGGGTATTCTGCCTCAACCGAGTTTGAAAAGCGTAATATGCCTTCATGCCTGAAAGATGATGAACAAAGAGTGGCCGACGAAGTACTTTTTGGATCTATGAAAGCGGAGAGGGAAGAAAATCCTCTTACTGTGAAGGACGATATTAATTTAAAAAAAGTCAATGCAAAGGATTACCACAATATTTCAAGTTCCGAAGTCAGCAAAAACGCTTCATCGAGAGACATTTTACAGATTTTGAACCATAACGATCAAGGATTAGTTTTCAGGCCTCAAAGTCAAGAGATTCAGATGCAGCATCAACCTTCTGCTTCGATTCACAGACATAGATCTCTTAAGTTTCATCATCTAGCAAGCAATATTGAAGATTCAAGATACTTAAATGGAAATACACCAAAAAAGTTTGGTACACAGGAAGAGATTTGGGAAGACTCAGCATTAGATGAAGTTAACCTTATCCCTGAGGATTATGAGTATGACAGTGATTACGAGAATGCTTTTGATGACAGAAGCAACCACAGTAACGAAAGAAATATGAAAAGCAATAGGTTTTCCACAATGGTTTCATCGACTGATGAATTAAATTTTGGTATTGGTGACGCAGGCCAAAGTATTATCAGCAACGAGCCACATCTATGGAAAAACCTTATCAATAAAACTGCAGAATACCCTTCAGATGCTGGTTCTGTGAGTAGAAGCAGGAGTATTCAGCATGTTGAGCGAATCCAGCTTGACAATCGTACAATTACTTTGTTCAATCGCCCGCGGGAGGAGATAAATCAGGATATATCGAATACAAAAGAGGAACATTGTTTAGGCAACAATGAGAATAGCGAAGAGTCGGGACTCAGTGTCATTATGGAGTAGATGGAGTGTGTTGATGTGTAATGTATGTTTATGTAATTTTATAAAACTGTCTTAATGTAATATTTACTATAGCTCATACCAGGCCGCACTATGAATTCACGTTGCACTGAATTAGAACGAAAGGAGACGGGATATCATGAAAATGAAAGATGCAGAATGTGTATGGGACTATGTATGTACGTAGGTTTATACTTGTATGGGAGGATCAAAGGCAAATGTGAAGCACTAGTCGATGTAAGACTGGATCAATTGGAGCAGAAGATCGTAGGAATCGTTGAAACGGGGATCAATAATATTATTGTCAGAAGAGTTTATCGTTAAGTTCTCCGAGGAGTTATTACTAGGGCTTGGCTCAAAATATACCTCTTCAATGTATGAGTTGCCTTTGTAATTGCTTCCCAGGCTAGCGGAGTTGGAGGTGTTATCCTTGCGTATGATTTTATAGTTCCTGTTCATGTTTTCCTTGTTTTCGATGCCCATATCATCTGGTCTCATTGCTATCTCTTTGGATTTCCTGTTAGATATTTTTGCTGGGAACTGTAGTTGCACAGGATACGGCATATTGTTGATTAGAACAATGTTATTCTTAGACACATTAGTCACGGAAGTCTTCTTACATGAGTGGATCGAGTACTTACTTGCATTGATGTTGTCGAAGTGTTTCCCGATCCTAATCGAAGAAGTGATTGAGTTTCTTCTGGGATTATGCATATAGTTTACCATATTTGCCTCCAGCTCCTCTAATTTCTCTATAGGAAAGAGCTCTTCCGACTCCGATGATGTTGTAGCCACAGTGGAGTTTGTTTGCTGTGAGATCAACGTGTTCTGTGACGACATGTTGCTCATTGTGAACCTCGGGTTATTGGTATTGGCATAAACACAATCTCGGTCTCCTGTCCCTTTGCCGTCACCATTTCCACCCTCCCTGCTAGTGTTGGAATGTACAGCTGGCTTTCTTGCGGTATTCGGGTTTCTGCTCTTGAAGCCCGCTATCTGTGGATACGGCAGGTCCAACACCTCTCCCACATTTCCTATTCGTCCAACACGTTCGGCAAACTGTGCACGATCGGACGTGTACCTGCTATTGTTCAACAGCATGATTATGTGAATGTCTAATGACTGATACCACTTCTATACGATATCCTCTATTGTCCCCGCTACTATTTTTTTTGTAGTGTTCCTTTAAATAACCCACTGATGAATTACAGGTACTTCGACAAGGAAAACCCTAGGCAGAGAAAAAGACGGGCAGCCTGTCTACAAGCAATACAAGGCGTGTCTATCTGTTTTACGTGACGGCGGGCCTGCCCATCCCTCCGTCGGGGACGGCAGACAGTACGGAGCACCACGTCAAATCAGAAAGCTCACCATTAGTATACCCTTTTGGGTAATACACAAACACTCCTACTATGATTGCCTATTTCGGCAGGTAGCAGAATCGGTCGCTGGCCATCTCCACGACAGAAACAGCTGTTGTAGGCTAATATTTGGCAGCGACGCGTCGGCCGGTTTTCTTGTTTTTTTTTTCGTTTTTTCCCCATTTTCGCTCGCTTCTGGCGTCGTTTCGGTCTGTTGTGATTTCTTTGTTGATGCTGCTGATTCTGCTCGTGTATGAAGGACAAGTGCTGCTCGGTTTCTGAGTGGGTGTGTGTAAGACATATAACCAGCCCAGGAGCAACAATAGGAAAGTCAACACAGGATGGGTATCTTCAGCAAGAAAAACAAGGATGGAGAGGACGGCCACAAGAGATCAAACTCCAAGGGTAACGATTTGAAGATCACGGACGAAGATGAGAGACGTATGAAGACCCGTTCTCAGAACCTCCACGACCCAATTCTTGATGCTGTTAACGAGGCCCAGCCTTTCGAGGAGGCAAACATGCACAACAGATCTTCCTCGATCGGTAACGGTGTTCTGAACGACATCTTCGGCAACAAGATTGTGAATCCAGACATCTCCAACCCTACGAGATCGAGAGACGAAAGACCTATGGACACCATCCGCAGTTTTGAGTACTCAATAACAGGTGACCCTATCTACCACGAGCAGCTGGAAACCCACATTCTCGGCTGGAGAGTCAGAGATGACTTCCCTCTGGGTAACGGCTACGCTGCCAACAACCAAGTGCAATATGACGAGTACGGCCAGCCGGTCTACACAAACACCAGAGCCAACCAACCTATTGTTGAGCAAGGTGTCTACAGCGCTCCTGCTCCAAAGATTGAGGAGCAGAAGAAGAAGAAGTTTTTCTCCTTCGGTAAGAAGAAGAAGGAAGCAGCAGCATGAGCGGAGCCTCATTGATGATGGTTTCTATTTTTATCGGTTCATTTTCCCGAAACCATCGTTCACCTCAAGTTGGTAAATATTGCGTTTTTGTTTGCATCCACTCTCTGTCCACCGACTTGTGTTTACCTTTTGTTTTTTAAATTTCGTTTGTTATGCATTTCTTAGGATCCTTCGTACTTTTCTTTTCGGCCTTTTGGGATGTGCTTTTTGGAGCCCCATAAAAGTTGACGCATTCTGATCCCCCTCTTATTGTACTCTCTATATATCCACTATCATTCACATGTATAGAACTTATGCACACAAACTTGTGTATACTAAAATATATCAGTTTTATTGGCGAAGTCCGTACCCTACCAGAAAATCTTATCCATTTGACTCGTTTGTGCGAACAGCAAAGATTATTTTCTTTTATTCACCAGATTTACGACATTTCACCGACGCTTTTTGCCCAGGTGTGCAAGCACACACCATAGTCCAAAGCTAATTCTTTTCTATATATTCACTAGCCAGCATTCGTGTTCAAATAACATGTCCTCGCACAAAGAATACATCAACGAGTATATTGCCTCTTCAGATCCAACTGTAAGACAAAATGTCGTCGATGAACTTGTGAAGTTGATGCAAAATAACAAGTTGACACTACTTAACTTTATCCATGCCCTACAGATCTACATTACCTCGACAAATGATACAACTAGGGTGTCAACTTTTTCGTTACTTTCCCAACTTTTAGGAAAGCTTCCATCAACAAAGCTTTTCCCCAAAGATATCGAGGTGCTAATGGCATTTCTATACTCGAAGCTTTTGGACAGACCTGTGGTTAAATACGTTCTCTCTTCTATGTACTCTTTGCTGACTATGAAATATTTCAACTATGAAAACACAGAGGAACTAATGCAAAAATTAATTGAGAACTACAACCCTAAAGAACATCCTCAGTCAATTCGTTTACTTGCATTGAAGATAGTCAATTATCAGATTGCTTCAATTCCAGCACAAGTCTATCCAAATGATCTGGCAATCGACTGTTTTTTACATGTTTCACAGAACGAAAAGGATCCAAATAATTTGTTTCTTATCTTCCAAGTTCTACAAAAAATTTCAAAAACCCTAGACATTACTAATCACATACAACCTTTATTTGACACAATGTTTAGATATTATCCTATATCTTTCAAGTCTTCCACTGAGGCTCAAGAGAGTCAAGTAAACTCTTTGAAAGATTCGTTAAACTCATCTCTAGCCTCAAGCGATTTGTATGCCGTGGAACTTTTCCCTAACTTGATAAGCAAATACAATTCTGCAACATCATCCCAAGTCAAGCTGGATATTCTAACCACTATTGGAGTTATTTCAAGTCTCTATTCCTCTCGTGTGATTCAAGAAAATTTCTTGACCTTGTGGAATACATTAAAGTACACTATCATTAATCAAGAGCTTGCACAGCTGATTTCGATTCCAGCTGTTATGTCCTATTACGAAGAATCATCAAACGAGTCTGATCAAATTTTTCATTCTTCATTGATTGCAATCAGATCTCTTTCGACTAATGTGAGTAACGATCAGAAACTATTGGTTTACGACGACTTGTCCAAAAACCTTATTCTTTCAGAGAGAAATCGTCGCTTTTTACAATCATATCTAACATTGGCAATTATTTCTTTACCTTCCGATAAAAAAAAAAGTGATGATGATGATGATGATGATGATGATGTATTGAGAAAAACTCTCAGTGCCTTATTTTCTTCAGACCAACCATTAGATCAAGTCAGAAACAAAAGAATGATACTAGTTGCATTGTCTTATTTTTCGTCGGACCCTACGTTTATATCTCAGTTGGTTCCTTTCCGTGATGAAATTTTGAACATACTTCAATCTTCATTATCAACGTCTGCATTGGAAACAACATTGCGTACACTAGCAGTGCAATTGACTGCTCACTTAATTTTATCTCCTTCCATTATTTCCCCTTCTACGGGCATTGAATTTGGCTTGTTGGATGAAGAGCGATCAGTTTTGATAGGCAAACTAGGAGAGCTATTGATAGAAAATGGTTTGCTACCATCCAGAGACTTTAATGTTGTGATCGAAAAAGCTTTGTTAATTGCATTATCTAAACTAGCAAAGTCCTCTAGATGTGAAAACGATATTTTGAATGAAGTGGCCAATATCATATTGCTGCAATTCAATAATTCTGAATCATCTTTACATGAAAAGTGTGTCTTATTGAACTATTTGATAAAGTTAGCGCAAACCCCTTCTTTGGTCCAGATAATTTCCATTAGACTAGTAAATCTTTTGCCACATGATGGACACGATTTGAACGAATTTGATATTCCTGTTGAATTGATTCTTCAAGCCTTGTTATCATTGTTCACCTCTTTACCACTAACTCATGATATGAATACAATAACGAAAAAGTTCTTGCCGCTGTTGTCGGCATATATCTTTAAGCCGGATTCTAATGTGAACGAAGTTCAACTTACATATGTATGTGAGCTTGTGCGTCGTATGGTTGCCGGTCTCAGTGGTGAAATTGCTCTTGCTACAATACTAGTGCTGTTCCGAGCTTTTAAAACTTTGTTGAATATGGAAAATCTTGAACTTCCAGCTGCTCTCACGTCATTAGGTGATCTTGCAACTATGGAATCTTACGCGAAATATATCGGATACCATCATCTACCTATCCTCCTATCTGCGATTCAAGGTTTGAATGTTGATACTAATATCAGCTCAAAAGTTAATTTTGGAAGTCTTGTAGAGTTGTTGATCAGTATCTTGGACAATCAAAAAGAGATGACAGATATGACACGGCTCCAAATCTTGGTGGGACTTGGTGTTATATTCAACAAGTATTTAACCTGGAATGATTTTACCAATACTTTTGGTGAGCCAAGACAATCAAGCAGTCTATCTTCGGATAAGCTTGAAATTATAATTTGGTGTTTATATGGTTTGGTCCTCAAATGCAACTCAGATGCAACGGAATATTTTGTTGAGCTGCTAGGTACTTTAAGTTTTGTGCAGGCATCAAAAGCAATCAAAATCATTTTCACCACGGTTACAGACGTCGCCGAAAATTCGGGCGAAGGTGACGAAATTGATATCAGCAACGGCTTGGACATTGAAGCAGAACTCATCTGTGTATATAAGAAGGAAAAAACAGGTTTGATGATGGTGAGGAACAAAAATAAATATGCTGTGTCAAATCTCATACTGAGAAATATGTGGAAACAAAGGATTTTGGAAGTTATGCTTGTGAGGAGAACTGAAGACGACTCGAAAATGAATGTTATTCTACCTTTGGTTCTAACCTACCTTCCAGAAGACCTCTATTCATCGCATCTTGGAACATTATTACCTAATCTCATTGGTACTGTTGAGTCATCAGATGATCAAAAGGTAGTCATTGCAGTCTTGAAAATTGTGTCCAATGTGGTTCTTGAGCAATCAGGAAGAGAACTTCTTAAACCATACTTGAATAGTATAATGGAGATTATCCTGAAAAACGTTGAGGATCTCAACAAACAATGTTCGAAGGGCTTAAAAAAACAATCACTACGGTGCTTACTTGGAATGTGCTTATTTGACTTACCTGCTGTTGTCCCATACAAGAAGCGGGCTATAAAGGCTGCACACCTCACTCTCAGTGACAAAAGTCGTAGTGTTCGTCTCTTGGGTGTTTCTGTGAGACAAGCTTGGGAAGACTTGGGCGTTGATTTAAGTTTATAGATACAATTTCCCTAGTTTCATAGTATAACTCAAAAGGAGGGGATCCATCGGATTATCTGCTTCATGAAGTCACGTGCCTGATTTATTACGTAAAGGCATCTTTTTATTGGTGCAAATAGCTGCCAAAGTTTTAATAGTGTCAGCAAACGACATTTTCCTTTTTCCCCTCACCTCGAGAGCAGCTAATGCTTGATGTAAATCGGAAACATGAACTTAAACATTGAGTTCCACTTTGTCAGGTTTATAGTCCACAGTATTGCATACGCTTTCATATACACAGCCGATACAGAAGATGTTTGCAAGAAGATTAGCAACAACTGCATCCAAGAATGTCAGGTTCCTGTCTACTACAGTAGCACGTTGTAAGCCTGCAACTGCTGCATCTGCAGAACCAACATTTAAAGACTTACCAAATCCAAGAGATCTGCCAAGACCAGATGTTAAAGAACTCCACGTTCCTATCTACAACCCAAAGGAAAAATACAAGGAGCAGTCCGAAGAACTTCACAAATTTGGTACATACGTCATGGGCTGTATGCCAAAGTTTGTTCAGCAATTTAGTGTTTGGAAGGATGAACTTATAGTGTATTGTGCACCATCAGGTTTGATTCCATTAGCAACCTTTTTAAGAGACCATACTTCATCACAATTCAAGGCTTGTATGGACGTCACTGCCGCAGATTACCCAAGCAGAACCAATAGATTTGATGTGGTCTATGATCTGTTATCTGTTAGATTCAACTCCCGTATCAGAATTAAGACATACACCTCAGAAGTAAGACCTGTACCTTCTTTTGTTCCATTATACCCAGGTACCAACTGGTTCGAAAGAGAAACATACGATATGTATGGTATTTTCTTTGAAGGTCATCCAGACTTGAGAAGAATCATGACCGATTATGGTTTTGAAGGTCATCCATTGAGAAAAGATTTCCCAACCACCGGTTACACTGAAGTTAGATACGATGCCGAGAAGAGAAGAGTCGTTTATGAACCATTAGAATTAACTCAAGCATGGAGAAACTTCACAGTCGGTTCATCAGTTTACGATCAAGCTGGTGAAGGTATTGATGCTACCCCAGCTGACTTCAAATTGCCAGAGCCAGTGTTGGAGGAAGAAGTTAAGGATGATAAGAAGAAATAAATGGGATAAACTCATGGTGACTTCAACCGGTTCTGAAATTCCCCAACGTTTTTTCATTGTTTTTAGTTCTTCCCTCTCTTATTTTTATATAGTCAATTATTCTATCACCAAATATTTATTCATATTATATCTATATTCAACCAACCAAATATAAATATATACATATCAACAGCACAACAGCAACTCACGCAAAAACAACTGTTATCCGCCTGGCGTGTGATCTCCATACCTTTATGTACCCCAGTTGTAGAAAAAATAAGAAAGACTATATGAAAACGTGGTGTCACGTGGAAGTTAGAATCCCAAGATCACGTGGTATGTTGTGCTTTGATTTTCCGAAATTGCCAGTGTAAGCATTGCAGTTATCCAGCGAAAAAATTAGCATATTCGCTTGAGGCCTGCATTGAAGACCTGGAGGGGGAAATTGCTGATCATCTCTAAGCTTAATTTCACATGATAGTAGTTAGTTCCACAGGTTCGTGTTTTTACTCTGCTGGAAAAGTGATCCTGAAGCTGCGCATGTCAAGGAGAGGAAGTGCTGTAGGCAATTTTAATCTGCACTGATCCTGCGTTTGATAGCAACATGTCTAGTCTTTTCGGCCATAGGAGCCAGCATGATTGCTGTTGGCAGCGGTGACTTGATCTTGTCCTTTCCCGTTGCATGGGTTTGGATTTTTTGATCGTCGCGTCCTGCTAGATGTCAATGCGGACGGACCGTTCCCCGAGCATGCAGATTCTCGGGGCTTAAGCCTCAAAGCGGCCTTCGGCTCGGGGATAAATTATTTTCATTCTTCCGTCGCTCTTGAATCTGCAATTTTGGACACAGTAAAGGAGGGACCCCAAAGGGCGAGAATGATTTTGTTCGCACGGGACAATAGGCGGCTTGTCGGTGTCAGTCTGCCTCTTCGGCACAATAACACGGCAGAACACCCACGTCGCCATGTCTGGATCAGAAAAAGAGCTGAGCTGGTGCTATTATTGTTCCCCTTTAGGGTTGCCACCAGCAACGGGTTTCGCGTACCGCCGGAATCGGGATTTTCCGTGCTACCATGCTGTAAGCGCTATGTAAAGAGAAAAAAACACCAAAAAAACCGAAGAGGTAGGAAGCGAAGCACCACCTCTCCTGCAGGAAACGTCCAAGGCTCTGGGAGGACGAGTGCGGGTGGGTAGAGGCATGCTGCGGAAGGGCGAATCTGGAGGCCGCATGCTCTAGAGCGGTCCAATCCATGCACGTCCCGTCCCTATTTGAATTGCCGAAACACGAGCACATTACCCATGCAGGCTGGCACCTCGGCGATGTAAATTACGTCGATTCTTTGCATGTGTGCCTGTCTGCCTGTATTTCTGCCAGCCGTGCTTCCGGTTCGAGTCGGCTGCAACCGGCCAGACTTGGCGCTGCTGTGGTGTGTTATATCGTTGCCGCTGCGTGGGCGTGTGATCTACTGGCGTCGCCAACAATTGACCAGCTACCCAGTCCGGCCCGCACCCTTGTTCCATCGCTATTGTCGCCACTAGTGTCAAGGCCAGCACTTCTATGTTTCTTCCCGGCGCATACCAAAACTGACCTCTGTGTTTGTCCGTCGGCAATCGGGCGATTCCCTGCCACCCACAGGTCGCCTGCAGTAAACGTTTACAATCGACTACAGGCTTATATTCATACACCTATCAAACCTAGATAATAGGTTTGGTTTCCTGTTGCCTTGCGTCCCCCTGTTGCCTCCCGCGCGCCACTCTATATATGTCAAATAAATCTCTTGCATTGCCTCTACTGCGTAGAACTTTCTACCAACCGTCAGCGAGACGCACGTCGTGCATAGAAGCCCCTTACTGTGGGGCACCTAAATCCCTGCACCCAAACTCGTATAACCCAACATCTTCGCTGTTCTCTTACAATTGCCCGATTGAGCCGAAATGTCCCCCATAACAACTATTCGCTCTCAGGCTGGACTGTTCTGTTTTCTTAGCCGCCGGGGCCGCCCAAGGGCCTAACAGCCCCCCTTGGCGCTCCCCGGGGAAAACCAAGGCTTATTCGCCCCCACGCCCGCAGTTGCATGCAGGCTTGTGCGTACCGCCCAAGCCCACGCCTACGGTCCACCGTTACGATGCACAGCACAATATGTTCTAGCTGGCTAGCTCCGCCTCCACCAGCACGGCCCCATCAGGAAGACGAATCAATCTTTCGTCAATGCACCAGATTTGGGGATAATAAAGCAAATAATAAAAATATATGGCTGCATACAAGGACATGCACTGCGCTAACTGCAAATTTTTTCGAGGTAATTGTGCACAAGCTCATGCAGCATAATACATCTCACCTACATTATGTGCTTGCCTGGAGATCTGGATATTGGAAAGCTACAAGCGGACACAGCCGAAGGGCCCTCGGCAAGTAAAGAAAGCATCTGACCACGCTGCCACAGAATCATTAACATACGGACCACTGGCCGAAATATTGTTCTGCATTCAACGTTGCTTTTTGTTTTTCTCTCCTGGACTAAACGGGCTCGCTGGCTAAATTTTCTCCCGCTAACTCAATCACTTTTAGACCCAAAATCATTTTTATTCCCTTTACCCTCCCAGCACTCTTTACCGTGTCAGTGTTTTCGAACCCCTACTCCATCCCTCCTTGTCGTTTTCTCATCGTTTCTTCTTCTCACCTCTCTTTATTTTTTTCACTTCTCTTTTCTTCCCTTCTTTCCAACCCCCATCCTCTTTCCCACCTTTGTTCTTTAACTCGCCGCTTTTACCCTAAGCCGACGGTTCATATTTTGCCGAATCCGTGCCTAGCCCTTTCCTTCTCGGTAGTGCAGCTTCAGGAAAAAAGATTGAGCTTTTGAGGTTTTTCATTGAAAAAAAACCAGGCCCCAAAATATTCATCGACTATTAGCTCATTTTGATCTTTCACCCTTCAGCAGGTACGGATAAGATAAAACGAGGCGCACAGAGAAGAATCACATTTGCAAAACAACAGCGAGATCGCACTTCAGGCAAAAATCTCGGTAAGTGATGCTTCTGAGTATACAGCCTGCTCCAATGACGAATGATTATTCCTTCTCGAAACAGACACAAAAGCAAGAGAACCGAGAGAGCCCGGGAGAACAATGGGAACAGGATGTGGAACAACAGCGGCGTCAACATGATATTCTGAGACAGCAGAACCAGCCGAGTCAGGTATATCCAGCATATCAAGATTTTCAAGAAAGTCGAGAGTACCGGCAACCGCAAGAAGAATTGACGCAACAGTCACGATTACCAATAGAAGCATATCCTAGAGATTATTTGGGTAAACCGCAAGGTGGATACGCGGTATCGACACATCAATATCTACCGCCTATACAGCAGTCGAGTAGATATTTATTTAGTGTTCCAAACCACAACGGCTATGTATTCCAGCAGATACCGGCGGACGAGCCGAAGTATTCATCCGATTACAACTATCAAGTCCCATCTTTGCAACCTTCATCGCAGCAGCAAACCTTGCCACTACCCACTCCATCCGCACCAAGTATCATGTCGCAGTATCCTCCCTTCCCGAGTTTGGTCAATGATGCACAAAGGAGAGATCAATTATACGCCAACCCACAATACTACCCTGCATATAACGGAGCATACTTGACACATCCCTCCATGTCACCTATCCAGTCACGATCGCAATCAATACAATTAAACCCTACAGAGGCGCTGGCTCCTCAGCAGTATTACGGCCAGAAGATCATGGTACCGCTGCCTGAAGAAAGCTACGGGTTCCAGCAGCAGCAGCAGCAGCAGCAGATTCATATGCAGCAACTGCAGCAGCTTCAACTTCAGCAGCAGCAACTGCAGCAGCAGCAACAGCAATTGCAAGAAGCGCACCACAAACGCAAGTACAAGCTATGGTCAGAAGAGGAGGACCAGAGGTTGCTGGACTTGAAGAGAAACAAACTGCTTAGCTGGAAAGACATTGCCACGAGGTTTTCGGACCGGACGCTGCATGCTTGCCAGTTCAGGTGGAGAAAAATCAGTCCGTACTTAGATGGAGAGGACGACGTCGGAAATGACGGCGCTGAGGAGGTATCCGAAGTCGAAGAGCACCCCGCAAAGGACGAGCAAGCGCAAGAAGTGGGAGAAGGAGACGGAGACGGAGACGGAGACGGAGACGGAGACGGAGTAGATGAAAAGAACGGAGACGGAAATATCAAAGATGATATACCTTTACCGTCACGCACCTCGGACCTGGAGGATGAGCCAACGGGAAAGACTGAGCACGAACGAAGCAGCTCGCTGGGCAAGGAAGGTGACGGCAGCAACAGCAGCAACAGCAGTGCAAGGCTTATCTCCCGCCCCGACTCCGGTCCTAGAGAAATGAAGATTAGAAACATTTTAAACTAGTGAGTTTAGGGGTAGACAGAGAGACGCATAGAGACAGACAGGTCGGGCATGCACAGGTACGGAGGACGATTGTGGAGTCATCTGCCCATGCCATCGCATTTTCTGGGGAAGGACTGTCGCTTTCTTCTTCCCGAGCCACGTGTAGATTTTAAAGATATATACTGTAACATACAAGATGACTGGAAGCACGAGCAAGCAGGCACCATCTTTCTGCATTGGCCACCGCCGCCGCTGCCGCCGCCGATGACGGTTGGAGCGCTCTGCAGCCGAAAATTTCGAGCTTGGCTACTTCCGGCCGAGAATGTTGGGCCCGCCTAGTCTAGAGCCTGCCTAGTTCATACCAGCAGCCGGCGCCAGCGCCGGCTGCGGTTCCTCTGAAGGGCGGACTGGTGCCTGGCCTGGCAGTCCTGCCGGACAGAGCAAGAGAGGAGATCTCTTGCCACGCAAAGCCGGCCTATACTCTGGCGCCGGCACGGGGCAGTCCGTGCAAATCTGGACAGCGGCAGACGTCGAAAAGATCGGGGGGTTTGTTGCTGGTTCCCACCCGCCGCGGTCACGCATGCACCGGGACATATCTTAGTGCAGCAGGGAAAGGCACTCTAGTCTCCCTCGGTGGAGCCCCTCCATGGCGGAGGTAACAGCGGCAGCAGCGGCAGCAGCGGCAATAGCAGCGCTCCGCCACGCAGCCGCGTCAACCGCTTGCTTCTCTGTGTTGCTGCGGCCGGGGGCTGAGTGGCGGCGGGCCTCCAGCGGTTCGCCTCGAGCCGCCGGGAGCTAGTCTGCCAGTCGGCCGTTTCGCAGGCTCTGCGGGCGCACGGTGGTCGCCCCCTTTCCGAGCGAGACTTTCCGCATCTACAGGAATTTATTCCCCAGCGCGGCTCGGGCCAGCGCAGATCGCACGGGAGTATTATTATTATGCAGCGCGCACTAAGGGGGCGGCCCGCAGGAGCACGGCCGGAGGGGTTCAGTACGGTTGGCCTGAGAGAGGAGGGGTGGAAGCAGGGGAAGAGACGGAAAGGGCTAAGCTTGCCGGGGGCGGAGGGTGGAGGCGGGGAGGCGGGGAGGCGGAGAGACGGGGAGGCGGAGAGACGGGGACAGAAACAGGAACAGGAACAGGGGGCAAGAAAAACAAGGGGAACCACCGGGGGGAGTTACAACCCACAGACAGTGATGGGAGGGAAGCGACGAAGGGCTCTGTGAGCCGAGCTGAGCTGAGCTGAGCTGAGCTTCGACCGGCTGGTGCAGTTGTGCTGGCGATGGGTCGGAACTCGGAAATAAAGAACCGGCATGCTGGGGCCGGCGAGAAAAGGGAGCAGGCGGGGTGACGGGTGAGGGCAGAAAAGCAGGAGGAGGAAACGGGCGGCGGAGAAAGCCCCCTTTTCGTGCCCCCTCCCCCTGGAAAATAGCAACACCTTTCGAGGCCTCGTTCAGTGAGCTTGGGGTTGCAGGGTAGGACAGGCTCTGGCGGTTCAGCCAAGAGGATCCTGTCATCACCACCAGAGGGAATGCTGGCAGCAAGAGACCCAGTTTTTTCTGCGCAGGAATCGCTGTTGGTGGTGAGACGTTGGTGGCTCCTCGGGTGTAGAAGAAGAGCCTCAGCAGCCCGACAGCACGATCAACACCTGGACTTTCGGCCCTTTGATCCACAATACATTCTTGAAGCAAAGCTGCAGCCTGGGGTGTGCTGTGCTTTTCCTCGGTGCTTAGTCGCAATTACGTATGGCAACTGACTCCTGGAACTTTGTCACTACAGGCCTTTTACTTCTCCGCTCTTGTATCCTTCACGTCTGGTCAGGAAGATCCATGGGCTGAATTGCATATGCTGCCTAGACTCAAAGGCTCCTGGCCTCTGCTTGCCTTAATGACCTTCAAGTCTGACTGGAGTCGCCCATCTTGTATGTACTGCAGTCCAGACTCTCTCAGCGGTGAGTTGAACTTCTCTTGTATGCCCCCCTTGAGTCATTGATTCTTGCGTTGTGCTCCACTATCTGCTGTATCCTTCTTCGAGTCTTGCGTTCCTTGCTCCCTGTTCGTTAGAAGATGACTAATTCGGTTTCTGTTGAAGACCCTTTTTGCGATTATCATGGGGTTAATTCACATAAGTGATTATAGCAAACCATCCATACTCAATAAATTGGAGCTGGCGTGCATATGTTTTTGCCGGGTCGATTGGCTTCAGGAGTGATCCAGACTGCAAGCTGCTTGCAGTGCTCTTTAAGGTTCATCCAAGCTAGAGGACCCTTAATTTGTGTCAAAAGCAACAGGGAATGAACCTTCTGGCCGTCAGACAATAAATCGGGTCATGGTACATATGCTATTGTGTCGCTGGTTTCAACTTTTATACACTTTACACTCTTGCATGCCTGGGTAAATGATAAGTCCTTTTCTCTTATTCTCCACGTTAACCTTTTAAAAATGCCAGAAAACTGCTTTTCCAAACAACAGGAAGTGTGATTACGTAATCATCACATCTCTAAACAGTCATTGAAAGGTTAAACGTGATTTTACTTCCTTCCAGTCACTAACAAGACTCAATTAGCCTACTGGAAAGGCATTATGCAATTCCCAATGTAGTCAGGTGTTACTAAAGCTTATGCTATAGCCTAACGTCCTTCTAACTACTAAAACCTTACTTCCGCGGCTTGTAGTGCCTGCGAGGATGCAGCCACCGCGAGCTTTTTTCTAAGCTGTAGATGCCTCCTTAGCTTAGTGGTAGAGCGTTGCACTTGTAATGCAGAGGTCGCTAGTTCAATTCTGGCAGGTGGCATAGACTTTTTTTTGACCACTGCACTATTTATTGCACTGGCATGCTAACATGGCGTTCCTTTGTTTCTCTTTATTTTTCTCTTTGCAAAGAATCATGTATAGTCGACATAACTCATTGTGACTACTACTTGTCATCTTCCAAGTTCTCCTTACACAGCTATTTACCGAATCAAATGATCAGTGATTCTGTGTACTTTTACTACTTTTTGGTTCACCTCCCAATAACGGTGTTTATGGATGCGACCTTCGTCATCCCTACCGAATACCAATTGCCGATTCAGAAACAACTGAGTTTGTTCCACATCCAGCAAAACAAGGACTTTTTGGCAGTCGAAGCTCCATTATGGGTCAGACTGTTTGTGATTTGGGAACTCGTTTTCCAACTTCCGTTCTTCGTCTACGCTGCAATCAACTATTTACAAAATGGCAGAACAAAGTACTCGGAGAGAACGTGGCCAATGTTTTTGCTCTACGGATTCAACGCGGGATTTACGAGTCTCGTCTGTCTCATTTATGTCTGGACAGAGAGTGGTAGGCATGGCTTGACAATGGGAGAAACCGCAAATCTCCTCGGTCTGTACACCCCTACGACACTCATTCCATTCTACATGATGTACGATTTCTGGGTTCGAATTGCAGATCAATTGCAATCTGTTGAACACGATAAAAAAGATTTATAGTCTCATTATAGCGACGTATATATGAAATAGACATAAACAAAAGAAAAGGCGCATGTAAAGACGCACGAAGCTACAAAATACCACTAATTGTGCTCTTTTTCGACGTTTATGCCGAGTACTTGGCACTCAATTCATCAACCAAAGCAATGTACTTTTGCTCAGCTTCTTCTTGAGAGGTCCCCTTCAATTTGGTCCAAGCCTCCCACTTATATTTGCCCTTGAAGTCAAACATTCCTGGCTTCTCGGTTTCGTTGTCACCAACGGTGGCTTGCTTGTATAAGCCGTACAACTCAAGGAGCTCATCGTCGGAAGGTCTGGTTGGAAGCTTGTTAACAGCTTCGGCCTGCACCAGGAAAAGTATCAACAGCCAAACAAGGCTGGGGACGAACGTTAGTACATGAGCTTCGTACGGGAGAAGATTCCACAAAATGTCTGGCCACGTACCTTTTGTGTGAATTCTGCAGAAACCATTTTGATGTATGTTGTTGTTTTGTCTGTTGTAGATAGCAAAGAAGCCGTGAGCGTGAAGAATGGTAAAAGCATCCGGAAACGGGGAAATAATATACCGCCCTTCAACTTCTTCAAAGAGAGTCTTCATACTGGTGCAGCGCCCAACTTGTTTTTCTTTGCGGGGGAAAGTGAGAAAAATGTGACGATCTGTCACGTTTCGTCTAGGGTCTGTTCTGCACGGCGGCCGAAGTTATGCCGAGCAGGACATACACGCCACGCAGAAGGCCCTCCGAAGAGGAGAAGAACAGCTGAAGTGCTTACTTTGGGACTTGAAAGCGTAATTGCAAGACTCGAAGAAAGTTTGGCTCCAAAGAACCGTGTCTCGTGAGAAAACACTGACGTTGGCTTCGAAACGATGCTTCCATTTATCCCACGAGGTGATGCTTTGCTAATTGTAATCCCGGCTGTTACTTAAATTCGTTGTGTAGGATTCAGTGCAGCTGTGCACATCCACAAACAGTGTTTGCTTCATTGGACATACGGTGTGGCAGAAACTATATATATTTCACATTGCACTTCCACGTTTCTCTGTACTTTTATATAATTTAGTTTGAGGGATGACACACCAGTCATTATATTTGCTTTTATTATCAATTATCCGTTGCTGATACCTCACAATGTCGTCTGTCCGTCAAGTTTCTCCTAACCTCATGTTTGGTACCCGCGCATGCGCCACGCATACTTGACGCGTTTTCTTGACGTGTTTGTGGCGCAGAACATGAAAGTAAATGGGTACACAAGTGGTTAACGAATATAAGATGAAGTGTCTTGTTTCATTATACCACCATGAGCGTTTTCACTGCTCCTATTAGACACTGTCGGATTGATACTTGAACTCATAAACACACCAGGCAACCAACTATGGCAGATCAGAAGTCGGTGCATTCAAAAAGAAGCATCTTGTTGGGTGTGGGGGTGCTTTTCCACCTCATCTACTTATGGTCCATCTTCGACATTTATTTTGTGTCGCCGCTTGTTCATGGCATGGACCAGCATAAATCGACTGCGAGTGCTCCAGCAAAGAGGTTGTTTTTGATTGTTGGTGATGGACAGAGAGCAGACAAGACCCTGGGGAAGATTTACCATCCGAGAACCAAGAAGGAGGAATATCTAGCTCCATATTTACGTTCGATCATTTTGAATGAGGGTACTTACGGGTTGTCGCATACTAGAATGCCCACTGAATCCCGTCCCGGTCATGTGGCGATGATTGCAGGGTTCTACGAAGACGTCAGTGCAGTCACCAAGGGATGGAAGGAAAACCCAGTGGACTTCGACTCTGTGTTCAACCAATCAACACATACATATTCTTTCGGTTCTCCAGATATTCTTCCAATGTTTGCACAAGGTGCAACTGAAGGGAAAATTGACACCTGGATGTATGGTCATGAATTTGAAGATTTTACCAGTAGCAGTATCGAATTGGACAAATTTGTGTTCAATCACTTTTACCAACTGCTCGAAAACTCAACTACAAATGCCCAATTAGACGAAGAAATCAGACAAGACGGTAACGTTTTTTTCTTACATTTGTTGGGTACTGACACCTCCGGTCACAGTTACAGGCCTTACTCCGCTGAATACTATGATAATATCCAATATACCGATGCTGAAATATCCAAACTAGTCGAGAAAGTTCATGAGTTTTTTGGTGATGAAGAAACTGCGTTTGTGTTCACGGCTGATCATGGTATGAGTGACTTTGGATCGCACGGTGATGGGCATCCAAACAATACGAGAACCCCATTGATTTGTTGGGGTAAAGGCTGTAATAAACCTGTGAGAATTGATCCATCAAGCAACGACTTCTTGCGTGATAAGTTTGAAAGTGACGATATGGCTAACTGGGACCTAGATGATGTTAAGAGAAACGATGTTAAACAAGCAGATATTGCATCGTTGATGAGTTATTTAATTGGAACAAACTACCCAATGAACAGTGTTGGTGAGTTGCCTATGGCCTTCATCGACGATGTGGAAAGCAATAAGGTCAAAGGTTTGTATTATAATTCGTTGACCTTATTAGAGCAGTACATTGTTAAGCTTCATGAAGTGAAAGATAACCAATTCAATTTCAAAGGATTCAGTAAATTTGAAGACAAATCTGTCGAATCATATAAAGCTAACATTGAGAAAGTGATCAAGTTAATGGACGTCAATACCGAACTTGAAAGTGAAGCTGTTTTACTAATCGAAGAGTTCAATTCTGTTATTCTCGAGGGATTGGACTATTTGCAGAAATATAATTGGCTGATGATACGTACCATTGTGACTTTTGGATTCATTGGATGGATTGTTTACTCATTCACCATCTTCTTGCAAATGTTTATTATTCCTCATGAGAAATTGTTTAGATACGAGGGAATGCACCTTGTGAGAAAGTTCTTCTTTATCTCATTTACGTCAGTCATGCTATACATTTTTCAGTATGAGAATTTGCCACTGAACTATTACTTTTACTTGGTCTTCCCAATCTTTTTCTGGTATAACATTTTCAAATACAAAACAGATTTAGTTAAAGGTTTCAACATTTTCTTCAAAGGATTAAGCAATATTTGGAAAGTTCTCATCTTCTTTGGCATTGTTGTTTTCTTTGAATCTATTGCGGTTGGCTTTGAAAACCGTGAAGTATTCAGTTACATTTACTTAATTCTATCTGCATCTTATCCTGTTTTACTATTTCAAAAATCACTTTTACAAAACAAGAAACATCTGAAAATTTCTATATGTTGGTTTTTCACTTGTATTTCACTTTCTATTTTCCCAATCCAAAATCCAGTGAAGGTTGAATCGATCAATCTGATTGTCACTTCTGGTTTGATAATGACCGGAATTGGAATACTCGGTCTCACATTCTTACAGAAAAAGATGTCTGAGAAGACAAGAATGATAATAGGACTGCAGATTGTACTAATTGTTTTATCAATTTATTCAACTTTAAAAGCAGTGGTTTCTTTGACTAACCGTAAAGGTTTACCACTAGATGCGCAAGTGATTGGATGGACAGTAATGATCGCTTCCTTGACAGTTCCAACAATGTTACACTACATCTATCCAAATTCTAACTACCAAATTAGATTCCTCGTTATATTTTTGACTTTGGCACCTACTTTCAATATTTTGGCCATTTCCTTTGAAGGTCTTTTTTACATTCTATATTCGCTTATGCTAATATTATGGATTGAAATGGAGTCGATGTCTACCAAATCTAACAACAATCTTAGATTACTTCGAATTTCAGTCATTGGCTTTTTCAACCTTCAAATTTCATTTTTTGGTACCGGTAATGTTTCTTCCATTTCAACATTTTCTTTGGATTCAGTTTACAGATTACTTCCAATTTTTGACCCGTTCCCAATGGGCGCACTTCTCATGCTCAAATTGATCATTCCGTATGCATTATTGAGTACAGGTCTTGGGTTGATCAATCTCAGACTTGGTTTCTCTAAATATAGTGTCACCAGTTTGATTATTTCAGTTTGCGATTTACTTTCTCTCTGGTTTTTTTATATGGTTAGGACCGAAGGATCGTGGTTGGACATTGGTGTCAGTATAAGTAACTATTGCTTGGCTATCTTTGGTGCGTTGTTTATTGCCATCGTCGAAGTTGGTAGTGGTATTGTTCTCAGCGGTGTGCATATTGAAGAGCACAAAGAAGCTAAGGCTGTTGCGCAACTGAAAATGGACGACAAACAGTACCATGAAATTGAAAAGATCATAAATGATGACCAGTTGGATAATGGCACCATCGGAAGTCGTGTTAGACGAAGAGTTCAAAAAGATTAACTAGATTTTTCTTTTTTCTGACAAACATGTATATTGACCCAAAAGTTTTCAGTATGAAAAACCATCGTAGTCTGTTTAAGAAAAAGCATTCTGTAAGAATACGAAAGCATATTAAGAAAATTATCGACCCAAATTTTATACATGGCTACAAAATATTATGTGCAATTACCACTGAGTACACTCTATCAAATATACATGATACTCAATGCATCCTTCTGCTTTTCGGTGAACTCCCATTTGTTAATATTCTGACCGCCCGCAAGCCATTCGGCTAGCCAAACTAAAGCTGTTGATTCTATTTTGTCCAAATCTAAAGTTTTGTAAACACCCAATCCGCCAATGAAATGCTCATCCTGTTCACCATTTACAAACTCATCACTCGTTAGTTTCAGCCACAAAGCCGAACATGAGCCACCGGAATTCTCGATTTCTCGATGACCGGATGGACATCTGCATCTACAACCACTAGGTCCTAAATTTTCAGCAAGATTGAGATCAGTAACAGGGGGATCATAATCGGCATAGTATATTTCGTCTTGAGGCAAGACCTGATGCTTAAACTTAGGACCGGATTTGTAAGGTAACTGATTCGGAGAATTGTAGGGACAGTGACCCAACGTGGAATGTTTATAGCCGATATCTCTGAAGTAATGTATTTCTGACAGGTTCAAGAACAAGCCTACAGCTAATGAATGAACTGGAGCATCACCCCAACGTTCAGTGAAAAAACCCTTTGAATTCTCCAAAAAGTCATAATAAGCTCTATACTCTGGAGAGGTGAATAGAGAGTTTGAAGCGATTTCGAAATTTGACCAAAAATGACACATGTTGAACTCCTCGTTTTCATACTTTTCTTCTACCGCTAGATTTAGCCCATTTATTTTGCTGTGGTTAATGAGTGATCTAAGAAGTTGCATTTCAGTTGAGCCAAAAGACCCTTCACTTTTCTTGTTCAAGTGAATCTTAGAATAGTTGTAAATAGTATTTTTCTTAACTTTGTTTAAAAAGTCATTCATATTTTTGACATCTTCATAGTTTTCCTCGTTCTCACCTTTATAAAATTTATGGTTTTTGGTAAAAAAATTCCAGGTGTCTGGTAAATTCATGTCATAATCCTTGATGAATTTTTTTGTGAATCTGAACAAGTTTGGTACTGTGTCGACCAATTCCTTTATTGCAATAGTGTAACCGTATTTTTTCCCATGCTTTTCCATTTCAATGAACGGGTCGTATGTAAGATCACAATAGAAGTCAACTTCAGGTTCCACTCTCCAGTACCAGTCTAGCTTTTTCACCAAAGGATGTTCAAAGAAATAGCCGGAATAGAATCTACACATGCTGTGATATGAGGGCATATTACCATACATTATACCTCTATCTCCCTGACTCTCCACGGCTTCATTGAAAAAGATGGTATCAAAAGACTCTTTTATATTGGTTTGTGGCTCTTTCTTTTGGCGTTTCCCTGCTTTTTTTTTCCCTTCTTGTTTGCCTTTTTGACTATTCTTCTCCGTTTGTTGTGGTACTGGTTGGTCCTTGAACCTCCATCTATCCCCGGGTATAACCCCGAATTCAAAATCTCCGCTTGCTACTTCTTCTACTCTTTCTATAAATTCGTCGGTAAAAGGCTCGTCATTGAGAAATATCCACGGATAGTTGAACCATTGGTTAAATCTCCGCTCTAGGGATCGCATACTGAGGATTACTCCATCAATCTCTGAGTTTCTCGCCAAAACAACAAAGGCGGCATTAGCCCTTGGCTTCTTTGCTTCCACCAGTGGATCTCTGCATCCATATTGGAAGACGTCGTCGATGGTAGATTTGAACGTCCGCTCACTGATGGGGCATTTCTGTAGCATGCTTCCTTGAAATTTTTCGTCATAGCTTTTGAAGTATTTTGGATTCTGCAAAACTGAGTAATCTATATTCAGCGGTTGTATCCTTCGATTGACATAGATGTATGACTGTATCGTTAGCGAAATTGTAAGAATAAACAAAATGAGTTTCCATAATCTGAGTGTTCTGAAGAAAAGGAATTTCGAAGGAATATTTATGTTGTAGTTTATAAAGATTTGGAGCTTCGATTTTACTCGATGAAGGAAAGACTTGTTCGAAACTGGTTTCCAGAAAATTGATCTCAGCATTGCTCACCAGATGCAGAAGGTGCCGGGAAGAAGGGATACAGTTTGCAAGAGGCAAAAAAGGCACTGGCCGGTGTTGTTCTCAACAAATTCGAGATGAAGATGAGTGTGGATTTGCATATGCATGCAGACCCTATGGGGTTTAAATGTATTGCGTTGAGCGAAAATGGTATTTCCAGAAGGAAAATCGTCCGTCTGCATACGTAATCAAACAGTAAGCGTGAAGGCCCATCATAGGTGGGAACGACTTACTGAAGAGATATTGTACAAGGGATGGAAAGGATCGAGGATCTCCGCTATAAAGCTACGTGTGGCATTAGTTGTAGAAAAGCCAGGGGCAAAAGTGCAGGGGAGAAAGTGGGGAGGGGAAGTAAAAGTGCGGTTGTCATGTTTCGGCAACAATAAGAAACGATGGAAAAGTCGGGAGAAATGTGGAGTGAAAAAAGCTGAGGTCAAGGTACAGCTTTATGCTGGAGGGTATAACCACCTCGAAAGAAACTCTGGCGAGTGTCTTGCGAGTGGGCAGTGATAATTTGCTGATGAGCATCCCGCTATTGGCGAAGAAGAGTCTGCAGCAAAGGAATACGACGAGATTATTTTTTTGACGTCGCGGAAACAGGTATGGTCGGACATGTTTCTTGGAGCATTTCGAGACCAAGTCTGAGTCGGGTTTGTCCAGGAAGCTGGTACAGATCCAGGAGAGCGGAGCAAATCAAAAAAGGCATCCTACACATGAGCTTGCAAGCAAGAACTTGGCCTGTTAAGGCGTCAGGGAAGTACGCGACGAAGTTGAAGTTGCTGCAGGAGGGAAGACGGCTCTTCGAGCAGAGCAAGGAGAAGGACAGAGAGGACATGATCAGGCACTTCAACAAGCTGGCGATGCAAAAACACAAGACAGGTCTTTCTCAAAAGAAGATACTGACGTTTATTTCTGGCGTGAGTGGACGGGCCGGCGAAGCAGAGGACTGGGAGAGACACTGGTGGAAAAGCGTGAGGCGATATCGGCAGAAGCTGCGGCAGCGTGGCGACGACAGTGGAGTGGACAGCGATGTGCCGAGGCATGTGGAGCGAGAGTGTGCGGCGGACAAGAGCACACTGCGGCCGCTGGAGACGCCCTGGCGGGAGGTTGTGGTTGAGGACCGCCGGGAGCTCTCGTTTGACGAGCGGGTCCGCCGAGTCCTGGAAGATATATCCGGGAAAGTGCGGCGTGTCGAGGCGGGTCAGACAGAGGTGCTGCACTGTGGTGAGTACGCGGACGAGGTGGTCGACGACTTCCGCTGCCGAATAGCGAGGTGGGAGGGCTGCCCGACCACAGATGTCGAGCGGGTGAGGGAGGTTGTCGAGCTGGCAGGCAGCCAGTGTCTTGGGAAGCGCTGGCTGGCGCTGCTGGACGCGTCGGCAGCAGCCACAGCCGCAGACCTTGTTGATGTCGTGGAGGGCGTGATCCACCGCAGCGACAGCTGCGTTGTGGCCGACGAGACGCTGCTGGAAAAGACGGTGCTGCGGTGTCTGGCGTCGCCAGGACTCGAGGCCGTCGGCGTGGCTCTTTTCCGTCTTGCGGTTGTGTGCGGGGAGCACCGCAGGAAACCGCTTCAGGCTCAATCAACGACAGAGCCCCGTGCCAGAGACGACCGCTACGGGCTTGCTGAGGGGGTGTTGAGGTTGCACAAGACAATCACAAGCGCTGAGCCGCTACTTGGCAACTCCAACAAACACCACAAGTCTGCTGTCGTGGTTTTCCCCTTTTTCCGCGGGGCACAAGCCGTCCGCGTCGGTGTACGGGTGTGCGCAGCACTCCGCGGCCTCCGGGACGGCGAGCTGATGTTGTGGGCGAGTCGTGTGGTGGTTGCGCACTCGGAGCCCGCCGGGTCTCGCTAGAAGTCTGGCGACGCGTCGGCGACGCGTCGGCCGGCATTGTGCAGACGTTTTCCCTTGTGCAGCGTCTCGGAAGCGGGCGACGCGCATATCCGGCGTTCTCGCACAGAGGGCGACGGGGCCCGCGGCGGTTGGTAAGCATTTCCGGGGTCGGGTCAGCAGCGGGTGGGCCAATGGGGAGCACGGGAGGTGTCAGTCGGGCAGCGAGCCAGCCGGTGCTGGGGCCAGCTCTGGGGACGCCGGAGAGCATATAGAGAAGAGAGGGTCTCCATTTCGAAATGTTGCCTGTGAAGCTGCTTGTGCTGTGTGTGTTGGTCCGTTTTCGCCCTGGTGTTTGTTTCTTTGTTCCTGCTCCTGTACCGTTTCTGTTCCGGCTAGCAAGTCTTCTCCTGTGTGACATTTCTTCCGTTTCGTCATCTAACGCCTTCTATATACACCCGACCTAACCAGTTACGCAAACGCTCCTAAACGCACAAACACAAACACACACACACATAAACCCCGCAATGAAAGCAGTGCTCAATTTCGCAAGAACAATGGCCACGGCCGCCGCCAAGACCCCAAACATGAAGACCTTCAAGATCTACAGATGGAACCCAGACACCCCAGAGGTCAAGCCACACATGAAGGCATACGACCTCGACATGAACGAGTGCGGGCCTATGGTGCTTGATGCGCTCTTGAAGATCAAGAACGAGTTTGATTCGTCGTTGACCTTGAGAAGATCGTGCAGAGAAGGTATATGCGGGTCCTGCGCCATGAACATTGGTGGTAGAAACACCCTTGCCTGTCTCTGCAAGTTGGACAAGGACTCCGGCAAAGAGCTGAAGATCTACCCTCTTCCCCACATGTACATTGTCAGAGACTTGGTTCCTGACTTGACCCACTTCTACAAGCAGTACAAGTCCATCCAGCCTTACTTACAATCCGACAAGCCTATGCCTGTGAGGGAAAACTTGCAGAGTGTCGAAGACAGACACAAGTTGGACGGTTTGTACGAGTGTATTCTGTGTGCGTGCTGCTCAACCTCCTGTCCTTCGTACTGGTGGAACCAGCAGGAGTACCTAGGTCCTGCCGTCTTGATGCAGGCCTACAGATGGATGGTCGACACCAGAGATACCGCCACTAAGGCCAGACAGGCCATGCTACAGAACTCCATGTCTTTGTACAGATGCCACACCATCATGAACTGTTCCAAGACCTGTCCTAAGGGTTTGAACCCAGGTGGTGCTATTGCCGAAATCAAGAAGTCCATGGCTTTCGATTAGTCAACAGCATTTTCAGTCATATTACAAACTCCTCCCCCACATACATATTCCTCCATACTCTCAAACACACATACACATACACTCACTCACTCGTGTCTTTGTACATGAGTGGTGTCTTTCTATCTATTTCTATCTATCCACTTATTCTTTAAAAAAATCTTTTACTTCGATGTCCCTGATGTGTATCTTTTAATCCTAAATCTTTCTTCTTCCCTATATATTATATATAAAGCAAAGGCATATTTATTTATCTAGTCAAAGCTGATGATGACCTTCGGCAAAATAAACCCTAAAAACTCTTTTCCACCTTTCTCTCTCCGACGAGCCTCAATACGCTGTTTATTCCGTATCAACTGCCTCTATTTCTTCCTGCACGCACGGTACAGGTTACAAACGGGATTCACCCGCTACACCTCCACCCACCACATTATGGACGGAGACAAACTGCGATATCTGGATAAACTGGCCTACCACCTACGCGATACATACAACTTCGCAAACGTCACAATACGCGGGGGCCAAGATAGCGGAAATCGTTTTGGCACGGAATTGACGCCGGCCCTCATTTTCGACGCAGTTTACAACGCTTCCTATACCGTCAAATTCACCATTGCGTGGCATCCCAGCTACAACGTCCCATGTGTCTTCTTCCAAATATTTTCGTCGGAGGGGCTTGACAGCGGGACAGAAGATGCAGACGACGCAGACGACGCAAACATGTTTGATTCCCAGACGCTCACCTTCAACGAAAGCGCACTACAGTTTCTTACGAATATTCGCCACAAGCACTTGGTAAAGTCGCAGAGAGAGTCTACGCCAGCTTCCATCACTACGACACGCTCCAATGTGTCCGTGGACATCTACATAGCCCCCGCTAACACTTACTTCTTCATCCACCCGTGCCAGACATCCTCACTCGCAGAAGAAGGCGTCTATGACTTTCGCTGGCTAGATTTTTTTCTCGCTGCTTTAGGAATGTATTGATTATTGAAGGTTGATAATCCCTTGATCGACCAGCGTCTTTACCTTTTACGATGATGCCCTTCTAACAGGAAGACTGAGCAAGGTGAAGCAGCATAGGAAAAACCAGGAGCATACAATGTCGACTTCAGCATATACACAGTCCAGAGCACATGTGCTTTCGCTCTCCACGCAATTGTCCAACGTGTTGGCACGATACTCTTCGTTTGCTACAGACGTCCACACGACACCATCAGCAGAAGAAGTGGAAACAAAAAACAAAATACAGACACTTTTGAGCGACCTTTCTGCGGCAATCAATGACATGTCCCGGATTCTGGACACGTTGCAGACAGAATCACTCTCCAGCTCTAAATTTCAGCAACTTTCTAGACACAAAGACGAGCTCAAGAGACATCGCCAGGATTACCAAAGACTTGCCAACCAAATTGAGCAAGAGCGAAACCGATTAAACCTCTTGTCAAATGTCAGATCGGATATAGATCAGTATAACGACAATGCCAACGGAAACAACCCAACTGGAGGGAATATAAACTCGGACGATTACATGCTTGATGAGAGACTGCGTATCGACAGATCTCATGGAATAGTGGACAACTTGATCAATCAGGTCATGGAAACCAGAGACGAAATGATGAGGCAAGGAAGCACCCTCTCCAACGTCAGCAACAGGTTAGAAAGAACCTTGAGCACCGTACCGGGATTGAACACCCTGATCAACAAAATAGATGCAAGACATCGTAAAGAGGCAATCATACTGGTTGTAGTGATTCTAATATGTCTTATTATCCTCTGGTTCTCTTTATAGCGAATATTTTATATGTGTAACGCAACACAAAGAAAGAGAATATTTGCATAAGTTAAAATAATCTCATCGTTGACGATGCTACTGGTGGCATTCTGGAGCACCATAGAGCCTTTGTTGCAGTTTTTTGTAGAGGAAAGCTTTGCCGTTTCTTTAAAGTCTAAGTAATATCAGTATCATGCATTACGAAGAGAACATTCAATTATATCAAAAACATGTCACGTGACCATAATCTTTATATTCACTTTCTCTTGGTAGTGATAAAAAAAGATTCATCGACATCAGCTAATCCTGCAGCTCTTACCTGAACATTTGAAATGATCGTACAAAAACAAAAGCTTTATTCGAGAGGAAAACAATGCAAAATTTAGAGTCATCCTTTTCTGAAATTGTTACCAATTTGGTGACGGGAACGCGTTTGAACGATTACGTTGCTTCTTGTCTTTATCAACACCCAGCCACTATTAAGGCTGCCAAACAAATCACGGCATTGATATCAGATGCACAGGTCGATTCCGATGCACAGTCTTTGCTTAACCACATCACGGGAAAATACCTCATAAGTTTGCACGTGGCGTATGAGCAGCAAATCCAGCAATCAAAAAAAACTACCAACGAAGACGAAGACGAAGACAAAACGTCTGAGAAACCCGTTGAATATAGCATTGAAGAGATAATCGGTCTGAATTTACACCGCATATTTGCGATCCTCGATCTCACGATTCACATTGACGAAGTATACTCAGAATACAGTAGTTATTCAATGCATACGTTCGTCTCCATTCTATCGTATATCTATCCGATTGAGTTTATTGTCAAGCATCTGGCACCTCTCTTTTTCAATGAAGAAGGAAAACAACGTAGGCTGTTGCTTACCAAAGGGAATAAACTCCAGGGGAAGGTCAAGCCTGGATCGAGGCTCTTGGTTATTTACAAGCAAATAGTGAGCAGGATCCCGGAGTTCGAACCTTCAAACGACAGCGTCATTGCCAAGTTCCGGCAATTCATTTGCAACTCCTTTGAAATCGGTGACAAGCTCTCCCAATCGTCTAACTGGCACATGGCCCAGAAAACTTTGAATGGGTACCATTCAAGTTTCGAAGGCTATTATGACGCCAAGCCAAATAGCAGGGGCGGTAAATCCCAAAGGAACGTATTTGTAGACTACATTACGTTGATGAGAACGTTGACGACACATCACGAGGGAGAGTTGATTCAAGCACTGAACAAGGGGTTGAACAGCAGCAACTCGCTCAATTTGAGACTGATCGAAGATATAAACAGGACGCTCGACAGCGTCACCCACCACAACCACCGAACGTTGGTGAAGTTACCATTGAACGAGAAGAGCACTAAGCAGACCAAGTGGGTGTTGGATGAAGAGACCTTCAACGCACAGGTGAAGACATACGACTTCTATTGGTCGCTCAAGATCCAGCTGGCCATTCTCGCAAACTTTTTTAACGAGATGTCAGTGGAGAAATGGAGGCCCAACTCTGAGACGATCTCGAAGGAGTACTCGAAATTCAAGAAGCCAGACGTGCTGATCAACCCGATAACGTCTTTCGACTCGAAGCGGAAGGTAGCTGACTGGTTGACTTCTTCCCTCAACGCGTTCAAACAGAAGAACTTCCACCACGCCGAACTTCTTGACATCTTCGAAAATAACGAGAAGACGTTCAGCAAGATGAAGCTCAAGAACTTTGTTCATCCGGAGATTTCCCAGCTTTCCGAGATTTCAAACTCGAAAAAGAGAAACCTTGCGGAGTACATTGCGGAGGCGCACGATCTAGAGCGCTCGATCGTCAACAAAAGGCCCAAGTTTGTACACTCTCTCGGTACGCCAAAACTATCGAAGCTCTGGGGGGTCCAGACAGGCTTGAAGTCCAGCGCTATATCCGAGTGGAAAGACTGCGACGACGTCCTCGAGTCGGTCAAGGACGACGTCTACTTCGCCCGGGGAGCCTACGAAGAAAACCCGGCAGACACCGCGGCTGCAGAGACGTACACGAGACTCTGCTGGAAGGGATTGCGAAGTATCAAGGAGCAGGGCAGTTGGCTTGAGCTGGCAACATGCAACGAGTTTGGCGAAGTTGCCGGGGATTCAGGAAAGAGACTCTTCTGAAATAGGAAGCTGTGAGCACGTGATCTCTCTTGTTTTAATTCCATATCAGGAAACTGTGGCGCGCCGGGGTCCATCTTTCGAAGCCCGTCGTGCAGCTGCCCGAATTTTTCAGATAGAAGGAGAGATACAGGAGATAGATAGCTAGAGCTAACAGGTGAAGAGATTTGATATTTTCCTCGGGTGAAAAGTTCATGAAGGCTTTCTTTTTCACGATTCTTGGAACTCTTACTTCTTTTCTACTTCTTTTGTACCTCGATAATAAAAGCTTTGTTGTAAAAGCATAAAGTGCGCAACTACCATGTCACAAGCAGGTGTTTCTACAATCTCTGAGCTGTTTTCGGCAACGGCCGTTGCACCCTTCGGGCTTCCATTGGACCCATACGAGGTGAAGAGCAGAACTCTCTCGACCAAGTACAACATTATTCAAGGCGCGTTGTACTTGTTATCCAGCAACATCTTCAACTACGCGTTGCCAACTGTTAGCGAAAGCGACGAGAACTTGATCCAGTTGTGGTCCAACTTGAAGAGAAAGAACTTTTCAAACGAGATCCCAAAGTTGCACAACCTGGACATCTCCACTGACTCGGGTAACCTATTACTTGGTTACTTGAAGAACTTCAAGGGCAGTGCCACCTTGAACGCTTCTGTTGATGCCTTGCTCAACTTTGCCCCAGTTTTGGTCTCCCATTCCAACAACGAGTACCACTCATTACCGTTATCCATTCAGCTCTCCACTGTCAGCTACAATTTCGAGAAGAACCAGCTGGTCTCAACGTACTCCGAGGCTTTGTCCATTGCCAAAAGCTTGAGACTACCAGTTTTGACCTCTACCACTGCGTTGGAAGCCCAACTCTTCACACTTGTCTCCATTGTTTTGTCCAAGTTCAACATTGCAAACATCCATCTCTTCAACGGTTTGGAGTCCATCAGATCTAACGAGTCCTTGTCGGGCTTGTTATCATCATCAGAATTGAAACATTTGTCAGACAAGTTGTACAACTCCCTTAAGGCAGACATCTTATCGGTAAACCCTACTGAAATTGTCTCCTTGGCTTTGAACAAGTTGAATGAGATTCAAGGTTCAGACTACCAAGTGTTCAAATTCTACGGTAACAAAAAGGCAGAAGTTGTTTATGCTATTTACCCAACAAAAGAATCTATCTCTGCCCTAGTCGAATCTGTCGGCACTGAGAGTGAGTTCGGCTTCATTTTGGTCAAGTCCCCTATTCCTTTTGCGTCCAAGCAATTCAACTCCTTGGTTTCTGCAGATGTTAAAAAAATCGTCGTTGTTTCTGAGTTTTTGAACGATTCCACTTCATCATTGAAGTTGGATATCCAAGCATCATTGTTTTTCGAAAGCAGATTTCATACTCAAGTTGTCAACGATACTTTTGATTTTGTTGTTAAGAAGTTTGCTTCTTCCTTCTCTTCTGCATCAAGCGCTGCTTCTTACAAATTCTTGTTGAACGACAACTCTAAATTCATTGAATTACCTGCCAAGTTGGCCCACGCGTTATCCTTGACCCAAGAGTTAGATGTCAAGTTCAGACCAGTTTACGACAACACAGTCAACGCTGGGTTGTTCCAAGCAGATATTCAAACCGGTTCAGTGTATGATTACAGTGGAAAGTTTGACTTTATTGTTGTTGAAGACACCAACATTCTCAACTCTGTTGATGTTTTCTCCCTTTTGAAGTCTGGCGGAAAGTTGCTCGTCATAAACAACGAAGAGACCGTTTTCGATGAAAGCAAAATTATTGAAAAATCTTTGTCTGTGAAGGTGAAGAAGATTTTGGCTCAGTCAAAGTCGAACTTAGACTTCCTTGACTTGAACGTTATCGGAGAAGTCGACGGAACTAAGGGCAGAACTGCATCCATTGCTATCCAGACAGCCTTCTGGTCTTTGAACTACCCATCATGGGACAAGCATTCAGTTGTCACCAAGATTCTTCAGTTTTTCGGTTCTGAGGCCGAATTGTTAGCCTCTGTTATTGCTGATCAAGTTGAAAACGTGAAGGCCAATGGCTTCAAAGAGATCAAGTTTGACGTTGAGTGGGAGAAATTAGAGGATGCTGAAATTGAAGGTTCTGAGGAGGGTGATGTTTTTGCTATTGTCAGAGAAACCTCGTTCAAGCCAAACCCAAGAGAAGCCTTCATTGACAACATGACTGTTAAGACTGAGAGAAAGACAGACTTGACCAAGAAGCTGATGTTCAAGGAAGCGTACGGCACCACCTCGTCGTTAAGACCTGACCAGCCTGTGGAGAACTTCGTTGTGAAAGTCAAGGAGAACAAGAGATTGACTCCTGGTGACTACGACCGTAACATCTTCCACATTGAGTTTGATGTCTCCGGCACCGGGTTGACCTACAACATTGGTGAGGCGCTTGGTATCCATGGTAGAAACAACGCCGATTTGGTCAATGAGTTCATCCAGATGTACGGGCTGGACGGCGACGAGTTGATTGAGGTTGTTTCGAAAGACAGCCACGAGGTTCTCGAGGTGAGAACGTTGAGACATTCGTTGATCGAGAACCTCGACTTGTTCGGTAAGCCACCAAAGCGGTTCTACGAAGCGTTGGTTGAGCATGCGACCGACGAGACCGAGAAGAAGAAGCTCGAGCAGTTGATTTCTCCTGCCGGTGGCGCTCTGTTCAAGAAGTTCCAGGAGGAGGAGTTCTACACCTTTGCCGACATCTTCGAACTCTTCAAGTCTGTGAGACCGGCTGCGCAGGAGCTCGTGCAGATCATCAGCCCGTTGAAGAGAAGAGAGTACTCGATTGCTTCGTCGCAGAAGCTGCACCCTACTGAGGTGCACTTGCTCATTGTGGTGGTGGACTGGGTGGACAAGAAGGGCCGCAAGCGGTACGGCCAGTGCTCGAAGTACATCTCGGACCTGCGTGTTGGCGACGAGCTTGTTGTCAGCGTCAAGCCCTCGATCATGAAGTTGCCTCCTCTCACCACGCAGCCGATCGTCATGGCCGGCTTGGGTACCGGGTTGGCGCCTTTCAAGGCCTTCATCGAGGAGAGACAGTACCAGCTCGAGCACGGCGCCGAGATCGGCGAGATCTACCTCTACCTCGGCTCCAGACACAAGAGACAGGAGTACTTGTACGGCGAGTACTGGGAGGCCTACATGGACGCAGACGTCTTGACCCACCTCGGCGCCGCCTTCAGCAGAGACCAGGTCAAGAAGGTCTACATCCAGGACAAGATCAGAGAGAACCTCGACGAGCTCACAGACCTCATCATCAACAAGAACGGCCACTTCTACCTCTGCGGTCCGACCTGGCCTGTGCCGGACATCAGTGCCTGTCTCCAGGACATGTTTGCTGCCGACGCCGCCCACCGCGGCGTCAAAATCGACGCCGCCAAGGCTGTCGAGGACCTCAAGGAGGAAGGCAAGTATGTTTTGGAGGTCTACTGAGTCGATTTCCCACGTGCAAAAACATGTATATGTACCCGACGTAGATGTATATCCGAATAGACATAGATTGTGAAAATAGCCCCTGCTTACGTAACCTTTCTTCCTCCGTCTGCCCGCAACGGTTTCGCCGGTTCCGAGCCGTCGCTTCTCCCCGCGCTCCGGCAGCGGCGCCCAGGGCCCGTCACCGGCGCTGCAAAGAGTCACTCGCCGGCGTTCTGGCGCCGTCCCCCGCGTCCGCCGCGACCGGCGACAATAGTTGATAGCACAGCCGGCCCGCGGACGACGCCGGACGAAGCCTGCCGGCTGAGAAGGTGACTCGACTGTGACTGATCCGGCGGGAGAGGGCGCCGGTGCCCGGCTGAGGGGGGCCAGCGTACCGGAGAAGAGTGCTGCAGGGCCGGCGGCTGCGGCTGCGGGGAGAGCGGGGCAGTAGTAGATAAAGAGACATTTTTCACTCTTTTTTTTCCCGGGTATCACACAGCTTGTGGAGATGGGAATTTTTCACGGTTTCTGCCTCTGTTTGCTTCTGTTTGCTTCTGTTTGCTTCTGTTTACTTCTGTCTACTTCTGTCTGCTGCTATCTCGGCACCCATTCGACATTCGTTCAGCAACCTTTGCTCCAGCACACACACACACAAGCATGTCGGACGATACTGCCAGCTGCGGCCAGAGCAGCAACACAAAGGCCTCCGTCGAGAACTACAAGGAAGCGCCTGCCTCCGATATCGCCAGCGGGTCCGTGGCAGACCTCAAGCTCTCCCTGGAGGAGAAGAAGGCCCGGGTGGACGCTCTCGCCGAGGAAAGCGGCATCAACCAGCGCAAGCTCATGTGGAAGATCGACGTGTGCGTCATTCCTCCCTTCTGCCTCCTCTACTTCCTTGCGTTCCTCGACAGGGTGAACATCTCCAACGCCAAGGTGTACGGAATTGAAAAGTCGCTCCACCTCCACGGCAACCAGTTTGCCACCGCATTGACTGTCTTCTTTGTCTTCTACATCGTCTTCGAGGTCGTGTCCAACTACCTCATCAAGATCATCAAGCCCCACACGTGGCTCTCGAGCATGATCTTCCTCTTTGGTCTTGTCACTCTTCTTGTCGCCTACTCTCACAACTTCAGCGGCTTGATTGTCTGCAGATTGTTCTTGGGTATCTTCGAGGCCGGCTCCTTCCCGGCCATCTTCTACATCATCGCCAACTTCTACACTCCGGGCGAATCCTTGAGACGGTTCTCCTTCTTCTTCAACTGCACCTGTCTTGCCGGCGGTTGTGCAGGTGCCTTGGCCTACAGAATCCACGACTTGGACGGCAAGCACGGCCTCGCCTCCTGGCAATGGATCTACATCATCGAGGGCGCCTTCACCATGGGCTTGGCTATCCCGCTCTTCTTCGCCGTCTCCGACTTCCCTGAAGAGGCCCGTTTCTTAAACGACAACGAAAGAGCCTTCCTCAAAAAGAAGTTGGAGTACTACCAGGGTAACTCCGGTTACGAGGTCAAGCAGACCTGGAGCGATATTGGAACCGTTTTCAAGGAGCCAATGCTCTACATCTGCTCCCTGTGCTACTTCGCCCTTGTTGTTCCTTCCTACTCCTACGCCTTCTTTGCCCCAACTGTCATCAGCGAGTTAGGCTACACCGCCATGGAAGCCCAGAGACACTCCATCTACCCTTGGTTAGCCACCATGGGCTTTTCCTTCATCCTCGCCATTTCCTCGGACTACTCACGCGTCAGACTTCCATTCGCTCTTATCGCCTGTGCAACAGCCATCGCAGGTCTTTCCATGGTGTTCGGCTGTGTCGACAGCCCTCACGCTAGATACGGTGGTTGTTTCCTAACTGCCATGGGCTTGTACTCCTGCATGCCAATTTTGATCTGCTGGATGTCTCTCAACTTCTCCGGGCACTCGAGAAAGTCCGTTGGTACAGCCTTCGTCATCGGCTTCGGTAACTTGGGTGGTATCATTGCCTCCTTTATCTTCCCCAATATTGAGGCGCCAGCATACAAGAAAGGTTTTGGTATTTGTATAGCTTTTGCCTGCCTTGCTATGTTTACCCTTGTTCTATACGCCGCCTACTTGATGTGGCGTAATCACAAGAAGGAAACAGATGCTTTCAAGCAAAAATGGGACTCTTATGATGAGAGAACTAAAATTGTCAAAGGTGACGTCAATCCAGACTTCCATTACTGGTATTAGAGTCAAATACTCTCGTTCTTGTTCACCTTATCAACGCTCTTTTAATGATTCTCAGTTAGAAATTGACACTTAATAGTAATGGTTTTTGTTTCGTCTTTTCTCATAATTCTACTTGCTTTTATTTTTCTTCTTTTACTTTTCTACATATCTTTATTTTGTAACTAGCCACTTATAAACACCAAAAGTTTGAAAATGAAAAAAAAAATCTAAAAATACATAATTTCATGCCACACCGCTCAATCCTAGCAATCCAAACAATTCTGCTTTGCTCAATCCGTTACCAATTAGCTTCGCTGTGGATTGGGCATCTTTGTCTACAACTGCCTGCATGAGCTCCCGCTTCTTGTCCTGTAATTCCCGGATCCGAATCTCAACTGTCTCCGAAACGTAAAATTCATGCACATCCACATTCGACAATTGACCAATTCTGTACGCCCTATCCACCGCCTGTGCTCCAATAGCTGGATTCCAAAATGGCTCATACAAAATGACCCTGGAACAAGAGGTAATGTTCAACCCATAGGCGCCACATTTGAGAGAGCATAAAAGAACATGTATTCCAGGATCATCGGTTAAGCTCCTCAAGGTAAGGTCTTTCAATGTTTTGTCCATCTTACCGTCGTATCGGACAAATCTGATTCCATTTTTAGTTAACGACTCCGATAGTATGTCAAGCATAGAAGTGAACTCCGAAAAAATAATTGTTTTACGCGGTTTAACTTTGTCGTCCTTTTTGAGGATATTCAAAGTTCTTTGTAATTTGATAGCATGCAGGGACTGAGCATTTTCACCGGATTTCTCCTTTTTCCCTACATCAACTTCTTTAAGCATTTGTGAACCATTACCATTATCAAGATTCATATTTTTCATGGAGCCTAGAAGATCTTGAAGGTCATTATCAATCAATGCATCATCTAACTCACGATTGCTTATGCTTTTTTCAGCTTTTAATCCTGCCATGGTCGATTTTATCTCCGTCATCAATGAATCATCCTCAAATTGTTGAGAGAGGTTAAACAAAAGCTCCCAATGACAACACAGCTGCCTCAAACGAAGCAAGTAGGTAAAAATACTCATGTAGCTCAAATCAACGTTCTGTTTCCTATCTAAAGTTCCAGCGTTCTGTTTTTCCAAATCCAGTTCTTGGCCCAATATATTGTGCACTATTTTCTTTTCAAGTTGATCGTAAAGCCTCCTTTCAAATGGCGTAAAATCTAATGTTTCACGGTGTATTGTCTTACTGACTGTCAAAACATTGTTATCTATCAAGACCTGTTTGGTTCTTCGAAGCATGAACTCATCAAGCATGGAATGAAGTCTTTTTAAAGCCTTGGGAGGATCATCAGGCTGGTGTGATGACAATGGAGAAGATATCCTTTTTTTCCAAATTTGCATGTTTTCGTACTTATTTACCCCCAAAAACCTGAAGAGCGAATACAACTCCTCAATTCTGTTTTGAATTGGTGTGCCAGTTAAACACCATCTCCGCTCCGCCAGCACATTACAACATGCAATATGACTTTTCGTCTCTGGATTTTTGATAGTATGGGCTTCGTCTAAAACGACTCTTCGGAATGGATACTCGGAGTCGAGCAAGGGGGACGCTGTCTTACTGTTTTCAGATGACAGTGTCGGGTAGGATGTTACAACAACATCATACTTGTGAACAATCTTGGAATCCGAAGGTCGTTTTGGTCCGTGGTAAGACAGGACGCTAAGGTCCGGTGCTTTGGTCTCGATTTCGGTACACCACTGGGATACCAAAGATGCAGGGCAGACTATCAACGTAGTCTTAGATTTGCTTGTTTCCTGCTTCTTTGATTGATTTTTCAACATCAATGCTATTATTTGGACAGTTTTCCCTAAACCCATATCATCTGCCAAAATACCTCCAACATTAAATAAAAAAGCGTCCTCATTCTTGTCATCCTCCGTCTTCAGGTAATCCCTTTCTGCTGGCTTGGCCTTCTCTCTTTTGAGCAGAAATCTCAAGCCTAGGACCTGATGATCATACAACTCAGCGTGAAGTCCGGGTATTATCTTATCTTTGGGGTCGACCGCGACTTTAGGGTACTCTGTCGGTTTGAGTAACTCTTCAATCAGCTCCTTGGTTCTGATCGTATCTGCTTCGTCAGCAATGTTATCTGCAATGGCTTCTATTCTCTCGAAATTGTTGGTGGTCCCTAGTACAGCCGGCGGAAGCTGTTCTCTCGGAACCACCTTCGGAGCTGCCGGTGGATGAATGACATGTTTTCCCGCATACTTTGCAAATGATCCTCGGTTAGTTTGCAGCTTTTGCACATCAATTTTCTTACTGTTCCATTGTTTGGATTTCACAGAGATCGGCTGGAGAAAGTCGTTAGAAAACTGGAACTGGCCCGGTACAGTTTGTACGTGAGGTTTGTTTAACGATTTGGACGGCTTGTGCAGTAGGTCCGGTTTGCCGAGCGACAAAGAGCGGAATGTGTCGGACAAGTCATCCTTTGGGTCCATTTCTTTTCTGCGTATGTGCTCTTTCAGGCAGCTAATTTTGTGGCAGTCAAATGCCCCGTGATCAACTCAACTCGCAAACATAGTTACATTTACCAGAAAACCGGACTGGCTGATTGTTTGACAACCCGGGTGACCTCCGTGTTCCCAAAGAAGCAACTGTCAAGAAGAAATCGACGCGTCGCCTGTCGGCAACTGGAAACGGGAAAAAAGGCAAGTCGACCGTTGGAAAAAAATACAATTCAGGCGATTACCGAGGAGATCTTTTCACCTCCATGGTGGGGAAATCTTGATGAAAATTATGCACGAAGAAGAGAGTTTAAGTTGCAGATTAGGTCTCGTGAGGTTGATATTGCCTGTTTTAGAGTGCAGCATACCATAGCACCAACCCCTAAGGCAGACCTCGGCAGTAGCAGGGTCAAAAGCGGTTGCAGAGCAAAAGATGAACACGGGAGACGGGGAAAAGACACAGCTTGACCCCCTACCGGTGAAGGGACAGATTGAGCAATGCACAAAAGGCCAAAATTGGTCGGCTTCTCTGGAAGAATCACCGTTTGAGTACCAATGTGCAGAAATAGACCATATCGTCAGTGTTAGAGCCGCAATTAAAGAAGGCTTGGACTTGAAGCACGGTGGAAGTATAAACAGCTGGGAAAGCAGTAACTACAACAATAACACCAACTACAATTCCGGCTCTAACTACAGTTTGAACTATAGAAATTACGAATACAACAACGGCCACACCAACATTACCGGAAACAGCAGCAACTATGGTGTCAACTACGATAACGGGAATATGGGTAGCGGTAACCACCTCATGTACAAGTACAACAACAACAATAGCAACAACTACAACAACAGACAAAACAATAGACAGAACTCCAAGGGTAACTACAAAAACAAAAACAAACGTATGAACCAGGCTCAGAATTCAAACCAGACCCTGAACCAAGTAAACAACAATGCCAACAGCACCAACTATAACGGACAGAGAAGATACAAGAACTTCAACTCTTTCCCTGACCAGCAGCAGCTGGACCAACAAAATATGTTGTATAACTCAATGGTGGGGATGAATCAGACGATGGACACCTCGGTCTTGAATGGTGGTCTAAGTCTGGGTGCAAGTCCAGGGAACTTGCTACAGCAGCTGCAACAGCAACAGCAGCAGCAGCAGCAATTGCACTTCATGAACAAGGGTTTACAAAATCCTCAGGTTGAGGCCGGCACACAAGAACAAGGACAAAATACACACCTTCTAGAATCTTTCTTGTTCCAGCAACTGTCTAGCCAGAACCAGGTTCAGTCACCATCCTGCAAACATGTGCAAAATCCACTCGAGACGCAGCTCCAGTCTTTAGGTAACACTGGAGGTAGCATGGACTCGATATTCGCAAGAGGTACAGGTTTTTCCAATATATCCAATAACGAGATTTCAAATACTTCCTCGCTATTACCAAAACTAAATACCACATCCCAGCAGCAGCAACCAATACACAGAACAACTACAGACTCCCATTTGACTTCATACTCAAACTCAACGTCAAATTCTAATTCTGTATCTGCACCAAACTCTGCGTCAAATAATGAAAGTAGTTCCTCCAGTTCCAATTACTCATTCCAGCCATCCCAATTAAAGCCTTTCAAATTTGATAGTTTGTCTCCGTTCAATTTTCAGTCCTTGATGGATCAGCCGGAAATTTCTACACCCGGAAGTACCATAACGCGTGCTGGATCATCTCTTGCTTCTTTGGGATCAAGCATTCCTTCCAGTTCCACCAACAGAGAAAATTCTTTGAGCTTCATGTCTGACATGCTCGATTCCAACGGTACAAGCACAAACATGAACCTCAGCAATTTGAGCAATACCACAGGTTTGAGTAGCACCATGACAATGGTGGATCCACTCGAATCGATTTGGAAGCGTGGTCACAATACCAACTCCACCATATCAAACTCTTCCAATTTGGTTTCCACCCCAGGTGAGAATGGTTCCAAAGCAAGTGATGACTTTGGAATGGGCACGTACGTTGGCAATCTGAACGTTGCAGACGGTAATAGATTAGAGGACATTGGGTTATTTGGATCATATTTCAGTTGAATACTATACATTTTTTTTATCAGAAGTTCAGTCACTCATTTAGTCATGGTCTTTTACTTTTTATTATCACTATCATTATATTTTATTCCTTCTGATTACCCTTCAAAACAGCAAGCATTTGTCATGTGTTCACGAGCTTTTACGAATTTTCATTCAATGTAATCCCGTTTGTTTTCTTTTTCCTTCCTGTGTTTTTCTGTTTTTTTTCTTCCTTTCTCTACTTACTTAATTTCTTTTTAATTACTTATATTGCTATAGGCTTTGCTGGGACGAAATTACAGCAGGAAATGTATATGCTTTTTTCACCTTTATAGGACAATGAATAGATTTATTCAACAAATCAAGCTTTCCAGATTTACAGTCATTAGTGATACATTATTACATGGCTCCAATCCAGTGGGCGCTTCAATAGTGTATATATCTGTAGGAGTAGATACGTTTATATATGGTACAATAGGAGCAGGGGCTAGGAGAGCTATTGCTTGTCCTCTGCTGCTAGCTGCCATGCTGGAATGGAGGTATTGCTATTAGTGATGTTAGCCTTCTGCGAAGACGCCAATTGCCAAGCTGGGATAGCACTAGGGGCCGTGACGGGGGTAGCATCCTTAGCTTTGCTGGAGGACGCGGTTGAGTCCGCTGCCGAGCCAAGAATGTCCCTCGCAGAAGGTACAGAGGACGGAGGAGGGATGTTGAGGTTGGAATAGGACGATTCCAGAGGCACCGAGTTGCCCGATGTTGAGCGGTTGTTCGTCAGCAGATTTGGAGGCGGAGGCGTCGGAGTGGAAGACGGGGAGGGCGCGTCGTGCGAGAAGCTCTGCGAGAGACCTGTGCTCTTCGTCCTGGAGGAGGTGAACAGCGTTAGCGAGTCCTTCAAGCTGTCCGTCTTCTTCTCGAGCTCCTGCAGCTCGCTGGATATGGTGCCCTTCTGCGACTCCAGGTTCTTCAGCAACGTTGTTTTGATGCTGTCGATCTCCAACTTGAGGTACTTCAGCGTCTCTTCGTTGCGGAGGTTCTTTTCGTTCGTGGCCTTGACGATTGCGTCGACCTCGATGAGCGCCTCGTCGATGTGTTTGGCCTTTTCGTCCTGTCTTTTGATGAACTCGGCCTGGTCCGTCTCCAACTTCTCCAAAATCGCCTCCACGCGCTGGAACTCTCTCTCCATCTCCTCCTTGTCCTCGTCCAACTTCGACTGCGACGGAGGCAGCACCTTCGGAACCACGTACCGGGACACTATCTGGTAGGCCCCGTAGATGAACCCGGCCGTGGTCGTCCCCATGATTACGTAATCCTTCCAGTCGTAGTTCCGTGGGGCTGGCGGCGGCGGCGGTGGCGGATAAGCGTTGGACCCGTAGTATGGAGGGTAGACAGCTGGGGCAGCAGCAGCAGCTGCAGGCACTGCAGCTGCTGTCTGGGCCGGAGCGGCAGCTCCGTTCTGCGCTTGGACTAGCGCCTGCTGGATCTCGCCGCTGGACATGCCCTTTGCCTCGAGAAACTGGATCTTCTTCGTGAGCGGCGTCTCGTGCACTGAGGGATCGGTCAAGAAGGACACGGCGCTGGCGACCATGTCCTGGCGGACGCCCTGTTCAGCCTGCATCGCGGTGTTGCCGGTGTTGCTGTCTTCACGGGCCACGGGCCGCCCCAGGAAGACGGTCTGGCTGCCGGCTCGTCTGAAGCTGTTCTTCTAGCACCTGTAGCTCTAGCCCCCGCCCTTTTTTTGCCCTCGCCTGGGCCGATCGGCCGCCCGCGCCTGCGCGCCGGTATTTTGGCGTCGCTCCCGGCGGCAGGAGCTCGCCTCTGCACGGAGCACGTCAGAGGAAATTAGCCGGTTGCTGGATTGAGTGAGGTTGAGATCGAGATCACGGCAGCCGTCGTGGAGAGGACGGGGGTCGGGGAGGGATCGCTGAAGAAAGAAGGGGTCTCTGCGAAAAGCCAGCATTGTAGCACGTTGACGAGTTGAAGCGGAGCACGCGTGCAGGGAGCAGGTACAGGGGCTACAGAGGAGCAGCACAGTGCCAAGTCCGTATACGTGAACCCGAGTATGGAGAAACGGTTTGTCAGTTCAGTGGTATGTCGATTGTGTGGCAGAGAGCCAAAGGCGATTGGAGGAAGGCAGCCCCCGGTGGCGAAAACAGGTTGGGGGTATGACAGGGCCGGGATGGCGGCGGGGGAGGGGCTAGGGTGCTGCCTGCCTGTGTGCATGTCGTTGCGTCAGCCTGAGAGTGAAGTTTTGTCTTTGCCTGGCCTTTATTTTTCAGTGGTACTAACATTTTGCACAACACCTATACCCTTGCACAGATACCTATAACGTCGATGTTGGCGGATAGCGGCAACGAGGACGCAAATGAGGAGTGGGGCAGCAGCGTGCTGCCCGCAGCCGACGTTGTGTCGAAGCCGTCGAGCCCCGTGCTGGACGGCCGTGGAAGCAACGGGAATGGCACAGATACCGACTATGCGTCCACACAGGTGTCCACGCCGTTGGCGGCGGCCGACGTGAGGAAGCTCGCCAGCCCGGACGAGTTGTTGTCTGTGTTCCAGCAAAAACTCAACTCGGCGGTCCGGCTGGACAACCTGGCCAACACGTCGATCAACCACTTGAAATTCCTGAACGACGAGTTCCAGTTCCTGGCCACAACTAATGGCGTGTGTCTGGATAACAAGTTTGCGGAGAACCTCAAAAACGACGTCAACCTCCTGAACTCGAAGAACTCCATCCTCGAGAAGATCTTCAAGCGCCACAAGCAGGTGGAGTCCGAGTCTAACCTGCTGAACAATTTGAAGTCGGAGGTGCTCAACTACCTGGTGGACGTGCAGACCGAGCGGGAGTACGTTCTACAGAGCCTCAACCATGGCAACTTCAGAGCAAAGCTCTCGGCCATCGATGATCCTTACATCGCCCCACTACAGATCAAATACATCAACCCGATAGAGAACGTCGCCTTGAATGGCGCAAAGCAGCCCGAGAAGGCCACTGCCTCGGCCAAGGGCAAGGCGGCCACCGCCCCAGCGGCGAAGAGAAGAGGCAGCAGAAGAACCAAGGCGACGACGACCGCAACCGCCTCGACCGCAGCCCCAGCCAAGGCCCCGGCCAAAAGAGGTGGTCGCAGAAAGGCAGGGACAACCGCCGCTACATCCACAACCGCCAAGGCTGGATCCAGAGCGGCAAGAGGCAAAAAGACTTCCTTGGCCTCTACTGCTATCTCGAATAATGCTGCTGCTGGCAGTAAAAGGCGGAGGAAGCCAACCACCAAGGCGGAGGAGATGCTAGACGAGGCAGATATGGAAAATGAGTTTGCCGAAATCTTCGAACAACCGAAGAAGAGAAGAAGAAGAGCAGGAGCCGCCGCAGCCGCCACTACTGCAGCTGCGTCCTCTGCTTCCACCTCCAAATCCAGTGCTGCTACAGCTACTGCCGGGCGTTCGGGCGCCACCAAGAAATCCCCAGATGCCGATGAAAACACCCTTGAGTCAAACGACGAAAACGATGATCAAGAAGGCACCACGCCTAAGCTCTCTGTGAAAGAATTGAAGAGTCTTGAACGTCAATACGACAACACCTACCTTTCCATATGGAAAGATCTGTCAAGAAAGGACAGTCCAAAGGCGTACAGGTTATTCCAACAAACTGCGCAAGCCAAATCGATCAACTTGAGGAAGACGGCACAATTAGCTGCAAGAGAATCAAGAAAATGGCAGGTGAAAACCACAAAGGCCCAAAAGGACCAGGTAACCAAGGCCAGAAGATCTATGAGAGAAATGTTGAACTTCTGGAAGAAGAACGAGAGAGAGGAAAGAAACTTGAGATTGAAGGCTGAGCAAGAAGCACTCCAAAGGGCAAAGAAGGAGGAAGAAGAGAGAGAAGCTAAGAGACAGGCAAGAAAGTTAAACTTTTTAATTAACCAAACCGAACTATACTCCCATTTCATTGGTAGAAAAATCAAAACTAGTGAATTCGAAGGGGACATGGGTGCTGAGCCAATTCCTGGATATGGTGCCGGAAGTGCCTCCCACAAAGTCGCAAATGAAGCTGACGTGGATATGAGTTTGGCAACTAAAGACTTTGACAACTTGAACTTTGACGAAGAAAATGAAGAAGCCTTGCACAAGATGGCTGCTGCTAACGCTCAGAGTGCGTTGATGGAAGCTAAGAACAAGGCACATCAATTCAACGATGGTATTCCAAGAGCATCCGATGGGGATGATGATGAAAAAAATGAAGGTGAGATGAACTTCCAGAACCCAACCTCTATTGGTGATATCACTGTCGAACAGCCAAAACTACTCAACTGTACACTAAAAGAATACCAACGTAAGGGTTTGAACTGGCTTGCCAACTTGTACGAGCAAGGTATCAATGGTATTTTGGCAGATGAAATGGGTTTGGGTAAAACCGTCCAAAGTATATCTGTTTTGGCATACCTAGCAGAAACGCACGATATTTGGGGTCCCTTCTTGGTGGTTACTCCGGCTTCAACGTTACACAATTGGCAGCAGGAGATCTCAAATTTTGTTCCTAATTTCAATGTCCTTCCATATTGGGGTACTGCAAAGGATCGTAAAGTGTTGCGTAAATTTTGGGACAGAAAGAACATCATCTACAATAGAAATTCTCCGTTTCATGTTGTTGTTACGTCTTACCAATTGGTTGTTGCAGATAGTGCTTATTTTCAAAAGATGAAATGGCAGTACATGATTTTAGATGAAGCCCAAGCTATCAAATCGTCGCAATCTTCGAGATGGAGATCCTTGTTGAGTTTTCAATGTCGTAATAGATTATTGTTGACCGGTACTCCAATTCAAAACAACATGCAGGAATTGTGGGCTTTATTGCACTTCATTATGCCATCATTGTTTGACTCGCATGACGAATTCAGTGAGTGGTTTTCGAAGGACATTGAAGCACATGCGCAATCTAACTCGAAATTAAACGAAGAACAGTTGCGTCGTTTGCATGCTATTTTGAAGCCTTTCATGTTGCGTAGAATAAAGAAAAATGTTCAGAGTGAATTGGGAGAAAAAATTGAGATTGATGTTTACTGTGACCTCACAAACAGACAGAAGAAGCTATATCGTATGCTACGTTCTCAGATAAACTTGATGGACTTGATTGAAAATAACAAGAGAATTGGTACGAACGAAGACGTTGAATCTTTGATGAACGTTGTCATGCAATTCAGAAAGGTTTGTAATCATCCTGACTTGTTCGAAAGAGCAGATACAAAATCAGCTTTTTGTTTCGGAGATTTCCCAATGACAGAAAGTTTAATTCGGGAAGTGAACGAATCCACCCTAGAGTTGAATTACAACACCAAGAATTTAATTAAATACAAACTACCGAAAACAATCCTTGAAGAGTGTTTGCTACCATCATATGAGAAGAGGAGCTTGACCGAGAAGGACAGCTTAATCAATAGGATGTTCAATGTCTACCAACCAAGACATTATATTCATGATGATGACAGCGAATTGAGTATATTGAAGTTTGTGAACGAAACTCCTTGCGAAATTGAAAAAATAGTATCAAGAAATCTGGTCACCAATGCTATCAATAATAAGAGTTATATTGAAAGCACAAAAGATGAGCAAAATAGGCTATATAGAGAGATATACTGTACTGACAACAAAAACTCGTTGATTTTCAGTGATTCCAAGGATAGAGTGCCGAGCTTTCTAAAAAATTTAACCCATGACGTGTCAAAAAGTATGTACATGAGATCTTTCCAGCCAGGATATTTTGAAACAGCTTTGGCTTCACCTATTGAGATTGTTTGTTCGAAAGAAAATTTTAATGTTATCAAAGACGATGCATTCTTCAACAAAACAATTAGACAAGCCTTATTACCTTTGGATTTGAACACACAGGCAGAATTGTTGGAAAAACAAGTTTGGGTCAAAGACTGGCCCAAGGCAGAAATGCTACCAGTAGAAGACTCAAATTACAAGCAAGGCGGAACTATACGTTTACCGTCAATGGAAAGATTTGTTCTCGAAAGCGCCAAATTGAAGAAACTAGATCAAATGCTTGTAGACTTGAAAAAGGGAGACCATAAGTGTTTGATTTATTTCCAAATGACCAAGATGATGGACCTTATGGAAGAATACCTATCCTACAGACAATATAAATACATTAGACTTGATGGTTCTTCCAAATTAAGTGATAGAAGAGATCTTGTCAATGATTGGCAGAGTAATCCAGAATTGTTCATCTTCCTCCTATCCACCAGAGCCGGAGGGTTGGGTATCAATCTTACTGCTGCAGATACGGTCATTTTCTACGACTCGGATTGGAATCCTACAATTGATTCGCAGGCCATGGATCGTGCGCATCGTTTGGGACAGACAAGGCAAGTTACTGTGTACAGATTGTTGGTTCGTGGGACTATTGAAGAAAGAATGAGAGACCGTGCCAAGCAAAAAGAACACGTTCAACAGGTTGTCATGGAAGGTAAAGTCGATGCGGTCAATGAAAAGGAGGAGAAGGAGAGAGAGAAGAAGGAAATGGCTCTCTGGCTCTTGGAAGACGACAAATGATGCAATGGCATCGTTAATACTGTTTTTTTATCTCATGTGTTTCCACTGTATTATAAAAGTATATAAGCTAATTGCCACCACAATTTGAAAATCGTCTTTGTTCCGACCGCTAATGGTGAGAAAAGACAACTGGCGCGCCCCGCTTGCCTCCTTTGTACCGACAGTAATCCAACGGCGAGGATTGAAAGTCGGGTGTAAGATGGCAACATGACCGGAAATCAATTATATCCAGCACTCGGACAGAGAGAATAGGTTAGTATCACGCATACCAAGAGCATCTATTAGAACAGCTACAATCACAACTGTAGCATAACTTTTTCCTATTTTCACTACTCCACAATCTGCAGTGGTAATAAGTCCAAGTTGGCAAATTTCAGTCTATTTACAACAAATACATACTTGGTTATTAGAGTTAGAAAAAACATCATAAATTCAGATGTCCGACTGTACTCCTGAGCAAAAAAAGCTGGTAGAGGAGATTCTCACCATAAAACACACAGATTATTATCGAGTGTTGAAAGTAGATAAATCAGCCAATGAAATCGAAATCAAGAAGTCATACAGGAAGCTGGCTATCAAATTGCATCCTGATAAAAACAAGCATCCGAAGGCCTCTGAAGCGTTCAAAGTTATTGCCAAGGCTTTTGAAATCTTAGGAGATGACTCTAAGCGTAAGATATATGATATGACTGGTTCCGATCCCGACTCTCGTGGAGGAATGGGAGGTGGAACTGGAATGGGAGGTGGAATGGGTAATATGGGAGGCTTTCCAGGATTTCAAGGCTTTCAAGGCTTTCCGCAAGCTGCAGCTGGTGGCGGAGGTCCTCTCAATGAAGATATATTCAACATGTTATTTGGAATGGGAGGAATGGGTGGAAATGGATTTTCCTTCCAGTTTGGAGGCAACGGTTTTCCCAACAATGGCTACTATTATACGAATAATGCTGGTATGAATGCTAGAAGACATGCTGCACAGCAGCAACATCAGCAGCGCCAAAACGCTAGACGTGGTGCTAATGGAAATGGAACGCCTTCGGAGCTACCCTGGTCCCAATATATCATTCAATTCCTACCGCTACTTATTATTCTCATTTCGATCATCATAAACTCCTTAAGTGGCGGCTCGGGCTCTAACGACGGTTACAGAAATGTGCGTGAGTTCAGTGGACGTGTACCTAAATACAGCTTCGAGTCATCCGGTCTTCTTAGCGAAAAACGTACTACTCCAAAATACAACCTCAACTACTATCTTGAAAAGAAGACCCTGGATAACTTCAAAGGACGAAAAAATCCAGCAAAGGAACTAAACGGTTTGGACAAGTTTGTCGAAAACCAGTACGTTGATAGGGTGAGCTTGGGTTGCTTGAGAGAGAGGCGCACAAAGGAGAGTATTATTGAACAGGCTCAGGGTATTTTCTTCAATGATTGGGAAAGAATTGATCAAGCTAACAATATGGCAATGCCTAACTGTGAAAGGTTGGAAGAATTGCAAAAGAGACTGCTATAGCCATATTACAGAATTGTGTATCATCTGTTTAATATTTACTTTAACCAACCAACCTTTCCAACTATTTAATCTTTCCTAAAAAGAAATTATAATCAAAAATAATGTTGCTTCGAAGATTTGAAAAATTTAATGCGACCTCTGTGGATCGAACACAGGGCCTCCAGATCTTCAGTCTGGCGCTCTCCCACTGAGCTAAGGCCGCTAAAAGAAAGGGTGCATAAGACAGGATTCGAACCTGCGCACTGTTACCAGTAACAGAACTTGAGTCTGTCGCCTTAGACCGCTCGGCCACTTATGCTTTATTGCACTTATAGCTCATGACAAAACTTATAATGTCAATACAAGTAACAAATTTATAAGCCCAAAACTCAGATTTATGTACTATGCCATGCTCGACTGTACTGAAAAAAATCAAAAAATGCATAAGACAGGATTCGAACCTGCGCACTGTTACCAGTAACAGAACTTGAGTCTGTCGCCTTAGACCGCTCGGCCACTTATGCTTTGTTGAGATAAAAACGTCTATAATCCTTATCAACAAAGATCTACTAATAAACAACATAAAGATGAGAAATCGCGGCATGAAAATCTACTATTACATAATAAAGCATTAGAGTGATCCAGAGAAACGGAAAAACGCCCCCCCCCCCACCGATTACGTAATATTTTAGGAGCGGCCAACCAATGACTATCCAGGGGCACTGTGGATGACGATCAGCCAGGAGATTCTAACCGGGGCACAATTTACCCAAGAGGGCACTCTTGTGGGCAGGGGAAATGTTGTAATCCAGCTATTCTGTCATGAATATCCATTGTATATGTTGAGATAAGATGCCGAAGCCAATCATGATCGAGGGATAAGAGATAAGAATCTTATCATGATAAGGTATCTTAGTGTTGAGATAAGATGCCGAGGCCAATAAGGATTGAGTGATAAGAGATAAGAGTCTTATCATGATAAGGCATCTTGAGTAATCTAAAACTGGAAAGTTAGCCGCCATGATAAATGAATAATGGCAAGTTTAACCGAAGGTGTAAGTGTATAAATACAAGAGGTTTGTCCCTTGTATTTATGTTTGAGAATATTAGTTTGTAGGCTAGTTATATTAGTTA